GGCAGCAAACTCGGGGTCCCTCCCACATACCTATTGCTGAGAGAAGCCTCCTCCTGAGGTGCTTCTGGGAAGTTGGCATACGTCTTGAGCCTAAGCCAGGGAATCAGCTCGCATCTCGAGACGATTTGGGGTAGACGGAGCATTCCTCGAGTTGCTGTGCTGAAGTTGGTGTTCCTCTAGACTTGGGACAGTGTTCTCGGGGCATCTCTGGAGTTGCCTGAAGGAAGTCGAGCCACCGGTCGTGTTGAATGGGGAACGGGGAATGGCTCTGGAGTCAATGCAGGGGAATGGGGCCTCATCTCGAGTTGATTTGGGGCACATGGAGCTGCTTTGCGTTGCTGGGGTGACCTCAGGGTCCGTCTAGACTGGTGACAGTGTTATTGGGGACTGTCTCGAGATCCATTAAGCAAGTCGAAGCTCCTGACTTGTTTGAATGGGATCACGGAATAGCTCTGCATGCACTGCAGGGGAATGGGGCCTCATCTCGCCTCTAGGGGGAAGTCTCATGGTTTTTCTCGAGTTGCGGCGGGGACCTGGGGTATGTTCTCAACTTACGGCGGGGATGGCCCTTCAAAACACGAGTTTCTTCAGTGACGTCAGGACTCCTGTCTAGTAACGAGGGACACCTCAGGAATCTCTTCGAGGCTTGGCAGGGCCAAAGGGACGCTTCTCGAGGTGAGGCAGGGCACCCAAGGACCCTTTCCAGTAGCCACAGGGATTTTGGGATTCCTATCAGTATTCAAGAGGAGTCAGGCATCGTCACCTTTTGAAGCAATGAACTCCGCGTGCCTCTCGAGGTGTCAGCGGGATGTGAGGCATTCCGTCAAAATGAGGCAGGGACCTAGGGCTTTCTCTAAGGTCTCCACAGGGGATTCAGACATCCCTTCATGTTGTGAGATGAAAGACGAGCCTGTATTCAAGCCACTGCAAGGAAATCCGGCCTCCTTTCAAGTTAGGGCTTCTCGCTGTATATTCCCCTTGAGGCAGCAAACTCGGGGTCCCTCCCACATACCTATTGCTGTGAGAAGCCTCCTCCTGAGGTGCTTCTGGGAAGTTGGCATACGTCTTGAGCCTAAGCCAGGAAATCAGCTCGCATCTCGAGACGATTTGGGGTACACGGAGCATTCCTCGAGTTGCTGTGCTGAAGTTGGTGTTCCTCTAGACTTGGGACAGTGTTCTCGGGGCATCTCTGGAGTTGCCTGAAGGAAGTCGAGCCACCGGTCGTGTTGAATGGGGAACGGGGAATGGCTCTGGAGTCAATGCAGGGGAATCGGGCCTCATCTCGAGTTGATTTGGGGCACATGGAGCTGCTTTGCGTTGCTGGGGTGACCTCAGGGTCCGTCTAGACTGGTGACAGTGTTCTTGGGGACTGTCTCGAGATCCATTAAGCAAGTCGAAGCTCCTGACTTGTTTGAATGGGATCACGGAATAGCTCTGCATGCACTGCAGGGGAATGGGGCCTCATCTCGCCTCTAGGGGGAAGTCTCATGGTTTTTCTCGAGTTGCGGCGGGGACCTGGGGTATGTTCTCGACTTACGGCGGGGATGGCCCTTCAAAACACGAGTTTCTTCAGTGACGTCAGGACTCCTGTCTAGTAACGAGGGACACCTCAGGAATCTCTTCGAGGCTTGGCAGGGCCAAAGGGACGCTTCTCGAGGTGAGGCAGGGCACCCAAGGACCCTTTCCAGTAGCCACAGGGATTTTGGGATTCCTATCAGTATTCAAGAGGAGTCAGGCATCGTCACCTTTTGAAGCAATGAACTCCGCGTGCCTCTCGAGGTGTCAGCGGGATGTGAGGCATTCCGTCAAAATGAGGCAGGGACCTAGGGCTTTCTCTAAGGTCTCCACAGGGGATTCAGACATCCCTTCATGTTGTGAGATGAAAGACGAGCCTGTATTCAAGCCACTGCAAGGAAATCCGGCCTCCTTTCAAGTTAGGGCTTCTCGCTGTATATTCCCCTTGAGGCAGCAAACTCGGGGTCCCTCCCACATACCTATTGCTGAGAGAAGCCTCCTCCTGAGGTGCTTCTGGGAAGTTGGCATACGTCTTGAGCCTAAGCCAGGGAATCAGCTCGCATCTCGAGACGATTTGGGGTAGACGGAGCATTCCTCGAGTTGCTGTGCTGAAGTTGGTGTTCCTCTAGACTTGGGACAGTGTTCTCGGGGCATCTCTGGAGTTGCCTGAAGGAAGTCGAGCCACCGGTCGTGTTGAATGGGGAACGGGGAATGGCTCTGGAGTCAATGCAGGGGAATCGGGCCTCATCTCGAGTTGATTTGGGGCACATGGAGCTGCTTTGCGTTGCTGGGGTGACCTCAGGGTCCGTCTAGACTGGTGACAGTGTTCTTGGGGACTGTCTCGAGATCCATTAAGCAAGTCGAAGCTCCTGACTTGTTTGAATGGGATCACGGAATAGCTCTGCATGCACTGCAGGGGAATGGGGCCTCATCTCGCCTCTAGGGGGAAGTCTCATGGTTTTTCTCGAGTTGCGGCGGGGACCTGGGGTATGTTCTCAACTTACGGCGGGGATGGCCCTTCAAAACACGAGTTTCTTCAGTGACGTCAGGACTCCTGTCTAGTAACGAGGGACACCTCAGGAATCTCTTCGAGGCTTGGCAGGGCCAAAGGGACGCTTCTCGAGGTGAGGCAGGGCACCCAAGGACCCTTTCCAGTAGCCACAGGGATTTTGGGATTCCTATCAGTATTCAAGAGGAGTCAGGCATCGTCACCTTTTGAAGCAATGAACTCCGCGTGCCTCTCGAGGTGTCAGCGGGATGTGAGGCATTCCGTCAAAATGAGGCAGGGACCTAGGGCTTTCTCTAAGGTCTCCACAGGGGATTCAGACATCCCTTCATGTTGTGAGATGAAAGACGAGCCTGTATTCAAGCCACTGCAAGGAAATCCGGCCTCCTTTCAAGTTAGGGCTTCTCGCTGTATATTCCCCTTGAGGCAGCAAACTCGGGGTCCCTCCCACATACCTATTGCTGTGAGAAGCCTCCTCCTGAGGTGCTTCTGGGAAGTTGGCATACGTCTTGAGCCTAAGCCAGGAAATCAGCTCGCATCTCGAGACGATTTGGGGTACACGGAGCATTCCTCGAGTTGCTGTGCTGAAGTTGGTGTTCCTCTAGACTTGGGACAGTGTTCTTGGGGCATCTCCGGAGTTGCCTGAAGGAAGTCGAGCCACCGGTCGTGTTGAATGGGGAACGGGGAATGGATCTGGAGTCAATGCAGGGGAATCGGGCCTCATCTCGAGTTGATTTGGGGCACATGGAGCTGCTTTGCGTTGCTGGGGTGACCTCAGGGTCCGTCTAGACTGGTGACAGTGTTCTTGGGGACTGTCTCGAGATCCATTAAGCAAGTCGAAGCTCCTGACGTGTTTGAATGGGATCACGGAATAGCTCTGCATGCACTGCAGGGGAATGGGGCCTCATCTCGCCTCTAGGGGGAAGTCTCATGGTTTTTCTCGAGTTGCGGCGGGGACCTGGGGTATGTTCTCGACTTACGGCGGGGATGGCCCTTCAAAACACGAGTTTCTTCAGTGACGTCAGGACTCCTGTCTAGTAACGAGGGACACCTCAGGAATCTCTTCGAGGCTTGGCAGGGCCAAAGGGACGCTTCTCGAGGTGAGGCAGGGCACCCAAGAACCCTTTCCAGTAGCCACAGGGATTTGGGGATTCCTATCAGTATTCAAGAGGAGTCAGGCATCGTCACCTTTTGAAGCAATGAACTCCGCGTGCCTCTCGAGGTGTCAGCGGGATGTGAGGCATTCCGTCAAAATGAGGCAGGGACCTAGGGCTTTCTCTAAGGTCTCCACAGGGGATTCAGACATCCCTTCATGTTGTGAGATGAAAGACGAGCCTGTATTCAAGCCACTGCAAGGAAATCCGGCCTCCTTTCAAGTTAGGGCTTCTCGCTGTATATTCCCCTTGAGGCAGCAAACTCGGGGTCCCTCCCACATACCTATTGCTGAGAGAAGCCTCCTCCTGAGGTGCTTCTGGGAAGTTGGCATACGTCTTGAGCCTAAGCCAGGGAATCAGCTCGCATCTCGAGACGATTTGGGGTAGACGGAGCATTCCTCGAGTTGCTGTGCTGAAGTTGGTGTTCCTCTAGACTTGGGACAGTGTTCTCGGGGCATCTCTGGAGTTGCCTGAAGGAAGTCGAGCCACCGGTCGTGTTGAATGGGGAACGGGGAATGGCTCTGGAGTCAATGCAGGGGAATCGGGCCTCATCTCGAGTTGATTTGGGGCACATGGAGCTGCTTTGCGTTGCTGGGGTGACCTCAGGGTCCGTCTAGACTGGTGACAGTGTTCTTGGGGACTGTCTCGAGATCCATTAAGCAAGTCGAAGCTCCTGACTTGTTTGAATGGGATCACGGAATAGCTCTGCATGCACTGCAGGGGAATGGGGCCTCATCTCGCCTCTAGGGGGAAGTCTCATGGTTTTTCTCGAGTTGCGGCGGGGACCTGGGGTATGTTCTCAACTTACGGCGGGGATGGCCCTTCAAAACACGAGTTTCTTCAGTGACGTCAGGACTCCTGTCTAGTAACGAGGGACACCTCAGGAATCTCTTCGAGGCTTGGCAGGGCCAAAGGGACGCTTCTCGAGGTGAGGCAGGGCACCCAAGGACCCTTTCCAGTAGCCACAGGGATTTTGGGATTCCTATCAGTATTCAAGAGGAGTCAGGCATCGTCACCTTTTGAAGCAATGAACTCCGCGTGCCTCTCGAGGTGTCAGCGGGATGTGAGGCATTCCGTCAAAATGAGGCAGGGACCTAGGGCTTTCTCTAAGGTCTCCACAGGGGATTCAGACATCCCTTCATGTTGTGAGATGAAAGACGAGCCTGTATTCAAGCCACTGCAAGGAAATCCGGCCTCCTTTCAAGTTAGGGCTTCTCGCTGTATATTCCCCTTGAGGCAGCAAACTCGGGGTCCCTCCCACATACCTATTGCTGTGAGAAGCCTCCTCCTGAGGTGCTTCTGGGAAGTTGGCATACGTCTTGAGCCTAAGCCAGGAAATCAGCTCGCATCTCGAGACGATTTGGGGTACACGGAGCATTCCTCGAGTTGCTGTGCTGAAGTTGGTGTTCCTCTAGACTTGGGACAGTGTTCTTGGGGCATCTCCGGAGTTGCCTGAAGGAAGTCGAGCCACCGGTCGTGTTGAATGGGGAACGGGGAATGGATCTGGAGTCAATGCAGGGGAATCGGGCCTCATCTCGAGTTGATTTGGGGCACATGGAGCTGCTTTGCGTTGCTGGGGTGACCTCAGGGTCCGTCTAGACTGGTGACAGTGTTCTTGGGGACTGTCTCGAGATCCATTAAGCAAGTCGAAGCTCCTGACGTGTTTGAATGGGATCACGGAATAGCTCTGCATGCACTGCAGGGGAATGGGGCCTCATCTCGCCTCTAGGGGGAAGTCTCATGGTTTTTCTCGAGTTGCGGCGGGGACCTGGGGTATGTTCTCGACTTAAGGCGGGGATGGCCCTTCAAAACACGAGTTTCTTCAGTGACGTCAGGACTCCTGTCTAGTAACGAGGGACACCTCAGGAATCTCTTCGAGGCTTGGCAGGGCCAAAGGGACGCTTCTCGAGGTGAGGCAGGGCACCCAAGAACCCTTTCCAGTAGCCACAGGGATTTGGGGATTCCTATCAGTATTCAAGAGGAGTCAGGCATCGTCACCTTTTGAAGCAATGAACTCCGCGTGCCTCTCGAGGTGTCAGCGGGATGTGAGGCATTCCGTCAAAATGAGGCAGGGACCTAGGGCTTTCTCTAAGGTCTCCACAGGGGATTCAGACATCCCTTCATGTTGTGAGATGAAAGACGAGCCTGTATTCAAGCCACTGCAAGGAAATCCGGCCTCCTTTCAAGTTAGGGCTTCTCGCTGTATATTCCCCTTGAGGCAGCAAACTCGGGGTCCCTCCCACATACCTATTGCTGAGAGAAGCCTCCTCCTGAGGTGCTTCTGGGAAGTTGGCATACGTCTTGAGCCTAAGCCAGGGAATCAGCTCGCATCTCGAGACGATTTGGGGTACACGGAGCATTCCTCGAGTTGCTGTGCTGAAGTTGGTGTTCCTCTAGACTTGGGACAGTGTTCTCGGGGCATCTCTGGAGTTGCCTGAAGGAAGTCGAGCCACCGGTCGTGTTGAATGGGGAACGGGGAATGGCTCTGGAGTCAATGCAGGGGAATCGGGCCTCATCTCGAGTTGATTTGGGGCACATGGAGCTGCTTTGCGTTGCTGGGGTGACCTCAGGGTCCGTCTAGACTGGTGACAGTGTTCTTGGGGACTGTCTCGAGATCCATTAAGCAAGTCGAAGCTCCTGACTTGTTTGAATGGGATCACGGAATAGCTCTGCATGCACTGCAGGGGAATGGGGCCTCATCTCGCCTCTAGGGGGAAGTCTCATGGTTTTTCTCGAGTTGCGGCGGGGACCTGGGGTATGTTCTCAACTTACGGCGGGGATGGCCCTTCAAAACACGAGTTTCTTCAGTGACGTCAGGACTCCTGTCTAGTAACGAGGGACACCTCAGGAATCTCTTCGAGGCTTGGCAGGGCCAAAGGGACGCTTCTCGAGGTGAGGCAGGGCACCCAAGGACCCTTTCCAGTAGCCACAGGGATTTTGGGATTCCTATCAGTATTCAAGAGGAGTCAGGCATCGTCACCTTTTGAAGCAATGAACTCCGCGTGCCTCTCGAGGTGTCAGCGGGATGTGAGGCATTCCGTCAAAATGAGGCAGGGACCTAGGGCTTTCTCTAAGGTCTCCACAGGGGATTCAGACATCCCTTCATGTTGTGAGATGAAAGACGAGCCTGTATTCAAGCCACTGCAAGGAAATCCGGCCTCCTTTCAAGTTAGGGCTTCTCGCTGTATATTCCCCTTGAGGCAGCAAACTCGGGGTCCCTCCCACATACCTATTGCTGTGAGAAGCCTCCTCCTGAGGTGCTTCTGGGAAGTTGGCATACGTCTTGAGCCTAAGCCAGGAAATCAGCTCGCATCTCGAGACGATTTGGGGTACACGGAGCATTCCTCGAGTTGCTGTGCTGAAGTTGGTGTTCCTCTAGACTTGGGACAGTGTTCTTGGGGCATCTCCGGAGTTGCCTGAAGGAAGTCGAGCCACCGGTCGTGTTGAATGGGGAACGGGGAATGGATCTGGAGTCAATGCAGGGGAATCGGGCCTCATCTCGAGTTGATTTGGGGCACATGGAGCTGCTTTGCGTTGCTGGGGTGACCTCAGGGTCCGTCTAGACTGGTGACAGTGTTCTTGGGGACTGTCTCGAGATCCATTAAGCAAGTCGAAGCTCCTGACGTGTTTGAATGGGATCACGGAATAGCTCTGCATGCACTGCAGGGGAATGGGGCCTCATCTCGCCTCTAGGGGGAAGTCTCATGGTTTTTCTCGAGTTGCGGCGGGGACCTGGGGTATGTTCTCGACTTACGGCGGGGATGGCCCTTCAAAACACGAGTTTCTTCAGTGACGTCAGGACTCCTGTCTAGTAACGAGGGACACCTCAGGAATCTCTTCGAGGCTTGGCAGGGCCAAAGGGACGCTTCTCGAGGTGAGGCAGGGCACCCAAGAACCCTTTCCAGTAGCCACAGGGATTTGGGGATTCCTATCAGTATTCAAGAGGAGTCAGGCATCGTCACCTTTTGAAGCAATGAACTCCGCGTGCCTCTCGAGGTGTCAGCGGGATGTGAGGCATTCCGTCAAAATGAGGCAGGGACCTAGGGCTTTCTCTAAGGTCTCCACAGGGGATTCAGACATCCCTTCATGTTGTGAGATGAAAGACGAGCCTGTATTCAAGCCACTGCAAGGAAATCCGGCCTCCTTTCAAGTTAGGGCTTCTCGCTGTATATTCCCCTTGAGGCAGCAAACTCGGGGTCCCTCCCACATACCTATTGCTGAGAGAAGCCTCCTCCTGAGGTGCTTCTGGGAAGTTGGCATACGTCTTGAGCCTAAGCCAGGGAATCAGCTCGCATCTCGAGACGATTTGGGGTACACGGAGCATTCCTCGAGTTGCTGTGCTGAAGTTGGTGTTCCTCTAGACTTGGGACAGTGTTCTCGGGGCATCTCTGGAGTTGCCTGAAGGAAGTCGAGCCACCGGTCGTGTTGAATGGGGAACGGGGAATGGCTCTGGAGTCAATGCAGGGGAATCGGGCCTCATCTTGAGTTGATTTGGGGCACATGGAGCTGCTTTGCGTTGCTGGGGTGACCTCAGGCTCCGTCTAGACTGGTGACAGTGTTCTTGGGGACTGTCTCGAGATCCATTTAGCAAGTCGAAGCTCCTGACTTGTTTGAATGGGGTCACGGAATAGCTCTGCATGCACTGCAGGGGAATGGGGCCTCATCTCGCCTCTAGGGGGAAGTCTCATGGTTTTTCTCGAGTTGCGGCGGGGACCTGGGGTATGTTCTCGACTTACGGCGGGGATGGCCCTTCAAAACACGAGTTTCTTCAGTGACGTCAGGACTCCTGTCTAGTAAGGAGGGACACCTCAGGAATCTCTTCGAGGCTTGACAGGGCCAAAGGGACGCTTCTCGAGGTGAGCGAGGGCACCCAAGGACCCTTTCCAGTAGCCACAGGGATTTTGGGATTCCTATCAGTATTCAAGAGGAGTCAGGCATCGTCACCTTTTGAAGCAATGAACTCCGCGTGCCTCTCGAGGTGTCAGCGGGATGTGAGGCATTCCGTCAAAATGAGGCAGGGACCTAGGGCTTTCTCTAAGGTCTCCACAGGGGATTCAGACATCCCTTCATGTTGTGAGATGAAAGACGAGCCTGTATTCAAGCCACTGCAAGGAAATCCGGCCTCCTTTCAAGTTAGGGCTTCTCGCTGTATATTCCCCTTGAGGCAGCAAACTCGGGGTCCCTCCCACATACCTATTGCTGAGAGAAGCCTCCTCCTGAGGTGCTTCTGGGAAGTTGGCATATGTCTTGAGCCTAAGCCAGGGAATCAGCTCGCATCTCGAGACGATTTGGGGTACACAGAGCATTCCTCAAGTTGCTGTGCTGAAGTTGGTGTTCCTCTAGACTTGGGACAGTGTTCTCGGGGCATCTCTGGAGTTGCCTGAAGGAAGTCGAGCCACCGGTCGTGTTGAATGGGGAACGGGGAATGGCTCTGGAGTCAATGCAGGGGAATCGGGCCTCATCTCGAGTTGATTTGGGGCACATGGAGCTGCTTTGCGTTGCTGGGGTGACCTCAGGGTCCGTCCAAACTGGTGACAGTGTTCTTGGGGACTGTCTCGAGATCCATTAAGCAAGTCGAAGCTCCTGACTTGTTTGAATGGGGTCACGGAATAGCTCTGCATGCACTGCAGGGGAATGGGGCCTCATCTCGCCTCTAGGGGGAAGTCTCATGGTTTTTCTCGAGTTGCGGCGGGGACCTGGGGTATGTTCTCGACTTACGGCGGGGATGGCCCTTCAAAACACGAGTTTCTTCAGTGACGTCAGGACTCCTGTCTAGTAACGAGGGACACCTCAGGAATCTCTTCGAGGCTTGGCAGGGCCAAAGGGACGCTTCTCGAGGTGAGGCAGGGCACCCAAGGACCCTTTCCAGTAGCCACAGGGATTTTGGGATTCCTATCAGTATTCAAGAGGAGTCAGGCATCGTCACCTTTTGAAGCAATGAACTCCGCGTGCCTCTCGAGGTGTCAGCGGGATGTGAGGCATCCCGTCAAAATGAGGCAGGGACCTAGGGCTTTCTCTAAGGTCTCCACAGGGGATTCAGACATCCCTTCATGTTGTGAGATGAAAGACGAGCCTGTATTCAAGCCACTGCAAGGAAATCCGGCCTCCTTTCAAGTTAGGGCTTCTCGCTGTATATTCCCCTTGAGGCAGCAAACTCGGGGTCCCTCCCACATACCTATTGCTGAGAGAAGCCTCCTCCTGAGGTGCTTCTGGGAAGTTGGCATACGTCTTGAGCCTAAGCCAGGGAATCAGCTCGCATCTCGAGATGATTTGGGGTACACGGAGCATTCCTCGAGTTGCTGTGCTGAAGTTGGTGTTCCTCTAGACTTGGGACAGTGTTCTCGGGGCATCTCTGGAGTTGCCTGAAGGAAGTCGAGCCACCGGTCGTGTTGAATGGGGAACGGGGAATGGCTCTGGAGTCAATGCAGGGGAATCGGGCCTCATCTCGAGTTGATTTGGGGCACATGGAGCTGCTTTGCGTTGCTGGGGTGACCTCAGGGTCCGTCTAGACTGGTGACAGTGTTCTTGGGGACTGTCTCGAGATCCATTAAGCAAGTCGAAGCTCCTGACTTGTTTGAATGGGATCACGGAATAGCTCTGCATGCACTGCAGGGGAATGGGGCCTCATCTCGCCTCTAGGGGAAGTCTCATGGTTTTTCTCGAGTTGCGGCGGGGACCTGGGGTATGTTCTCGACTTACGGCGGGGATGGCCCTTCAAAACACGAGTTTCTTCAGTGACGTCAGGACTCCTGTCTAGTAACGAGGGACACCTCAGGAATCTCTTCGAGGCTTGGCAGGGCCAAAGGGACGCTTCTCGAGGTGAGGCAGGGCACCCAAGGACCCTTTCCAGTAGCCACAGGGATTTTGGGATTCCTATCAGTATTCAAGAGGAGTCAGGCATCGTCACCTTTTGAAGCAATGAACTCCGCGTGCCTCTCGAGGTGTCAGCGGGATGTGAGGCATTCCGTCAAAATGAGGCAGGGACCTAGGGCTTTCTCTAAGGTCTTCACAGGAAATTCAGACATCCCTTCATGTTGTGAGATGAAAGACGAGCCTGTATTCAAGCCACTGCAAGGAAATCCGGCCTCCTTTCAAGTTAGGGCTTCTCGCTGTATATTCCCCTTGAGGCAGCAAACTCGGGGTCCCTCCCACATACCTATTGCTGAGAGAAGCCTCCTCCTGAGGTGCTTCTGGGAAGTTGGCATACGTCTTGAGCCTAAGCCAGGGAATCAGCTCTCATCTCGAGACGATTTGGGGTACACGGAGCATTCCTCGAGTTGCTGTGCTGAAGTTGGTGTTCCTCTAGACTTGGGACAGTGTTCTCGGGGCATCTCTGGAGTTGCCTGAAGGAAGTCGAGCCACCGGTCGTGTTGAATGGGGAACGGGGAATGGCTCTGGAGTCAATGCAGGGGAATCGGGCCTCATCTCGAGTTGATTTGGGGCACATGGAGCTGCTTTGCGTTGCTGGGGTGACCTCAGGGTCCGTCTAGACTGGTGACAGTGTTCTTGGGGACTGTCTCGAGATCCATTAAGCAAGTCGAAGCTCCTGACTTGTTTGAATGGGATCACGGAATAGCTCTGCATGCACTGCAGGGGAATGGGGCCTCATCTCGCCTCTAGGGGGAAGTCTCATGGTTTTTCTCGAGTTGCGGCGGGGACCTGGGGTATGTTCTCGACTTACGGCGGGGATGGCCCTTCAAAACACGAGTTTCTTCAGTGACGTCAGGACTCCTGTCTAGTAACGAGGGACACCTCAGGAATCTCTTCGAGGCTTGGCAGGGCCAAAGGGACGCTTCTCGAGGTGAGGCAGGGCACCCAAGGACCCTTTCCAGTAGCCACAGTGATTTTGGGATTCCTATCAGTATTCAAGAGGAGTCAGGCATCGTCACCTTTTGAAGCAATGAACTCCGCGTGCCTCTCGAGGTGTCAGCGGGATGTGAGGCATTCCGTCAAAATGAGGCAGGGACCTAGGGCTTTCTCTAAGGTCTCCACAGGGGATTCAGACATCCCTTCATGTTGTGAGATGAAAGACGAGCCTGTATTCAAGCCACTGCAAGGAAATCCGGCCTCCTTTCAAGTTAGGGCTTCTCGCTGTATATTCCCCTTGAAGCAGCAAACTCGGGGTCCCTCCCACATACCTATTGCTGAGAGAAGCCTCCTCCTGAGGTGCTTCTGGGAAGTTGGCATACGTCTTGAGCCTAAGCCAGGGAATCAGCTCGCATCTCGAGACGATTTGGGGTACACGGAGCATTCCTCGAGTTGCTGTGCTGAAGTTGGTGTTCCTCTAGACTTGGGACAGTGTTCTCGGGGCATCTCTGGAGTTGCCTGAAGGAAGTCGAGCCACCGGTCGTGTTGAATGGGGAATGGGGAATGGCTCTGGAGTCAATGCAGGGGAATCGGGCCTCATCTCGAGTTGATTTGGGGCACATGGAGCTGCTTTGCGTTGCTGGGGTGACCTCAGGGTCCGTCTAGACTGGTGACAGTGTTCTTGGGGACTGTCTCGAGATCCATTAAGCAAGTCGAAGCTCCTGACTTGTTTGAATGGGATCACGGAATAGCTCTGCATGCACTGCAGGGGAATGGGGCCTCATCTCGCCTCTAGGGGGAAGTCTCATGGTTTTTCTCGAGTTGCGGCGGGGACCTGGGGTATGTTCTCAACTTACGGCGGGGATGGCCCTTCAAAACACGAGTTTCTTCAGTGACGTCAGGACTCCTGTCTAGTAACGAGGGACACCTCAGGAATCTCTTCGAGGCTTGGCAGGGCCAAAGGGACGCTTCTCGAGGTGAGGCAGGGCACCCAAGGACCCTTTCCAGTAGCCACAGGGATTTTGGGATTCCTATCAGTATTCAAGAGGAGTCAGGCATCGTCACCTTTTGAAGCAATGAACTCCGCGTGCCTCTCGAGGTGTCAGCGGGATGTGAGGCATTCCGTCAAAATGAGGCAGGGACCTAGGGCTTTCTCTAAGGTCTCCACAGGGGATTCAGACATCCCTTCATGTTGTGAGATGAAAGACGAGCCTGTATTCAAGCCACTGCAAGGAAATCCGGCCTCCTTTCAAGTTAGGGCTTCTCGCTGTATATTCCCCTTGAGGCAGCAAACTCGGGGTCCCTCCCACATACCTATTGCTGAGAGAAGCCTCCTCCTGAGGTGCTTCTGGGAAGTTGGCATACGTCTTGAGCCTAAGCCAGGAAATCAGCTCGCATCTCGAGACGATTTGGGGTACACGGAGCATTCCTCGAGTTGCTGTGCTGAAGTTGGTGTTCCTCTAGACTTGGGACAGTGTTCTTGGGGCATCTCCGGAGTTGCCTGAAGGAAGTCGAGCCACCGGTCGTGTTGAATGGGGAACGGGGAATGGATCTGGAGTCAATGCAGGGGAATCGGGCCTCATCTCGAGTTGATTTGGGGCACATGGAGCTGCTTTGCGTTGCTGGGGTGACCTCAGGGTCCGTCTAGACTGGTGACAGTGTTCTTGGGGACTGTCTCGAGATCCATTAAGCAAGTCGAAGCTCCTGACTTGTTTGAATGGGATCACGGAATAGCTCTGCATGCACTGCAGGGGAATGGGGCCTCATCTCGCCTCTAGGGGGAAGTCTCATGGTTTTTCTCGAGTTGCGGCGGGGACCTGGGGTATGTTCTCGACTTACGGCGGGGATGGCCCTTCAAAACACGAGTTTCTTCAGTGACGTCAGGACTCCTGTCTAGTAACGAGGGACACCTCAGGAATCTCTTCGAGGCTTGGCAGGGCCAAAGGGACGCTTCTCGAGGTGAGGCAGGGCACCCAAGAACCCTTTCCAGTAGCCACAGGGATTTTGGGATTCCTATCAGTATTCAAGAGGAGTCAGGCATCGTCACCTTTTGAAGCAATGAACTCCGCGTGCCTCTCGAGGTGTCAGCGGGATGTGAGCCATTCCGTCAAAATGAGGCAGGGACCTAGGGCTTTCTCTAAGGTCTCCACAGGGGATTCAGACATCCCTTCATGTTGTGAGATGAAAGACGAGCCTGTATTCAAGCCACTGCAAGGAAATCCGGCCTCCTTTCAAGTTAGGGCTTCTCGCTGTATATTCCCCTTGAGGCAGCAAACTCGGGGTCCCTCCCACATACCTATTGCTGAGAGAAGCCTCCTCCTGAGGTGCTTCTGGGAAGTTGGCATACGTCTTGAGCCTAAGCCAGGGAATCAGCTCGCATCTCGAGACGATTTGGGGTACACGGAGCATTCCTCGAGTTGCTGTGCTGAAGTTGGTGTTCCTCTAGACTTGGGACAGTGTTCTCGGGGCATCTCTGGAGTTGCCTGAAGGAAGTCGAGCCACCGGTCGTGTTGAATGGGGAACGGGGAATGGCTCTGGAGTCAATGCAGGGGAATCGGGCCTCATCTCGAGTTGATTTGGGGCACATGGAGCTGCTTTGCGTTGCTGGGGTGACCTCAGGGTCCGTCTAGACTGGTGACAGTGTTCTTGGGGACTGTCTCGAGATCCATTAAGCAAGTCGAAGCTCCTGACTTGTTTGAATGGGATCACGGAATAGCTCTGCATGCACTGCCTGGGAATGGGGCCTCATCTCGCCTCTAGGGGGAAGTCTCATGGTTTTTCTCGAGTTGCGGCGGGGACCTGGGGTATGTTCTCGACTTACGGCGGGGATGGCCCTTCAAAACACGAGTTTCTTCAGTGACGTCAGGACTCCTGTCTAGTAACGAGGGACACCTCAGGAATCTCTTCGAGGCTTGGCAGGGCCAAAGGGACGCTTCTCGAGGTGAGGCAGGGCACCCAAGGACCCTTTCCAGTAGCCACAGGGATTTTGGGATTCCTATCAGTATTCAAGAGGAGTCAGGCATCGTCACCTTTTGAAGCAATGAACTCCGCGTGCCTCTCGAGGTGTCAGCGGGATGTGAGGCATTCCGTCAAAATGAGGCAGGGACCTAGGGCTTTCTCTAAGGTCTCCACAGGGGATTCAGACATCCCTTCATGTTGTGAGATGAAAGACGAGCCTGTATTCAAGCCACTGCAAGGAAATCCGGCCTCCTTTCAAGTTAGGGCTTCTCGCTGTATATTCCCCTTGAGGCAGCAAACTCGGGGTCCCTCCCACATACCTATTGCTGAGAGAAGCCTCCTCCTGAGGTGCTTCTGGGAAGTTGGCATACGTCTTGAGCCTAAGCCAGGAAATCAGCTCGCATCTCGAGACGATTTGGGGTACATGGAGCATTCCTCGAGTTGCTGTGCTGAAGTTGGTGTTCCTCTAGACTTGGGACAGTGTTCTTGGGGCATCTCCGGAGTTGCCTGAAGGAAGTCGAGCCACCGGTCGTGTTGAATGGGGAACGGGGAATGGATCTGGAGTCAATGCAGGGGAATCGGGCCTCATCTCGAGTTGATTTGGGGCACATGGAGCTGCTTTGCGTTGCTGGGGTGACCTCAGGGTCCGTCTAGACTGGTGACAGTGTTCTTGGGGACTGTCTCGAGATCCATTAAGCAAGTCGAAGCTCCTGACTTGTTTGAATGGGATCACGGAATAGCTCTGCATGCACTGCAGGGGAATGGGGCCTCATCTCGCCTCTAGGGGGAAGTCTCATGGTTTTTCTCGAGTTGCGGCGGGGACCTGGGGTATGTTCTCGACTTACGGCGGGGATGGCCCTTCAAAACACGAGTTTCTTCAGTGACGTCAGGACTCCTGTCTAGTAACGAGGGACACCTCAGGAATCTCTTCGAGGCTTGGCAGGGCCAAAGGGACGCTTCTCGAGGTGAGGCAGGGCACCCAAGAACCCTTTCCAGTAGCCACAGGGATTTTGGGATTCCTATCAGTATTCAAGAGGAGTCAGGCATCGTCACCTTTTGAAGCAATGAACTCCGCGTGCCTCTCGAGGTGTCAGCGGGATGTGAGCCATTCCGTCAAAATGAGGCAGGGACCTAGGGCTTTCTCTAAGGTCTCCACAGGGGATTCAGACATCCCTTCATGTTGTGAGATGAAAGACGAGCCTGTATTCAAGCCACTGCAAGGAAATCCGGCCTCCTTTCAAGTTAGGGCTTCTCGCTGTATATTCCCCTTGAGGCAGCAAACTCGGGGTCCCTCCCACATACCTATTGCTGAGAGAAGCCTCCTCCTGAGGTGCTTCTGGGAAGTTGGCATACGTCTTGAGCCTAAGCCAGGGAATCAGCTCGCATCTCGAGACGATTTGGGGTACACGGAGCATTCCTCGAGTTGCTGTGCTGAAGTTGGTGTTCCTCTAGACTTGGGACAGTGTTCTCGGGGCATCTCTGGAGTTGCCTGAAGGAAGTCGAGCCACCGGTCGTGTTGAATGGGGAACGGGGAATGGCTCTGGAGTCAATGCAGGGGAATCGGGCCTCATCTCGAGTTGATTTGGGGCACATGGAGCTGCTTTGCGTTGCTGGGGTGACCTCAGGGTCCGTCTAGACTGGTGACAGTGTTCTTGGGGACTGTCTCGAGATCCATTAAGCAAGTCGAAGCTCCTGACTTGTTTGAATGGGATCACGGAATAGCTCTGCATGCACTGCCTGGGAATGGGGCCTCATCTCGCCTCTAGGGGGAAGTCTCATGGTTTTTCTCGAGTTGCGGCGGGGACCTGGGGTATGTTCTCGACTTACGGCGGGGATGGCCCTTCAAAACACGAGTTTCTTCAGTGACGTCAGGACTCCTGTCTAGTAACGAGGGACACCTCAGGAATCTCTTCGAGGCTTGGCAGGGCCAAAGGGACGCTTCTCGAGGTGAGGCAGGGCACCCAAGGACCCTTTCCAGTAGCCACAGGGATTTTGGGATTCCTATCAGTATTCAAGAGGAGTCAGGCATCGTCACCTTTTGAAGCAATGAACTCCGCGTGCCTCTCGAGGTGTCAGCGGGATGTGAGGCATTCCGTCAAAATGAGGCAGGGACCTAGGGCTTTCTCTAAGGTCTCCACAGGGGATTCAGACATCCCTTCATGTTGTGAGATGAAAGACGAGCCTGTATTCAAGCCACTGCAAGGAAATCCGGCCTCCTTTCAAGTTAGGGCTTCTCGCTGTATATTCCCCTTGAGGCAGCAAACTCGGGGTCCCTCCCACATACCTATTGCTGAGAGAAGCCTCCTCCTGAGGTGCTTCTGGGAAGTTGGCATACGTCTTGAGCCTAAGCCAGGGAATCAGCTCGCATCTCGAGACGATTTGGGGTACACAGAGCATTCCTCGAGTTGCTGTGCTGAAGTTGGTGTTCCTCTAGACTTGGGACAGTGTTCTCGGGGCATCTCTGGAGTTGCCTGAAGGAAGTCGAGCCACCGGTTGTGTTGAATGGGGAACGGGGAATGGCTCTGGAGTCAATGCAGGGGAATCGGGCCTCATCTCGAGTTGATTTGGGGCACATGGAGCTGCTTTGCGTTGCTGGGGTGACCTCAGGGTCCGTCCAAACTGGTGACAGTGTTCTTGGGGACTGTCTCGAGATCCATTAAGCAAGTCGAAGCTCCTGACTTGTTTGAATGGGGTCACGGAATAGCTCTGCATGCACTGCAGGGGAATGGGGCCTCATCTCGCCTCTAGGGGGAAGTCTCATGGTTTTTCTCGAGTTGCGGCGGGGACCTGGGGTATGTTCTCGACTTACGGCGGGGATGGCCCTTCAAAACACGAGTTTCTTCAGTGACGTCAGGACTCCTGTCTAGTAACGAGGGACACCTCAGGAATCTCTTCGAGGCTTGGCAGGGCCAAAGGGACGCTTCTCGAGGTGAGGCAGGGCACCCAAGGACCCTTTCCAGTAGCCACAGGGATTTTGGGATTCCTATCAGTATTCAAGAGGAGTCAGGCATCGTCACCTTTTGAAGCAATGAACTCCGCGTGCCTCTCGAGGTGTCAGCGGGATGTGAGGCATTCCGTCAAAATGAGGCAGGGACCTAGGGCTTTCTCTAAGGTCTCCACAGGGGATTCAGACATCCCTTCATGTTGTGAGATGAAAGACGAGCCTGTATTCAAGCCACTGCAAGGAAATCCGGCCTCCTTTCAAGTTAGGGCTTCTCGCTGTATATTCCCCTTGAGGCAGCAAACTCGGGGTCCCTCCCACATACCTATTGCTGAGAGAAGCCTCCTCCTGAGGTGCTTCTGGGAAGTTGGCATACGTCTTGAGCCTAAGCCAGGGAATCAGCTCGCATCTCGAGACGATTTGGGGTACACGGAGCATTCCTCGAGTTGCTGTGCTGAAGTTGGTGTTCCTCTAGACTTGGGACAGTGTTCTCGGGGCATCTCCGGAGTTGCCTGAAGGAAGTCGAGCCACCGGTCGTGTTGAATGGGGAACGGGGAATGGATCTGGAGTCAATGCAGGGGAATCGGGCCTCATCTCGAGTTGATTTGGGGCACATGGAGCTGCTTTGCGTTGCTGGGGTGACCTCAGGGTCCGTCTAGACTGGTGACAGTGTTCTTGGGGACTGTCTCGAGATCCATTAAGCAAGTCGAAGCTCCTGACTTGTTTGAATGGGATCACGGAATAGCTCTGCATGCACTGCAGGGGAATGGGGCCTCATCTCGCCTCTAGGGGGAAGTCTCATGGTTTTTCTCGAGTTGCGGCGGGGACCTGGGGTATGTTCTCGACTTACGGCGGGGATGGCCCTTCAAAACACGAGTTTCTTCAGTGACGTCAGGACTCCTGTCTAGTAACGAGGGACACCTCAGGAATCTCTTCGAGGCTTGGCAGGGCCAAAGGGACGCTTCTCGAGGTGAGGCAGGGCACCCAAGGACCCTTTCCAGTAGCCACAGGGATTTTGGGATTCCTATCAGTATTCAAGAGGAGTCAGGCATCGTCACCTTTTGAAGCAATGAACTCCGCGTGCCTCTCGAGGTGTCAGCGGGATGTGAGGCATTCCGTCAAAATGAGGCAGGGACCTAGGGCTTTCTCTAAGGTCTCCACAGGGGATTCAGACATCCCTTCATGTTGTGAGATGAAAGACGAGCCTGTATTCAAGCCACTGCAAGGAAATCCGGCCTCCTTTCAAGTTAGGGCTTCTCGCTGTATATTCCCCTTGAGGCAGCAAACTCGGGGTCCCTCCCACATACCTATTGCTGAGAGAAGCCTCCTCCTGAGGTGCTTCTGGGAAGGTGGCATACGTCTTGAGCCTAAGCCAGGGAATCAGCTCGCATCTCGAGACGATTTGGGGTAGACGGAGCATTCCTCGAGTTGCTGTGCTGAAGTTGGTGTTCCTCTAGACTTGGGACAGTGTTCTCGGGGCATCTCTGGAGTTGCCTGAAGGAAGTCGAGCCACCGGTCGTGTTGAATGGGGAACGGGGAATGGCTCTGGAGTCAATGCAGGGGAATCGGGCCTCATCTCGAGTTGATTTGGGGCACATGGAGCTGCTTTGCGTTGCTGGGGTGACCTCAGGGTCCGTCTAGACTGGTGACAGTGTTCTTGGGGACTGTCTCGAGATCCATTAAGCAAGTCGAAGCTCCTGACTTGTTTGAATGGGATCACGGAATAGCTCTGCATGCACTGCAGGGGAATGGGGCCTCATCTCGCCTCTAGGGGGAAGTCTCATGGTTTTTCTCGAGTTGCGGCGGGGACCTGGGGTATGTTCTCGACTTACGGCGGGGATGGCCCTTCAAAACACGAGTTTCTTCAGTGACGTCAGGACTCCTGTCTAGTAACGAGGGACACCTCAGGAATCTCTTCGAGGCTTGGCAGGGCCAAAGGGACGCTTCTCGAGGTGAGGCAGGGCACCCAAGGACCCTTTCCAGTAGCCACAGGGATTTTGGGATTCCTATCAGTATTCAAGAGGAGTCAGGCATCGTCACCTTTTGAAGCAATGAACTCCGCGTGCCTCTCGAGGTGTCAGCGGGATGTGAGGCATTCCGTCAAAATGAGGCAGGGACCTAGGGCTTTCTCTAAGGTCTCCACAGGGGATTCAGACATCCCTTCATGTTGTGAGATGAAAGACGAGCCTGTATTCAAGCCACTGCAAGGAAATCCGGCCTCCTTTCAAGTTAGGGCTTCTCGCTGTATATTCCCCTTGAGGCAGCAAACTCGGGGTCCCTCCCACATACCTATTGCTGAGAGAAGCCTCCTCCTGAGGTGCTTCTGGGAAGTTGGCATACGTCTTGAGCCTAAGCCAGGAAATCAGCTCGCATCTCGAGACGATTTGGGGTACACGGAGCATTCCTCGAGTTGCTGTGCTGAAGTTGGTGTTCCTCTAGACTTGGGACAGTGTTCTTGGGGCATCTCCGGAGTTGCCTGAAGGAAGTCGAGCCACCGGTCGTGTTGAATGGGGAACGGGGAATGGATCTGGTGTCAATGCAGGGGAATCGGGCCTCATCTCGAGTTGATTTGGGGCACATGGAGCTGCTTTGCGTTGCTGGGGTGACCTCAGGGTCCGTCTAGACTGGTGACAGTGTTCTTGGGGACTGTCTCGAGATCCATTAAGCAAGTCGAAGCTCCTGACTTGTTTGAATGGGATCACGGAATAGCTCTGCATGCACTGCAGGGGAATGGGGCCTCATCTCGCCTCTAGGGGGAAGTCTCATGGTTTTTCTCGAGTTGCGGCGGGGACCTGGGGTATGTTCTCGACTTACGGCGGGGATGGCCCTTCAAACACGAGTTTCTTCAGTGACGTCAGGACTCCTGTCTAGTAACGAGGGACACCTCAGGAATCTCTTCGAGGCTTGGCAGGGCCAAAGGGACGCTTCTCGAGGTGAGGCAGGGCACCCAAGGACACTTTCCAGTAGCCAGAGGGATTTTGGGATTCCTATCAGTATTCAAGAGGAGTCAGGCATCGTCACCTTTTGAAGCAATGAACTCCGCGTGCCTCTCGAGGTGTCAGCGGGATGTGAGGCATTCCGTCAAAATGAGGCAGGGATCTAGGGCTTTCTCTAAGGTCTCCACAGGGGATTCAGACATCCCTTCATGTTGTGAGATGAAAGACGAGCCTGTATTCAAGCCACTGCAAGGAAATCCGGCCTCCTTTCAAGTTAGGGCTTCTCGCTGTATATTCCCTTTGAGGCAGCAAACTCGGGGTCCCTCCCACATACCTATTGCTGAGAGAAGCCTCCTCCTGAGGTGCTTCTGGGAAGTTGGCATACGTCTTGAGCCTAAGCCAGGGAATCAGCTCGCATCTCGAGACGATTTGGGGTACACGGAGCATTCCTCGAGTTGCTGTGCTGAAGTTGGTGTTCCTCTAGACTTGGGACAGTGTTCTCGGGGCATCTCTGGAGTTGCCTGAAGGAAGTCGAGCCACCGGTCGTGTTGAATGGGGAACGGGGAATGGCTCTGGAGTCAATGCAGGGGAATCGGGCCTCATCTCGAGTTGATTTGGGGCACATGGAGCTGCTTTGCGTTGCTGGGGTGACCTCAGGGTCCGTCTAGACTGGTGACAGTGTTCTTGGGGACTGTCTCGAGATCCATTAAGCAAGTCGAAGCTCCTGACTTGTTTGAATGGGATCACGGAATAGCTCTGCATGCACTGCAGGGGAATGGGGCCTCATCTCGCCTCTAGGGGGAAGTCTCATGGTTTTTCTCGAGTTGCGGCGGGGACCTGGGGTATGTTCTCGACTTACGGCGGGGATGGCCCTTCAAAACACGAGTTTCTTCAGTGACGTCAGGACTCCTGTCTAGTAACGAGGGACACCTCAGGAATCTCTTCGAGGCTTGGCAGGGCCAAAGGGACGCTTCTCGAGGTGAGGCAGGGCACCCAAGGACCCTTTCCAGTAGCCACAGGGATTTTGGGATTCCTATCAGTATTCAAGAGGAGTCAGGCATCGTCACCTTTTGAAGCAATGAACTCCGCGTGCCTCTCGAGGTGTCAGCGGGATGTGAGGCATTCCGTCAAAATGAGGCAGGGACCTAGGGCTTTCTCTAAGGTCTCCACAGGGGATTCAGACATCCCTTCATGTTGTGAGATGAAAGACGAGCCTGTATTCAAGCCACTGCAAGGAAATCCAGCCTCCTTTCAAGTTAGGGCTTCTCGCTGTATATTCCCCTTGAGGCAGCAAACTCGGGGTCCCTCCCACATACCTATTGCTGAGAGAAGCCTCCTCCTGAGGTGCTTCTGGGAAGTTGGCATACGTCTTGAGCCTAAGCCAGGGAATCAGCTCGCATCTCGAGACGATTTGGGGTACACGGAGCATTCCTCGAGTTGCTGTGCTGAAGTTGGTGTTCCTCTAGACTTGGGACAGTGTTCTTGGGGCATCTCCGGAGTTGCCTGAAGGAAGTCGAGCCACCGGTCGTGTTGAATGGGGAACGGGGAATGGCTCTGGAGTCAATGCAGGGGAATCGGGCCTCATCTCGAGTTGATTTGAGGCACATGGAGCTGCTTTGCGTTGCTGGGGTGACCTCAGGGTCCGTCTAGACTGGTGACAGTGTTCTTGGGGACTGTCTCGAGATCCATTAAGCAAGTCGAAGCTCCTGACTTGTTTGAATGGGATCACGGAATAGCTCTGCATGCACTGCAGGGGAATGGGGCCTCATCTCGCCTCTAGGGGGAAGTCTCATGGTTTTTCTCGAGTTGCAGCGGGGACCTGGGGTATGTTCTCGACTTACGGCGGGGATGGCCCTTCAAAACACGAGTTTCTTCAGTGACGTCAGGACTCCTGTCTAGTAACGAGGGACACCTCAGGAATCTCTTCGAGGCTTGGCAGGGCCAAAGGGACGCTTCTCGAGGTGAGGCAGGGCACCCAAGACCCTTTCCAGTAGCCACAGGGATTTTGGGATTCCTATCAGTATTCAAGAGGAGTCAGGCATCGTCACCTTTTGAAGCAATGAACTCCGCGTGCCTCTCGAGGTGTCAGCGGGATGTGAGGCATTCCGTCAAAATGAGGCAGGGACCTAGGGCTTTCTCTAAGGTCTCCACAGGGGATTCAGACATCCCTTCATGTTGTGAGATGAAAGACGAGCCTGTATTCAAGCCACTGCAAGGAAATCCAGCCTCCTTTCAAGTTAGGGCTTCTCGCTGTATATTCCCCTTGAGGCAGCAAACTCGGGGTCCCTCCCACATACCTATTGCTGAGAGAAGCCTCCTCCTGAGGTGCTTCTGGGAAGTTGGCATACGTCTTGAGCCTAAGCCAGGGAATCAGCTCGCATCTCGAGACGATTTGGGGTACACGGAGCATTCCTCGAGTTGCTGTGCTGAAGTTGGTGTTCCTCTAGACTTGGGACAGTGTTCTTGGGGCATCTCCGGAGTTGCCTGAAGGAAGTCGAGCCACCGGTCGTGTTGAATGGGGAACGGGGAATGGCTCTGGAGTCAATGCAGGGGAATCGGGCCTCATCTCGAGTTGATTTGGGGCACATGGAGCTGCTTTGCGTTGCTGGGGTGACCTCAGGGTCCGTCTAGACTGGTGACAGTGTTCTTGGGGACTGTCTCGAGATCCATTAAGCAAGTCGAAGCTCCTGACTTGTTTGAATGGGATCACGGAATAGCTCTGCATGCACTGCAGGGGAATGGGGCCTCATCTCGCCTCTAGGGGGAAGTCTCATGGTTTTTCTCGAGTTGCAGCGGGGACCTGGGGTATGTTCTCGACTTACGGCGGGGATGGCCCTTCAAAACACGAGTTTCTTCAGTGACGTCAGGACTCCTGTCTAGTAACGAGGGACACCTCAGGAATCTCTTCGAGGCTTGGCAGGGCCAAAGGGACGCTTCTCGAGGTGAGGCAGGGCACCCAAGAACCCTTTCCAGTAGCCACAGGGATTTTGGGATTCCTATCAGTATTCAAGAGGAGTCAGGCATCGTCACCTTTTGAAGCAATGAACTCCGCGTGCCTCTCGAGCTGTCAGCGGGATGTGAGGCATTCCGTCAAAATGAGGCAGCGACCTAGGGCTTTCTCTAAGGTCTCCACAGGGGATTCAAACATCCCTTCATGTTGTGAGATGAAAGACGAGCCTGTATTCAAGCCACTGCAAGGAAATCCGGCCTCCTTTCAAGTTAGGGCTTCTCGCTGTATATTCCCCTTGAGGCAGCAAACTCGGGGTCCCTCCCACATACCTATTGCTGAGAGAAGCCTCCTCCTGAGGTGCTTCTGGGAAGTTGGCATACGTCTTGAGCCTAAGCCAGGGAATCAGCTCGCATCTCGAGACGATTTGGGGTAGACGGAGCATTCCTCGAGTTGCTGTGCTGAAGTTGGTGTTCCTCTAGACTTGGGACAGTGTTCTCGGGGCATCTCTGGAGTTGCCTGAAGGAAGTCGAGCCACCGGTCGTGTTGAATGGGGAACGGGGAATGGCTCTGGAGTCAATGCAGGGGAATCGGGCCTCATCTCGAGTTGATTTGGGGCACATGGAGCTGCTTTGCGTTGCTGGGGTGACCTCAGGGTCCGTCTAGACTGGTGACAGTGTTCTTGGGGACTGTCTCGAGATCCATTAAGCAAGTCGAAGCTCCTGACTTGTTTGAATGGGATCACGGAATAGCTCTGCATGCACTGCAGGGGAATGGGGCCTCATCTCGCCTCTAGGGGGAAGTCTCATGGTTTTTCTCGAGTTGCAGCGGGGACCTGGGGTATGTTCTCGACTTACGGCGGGGATGGCCCTTCAAAACACGAGTTTCTTCATTGACGTCAGGACTCCTGTCTAGTAACGAGGGACACCTCAGGAATCTCTTCGAGGCTTGGCAGGGCCAAAGGGACGCTTCTCGAGGTGAGGCAGGGCACCCAAGAACCCTTTCCAGTAGCCACAGGGATTTTGGGATTCCTATCAGTATTCAAGAGGAGTCAGGCATCGTCACCTTTTGAAGCAATGAACTCCGCGTGCCTCTCGAGGTGTCAGCGGGATGTGAGGCATTCCGTCAAAATGAGGCAGGGACCTAGGGCTTTCTCTAAGGTCTCCACAGGGGATTCAGACATCCCTTCATGTTGTGAGATGAAAGACGAGCCTGTATTCAAGCCACTGCAAGGAAATCCGGCCTCCTTTCAAGTTAGGGCTTCTCGCTGTATATTCCCCTTGAGGCAGCAAACTCGGGGTCCCTCCCACATACCTATTGCTGAGAGAAGCCTCCTCCTGAGGTGCTTCTGGGAAGTTGGCATACGTCTTGAGCCTAAGCCAGGGAATCAGCTCGCATCTCGAGATGATTTGGGGTACACGGAGCATTCCTCGAGTTGCTGTGCTGAAGTTGGTGTTCCTCTAGACTTGGGACAGTGTTCTCGGGGCATCTCTGGAGTTGCCTGAAGGAAGTCGAGCCACCGGTCGTGTTGAATGGGGAACGGGGAATGGCTCTGGAGTCAATGCAGGGGAATCGGGCCTCATCTCGAGTTGATTTGGGGCACATGGAACTGCTTTGCGTTGCTGGGGTGACCTCAGGGTCCGTCTAGACTGGTGACAGTGTTCTTGGGGACTGTCTCGAGATCCATTAAGCAAGTCGAAGCTCCTGACTTGTTTGAATGGGATCACGGAATAGCTCTGCATGCACTGCAGGGGAATGGGGCCTCATCTCGCCTCTAGGGGGAAGTCTCATGGTTTTTCTCGAGTTGCGGCGGGGACCTGGGGTATGTTCTCGACTTACTGCGGGGATGGCCCTTCAAAACACGAGTTTCTTCAGTGACGTCAGGACTCCTGTCTAGTAACGAGGGACACCTCAGGAATCTCTTCGAGGCTTGGCAGGGCCAAAGGGACGCTTCTCGAGGTGAGGCAGGGCACCCAAGGACCCTTTCCAGTAGCCACAGGGATTTTGGGATTCCTATCAGTATTCAAGAGGAGTCAGGCATCGTCACCTTTTGAAGCAATGAACTCCGCGTGCCTCTCGAGGTGTCAGCGGGATGTGAGGCATTCCGTCAAAATGAGGCAGGGACCTAGGGCTTTCTCTAAGGTCTCCACAGGGGATTCAGACATCCCTTCATGTTGTGAGATGAAAGACGAGCCTGTATTCAAGCCACTGCAAGGAAATCCGGCCTCCTTTCAAGTTAGGGCTTCTCGCTGTATATTCCCCTTGAGGCAGCAAACTCGGGGTCCCTCCCACATACCTATTGCTGAGAGAAGCCTCCTCCTGAGGTGCTTCTGGGAAGTTGGCATACGTCTTGAGCCTAAGCCAGGGAATCAGCTCGCATCTCGAGACGATTTGGGGTACACGGAGCATTCCTCGAGTTGCTGTGCTGAAGTTGGTGTTCCTCTAGACTTGGGACAGTGTTCTCGGGGCATCTCTGGAGTTGCCTGAAGGAAGTCGAGCCACCGGTCGTGTTGAATGGGGAACGGGGAATGGCTCTGGAGTCAATGCAGGGGAATCGGGCCTCATCTCGAGTTGATTTGGGGCACATGGAGCTGCTTTGCGTTGCTGGGGTGACCTCAGGGTCCGTCTAGACTGGTGACAGTGTTCTTGGGGACTGTCTCGAGATCCATTAAGCAAGTCGAAGCTCCTGACTTGTTTGAATGGGATCACGGAATAGCTCTGCATGCACTGCAGGGGAATGGGGCCTCATCTCGCCTCTAGGGGGAAGTCTCATGGTTTTTCTCGAGTTGCGGCGGGGACCTGGGGTATGTTCTCGACTTACGGCGGGGATGGCCCTTCAAAACACGAGTTTCTTCAGTGACGTCAGGACTCCTGTCTAGTAACGAGGGACACCTCAGGAATCTCTTCGAGGCTTGGCAGGGCCAAAGGGACGCTTCTCGAGGTGAGGCAGGGCACCCAAGGACCCTTTCCAGTAGCCACAGGGATTTTGGGATTCCTATCAGTATTCAAGAGGAGTCAGGCATCGTCACCTTTTGAAGGAATGAACTCCGCGTGCCTCTCGAGGTGTCAGCAGGATGTGAGGCATCCCGTCAAAATGAGGCAGGGACCTAGGGCTTTCTCTAAGGTCTCCACAGGGGATTCAGACATCCCTTCATGTTGTGAGATGAAAGACGAGCCTGTATTCAAGCCACTGCAAGGAAATCCGGCCTCCTTTCAAGTTAGGGCTTCTCGCTGTATATTCCCCTTGAGGCAGCAAACTCGGGGTCCCTCCCACATACCTATTGCTGAGAGAAGCCTCCTCCTGAGGTGCTTCTGGGAAGTTGGCATACGTCTTGAGCCTAAGCCAGGGAATCAGCTCGCATCTCGAGATGATTTGGGGTACACGGAGCATTCCTTGAGTTGCTGTGCTGAAGTTGGTGTTCCTCTAGTCTTGGGACAGTGTTCTCGGGGCATCTCTGGAGTTGCCTGAAGGAAGTCGAGCCACCGGTCGTGTTGAATGGGGAACGGGGAATGGCTCTGGAGTCAATGCAGGGGAATCGGGCCTCATCTCGAGTTGATTTCGGGCACATGGAGCTGCTTTGCGTTGCTGGGGTGACCTCAGGGTCCGTCTAGACTGGTGACAGTGTTCTTGGGGACTGTCTCGAGATCCATTAAGCAAGTCGAAGCTCCTGACTTGTTTGAATGGGATCACGGAATAGCTCTGCATGCACTGCAGGGGAATGGGGCCTCATCTCGCCTCTAGGGGGAAGTCTCATGGTTTTTCTCGAGTTGCGGCGGGGACCTGGGGTATGTTCTCGACTTACGGCGGGGATGGCCCTTCAAAACACGAGTTCTTCAGTGACGTCAGGACTCCTGTCTAGTAACGAGGGACACCTCAGGAATCTCTTCGAGGCTTGGCAGGGCCAAAGGGACGCTTCTCGAGGTGAGGCAGGGCACCCAAGGACCCTTTCCAGTAGCCACAGGGATTTTGGGATTCCTATCAGTATTCAAGAGGAGTCAGGCATCGTCACCTTTTGAAGGAATGAACTCCGCGTGCCTCTCGAGGTGTCAGCGGGATGTGAGGCATTCCGTCAAAATGAGGCAGGGACCTAGGGCTTTCTCTAAGGTCTCCACAGGGGATTCAGACATCCCTTCATGTTGTGAGATGAAAGACGAGCCTGTATTCAAGCCACTGCAAGGAAATCCGGCCTCCTTTCAAGTTAGGGCTTCTCGCTGTATATTCCCCTTGAGGCAGCAAACTCGGGGTCCCTCCCACATACCTATTGCTGAGAGAAGCCTCCTCCTGAGGTGCTTCTGGGAAGTTGGCATACGTCTTGAGCCTAAGCCAGGGAATTAGCTCGCATCTCGAGACGATTTGGGGTACACGGAGCATTCCTCGAGTTGCTGTGCTGAAGTTGGTGTTCCTCTAGACTTGGGACAGTGTTCTTGGGGCATCTCCGGAGTTGCCTGAAGGAAGTCGAGCCACCGGTCGTGTTGAATGGGGAACGGGGAATGGATCTGGTGTCAATGCAGGGGAATCGGGCCTCATCTCGAGTTGATTTGGGGCACATGGAGCTGCTTTGCGTTGCTGGGGTGACCTCAGGGTCCGTCTAGACTGGTGCAGTGTTCTTGGGGACTGTCTCGAGATCCATTAAGCAAGTCGAAGCTCCTGACTTGTTTGAATGGGATCACGGAATAGCTCTGCATGCACTGCAGGGGAATGGGGCCTCATCTCGCCTCTAGGGGGAAGTCTCATGGTTTTTCTCGAGTTGCGGCGGGGACCTGGGGTATGTTCTCGACTTACGGCGGGGATGGCCCTTCAAACACGAGTTTCTTCAGTGACGTCAGGACTCCTGTCTAGTAACGAGGGACACCTCAGGAATCTCTTCGAGGCTTGGCAGGGCCAAAGGGACGCTTCTCGAGGTGAGGCAGGGCACCCAAGGACCCATTCCAGTAGCCACAGGGATTTTGGGATTCCTATCAGTATTCAAGAGGAGTCAGGCATCGTCACCTTTTGAAGCAATGAACTCCGCGTGCCTCTCGAGGTGTCAGCGGGATGTGAGGCATTCCGTCAAAATGAGGCAGGGATCTAGGGCTTTCTCTAAGGTCTCCACAGGGGATTCAGACATCCCTTCATGTTGTGAGATGAAAGACGAGCCTGTATTCAAGCCACTGCAAGGAAATCCGGCCTCCTTTCAAGTTAGGGCTTCTCGCTGTATATTCCCTTTGAGGCAGCAAACTCGGGGTCCCTCCCACATACCTATTGCTGAGAGAAGCCTCCTCCTGAGGTGCTTCTGGGAAGTTGGCATACGTCTTGAGCCTAAGCCAGGGAATCAGCTCGCATCTCGAGACGATTTGGGGTACACGGAGCATTCCTCGAGTTGCTGTGCTGAAGTTGGTGTTCCTCTAGACTTGGGACAGTGTTCTCGGGGCATCTCTGGAGTTGCCTGAAGGAAGTCGAGCCACCGGTCGTGTTGAATGGGGAACGGGGAATGGCTCTGGAGTCAATGCAGGGGAATCGGGCCTCATCTCGAGTTGATTTGGGGCACATGGAGCTGCTTTGCGTTGCTGGGGTGACCTCAGGGTCCGTCTAGACTGGTGACAGTGTTCTTGGGGACTGTCTCGAGATCCATTAAGCAAGTCGAAGCTCCTGACTTGTTTGAATGGGATCACGGAATAGCTCTGCATGCACTGCAGGGGAATGGGGCCTCATCTCGCCTCTAGGGGGAAGTCTCATGGTTTTTCTCGAGTTGCGGCGGGGACCTGGGGTATGTTCTCGACTTACGGCGGGGATGGCCCTTCAAAACACGAGTTTCTTCAGTGACGTCAGGACTCCTGTCTAGTAACGAGGGACACCTCAGGAATCTCTTCGAGGCTTGGCAGGGCCAAAGGGACGCTTCTCGAGGTGAGGCAGGGCACCCAAGGACCCTTTCCAGTAGCCACAGGGATTTTGGGATTCCTATCAGTATTCAAGAGGAGTCAGGCATCGTCACCTTTTGAAGCAATGAACTCCGCGTGCCTCTCGAGGTGTCAGCGGGATGTGAGGCATTCCGTCAAAATGAGGCAGGGACCTAGGGCTTTCTCTAAGGTCTCCACAGGGGATTCAGACATCCCTTCATGTTGTGAGATGAAAGACGAGCCTGTATTCAAGCCACTGCAAGGAAATCCAGCCTCCTTTCAAGTTAGGGCTTCTCGCTGTATATTCCCCTTGAGGCAGCAAACTCGGGGTCCCTCCCACATACCTATTGCTGAGAGAAGCCTCCTCCTGAGGTGCTTCTGGGAAGTTGGCATACGTCTTGAGCCTAAGCCAGGGAATCAGCTCGCATCTCGAGACGATTTGGGGTACACGGAGCATTCCTCGAGTTGCTGTGCTGAAGTTGGTGTTCCTCTAGACTTGGGACAGTGTTCTTGGGGCATCTCCGGAGTTGCCTGAAGGAAGTCGAGCCACCGGTCGTGTTGAATGGGGAACGGGGAATGGCTCTGGAGTCAATGCAGGGGAATCGGGCCTCATCTCGAGTTGATTTGGGGCACATGGAGCTGCTTTGCGTTGCTGGGGTGACCTCAGGGTCCGTCTAGACTGGTGACAGTGTTCTTGGGGACTGTCTCGAGATCCATTAAGCAAGTCGAAGCTCCTGACTTGTTTGAATGGGATCACGGAATAGCTCTGCATGCACTGCAGGGGAATGGGGCCTCATCTCGCCTCTAGGGGGAAGTCTCATGGTTTTTCTCGAGTTGCAGCGGGGACCTGGGGTATGTTCTCGACTTACGGCGGGGATGGCCCTTCAAAACACGAGTTTCTTCAGTGACGTCAGGACTCCTGTCTAGTAACGAGGGACACCTCAGGAATCTCTTCGAGGCTTGGCAGGGCCAAAGGGACGCTTCTCGAGGTGAGGCAGGGCACCCAAGAACCCTTTCCAGTAGCCACAGGGATTTTGGGATTCCTATCAGTATTCAAGAGGAGTCAGGCATCGTCACCTTTTGAAGCAATGAACTCCGCGTGCCTCTCGAGCTGTCAGCGGGATGTGAGGCATTCCGTCAAAATGAGGCAGGGACCTAGGGCTTTCTCTAAGGTCTCCACAGGGGATTCAAACATCCCTTCATGTTGTGAGATGAAAGACGAGCCTGTATTCAAGCCACTGCAAGGAAATCCGGCCTCCTTTCAAGTTAGGGCTTCTCGCTGTATATTCCCCTTGAGGCAGCAAACTCGGGGTCCCTCCCACATACCTATTGCTGAGAGAAGCCTCCTCCTGAGGTGCTTCTGGGAAGTTGGCATACGTCTTGAGCCTAAGCCAGGGAATCAGCTCGCATCTCGAGACGATTTGGGGTACACGGAGCATTCCTCGAGTTGCTGTGCTGAAGTTGGTGTTCCTCTAGACTTGGGACAGTGTTCTCGGGGCATCTCTGGAGTTGCCTGAAGGAAGTCGAGCCACCGGTCGTGTTGAATGGGGAACGGGGAATGGCTCTGGAGTCAATGCAGGGGAATCGGGCCTCATCTCGAGTTGATTTGGGGCACATGGAGCTGCTTTGCGTTGCTGGGGTGACCTCAGGGTCCGTCTAGACTGGTGACAGTGTTCTTGGGGACTGTCTCGAGATCCATTAAGCAAGTCGAAGCTCCTGACTTGTTTGAATGGGATCACGGAATAGCTCTGCATGCACTGCAGGGGAATGGGGCCTCATCTCGCCTCTAGGGGGAAGTCTCATGGTTTTTCTCGAGTTGCAGCGGGGACCTGGGGTATGTTCTCGACTTACGGCGGGGATGGCCCTTCAAAACACGAGTTTCTTCAGTGACGTCAGGACTCCTGTCTAGTAACGAGGGACACCTCAGGAATCTCTTCGAGGCTTGGCAGGGCCAAAGGGACGCTTCTCGAGGTGAGGCAGGGCACCCAAGAACCCTTTCCAGTAGCCACAGGGATTTTGGGATTCCTATCAGTATTCAAGAGGAGTCAGGCATCGTCACCTTTTGAAGCAATGAACTCCGCGTGCCTCTCGAGGTGTCAGCGGGATGTGAGGCATTCCGTCAAAATGAGGCAGGGACCTAGGGCTTTCTCTAAGGTCTCCACAGGGGATTCAGACATCCCTTCATGTTGTGAGATGAAAGACGAGCCTGTATTCAAGCCACTGCAAGGAAATCCGGCCTCCTTTCAAGTTAGGGCTTCTCGCTGTATATTCCCCTTGAGGCAGCAAACTCGGGGTCCCTCCCACATACCTATTGCTGAGAGAAGCCTCCTCCTGAGGTGCTTCTGGGAAGTTGGCATACGTCTTGAGCCTAAGCCAGGGAATCAGCTCGCATCTCGAGATGATTTGGGGTACACGGAGCATTCCTCGAGTTGCTGTGCTGAAGTTGGTGTTCCTCTAGACTTGGGACAGTGTTCTCGGGGCATCTCTGGAGTTGCCTGAAGGAAGTCGAGCCACCGGTCGTGTTGAATGGGGAACGGGGAATGGCTCTGGAGTCAATGCAGGGGAATCGGGCCTCATCTCGAGTTGATTTGGGGCACATGGAGCTGCTTTGCGTTGCTGGGGTGACCTCAGGGTCCGTCTAGACTGGTGACAGTGTTCTTGGGGACTGTCTCGAGATCCATTAAGCAAGTCGAAGCTCCTGACTTGTTTGAATGGGATCACGGAATAGCTCTGCATGCACTGCAGGGGAATGGGGCCTCATCTCGCCTCTAGGGGGAAGTCTCATGGTTTTTCTCGAGTTGCGGCGGGGACCTGGGGTATGTTCTCGACTTACGGCGGGGATGGCCCTTCAAAACACGAGTTTCTTCAGTGACGTCAGGACTCCTGTCTAGTAACGAGGGACACCTCAGGAATCTCTTCGAGGCTTGGCAGGGCCAAAGGGACGCTTCTCGAGGTGAGGCAGGGCACCCAAGGACCCTTTCCAGTAGCCACAGGGATTTTGGGATTCCTATCAGTATTCAAGAGGAGTCAGGCATCGTCACCTTTTGAAGCAATGAACTCCGCGTGCCTCTCGAGGTGTCAGCGGGATGTGAGGCATTCCGTCAAAATGAGGCAGGGACCTAGGGCTTTCTCTAAGGTCTCCACAGGGGATTCAGACATCCCTTCATGTTGTGAGATGAAAGACGAGCCTGTATTCAAGCCACTGCAAGGAAATCCGGCCTCCTTTCAAGTTAGGGCTTCTCGCTGTATATTCCCCTTGAGGCAGCAAACTCGGGGTCCCTCCCACATACCTATTGCTGAGAGAAGCCTCCTCCTGAGGTGCTTCTGGGAAGTTGGCATACGTCTTGAGCCTAAGCCAGGGAATCAGCTCGCATCTCGAGACGATTTGGGGTACACGGAGCATTCCTCGAGTTGCTGTGCTGAAGTTGGTGTTCCTCTAGACTTGGGACAGTGTTCTCGGGGCATCTCTGGAGTTGCCTGAAGGAAGTCGAGCCACCGGTCGTGTTGAATGGGGAACGGGGAATGGCTCTGGAGTCAATGCAGGGGAATCGGGCCTCATCTCGAGTTGATTTGGGGCACATGGAGCTGCTTTGCGTTGCTGGGGTGACCTCAGGGTCCGTCTAGACTGGTGACAGTGTTCTTGGGGACTGTCTCGAGATCCATTAAGCAAGTCGAAGCTCCTGACTTGTTTGAATGGGATCACGGAATAGCTCTGCATGCACTGCAGGGGAATGGGGCCTCATCTCGCCTCTAGGGGGAAGTCTCATGGTTTTTCTCGAGTTGCGGCGGGGACCTGGGGTATGTTCTCGACTTACGGCGGGGATGGCCCTTCAAAACAAGAGTTTCTTCAGTGACGTCAGGACTCCTGTCTAGTAACGAGGGACACCTCAGGAATCTCTTCGAGGCTTGGCAGGGCCAAAGGGACGCTTCTCGAGGTGAGGCAGGGCACCCAAGGACCCTTTCCAGTAGCCACAGGGATTTTGGGATTCCTATCAGTATTCAAGAGGAGTCAGGCATCGTCACCTTTTGAAGCAATGAACTCCGCGTGCCTCTCGAGGTGTCAGCGGGATGTGAGGCATTCCGTCAAAATGAGGCAGGGACCTAGGGCTTTCTCTAAGGTCTCCACAGGGGATTCAGACATCCCTTCATGTTGTGAGATGAAAGACGAGCCTGTATTCAAGCCACTGCAAGGAAATCCGGCCTCCTTTCAAGTTAGGGCTTCTCGCTGTATATTCCCCTTGAGGCAGCAAACTCGGGGTCCCTCCCACATACCTATTGCTGAGAGAAGCCTCCTCCTGAGGTGCTTCTGGGAAGTTGGCATACGTCTTGAGCCTAAGCCAGGGAATCAGCTCGCATCTCGAGACGATTTGGGGTACACGGAGCATTCCTCGAGTTGCTGTGCTGAAGTTGGTGTTCCTCTAGACTTGGGACAGTGTTCTCGGGGCATCTCTGGAGTTGCCTGAAGGAAGTCGAGCCACCGGTCGTGTTGAATGGGGAACGGGGAATGGCTCTGGAGTCAATGCAGGGGAATCGGGCCTCATCTCGAGTTGATTTGGGGCACATGGAGCTGCTTTGCGTTGCTGGGGTGACCTCAGGGTCCGTCTAGACTGGTGACAGTGTTCTTGGGGACTGTCTCGAGATCCATTAAGCAAGTCGAAGCTCCTGACTTGTTTGAATGGGATCACGGAATAGCTCTGCATGCACTGCAGGGGAATGGGGCCTCATCTCGCCTCTAGGGGGAAGTCTCATGGTTTTTCTCGAGTTGCGGCGGGGACCTGGGGTATGTTCTCGACTTACGGCGGGGATGGCCCTTCAAAACACGAGTTTCTTCAGTGACGTCAGGACTCCTGTCTAGTAACGAGGGACACCTCAGGAATCTCTTCGAGGCTTGGCAGGGCCAAAGGGACGCTTCTCGAGGTGAGGCAGGGCACCCAAGGACCCTTTCCAGTAGCCACAGGGATTTTGGGATTCCTATCAGTATTCAAGAGGAGTCAGGCATCGTCACCTTTTGAAGGAATGAACTCCGCGTGCCTCTCGAGGTGTCAGCAGGATGTGAGGCATCCCGTCAAAATGAGGCAGGGACCTAGGGCTTTCTCTAAGGTCTCCACAGGGGATTCAGACATCCCTTCATGTTGTGAGATGAAAGACGAGCCTGTATTCAAGCCACTGCAAGGAAATCCGGCCTCCTTTCAAGTTAGGGCTTCTCGCTGTATATTCCCCTTGAGGCAGCAAACTCGGGGTCCCTCCCACATACCTATTGCTGAGAGAAGCCTCCTCCTGAGGTGCTTCTGGGAAGTTGGCATACGTCTTGAGCCTAAGCCAGGGAATCAGCTCGCATCTCGAGATGATTTGGGGTACACGGAGCATTCCTCGAGTTGCTGTGCTGAAGTTGGTGTTCCTCTAGTCTTGGGACAGTGTTCTCGGGGCATCTCTGGAGTTGCCTGAAGGAAGTCGAGCCACCGGTCGTGTTGAATGGGGAACGGGGAATGGCTCTGGAGTCAATGCAGGGGAATCGGGCCTCATCTCGAGTTGATTTCGGGCACATGGAGCTGCTTTGCGTTGCTGGGGTGACCTCAGGGTCCGTCTAGACTGGTGACAGTGTTCTTGGGGACTCTCTCAAGATCCATTAAGCAAGTCGAAGCTCCTGACTTGTTTGAATGGGATCACGGAATAGCTCTGCATGCACTGCAGGGGAATGGGGCCTCATCTCGCCTCTAGGGGGAAGTCTCATGGTTTTTCTCGAGTTGCGGCGGGGACCTGGGGTATGTTCTCGACTTACGGCGGGGATGGCCCTTCAAAACACGAGTTTCTTCAGTGACGTCAGGACTCCTGTCTAGTAACGAGGGACACCTCAGGAATCTCTTCGAGGCTTGGCAGGGCCAAAGGGACGCTTCTCGAGGTGAGGCAGGGCACCCAAGGACCCTTTCCAGTAGCCACAGGGATTTTGGGATTCCTATCAGTATTCAAGAGGAGTCAGGCATCGTCACCTTTTGAAGCAATGAACTCCGCGTGCCTCTCGAGGTGTCAGCGGGATGTGAGGCATTCCGTCAAAATGAGGCAGGGACCTAGGGCTTTCTCTAAGGTCTCCACAGGGGATTCAGACATCCCTTCATGTTGTGAGATGAAAGACGAGCCTGTATTCAAGCCACTGCAAGGAAATCCGGCCTCCTTTCAAGTTAGGGCTTCTCGCTGTATATTCCCCTTGAGGCAGCAAACTCGGGGTCCCTCCCACATACCTATTGCTGAGAGAAGCCTCCTCCTGAGGTGCTTCTGGGAAGTTGGCATACGTCTTGAGCCTAAGCCAGGGAATCAGCTCGCATCTCGAGACGATTTGGGGTACACGGAGCATTCCTCGAGTTGCTGTGCTGAAGTTGGTGTTCCTCTAGACTTGGGACAGTGTTCTCGGGGCATCTCTGGAGTTGCCTGAAGGAAGTCGAGCCACCGGTCGTGTTGAATGGGGAACGGGGAATGGCTCTGGAGTCAATGCAGGGGAATCGGGCCTCATCTCGAGTTGATTTGGGGCACATGGAGCTGCTTTGCGTTGCTGGGGTGACCTCAGGGTCCGTCTAGACTGGTGACAGTGTTCTTGGGGACTGTCTCGAGATCCATTAAGCAAGTGGAAGCTCCTGACTTGTTTGAATGGGATCACGGAATAGCTCTGCATGCACTGCAGGGGAATGGGGCCTCATCTCGCCTCTAGGGGGAAGTCTCATGGTTTTTCTCGAGTTGCGGCGGGGACCTGGGGTATGTTCTCGACTTACGGCGGGGATGGCCCTTCAAAACACGAGTTTCTTCAGTGACGTCAGGACTCCTGTCTAGTAACGAGGGACACCTCAGGAATCTCTTCGAGGATTGGCAGGGCCAAAGGGACGCTTCTCGAGGTGAGGCAGGGCACCCAAGGACCCTTTCCAGTAGCCACAGGGATTTTGGGATTCCTATCAGTATTCAAGAGGAGTCAGGCATCGTCACCTTTTGAAGGAATGAACTCCGCGTGCCTCTCGAGGTGTCAGCAGGATGTGAGGCATCCCGTCAAAATGAGGCAGGGACCTAGGGCTTTCTCTAAGGTCTCCACAGGGGATTCAGACATCCCTTCATGTTGTGAGATGAAAGACGAGCCTGTATTCAAGCCACTGCAAGGAAATCCGGCCTCCTTTCAAGTTAGGGCTTCTCGCTGTATATTCCCCTTGAGGCAGCAAACTCGGGGTCCCTCCCACATACCTATTGCTGAGAGAAGCCTCCTCCTGAGGTGCTTCTGGGAAGTTGGCATACGTCTTGAGCCTAAGCCAGGGAATCAGCTCGCATCTCGAGATGATTTGGGGTACACGGAGCATTCCTCGAGTTGCTGTGCTGAAGTTGGTGTTCCTCTAGTCTTGGGACAGTGTTCTCGGGGCATCTCTGGAGTTGCCTGAAGGAAGTCGAGCCACCGGTCGTGTTGAATGGGGAACGGGGAATGGCTCTGGAGTCAATGCAGGGGAATCGGGCCTCATCTCGAGTTGATTTCGGGCACATGGAGCTGCTTTGCGTTGCTGGGGTGACCTCAGGGTCCGTCTAGACTGGTGACAGTGTTCTTGGGGACTCTCTCAAGATCCATTAAGCAAGTCGAAGCTCCTGACTTGTTTGAATGGGATCACGGAATAGCTCTGCATGCACTGCAGGGGAATGGGGCCTCATCTCGCCTCTAGGGGGAAGTCTCATGGTTTTTCTCGAGTTGCGGCGGGGACCTGGGGTATGTTCTCGACTTACGGCGGGGATGGCCCTTCAAAACACGAGTTTCTTCAGTGACGTCAGGACTCCTGTCTAGTAACGAGGGACACCTCAGGAATCTCTTCGAGGCTTGGCAGGGCCAAAGGGACGCTTCTCGAGGTGAGGCAGGGCACCCAAGGACCCTTTCCAGTAGCCACAGGGATTTTGGGATTCCTATCAGTATTCAAGAGGAGTCAGGCATCGTCACCTTTTGAAGCAATGAACTCCGCGTGCCTCTCGAGGTGTCAGCGGGATGTGAGGCATTCCGTCAAAATGAGGCAGGGACCTAGGGCTTTCTCTAAGGTCTCCACAGGGGATTCAGACATCCCTTCATGTTGTGAGATGAAAGACGAGCCTGTATTCAAGCCACTGCAAGGAAATCCGGCCTCCTTTCAAGTTAGGGCTTCTCGCTGTATATTCCCCTTGAGGCAGCAAACTCGGGGTCCCTCCCACATACCTATTGCTGAGAGAAGCCTCCTCCTGAGGTGCTTCTGGGAAGTTGGCATACGTCTTGAGCCTAAGCCAGGGAATCAGCTCGCATCTCGAGACGATTTGGGGTACACGGAGCATTCCTCGAGTTGCTGTGCTGAAGTTGGTGTTCCTCTAGACTTGGGACAGTGTTCTCGGGGCATCTCTGGAGTTGCCTGAAGGAAGTCGAGCCACCGGTCGTGTTGAATGGGGAACGGGGAATGGCTCTGGAGTCAATGCAGGGGAATCGGGCCTCATCTCGAGTTGATTTGGGGCACATGGAGCTGCTTTGCGTTGCTGGGGTGACCTCAGGGTCCGTCTAGACTGGTGACAGTGTTCTTGGGGACTGTCTCGAGATCCATTAAGCAAGTGGAAGCTCCTGACTTGTTTGAATGGGATCACGGAATAGCTCTGCATGCACTGCAGGGGAATGGGGCCTCATCTCGCCTCTAGTTGGAAGTCTCATGGTTTTTCTCGAGTTGCGGCGGGGACCTGGGGTATGTTCTCGACTTACGGCGGGGATGGCCCTTCAAAACACGAGTTTCTTCAGTGACGTCAGGACTCCTGTCTAGTAACGAGGGACACCTCAGGAATCTCTTCGAGGATTGGCAGGGCCAAAGGGACGCTTCTCGAGGTGAGGCAGGGCACCCAAGGACCCTTTCCAGTAGCCACAGGGATTTTGGGATTCCTATCAGTATTCAAGAGGAGTCAGGCATCGTCACCTTTTGAAGGAATGAACTCCGCGTGCCTCTCGAGGTGTCAGCAGGATGTGAGGCATCCCGTCAAAATGAGGCAGGGACCTAGGGCTTTCTCTAAGGTCTCCACAGGGGATTCAGACATCCCTTCATGTTGTGAGATGAAAGACGAGCCTGTATTCAAGCCACTGCAAGGAAATCCGGCCTCCTTTCAAGTTAGGGCTTCTCGCTGTATATTCCCCTTGAGGCAGCAAACTCGGGGTCCCTCCCACATACCTATTGCTGAGAGAAGCCTCCTCCTGAGGTGCTTCTGGGAAGTTGGCATACGTCTTGAGCCTAAGCCAGGGAATCAGCTCGCATCTCGAGATGATTTGGGGTACACGGAGCATTCCTCGAGTTGCTGTGCTGAAGTTGGTGTTCCTCTAGTCTTGGGACAGTGTTCTCGGGGCATCTCTGGAGTTGCCTGAAGGAAGTCGAGCCACCGGTCGTGTTGAATGGGGAACGGGGAATGGCTCTGGAGTCAATGCAGGGGAATCGGGCCTCATCTCGAGTTGATTTCGGGCACATGGAGCTGCTTTGCGTTGCTGGGGTGACCTCAGGGTCCGTCTAGACTGGTGACAGTGTTCTTGGGGACTCTCTCAAGATCCATTAAGCAAGTCGAAGCTCCTGACTTGTTTGAATGGGATCACGGAATAGCTCTGCATGCACTGCAGGGGAATGGGGCCTCATCTCGCCTCTAGGGGGAAGTCTCATGGTTTTTCTCGAGTTGCGGCGGGGACCTGGGGTATGTTCTCGACTTACGGCGGGGATGGCCCTTCAAAACACGAGTTTCTTCAGTGACGTCAGGACTCCTGTCTAGTAACGAGGGACACCTCAGGAATCTCTTCGAGGCTTGGCAGGGCCAAAGGGACGCTTCTCGAGGTGAGGCAGGGCACCCAAGGACCCTTTCCAGTAGCCACAGGGATTTTGGGATTCCTATCAGTATTCAAGAGGAGTCAGGCATCGTCACCTTTTGAAGCAATGAACTCCGCGTGCCTCTCGAGGTGTCAGCGGGATGTGAGGCATTCCGTCAAAATGAGGCAGGGACCTAGGGCTTTCTCTAAGGTCTCCACAGGGGATTCAGACATCCCTTCATGTTGTGAGATGAAAGACGAGCCTGTATTCAAGCCACTGCAAGGAAATCCGGCCTCCTTTCAAGTTAGGGCTTCTCGCTGTATATTCCCCTTGAGGCAGCAAACTCGGGGTCCCTCCCACATACCTATTGCTGAGAGAAGCCTCCTCCTGAGGTGCTTCTGGGAAGTTGGCATACGTCTTGAGCCTAAGCCAGGGAATCAGCTCGCATCTCGAGACGATTTGGGGTACACGGAGCATTCCTCGAGTTGCTGTGCTGAAGTTGGTGTTCCTCTAGACTTGGGACAGTGTTCTCGGGGCATCTCTGGAGTTGCCTGAAGGAAGTCGAGCCACCGGTCGTGTTGAATGGGGAACGGGGAATGGCTCTGGAGTCAATGCAGGGGAATCGGGCCTCATCTCGAGTTGATTTGGGGCACATGGAGCTGCTTTGCGTTGCTGGGGTGACCTCAGGGTCCGTCTAGACTGGTGACAGTGTTCTTGGGGACTGTCTCGAGATCCATTAAGCAAGTGGAAGCTCCTGACTTGTTTGAATGGGATCACGGAATAGCTCTGCATGCACTGCAGGGGAATGGGGCCTCATCTCGCCTCTAGGGGGAAGTCTCATGGTTTTTCTCGAGTTGCGGCGGGGACCTGGGGTATGTTCTCGACTTACGGCGGGGATGGCCCTTCAAAACACGAGTTTCTTCAGTGACGTCAGGACTCCTGTCTAGTAACGAGGGACACCTCAGGAATCTCTTCGAGGATTGGCAGGGCCAAAGGGACGCTTCTCGAGGTGAGGCAGGGCACCCAAGGACCCTTTCCAGTAGCCACAGGGATTTTGGGATTCCTATCAGTATTCAAGAGGAGTCAGGCATCGTCACCTTTTGAAGGAATGAACTCCGCGTGCCTCTCGAGGTGTCAGCAGGATGTGAGGCATCCCGTCAAAATGAGGCAGGGACCTAGGGCTTTCTCTAAGGTCTCCACAGGGGATTCAGACATCCCTTCATGTTGTGAGATGAAAGACGAGCCTGTATTCAAGCCACTGCAAGGAAATCCGGCCTCCTTTCAAGTTAGGGCTTCTCGCTGTATATTCCCCTTGAGGCAGCAAACTCGGGGTCCCTCCCACATACCTATTGCTGAGAGAAGCCTCCTCCTGAGGTGCTTCTGGGAAGTTGGCATACGTCTTGAGCCTAAGCCAGGGAATCAGCTCGCATCTCGAGATGATTTGGGGTACACGGAGCATTCCTTGAGTTGCTGTGCTGAAGTTGGTGTTCCTCTAGTCTTGGGACAGTGTTCTCGGGGCATCTCTGGAGTTGCCTGAAGGAAGTCGAGCCACCGGTCGTGTTGAATGGGGAACGGGGAATGGCTCTGGAGTCAATGCAGGGGAATCGGGCCTCATCTCGAGTTGATTTGGGGCACATGGAGCTGCTTTGCGTTGCTGGGGTGACCTCAGGGTCCGTCTAGACTGGTGACAGTGTTCTTGGGGACTCTCTCAAGATCCATTAAGCAAGTCGAAGCTCCTGACTTGTTTGAATGGGATCACGGAATAGCTCTGCATGCACTGCAGGGGAATGGGGCCTCATCTCGCCTCTAGGGGGAAGTCTCATGGTTTTTCTCGAGTTGCGGCGGGGACCTGGGGTATGTTCTCGACTTACGGCGGGGATGGCCCTTCAAAACACGAGTTTCTTCAGTGACGTCAGGACTCCTGTCTAGTAACGAGGGACACCTCAGGAATCTCTTCGAGGCTTGGCAGGGCCAAAGGGACGCTTCTCGAGGTGAGGCAGGGCACCCAAGGACCCTTTCCAGTAGCCACAGGGATTTTGGGATTCCTATCAGTATTCAAGAGGAGTCAGGCATCGTCACCTTTTGAAGCAATGAACTCCGCGTGCCTCTCGAGGTGTCAGCGGGATGTGAGGCATTCCGTCAAAATGAGGCAGGGACCTAGGGCTTTCTCTAAGGTCTCCACAGGGGATTCAGACATCCCTTCATGTTGTGAGATGAAAGACGAGCCTGTATTCAAGCCACTGCAAGGAAATCCGGCCTCCTTTCAAGTTAGGGCTTCTTGCTGTATATTCCCCTTGAGGCAGCAAACTCGGGGTCCCTCCCACATACCTATTGCTGAGAGAAGCCTCCTCCTGAGGTGCTTCTGGGAAGTTGGCATACGTCTTGAGCCTAAGCCAGGGAATCAGCTCTCATCTCGAGACGATTTGGGGTACACAGAGCATTCCTCGAGTTGCTGTGCTGAAGTTGGTGTTCCTCTAGACTTGGGACAGTGTTCTCAGGGCATCTCTGGAGTTGCCTGAAGGAAGTCGAGCCACCGGTCGTGTTGAATGGGGAACGGGGAATGGCTCTGGAGTCAATGCAGGGGAATCGGGCCTCATCTCGAGTTGATTTGGGGCACATGGAGCTGCTTTGCGTTGCTGGGGTGACCTCAGGGTCCGTCTAGACTGGTGACAGTGTTCTTGGGGACTGTCTCGAGATCCATTAAGCAAGTCGAAGCTCCTGACTTGTTTGAATGGGGTCACGGAATAGCTCTGCATGCACTGCAGGGGAATGGGGCCTCATCTTGCCTCTAGGGGGAAGTCTCATGGTTTTTCTCGAGTTGCGGCGGGGACCTGGGGTATGTTCTCGACTTACGGCGGGGATGGCCCTTCAAAACACGAGTTTCTTCAGTGACGTCAGGACTCCTGTCTAGTAACGAGGGACACCTCAGGAATCTCTTCGAGGCTTGGCAGGGCCAAAGGGACGCTTCTCGAGGTGAGGGAGGGCACCCAAGGACCCTTTCCAGTAGCCACAGGGATTTTGGGATTCCTATCAGTATTCAAGAGGAGTCAGGCATCGTCACCTTTTGAAGCAATGAACTCCGCGTGCCTCTCGAGGTGTCAGCGGGATGTGAGGCATTCCGTCAAAATGAGGCAGGGACCTAGGGCTTTCTCTAAGGTCTCCACAGGGGATTCAGACATCCCTTCATGTTGTGAGATGAAAGACGAGCCTGTATTCAAGCCACTGCAAGGAAATCCGGCCTCCTTTCAAGTTAGGGCTTCTCGCTCTATATTCCCCTTGAGGCAGCAAACTCGGGGTCCCTCCCACATACCTATTGCTGAGAGAAGCCTCCTCCTGAGGTGCTTCTGGGAAGTTGGCATACGTCTTGAGCCTAAGCCAGGGAATCAGCTCGCATCTCGAGACGATTTGGGGTACACGGAGCATTCCTCGAGTTGCTGTGCTGAAGTTGGTGTTCCTCTAGACTTGGGACAGTGTTCTCGGGGCATCTCTGGAGTTGCCTGAAGGAAGTCGAGCCACCGGTCGTGTTGAATGGGGAACGGGGAATGGCTCTGGAGTCAATGCAGGGGAATCGGGCCTCATCTCGAGTTGATTTGGGGCACATGGAGCTGCTTTGCGTTGCTGGGGTGACCTCAGGGTCCGTCTAGACTGGTGACAGTGTTCTTGGGGACTGTCTCGAGATCCATTAAGCAAGTAGAAGGTCCTGACTTGTTTGAATGGGATCACGGAATAGCTCTGCATGCACTGCAGGGGAATGGGGCCTCATCTCGCCTCTAGGGGGAAGTCTCATGGTTTTTCTCGAGTTGCGGCGGGGACCTGGGGTATGTTCTCGACTTACGGCGGGGATGGCCCTTCAAAACACGAGTTTCTTCAGTGACGTCAGGACTCCTGTCTAGTAACGAGGGACACCTCAGGAATCTCTTCGAGGCTTGGCAGGGCCAAAGGGACGCTTCTCGAGGTGAGGGAGGGCACCCAAGGACCCTTTCCAGTAGCCACAGGGATTTTGGGATTCCTATCAGTATTCAAGAGGAGTCAGGCATCGTCACCTTTTGAAGCAATGAACTCCGCGTGCCTCTCGAGGTGTCAGCGGGATGTGAGGCATTCCGTCAAAATGAGGCAGGGACCTAGGGCTTTCTCTAAGGTCTCCACAGGGGATTCAGACATCCCTTCATGTTGTGAGATGAAAGACGAGCCTGTATTCAAGCCACTGCAAGGAAATCCGGCCTCCTTTCAAGTTAGGGCTTCTCGCTGTATATTCCCCTTGAGGCAGCAAACTCGGGGTCCCTCCCACATACCTATTGCTGAGAGAAGCCTCCTCCTGAGGTGCTTCTGGGAAGTTGGCATACGTCTTGAGCCTAAGCCAGGGAATCAGCTCGCATCTCGAGACGATTTGGGGTACACGGAGCATTCCTCGAGTTGCTGTGCTGAAGTTGGTGTTCCTCTAGACTTGGGACAGTGTTCTCGGGGCATCTCTGGAGTTGCCTGAAGGAAGTCGAGCCACCGGTCGTGTTGAATGGGGAACGGGGAATGGCTCTGGAGTCAATGCAGGGGAATCGGGCCTCATCTCGAGTTGATTTGGGGCACATGGAGCTGCTTTGCGTTGCTGGGGTGACCTCAGGGTCCGTCTAGACTGGTGACAGTGTTCTTGGGGACTGTCTCGAGATCCATTAAGCAAGTCGAAGCTCCTGACTTGTTTGAATGGGGTCACGGAATAGCTCTGCATGCACTGCAGGGGAATGGGGCCTCATCTCGCCTCTAGGGGGAAGTCTCATGGTTTTTCTCGAGTTGCGGCGGGGACCTGGGGTATGTTCTCGACTTACGGCGGGGATGGCCCTTCAAAACACGAGTTTCTTCAGTGACGTCAGGACTCCTGTCTAGTAACGAGGGACACCTCAGGAATCTCTTCGAGGCTTGGCAGGGCCAAAGGGACGCTTCTCGAGGTGAGGCAGGGCACCCAAGGACCCTTTCCAGTAGCCACAGGGATTTTGGGATTCCTATCAGTATTCAAGAGGAGTCAGGCATCGTCACCTTTTGAAGCAATGAACTCCGCGTGCCTCTCGAGGTGTCAGCGGGATGTGAGGCATCCCGTCAAAATGAGGCAGGGACCTAGGGCTTTCTCTAAGGTCTCCACAGGGGATTCAGACATCCCTTCATGTTGTGAGATGAAAGACGAGCCTGTATTCAAGCCACTGCAAGGAAATCCGGCCTCCTTTCAAGTTAGGGCTTCTCGCTGTATATTCCCCTTGAGGCAGCAAACTCGGGGTCCCTCCCACATACCTATTGCTGAGAGAAGCCTCCTCCTGAGGTGCTTCTGGGAAGTTGGCATACGTCTTGAGCCTAAGCCAGGGAATCAGCTCGCATCTCGAGATGATTTGGGGTACACGGAGCATTCCTCGAGTTGCTGTGCTGAAGTTGGTGTTCCTCTAGACTTGGGACAGTGTTCTCGGGGCATCTCTGGAGTTGCCTGAAGGAAGTCGAGCCACCGGTCGTGTTGAATGGGGAACGGGGAATGTCTCTGGAGTCAATGCAGGGGAATCGGGCCTCATCTCGAGTTGATTTGGGGCACATGGAGCTGCTTTGCGTTGCTGGGGTGACCTCAGGGTCCGTCTAGACTGGTGACAGTGTTCTTGGGGACTGTCTCGAGATCCATTAAGCAAGTCGAAGCTCCTGACTTGTTTGAATGGGATCACGGAATAGCTCTGCATGCACTGCAGGGGAATGGGGCCTCATCTCGCCTCTAGGGGGAAGTCTCATGGTTTTTCTCGAGTTGCGGCGGGGACCTGGGGTATGTTCTCGACTTACGGCGGGGATGGCCCTTCAAAACACGAGTTTCTTCAGTGACGTCAGGACTCCTGTCTAGTAACGAGGGACACCTCAGGAATCTCTTCGAGGCTTGGCAGGGCCAAAGGGACGCTTCTCGAGGTGAGGCAGGGCACCCAAGGACCCTTTCCAGTAGCCACAGGGATTTTGGGATTCCTATCAGTATTCAAGAGGAGTCAGGCATCGTCACCTTTTGAAGCAATGAACTCCGCGTGCCTCTCGAGGTGTCAGCGGGATGTGAGGCATTCCGTCAAAATGAGGCAGGGACCTAGGGCTTTCTCTAAGGTCTCCACAGGGGATTCAGACATCCCTTCATGTTGTGAGATGAAAGACGAGCCTGTATTCAAGCCACTGCAAGGAAATCTGGCCTCCTTTCAAGTTAGGGCTTCTCGCTGTATATTCCCCTTGAGGCAGCAAACTCGGGGTCCCTCCCACATACCTATTGCTGAGAGAAGCCTCCTCCTGAGGTGCTTCTGGGAAGTTGGCATACGTCTTGAGCCTAAGCCAGGGAATCAGCTCGCATCTTGAGACGATTTGGGGTACACGGAGCATTCCTCGAGTTGCTGTGCTGAAGTTGGTGTTCCTCTAGACTTGGGACAGTGTTCTCGGGGCATCTCTGGAGTTGCCTGAAGGAAGTCGAGCCACCGGTCGTGTTGAATGGGGAACGGGGAATGGCTCTGGAGTCAATGCAGGGGAATCGGGCCTCATCTCGAGTTGATTTGGGGCACATGGAGCTGCTTTGCGTTGCTGGGGTGACCTCAGGGTCCGTCTAGACTGGTGACAGTGTTCTTGGGGACTGTCTCGAGATCCATTAAGCAAGTCGAAGCTCCTGACTTGTTTGAATGGGATCACGGAATAGCTCTGCATGCACTGCAGGGGAATGGGGCCTCATCTCGCCTCTAGGGGGAAGTCTCATGGTTTTTCTCGAGTTGCGGCGGGGACCTGGGGTATGTTCTCGACTTACGGCGGGGATGGCCCTTCAAAACACGAGTTTCTTCAGTGACGTCAGGACTCCTGTCTAGTAACGAGGGACACCTCAGGAATCTCTTCGAGGCTTGGCAGGGCCAAAGGGACGCTTCTCGAGGTGAGGCAGGGCACCCAAGGACCCTTTCCAGTAGCCACAGGGATTTTGGGATTCCTATCAGTATTCAAGAGGAGTCAGGCATCGTCACCTTTTGAAGCAATGAACTCCGCGTGACTCTCGAGGTGTCAGCGGGATGTGAGGCATTCCGTCAAAATGAGGCAGGGATCTAGGGCTTTCTCTAAGGTCTCCACAGGGGATTCAGACATCCCTTCATGTTGTGAGATGAAAGACGAGCCTGTATTCAAGCCACTGCAAGGAAATCCGGCCTCCTTTCAAGTTAGGGCTTCTCGCTGTATATTCCCCTTGAGGCAGCAAACTCGGGGTCCCTCCCACATACCTATTGCTGAGAGAAGCCTCCTCCTGAGGTGCTTCTGGGAAGTTGGCATACGTCTTGAGCCTAAGCCAGGGAATCAGCTCGCATCTCGAGACGATTTGGGGTACACGGAGCATTCCTCGAGTTGCTGTGCTGAAGTTGGTGTTCCTCTAGACTTGGGACAGTGTTCTCGGGGCATCTCTGGAGTTGCCTGAAGGAAGTCGAGCCACCGGTCGTGTTGAATGGGGAACGGGGAATGGCTCTGGAGTCAATGCAGGGGAATCGGGCCTCATCTCGAGTTGATTTGGGGCACATGGAGCTGCTTTGCGTTGCTGGGGTGACCTCAGGGTCCGTCTAGACTGGTGACAGTGTTCTTGGGGACTGTCTCGAGATCCATTAAGCAAGTCGAAGCTCCTGACTTGTTTGAATGGGATCACGGAATAGCTCTGCATGCACTGCAGGGGAATGGGGCCTCATCTCGCCTCTAGGGGGAAGTCTCATGGTTTTTCTCGAGTTGCGGCGGGGACCTGGGGTATGTTCTCGACTTACGGCGGGGATGGCCCTTCAAAACACGAGTTTCTTCAGTGACGTCAGGACTCCTGTCTAGTAACGAGGGACACCTCAGGAATCTCTTCGAGGCTTGGCAGGGCCAAAGGGACGCTTCTCGAGGTGAGGCAGGGCACCCAAGAACCCTTTCCAGTAGCCACAGGGATTTTGGGATTCCTATCAGTATTCAAGAGGAGTCAGGCATCGTCACCTTTTGAAGCAATGAACTCCGCGTGCCTCTCGAGGTGTCAGCGGGATGTGAGGCATTCCGTCAAAATGAGGCAGGGACCTAGGGCTTTCTCTAAGGTCTCCACAGGGGATTCAGACATCCCTTCATGTTGTGAGATGAAAGACGAGCCTGTATTCAAGCCACTGCAAGGAAATCCGGCCTCCTTTCAAGTTAGGGCTTCTCGCTGTATATTCCCCTTGAGGCAGCAAACTCGGGGTCCCTCCCACATACCTATTGCTGAGAGAAGCCTCCTCCTGAGGTGCTTCTGGGAAGTTGGCATACGTCTTGAGCCTAAGCCAGGGAATCAGCTCGCATCTCGAGACGATTTGGGGTAGACGGAGCATTCCTCGAGTTGCTGTGCTGAAGTTGGTGTTCCTCTAGACTTGGGACAGTGTTCTCGGGGCATCTCTGGAGTTGCCTGAAGGAAGTCGAGCCACCGGTCGTGTTGAATGGGGAACGGGGAATGGCTCTGGAGTCAATGCAGGGGAATCGGGCCTCATCTCGAGTTGATTTGGGGCACATGGAGCTGCTTTGCGTTGCTGGGGTGACCTCAGGGTCCGTCTAGACTGGTGACAGTGTTCTTGGGGACTGTCTCGAGATCCATTAAGCAAGTCGAAGCTCCTGACTTGTTTGAATGGGGTCACGGAATAGCTCTGCATGCACTGCAGGGGAATGGGGCCTCATCTCGCCTCTAGGGGGAAGTCTCATGGTTTTTCTCGAGTTGCGGCGGGGACCTGGGGTATGTTCTCGACTTACGGCGGGGATGGCCCTTCAAAACACGAGTTTCTTCAGTGACGTCAGGACTCCTGTCTAGTAACGAGGGACACCTCAGGAATCTCTTCGAGGCTTGGCAGGGCCAAAGGGACGCTTCTCGAGGTGAGGCAGGGCACCCAAGGACCCTTTCCAGTAGCCACAGGGATTTTGGGATTCCTATCAGTATTCAAGAGGAGTCAGGCATCGTCACCTTTTGAAGCAATGAACTCCGCGTGCCTCTCGAGGTGTCAGCGGGATGTGAGGCATCCCGTCAAAATGAGGCAGGGACCTAGGGCTTTCTCTAAGGTCTCCACAGGGGATTCAGACATCCCTTCATGTTGTGAGATGAAAGACGAGCCTGTATTCAAGCCACTGCAAGGAAATCCGGCCTCCTTTCAAGTTAGGGCTTCTCGCTGTATATTCCCCTTGAGGCAGCAAACTCGGGGTCCCTCCCACATACCTATTGCTGAGAGAAGCCTCCTCCTGAGGTGCTTCTGGGAAGTTGGCATACGTCTTGAGCCTAAGCCAGGGAATCAGCTCGCATCTCGAGATGATTTGGGGTACACGGAGCATTCCTCGAGTTGCTGTGCTGAAGTTGGTGTTCCTCTAGACTTGGGACAGTGTTCTCGGGGCATCTCTGGAGTTGCCTGAAGGAAGTCGAGCCACCGGTCGTGTTGAATGGGGAACGGGGAATGTCTCTGGAGTCAATGCAGGGGAATCGGGCCTCATCTCGAGTTGATTTGGGGCACATGGAGCTGCTTTGCGTTGCTGGGGTGACCTCAGGGTCCGTCTAGACTGGTGACAGTGTTCTTGGGGACTGTCTCGAGATCCATTAAGCAAGTCGAAGCTCCTGACTTGTTTGAATGGGATCACGGAATAGCTCTGCATGCACTGCAGGGGAATGGGGCCTCATCTCGCCTCTAGGGGGAAGTCTCATGGTTTTTCTCGAGTTGCGGCGGGGACCTGGGGTATGTTCTCGACTTACGGCGGGGATGGCCCTTCAAAACACGAGTTTCTTCAGTGACGTCAGGACTCCTGTCTAGTAACGAGGGACACCTCAGGAATCTCTTCGAGGCTTGGCAGGGCCAAAGGGACGCTTCTCGAGGTGAGGCAGGGCACCCAAGGACCCTTTCCAGTAGCCACAGGGATTTTGGGATTCCTATCAGTATTCAAGAGGAGTCAGGCATCGTCACCTTTTGAAGCAATGAACTCCGCGTGCCTCTCGAGGTGTCAGCGGGATGTGAGGCATTCCGTCAAAATGAGGCAGGGACCTAGGGCTTTCTCTAAGGTCTCCACAGGGGATTCAGACATCCCTTCATGTTGTGAGATGAAAGACGAGCCTGTATTCAAGCCACTGCAAGGAAATCTGGCCTCCTTTCAAGTTAGGGCTTCTCGCTGTATATTCCCCTTGAGGCAGCAAACTCGGGGTCCCTCCCACATACCTATTGCTGAGAGAAGCCTCCTCCTGAGGTGCTTCTGGGAAGTTGGCATACGTCTTGAGCCTAAGCCAGGGAATCAGCTCGCATCTTGAGACGATTTGGGGTACACGGAGCATTCCTCGAGTTGCTGTGCTGAAGTTGGTGTTCCTCTAGACTTGGGACAGTGTTCTCGGGGCATCTCTGGAGTTGCCTGAAGGAAGTCGAGCCACCGGTCGTGTTGAATGGGGAACGGGGAATGGCTCTGGAGTCAATGCAGGGGAATCGGGCCTCATCTCGAGTTGATTTGGGGCACATGGAGCTGCTTTGCGTTGCTGGGGTGACCTCAGGGTCCGTCTAGACTGGTGACAGTGTTCTTGGGGACTGTCTCGAGATCCATTAAGCAAGTCGAAGCTCCTGACTTGTTTGAATGGGATCACGGAATAGCTCTGCATGCACTGCAGGGGAATGGGGCCTCATCTCGCCTCTAGGGGGAAGTCTCATGGTTTTTCTCGAGTTGCGGCGGGGACCTGGGGTATGTTCTCGACTTACGGCGGGGATGGCCCTTCAAAACACGAGTTTCTTCAGTGACGTCAGGACTCCTGTCTAGTAACGAGGGACACCTCAGGAATCTCTTCGAGGCTTGGCAGGGCCAAAGGGACGCTTCTCGAGGTGAGGCAGGGCACCCAAGGACCCTTTCCAGTAGCCACAGGGATTTTGGGATTCCTATCAGTATTCAAGAGGAGTCAGGCATCGTCACCTTTTGAAGCAATGAACTCCGCGTGACTCTCGAGGTGTCAGCGGGATGTGAGGCATTCCGTCAAAATGAGGCAGGGATCTAGGGCTTTCTCTAAGGTCTCCACAGGGGATTCAGACATCCCTTCATGTTGTGAGATGAAAGACGAGCCTGTATTCAAGCCACTGCAAGGAAATCCGGCCTCCTTTCAAGTTAGGTCTTCTCGCTGTATATTCCCCTTGAGGCAGCAAACTCGGGGTCCCTCCCACATACCTATTGCTGAGAGAAGCCTCCTCCTGAGGTGCTTCTGGGAAGTTGGCATACGTCTTGAGCCTAAGCCAGGGAATCAGCTCGCATCTCGAGACGATTTGGGGTACACGGAGCATTCCTCGAGTTGCTGTGCTGAAGTTGGTGTTCCTCTAGACTTGGGACAGTGTTCTCGGGGCATCTCTGGAGTTGCCTGAAGGAAGTCGAGCCACCGGTCGTGTTGAATGGGGAACGGGGAATGGCTCTGGAGTCAATGCAGGGGAATCGGGCCTCATCTCGAGTTGATTTGGGGCACATGGAGCTGCTTTGCGTTGCTGGGGTGACCTCAGGGTCCGTCTAGACTGGTGACAGTGTTCTTGGGGACTGTCTCGAGATCCATTAAGCAAGTCGAAGCTCCTGACTTGTTTGAATGGGATCACGGAATAGCTCTGCATGCACTGCAGGGGAATGGGGCCTCATCTCGCCTCTAGGGGGAAGTCTCATGGTTTTTCTCGAGTTGCGGCGGGGACCTGGGGTATGTTCTCGACTTACGGCGGGGATGGCCCTTCAAAACACGAGTTTCTTCAGTGACGTCAGGACTCCTGTCTAGTAACGAGGGACACCTCAGGAATCTCTTCGAGGCTTGGCAGGGCCAAAGGGACGCTTCTCGAGGTGAGGCAGGGCACCCAAGAACCCTTTCCAGTAGCCACAGGGATTTTGGGATTCCTATCAGTATTCAAGAGGAGTCAGGCATCGTCACCTTTTGAAGCAATGAACTCCGCGTGCCTCTCGAGGTGTCAGCGGGATGTGAGGCATTCCGTCAAAATGAGGCAGGGACCTAGGGCTTTCTCTAAGGTCTCCACAGGGGATTCAGACATCCCTTCATGTTGTGAGATGAAAGACGAGCCTGTATTCAAGCCACTGCAAGGAAATCCGGCCTCCTTTCAAGTTAGGGCTTCTCGCTGTATATTCCCCTTGAGGCAGCAAACTCGGGGTCCCTCCCACATACCTATTGCTGAGAGAAGCCTCCTCCTGAGGTGCTTCTGGGAAGTTGGCATACGTCTTGAGCCTAAGCCAGGGAATCAGCTCGCATCTCGAGACGATTTGGGGTAGACGGAGCATTCCTCGAGTTGCTGTGCTGAAGTTGGTGTTCCTCTAGACTTGGGACAGTGTTCTCGGGGCATCTCTGGAGTTGCCTGAAGGAAGTCGAGCCACCGGTCGTGTTGAATGGGGAACGGGGAATGGCTCTGGAGTCAATGCAGGGGAATCGGGCCTCATCTCGAGTTGATTTGGGGCACATGGAGCTGCTTTGCGTTGCTGGGGTGACCTCAGGGTCCGTCTAGACTGGTGACAGTGTTCTTGGGGACTGTCTCGAGATCCATTAAGCAAGTCGAAGCTCCTGACTTGTTTGAATGGGATCACGGAATAGCTCTGCATGCACTGCAGGGGAATGGGGCCTCATCTCGCCTCTAGGGGGAAGTCTCATGGTTTTTCTCGAGTTGCGGCGGGGACCTGGGGTATGTTCTCGACTTACGGCGGGGATGGCCCTTCAAAACACGAGTTTCTTCAGTGACGTCAGGACTCCTGTCTAGTAACGAGGGACACCTCAGGAATCTCTTCGAGGCTTGGCAGGGCCAAAGGGACGCTTCTCGAGGTGAGGCAGGGCACCCAAGGACCCTTTCCAGTAGCCACAGGGATTTTGGGATTCCTATCAGTATTCAAGAGGAGTCAGGCATCGTCACCTTTTGAAGCAATGAACTCCGCGTGCCTCTCGAGGTGTCAGCGGGATGTGAGGCATTCCGTCAAAATGAGGCAGGGACCTAGGGCTTTCTCTAAGGTCTCCACAGGGGATTCAGACATCCCTTCATGTTGTGAGATGAAAGACGAGCCTGTATTCAAGCCACTGCAAGGAAATCCGGCCTCCTTTCAAGTTAGGGCTTCTCGCTGTATATTCCCCTTGAGGCAGCAAACTCGGGGTCCCTCCCACATACCTATTGCTGAGAGAAGCCTCCTCCTGAGGTGCTTCTGGGAAGTTGGCATACGTCTTGAGCCTAAGCCAGGGAATCAGCTCGCATCTCGAGACGATTTGGGGTACACGGAGCATTCCTCGAGTTGCTGTGCTGAAGTTGGTGTTCCTCTAGACTTGGGACAGTGTTCTTGGGGCATCTCCGGAGTTGCCTGAAGGAAGTCGTGCCACCGGTCGTGTTGAATGGGGAACGGGGAATGGATCTGGAGTCAATGCAGGGGAATCGGGCCTCATCTCGAGTTGATTTGGGGCACATGGAGCTGCTTTGCGTTGCTGGGGTGACCTCAGGGTCCGTCTAGACTGGTGACAGTGTTCTTGGGGACTGTCTCGAGATCCATTAAGCAAGTCGAAGCTCCTGACTTGTTTGAATGGGATCACGGAATAGCTCTGCATGCACTGCAGGGGAATGGGGCCTCATCTCGCCTCTAGGGGGAAGTCTCATGGTTTTTCTCGAGTTGCGGCGGGGACCTGGGGTATGTTCTCGACTTACGGCGGGGATGGCCCTTCAAAACACGAGTTTCTTCAGTGACGTCAGGACTCCTGTCTAGTAACGAGGGACACCTCAGGAATCTCTTCGAGGCTTGGCAGGGCCAAAGGGACGCTTCTCGAGGTGAGGCAGGGCACCCAAGGACCCTTTCCAGTAGCCACAGGGATTTTGGGATTCCTATCAGTATTCAAGAGGAGTCAGGCATCGTCACCTTTTGAAGCAATGAACTCCGCGTGCCTCTCGAGGTGTCAGCGGGATGTGAGGCATTCCGTCAAAATGAGGCAGGGACCTAGGGCTTTCTCTAAGGTCTCCACAGGGGATTCAGACATCCCTTCATGTTGTGAGATGAAAGACGAGCCTGTATTCAAGCCACTGCAAGGAAATCCGGCCTCCTTTCAAGTGAGGGCTTCTCGCTGTATATTCCCCTTGAGGCAGCAAACTCGGGGTCCCTCCCACATATCTATTGCTGAGAGAAGCCTCCTCCTGAGGTGCTTCTGGGAAGTTGGCATACGTCTTGAGCCTAAGCCAGGGAATCAGCTCGCATCTCGAGACGATTTGGGGTACACGGAGCATTCCTCGAGTTGCTGTGCTGGAGTTGGTGTTCCTCTAGACTTGGGACAGTGTTCTCGGGGCATCTCTGGAGTTGCCTGAAGGAAGTCGAGCCACCGGTCGTGTTGAATGGGGAACGGGGAATGGCTCTGGAGTCAATGCAGGGGAATCGGGCCTCATCTCGAGTTGATTTGGGGCACATGGAGCTGCTTTGCGTTGCTGGGGTGACCTCAGGGTCCGTCTAGACTGGTGACAGTGTTCTTGGGGACTGTCTCGAGATCCATTAAGCAAGTCGAAGCTCCTGACTTGTTTGAATGGGATCACGGAATAGCTCTGCATGCACTGCAGGGGAATGGGGCCTCATCTCGCCTCTAGGGGGAAGTCTCATGGTTTTTCTCGAGTTGCGGCGGGGACCTGGGGTATGTTCTCGACTTACGGCGGGGATGGCCCTTCAAAACACGAGTTTCTTCAGTGACGTCAGGACTCCTGTCTAGTAACGAGGGACACCTCAGGAATCTCTTCGAGGCTTGGCAGGGCCAAAGGGACGCTTCTCGAGGTGAGGCAGGGCACCCAAGGACCCTTTCCAGTAGCCACAGGGATTTTGGGATTCCTATCAGTATTCAAGAGGAGTCAGGCATCGTCACCTTTTGAAGCAATGAACTCCGCGTGCCTCTCGAGGTGTCAGCGGGATGTGAGGCATTCCATCAAAATGAGGCAGGGACCTAGGGCTTTCTCTAAGGTCTCCACAGGGGATTCAGACATCCCTTCATGTTGTGAGATGAAAGACGAGCCTGTATTCAAGCCACTGCAAGGAAATCCGGCCTCCTTTCAAGTTAGGGCTTCTCGCTGTATATTCCCCTTGAGGCAGCAAACTCGGGGTCCCTCCCACATACCTATTGCTGAGAGAAGCCTCCTCCTGAGGTGCTTCTGGGAAGTTGGTATACGTCTTGAGCCTAAGCCAGGGAATCAGCTCGCATCTCGAGACGATTTGGGGTACACGGAGCATTCCTCGAGTTGCTGTGCTGAAGTTGGTGTTCCTCTAGACTTGGGACAGTGTTCTCGGGGCATCTCCGGAGTTGCCTGAAGGAAGTCGAGCCACCGGTCGTGTTGAATGGGGAACGGGGAATGGCTCTGGAGTCAATGCAGGGGAATCGGGCCTCATCTCGAGTTGATTTGGGGCACATGGAGCTGCTTTGCGTTGCTGGGGTGACCTCAGGGTCCGTCTAGACTGGTGACAGTGTTCTTGGGGACTGTCTCGAGATCCATTAAGCAAGTCGAAGCTCCTGACTTGTTTGAATGGGATCACGGAATAGCTCTGCATGCACTGCAGGGGAATGGGGCCTCATCTCGCCTCTAGGGGGAAGTCTCATGGTTTTTCTCGAGTTGCGGCGGGGACCTGGGGTATGTTCTCGACTTACGGCGGGGATGGCCCTTCAAAACACGAGTTTCTTCAGTGACGTCAGGACTCCTGTCTAGTAACGAGGGACACCTCAGGAATCTCTTCGAGGCTTGGCAGGGCCAAAGGGACGCTTCTCGAGGTGAGGCAGGGCACCCAAGGACCCTTTCCAGTAGCCACAGGGATTTTGGGATTCCTATCAGTATTCAAGAGGAGTCAGGCATCGTCACCTTTTGAAGCAATGAACTCCGCGTGCCTCTCGAGGTGTCAGCGGGATGTGAGGCATTCCGTCAAAATGAGGCAGGGACCTAGGGCTTTCTCTAAGGTCTCCACAGGGGATTCAGACATCCCTTCATGTTGTGAGATGAAAGACGAGCCTGTATTCAAGCCACTGCAAGGAAATCCGGCCTCCTTTCAAGTGAGGGCTTCTCGCTGTATATTCCCCTTGAGGCAGCAAACTCGGGGTCCCTCCCACATACCTATTGCTGAGAGAAGCCTCCTCCTGAGGTGCTTCTGGGAAGTTGGCATACGTCTTGAGCCTAAGCCAGGGAATCAGCTCGCATCTCGAGTCGATTTGGGGTAGACGGAGCATTCCTCGAGTTGCTGTGCTGAAGTTGGTGTTCCTCTAGACTTGGGACAGTGTTCTCGGGGCATCTCTGGAGTTGCCTGAAGGAAGTCGAGCCACCGGTCGTGTTGAATGGGGAACGGGGAATGGCTCTGGAGTCAATGCAGGGGAATCGGGCCTCATCTCGAGTTGATTTGGGGCACATGGAGCTGCTTTGCGTTGCTGGGGTGACCTCAGGGTCCGTCTAGACTGGTGACAGTGTTCTTGGGGACTGTCTCGAGATCCATTAAGCAAGTCGAAGCTCCTGACTTGTTTGAATGGGATCACGGAATAGCTCTGCATGCACTGCAGGGGAATGGGGCCTCATCTCGCCTCTAGGGGGAAGTCTCATGGTTTTTCTCGAGTTGCGGCGGGGACCTGGGGTATGTTCTCGACTTACGGCGGGGATGGCCCTTCAAAACACGAGTTTCTTCAGTGACGTCAGGACTCCTGTCTAGTAACGAGGGACACCTCAGGAATCTCTTCGAGGCTTGGCAGGGCCAAAGGGACGCTTCTCGAGGTGAGGCAGGGCACCCAAGGACCCTTTCCAGTCGCCACAGGGATTTTGGGATTCCTATCAGTATTCAAGAGGAGTCAGGCATCGTCACCTTTTGAAGCAATGAACTCCGCGTGCCTCTCGAGGTGTCAGCGGGATGTGAGGCATTCCGTCAAAATGAGGCAGGGACCTAGGGCTTTCTCTAAGGTCTCCACAGGGGATTCAGACATCCCTTCATGTTGTGAGATGAAAGACGAGCCTGTATTCAAGCCACTGCAAGGAAATCCGGCCTCCTTTCAAGTTAGGGCTTCTCGCTGTATATTCCCCTTGAGGCAGCAAACTCGGGGTCCCTCCCACATACCTATTGCTGAGAGAAGCCTCCTCCTGAGGTGCTTCTGGGAAGTTGGCATACGTCTTGAGCCTAAGCCAGGGAATCAGCTCGCATCTCGAATCGATTTGGGGTACACGGAGCATTCCTCGAGTTGCTGTGCTGAAGTTGGTGTTCCTCTAGACTTGGGACAGTGTTCTCGGGGCATCTCTGGAGTTGCCTGAAGGAAGTCGAGCCACCGGTCGTGTTGAATGGGGAACGGGGAATGGCTCTGGAGTCAATGCAGGGGAATCGGGCCTCATCTCGAGTTGATTTGGGGCACATGGAGCTGCTTTGCGTTGCTGGGGTGACCTCAGGGTCCGTCCAAACTGGTGACAGTGTTCTTGGGGACTGTCTCGAGATCCATTAAGCAAGTCGAAGCTCCTGACTTGTTTGAATGGGGTCACGGAATAGCTCTGCATGCACTGCAGGGGAATGGGGCCTCATCTCGCCTCTAGGGGGAAGTCTCATGGTTTTTCTCGAGTTGCGGCGGGGACCTGGGGTATGTTCTCGACTTACGGCGGGGATGGCCCTTCAAAACACGAGTTTCTTCAGTGACGTCAGGACTCCTGTCTAGTAACGAGGGACACCTCAGGAATCTCTTCGAGGCTTGGCAGGGCCAAAGGGACGCTTCTCGAGGTGAGGCAGGGCACCCAAGGACCCTTTCCAGTAGCCACAGGGATTTTGGGATTCCTATCAGTATTCAAGAGGAGTCAGGCATCGTCACCTTTTGAAGCAATGAACTCCGCGTGCCTCTCGAGGTGTCAGCGGGATGTGAGGCATCCCGTCAAAATGAGGCAGGGACCTAGGGCTTTCTCTAAGGTCTCCACAGGGGATTCAGACATCCCTTCATGTTGTGAGATGATAGACGAGCCTGTATTCAAGCCACTGCAAGGAAGTCCGGCCTGCTTTCAAGTTAGGGCTTCTCGCTGTATATTCCCCTTGAGGCAGCAAACTCGGGGTCCCTCCCACATACCTATTGCTGAGAGAAGCCTCCTCCTGAGGTGCTTCTGGGAAGTTGGCATACGTCTTGAGCCTAAGCCAGGGAATCAGCTCGCATCTCGAGATGATTTGGGGTACACGGAGCATTCCTCGAGTTGCTGTGCTGAAGTTGGTGTTCCTCTAGACTTGGGACAGTGTTCTCGGGGCATCTCCGGAGTTGCCTGAAGGAAGTCGAGCCACCGGTCGTGTTGAATGGGGAACGGGGAATGGCTCTGGAGTCAATGCAGGGGAATCGGGCCTCATCTCGAGTTGATTTGGGGCACATGGAGCTGCTTTGCGTTGCTGGGGTGACCTCAGGGTCCGTCTAGACTGGTGACAGTGTTCTTGGGGACTGTCTCGAGATCCATTAAGCAAGTCGAAGCTCCTGACTTGTTTGAATGGGGTCACGGAATAGCTCTGCATGCACTGCAGGGGAATGGGGCCTCATCTCGCCTCTAGGGGGAAGTCTCATGGTTTTTCTCGAGTTGCGACGGGGACCTGGGGTATGTTCTCGACTTACGGCGGGGATGGCCCTTCAAAACACGAGTTTCTTCAGTGACGTCAGGACTCCTGTCTAGTAACGAGGGACACCTCAGGAATCTCTTCGAGGCTTGGCAGGGCCAAAGGGACGCTTCTCGAGGTGAGGCAGGGCACCCAAGGACCCTTTCCAGTAGCCACAGGGATTTTGGGATTCCTATCAGTATTCAAGAGGAGTCAGGCATCGTCACCTTTTGAAGCAATGAACTCCGCGTGCCTCTCGAGGTGTCAGCGGGATGTGAGGCATTCCGTCAAAATGAGGCAGGGACCTAGGGCTTTCTCTAAGGTCTCCACAGGGGATTCAGACATCCCTTCATGTTGTGAGATGAAAGACGAGCCTGTATTCAAGCCACTGCAAGGAAATCCGGCCTCCTTTCAAGTTAGGGCTTCTCGCTGTATATTCCCCTTGAGGCAGCAAACTCGGGGTCCCTCCCACATACCTATTGCTGAGAGAAGCCTCCTCCTGAGGTGCTTCTGGGAAGTTGGCATACGTCTTGAGCCTAAGCCAGGGAATCAGCTCGCATCTCGAGACGATTTGGGGTACACGGAGCATTCCTCGAGTTGCTGTGCTGAAGTTGGTGTTCCTCTAGACTTGGGACAGTGTTCTCGGGGCATCTCTGGAGTTGCCTGAAGGAAGTCGAGCCACCGGTCGTGTTGAATGGGGAACGGGGAATGGCTCTGGAGTCAATGCAGGGGAATCGGGCCTCATCTCGAGTTGATTTGGGGCACATGGAGCTGCTTTGCGTTGCTGGGGTGACCTCAGGGTCCGTCTAGACTGGTGACAGTGTTCTTGGGGACTGTCTCGAGATCCATTAAGCAAGTCGAAGCTCCTGACTTGTTTGAATGGGGTCACGGAATAGCTCTGCATGCACTGCAGGGGAATGGGGCCTCATCTCGCCTCTAGGGGGAAGTCTCATGGTTTTTCTCGAGTTGCGGCGGGGACCTGGGGTATGTTCTCGACTTACGGCGGGGATGGCCCTTCAAAACACGAGTTTCTTCAGTGACGTCAGGACTCCTGTCTAGTAACGAGGGACACCTCAGGAATCTCTTCGAGGCTTGGCAGGGCCAAAGGGACGCTTCTCGAGGTGAGGCAGGGCACCCAAGGACCCTTTCCAGTAGCCACAGGGATTTTGGGATTCCTATCAGTATTCAAGAGGAGTCAGGCATCGTCACCTTTTGAAGCAATGAACTCCGCGTGCCTCTCGAGGTGTCAGCGGGATGTGAGGCATTCCGTCAAAATGAGGCAGGGACCTAGGGCTTTCTCTAAGGTCTCCACAGGGGATTCAGACATCCCTTCATGTTGTGAGATGAAAGACGAGCCTGTATTCAAGCCACTGCAAGGAAATCCGGCCTCCTTTCAAGTTAGGGCTTCTCGCTGTATATTCCCCTTGAGGCAGCAAACTCGGGGTCCCTCCCACATACCTATTGCTGAGAGAAGCCTCCTCCTGAGGTGCTTCTGGGAAGTTGGCATACGTCTTGAGCCTAAGCCAGGGAATTAGCTCGCATCTCGAGACGATTTGGGGTAGACGGAGCATTCCTCGAGTTGCTGTGCTGAAGTTGGTGTTCCTCTAGACTTGGGACAGTGTTCTCGGGGCATCTCTGGAGTTGCCTGAAGGAAGTCGAGCCACCGGTCGTGTTGAATGGGGAACGGGGAATGGCTCTGGAGTCAATGCAGGGGAATCGGGCCTCATCTCGAGTTGATTTGGGGCACATGGAGCTGCTTTGCGTTGCTGGGGTGACCTCAGGGTCCATCTAGACTGGTGAAAGTGTTCTTGGGGACTGTCTCGAGATCCATTAAGCAAGTCGAAGCTCCTGACTTGTTTGAATGGGATCACGGAATAGCTCTGCATGCACTGCAGGGGAATGGGGCCTCATCTCGAATCTAGGGGGAAGTCTCATGGTTTTTCTCGAGTTGCGGCGGGGACCTGGGGTATGTTCTCGACTTACGGCGGGGATGGCCCTTCAAAACACGAGTTTCTTCAGTGACGTCAGGACTCCTGTCTAGTAACGAGGGACACCTCAGGAATCTCTTCGAGGCTTGGCAGGGCCAAAGGGACGCTTCTCGAGGTGAGGCAGGGCACCCAAGGACCCTTTCCAGTAGCCACAGGGATTTTGGGATTCCTATCAGTATTCAAGAGGAGTCAGGCATCGTCACCTTTTGAAGCAATGAACTCCGCGTGCCTCTCGAGGTGTCAGCGGGATGTGAGGCATCCCGTCAAAATGAGGCAGGGACCTAGGGCTTTCTCTAAGGTCTCCACAGGGGATTCAGACATCCCTTCATGTTGTGAGATGAAAGACGAGCCTGTATTCAAGCCACTGCAAGGAAATCCGGCCTCCTTTCAAGTTAGGGCTTCTCGCTGTATATTCCCCTTGAGGCAGCAAACTCGGGGTCCCTCCCACATACCTATTGCTGAGAGAAGCCTCCTCCTGAGGTGCTTCTGGGAAGTTGGCATACGTCTTGAGCCTAAGCCAGGGAATCAGCTCGCATCTCGAGATGATTTGGGGTACACGGAGCATTCCTCGAGTTGCTGTGCTGAAGTTGGTGTTCCTCTAGACTTGGGACAGTGTTCTCGGGGCATCTCTGGAGTTGCCTGAAGGAAGTCGAGCCACCGGTCGTGTTGAATGGGGAACGGGGAATGGCTCTGGAGTCAATGCAGGGGAATCGGGCCTCATCTCGAGTTGATTTGGGGCACATGGAGCTGCTTTGCGTTGCTGGGGTGACCTCAGGGTCCGTCTAGACTGGTGACAGTGTTCTTGGGGACTGTCTCGAGATCCATTAAGCAAGTCGAAGCTCCTGACTTGTTTGAATGGGATCACGGAATAGCTCTGCATGCACTGCAGGGGAATGGGGCCTCATCTCGCCTCTAGGGGGAAGTCTCATGGTTTTTCTCGAGTTGCGGCGGGGACCTGGGGTATGTTCTCGACTTACGGCGGGGATGGCCCTTCAAAACACGAGTTTCTTCAGTGACGTCAGGACTCCTGTCTAGTAACGAGGGACACCTCAGGAATCTCTTCGAGGCTTGGCAGGGCCAAAGGGACGCTTCTCGAGGTGAGGCAGGGCACCCAAGGACCCTTTCCAGTAGCCACAGGGATTTTGGGATTCCTATCAGTATTCAAGAGGAGTCAGGCATCGTCACCTTTTGAAGCAATGAACTCCGCGTGCCTCTCGAGGTGTCAGCGGGATGTGAGGCATTCCGTCAAAATGAGGCAGGGACCTAGGGCTTTCTCTAAGGTCTCCACAGGGGATTCAGACATCCCTTCATGTTGTGAGATGAAAGACGAGCCTGTATTCAAGCCACTGCAAGGAAATCCGGCCTCCTTTCAAGTTAGGGCTTCTCGCTGTATATTCCCCTTGAGGCAGCAAACTCGGGGTCCCTCCCACATACCTATTGCTGAGAGAAGCCTCCTCCTGAGGTGCTTCTGGGAAGTTGGCATACGTCTTGAGCCTAAGCCAGGGAATCAGCTCGCATCTCGAGACGATTTGGGGTACACGGAGCATTCCTCGAGTTGCTGTGCTGAAGTTGGTGTTCCTCTAGACTTGGGACAGTGTTCTCGGGGCATCTCTGGAGTTGCCTGAAGGAAGTCGAGCCACCGGTCGTGTTGAATGGGGAACAGGGAATGTCTCTGGAGTCAATGCAGGGGAATCGGGCCTCATCTCGAGTTGATTTGGGGCACATGGAGCTGCTTTGCGTTGCTGGGGTGACCTCAGGGTCCGTCTAGACTGGTGACAGTGTTCTTGGGGACTGTCTCGAGATCCATTAAGCAAGTCGAAGCTCCTGACTTGTTTGAATGGGATCACGGAATAGCTCTGCATGCACTGCAGGGGAATGGGGCCTCATCTCGCCTCTAGGGGGAAGTCTCATGGTTTTTCTCGAGTTGCGGCGGGGACCTGGGGTATGTTCTCGACTTACGGCGGGGATGGCCCTTCAAAACACGAGTTTCTTCAGTGACGTCAGGACTCCTGTCTAGTAACGAGGGACACCTCAGGAATCTCTTCGAGGCTTGGCAGGGCCAAAGGGACGCTTCTCGAGGTGAGGCAGGGCACCCAAGGACCCTTTCCAGTAGCCACAGGGATTTTGGGATTCCTATCAGTATTCAAGAGGAGTCAGGCATCGTCACCTTTTGAAGCAATGAACTCCGCGTGCCTCTCGAGGTGTCAGCGGGATGTGAGGCATTCCGTCAAAATGAGGCAGGGACCTAGGGCTTTCTCTAAGGTCTCCACAGGGGATTCAGACATCCCTTCATGTTGTGAGATGAAAGACGAGCCTGTATTCAAGCCACTGCAAGGAAATCTGGCCTCCTTTCAAGTTAGGGCTTCTCGCTGTATATTCCCCTTGAGGCAGCAAACTCGGGGTCCCTCCCACATACCTATTGCTGAGAGAAGCCTCCTCCTGAGGTGCTTCTGGGAAGTTGGCATACGTCTTGAGCCTAAGCCAGAGAATCAGCTCGCATCTTGAGACGATTTGGGGTACACGGAGCATTCCTCGAGTTGCTGTGCTGAAGTTGGTGTTCCTCTAGACTTGGGACAGTGTTCTCGGGGCATCTCTGGAGTTGCCTGAAGGAAGTCGAGCCACCGGTCGTGTTGAATGGGGAACGGGGAATGGCTCTGGAGTCAATGCAGGGGAATCGGGCCTCATCTCGAGTTGATTTGGGGCACATGGAGCTGCTTTGCGTTGCTGGGGTGACCTCAGGGTCCGTCTAGACTGGTGACAGAGTTCTTGGGGACTGTCTCGAGATCCATTAAGCAAGTCGAAGCTCCTGACTTGTTTGAATGGGGTCACGGAATAGCTCTGCATGCACTGCAGGGGAATGGGGCCTCATCTCGCCTCTAGGGGGAAGTCTCATGGTTTTTCTCGAGTTGCGGCGGGGACCTGGGGTATGTTCTCGACTTACGGCGGGGATGGCCCTTCAAAACACGAGTTTCTTCAGTGACGTCAGGACTCCTGTCTAGTAACGAGGGACACCTCAGGAATCTCTTCGAGGCTTGGCAGGGCCAAAGGGACGCTTCTCGAGGTGAGGCAGGGCACCCAAGGACCCTTTCCAGTAGCCACAGGGATTTTGGGATTCCTATCAGTATTCAAGAGGAGTCAGGCATCGTCACCTTTTGAAGCAATGAACTCCGCGTGCCTCTCGAGGTGTCAGCGGGATGTGAGGCATCCCGTCAAAATGAGGCAGGGACCTAGGGCTTTCTCTAAGGTCTCCACAGGGGATTCAGACATCCCTTCATGTTGTGAGATGATAGACGAGCCTGTATTCAAGCCACTGCAAGGAAATCCGGCCTGCTTTCAAGTTAGGGCTTCTCGCTGTATATTCCCCTTGAGGCAGCAAACTCGGGGTCCCTCCCACATACCTATTGCTGAGAGAAGCCTCCTCCTGAGGTGCTTCTGGGAAGTTGGCATACGTCTTGAGCCTAAGCCAGGGAATCAGCTCGCATCTCGAGATGATTTGGGGTACACGGAGCATTCCTCGAGTTGCTGTGCTGAAGTTGGTGTTCCTCTAGACTTGGGACAGTGTTCTCGGGGCATCTCCGGAGTTGCCTGAAGGAAGTCGAGCCACCGGTCGTGTTGAATGGGGAACGGGGAATGGCTCTGGAGTCAATGCAGGGGAATCGGGCCTCATCTCGAGTTGATTTGGGGCACATGGAGCTGCTTTGCGTTGCTGGGGTGACCTCAGGGTCCGTCTAGACTGGTGACAGTGTTCTTGGGGACTGTCTCGAGATCCATTAAGCAAGTCGAAGCTCCTGACTTGTTTGAATGGGGTCACGGAATAGCTCTGCATGCACTGCAGGGGAATGGGGCCTCATCTCGCCTCTATGGGGAAGTCTCATGGTTTTTCTCGAGTTGCGACGGGGACCTGGGGTATGTTCTCGACTTACGGCGGGGATGGCCCTTCAAAACACGAGTTTCTTCAGTGACGTCAGGACTCCTGTCTAGTAACGAGGGACACCTCAGGAATCTCTTCGAGGCTTGGCAGGGCCAAAGGGACGCTTCTCGAGGTGAGGGAGGGCACCCAAGGACCCTTTCCAGTAGCCACAGGGATTTTGGGATTCCTATCAGTATTCAAGAGGAGTCAGGCATCGTCACCTTTTGAAGCAATGAACTCCGCGTGCCTCTCGAGGTGTCAGCGGGATGTGAGGCATTCCGTCAAAATGAGGCAGGGACCTAGGGCTTTCTCTAAGGTCTCCACAGGGGATTCAGACATCCCTTCATGTTGTGAGATGAAAGACGAGCCTGTATTCAAGCCACTGCAAGGAAATCCGGCCTCCTTTCAAGTTAGGGCTTCTCGCTGTATATTCCCCTTGAGGCAGCAAACTCGGGGTCCCTCCCACATACCTATTGCTGAGAGAAGCCTCCTCCTGAGGTGCTTCTGGGAAGTTGGCATACGTCTTGAGCCTAAGCCAGGGAATCAGCTCGCATCTCGAGACGATTTGGGGTACACGGAGCATTCCTCGAGTTGCTGTGCTGAAGTTGGTGTTCCTCTAGACTTGGGACAGTGTTCTCGGGGCATCTCTGGAGTTGCCTGAAGGAAGTCGAGCCACCGGTCGTGTTGAATGGGGAACGGGGAATGGCTCTGGAGTCAATGCAGGGGAATCGGGCCTCATCTCGAGTTGATTTGGGGCACATGGAGCTGCTTTGCGTTGCTGGGGTGACCTCAGGGTCCGTCTAGACTGGTGACAGTGTTCTTGGGGACTGTCTCGAGATCCATTAAGCAAGTCGAAGCTCCTGACTTGTTTGAATGGGGTCACGGAATAGCTCTGCATGCACTGCAGGGGAATGGGGCCTCATCTCGCCTCTAGGGGGAAGTCTCATGGTTTTTCTCGAGTTGCGGCGGGGACCTGGGGTATGTTCTCGACTTACGGCGGGGATGGCCCTTCAAAACACGAGTTTCTTCAGTGACGTCAGGACTCCTGTCTAGTAACGAGGGACACCTCAGGAATCTCTTCGAGGCTTGGCAGGGCCAAAGGGACGCTTCTCGAGGTGAGGCAGGGCACCCAAGGACCCTTTCCAGTAGCCACAGGGATTTTGGGATTCCTATCAGTATTCAAGAGGAGTCAGGCATCGTCACCTTTTGAAGCAATGAACTCCACGTGCCTCTCGAGGTGTCAGCGGGATGTGAGGCATTCCGTCAAAATGAGGCAGGGACCTAGGGCTTTCTCTAAGGTCTCCACAGGGGATTCAGACATCCCTTCATGTTGTGAGATGAAAGACGAGCCTGTATTCAAGCCACTGCAAGGAAATCTGGCCTCCTTTCAAGTTAGGGCTTCTCGCTGTATATTCCCCTTGAGGCAGCAAACTCGGGGTCCCTCCCACATACCTATTGCTGAGAGAAGCCTCCTCCTGAGGTGCTTCTGGGAAGTTGGCATACGTCTTGAGCCTAAGCCAGGGAATTAGCTCGCATCTCGAGACGATTTGGGGTAGACGGAGCATTCCTCGAGTTGCTGTGCTGAAGTTGGTGTTCCTCTAGACTTGGGACAGTGTTCTCGGGGCATCTCTGGAGTTGCCTGAAGGAAGTCGAGCCACCGGTCGTGTTGAATGGGGAACGGGGAATGGCTCTGGAGTCAATGCAGGGGAATCGGGCCTCATCTCGAGTTGATTTGGGGCACATGGAGCTGCTTTGCGTTGCTGGGGTGACCTCAGGGTCCATCTAGACTGGTGAAAGTGTTCTTGGGGACTGTCTCGAGATCCATTAAGCAAGTCGAAGCTCCTGACTTGTTTGAATGGGATCACGGAATAGCTCTGCATGCACTGCAGGGGAATGGGGCCTCATCTCGAATCTAGGGGGAAGTCTCATGGTTTTTCTCGAGTTGCGGCGGGGACCTGGGGTATGTTCTCGACTTACGGCGGGGATGGCCCTTCAAAACACGAGTTTCTTCAGTGACGTCAGGACTCCTGTCTAGTAACGAGGGACACCTCAGGAATCTCTTCGAGGCTTGGCAGGGCCAAAGGGACGCTTCTCGAGGTGAGGCAGGGCACCCAAGGACCCTTTCCAGTAGCCACAGGGATTTTGGGATTCCTATCAGTATTCAAGAGGAGTCAGGCATCGTCACCTTTTGAAGCAATGAACTCCGCGTGCCTCTCGAGGTGTCAGCGGGATGTGAGGCATCCCGTCAAAATGAGGCAGGGACCTAGGGCTTTCTCTAAGGTCTCCACAGGGGATTCAGACATCCCTTCATGTTGTGAGATGAAAGACGAGCCTGTATTCAAGCCACTGCAAGGAAATCCGGCCTCCTTTCAAGTTAGGGCTTCTCGCTGTATATTCCCCTTGAGGCAGCAAACTCGGGGTCCCTCCCACATACCTATTCCTGAGAGAAGCCTCCTCCTGAGGTGCTTCTGGGAAGTTGGCATACGTCTTGAGCCTAAGCCAGGGAATCAGCTCGCATCTCGAGATGATTTGGGGTACACGGAGCATTCCTCGAGTTGCTGTGCTGAAGTTGGTGTTCCTCTAGACTTGGGACAGTGTTCTCGGGGCATCTCTGGAGTTGCCTGAAGGAAGTCGAGCCACCGGTCGTGTTGAATGGGGAACGGGGAATGGCTCTGCAGTCAATGCAGGGGAATCGGGCCTCATCTCGAGTTGATTTGGGGCACATGGAGCTGCTTTGCGTTGCTGGGGTGACCTCAGGGTCCGTCTAGACTGGTGACAGTGTTCTTGGGGACTGTCTCGAGATCCATTAAGCAAGTCGAAGCTCCTGACTTGTTTGAATGGGATCACGGAATAGCTCTGCATGCACTGCAGGGGAATGGGGCCTCATCTCGCCTCTAGGGGGAAGTCTCATGGTTTTTCTCGAGTTGCGGCGGGGACCTGGGGTATGTTCTCGACTTACGGCGGGGATGGCCCTTCAAAACACGAGTTTCTTCAGTGACGTCAGGACTCCTGTCTAGTAACGAGGGACACCTCAGGAATCTCTTCGAGGCTTGGCAGGGCCAAAGGGACGCTTCTCGAGGTGAGGCAGGGCACCCAAGGACCCTTTCCAGTAGCCACAGGGATTTTGGGATTCCTATCAGTATTCAAGAGGAGTCAGGCATCGTCACCTTTTGAAGCAATGAACTCCGCGTGCCTCTCGAGGTGTCAGCGGGATGTGAGGCATTCCGTCAAAATGAGGCAGGGACCTAGGGCTTTCTCTAAGGTCTCCACAGGGGATTCAGACATCCCTTCATGTTGTGAGATGAAAGACGAGCCTGTATTCAAGCCACTGCAAGGAAATCCGGCCTCCTTTCAAGTTAGGGCTTCTCGCTGTATATTCCCCTTGAGGCAGCAAACTCGGGGTCCCTCCCACATACCTATTGCTGAGAGAAGCCTCCTCCTGAGGTGCTTCTGGGAAGTTGGCATACGTCTTGAGCCTAAGCCAGGGAATCAGCTCGCATCTCGAGACGATTTGGGGTACACGGAGCATTCCTCGAGTTGCTATGCTGAAGTTGGTGTTCCTCTAGACTTGGGACAGTGTTCTCGGGGCATCTCTGGAGTTGCCTGAAGGAAGTCGAGCCACCGGTCGTGTTGAATGGGGAACAGGGAATGTCTCTGGAGTCAATGCAGGGGAATCGGGCCTCATCTCGAGTTGATTTGGGGCACATGGAGCTGCTTTGCGTTGCTGGGGTGACCTCAGGGTCCGTCTAGACTGGTGACAGTGTTCTTGGGGACTGTCTCGAGATCCATTAAGCAAGTCGAAGCTCCTGACTTGTTTGAATGGGATCACGGAATAGCTCTGCATGCACTGCAGGGGAATGGGGCCTCATCTCGCCTCTAGGGGGAAGTCTCATGGTTTTTCTCGAGTTGCGGCGGGGACCTGGGGTATGTTCTCGACTTACGGCGGGGATGGCCCTTCAAAACACGAGTTTCTTCAGTGACGTCAGGACTCCTGTCTAGTAACGAGGGACACCTCAGGAATCTCTTCGAGGCTTGGCAGGGCCAAAGGGACGCTTCTCGAGGTGAGGCAGGGCACCCAAGGACCCTTTCCAGTAGCCACAGGGATTTTGGGATTCCTATCAGTATTCAAGAGGAGTCAGGCATCGTCACCTTTTGAAGCAATGAACTCCGCGTGCCTCTCGAGGTGTCAGCGGGATGTGAGGCATTCCGTCAAAATGAGGCAGGGACCTAGGGCTTTCTCTAAGGTCTCCACAGGGGATTCAGACATCCCTTCATGTTGTGAGATGAAAGACGAGCCTGTATTCAAGCCACTGCAAGGAAATCTGGCCTCCTTTCAAGTTAGGGCTTCTCGCTGTATATTCCCCTTGAGGCAGCAAACTCGGGGTCCCTCCCACATACCTATTGCTGAGAGAAGCCTCCTCCTGAGGTGCTTCTGGGAAGTTGGCATACGTCTTGAGCCTAAGCCAGAGAATCAGCTCGCATCTTGAGACGATTTGGGGTACACGGAGCATTCCTCGAGTTGCTGTGCTGAAGTTGGTGTTCCTCTAGACTTGGGACAGTGTTCTCGGGGCATCTCTGGAGTTGCCTGAAGGAAGTCGAGCCACCGGTCGTGTTGAATGGGGAACGGGGAATGGCTCTGGAGTCAATGCAGGGGAATCGGGCCTCATCTCGAGTTGATTTGGGGCACATGGAGCTGCTTTGCGTTGCTGGGGTGACCTCAGGGTCCGTCTAGACTGGTGACAGTGTTCTTGGGGACTGTCTCGAGATCCATTAAGCAAGTCGAAGCTCCTGACTTGTTTGAATGGGATCACGGAATAGCTCTGCATGCACTGCAGGGGAATGGGGCCTCATCTCGCCTCTAGGGGGAAGTCTCATGGTTTTTCTCGAGTTGCGGCGGGGACCTGGGGTATGTTCTCGACTTACGGCGGGGATGGCCCTTCAAAACACGAGTTTCTTCAGTGACGTCAGGACTCCTGTCTAGTAACGAGGGACACCTCAGGAATCTCTTCGAGGCTTGGCAGGGCCAAAGGGACGCTTCTCGAGGTGAGACAGGGCACCCAAGGACCCTTTCCAGTAGCCACAGGGATTTTGGGATTCCTATCAGTATTCAAGAGGAGTCAGGCATCGTCACCTTTTGAAGCAATGAACTCCGCGTGACTCTCGAGGTGTCAGCGGGATGTGAGGCATTCCGTCAAAATGAGGCAGGGATCTAGGTCTTTCTCTAAGGTCTCCACAGGGGATTCAGACATCCCTTCATGTTGTGAGATGAAAGACGAGCCTGTATTCAAGCCACTGCAAGGAAATCCGGCCTCCTTTCAAGTTAGGGCTTCTCGCTGTATATTCCCCTTGAGGCAGCAAACTCGGGGTCCCTCCCACATACCTATTGCTGAGAGAAGCCTCCTCCTGAGGTGCTTCTGGGAAGTTGGCATACGTCTTGAGCCTAAGCCAGGGAATCAGCTCGCATCTCGAGACGATTTGGAGTACACGGAGCATTCCTCGAGTTGCTGTGCTGAAGTTGGTGTTCCTCTAGACTTGGGACAGTGTTCTCGGGGCATCTCTGGAGTTGCCTGAAGGAAGTCGAGCCACCGGTCGTGTTGAATGGGGAACGGGGAATGGCTCTGGAGTCAATGCAGGGGAATCGGGCCTCATCTCGAGTTGATTTGGGGCACATGGAGCTGCTTTGCGTTGCTGGGGTGACCTCAGGGTCCGTCTAGACTGGTGACAGTGTTCTTGGGGACTGTCTCGAGATCCATTAAGCAAGTCGAAGCTCCTGACTTGTTTGAATGGGATCACGGAATAGCTCTGCATGCACTGCAGGGGAATGGGGCCTCATCTCGCCTCTAGGGGGAAGTCTCATGGTTTTTCTCGAGTTGCGGCGGGGACCTGGGGTATGTTCTCGACTTACGGCGGGGATGGCCCTTCAAAACACGAGTTTCTTCAGTGACGTCAGGACTCCTGTCTAGTAACGAGGGACACCTCAGGAATCTCTTCGAGGCTTGGCAGGGCCAAAGGGACGCTTCTCGAGGTGAGGCAGGGCACCCAAGGACCCTTTCCAGTAGCCACAGGGATTTTGGGATTCCTATCAGTATTCAAGAGGAGTCAGGCATCGTCACCTTTTGAAGCAATGAACTCCGCGTGCCTCTCGAGGTGTCAGCGGGATGTGAGGAATTCCGTCAAAATGAGGCAGGGACCTAGGGCTTTCTCTAAGGTCTCCACAGGGGATTCAGACATCCCTTCATGTTGTGAGATGAAAGACGAGCCTGTATTCAAGCCACTGCAAGGAAATCCGGCCTCCTTTCAAGTTAGGGCTTCTCGCTGTATATTCCCCTTGAGGCAGCAAACTCGGGGTCCCTCCCACATACCTATTGCTGAGAGAAGCCTCCTCCTGAGGTGCTTCTGGGAAGTTGGCATACGTCTTGAGCCTAAGCCAGGGAATCAGCTCGCATCTCGAGACGATTTGGGGTACACGGAGCATTCCTCGAGTTGCTGTGCTGAAGTTGGTGTTCCTCTAGACTTGGGACAGTGTTCTCGGGGCATCTCTGGAGTTGCCTGAAGGAAGTCGAGCCACCGGTCGTGTTGAATGGGGAACGGGGAATGGCTCTGGAGTCAATGCAGGGGAATCGGGCCTCATCTCGAGTTGATTTGGGGCACATGGAGCTGCTTTGCGTTGCTGGGGTGACCTCAGGGTCCGTCTAGACTGGTGACAGTGTTCTTGGGGACTGTCTCGAGATCCATTAAGCAAGTCGAAGCTCCTGACTTGTTTGAATGGGATCACGGAATAGCTCTGCATGCACTGCAGGGGAATGGGGCCTCATCTCGCCTCTAGGGGGAAGTCTCATGGTTTTTCTCGAGTTGCGGCGGGGACCTGGGGTATGTTCTCGACTTACGGCGGGGATGGCCCTTCAAAACACGAGTTTCTTCAGTGACGTCAGGACTCCTGTCTAGTAACGAGGGACACCTCAGGAATCTCTTCGAGGCTTGGCAGGGCCAAAGGGACGCTTCTCGAGGTGAGGCAGGGCACCCAAGGACCCTTTCCAGTAGCCACAGGGATTTTGGGATTCCTATCAGTATTCAAGAGGAGTCAGGCATCGTCACCTTTTGAAGCAATGAACTCCGCGTGCCTCTCGAGGTGTCAGCGGGATGTGAGGCATTCCATCAAAATGAGGCAGGGACCTAGGGCTTTCTCTAAGGTCTCCACAGGGGATTCAGACATCCCTTCATGTTGTGAGATGAAAGACGAGCCTGTATTCAAGCCACTGCAAGGAAATCCGGCCTCCTTTCAAGTTAGGGCTTCTCGCTGTATATTCCCCTTGAGGCAGCAAACTCGGGGTCCCTCCCACATACCTATTGCTGAGAGAAGCCTCCTCCTGAGGTGCTTCTGGGAAGTTGGCATACGTCTTGAGCCTAAGCCAGGGAATCAGCTCGCATCTCGAGATGATTTGGGGTACACGGAGCATTCCTCGAGTTGCTGTGCTGAAGTTGGTGTTCCTCTAGACTTGGGACAGTGTTCTTGGGGCATCTCCGGAGTTGCCTGAAGGAAGTCGAGCCACCGGTCGTGTTGAATGGGGAACGGGGAATGGCTCTGGAGTCAATGCAGGGGAATCGGGCCTCATCTCGAGTTGATTTGGGGCACATGGAGCTGCTTTGCGTTGCTGGGGTGACCTCAGGGTCCGTCTAGACTGGTGACAGTGTTCTTGGAGACTGTCTCGAGATCCATTAAGCAAGTCGAAGCTCCTGACTTGTTTGAATGGGATCACGGAATAGCTCTGCATGCACTGCAGGGGAATGGGGCCTCATCTCGCCTCTAGGGGGAAGTCTCATGGTTTTTCTCGAGTTGCGGCGGGGACCTGGGGTATGTTCTCGACTTACGGCGGGGATGGCCCTTCAAAACACGAGTTTCTTCAGTGACGTCAGGACTCCTGTCTAGTAACGAGGGACACCTCAGGAATCTCTTCGAGGCTTGGCAGGGCCAAAGGGACGCTTCTCGAGGTGAGGCAGGGCACCCAAGGACCCTTTCCAGTAGCCACAGGGATTTTGGGATTCCTATCAGTATTCAAGAGGAGTCAGGCATCGTCACCTTTTGAAGCAATGAACTCCGCGTGCCTCTCGAGGTGTCAGCGGGATGTGAGGCATTCCGTCAAAATGAGGCAGGGACCTAGGGCTTTCTCTAAGGTCTCCACAGGGGATTCAGACATCCCTTCATGTTGTGAGATGAAAGACGAGCCTGTATTCAAGCCACTGCAAGGAAATCCGGCCTCCTTTCAAGTTAGGGCTTCTCGCTGTATATTCCCCTTGAGGCAGCAAACTCGGGGTCCCTCCCACATACCTATTGCTGAGAGAAGCCTCCTCCTGAGGTGCTTCTGGGAAGTTGGCATACGTCTTGAGCCTAAGCCAGGGAATCAGCTCGCATCTCGAGACGATTTGGGGTAGACGGAGCATTCCTCGAGTTGCTGTGCTGAAGTTGGTGTTCCTCTAGACTTGGGACAGTGTTCTCGGGGCATCTCTGGAGTTGCCTGAAGGAAGTCGAGCCACCGGTCGTGTTGAATGGGGAACGGGGAATGGCTCTGGAGTCAATGCAGGGGAATCGGGCCTCATCTCGAGTTGATTTGGGGCACATGGAGCTGCTTTGCGTTGCTGGGGTGACCTCAGGGTCCGTCTAGACTGGTGACAGTGTTCTTGGGGACTGTCTCGAGATCCATTAAGCAAGTCGAAGCTCCTGACTTGTTTGAATGGGATCACGGAATAGCTCTGCATGCACTGCAGGGGAATGGGGCCTCATCTCGCCTCTAGGGGGAAGTCTCATGGTTTTTCTCGAGTTGCGGCGGGGACCTGGGGTATGTTCTCGACTTACGGCGGGGATGGCCCTTCAAAACACGAGTTTCTTCAGTGACGTCAGGACTCCTGTCTAGTAACGAGGGACACCTCAGGAATCTCTTCGAGGCTTGGCAGGGCCAAAGGGACGCTTCTCGAGGTGAGGCAGGGCACCCAAGGACCCTTTCCAGTAGCCACAGGGATTTTGGGATTCCTATCAGTATTCAAGAGGAGTCAGGCATCGTCACCTTTTGAAGCAATGAACTCCGCGTGCCTCTCGAGGTGTCAGCGGGATGTGAGGCATTCCGTCAAAATGAGGCAGGGACCTAGGGCTTTCTCTAAGGTCTCCACAGGGGATTCAGACATCCCTTCATGTTGTGAGATGAAAGACGAGCCTGTATTCAAGCCACTGCAAGGAAATCCGGCCTCCTTTCAAGTTAGGGCTTCTCGCTGTATATTCCCCTTGAGGCAGCAAACTCGGGGTCCCTCCCACATACCTATTGCTGAGAGAAGCCTCCTCCTGAGGTGCTTCTGGGAAGTTGGCATACGTCTTGAGCCTAAGCCAGGGAATCAGCTCGCATCTCGAGACGATTTGGGGTACACGGAGCATTCCTCGAGTTGCTGTGCTGAAGTTGGTGTTCCTCTAGACTTGGGACAGTGTTCTTGGGGCATCTCCGGAGTTGCCTGAAGGAAGTCGAGCCACCGGTCGTGTTGAATGGGGAACGGGGAATGGATCTGGAGTCAATGCAGGGGAATCGGGCCTCATCTCGAGTTGATTTGGGGCACATGGAGCTGCTTTGCGTTGCTGGGGTGACCTCAGGGTCCGTCTAGACTGGTGACAGTGTTCTTGGGGACTGTCTCGAGATCCATTAAGCAAGTCGAAGCTCCTGACTTGTTTGAATGGGGTCACGGAATAGCTCTGCATGCACTGCAGGGGAATGGGGCCTCATCTCGCCTCTAGGGGGAAGTCTCATGGTTTTTCTCGAGTTGCGGCGGGGACCTGGGGTATGTTCTCGACTTACGGCGGGGATGGCCCTTCAAAACACGAGTTTCTTCAGTGACGTCAGGACTCCTGTCTAGTAACGAGGGACACCTCAGGAATCTCTTCGAGGCTTGGCAGGGCCAAAGGGACGCTTCTCGAGGTGAGGCAGGGCACCCAAGGACCCTTTCCAGTAGCCACAGGGATTTTGGGATTCCTATCAGTATTCAAGAGGAGTCAGGCATCGTCACCTTTTGAAGCAATGAACTCCGCGTGCCTCTCGAGGTGTCAGCGGGATGTGAGGCATTCCGTCAAAATGAGGCAGGGACCTAGGGCTTTCTCTAAGGTCTCCACAGGGGATTCAGACATCCCTTCATGTTGTGAGATGAAAGACGAGCCTGTATTCAAGCAACTGCAAGGAAATCCGGCCTCCTTTCAAGTTAGGGCTTCTCGCTGTATATTCCCCTTGAGGCAGCAAACTCGGGGTCCCTCCCACATACCTATTGCTGAGAGAAGCCTCCTCCTGAGGTGCTTCTGGGAAGTTGGCATACGTCTTGAGCCTAAGCCAGGGAATCAGCTCGCATCTCGAGACGATTTGGGGTACACGGAGCATTCCTCGAGTTGCTGTGCTGAAGTTGGTGTCCCTCTAGACTTGGGACAGTGTTCTCGGGGCATCTCTGGAGTTGCCTGAAGGAAGTCGAGCCACCGGTCGTGTTGAATGGGGAACGGGGAATGGCTCTGGAGTCAATGCAGGGGAATCGGGCCTCATCTCGAGTTGATTTGGGGCACATGGAGCTGCTTTGCGTTGCTGGGGTGACCTCAGGGTCCGTCTAGACTGGTGACAGTGTTCTTGGGGACTGTCTCGAGATCCATTAAGCAAGTCGAAGCTCCTGACTTGTTTGAATGGGATCACGGAATAGCTCTGCATGCACTGCAGGGGAATGGGGCCTCATCTCGCCTCTAGGGGGAAGTCTCATGGTTTTTCTCGAGTTGCGGCGGGGACCTGGGGTATGTTCTCGACTTACGGCGGGGATGGCCCTTCAAAACACGAGTTTCTTCAGTGACGTCAGGACTCCTGTCTAGTAACGAGGGACACCTCAGGAATCTCTTCGAGGCTTGGCAGGGCCAAAGGGACGCTTCTCGAGGTGAGGCAGGGCACCCAAGGACCCTTTCCAGTAGCCACAGGGATTTTGGGATTCCTATCAGTATTCAAGAGGAGTCAGGCATCGTCACCTTTTGAAGCAATGAACTCCGCGTGCCTCTCGCGGTGTCAGCGGGATGTGAGGCATTCCGTCAAAATGAGGCAGGGACCTAGGGCTTTCTCTAAGGTCTCCACAGGGGATTCAGACATCCCTTCATGTTGTGAGATGAAAGACGAGCCTGTATTCAAGCCACTGCAAGGAAATCCGGCCTCCTTTCAAGTTAGGGCTTCTCGCTGTATATTCCCCTTGAGGCAGCAAACTCGGGGTCCCTCCCACATACCTATTGCTGAGAGAAGCCTCCTCCTGAGGTGCTTCTGGGAAGTTGGCATACGTCTTGAGCCTAAGCCAGGGAATCAGCTCGCATCTCGAGACGATTTGGGGTACACGGAGCATTCCTCGAGTTGCTGTGCTGAAGTTGGTGTTCCTCTAGACTTGGGACAGTGTTCTTGGGGCATCTCCGGAGTTGCCTGAAGGAAGTCGAGCCACCGGTCGTGTTGAATGGGGAACGGGGAATGGATCTGGAGTCAATGCAGGGGAATCGGGCCTCATCTCGAGTTGATTTGGGGCACATGGAGCTGCTTTGCGTTGCTGGGGTGACCTCAGGGTCCGTCTAGACTGGTGACAGTGTTCTTGGGGACTGTCTCGAGATCCATTAAGCAAGTCGAAGCTCCTGACTTGTTTGAATGGGGTCACGGAATAGCTCTGCATGCACTGCAGGGGAATGGGGCCTCATCTCGCCTCTAGGGGGAAGTCTCATGGTTTTTCTCGAGTTGCGGCGGGGACCTGGGGTATGTTCTCGACTTACGGCGGGGATGGCCCTTCAAAACACGAGTTTCTTCAGTGACGTCAGGACTCCTGTCTAGTAACGAGGGACACCTCAGGAATCTCTTCGAGGCTTGGCAGGGCCAAAGGGACGCTTCTCGAGGTGAGGCAGGGCACCCAAGGACCCTTTCCAGTAGCCACAGGGATTTTGGGATTCCTATCAGTATTCAAGAGGAGTCAGGCATCGTCACCTTTTGAAGCAATGAACTCCGCGTGCCTCTCGAGGTGTCAGCGGGATGTGAGGCATTCCGTCAAAATGAGGCAGGGACCTAGGGCTTTCTCTAAGGTCTCCACAGGGGATTCAGACATCCCTTCATGTTGTGAGATGAAAGACGAGCCTGTATTCAAGCCACTGCAAGGAAATCCGGCCTCCTTTCAAGTTAGGGCTTCTCGCTGTATATTCCCCTTGAGGCAGCAAACTCGGGGTCCCTCCCACATACCTATTGCTGAGAGAAGCCTCCTCCTGAGGTGCTTCTGGGAAGTTGGCATACGTCTTGAGCCTAAGCCAGGGAATCAGCTCGCATCTCGAGACGATTTGGGGTACACGGAGCATTCCTCGAGTTGCTGTGCTGAAGTTGGTGTTCCTCTAGACTTGGGACAGTGTTCTCGGGGCATCTCTGGAGTTGCCTGAAGGAAGTCGAGCCACCGGTCGTGTTGAATGGGGAACGGGGAATGGCTCTGGAGTCAATGCAGGGGAATCGGGCCTCATCTCGAGTTGATTTGGGGCACATGGAGCTGCTTTGCGTTGCTGGGGTGACCTCAGGGTCCGTCTAGACTGGTGACAGTGTTCTTGGGGACTGTCTCGAGATCCATTAAGCAAGTCGAAGCTCCTGACTTGTTTGAATGGGATCACGGAATAGCTCTGCATGCACTGCAGGGGAATGGGGCCTCATCTCGCCTCTAGGGGGAAGTCTCATGGTTTTTCTCGAGTTGCGGCGGGGACCTGGGGTATGTTCTCGACTTACGGCGGGGATGGCCCTTCAAAACACGAGTTTCTTCAGTGACGTCAGGACTCCTGTCTAGTAACGAGGGACACCTCAGGAATCTCTTCGAGGCTTGGCAGGGCCAAAGGGACGCTTCTCGAGGTGAGGCAGGGCACCCAAGGACCCTTTCCAGTAGCCACAGGGATTTTGGGATTCCTATCAGTATTCAAGAGGAGTCAGGCATCGTCACCTTTTGAAGCAATGAACTCCGCGTGCCTCTCGAGGTGTCAGCGGGATGTGAGGCATCCCGTCAAAATGAGGCAGGGACCTAGGGCTTTCTCTAAGGTCTCCACAGGGGATTCAGACATCCCTTCATGTTGTGAGATGAAAGACGAGCCTGTATTCAAGCCACTGCAAGGAAATCCGGCCTCCTTTCAAGTTAGGGCTTCTCGCTGTATATTCCCCTTGAGGCAGCAAACTCGGGGTCCCTCCCACATACCTATTGCTGAGAGAAGCCTCCTCCTGAGGTGCTTCTGGGAAGTTGGCATACGTCTTGAGCCTAAGCCAGGGAATCAGCTCGCATCTCGAGTCGATTTGGGGTAGACGGAGCATTCCTCGAGTTGCTGTGCTGAAGTTGGTGTTCCTCTAGACTTGGGACAGTGTTCTCGGGGCATCTCTGGAGTTGCCTGAAGGAAGTCGAGCCACCGGTCGTGTTGAATGGGGAACGGGGAATGGCTCTGGAGTCAATGCAGGGGAATCGGGCCTCATCTCGAGTTGATTTGGGGCACATGGAGCTGCTTTGCGTTGCTGGGGTGACCTCAGGGTCCGTCTAGACTGGTGACAGTGTTCTTGGGGACTGTCTCGAGATCCATTAAGCAAGTCGAAGCTCCTGACTTGTTTGAATGGGATCACGGAATAGCTCTGCATGCACTGCAGGGGAATGGGGCCTCATCTCGCCTCTAGGGGGAAGTCTCATGGTTTTTCTCGAGTTGCGGCGGGGACCTGGGGTATGTTCTCGACTTACGGCGGGGATGGCCCTTCAAAACACGAGTTTCTTCAGTGACGTCAGGACTCCTGTCTAGTAACGAGGGACACCTCAGGAATCTCTTCGAGGCTTGGCAGGGCCAAAGGGACGCTTCTCGAGGTGAGGCAGGGCACCCAAGAACCCTTTCCAGTAGCCACAGGGATTTTGGGATTCCTATCAGTATTCAAGAGGAGTCAGGCATCGTCACCTTTTGAAGCAATGAACTCCGCGTGCCTCTCGAGGTGTCAGCGGGATGTGAGCCATTCCGTCAAAATGAGGCAGGGACCTAGGGCTTTCTCTAAGGTCTCCACAGGGGATTCAGACATCCCTTCATGTTGTGAGATGAAAGACGAGCCTGTATTCAAGCCACTGCAAGGAAATCCGGCCTCCTTTCAAGTTAGGGCTTCTCGCTGTATATTCCCCTTGAGGCAGCAAACTCGGGGTCCCTCCCACATACCTATTGCTGAGAGAAGCCTCCTCCTGAGGTGCTTCTGGGAAGTTGGCATACGTCTTGAGCCTAAGCCAGGGAATCAGCTCGCATCTCGAGTCGATTTGGGGTAGACGGAGCATTCCTCGAGTTGCTGTGCTGAAGTTGGTGTTCCTCTAGACTTGGGACAGTGTTCTCGGGGCATCTCTGGAGTTGCCTGAAGGAAGTCGAGCCACCGGTCGTGTTGAATGGGGAACGGGGAATGGCTCTGGAGTCAATGCAGGGGAATCGGGCCTCATCTCGAGTTGATTTGGGGCACATGGAGCTGCTTTGCGTTGCTGGGGTGACCTCAGGGTCCGTCTAGACTGGTGACAGTGTTCTTGGGGACTGTCTCGAGATCCATTAAGCAAGTCGAAGCTCCTGACTTGTTTGAATGGGATCACGGAATAGCTCTGCATGCACTGCAGGGGAATGGGGCCTCATCTCGCCTCTAGGGGGAAGTCTCATGGTTTTTCTCGAGTTGCGGCGGGGACCTGGGGTATGTTCTCGACTTACGGCGGGGATGGCCCTTCAAAACACGAGTTTCTTCAGTGACGTCAGGACTCCTGTCTAGTAACGAGGGACACCTCAGGAATCTCTTCGAGGCTTGGCAGGGCCAAAGGGACGCTTCTCGAGGTGAGGCAGGGCACCCAAGGACCCTTTCCAGTAGCCACAGGGATTTTGGGATTCCTATCAGTATTCAAGAGGAGTCAGGCATCGTCACCTTTTGAAGCAATGAACTCCGCGTGCCTCTCGAGGTGTCAGCGGGATGTGAGGCATCCCGTCAAAATGAGGCAGGGACCTAGGGCTTTCTCTAAGGTCTCCACAGGGGATTCAGACATCCCTTCATGTTGTGAGATGAAAGACGAGCCTGTATTCAAGCCACTGCAAGGAAATCCGGCCTCCTTTCAAGTTAGGGCTTCTCGCTGTATATTCCCCTTGAGGCAGCAAACTCGGGGTCCCGCCCACATACCTATTGCTGAGAGAAGCCTCCTCCTGAGGTGCTTCTGGGAAGTTGGCATACGTCTTGAGCCTAAGCCAGGGAATCAGCTCGCATCTCGAATCGATTTGGGGTAAACGGAGCATTCCTCGAGTTGCTGTGCTGAAGTTGGTGTTCCTCTAGACTTGGGACAGTGTTCTCGGGGCATCTCCGGAGTTGCCTGAAGGAAGTCGAGCCACCGGTCGTGTTGAATGGGGAACGGGGAATGGCTCTGGAGTCAATGCAGGGGAATCGGGCCTCATCTCGAGTTGATTTGGGGCACATGGAGCTGCTTTGCGTTGCTGGGGTGACCTCAGGGTCCGTCTAGACTGGTGACAGTGTTCTTGGGGACTGTCTCGAGATCCATTAAGCAAGTCGAAGCTCCTGACTTGTTTGAATGGGGTCACGGAATAGCTCTGCATGCACTGCAGGGGAATGGGGCCTCATCTCGCCTCTAGGGGGAAGTCTCATGGTTTTTCTCGAGTTGCGGCGGGGACCTGGGGTATGTTCTCGACTTACGGCGGGGATGGCCCTTCAAAACACGAGTTTCTTCAGTGACGTCAGGACTCCTGTCTAGTAACGAGGGACACCTCAGGAATCTCTTCGAGGCTTGGCAGGGCCAAAGGGACGCTTCTCGAGGTGAGGCAGGGCACCCAAGGACCCTTTCCAGTAGCCACAGGGATTTTGGGATTCCTATCAGTATTCAAGAGGAGTCAGGCATCGTCACCTTTTGAAGCAATGAACTCCGCGTGCCTCTCGAGGTGTCAGCGGGATGTGAGGCATCCCGTCAAAATGAGGCAGGGACCTAGGGCTTTCTCTAATGTCTCCACAGGGGATTCAGACATCCCTTCATGTTGTGAGATGAAAGACGAGCCTGTATTCAAGCCACTGCAAGGAAATCCGGCCTCCTTTCAAGTTAGGGCTTCTCGCTGTATATTCCCCTTGAGGCAGCAAACTCGGGGTCCCTCCCACATACCTATTGCTGAGAGAAGCCTCCTCCTGAGGTGCTTCTGGGAAGTTGGCATACGTCTTGAGCCTAAGCCAGGGAATCAGCTCGCATCTCGAGATGATTTGGGGTACACGGAGCATTCCTCGAGTTGCTGTGCTGAAGTTGGTGTTCCTCTAGACTTGGGACAGTGTTCTCGGGGCATCTCCGGAGTTGCCTGAAGGAAGTCGAGCCACCGGTCGTGTTGAATGGGGAACGGGGAATGGCTCTGGAGTCAATGCAGGGGAATCGGGCCTCATCTCGAGTTGATTTGGGGCACATGGAGCTGCTTTGCGTTGCTGGGGTGACCTCAGGGTCCGTCTAGACTGGTGACAGTGTTCTTGGGGACTGTCTCGAGATCCATTAAGCAAGTCGAAGCTCCTGACTTGTTTGAATGGGATCACGGAATAGCTCTGCATGCACTGCAGGGGAATGGGGCCTCATCTCGCCTCTAGGGGGAAGTCTCATGGTTTTTCTCGAGTTGCGGCGGGGACCTGGGGTATGTTCTCGACTTACGGCGGGGATGGCCCTTCAAAACACGAGTTTCTTCAGTGACGTCAGGACTCCTGTCTAGTAACGAGGGACACCTCAGGAATCTCTTCGAGGCTTGGCAGGGCCAAAGGGACGCTTCTCGAGGTGAGGCAGGGCACCCAAGGACCCTTTCCAGTAGCCACAGGGATTTTGGGATTCCTATCAGTATTCAAGAGGAGTCAGGCATCGTCACCTTTTGAAGCAATGAACTCCGCGTGCCTCTCGAGGTGTCAGCGGGATGTGAGGCATTCCGTCAAAATGAGGCAGGGACCTAGGGCTTTCTCTAAGGTCTCCACAGGGGATTCAGACATCCCTTCATGTTGTGAGATGAAAGACGAGCCTGTATTCAAGCCACTGCAAGGAAATCCGGCCTCCTTTCAAGTTAGGGCTTCTCGCTGTATATTCCCCTTGAGGCAGCAAACTCGGGGTCCCTCCCACATACGTATTGCTGAGAGAAGCCTCCTCCTGAGGTGCTTCTGGGAAGTTGGCATACGTCTTGAGCCTAAGCCAGGGAATCAGCTCGCATCTCGAGACGATTTGGGGTACACGGAGCATTCCTCGAGTTGCTATGCTGAAGTTGGTGTTCCTCTAGACTTGGGACAGTGTTCTCGGGGCATCTCTGGAGTTGCCTGAAGGAAGTCGAGCCACCGGTCGTGTTGAATGGGGAACGGGGAATGGCTCTGGAGTCAATGCAGGGGAATCGGGCCTCATCTCGAGTTGATTTGGGGCACATGGAGCTGCTTTGCGTTGCTGGGGTGACCTCAGGGTCCGTCTAGACTGGTGACAGTGTTCTTGGGGACTGTCTCGAGATCCATTAAGCAAGTCGAAGCTCCTGACTTGTTTGAATGGGATCACGGAATAGCTCTGCATGCACTGCAGGGGAATGGGGCCTCATCTCGCCTCTAGGGGGAAGTCTCATGGTTTTTCTCGAGTTGCGGCGGGGACCTGGGGTATGTTCTCGACTTACGGCGGGGATGGCCCTTCAAAACACGAGTTTCTTCAGTGACGTCAGGACTCCTGTCTAGTAACGAGGGACACCTCAGGAATCTCTTCGAGGCTTGGCAGGGCCAAAGGGACGCTTCTCGAGGTGAGGCAGGGCACCCAAGAACCCTTTCCAGTAGCCACAGGGATTTTGGGATTCCTATCAGTATTCAAGAGGAGTCAGGCATCGTCACCTTTTGAAGCAATGAACTCCGCGTGCCTCTCGAGGTGTCAGCGGGATGTGAGGCATTCCGTCAAAATGAGGCAGGGACCTAGGGCTTTCTCTAAGGTCTCCACAGGGGATTCAGACATCCCTTCATGTTGTGAGATGAAAGACGAGCCTGTATTCAAGCCACTGCAAGGAAATCCGGCCTCCTTTCAAGTTAGGGCTTCTCGCTGTATATTCCCCTTGAGGCAGCAAACTCGGGGTCCCTCCCACATACCTATTGCTGAGAGAAGCTTCCTCCTGAGGTGCTTCTGGGAAGTTGGCATACGTCTTGAGCCTAAGCCAGGGAATCAGCTCGCATCTCGAGACGATTTGGGGTACACGGAGCATTCCTCGAGTTGCTGTGCTGAAGTTGGTGTTCCTCTAGACTTGGGACAGTGTTCTCGGGGCATCTCCGGAGTTGCCTGAAGGAAGTCGAGCCACCGGTCGTGTTGAATGGGGAACGGGGAATGGCTCTGGAGTCAATGCAGGGGAATCGGGCCTCATCTCGAGTTGATTTGGGGCACATGGAGCTGCTTTGCGTTGCTGGGGTGACCTCAGGGTCCGTCTAGACTGGTGACAGTGTTCTTGGGGACTGTCTCGAGATCCATTAAGCAAGTCGAAGCTCCTGACTTGTTTGAATGGGATCACGGAATAGCTCTGCATGCACTGCAGGGGAATGGGGCCTCATCTCGCCTCTAGGGGGAAGTCTCATGGTTTTTCTCGAGTTGCGGCGGGGACCTGGGGTATGTTCTCGACTTACGGCGGGGATGGCCCTTCAAAACACGAGTTTCTTCAGTGACGTCAGGACTCCTGTCTAGTAACGAGGGACACCTCAGGAATCTCTTCGAGGCTTGGCAGGGCCAAAGGGACGCTTCTCGAGGTGAGGCAGGGCACCCAAGGACCCTTTCCAGTAGCCACAGGGATTTTGGGATTCCTATCAGTATTCAAGAGGAGTCAGGCATCGTCACCTTTTGAAGCAATGAACTCCGCGTGCCTCTCGAGGTGTCAGCGGGATGTGAGGCATTCCGTCAAAATGAGGCAGGGACCTAGGGCTTTCTCTAAGGTCTCCACAGGGGATTCAGACATCCCTTCATGTTGTGAGATGAAAGACGAGCCTGTATTCAAGCCACTGCAAGGAAATCCGGCCTCCTTTCAAGTTAGGGCTTCTCGCGGTATATTCCCCTTGAGGCAGCAAACTCGGGGTCCCTCCCACATACCTATTGCTGAGAGAAGCCTCCTCCTGAGGTGCTTCTGGGAAGTTGGCATACGTCTTGCGCCTAAGCCAGGGAATCAGCTCGCATCTCGAATCGGTTTGGGGTACACGGAGCATTCCTCGAGTTGCTGTGCTGAAGTTGGTGTTCCTCTAGACTTGGGACAGTGTTCTCGGGGCATCTCCGGAGTTGCCTGAAGGAAGTCGAGCCACCGGTCGTGTTGAATGGGGAACGGGGAATGGCTCTGGAGTCAATGCAGGGGAATCGGGCCTCATCTCGAGTTGATTTGGGGCACATGGAGCTGCTTTGCGTTGCTGGGGTGACCTCAGGGTCCGTCTAGACTGGTGACAGTGTTCTTGGGGACTGTCTCGAGATCCATTAAGCAAGTCGAAGCTCCTGACTTGTTTGAATGGGATCACGGAATAGCTCTGCATGCACTGCAGGGGAATGGGGCCTCATCTCGCCTCTAGGGGGAAGTCTCATGGTTTTTCTCGAGTTGCGGCGGGGACCTGGGGTATGTTCTCGACTTACGGCGGGGATGGCCCTTCAAAACACGAGTTTCTTCAGTGACGTCAGGACTCCTGTCTAGTAACGAGGGACACCTCAGGAATCTCTTCGAGGCTTGGCAGGGCCAAAGGGACGCTTCTCGAGGTGAGGCAGGGCACCCAAGGACCCTTTCCAGTAGCCACAGGGATTTTGGGATTCCTATCAGTATTCAAGAGGAGTCAGGCATCGTCACCTTTTGAAGCAATGAACTCCGCGTGCCTCTCGAGGTGTCAGCGGGATGTGAGGCATTCCCTCAAAATGAGGCAGGGACCTAGGGCTTTCTCTAAGGTCTCCACAGGGGATTCAGACATCCCTTCATGTTGTGAGATGAAAGACGAGCCTGTATTCAAGCCACTGCAAGGAAATCCGGCCTCCTTTCAAGTTAGGGCTTCTCGCGGTATATTCCCCTTGAGGCAGCAAACTCGGGGTCCCTCCCACATACCTATTGCTGAGAGAAGCCTCCTCCTGAGGTGCTTCTGGGAAGTTGGCATACGTCTTGAGCCTAAGCCAGGGAATCAGCTCGCATCTCGAGACGATTTGGGGTACACGGAGCATTCCTCGAGTTGCTGTGCTGAAGTTGGTGTTCCTCTAGACTTGGGACAGTGTTCTCGGGGCATCTCTGGAGTTGCCTGAAGGAAGTCGAGCCACCGGTCGTGTTGAATGGGGAACGGGGAATGGCTCTGGAGTCAATGCAGGGGAATCGGGCCTCATCTTGAGTTGATTTGGGGCACATGGAGCTGCTTTGCGTTGCTGGGGTGACCTCAGGGTCCGTCTAGACTGGTGACAGTGTTCTTGGGGACTGTCTCGAGATCCATTAAGCAAGTCAAAGCTCCTGACTTGTTTGAATGGGATCACGGAATAGCTCTGCATGCACTGCAGGGGAATGGGGCCTCATCTCGCCTCTAGGGGGAAGTCTCATGGTTTTTCTCGAGTTGCGGCGGGGACCTGGGGTATGTTCTCGACTTACGGCGGGGATGGCCCTTCAAAACACGAGTTTCTTCAGTGACGTCAGGACTCCTGTCTAGTAACGAGGGACACCTCAGGAATCTCTTCGAGGCTTGGCAGGGCCAAAGGGACGCTTCTCGAGGTGAGGCAGGGCACCCAAGGACCCTTTCCAGTAGCCACAGGGATTTTGGGATTCCTATCAGTATTCAAGAGGAGTCAGGCATCGTCACCTTTTGAAGCAATGAACTCCGCGTGCCTCTCGAGGTGTCAGCGGGATGTGAGGCATTCCGTCAAAATGAGGCAGGGACCTAGGGCTTTCTCTAAGGTCTCCACAGGGGATTCAGACATCCCTTCATGTTGTGAGATGAAAGATGAGCCTGTATTCAAGCCACTGCAAGGAAATCCGGCCTCCTTTCAAGTTAGGGCTTCTCGCTGTATATTCCCCTTGAGGCAGCAAACTCGGGGTCCCTCCCACATACCTATTGCTGAGAGAAGCCTCCTCCTGAGGTGCTTCTGGGAAGTTGGCATACGTCTTGAGCCTAAGCCAGGGAATCAGCTCGCATCTCGAGACGATTTGGGGTACACGGAGCATTCCTCGAGTTGCTGTGCTGAAGTTGGTGTTCCTCTAGACTTGGGACAGTGTTCTCGGGGCATCTCCGGAGTTGCCTGAAGGAAGTCGAGCCACCGGTCGTGTTGAATGGGGAACGGGGAATGGCTCTGGAGTCAATGCAGGGGAATCGGGCCTCATCTCGAGTTGATTTGGGGCACATGGAGCTGCTTTGCGTTGCTGGGGTGACCTCAGGGTCCGTCTAGACTGGTGACAGTGTTCTTGGGGACTGTCTCGAGATCCATTAAGCAAGTCGAAGCTCCTGACTTGTTTGAATGGGATCACGGAATAGCTCTGCATGCACTGCAGGGGAATGGGGCCTCATCTCGCCTCTAGGGGGAAGTCTCATGGTTTTTCTCGAGTTGCGGCGGGGACCTGGGGTATGTTCTCGACTTACGGCGGGGATGGCCCTTCAAAACACGAGTTTCTTCAGTGACGTCAGGACTCCTGTCTAGTAACGAGGGACACCTCAGGAATCTCTTCGAGGCTTGGCAGGGCCAAAGGGACGCTTCTCGAGGTGAGGCAGGGCACCCAAGGACCCTTTCCAGTAGCCACAGGGATTTTGGGATTCCTATCAGTATTCAAGAGGAGTCAGGCATCGTCACCTTTTGAAGCAATGAACTCCGCGTGCCTCTCGAGGTGTCAGCGGGATGTGAGGCATTCCGTCAAAATGAGGCAGGGACCTAGGGCTTTCTCTAAGGTCTCCACAGGGGATTCAGACATCCCTTCATGTTGTGAGATGAAAGACGAGCCTGTATTCAAGCCACTGCAAGGAAATCCGGCCTCCTTTCCAGTTAGGGCTTCTCGCTGTATATTCCCCTTGAGGCAGCAAACTCGGGGTCCCTCCCACATACCTATTGCTGAGAGAAGCCTCCTCCTGAGGTGCTTCTGGGAAGTTGGCATACGTCTTGAGCCTAAGCCAGGGAATCAGCTCGCATCTCGAGACGATTTGGGGTACACGGAGCATTCCTCGAGTTGCTGTGCTGAAGTTGGTGTTCCTCTAGACTTGGGACAGTGTTCTCGGGGCATCTCTGGAGTTGCCTGAAGGAAGTCGAGCCACCGGTCGTGTTGAATGGGGAACGGGGAATGGCTCTGGAGTCAATGCAGGGGAATCGGGCCTCATCTCGAGTTGATTTGGGGCACATGGAGCTGCTTTGCGTTGCTGGGGTGACCTCAGGGTCCGTCTAGACTGGTGACAGTGTTCTTGGGGACTGTCTCGAGATCCATTAAGCAAGTCGAAGCTCCTGACTTGTTTGAATGGGATCACGGAATAGCTCTGCATGCACTGCAGGGGAATGGGGCCTCATCTCGCCTCTAGGGGGAAGTCTCATGGTTTTTCTCGAGTTGCGGCGGGGACCTGGGGTATGTTCTCGACTTACGGCGGGGATGGCCCTTCAAAACACGAGTTTCTTCAGTGACGTCAGGACTCCTGTCTAGTAACGAGGGACACCTCAGGAATCTCTTCGAGGCTTGGCAGGGCCAAAGGGACGCTTCTCGAGGTGAGGCAGGGCACCCAAGGACCCTTTCCAGTAGCCACAGGGATTTTGGGATTCCTATCAGTATTCAAGAGGAGTCAGGCATCGTCACCTTTTGAAGCAATGAACTCCGCGTGCCTCTCGAGGTGTCAGCGGGATGTGAGGCATTCCATCAAAATGAGGCAGGGACCTAGGGCTTTCTCTAAGGTCTCCACAGGGGATTCAGACATCCCTTCATGTTGTGAGATGAAAGACGAGCCTGTATTCAAGCCACTGCAAGGAAATCCGGCCTCCTTTCAAGTTAGGGCTTCTCGCTGTATATTCCCCTTGAGGCAGCAAACTCGGGGTCCCTCCCACATACCTATTGCTGAGAGAAGCCTCCTCCTGAGGTGCTTCTGGGAAGTTGGTATACGTCTTGAGCCTAAGCCAGGGAATCAGCTCGCATCTCGAGACGATTTGGGGTACACGGAGCATTCCTCGAGTTGCTGTGCTGAAGTTGGTGTTCCTCTAGACTTGGGACAGTGTTCTTGGGGCATCTCCGGAGTTGCCTGAAGGAAGTCGAGCCACCGGTCGTGTTGAATGGGGAACGGGGAATGGCTCTGGAGTCAATGCAGGGGAATCGGGCCTCATCTCGAGTTGATTTGGGGCACATGGAGCTGCTTTGCGTTGCTGGGGTGACCTCAGGGTCCGTCTAGACTGGTGACAGTGTTCTTGGGGACTGTCTCGAGATCCATTAAGCAAGTCGAAGCTCCTGACTTGTTTGAATGGGATCACGGAATAGCTCTGCATGCACTGCAGGGGAATGGGGCCTCATCTCGCCTCTAGGGGGAAGTCTCATGGTTTTTCTCGAGTTGCGGCGGGGACCTGGGGTATGTTCTCGACTTACGGCGGGGATGGCCCTTCAAAACACGAGTTTCTTCAGTGACGTCAGGACTCCTGTCTAGTAACGAGGGACACCTCAGGAATCTCTTCGAGGCTTGGCAGGGCCAAAGGGACGCTTCTCGAGGTGAGGCAGGGCACCCAAGGACCCTTTCCAGTAGCCACAGGGATTTTGGGATTCCTATCAGTATTCAAGAGGAGTCAGGCATCGTCACCTTTTGAAGCAATGAACTCCGCGTGCCTCTCGAGGTGTCAGCGGGATGTGAGGCATTCCGTCAAAATGAGGCAGGGACCTAGGGCTTTCTCTAAGGTCTCCACAGGGGATTCAGACATCCCTTCATGTTGTGAGATGAAAGACGAGCCTGTATTCAAGCCACTGCAAGGAAATCCGGCCTCCTTTCAAGTTAGGGCTTCTCGCTGTATATTCCCCTTGTGGCAGCAAACTCGGGGTCCCTCCCACATACCTATTGCTGAGAGAAGCCTCCTCCTGAGGTGCTTCTGGGAAGTTGGCATACGTCTTGAGCCTAAGCCAGGGAATCAGCTCTCATCTCGAGACGATTTGGGGTACACAGAGCATTCCTCGAGTTGCTGTGCTGAAGTTGGTGTTCCTCTAGACTTGGGACAGTGTTCTCGGGGCATCTCTGGAGTTGCCTGAAGGAAGTCGAGCCACCGGTCGTGTTGAATGGGGAACGGGGAATGGCTCTGGAGTCAATGCAGGGGAATCGGGCCTCATCTCGAGTTGATTTGGGGCACATGGAGCTGCTTTGCGTTGCTGGGGTGACCTCAGGGTCCGTCTAGACTGGTGACAGTGTTCTTGGGGACTGTCTCGAGATCCATTAAGCAAGTCGAAGCTCCTGACTTGTTTGAATGGGATCACGGAATAGCTCTGCATGCACTGCAGGGGAATGGGGCCTCATCTCGCCTCTAGGGGGAAGTCTCATGGTTTTTCTCGAGTTGCGGCGGGGACCTGGGGTATGTTCTCGACTTACGGCGGGGATGGCCCTTCAAAACACGAGTTTCTTCAGTGACGTCAGGACTCCTGTCTAGTAAAGAGGGACACCTCAGGAATCTCTTCGAGGCTTGGCAGGGCCAAAGGGACGCTTCTCGAGGTGAGGCAGGGCACCCAAGGACCCTTTCCAGTAGCCACAGGGATTTTGGGATTCCTATCAGTATTCAAGAGGAGTCAGGCATCGTCACCTTTTGAAGCAATGAACTCCGCGTGCCTCTCGAGGTGTCAGCGGGATGTGAGGCATCCCGTCAAAATGAGGCAGGGACCTAGGGCTTTCTCTAAGGTCTCCACAGGGGATTCAGACATCCCTTCATGTTGTGAGATGAAAGACGAGCCTGTATTCAAGCCACTGCAAGGAAATCCGGCCTCCTTTCAAGTTAGGGCTTCTCGCTGTATATTCCCCTTGAGGCAGCAAACTCGGGGTCCCTCCCACATACCTATTGCTGAGAGAAGCCTCCTCCTGAGGTGCTTCTGGGAAGTTGGCATACGTCTTGAGCCTAAGCCAGGGAATCAGCTCGCATCTCGAATCGATTTGGGGTACACGGAGCATTCCTCGAGTTGCTGTGCTGAAGTTGGTGTTCCTCTAGACTTGGGACAGTGTTCTCGGGGCATCTCCGGAGTTGCCTGAAGGAAGTCGAGCCACCGGTCGTGTTGAATGGGGAACGGGGAATGGCTCTGGAGTCAATGCAGGGGAATCGGGCCTCATCTCGAGTTGATTTGGGGCACATGGAGCTGCTTTGCGTTGCTGGGGTGACCTCAGGGTCCGTCTAGACTGGTGACAGTGTTCTTGGGGACTGTCTCGAGATCCATTAAGCAAGTCGAAGCTCCTGACTTGTTTGAATGGGGTCACGGAATAGCTCTGCATGCACTGCAGGGGAATGGGGCCTCATCTCGCCTCTAGGGGGAAGTCTCATGGTTTTTCTCGAGTTGCGGCGGGGACCTGGGGTATGTTCTCGACTTACGGCGGGGATGGCCCTTCAAAACACGAGTTTCTTCAGTGACGTCAGGACTCCTGTCTAGTAACGAGGGACACCTCAGGAATCTCTTCGAGGCTTGGCAGGGCCAAAGGGACGCTTCTCGAGGTGAGGCAGGGCACCCAAGGACCCTTTCCAGTAGCCACAGGGATTTTGTGATTCCTATCAGTATTCAAGAGGAGTCAGGCATCGTCACCTTTTGAAGCAATGAACTCCGCGTGCCTCTCGAGGTGTCAGCGGGATGTGAGGCATCCCGTCAAAATGAGGCAGGGACCTAGGGCTTTCTCTAAGGTCTCCACAGGGGATTCAGACATCCCTTCAGGTTGTGAGATGAAAGACGAGCCTGTATTCAAGCCACTGCAAGGAAATCCGGCCTCCTTTCAAGTTAGGGCTTCTCGCTGTATATTCCCCTTGAGGCAGCAAACTCGGGGTCCCTCCCACATACCTATTGCTGAGAGAAGCCTCCTCCTGAGGTGCTTCTGGGAAGTTGGCATACGTCTTGAGCCTAAGCCAGGGAATCAGCTCGCATCTCGAGATGATTTGGGGTACACGGAGCATTCCTCGAGTTGCTGTGCTGAAGTTGGTGTTCCTCTAGACTTGGGACAGTGTTCTCGGGGCATCTCCGGAGTTGCCTGAAGGAAGTCGAGCCACCGGTCGTGTTGAATGGGGAACGGGGAATGGCTCTGGAGTCAATGCAGGGGAATCGGGCCTCATCTCGAGTTGATTTGGGGCACATGGAGCTGCTTTGCGTTGCTGGGGTGACCTCAGGGTCCGTCTAGACTGGTGACAGTGTTCTTGGGGACTGTCTCGAGATCCATTAAGCAAGTCGAAGCTCCTGACTTGTTTGAATGGGATCACGGAATAGCTCTGCATGCACTGCAGGGGAATGGGGCCTCATCTCGCCTCTAGGGGGAAGTCTCATGGTTTTTCTCGAGTTGCGGCGGGGACCTGGGGTATGTTCTCGACTTACGGCGGGGATGGCCCTTCAAAACACGAGTTTCTTCAGTGACGTCAGGACTCCTGTCTAGTAACGAGGGACACCTCAGGAATCTCTTCGAGGCTTGGCAGGGCCAAAGGGACGCTTCTCGAGGTGAGGCAGGGCACCCAAGGACCCTTTCCAGTAGCCACAGGGATTTTGGGATTCCTATCAGTATTCAAGAGGAGTCAGGCATCGTCACCTTTTGAAGCAATGAACTCCGCGTGCCTCTCGAGGTGTCAGCGGGATGTGAGGCATTCCGTCAAAATGAGGCAGGGACCTAGGGCTTTCTCTAAGGTCTCCACAGGGGATTCAGACATCCCTTCATGTTGTGAGATGAAAGACGAGCCTGTATTCAAGCCACTGCAAGGAAATCCGGCCTCCTTTCAAGTTAGGGCTTCTCGCTGTATATTCCCCTTGAGGCAGCAAACTCGGGGTCCCTCCCACATACCTATTGCTGAGAGAAGCCTCCTCCTGAGGTGCTTCTGGGAAGTTGGCATACGTCTTGAGCCTAAGCCAGGGAATCAGCTCGCATCTCGAGACGATTTGGGGTACACGGAGCATTCCTCGAGTTGCTGTGCTGAAGTTGGTGTTCCTCTAGACTTGGGACAGTGTTCTCGGGGCATCTCCGGAGTTGCCTGAAGGAAGTCGAGCCACCGGTCGTGTTGAATGGGGAACGGGGAATGGCTCTGGAGTCAATGCAGGGGAATCGGGCCTCATCTCGAGTTGATTTGGGGCACATGGAGCTGCTTTGCGTTGCTGGGGTGACCTCAGGGTCCGTCTAGACTGGTGACAGTGTTCTTGGGGACTGTCTCGAGATCCATTAAGCAAGTCGAAGCTCCTGACTTGTTTGAATGGGATCACGGAATAGCTCTGCATGCACTGCAGGGGAATGGGGCCTCATCTCGCCTCTAGGGGGAAGTCTCATGGTTTTTCTCGAGTTGCGGCGGGGACCTGGGGTATGTTCTCGACTTACGGCGGGGATGGCCCTTCAAAACACGAGTTTCTTCAGTGACGTCAGGACTCCTGTCTAGTAACGAGGGACACCTCAGGAATCTCTTCGAGGCTTGGCAGGGCCAAAGGGACGCTTCTCGAGGTGAGGCAGGGCACCCAAGAACCCTTTCCAGTAGCCACAGGGATTTTGGGATTCCTATCAGTATTCAAGAGGAGTCAGGCATCGTCACCTTTTGAAGCAATGAACTCCGCGTGCCTCTCGAGGTGTCAGCGGGATGTGAGGCATTCCGTCAAAATGAGGCAGGGACCTAGGGCTTTCTCTAAGGTCTCCACAGGGGATTCAGACATCCCTTCATGTTGTGAGATGAAAGACGAGCCTGTATTCAAGCCACTGCAAGGAAATCCGGCCTCCTTTCAAGTTAGGGCTTCTCGCTGTATATTCCCCTTGAGGCAGCAAACTCGGGTTCCCTCCCACATACGTATTGCTGAGAGAAGCCTCCTCCTGAGGTGCTTCTGGGAAGTTGGCATACGTCTTGAGCCTAAGCCAGGGAATCAGCTCGCATCTCGAGACGATTTGGGGTACACGGAGCATTCCTCGAGTTGCTATGCTGAAGTTGGTGTTCCTCTAGACTTGGGACAGTGTTCTCGGGGCATCTCTGGAGTTGCCTGAAGGAAGTCGAGCCACCGGTCGTGTTGAATGGGGAACGGGGAATGGCTCTGGAGTCAATGCAGGGGAATCGGGCCTCATCTCGAGTTGATTTGGGGCACATGGAGCTGCTTTGCGTTGCTGGGGTGACCTCAGGGTCCGTCTAGACTGGTGACAGTGTTCTTGGGGACTGTCTCGAGATCCATTAAGCAAGTCGAAGCTCCTGACTTGTTTGAATGGGATCACGGAATAGCTCTGCATGAACTGCAGGGGAATGGGGCCTCATCTCGCCTCTAGGGGGAAGTCTCATGGTTTTTCTCGAGTTGCGGCGGGGACCTGGGGTATGTTCTCGACTTACGGCGGGGATGGCCCTTCAAAACACGAGTTTCTTCAGTGACGTCAGGACTCCTGTCTAGTAACGAGGGACACCTCAGGAATCTCTTCGAGGCTTGGCAGGGCCAAAGGGACGCTTCTCGAGGTGAGGCAGGGCACCCAAGAACCCTTTCCAGTAGCCACAGGGATTTTGGGATTCCTATCAGTATTCAAGAGGAGTCAGGCATCGTCACCTTTTGAAGCAATGAACTCCGCGTGCCTCTCGAGGTGTCAGCGGGATGTGAGGCATTCCGTCAAAATGAGGCAGGGACCTAGGGCTTTCTCTAAGGTCTCCACAGGGGATTCAGACATCCCTTCATGTTGTGAGATGAAAGACGAGCCTGTATTCAAGCCACTGCAAGGAAATCCGGCCTCCTTTCAAGTTAGGGCTTCTCGCTGTATATTCCCCTTGAGGCAGCAAACTCGGGGTCCCTCCCACATACCTATTGCTGAGAGAAGCTTCCTCCTGAGGTGCTTCTGGGAAGTTGGCATACGTCTTGAGCCTAAGCCAGGGAATCAGCTCGCATCTCGAGACGATTTGGGGTACACGGAGCATTCCTCGAGTTGCTGTGCTGAAGTTGGTGTTCCTCTAGACTTGGGACAGTGTTCTCGGGGCATCTCCGGAGTTGCCTGAAGGAAGTCGAGCCACCGGTCGTGTTGAATGGGGAACGGGGAATGGCTCTGGAGTCAATGCAGGGGAATCGGGCCTCATCTCGAGTTGATTTGGGGCACATGGAGCTGCTTTGCGTTGCTGGGGTGACCTCAGGGTCCGTCTAGACTGGTGACAGTGTTCTTGGGGACTGTCTCGAGATCCATTAAGCAAGTCGAAGCTCCTGACTTGTTTGAATGGGATCACGGAATAGCTCTGCATGCACTGCAGGGGAATGGGGCCTCATCTCGCCTCTAGGGGGAAGTCTCATGGTTTTTCTCGAGTTGCGGCGGGGACCTGGGGTATGTTCTCGACTTACGGCGGGGATGGCCCTTCAAAACACGAGTTTCTTCAGTGACGTCAGGACTCCTGTCTAGTAACGAGGGACACCTCAGGAATCTCTTCGAGGCTTGGCAGGGCCAAAGGGACGCTTCTCGAGGTGAGGCAGGGCACCCAAGAACCCTTTCCAGTAGCCACAGGGATTTTGGGATTCCTATCAGTATTCAAGAGGAGTCAGGCATCGTCACCTTTTGAAGCAATGAACTCCGCGTGCCTCTCGAGGTGTCAGCGGGATGTGAGGCATTCCGTCAAAATGAGGCAGGGACCTAGGGCTTTCTCTAAGGTCTCCACAGGGGATTCAGACATCCCTTCATGTTGTGAGATGAAAGACGAGCCTGTATTCAAGCCACTGCAAGGAAATCCGGCCTCCTTTCAAGTTAGGGCTTCTCGCTGTATATTCCCCTTGAGGCAGCAAACTCGGGGTCCCTCCCACATACCTATTGCTGAGAGAAGCCTCCTCCTGAGGTGCTTCTGGGAAGTTGGCATACGTCTTGAGCCTAAGCCAGGGAATCAGCTCGCATCTCGAGACGATTTGGGGTACACGGAGCATTCCTCGAGTTGCTGTGCTGAAGTTGGTGTTCCTCTAGACTTGGGACAGTGTTCTCGGGGCATCTCCGGAGTTGCCTGAAGGAAGTCGAGCCACCGGTCGTGTTGAATGGGGAACGGGGAATGGCTCTGGAGTCAATGCAGGGGAATCGGGCCTCATCTCGAGTTGATTTGGGGCACATGGAGCTGCTTTGCGTTGCTGGGGTGACCTCAGGGTCCGTCTAGACTGGTGACAGTGTTCTTGGGGACTGTCTCGAGATCCATTAAGCAAGTCGAAGCTCCTGACTTGTTTGAATGGGATCACGGAATAGCTCTGCATGCACTGCAGGGGAATGGGGCCTCATCTCGCCTCTAGGGGGAAGTCTCATGGTTTTTCTCGAGTTGCGGCGGGGACCTGGGGTATGTTCTCGACTTACGGCGGGGATGGCCCTTCAAAACACGAGTTTCTTCAGTGACGTCAGGACTCCTGTCTAGTAACGAGGGACACCTCAGGAATCTCTTCGAGGCTTGGCAGGGCCAAAGGGACGCTTCTCGAGGTGAGGCAGGGCACCCAAGGACCCTTTCCAGTAGCCACAGGGATTTTGGGATTCCTATCAGTATTCAAGAGGAGTCAGGCATCGTCACCTTTTGAAGCAATGAACTCCGCGTGCCTCTCGAGGTGTCAGCGGGATGTGAGGCATTCCGTCAAAATGAGGCAGGGACCTAGGGCTTTCTCTAAGGTCTCCACAGGGGATTCAGACATCCCTTCATGTTGTGAGATGAAAGACGAGCCTGTATTCAAGCCACTGCAAGGAAATCCGGCCTCCTTTCAAGTTAGGGCTTCTCGCGGTATATTCCCCTTGAGGCAGCAAACTCGGGGTCCCTCCCACATACCTATTGCTGAGAGAAGCCTCCTCCTGAGGTGCTTCTGGGAAGTTGGCATACGTCTTGAGCCTAAGCCAGGGAATCAGCTCGCATCTCGAATCGATTTGGGGTACACGGAGCATTCCTCGAGTTGCTGTGCTGAAGTTGGTGTTCCTCTAGACTTGGGACAGTGTTCTCGGGGCATCTCCGGAGTTGCCTGAAGGAAGTCGAGCCACCGGTCGTGTTGAATGGGGAACGGGGAATGGCTCTGGAGTCAATGCAGGGGAATCGGGCCTCATCTCGAGTTGATTTGGGGCACATGGAGGTGCTTTGCGTTGCTGGGGTGACCTCAGGGTCCGTCTAGACTGGTGACAGTGTTCTTGGGGACTGTCTCGAGATCCATTAAGCAAGTCGAAGCTCCTGACTTGTTTGAATGGGATCACGGAATAGCTCTGCATGCACTGCAGGGGAATGGGGCCTCATCTCGCCTCTAGGGGGAAGTCTCATGGTTTTTCTCGAGTTGCGGCGGGGACCTGGGGTATGTTCTCGACTTACGGCGGGGATGGCCCTTCAAAACACGAGTTTCTTCAGTGACGTCAGGACTCCTGTCTAGTAACGAGGGACACCTCAGGAATCTCTTCGAGGCTTGGCAGGGCCAAAGGGACGCTTCTCGAGGTGAGGCAGGGCACCCAAGGACCCTTTCCAGTAGCCACAGGGATTTTGGGATTCCTATCAGTATTCAAGAGGAGTCAGGCATCGTCACCTTTTGAAGCAATGAACTCCGCGTGCCTCTCGAGGTGTCAGCGGGATGTGAGGCATTCCCTCAAAATGAGGCAGGGACCTAGGGCTTTCTCTAAGGTCTCCACAGGGGATTCAGACATCCCTTCATGTTGTGAGATGAAAGACGAGCCTGTATTCAAGCCACTGCAAGGAAATCCGGCCTCCTTTCAAGTTAGGGCTTCTCGCGGTATATTCCCCTTGAGGCAGCAAACTCGGGGTCCCTCCCACATACCTATTGCTGAGAGAAGCCTCCTCCTGAGGTGCTTCTGGGAAGTTGGCATACGTCTTGAGCCTAAGCCAGGGAATCAGCTCGCATCTCGAATCGATTTGGGGTACACGGAGCATTCCTCGAGTTGCTGTGCTGAAGTTGGTGTTCCTCTAGACTTGGGACAGTGTTCTCGGGGCATCTCCGGAGTTGCCTGAAGGAAGTCGAGCCACCGGTCGTGTTGAATGGGGAACGGGGAATGGCTCTGGAGTCAATGCAGGGGAATCGGGCCTCATCTCGAGTTGATTTGGGGCACATGGAGCTGCTTTGCGTTGCTGGGGTGACCTCAGGGTCCGTCTAGACTGGTGACAGTGTTCTTGGGGACTGTCTCGAGATCCATTAAGCAAGTCGAAGCTCCTGACTTGTTTGAATGGGATCACGGAATAGCTCTGCATGCACTGCAGGGGAATGGGGCCTCATCTCGCCTCTAGGGGGAAGTCTCATGGTTTTTCTCGAGTTGCGGCGGGGACCTGGGGTATGTTCTCGACTTACGGCGGGGATGGCCCTTCAAAACACGAGTTTCTTCAGTGACGTCAGGACTCCTGTCTAGTAACGAGGGACACCTCAGGAATCTCTTCGAGGCTTGGCAGGGCCAAAGGGACGCTTCTCGAGGTGAGGCAGGGCACCCAAGGACCCTTTCCAGTAGCCACAGGGATTTTGGGATTCCTATCAGTATTCAAGAGGAGTCAGGCATCGTCACCTTTTGAAGCAATGAACTCCGCGTGCCTCTCGAGGTGTCAGCGGGATGTGAGGCATTCCGTCAAAATGAGGCAGGGACCTAGGGCTTTCTCTAAGGTCTCCACAGGGGATTCAGACATCCCTTCATGTTGTGAGATGAAAGACGAGCCTGTATTCAAGCCACTGCAAGGAAATCCGGCCTCCTTTCCAGTTAGGGCTTCTCGCTGTATATTCCCCTTGAGGCAGCAAACTCGGGGTCCCTCCCACATACCTATTGCTGAGAGAAGCCTCCTCCTGAGGTGCTTCTGGGAAGTTGGCATACGTCTTGAGCCTAAGCCAGGGAATCAGCTCGCATCTCGAGACGATTTGGGGTACACGGAGCATTCCTCGAGTTGCTGTGCTGAAGTTGGTGTTCCTCTAGACTTGGGACAGTGTTCTCGGGGCATCTCCGGAGTTGCCTGAAGGAAGTCGAGCCACCGGTCGTGTTGAATGGGGAACGGGGAATGGCTCTGGAGTCAATGCAGGGGAATCGGGCCTCATCTCGAGTTGATTTGGGGCACATGGAGCTGCTTTGCGTTGCTGGGGTGACCTCAGGGTCCGTCTAGACTGGTGACAGTGTTCTTGGGGACTGTCTCGAGATCCATTAAGCAAGTCGAAGCTCCTGACTTGTTTGAATGGGATCACGGAATAGCTCTGCATGCACTGCAGGGGAATGGGGCCTCATCTCGCCTCTAGGGGGAAGTCTCATGGTTTTTCTCGAGTTGCGGCGGGGACCTGGGGTATGTTCTCGACTTACGGCGGGGATGGCCCTTCAAAACACGAGTTTCTTCAGTGACGTCAGGACTCCTGTCTAGTAACGAGGGACACCTCAGGAATCTCTTCGAGGCTTGGCAGGGCCAAAGGGACGCTTCTCGAGGTGAGGCAGGGCACCCAAGGACCCTTTCCAGTAGCCACAGGGATTTTGGGATTCCTATCAGTATTCAAGAGGAGTCAGGCATCGTCACCTTTTGAAGCAATGAACTCCGCGTGCCTCTCGAGGTGTCAGCGGGATGTGAGGCATTCCGTCAAAATGAGGCAGGGACCTAGGGCTTTCTCTAAGGTCTCCACAGGGGATTCAGACATCCCTTCATGTTGTGAGATGAAAGACGAGCCTGTATTCAAGCCACTGCAAGGAAATCCGGCCTCCTTTCAAGTTAGGGCTTCTCGCTGTATATTCCCCTTGAGGCAGCAAACTCGGGGTCCCTCCCACATACCTATTGCTGAGAGAAGCCTCCTCCTGAGGTGCTTCTGGGTAGTTGGCATACGTCTTGAGCCTAAGCCAGGGAATCAGCTCGCATCTCGAGACGATTTGGGGTACACGGAGCATTCCTCGAGTTGCTGTGCTGAAGTTGGTGTTCCTCTAGACTTGGGACAGTGTTCTCGGGGCATCTCTGGAGTTGCCTGAAGGAAGTCGAGCCACCGGTCGTGTTGAATGGGGAACGGGGAATGGCTCTGGAGTCAATGCAGGGGAATCGGGCCTCATCTCGAGTTGATTTGGGGCACATGGAGGTGCTTTGCGTTGCTGGGGTGACCTCAGGGTCCGTCTAGACTGGTGACAGTGTTCTTGGGGACTGTCTCGAGATCCATTAAGCAAGTCGAAGCTCCTGACTTGTTTGAATGGGATCACGGAATAGCTCTGCATGCACTGCAGGGGAATGGGGCCTCATCTCGCCTCTAGGGGGAAGTCTCATGGTTTTTCTCGAGTTGCGGCGGGGACCTGGGGTATGTTCTCGACTTACGGCGGGGATGGCCCTTCAAAACACGAGTTTCTTCAGTGACGTCAGGACTCCTGTCTAGTAACGAGGGACACCTCAGGAATCTCTTCGAGGCTTGGCAGGGCCAAAGGGACGCTTCTCGAGGTGAGGCAGGGCACCCAAGGACCCTTTCCAGTAGCCACAGGGATTTTGGGATTCCTATCAGTATTCAAGAGGAGTCAGGCATCGTCACCTTTTGAAGCAATGAACTCCGCGTGCCTCTCGAGGTGTCAGCGGGATGTGAGGCATTCCGTCAAAATGAGGCAGGGACCTAGGGCTTTCTCTAAGGTCTCCACAGGGGATTCAGACATCCCTTCATGTTGTGAGATGAAAGACGAGCCTGTATTCAAGCCACTGCAAGGAAATCCGGCCTCCTTTCAAGTTAGGGCTTCTCGCTGTATATTCCCCTTGAGGCAGCAAACTCGGGTTCCCTCCCACATACCTATTGCTGAGAGAAGCCTCCTCCTGAGGTGCTTCTGGGAAGTTGGCATACGTCTTGAGCCTAAGCCAGGGAATCAGCTCGCATCTCGAGACGATTTGGGGTAGACGGAGCATTCCTCGAGTTGCTGTGCTGAAGTTGGTGTTCCTCTAGACTTGGGACAGTGTTCTCGGGGCATCTCTGGAGTTGCCTGAAGGAAGTCGAGCCACCGGTCGTGTTGAATGGGGAACGGGGAATGGCTCTGGAGTCAATGCAGGGGAATCGGGCCTCATCTCGAGTTGATTTGGGGCACATGGAGCTGCTTTGCGTTGCTGGGGTGACCTCAGGGTCCGTCTAGACTGGTGACAGTGTTCTTGGGGACTGTCTCGAGATCCATTAAGCAAGTCGAAGCTCCTGACTTGTTTGAATGGGATCACGGAATAGCTCTGCATGCACTGCAGGGGAATGGGGCCTCATCTCGCCTCTAGGGGGAAGTCTCATGTTTTTTCTCGAGTTGCGGCGGGGACCTGGGGTATGTTCTCGACTTACGGCGGGGATGGCCCTTCAAAACACGAGTTTCTTCAGTGACGTCAGGACTCCTGTCTAGTAACGAGGGACACCTCAGGAATCTCTTCGAGGCTTGGCAGGGCCAAAGGGACGCTTCTCCAGGTGAGGCAGGGCACCCAAGGACCCTTTCCAGTAGCCACAGGGATTTTGGGATTCCTATCAGTATTCAAGAGGAGTCAGGCATCGTCACCTTTTGAAGCAATGAACTCCGCGTGCCTCTCGAGGTGTCAGCGGGATGTGAGGCATCCCGTCAAAATGAGGCAGGGACCTAGGGCTTTCTCTAAGGTCTCCACAGGGGATTCAGACATCCCTTCATGTTGTGAGATGAAAGACGAGCCTGTATTCAAGCCACTGCAAGGAAATCCGGCCTCCTTTCAAGTTAGGGCTTCTCGCTGTATATTCCCCTTGAGGCAGCAAACTCGGGGTCCCTCCCACATACCTATTGCTGAGAGAAGCCTCCTCCTGAGGTGCTTCTGGGAAGTTGGCATACGCCTTGAGCCTAAGCCAGGGAATCAGCTCTCATCTCGAGACGATTTGGGGTACACGGAGCATTCCTCGAGTTGCTGTGCTGAAGTTGGTGTTCCTCTAGACTTGGGACAGTGTTCTCGGGGCATCTCTGGAGTTGCCTGAAGGAAGTCGAGCCACCGGTCGTGTTGAATGGGGAACGGGGAATGGCTCTGGAGTCAATGCAGGGGAATCGGGCCTCATCTCGAGTTGATTTGGGGCACATGGAGCTGCTTTGCGTTGCTGGGGTGACCTCAGGGTCCGTCTAGACTGGTGACAGTGTTCTTGGGGACTGTCTCGAGATCCATTAAGCAAGTCGAAGCTCCTGACTTGTTTGAATGGGGTCACGGAATAGCTCTGCATGCACTGCAGGGGAATGGGGCCTCATCTCGCCTCTAGGGGGAAGTCTCATGTTTTTTCTCGAGTTGCGGCGGGGACCTGGGGTATGTTCTCGACTTACGGCGGGGATGGCCCTTCAAAACACGAGTTTCTTCAGTGACGTCAGGACTCCTGTCTAGTAACGAGGGACACCTCAGGAATCTCTTCGAGGCTTGGCAGGGCCAAAGGGACGCTTCTCGAGGTGAGGCAGGGCACCCAAGGACCCTTTCCAGTAGCCACAGGGATTTTGGGATTCCTATCAGTATTCAAGAGGAGTCAGGCATCGTCACCTTTTGAAGCAATGAACTCCGCGTGCCTCTCGAGGTGTCAGCGGGATGTGAGGCATCCCGTCAAAATGAGGCAGGGACCTAGGGCTTTCTCTAAGGTCTCCACAGGGGATTCAGACATCCCTTCATGTTGTGAGATGAAAGACGAGCCTGTATTCAAGCCACTGCAAGGAAATCCGGCCTCCTTTCCAGTTAGGGCTTCTCGCTGTATATTCCCCTTGAGGCAGCAAACTAGGGGTCCCTCCCACATACCTATTGCTGAGAGAAGCCTCCTCCTGAGGTGCTTCTGGGAAGTTGGCATACGTCTGGAGCCTAAGCCAGGGAATCAGCTCGCATCTCGAGATGATTTGGGGTACACGGAGCATTCCTCGAGTTGCTGTGCTGAAGTTGGTGTTCCTCTAGACTTGGGACAGTGTTCTCGGGGCATCTCTGGAGTTGCCTGAAGGAAGTCGAGCCACCGGTCGTGTTGAATGGGGAACGGGGAATGGCTCTGGAGTCAATGCAGGGGAATCGGGCCTCATCTCGAGTTGATTTGGGGCACATGGAGCTGCTTTGCGTTGCTGGGGTGACCTCAGGGTCCGTCTAGACTGGTGACAGTGTTCTTGGGGACTGTCTCGAGATCCATTAAGCAAGTCGAAGCTCCTGACTTGTTTGAATGGGATCACGGAATAGCTCTGCATGCACTGCAGGGGAATGGGGCCTCATCTCGCCTCTAGGGGGAAGTCTCATGGTTTTTCTCGAGTTGCGGCGGGGACCTGGGGTATGTTCTCGACTTACGGCGGGGATGGCCCTTCAAAACACGAGTTTCTTCAGTGACGTCAGGACTCCTGTCTAGTAACGAGGGACACCTCAGGAATCTCTTCGAGGCTTGGCAGGGCCAAAGGGACGCTTCTCGAGGTGAGGCAGGGCACCCAAGGACCCTTTCCAGTAGCCACAGGGATTTTGGGATTCCTATCAGTATTCAAGAGGAGTCAGGCATCGTCACCTTTTGAAGCAATGAACTCCGCGTGCCTCTCGAGGTGTCAGCGGGATGTGAGGCATTCCGTCAAAATGAGGCAGGGACCTAGGGCTTTCTCTAAGGTCTCCACAGGGGATTCAGACATCCCTTCATGTTGTGAGATGAAAGACGAGCCTGTATTCAAGCCACTGCAAGGAAATCCGGCCTCCTTTCCAGTTAGGGCTTCTCGCTGTATATTCCCCTTGAGGCAGCAAACTCGGGGTCCCTCCCACATACCTATTGCTGAGAGAAGCCTCCTCCTGAGGTGCTTCTGGGAAGTTGGCATACGTCTTGAGCCTAAGCCAGGGAATCAGCTCGCATCTCGAGACGATTTGGGGTACACGGAGCATTCCTCGAGTTGCTGTGCTGAAGTTGGTGTTCCTCTAGACTTGGGACAGTGTTCTCGGGGCATCTCTGGAGTTGCCTGAAGGAAGTCGAGCCACCGGTCGTGTTGAATGGGGAACGGGGAATGGCTCTGGAGTCAATGCAGGGGAATCGGGCCTCATCTCGAGTTGATTTGGGGCACATGGAGCTGCTTTGCGTTGCTGGGGTGACCTCAGGGTCCGTCTAGACTGTTGACAGTGTACTTGGGGACTGTCTCGAGATCCATTAAGCAAGTCGAGGCTCCTGACTTGTTTGAATGGGATCACGGAATAGCTCTGCATGCACTGCAGGGGAATGGGGCCTCATCTCGCCTCTAGGGGAAAGTCTCATGGTTTTTCTCGAGTTGCGGCGGGGACCTGGGGTATGTTCTCGACTTACGGCGGGGATGGCCCTTCAAAACACGAGTTTTTCAGTGACGTCAGGACTCCTGTCTAGTAACGAGGGACACCTCAGGAATCTCTTCGAGGCTTGGCAGGGCAAAAGGGACGCTTCTCGAGGTGAGGCAGGGCACCCAAGGACCCTTTCCAGTAGCCACAGGGATTTTGGGATTCCTATCAGTATTCAAGAGGAGTCAGGCATCGTCACCTTTTGAAGCAATGAACTCCGCGTGCCTCTCGAGGTGTCAGCGGGATGTGAGGCATCCCGTCAAAATGAGGCAGGGACCTAGGGCTTTCTCTAAGGTCTCCACAGGGGATTCAGACATCCCTTCATGTTGTGAGATGAAAGACGAGCCTGTATTCAAGCCACTGCAAGGAAATCCGGCCTCCTTTCAAGTTAGGGCTTCTCGCTGTATATTCCCCTTGAGGCAGCAAACTCGGGGTCCCTCCCACATACCTGTTGCTGAGAGAAGCCTCCTCCTGAGGTGCTTCTGGGAAGTTGGCATACGCCTTGAGCCTAAGCCAGGGAATCAGCTCTCATCTCGAGACGATTTGGGGTACACGGAGCATTCCTCGAGTTGCTGTGCTGAAGTTGGTGTTCCTCTAGACTTGGGACAGTGTTCTCGGGGCATCTCTGGAGTTGCCTGAAGGAAGTCGAGCCACCGGTCGTGTTGAATGGGGAACGGGGAATGGCTCTGGAGTCAATGCAGGGGAATCGGGCCTCATCTCGAGTTGATTTGGGGCACATGGAGCTGCTTTGCGTTGCTGGGGTGACCTCAGGGTCCGTCTAGACTGGTGACAGTGTTCTTGGGGACTGTCTCGAGATCCATTAAGCAAGTCGAAGCTCCTGACTTGTTTGAATGGGGTCACGGAATAGCTCTGCATGCACTGCAGGGGAATGGGGCCTCATCTCGCCTCTAGGGGGAAGTCTCATGGTTTTTCTCGAGTTGCGGCGGGGACCTGGGGTATGTTCTCGACTTACGGCGGGGATGGCCCTTCAAAACACGAGTTTCTTCAGTGACGTCAGGACTCCTGTCTAGTAACGAGGGACACCTCAGGAATCTCTTCGAGGCTTGGCAGGGCCAAAGGGACGCTTCTCGAGGTGAGGCAGGGCACCCAAGGACCCTTTCCAGTAGCCACAGGGATTTTGGGATTCCTATCAGTATTCAAGAGGAGTCAGGCATCATCACCTTTTGAAGCAATGAACTCCGCGTGCCTCTCGAGGTGTCAGCGGGATGTGAGGCATTCCGTCAAAATGAGGCAGGGACCTAGGGCTTTCTCTAAGGTCTCCACAGGGGATTCAGACATCCCTTCATGTTGTGAGATGAAAGACGAGCCTGTATTCAAGCCACTGCAAGGAAATCCGGCCTCCTTTCAAGTTAGGGCTTCTCGCTGTATATTCCCCTTGAGGCAGCAAACTCGGGGTCCCTCCCACATACCTATTGCTGAGAGAAGCCTCCTCCTGAGGTGCTTCTGGGAAGTTGGCATACGTCTTGAGCCTAAGCCAGGGAATCAGCTCGCATCTCGAGACGATTTGGGGTACACGGAGCATTCCTCGAGTTGCTGTGCTGAAGTTGGTGTTCCTCTAGACTTGGGACAGTGTTCTCGGGGCATCTCCGGAGTTGCCTGAAGGAAGTCGAGCCACCGGTCGTGTTGAATGGGGAACGGGGAATGGCTCTGGAGTCAATGCAGGGGAATCGGGCCTCATCTCGAGTTGATTTGGGGCACATGGAGCTGCTTTGCGTTGCTGGGGTGACCTCAGGGTCCGTCTAGACTGGTGACAGTGTTCTTGGGGACTGTCTCGAGATCCATTAAGCAAGTCGAAGCTCCTGACTTGTTTGAATGGGGTCACGGAATAGCTCTGCATGCACTGCAGGGGAATGGGGCCTCATCTCGCCTCTAGGGGGAAGTCTCATGGTTTTTCTCGAGTTGCGGCGGGGACCTGGGGTATGTTCTCGACTTACGGCGGGGATGGCCCTTCAAAACACGAGTTTCTTCAGTGACGTCAGGACTCCTGTCTAGTAACGAGGGACACCTCAGGAATCTCTTCGAAGCTTGGCAGGGCCAAAGGGACGCTTCTCGAGGTGAGGCAGGGCACCCAAGGACCCTTTCCAGTAGCCACAGGGATTTTGGGATTCCTATCAGTATTCAAGAGGAGTCAGGCATCGTCACCTTTTGAAGCAATGAACTCCGCGTGCCTCTCGAGGTGTCAGCGGGATGTGAGGCATTCCGTCAAAATGAGGCAGGGACCTAGGGCTTTCTCTAAGGTCTCCACAGGGGATTCAGACATCCCTTCATGTTGTGAGATGAAAGACGAGCCTGTATTCAAGCCACTGCAAGGAAATCCGGCCTCCTTTCAAGTTAGGGCTTCTCGCTGTATATTCCCCTTGAGGCAGCAAACTCGGGGTCCCTCCCACATACCTGTTGCTGAGAGAAGCCTCCTCCTGAGGTGCTTCTGGGAAGTTGGCATACGTCTTGAGCCTAAGCCAGGGAATCAGCTCGCATCTCGAGACGATTTGGGGTACACGGAGCATTCCTCGAGTTTCTGTGCTGAAGTTGGTGTTCCTCTAGACTTGGGACAGTGTTCTCGGGGCATCTCTGGAGTTGCCTGAAGGAAGTCGAGCCACCGGTCGTGTTGAATGGGGAACGGGGAATGGCTCTGGAGTCAATGCAGGGGAATCGGGCCTCATCTCGAGTTGATTTGGGGCACATGGAGCTGCTTTGCGTTGCTGGGGTGACCTCAGGGTCCGTCTAGACTGGTGACAGTGTTCTTGGGGACTGTCTCGAGATCCATTAAGCAAGTCGAAGCTCCTGACTTGTTTGAATGGGATCACGGAATAGCTCTGCATGCACTGCAGGGGAATGGGGCCTCATCTCGCCTCTAGGGGGAAGTCTCATGGTTTTTCTCGAGTTGCGGCGGGGACCTGGGGTATGTTCTCGACTTACGGCGGGGATGGCCCTTCAAAACACGAGTTTCTTCAGTGACGTCAGGACTCCTGTCTAGTAACGAGGGACACCTCAGGAATCTCTTCGAGGCTTGGCAGGGCCAAAGGGACGCTTCTCGAGGTGAGGCAGGGCACCCAAGGACCCTTTCCAGTAGCCACAGGGATTTTGGGATTCCTATCAGTATTCAAGAGGAGTCAGGCATCGTCACCTTTTGAAGCAATGAACTCCGCGTGCCTCTCGAGGTGTCAGCGGGATGTGAGGCATTCCGTCAAAATGAGGCAGGGACCTAGGGCTTTCTCTAAGGTCTCCACAGGGGATTCAGACATCCCTTCATGTTGTGAGATGAAAGACGAGCCTGTATTCAAGCCACTGCAAGGAAATCCGGCCTCCTTTCAAGTTAGGGCTTCTCGCTGTATATTCCCCTTGAGGCAGCAAACTCGGGGTCCCTCCCACATACCTATTGCTGAGAGAAGCCTCCTCCTGAGGTGCTTCTGGGAAGTTGGCATACGTCTTGAGCCTAAGCCAGGGAATCAGCTCGCATCTCGAGATGATTTGGGGTACACGGAGCATTCCTCGAGTTGCTGTGCTGAAGTTGGTGTTCCTCTAGACTTGGGACAGTGTTCTCGGGGCATCTCTGGAGTTGCCTGAAGGAAGGCGAGCCACCGGTCGTGTTGAATGGGGAACGGGGAATGGCTCTGGAGTCAATGCAGGGGAATCGGGCCTCATCTCGAGTTGATTTGGGGCACATGGAGCTGCTTTGCGTTGCTGGGGTGACCTCAGGGTCCGTCTAGACTGGTGACAGTGTTCTTGGGGACTGTCTCGAGATCCATTAAGCAAGTCGAAGCTCCTGACTTGTTTGAATGGGATCACGGAATAGCTCTGCATGCACTGCAGGGGAATGGGGCCTCATCTCGCCTCTAGGGGGAAGTCTCATGGTTTTTCTCGAGTTGCGGCGGGGACCTGGGGTATGTTCTCGACTTACGGCGGGGATGGCCCTTCAAAACACGAGTTTCTTCAGTGACGTCAGGACTCCTGTCTAGTAACGAGGGACACCTCAGGAATCTCTTCGAGGCTTGGCAGGGCCAAAGGGACGCTTCTCGAGGTGAGGCAGGGCACCCAAGGACCCTTTCCAGTAGCCACAGGGATTTTGGGATTCCTATCAGTATTCAAGAGGAGTCAGGCATCGTCACCTTTTGAAGCAATGAACTCCGCGTGCCTCTCGAGGTGTCAGCGGGATGTGAGGCATTCCGTCAAAATGAGGCAGGGACCTAGGGCTTTCTCTAAGGTCTCCACAGGGGATTCAGACATCCCTTCATGTTGTGAGATGAAAGACGAGCCTGTATTCAAGCCACTGCAAGGAAATCCGGCCTCCTTTCAAGTTAGGGCTTCTCGCTGTATATTCCCCTTGAGGCAGCAAACTCGGGGTCCCTCCCACATACCTGTTGCTGAGAGAAGCCTCCTCCTGAGGTGCTTCTGGGAAGTTGGCATACGTCTTGAGCCTAAGCCAGGGAATCAGCTCGCATCTCGAGACGATTTGGGGTACACGGAGCATTCCTCGAGTTTCTGTGCTGAAGTTGGTGTTCCTCTAGACTTGGGACAGTGTTCTCGGGGCATCTCTGGAGTTGCCTGAAGGAAGTCGAGCCACCGGTCGTGTTGAATGGGGAACGGGGAATGGCTCTGGAGTCAATGCAGGGGAATCGGGCCTCATCTCGAGTTGATTTGGGGCACATGGAGCTGCTTTGCGTTGCTGGGGTGACCTCAGGGTCCGTCTAGACTGGTGACAGTGTTCTTGGGGACTGTCTCGAGATCCATTAAGCAAGTCGAAGCTCCTGACTTGTTTGAATGGGATCACGGAATAGCTCTGCATGCACTGCAGGGGAATGGGGCCTCATCTCGCCTCTAGGGGGAAGTCTCATGGTTTTTCTCGAGTTGCGGCGGGGACCTGGGGTATGTTCTCGACTTACGGCGGGGATGGCCCTTCAAAACACGAGTTTCTTCAGTGACGTCAGGACTCCTGTCTAGTAACGAGGGACACCTCAGGAATCTCTTCGAGGCTTGGCAGGGCCAAAGGGACGCTTCTCGAGGTGAGGCAGGGCACCCAAGGACCCTTTCCAGTAGCCACAGGGATTTTGGGATTCCTATCAGTATTCAAGAGGAGTCAGGCATCGTCACCTTTTGAAGCAATGAACTCCGCGTGCCTCTCGAGGTGTCAGCGGGATGTGAGGCATTCCGTCAAAATGAGGCAGGGACCTAGGGCTTTCTCTAAGGTCTCCACAGGGGATTCAGACATCCCTTCATGTTGTGAGATGAAAGACGAGCCTGTATTCAAGCCACTGCAAGGAAATCCGGCCTCCTTTCAAGTTAGGGCTTCTCGCTGTATATTCCCCTTGAGGCAGCAAACTCGGGGTCCCTCCCACATACCTATTGCTGAGAGAAGCCTCCTCCTGAGGTGCTTCTGGGAAGTTGGCATACGTCTTGAGCCTAAGCCAGGGAATCAGCTCGCATCTCGAGATGATTTGGGGTACACGGAGCATTCCTCGAGTTGCTGTGCTGAAGTTGGTGTTCCTCTAGACTTGGGACAGTGTTCTCGGGGCATCTCTGGAGTTGCCTGAAGGAAGGCGAGCCACCGGTCGTGTTGAATGGGGAACGGGGAATGGCTCTGGAGTCAATGCAGGGGAATCGGGCCTCATCTCGAGTTGATTTGGGGCACATGGAGCTGCTTTGCGTTGCTGGGGTGACCTCAGGGTCCGTCTAGACTGGTGACAGTGTTCTTGGGGACTGTCTCGAGATCCATTAAGCAAGTCGAAGCTCCTGACTTGTTTGAATGGGATCACGGAATAGCTCTGCATGCACTGCAGGGGAATGGGGCCTCATCTCGCCTCTAGGGGGAAGTCTCATGGTTTTTCTCGAGTTGCGGCGGGGACCTGGGGTATGTTCTCGACTTACGGCGGGGATGGCCCTTCAAAACACGAGTTTCTTCAGTGACGTCAGGACTCCTGTCTAGTAACGAGGGACACCTCAGGAATCTCTTCGAGGCTTGGCAGGGCCAAAGGGACGCTTCTCGAGGTGAGGCAGGGCACCCAAGGACCCTTTCCAGTAGCCACAGGGATTTTGGGATTCCTATCAGTATTCAAGAGGAGTCAGGCATCGTCACCTTTTGAAGCAATGAACTCCGCGTGCCTCTCGAGGTGTCAGCGGGATGTGAGGCATTCCGTCAAAATGAGGCAGGGACCTAGGGCTTTCTCTAAGGTCTCCACAGGGGATTCAGACATCCCTTCATGTTGTGAGATGAAAGCCGAGCCTGTATTCAAGCCACTGCAAGGAAATCCGGCCTCCTTTCAAGTTAGGGCTTCTCGCTGTATATTCCCCTTGAGGCAGCAAACTCGGGGTCCCTCCCACATACCTATTGCTGAGAGAAGCCTCCTCCTGAGGTGCTTCTGGGAAGTTGGCATACGTCTTGAGCCTAAGCCAGGGAATCAGCTCGCATCTCGAGACGATTTGGGGTAGACGGAGCATTCCTCGAGTTGCTGTGCTGAAGTTGGTGTTCCTCTAGACTTGGGACAGTGTTCTCGGGGCATCTCTGGAGTTGCCTGAAGGAAGTCGAGCCACCGGTCGTGTTGAATGGGGAACGGGGAATGGCTCTGGAGTCAATGCAGGGGAATCGGGCCTCATCTCGAGTTGATTTGGGGCACATGGAGCTGCTTTGCGTTGCTGGGGTGACCTCAGGGTCCGTCTAGACTGGTGACAGTGTTCTTGGGGACTGTCTCGAGATCCATTAAGCAAGTCGAAGCTCCTGACTTGTTTGAATGGGGTCACGGAATAGCTCTGCATGCACTGCAGGGGAATGGGGCCTCATCTCGCCTCTAGGGGGAAATCTCATGGTTTTTCTCGAGTTGCGGCGGGGACCTGGGGTATGTTCTCGACTTACGGCGGGGATGGCCCTTCATAACACGAGTTTCTTCAGTGACGTCAGGACTCCTGTCTAGTAACGAGGGACACCTCAGGAATCTCTTCGAGGCTTGGCAGGGCCAAAGGGACGCTTCTCGAGGTGAGGCAGGGCACCCAAGGACCCTTTCCAGTAGCCACAGGGATTTTGGGATTCCTATCAGTATTCAAGAGGAGTCAGGCATCGTCACCTTTTGAAGCAATGAACTCCACGTGCCTCTCGAGGTGTCAGCGGGATGTGAGGCATTCCGTCAAAATGAGGCAGGGACCTAGGGCTTTCTCTAAGGTCTCCACAGGGGATTCAGACATCCCTTCATGTTGTGAGATGAAAGACGAGCCTGTATTCAAGCCACTGCAAGGAAATCCGGCCTCCTTTCAAGTTAGGGCTTCTCGCTGTATATTCCCCTTGAGGCAGCAAACTCGGGGTCCCTCCCACATACCTATTGCTGAGAGAAGCCTCCTCCTGAGGTGCTTCTGGAAAGTTGGCATACGTCTTGAGCCTAAGCCAGGGAATCAGCTCTCATCTCGAGACGATTTGGGGTACACAGAGTATTCCTCGAGTTGCTGTGCTGAAGTTGGTGTTCCTCTAGACTTGGGACAGTGTTCTCGGGGCATCTCTGGAGTTGCCTGAAGGAAGTCGAGCCACCGGTCGTGTTGAATGGGGAACGGGGAATGGCTCTGGAGTCAATGCAGGGGAATCGGGCCTCATCTCGAGTTGATTTGGGGCACATGGAGCTGCTTTGCGTTGCTGGGGTGACCTCAGGGTCCGTCTAGACTGGTGACAGTGTTCTTGGGGACTGTCTCGAGATCCATTAAGCAAGTCGAAGCTCCTGACTTGTTTGAATGGGGTCACGGAATAGCTCTGCATGCACTGCAGGGGAATGGGGCCTCATCTCGCCTCTAGGGGGAAGTCTCATGGTTTTTCTCGAGTTGCGGCGGGGACCTGGGGTATGTTCTCGACTTACGGCGGGGATGGCCCTTCAAAACACGAGTTTCTTCAGTGACGTCAGGACTCCTGTCTAGTAACGAGGGACACCTCAGGAATCTCTTCGAGGCTTGGCAGGGCCAAAGGGACGCTTCTCGAGGTGAGGCAGGGCACCCAAGGACCCTTTCCAGTAGCCACAGGGATTTTGGGATTCCTATCAGTATTCAAGAGGAGTCAGGCATCGTCACCTTTTGAAGCAATGAACTCCGCGTGCCTCTCGAGGTGTCAGCGGGATGTGAGGCATTCCGTCAAAATGAGGCAGGGACCTAGGGCTTTCTCTAAGGTCTCCACAGGGGATTCAGACATCCCTTCATGTTGTGAGATGAAAGACGAGCCTGTATTCAAGCCACTGCAAGGAAATCCGGCCTCCTTTCAAGTTAGGGCTTCTCGCTGTATATTCCCCTTGAGGCAGCAAACTCGGGGTCCCTCCCACATACCTATTGCTGAGAGAAGCCTCCTCCTGAGGTGCTTCTGGGAAGTTGGCATACGTCTTGAGCCTAAGCCAGGGAATCAGCTCGCATCTCAAGACGATTTGGGGTACACGGAGCATTCCTCGAGTTGCTGTGCTGAAGTTGCTGTTCCTCTAGATTTGGGACAGTGTTCTCGGGGCATCTCTGGAGTTGCCTGAAGGAAGTCGAGCCACCGGTCGTGTTGAATGGGGAACGGGGAATGGCTCTGGAGTCAATGCAGGGGAATCGGGCCTCATCTCGAGTTGATTTGGGGCACATGGAGCTGCTTTGCGTTGCTGGGGTGACCTCAGGGTCCGTCTAGACTGGTGACAGTGTTCTTGGGGACTGTCTCGAGATCCATTAAGCAAGTCGAAGCTCCTGACTTGTTTGAATGGGGTCACGGAATAGCTCTGCATGCACTGCAGGGGAATGGGGCCTCATCTCGCCTCTAGGGGGAAGTCTCATGGTTTTTCTCGAGTTGCGGCGGGGACCTGGGGTATGTTCTCGACTTACGGCGGGGATGGCCCTTCAAAACACGAGTTTCTTCAGTGACGTCAGGACTCCTGTCTAGTAACGAGGGACACCTCAGGAATCTCTTCGAGGCTTGTCAGGGCAAAGGGACGCTTCTCGAGGTGAGGCAGGGCACCCAAGGACCCTTTCCAGTAGCCACAGGGATTTTGGGATTCCTATCAGTATTCAAGAGGAGTCAGGCATCGTCACCTTTTGAAGCAATGAACTCCGCGTGCCTCTCGAGGTGTCAGCGGGATGTGAGGCATTCCGTCAAAATGAGGCAGGGACCTAGGGCTTTCTCTAAGGTCTCCACAGGGGATTCAGACATCCCTTCATGTTGTGAGATGAAAGACGAGCCTGTATTCAAGCCACTGCAAGGAAATCCGGCCTCCTTTCAAGTTAGGGCTTCTCGCTGTATATTCCCCTTGAGGCAGCAAACTCGGGGTCCCTCCCACATACATATTGCTGAGAGAAGCCTCCTCCTGAGGTGCTTCTGGGAAGTTGGCATACGTCTTGAGCCTAAGCCAGGGAATCAGCTCGCATCTCGAGACGATTTGGGGTACACGGAGCATTCCTCGAGTTGCTGTGCTGAAGTTGGTGTTCCTCTAGACTTGGGACAGTGTTCTCGGGGCATCTCTGGAGTTGCCTGAAGGAAGTCGAGCCACCGGTCGTGTTGAATGGGGAACGGGGAATGGCTCTGGAGTCAATGCAGGGGAATCGGGCCTCATCTCGAGTTGATTTGGGGCACATGGAGCTGCTTTGCGTTGCTGGGGTGACCTCAGGGTCCGTCTAGACTGGTGACAGTGTTCTTGGGGACTGTCTCGAGATCCATTAAGCAAGTCGAAGCTCCTGACTTGTTTGAATGGGATCACGGAATAGCTCTGCATGCACTGCAGGGGAATGGGGCCTCATCTCGCCTCTAGGGGGAAGTCTCATGGTTTTTCTCGAGTTGCGGCGGGGACCTGGGGTATGTTCTCGACTTACGGCGGGGATGGCCCTTCAAAACACGAGTTTCTTCAGTGACGTCAGGACTCCTGTCTAGTAACGAGGGACACCTCAGGAATCTCTTCGAGGCTTGGCAGGGCCAAAGGGACGCTTCTCGAGGTGAGGCAGGGCACCCAAGGACCCTTTCCAGTAGCCACAGGGATTTTGGGATTCCTATCAGTATTCAAGTGGAGTCAGGCATCGTCACCTTTTGAAGCAATGAACTCCGCGTGCCTCTCGAGGTGTCAGCGGGATGTGAGGCATTCCGTCAAAATGAGGCAGGGACCTAGGGCTTTCTATAAGGTCTCCACAGGGGATTCAGACATCCCTTCATGTTGTGAGATGAAAGACGAGCCTGTATTCAAGCCACTGCAAGGAAATCCGGCCTCCTTTCAAGTTAGGGCTTCTCGCTGTATATTCCCCTTGAGGCAGCAAACTCGGGGTCCCTCCCACATACCTATTGCTGAGAGAAGCCTCCTCCTGAGGTGCTTCTGGGAAGTTGGCATACGTCTTGAGCCTAAGCCAGGGAATCAGTCGCATCTCGAGATGATTTGGGGTACACGGAGCATTCCTCGAGTTGCTGTGCTGAAGTTGGTGTTCCTCTAGACTTGGGACAGTGTTCTCGGGGCATCTCTGGAGTTGCCTGAAGGAAGTCGAGCCACCGGTCGTGTTGAATGGGGAACGGGGAATGGCTCTGGAGTCAATGCAGGGGAATCGGGCCTCATCTCGAGTTGATTTGGGGCACATGGAGCTGCTTTGCGTTGCTGGGGTGACCTCAGGGTCCGTCTAGACTGGTGACAGTGTTCTTGGGGACTGTCTCGAGATCCATTAAGCAAGTCGAAGCTCCTGACTTGTTTGAATGGGATCACGGAATAGCTCTGCATGCACTGCAGGGGAATGGGGCCTCATCTCGCCTCTAGGGGGAAGTCTCATGGTTTTTCTCGAGTTGCGGCGGGGACCTGGGGTATGTTCTCGACTTACGGCGGGGATGGCCCTTCAAAACACGAGTTTCTTCAGTGACGTCAGGACTCCTGTCTAGTAACGAGGGACACCTCAGGAATCTCTTCGAGGCTTGGCAGGGCCAAAGGGACGCTTCTCGAGGTGAGGCAGGGCACCCAAGGACCCTTTCCAGTAGCCACAGGGATTTTGGGATTCCTATCAGTATTCAAGAGGAGTCAGGCATCGTCACCTTTTGAAGCAATGAACTCCGCGTGCCTCTCGAGGTGTCAGCGGGATGTGAGGCATTCCGTCAAAATGAGGCAGGGACCTAGGGCTTTCTCTAAGGTCTCCACAGGGGATTCAGACATCCCTTCATGTTGTGAGATGAAAGACGAGCCTGTATTCAAGCCACTGCAAGGAAATCCGGCCTCCTTTCAAGTTAGGGCTTCTCGCTGTATATTCCCCTTGAGGCAGCAAACTCGGGGTCCCTCCCACATACCTATTGCTGAGAGAAGCCTCCTCCTGAGGTGCTTCTGGGAAGTTGGCATACGTCTTGAGCCTAAGCCAGGGAATCAGCTCGCATCTCGAGACGATTTGGGGTACACGGAGCATTCCTCGAGTTGCTGTGCTGAAGTTGGTGTTCCTCTAGACTTGGGACAGTGTTCTCGGGGCATCTCTGGAGTTGCCTGAAGGAAGTCGAGCCACCGGTCGTGTTGAATGGGGAACGGGGAATGGCTCTGGAGTCAATGCAGGGGAATCGGGCCTCATCTCGAGTTGATTTGGGGCACATGGAGCTGCTTTGCGTTGCTGGGGTGACCTCAGGGTCCGTCTAGACTGGTGACAGTGTTCTTGGGGACTGTCTCGAGATCCATTAAGCAAGTCGAAGCTCCTGACTTGTTTGAATGGGATCACGGAATAGCTCTGCATGCACTGCAGGGGAATGGGGCCTCATCTCGCCTCTAGGGGGAAGTCTCATGGTTTTTCTCGAGTTGCGGCGGGGACCTGGGGTATGTTCTCGACTTACGGCGGGGATGGCCCTTCAAAACACGAGTTTCTTCAGTGACGTCAGGACTCCTGTCTAGTAACGAGGGACACCTCAGGAATCTCTTCGAGGCTTGGCAGGGCCAAAGGGACGCTTCTCGAGGTGAGGCAGGGCACCCAAGGACCCTTTCCAGTAGCCACAGGGATTTTGGGATTCCTATCAGTATTCAAGAGGAGTCAGGCATCGTCACCTTTTGAAGCAATGAACTCCGCGTGCCTCTCGAGGTGTCAGCGGGATGTGAGGCATTCCGTCAAAATGAGGCAGGGACCTAGGGCTTTCTCTAAGGTCTCCACAGGGGATTCAGACATCCCTTCATGTTGTGAGATGAAAGACGAGCCTGTATTCAAGCCACTGCAAGGAAATCCGGCCTCCTTTCAAGTTAGGGCTTCTCGCTGTATATTCCCCTTGAGGCAGCAAACTCGGGGTCCCTCCCACATACCTATTGCTGAGAGAAGCCTCCTCCTGAGGTGCTTCTGGGAAGTTGGCATACGTCTTGAGCCTAAGCCAGGGAATCAGCTCGCATCTCGAGACGATTTGGGGTACACGGAGCATTCCTCGAGTTGCTGTGCTGAAGTTGGTGTTCCTCTAGACTTGGGACAGTGTTCTCGGGGCATCTCTGGAGTTGCCTGAAGGAAGTCGAGCCACCGGTCGTGTTGAATGGGGAACGGGGAATGGCTCTGGAGTCAATGCAGGGGAATCGGGCCTCATCTCGAGTTGATTTGGGGCACATGGAGCTGCTTTGCGTTGCTGGGGTGACCTCAGGGTCCGTCTAGACTGGTGACAGTGTTCTTGGGGACTGTCTCGAGATCCATTAAGCAAGTCGAAGCTCCTGACTTGTTTGAATGGGATCACGGAATAGCTCTGCATGCACTGCAGGGGAATGGGGCCTCATCTTGCCTCTAGGGGGAAGTCTCATGGTTTTTCTCGAGTTGCGGCGGGGACCTGGGGTATGTTCTCGACTTACGGCGGGGATGGCCCTTCAAAACACGAGTTTCTTCAGTGACGTCAGGACTCCTGTCTAGTAACGAGGGACACCTCAGGAATCTCTTCGAGGCTTGGCAGGGCCAAAGGGACGCTTCTCGAGGTGAGGCAGGGCACCCAAGGACCCTTTCCAGTAGCCACAGGGATTTTGGGATTCCTATCAGTATTCAAGAGGAGTCAGGCATCGTCACCTTTTGAAGCAATGAACTCCGCGTGCCTCTCGAGGTGTCAGCGGGATGTGAGGCATTCCGTCAAAATGAGGCAGGGACCTAGGGCTTTCTCTAAGGTCTCCACAGGGGATTCAGACATCCCTTCATGTTGTGAGATGAAAGACGAGCCTGTATTCAAGCCACTGCAAGGAAATCCGGCCTCCTTTCAAGTTAGGGCTTCTCGCTGTATATTCCCCTTGAGGCAGCAAACTCGGGGTCCCTCCCACATACCTATTGCTGAGAGAAGCCTCCTCCTGAGGTGCTTCTGGGAAGTTGGCATACGTCTTGAGCCTAAGCCAGGGAATCAGCTCGCATCTCGAGACGATTTGGGGTACACGGAGCATTCCTCGAGTTGCTGTGCTGAAGTTGGTGTTCCTCTAGACTTGGGACAGTGTTCTCGGGGCATCTCTGGAGTTGCCTGAAGGAAGTCGAGCCACCGGTCGTGTTGAATGGGGAACGGGGAATGGCTCTGGAGTCAATGCAGGGGAATCGGGCCTCATCTCGAGTTGATTTGGGGCACATGGAGCTGCTTTGCGTTGCTGGGGTGACCTCAGGGTCCGTCTAGACTGGTGACAGTGTTCTTGGGGACTGTCTCGAGATCCATTAAGCAAGTCGAAGCTCCTGACTTGTTTGAATGGGATCACGGAATAGCTCTGCATGCACTGCAGGGGAATGGGGCCTCATCTCGCCTCTAGGGGGAAGTCTCATGGTTTTTCTCGAGTTGCGGCGGGGACCTGGGGTATGTTCTCGACTTACGGCGGGGATGGCCCTTCAAAACACGAGTTTCTTCAGTGACGTCAGGACTCCTGTCTAGTAACGAGGGACACCTCAGGAATCTCTTCGAGGCTTGGCAGGGCCAAAGGGACGCTTCTCGAGGTGAGGCAGGGCACCCAAGGACCCTTTCCAGTAGCCACAGGGATTTTGGGATTCCTATCAGTATTCAAGAGGAGTCAGGCATCGTCACCTTTTGAAGCAATGAAATCCGTGTGCCTCTCGAGGTGTCAGCGGGATGTGAGGCATCCCGTCAAAATGAGGCAGGGACCTAGGGCTTTCTCTAAGGTCTCCACAGGGGATTCAGACATCCCTTCATGTTGTGAGATGATAGACGAGCCTGTATTCAAGCCACTGCAAGGAAATCCGGCCTCCTTTCAAGTTAGGGCTTCTCGCTGTATATTCCCCTTGAGGCAGCAAACTCGGGGTCCCTCCCACATACCTATTGCTGAGAGAAGCCTCCTCCTGAGGTGCTTCTGGGAAGTTGGCATACGTCTTGAGCCTAAGCCAGGGAATCAGCTCGCATCTCGAGATGATTTGGGGTACACGGAGCATTCCTCGAGTTGCTGTGCTGAAGTTGGTGTTCCTCTAGACTTGGGACAGTGTTCTCGGGGCATCTCTGGAGTTGCCTGAAGGAAGTCGAGCCACCGGTCGTGTTGAATGGGGAACGGGGAATGGCTCTGGAGTCAATGCAGGGGAATCGGGCCTCATCTCGAGTTGATTTGGGGCACATGGAGCTGCTTTGCGTTGCTGGGGTGACCTCAGGGTCCGTCTAGACTGGTGACAGTGTTCTTGGGGACTGTCTCGAGATCCATTAAGCAAGTCGAAGCTCCTGACTTGTTTGAATGGGGTCATGGAATAGCTCTGCATGCACTGCAGGGGAATGGGGCCTCATCTCGCCTCTAGGGGGAAGTCTCATGGTTTTTCTCGAGTTGCGGCGGGGACCTGGGGTATGTTCTCGACTTACGGCGGGGATGGCCCTTCAAAACACGAGTTTCTTCAGTGACGTCAGGACTCCTGTCTAGTAACGAGGGACACCTCAGGAATCTCTTCGAGGCTTGGCAGGGCCAAAGGGACGCTTTTCGAGGTGAGGCAGGGCACCCAAGGACCCTTTCCAGTAGCCACAGGGATTTTGGGATTCCTATCAGTATTCAAGAGGAGTCAGGCATCGTCACCTTTTGAAGCAATGAACTCCGCGTGCCTCTCGAGGTGTCAGCGGGATGTGAGGCATTCCGTCAAAATGAGGCAGGGACCTAGGGCTTTCTCTAAGGTCTCCACAGGGGATTCAGACATCCCTTCATGTTGTGAGATGAAAGACGAGCCTGTATTCAAGCCACTGCAAGGAAATCCGGCCTCCTTTCAAGTTAGGGCTTCTCGCTGTATATTCCCCTTGAGGCAGCAAACTCGGGGTCCCTCCCACATACCTATTGCTGAGAGAAGCCTCCTCCTGAGGTGCTTCTGGGAAGTTGGCATACGTCTTGAGCCTAAGCCAGGGAATCAGCTCTAATCTCGAGACGATTTGGGGTACACGGAGCATTCCTCGAGTTGCTGTGCTGAAGTTGGTGTTCCTCTAGACTTGGGACAGTGTTCTCGGGGCATCTCTGGAGTTGCCTGAAGGAAGTCGAGCCACCGGTCGTGTTGAATGGGGAACGGGGAATGGCTCTGGAGTCAATGCAGGGGAATCGGGCCTCATCTCGAGTTGATTTGGGGCACATGGAGCTGCTTTGCGTTGCTGGGGTGACCTCAGGGTCCGTCTAGACTGGTGACAGTGTTCTTGGGGACTGTCTCGAGATCCATTAAGCAAGTCGAAGCTCCTGACTTGTTTGAATGGGATCACGGAATAGCTCTGCATGCACTGCAGGGGAATGGGGCCTCATCTCGCCTCTAGGGGGAAGTCTCATGGTTTTTCTCGAGTTGCGGCGGGGACCTGGGGTATGTTCTCGACTTACGGCGGGGATGGCCCTTCAAAACACGAGTTTCTTCAGTGACGTCAGGACTCCTGTCTAGTAACGAGGGACACCTCAGGAATCTCTTCGAGGCTTGGCAGGGCCAAAGGGACGCTTCTCGAGGTGAGGCAGGGCACCCAAGGACCCTTTCCAGTAGCCACAGGGATTTTGGGATTCCTATCAGTATTCAAGAGGAGTCAGGCATCGTCACCTTTTGAAGCAATGAACTCCGCGTGCCTCTCGAGGTGTCAGCGGGATGTGAGGCATTCCGTCAAAATGAGGCAGGGACCTAGGGCTTTCTCTAAGGTCTCCACAGGGGATTCAGACATCCCTTCATGTTGTGAGATGAAAGACGAGCCTGTATTCAAGCCACTGCAAGGAAATCCGGCCTCCTTTCAAGTTAGGGCTTCTCGCTGTATATTCCCCTTGAGGCAGCAAACTCGGGGTCCCTCCCACATACCTATTGCTGAGAGAAGCCTCCTCCTGAGGTGCTTCTGGGAAGTTGGCATACGTCTTGAGCCTAAGCCAGGGAATCAGCTCGCATCTCGAGATGATTTGGGGTACACGGAGCATTCCTCGAGTTGCTGTGCTGAAGTTGGTGTTCCTCTAGACTTGGGACAGTGTTCTCGGGGCATCTCTGGAGTTGCCTGAAGGAAGGCGAGCCACCGGTCGTGTTGAATGGGGAACGGGGAATGGCTCTGGAGTCAATGCAGGGGAATCGGGCCTCATCTCGAGTTGATTTGGGGCACATGGAGCTGCTTTGCGTTGCTGGGGTGACCTCAGGGTCCGTCTAGACTGGTGACAGTGTTCTTGGGGACTGTCTCGAGATCCATTAAGCAAGTCGAAGCTCCTGACTTGTTTGAATGGGATCACGGAATAGCTCTGCATGCACTGCAGGGGAATGGGGCCTCATCTCGCCTCTAGGGGGAAGTCTCATGGTTTTTCTCGAGTTGCGGCGGGGACCTGGGGTATGTTCTCGACTTACGGCGGGGATGGCCCTTCAAAACACGAGTTTCTTCAGTGACGTCAGGACTCCTGTCTAGTAACGAGGGACACCTCAGGAATCTCTTCGAGGCTTGGCAGGGCCAAAGGGACGCTTCTCGAGGTGAGGCAGGGCACCCAAGGACCCTTTCCAGTAGCCACAGGGATTTTGGGATTCCTATCAGTATTCAAGAGGAGTCAGGCATCGTCACCTTTTGAAGCAATGAACTCCGCGTGCCTCTCGAGGTGTCAGCGGGATGTGAGGCATTCCGTCAAAATGAGGCAGGGACCTAGGGCTTTCTCTAAGGTCTCCACAGGGGATTCAGACATCCCTTCATGTTGTGAGATGAAAGCCGAGCCTGTATTCAAGCCACTGCAAGGAAATCCGGCCTCGTTTCAAGTTAGGGCTTCTCGCTGTATATTCCCCTTGAGGCAGCAAACTCGGGGTCCCTCCCACATACCTATTGCTGAGAGAAGCCTCCTCCTGAGGTGCTTCTGGGAAGTTGGCATACGTCTTGAGCCTAAGCCAGGGAATCAGCTCGCATCTCGAGACGATTTGGGGTAGACGGAGCATTCCTCGAGTTGCTGTGCTGAAGTTGGTGTTCCTCTAGACTTGGGACAGTGTTCTCGGGGCATCTCTGGAGTTGCCTGAAGGAAGTCGAGCCACCGGTCGTGTTGAATGGGGAACGGGGAATGGCTCTGGAGTCAATGCAGGGGAATCGGGCCTCATCTCGAGTTGATTTGGGGCACATGGAGCTGCTTTGCGTTGCTGGGGTGACCTCAGGGTCCGTCTAGACTGGTGACAGTGTTCTTGGGGACTGTCTCGAGATCCATTAAGCAAGTCGAAGCTCCTGACTTGTTTGAATGGGGTCACGGAATAGCTCTGCATGCACTGCAGGGGAATGGGGCCTCATCTCGCCTCTAGGGGGAAGTCTCATGGTTTTTCTCGAGTTGCGGCGGGGACCTGGGGTATGTTCTCGACTTACGGCGGGGATGGCCCTTCATAACACGAGTTTCTTCAGTGACGTCAGGACTCCTGTCTAGTAACGAGGGACACCTCAGGAATCTCTTCGAGGCTTGGCAGGGCCAAAGGGACGCTTCTCGAGGTGAGGCAGGGCACCCAAGGACCCTTTCCAGTAGCCACAGGGATTTTGGGATTCCTATCAGTATTCAAGAGGAGTCAGGCATCGTCACCTTTTGAAGCAATGAACTCCACGTGCCTCTCGAGGTGTCAGCGGGATGTGAGGCATTCCGTCAAAATGAGGCAGGGACCTAGGGCTTTCTCTAAGGTCTCCACAGGGGATTCAGACATCCCTTCATGTTGTGAGATGAAAGACGAGCCTGTATTCAAGCCACTGCAAGGAAATCCGGCCTCCTTTCAAGTTAGGGCTTCTCGCTGTATATTCCCCTTGAGGCAGCAAACTCGGGGTCCCTCCCACATACCTATTGCTGAGAGAAGCCTCCTCCTGAGGTGCTTCTGGAAAGTTGGCATACGTCTTGAGCCTAAGCCAGGGAATCAGCTCTCATCTCGAGACGATTTGGGGTACACAGAGTATTCCTCGAGTTGCTGTGCTGAAGTTGGTGTTCCTCTAGACTTGGGACAGTGTTCTCGGGGCATCTCTGGAGTTGCCTGAAGGAAGTCGAGCCACCGGTCGTGTTGAATGGGGAACGGGGAATGGCTCTGGAGTCAATGCAGGGGAATCGGGCCTCATCTCGAGTTGATTTGGGGCACATGGAGCTGCTTTGCGTTGCTGGGGTGACCTCAGGGTCCGTCTAGACTGGTGACAGTGTTCTTGGGGACTGTCTCGAGATCCATTAAGCAAGTCGAAGCTCCTGACTTGTTTGAATGGGGTCACGGAATAGCTCTGCATGCACTGCAGGGGAATGGGGCCTCATCTCGCCTCTAGGGGGAAGTCTCATGGTTTTTCTCGAGTTGCGGCGGGGACCTGGGGTATGTTCTCGACTTACGGCGGGGATGGCCCTTCAAAACACGAGTTTCTTCAGTGACGTCAGGACTCCTGTCTAGTAACGAGGGACACCTCAGGAATCTCTTCGAGGCTTGGCAGGGCCAAAGGGACGCTTCTCGAGGTGAGGCAGGGCACCCAAGGACCCTTTCCAGTAGCCACAGGGATTTTGGGATTCCTATCAGTATTCAAGAGGAGTCAGGCATCGTCACCTTTTGAAGCAATGAAATCCGCGTGCCTCTCGAGGTGTCAGCGGGATGTGAGGCATTCCGTCAAAATGAGGCAGGGACCTAGGGCTTTCTCTAAGGTCTCCACAGGGGATTCAGACATCCCTTCATGTTGTGAGATGAAAGACGAGCCTGTATTCAAGCCACTGCAAGGAAATCCGGCCTCCTTTCAAGTTAGGGCTTCTCGCTGTATATTCCCCTTGAGGCAGCAAACTCGGGGTCCCTCCCACATACCTATTGCTGAGAGAAGCCTCCTCCTGAGGTGCTTCTGGGAAGTTGGCATACGTCTTGAGCCTAAGCCAGGGAATCAGCTCGCATCTCAAGACGATTTGGGGTACACGGAGCATTCCTCGAGTTGCTGTGCTGAAGTTGCTGTTCCTCTAGACTTGGGACAGTGTTCTCGGGGCATCTCTGGAGTTGCCTGAAGGAAGTCGAGCCACCGGTCGTGTTGAATGGGGAACGGGGAATGGCTCTGGAGTCAATGCAGGGGAATCGGGCCTCATCTCGAGTTGATTTGGGGCACATGGAGCTGCTTTGCGTTGCTGGGGTGACATCAGGGTCCGTCTAGACTGGTGACAGTGTTCTTGGGGACTGTCTCGAGATCCATTAAGCAAGTCGAAGCTCCTGACTTGTTTGAATGGGGTCACGGAATAGCTCTGCATGCACTGCAGGGGAATGGGGCCTCATCTCGCCTCTAGGGGGAAGTCTCATGGTTTTTCTCGAGTTGCGGCGGGGACCTGGGGTATGTTCTCGACTTACGGCGGGGATGGCCCTTCAAAACACGAGTTTCTTCAGTGACGTCAGGACTCCTGTCTAGTAACGAGGGACACCTCAGGAATCTCTTCGAGGCTTGGCAGGGCCAAAGGGACGCTTCTCGAGGTGAGGGAGGGCACCCAAGGACCCTTTCCAGTAGCCACAGGGATTTTGGGATTCCTATCAGTATTCAAGAGGAGTCAGGCATCGTCACCTTTTGAAGCAATGAACTCCGCGTGCCTCTCGAGGTGTCAGCGGGATGTGAGGCATTCCGTCAAAATGAGGCAGGGACCTAGGGCTTTCTCTAAGGTCTCCACAGGGGATTCAGACATCCCTTCATGTTGTGAGATGAAAGACGAGCCTGTATTCAAGCCACTGCAAGGAAATCCGGCCTCCTTTCAAGTTAGGGCTTCTCGCTGTATATTCCCCTTGAGGCAGCAAACTCGGGGTCCCTCCCACATACCTATTGCTGAGAGAAGCCTCCTCCTGAGGTGCTTCTGGGAAGTTGGCATACGTCTTGAGCCTAAGCCAGGGAATCAGCTCGCATCTCGAGACGATTTGGGGTACACGGAGCATTCCTCGAGTTGCTGTGCTGAAGTTAGTGTTCCTCTAGACTTGGGACAGTGTTCTCGGGGCATCTCTGGAGTTGCCTGAAGGAAGTCGAGCCACCGGTCGTGTTGAATGGGGAACGGGGAATGGCTCTGGAGTCAATGCAGGGGAATCGGGCCTCATCTCGAGTTGATTTGGGGCACATGGAGCTGCTTTGCGTTGCTGGGGTGACCTCAGGGTCCGTCTAGACTGGTGACAGTGTTCTTGGGGACTGTCTCGAGATCCATTAAGCAAGTCGAAGCTCCTGACTTGTTTGAATGGGGTCACGGAATAGCTCTGCATGCACTGCAGGGGAATGGGGCCTCATCTCGCCTCTAGGGGGAAGTCTCATGGTTTTTCTCGAGTTGCGGCGGGGACCTGGGGTATGTTCTCGACTTACGGCGGGGATGGCCCTTCAAAACACGAGTTTCTTCAGTGACGTCAGGACTCCTGTCTAGTAACGAGGGACACCTCAGGAATCTCTTCGAGGCTTGTCAGGGCAAAGGGACGCTTCTCGAGGTGAGGCAGGGCACCCAAGGACCCTTTCCAGTAGCCACAGGGATTTTGGGATTCCTATCAGTATTCAAGAGGAGTCAGGCATCGTCACCTTTTGAAGCAATGAACTCCGCGTGCCTCTCGAGGTGTCAGCGGGATGTGAGGCATTCCGTCAAAATGAGGCAGGGACCTAGGGCTTTCTCTAAGGTCTCCACAGGGGATTCAGACATCCCTTCATGTTGTGAGATGAAAGACGAGCCTGTATTCAAGCCACTGCAAGGAAATCCGGCCTCCTTTCAAGTTAGGGCTTCTCGCTGTATATTCCCCTTGAGGCAGCAAACTCGGGGTCCCTCCCACATACCTATTGCTGAGAGAAGCCTCCTCCTGAGGTGCTTCTGGGAAGTTGGCATACGTCTTGAGCCTAAGCCAGGGAATCAGCTCGCATCTCGAGACGATTTGGGGTACACGGAGCATTCCGCGAGTTGCTGTGCTGAAGTTGGTGTTCCTCTAGACTTGGGACAGTGTTCTCGGGCATCTCTGGAGTTGCCTGAAGGAAGTCGAGCCACCGGTCGTGTTGAATGGGGAACGGGGAATGGCTCTGGAGTCAATGCAGGGGAATCGGGCCTCATCTCGAGTTGATTTGGGGCACATGGAGCTGCTTTGCGTTGCTGGGGTGACCTCAGGGTCCGTCTAGACTGGTGACAGTGTTCTTGGGGACTGTCTCGAGATCCATTAAGCAAGTCGAAGCTCCTGACTTGTTTGAATGGGATCACGGAATAGCTCTGCATGCACTGCAGGGGAATGGGGCCTCATCTCGCCTCTAGGGGGAAGTCTCATGGTTTTTCTCGAGTTGCGGCGGGGACCTGGGGTATGTTCTCGACTTACGGCGGGGATGGCCCTTCAAAACACGAGTTTCTTCAGTGACGTCAGGACTCCTGTCTAGTAACGAGGGACACCTCAGGAATCTCTTCGAGGCTTGGCAGGGCCAAAGGGACGCTTCTCGAGGTGAGGCAGGGCACCCAAGGACCCTTTCCAGTAGCCACAGGGATTTTGGGATTCCTATCAGTATTCAAGAGGAGTCAGGCATCGTCACCTTTTGAAGCAATGAACTCCGCGTGCCTCTCGAGGTGTCAGCGGGATGTGAGGCATTCCGTCAAAATGAGGCAGGGACCTAGGGCTTTCTCTAAGGTCTCCACAGGGGATTCAGACATCCCTTCATGTTGTGAGATGAAAGACGAGCCTGTATTCAAGCCACTGCAAGGAAATCCGGCCTCCTTTCAAGTTAGGGCTTCTCGCTGTATATTCCCCTTGAGGCAGCAAACTCGGGGTCCCTCCCACATACCTATTGCTGAGAGAAGCCTCCTCCTGAGGTGCTTCTGGGAAGTTGGCATACGTCTTGAGCCTAAGCCAGGGAATCAGCTCGCATCTCGAGATGATTTGGGGTACACGGAGCATTCCTCGAGTTGCTGTGCTGAAGTTGGTGTTCCTCTAGACTTGGGACAGTGTTCTCGGGGCATCTCTGGAGTTGCCTGAAGGAAGGCGAGCCACCGGTCGTGTTGAATGGGGAACGGGGAATGGCTCTGGAGTCAATGCAGGGGAATCGGGCCTCATCTCGAGTTGATTTGGGGCACATGGAGCTGCTTTGCGTTGCTGGGGTGACCTCAGGGTCCGTCTAGACTGGTGACAGTGTTCTTGGGGACTGTCTCGAGATCCATTAAGCAAGTCGAAGCTCCTGACTTGTTTGAATGGGATCACGGAATAGCTCTGCATGCACTGCAGGGGAATGGGGCCTCATCTCGCCTCTAGGGGGAAGTCTCATGGTTTTTCTCGAGTTGCGGCGGGGACCTGGGGTATGTTCTCGACTTACGGCGGGGATGGCCCTTCAAAACACGAGTTTCTTCAGTGACGTCAGGACTCCTGTCTAGTAACGAGGGACACCTCAGGAATCTCTTCGAGGCTTGGCAGGGCCAAAGGGACGCTTCTCGAGGTGAGGCAGGGCACCCAAGGACCCTTTCCAGTAGCCACAGGGATTTTGGGATTCCTATCAGTATTCAAGAGGAGTCAGGCATCGTCACCTTTTGAAGCAATGAACTCCGCGTGCCTCTCGAGGTGTCAGCGGGATGTGAGGCATTCCGTCAAAATGAGGCAGGGACCTAGGGCTTTCTCTAAGGTCTCCACAGGGGATTCAGACATCCCTTCATGTTGTGAGATGAAAGCCGAGCCTGTATTCAAGCCACTGCAAGGAAATCCGGCCTCGTTTCAAGTTAGGGCTTCTCGCTGTATATTCCCCTTGAGGCAGCAAACTCGGGGTCCCTCCCACATACCTATTGCTGAGAGAAGCCTCCTCCTGAGGTGCTTCTGGGAAGTTGGCATACGTCTTGAGCCTAAGCCAGGGAATCAGCTCGCATCTCGAGACGATTTGGGGTAGACGGAGCATTCCTCGAGTTGCTGTGCTGAAGTTGGTGTTCCTCTAGACTTGGGACAGTGTTCTCGGGGCATCTCTGGAGTTGCCTGAAGGAAGGCGAGCCACCGGTCGTGTTGAATGGGGAACGGGGAATGGCTCTGGAGTCAATGCAGGGGAATCGGGCCTCATCTCGAGTTGATTTGGGGCACATGGAGCTGCTTTGCGTTGCTGGGGTGACCTCAGGGTCCGTCTAGACTGGTGACAGTGTTCTTGGGGACTGTCTCGAGATCCATTAAGCAAGTCGAAGCTCCTGACTTGTTTGAATGGGGTCACGGAATAGCTCTGCATGCACTGCAGGGGAATGGGGCCTCATCTCGCCTCTAGGGGGAAGTCTCATGGTTTTTCTCGAGTTGCGGCGGGGACCTGGGGTATGTTCTCGACTTACGGCGGGGATGGCCCTTCATAACACGAGTTTCTTCAGTGACGTCAGGACTCCTGTCTAGTAACGAGGGACACCTCAGGAATCTCTTCGAGGCTTGGCAGGGCCAAAGGGACGCTTCTCGAGGTGAGGCAGGGCACCCAAGGACCCTTTCCAGTAGCCACAGGGATTTTGGGATTCCTATCAGTATTCAAGAGGAGTCAGGCATCGTCACCTTTTGAAGCAATGAACTCCACGTGCCTCTCGAGGTGTCAGCGGGATGTGAGGCATTCCGTCAAAATGAGGCAGGGACCTAGGGCTTTCTCTAAGGTCTCCACAGGGGATTCAGACATCCCTTCATGTTGTGAGATGAAAGACGAGCCTGTATTCAAGCCACTGCAAGGAAATCCGGCCTCCTTTCAAGTTAGGGCTTCTCGCTGTATATTCCCCTTGAGGCAGCAAACTCGGGGTCCCTCCCACATACCTATTGCTGAGAGAAGCCTCCTCCTGAGGTGCTTCTGGAAAGTTGGCATACGTCTTGAGCCTAAGCCAGGGAATCAGCTCTCATCTCGAGACGATTTGGGGTACACAGAGTATTCCTCGAGTTGCTGTGCTGAAGTTGGTGTTCCTCTAGACTTGGGACAGTGTTCTCGGGGCATCTCTGGAGTTGCCTGAAGGAAGTCGAGCCACCGGTCGTGTTGAATGGGGAACGGGGAATGGCTCTGGAGTCAATGCAGGGGAATCGGGCCTCATCTCGAGTTGATTTGGGGCACATGGAGCTGCTTTGCGTTGCTGGGGTGACCTCAGGGTCCGTCTAGACTGGTGACAGTGTTCTTGGGGACTGTCTCGAGATCCATTAAGCAAGTCGAAGCTCCTGACTTGTTTGAATGGGGTCACGGAATAGCTCTGCATGCACTGCAGGGGAATGGGGCCTCATCTCGCCTCTAGGGGGAAGTCTCATGGTTTTTCTCGAGTTGCGGCGGGGACCTGGGGTATGTTCTCGACTTACGGCGGGGATGGCCCTTCAAAACACGAGTTTCTTCAGTGACGTCAGGACTCCTGTCTAGTAACGAAGGACACCTCAGGAATCTCTTCGAGGCTTGGCAGGGCCAAAGGGACGCTTCTCGAGGTGAGGCAGGGCACCCAAGGACCCTTTCCAGTAGCCACAGGGATTTTGGGATTCCTATCAGTATTCAAGAGGAGTCAGGCATCGTCACCTTTTGAAGCAATGAAATCCGCGTGCCTCTCGAGGTGTCAGCGGGATGTGAGGCATTCCGTCAAAATGAGGCAGGGACCTAGGGCTTTCTCTAAGGTCTCCACAGGGGATTCAGACATCCCTTCATGTTGTGAGATGAAAGATGAGCCTGTATTCAAGCCACTGCAAGGAAATCCGGCCTCCTTTCAAGTTAGGGCTTCTCGCGGTATATTCCCCTTGAGGCAGCAAACTCGGGGTCCCTCCCACATACCTATTGCTGAGAGAAGCCTCCTCCTGAGGTGCTTCTGGGAAGTTGGCATACGTCTTGAGCCTAAGCCAGGGAATCAGCTCGCATCTCAAGACGATTTGGGGTACACGGAGCATTCCTCGAGTTGCTGTGCTGAAGTTGCTGTTCCTCTAGACTTGGGACAGTGTTCTCGGGGCATCTCTGGAGTTGCCTGAAGGAAGTCGAGCCACCGGTCGTGTTGAATGGGGAACGGGGAATGGCTCTGGAGTCAATGCAGGGGAATCGGGCCTCATCTCGAGTTGATTTGGGGCACATGGAGCTGCTTTGCGTTGCTGGGGTGACCTCAGGGTCCGTCTAGACTGGTGACAGTGTTCTTGGGGACTGTCTCGAGATCCATTAAGCAAGTCGAAGCTCCTGACTTGTTTGAATGGGGTCACGGAATAGCTCTGCATGCACTGCAGGGGAATGGGGCCTCATCTCGCCTCTAGGGGGAAGTCTCATGGTTTTTCTCGAGTTGCGGCGGGGACCTGGGGTATGTTCTCGACTTACGGCGGGGATGGCCCTTCAAAACACGAGTTTCTTCAGTGACGTCAGGACTCCTGTCTAGTAACGAGGGACACCTCAGGAATCTCTTCGAGGCTTGGCAGGGCCAAAGGGACGCTTCTCGAGGTGAGGGAGGGCACCCAAGGACCCTTTCCAGTAGCCACAGGGATTTTGGGTTTCCTATCAGTATTCAAGAGGAGTCAGGCATCGTCACCTTTTGAAGCAATGAACTCCGCGTGCCTCTCGAGGTGTCAGCGGGATGTGAGGCATTCCGTCAAAATGAGGCAGGGACCTAGGGCTTTCTCTAAGGTCTCCACAGGGGATTCAGACATCCCTTCATGTTGTGAGATGAAAGACGAGCCTGTATTCAAGCCACTGCAAGGAAATCCGGCCTCCTTTCAAGTTAGGGCTTCTCGCTGTATATTCCCCTTGAGGCAGCAAACTCGGGGTCCCTCCCACATACCTATTGCTGAGAGAAGCCTCCTCCTGAGGTGCTTCTGGGAAGTTGGCATACGTCTTGAGCCTAAGCCAGGGAATCAGCTCGCATCTCGAGACGATTTGGGGTACACGGAGCATTCCTCGAGTTGCTGTGCTGAAGTTAGTGTTCCTCTAGACTTGGGACAGTGTTCTCGGGGCATCTCTGGAGTTGCCTGAAGGAAGTCGAGCCACCGGTCGTGTTGAATGGGGAACGGGGAATGGCTCTGGAGTCAATGCAGGGGAATCGGGCCTCATCTCGAGTTGATTTGGGGCACATGGAGCTGCTTTGCGTTGCTGGGGTGACCTCAGGGTCCGTCTAGACTGGTGACAGTGTTCTTGGGGACTGTCTCGAGATCCATTAAGCAAGTCGAAGCTCCTGACTTGTTTGAATGGGATCACGGAATAGCTCTGCATGCACTGCAGGGGAATGGGGCCTCATCTCGCCTCTAGGGGGAAGTCTCATGGTTTTTCTCGAGTTGCGGCGGGGACCTGGGGTATGTTCTCGACTTACGGCGGGGATGGCCCTTCAAAACACGAGTTTCTTCAGTGACGTCAGGACTCCTGTCTAGTAACGAGGGACACCTCAGGAATCTCTTCGAGGCTTGTCAGGGCAAAGGGACGCTTCTCGAGGTGAGGCAGGGCACCCAAGGACCCTTTCCAGTAGCCACAGGGATTTTGGGATTCCTATCAGTATTCAAGAGGAGTCAGGCATCGTCACCTTTTGAAGCAATGAACTCCGCGTGCCTCTCGAGGTGTCAGCGGGATGTGAGGCATTCCGTCAAAATGAGGCAGGGACCTAGGGCTTTCTCTAAGGTCTCCACAGGGGATTCAGACATCCCTTCATGTTGTGAGATGAAAGACGAGCCTGTATTCAAGCCACTGCAAGGAAATCCGGCCTCCTTTCAAGTTAGGGCTTCTCGCTGTATATTCCCCTTGAGGCAGCAAACTCGGGGTCCCTCCCACATACCTATTGCTGAGAGAAGCCTCCTCCTGAGGTGCTTCTGGGAAGTTGGCATACGTCTTGAGCCTAAGCCAGGGAATCAGCTCGCATCTCGAGACGATTTGGGGTACACGGAGCATTCCTCGAGTTGCTGTGCTGAAGTTGGTGTTCCTCTAGACTTGGGACAGTGTTCTCGGGCATCTCTGGAGTTGCCTGAAGGAAGTCGAGCCACCGGTCGTGTTGAATGGGGAACGGGGAATGGCTCTGGAGTCAATGCAGGGGAATCGGGCCTCATCTCGAGTTGATTTGGGGCACATGGAGCTGCTTTGCGTTGCTGGGGTGACCTCAGGGTCCGTCTAGACTGGTGACAGTGTTCTTGGGGACTGTCTCGAGATCCATTAAGCAAGTCGAAGCTCCTGACTTGTTTGAATGGGATCACGGAATAGCTCTGCATGCACTGCAGGGGAATGGGGCCTCATCTCGCCTCTAGGGGGAAGTCTCATGGTTTTTCTCGAGTTGCGGCGGGGACCTGGGGTATGTTCTCGACTTACGGCGGGGATGGCCCTTCAAAACACGAGTTTCTTCAGTGACGTCAGGACTCCTGTCTAGTAACGAGGGACACCTCAGGAATCTCTTCGAGGCTTGGCAGGGCCAAAGGGACGCTTCTCGAGGTGAGGCAGGGCACCCAAGGACCCTTTCCAGTAGCCACAGGGATTTTGGGATTCCTATCAGTATTCAAGAGGAGTCAGGCATCGTCACCTTTTGAAGCAATGAACTCCGCGTGCCTCTCGAGGTGTCAGCGGGATGTGAGGCATTCCGTCAAAATGAGGCAGGGACCTAGGGCTTTCTCTAAGGTCTCCACAGGGGATTCAGACATCCCTTCATGTTGTGAGATGAAAGACGAGCCTGTATTCAAGCCACTGCAAGGAAATCCGGCCTCCTTTCAAGTTAGGGCTTCTCGCTGTATATTCCCCTTGAGGCAGCAAACTCGGGGTCCCTCCCACATACCTATTGCTGAGAGAAGCCTCCTCCTGAGGTGCTTCTGGGAAGTTGGCATACGTCTTGAGCCTAAGCCAGGGAATCAGCTCGCATCTCGAGACGATTTGGGGTACACGGAGCATTCCTCGAGTTGCTGTGCTGAAGTTGGTGTTCCTCTAGACTTGGGACAGTGTTCTCGGGGCATCTCTGGAGTTGCCTGAAGGAAGTCGAGCCACCGGTCGTGTTGAATGGGGAACGGGGAATGGCTCTGGAGTCAATGCAGGGGAATCGGGCCTCATCTCGAGTTGATTTGGGGCACATGGAGCTGCTTTGCGTTGCTGGGGTGACCTCAGGGTCCGTCTAGACTGGTGACAGTGTTCTTGGGGACTGTCTCGAGATCCATTAAGGAAGTCGAAGCTCCTGACTTGTTTGAATGGGATCACGGAATAGCTCTGCATGCACTGCAGGGGAATGGGGCCTCATCTCGCCTCTAGGGGGAAGTCTCATGGTTTTTCTCGAGTTGCGGCGGGGACCTGGGGTATGTTCTCGACTTACGGCGGGGATGGCCCTTCAAAACACGAGTTTCTTCAGTGACGTCAGGACTCCTGTCTAGTAACGAGGGACACCTCAGGAATCTCTTCGAGGCTTGGCAGGGCCAAAGGGACGCTTCTCGAGGTGAGGCAGGGCACCCAAGGACCCTTTCCAGTAGCCACAGGGATTTTGGGATTCCTATCAGTATTCAAGAGGAGTCAGGCATCGTCACCTTTTGAAGCAATGAACTCCGCGTGCCTCTCGAGGTGTCAGCGGGATGTGAGGCATCCCGTCAAAATGAGGCAGGGACCTAGGGCTTTCTCTAAGGTCTCCACAGGGGATTCAGACATCCCTTCATGTTGTGAGATGATAGACGAGCCTGTATTCAAGCCACTGCAAGGAAATCCGGCCTCCTTTCAAGTTAGGGCTTCTCGCTGTATATTCCCCTTGAGGCAGCAAACTCGGGGTCCCTCCCACATACCTATTGCTGAGAGAAGCCTCCTCCTGAGGTGCTTCTGGGAAGTTGGCATACGTCTTGAGCCTAAGCCAGGGAATCAGCTCGCATCTCGAGATGATTTGGGGTACACGGAGCATTCCTCGAGTTGCTGTGCTGAAGTTGGTGTTCCTCTAGACTTGGGACAGTGTTCTCGGGGCATCTCTGGAGTTGCCTGAAGGAAGTCGAGCCACCGGTCGTGTTGAATGGGGAACGGGGAATGGCTCTGGAGTCAATGCAGGGGAATCGGGCCTCATCTCGAGTTGATTTGGGGCACATGGAGCTGCTTTGCGTTGCTGGGGTGACCTCAGGGTCCGTCTAGACTGGTGACAGTGTTCTTGGGGACTGTCTCGAGATCCATTAAGCAAGTCGAAGCTCCTGACTTGTTTGAATGGGGTCACGGAATAGCTCTGCATGCACTGCAGGGGAATGGGGCCTCATCTCGCCTCTAGGGGGAAGTCTCATGGTTTTTCTCGAGTTGCGGCGGGGACCTGGGGTATGTTCTCGACTTACGGCGGGGATGGCCCTTCAAAACACGAGTTTCTTCAGTGACGTCAGGACTCCTGTCTAGTAACGAGGGACACCTCAGGAATCTCTTCGAGGCTTGGCAGGGCCAAAGGGACGCTTTTCGAGGTGAGGCAGGGCACCCAAGGACCCTTTCCAGTAGCCACAGGGATTTTGGGATTCCTATCAGTATTCAAGAGGAGTCAGGCATCGTCACCTTTTGAAGCAATGAACTCCGCGTGCCTCTCGAGGTGTCAGCGGGATGTGAGGCATTCCGTCAAAATGAGGCAGGGACCTAGGGCTTTCTCTAAGGTCTCCACAGGGGATTCAGACATCCCTTCATGTTGTGAGATGAAAGACGAGCCTGTATTCAAGCCACTGCAAGGAAATCCGGCCTCCTTTCAAGTTAGGGCTTCTCGCTGTATATTCCCCTTGAGGCAGCAAACTCGGGGTCCCTCCCACATACCTATTGCTGAGAGAAGCCTCCTCCTGAGGTGCTTCTGGGAAGTTGGCATACGTCTTGAGCCTAAGCCAGGGAATCAGCTCTAATCTCGAGACGATTTGGGGTACACGGAGCATTCCTCGAGTTGCTGTGCTGAAGTTGGTGTTCCTCTAGACTTGGGACAGTGTTCTCGGGGCATCTCTGGAGTTGCCTGAAGGAAGTCGAGCCACCGGTCGTGTTGAATGGGGAACGGGGAATGGCTCTGGAGTCAATGCAGGGGAATCGGGCCTCATCTCGAGTTGATTTGGGGCACATGGAGCTGCTTTGCGTTGCTGGGGTGACCTCAGGGTCCGTCTAGACTGGTGACAGTGTTCTTGGGGACTGTCTCGAGATCCATTAAGCAAGTCGAAGCTCCTGACTTGTTTGAATGGGGTCACGGAATAGCTCTGCATGCACTGCAGGGGAATGGGGCCTCATCTCGCCTCTAGGGGGAAGTCTCATGGTTTTTCTCGAGTTGCGGCGGGGACCTGGGGTATGTTCTCGACTTACGGCGGGGATGGCCCTTCAAAACACGAGTTTCTTCAGTGACGTCAGGACTCCTGTCTAGTAACGAGGGACACCTCAGGAATCTCTTCGAGGCTTGGCAGGGCCAAAGGGACGCTTCTCGAGGTGAGGCAGGGCACCCAAGGACCCTTTCCAGTAGCCACAGGGATTTTGGGATTCCTATCAGTATTCAAGAGGAGTCAGGCATCGTCACCTTTTGAAGCAATGAACTCCGCGTGCCTCTCGAGGTGTCAGCGGGATGTGAGGCATTCCGTCAAAATGAGGCAGGGACCTAGGGCTTTCTCTAAGGTCTCCACAGGGGATTCAGACATCCCTTCATGTTGTGAGATGAAAGACGAGCCTGTATTCAAGCCACTGCAAGGAAATCCGGCCTCCTTTCAAGTTAGGGCTTCTCGCTGTATATTCCCCTTGAGGCAGCAAACTCGGGGTCCCTCCCACATACCTATTGCTGAGAGAAGCCTCCTCCTGAGGTGCTTCTGGGAAGTTGGCATACGTCTTGAGCCTAAGCCAGGGAATCAGCTCGCATCTCGAGACGATTTGGGGTAGACGGAGCATTCCTCGAGTTGCTGTGCTGAAGTTGGTGTTCCTCTAGACTTGGGACAGTGTTCTCGGGGCATCTCTGGAGTTGCCTGAAGGAAGTCGAGCCACCGGTCGTGTTGAATGGGGAACGGGGAATGGCTCTGGAGTCAATGCAGGGGAATCGGGCCTCATCTCGAGTTGATTTGGGGCACATGGAGCTGCTTTGCGTTGCTGGGGTGACCTCAGGGTCCGTCTAGACTGGTGACAGTGTTCTTGGGGACTGTCTCGAGATCCATTAAGCAAGTCGAAGCTCCTGACTTGTTTGAATGGGGTCACGGAATAGCTCTGCATGCACTGCAGGGGAATGGGGCCTCATCTCGCCTCTAGGGGGAAGTCTCATGGTTTTTCTCGAGTTGCGGCGGGGACCTGGGGTATGTTCTCGACTTACGGCGGGGATGGCCCTTCAAAACACGAGTTTCTTCAGTGACGTCAGGACTCCTGTCTAGTAACGAGGGACACCTCAGGAATCTCTTCGAGGCTTGGCAGGGCCAAAGGGACGCTTCTCGAGGTGAGGCAGGGCACCCAAGGACCCTTTCCAGTAGCCACAGGGATTTTGGGATTCCTATCAGTATTCAAGAGGAGTCAGGCGTCGTCACCTTTTGAAGCAATGAACTCCGCGTGCCTCTCGAGGTGTCAGCGGGATGTGAGGCATTCCGTCAAAATGAGGCAGGGACCTAGGGCTTTCTCTAAGGTCTCCACAGGGGATTCAGACATCCCTTCATGTTGTGAGATGAAAGACGAGCCTGTATTCAAGCCACTGCAAGGAAATCCGGCCTCCTTTCAAGTTAGGGCTTCTCGCTGTATATTCCCCTTGAGGCAGCAAACTCGGGGTCCCTCCCACATACCTATTGCTGAGAGAAGCCTCCTCCTGAGGTGCTTCTGGGAAGTTGGCATACGTCTTGAGCCTAAGCCAGGGAATCAGCTCGCATCTCGAGACGATTTGGGGTACACGGAGCATTCCTCGAGTTGCTGTGCTGAAGTTGGTGTTCCTCTAGACTTGGGACAGTGTTCTCGGGGCATCTCTGGAGTTGCCTGAAGGAAGTCGAGCCACCGGTCGTGTTGAATGGGGAACGGGGAATGGCTCTGGAGTCAATGCAGGGGAATCGGGCCTCATCTCGAGTTGATTTGGGGCACGTGGAGCTGCTTTGCGTTGCTGGGGTGACCTCAGGGTCCGTCTAGACTGGTGACAGTGTTCTTGGGGACTGTCTCGAGATCCATTAAGCAAGTCGAAGCTCCTGACTTGTTTGAATGGGGTCACGGAATAGCTCTGCATGCACTGCAGGGGAATGGGGCCTCATCTCGCCTCTAGGGGGAAGTCTCATGGTTTTTCTCGAGTTGCGGCGGGGACCTGGGGTATGTTCTCGACTTACGGCGGGGATGGCCCTTCAAAACACGAGTTTCTTCAGTGACGTCAGGACTCCTGTCTAGTAACGAGGGACACCTCAGGAATCTCTTCGAGGCTTGGCAGGGCCAAAGGGACGCTTCTCGAGGTGAGGCAGGGCACCCAAGGACCCTGTCCAGTAGCCACAGGGATTTTGGGATTCCTATCAGTATTCAAGAGGAGTCAGGCATCGTCACCTTTTGAAGCAATGAACTCCGCGTGCCTCTCGAGGTGTCAGCGGGATGTGAGGCATTCCGTCAAAATGAGGCAGGGACCTAGGGCTTTCTCTAAGGTCTCCACAGGGGATTCAGACATCCCTTCATGTTGTGAGATGAAAGACGAGCCTGTATTCAAGCCACTGCAAGGAAATCCGGCCTCCTTTCAAGTTAGGGCTTCTCGCTGTATATTCCCCTTGAGGCAGCAAACTCGGGGTCCCTCCCACATACCTATTGCTGAGAGAAGCCTCCTCCTGAGGTGCTTCTGGGAAGTTGGTATACGTCTTGAGCCTAAGCCAGGGAATCAGCTCGCATCTCGAGACGATTTGGGGTAGACGGAGCATTCCTCGAGTTGCTGTGCTGAAGTTGGTGTTCCTCTAGACTTGGGACAGTGTTCTCGGGGCATCTCTGGAGTTGCCTGAAGGAAGTCGAGCCACCGGTCGTGTTGAATGGGGAACGGGGAATGGCTCTGGAGTCAATGCAGGGGAATCGGGCCTCATCTCGAGTTGATTTGGGGCACATGGAGCTGCTTTGCGTTGCTGGGGTGACCTCAGGGTCCGTCTAGACTGGTGACAGTGTTCTTGTGGACTGTCTCGAGATCCATTAAGCAAGTCGAAGCTCCTGACTTGTTTGAATGGGATCACGGAATAGCTCTGCATGCACTGCAGGGGAATGGGGCCTCATCTCGCCTCTAGGGGGAAGTCTCATGGTTTTTCTCGAGTTGCGGCGGGGACCTGGGGTATGTTCTCGACTTACGGCGGGGATGGCCCTTCAAAACACGAGTTTCTTCAGTGACGTCAGGACTCCTGTCTAGTAACGAGGGACACCTCAGGAATCTCTTCGAGGCTTGGCAGGGCCAAAGGGACGCTTCTCGAGGTGAGGCAGGGCACCCAAGGACCCTTTCCAGTAGCCACAGGGATTTTGGGATTCCTATCAGTATTCAAGAGGAGTCAGGCATCGTCACCTTTTGAAGCAATGAACTCCGCGTGCCTCTCGAGGTGTCAGCGGGATGTGAGGCATTCCGTCAAAATGAGGCAGGGACCTAGGGCTTTTCTAAGGTCTCCACAGGGGATTCAGACATCCCTTCATGTTGTGAGATGAAAGACGAGCCTGTATTCAAGCCACTGCAAGGAAATCCGGCCTCCTTTCAAGTTAGGGCTTCTCGCTGTATATTCCCCTTGAGGCAGCAAACTCGGAGTCCCTCCCACATACCTACTGCTGAGAGAAGCCTCCTCCTGAGGTGCTTCTGGGAAGTTGGCATACGTCTTGAGCCTAACCAGGGAATTAGCTCGCATCTCGAGACGATTTGGGGTACACGGAGCATTCCTCGAGTTGCTGTGCTGAAGTTGGTGTTCCTCTAGACTTGGGACAGTGTTCTCGGGGCATCTCTGGAGTTGCCTGAAGGAAGTCGAGCCACCGGTCGTGTTGAATGGGGAACGGGGAATGGCTCTGGAGTCAATGCAGGGGAATCGGGCCTCATCTCGAGTTGATTTGGGGCACATGGAGCTGCTTTGCGTTGCTGGGGTGACCTCAGGGTCCGTCTAGACTGGTGACAGTGTTCTTGGGGACTGTCTCGAGATCCATTAAGCAAGTCGAAGCTCCTGACTTGTTTGAATGGGATCACGGAATAGCTCTGCATGCACTGCAGGGGAATGGGGCCTCATCTCGCCTCTAGGGGGAAGTCTCATGGTTTTTCTCGAGTTGCGGCGGGGACCTGGGGTATGTTCTCGACTTACGGCGGGGATGGCCCTTCAAAACACGAGTTTCTTCAGTGACGTCAGGACTCCTGTCTAGTAACGAGGGACACCTCAGGAATCTCTTCGAGGCTTGGCAGGGCCAAAGGGACGCTTCTCGAGGTGAGGCAGGGCACCCAAGGACCCTTTCCAGTAGCCACAGGGATTTTGGGATTCCTATCAGTATTCAAGAGGAGTCAGGCATCGTCACCTTTTGAAGCAATGAACTCCGCGTGCCTCTCAAGGTGTCAGCGGGATGTGAGGCATTCCGTCAAAATGAGGCAGGGACCTAGGGCTTTCTCTAAGGTCTCCACAGGGGATTCAGACATCCCTTCATGTTGTGAGATGAAAGACGAGCCTGTATTCAAGCCACTGCAAGGAAATCCGGCCTCCTTTCAAGTTAGGGCTTCTCGCTGTATATTCCCCTTGAGGCAGCAAACTCGGGGTCCCTCCCACATACCTATTGCTGAGAGAAGCCTCCTCCTGAGGTGCTTCTGGGAAGTTGGCATACGTCTTGAGCCTAAGCCAGGGAATCAGCTCGCATCTCGAGACGATTTGGGGTACACGGAGCATTCCTCGAGTTGCTGTGCTGAAGTTGGTGTTCCTCTAGACTTGGGACAGTGTTCTCGGGGCATCTCTGGAGTTGCCTGAAGGAAGTCGAGCCACCGGTCGTGTTGAATGGGGAACGGGGAATGGCTCTGGAGTCAATGCAGGGGAATCGGGCCTCATCTCGAGTTGATTTGGGGCACATGGAGCTGCTTTGCGTTGCTGGGGTGACCTCAGGGTCCGTCTAGACTGGTGACAGTGTTCTTGGGGACTGTCTCGAGATCCATTAAGCAAGTCGAAGCTCCTGACTTGTTTGAATGGGATCACGGAATAGCTCTGCATGCATTGCAGGGGAATGGGGCCTCATCTCGCCTCTAGGGGGAAGTCTCATGGTTTTTCTCGAGTTGCGGCGGGGACCTGGGGTATGTTCTCGACTTACGGCGGGGATGGCCCTTCAAAACACGAGTTTCTTCAGTGACGTCAGGACTCCTGTCTAGTAACGAGGGACACCTCAGGAATCTCTTCGAGGCTTGGCAGGGCCAAAGGGACGCTTCTCGAGGTGAGGCAGGGCACCCAAGGACCCTTTCCAGTAGCCACAGGGATTTTGGGATTCCTATCAGTATTCAAGAGGAGTCAGGCATCGTCACCTTTTGAAGCAATGAACTCCGCGTGCCTCTCGAGGTGTCAGCGGGATGTGAGGCATTCCGTCAAAATGAGGCAGGGACCTAGGGCTTTCTCTAAGGTCTCCACAGGGGATTCAGACATCCCTTCATGTTGTGAGATGAAAGACGAGCCTGTATTCAAGCCACTGCAAGGAAATCCGGCCTCCTTTCAAGTTAGGGCTTCTCGCTGTATATTCCCCTTGAGGCAGCAAACTCGGGGTCCCTCCCACATACCTATTGCTGAGAGAAGCCTCCTCCTGAGGTGCTTCTGGGAAGTTGGCATACGTCTTGAGCCTAAGCCAGGGAATCAGCTCGCATCTCGAGACGATTTGGGGTACACGGAGCATTCCTCGAGTTGCTGTGCTGAAGTTGGTGTTCCTCTAGACTTGGGACAGTGTTCTCGGGGCATCTCCGGAGTTGCCTAAAGGAAGTCGAGCCACCGGTCGTGTTGAATGGGGAACGGGGAATGGATCTGGAGTCAATGCAGGGGAATCGGGCCTCATCTCGAGTTGATTTGGGGCACATGGAGCTGCTTTGCGTTGCTGGGGTGACCTCAGGGTCCGTCTAGACTGGTGACAGTGTTCTTGGGGACTGTCTCGAGATCCATTAAGCAAGTCGAAGCTCCTGATTTGTTTGAATGGGATCACGGAATAGCTCTGCATGCACTGCAGGGGAATGGGGCCTCATCTCGCCTCTAGGGGGAAGTCTCATGGTTTTTCTCGAGTTGCGGCGGGGACCTGGGGTATGTTCTCGACTTACGGCGGGGATGGCCCTTCAAAACACGAGTTTCTTCAGTGACGTCAGGACTCCTGTCTAGTAACGAGGGACACCTCAGGAATCTCTTCGAGGCTTGGCAGGGCCAAAGGGACGGTTCTCGAGGTGAGGCAGGGCACCCAAGGACCCTTTCCAGTAGCCACAGGGATTTTGGGATTCCTATCAGTATTCAAGAGGAGTCAGGCATCGTCACCTTTTGAAGCAATGAACTCCGCGTGCCTCTCGAGGTGTCAGCGGGATGTGAGGCATCCCGTCAAAATGAGGCAGGGACCTAGGGCTTTCTCTAAGGTCTCCACAGGGGATTCAGACATCCCTTCATGTTGTGAGATGATAGACGAGCCTGTATTCAAGCCACTGCAAGGAAATCCGGCCTCCTTTCAAGTTAGGGCTTCTCGCTGTATATTCCCCTTGAGGCAGCAAATTCGGGGTCCCTCCCACATACCTATTGCTGAGAGAAGCCTCCTCCTGAGGTGCTTCTGGGAAGTTGGCATACGTCTTGAGCCTAAGCCAGGGAATCAGCTCGCATCTCGAATCGATTTGGGGTACACGGAGCATTCCTCGAGTTGCTGTGCTGAAGTTGGTGTTCCTCTAGACTTGGGACAGTGTTCTCGGGGCATCTCTGGAGTTGCCTGAAGGAAGTCGAGCCACCGGTCGTGTTGAATGGGGAACGGGGAATGGCTCTGGAGTCAATGCAGGGGAATCGGGCCTCATCTCGAGTTGATTTGGGGCACATGGAGCTGCTTTGCGTTGCTGGGGTGACCTCAGGGTCCGTCTAGACTGGTGACAGTGTTCTTGGGGACTGTCTCGAGATCCATTAAGCAAGTCGAAGCTCCTGACTTGTTTGAATGGGATCACGGAATAGCTCTGCATGCACTGCACGGGAATGGGGCCTCATCTCGCCTCTAGGGGGAAGTCTCATGGTTTTTCTCGAGTTGCGGCGGGGACCTGGGGTATGTTCTCGACTTACGGCGGGGATGGCCCTTCAAAACACGAGTTTCTTCAGTGACGTCAGGACTCCTGTCTAGTAACGAGGGACACCTCAGGAATCTCTTCGAGGCTTGGCAGGGCCAAAGGGACGCTTCTCGAGGTGAGGCAGGGCACCCAAGGACCCTTTCCAGTAGCCACAGGGATTTTGGGATTCCTATCAGTATTCAAGTGGAGTCAGGCATCGTCACCTTTTGAAGCAATGAACTCCGCGTGCCTCTCGAGGTGTCAGCGGGATGTGAGGCATTCCGTCAAAATGAGGCAGGGACCTAGGGCTTTCTCTAAGGTCTCCACAGGGGATTCAGACATCCCTTCATGTTGTGAGATGAAAGACGAGCCTGTATTCAAGCCACTGCAAGGAAATCCGGCCTCCTTTCAAGTTAGGGCTTCTCGCTGTATATTCCCCTTGAGGCAGCAAACTCGGGGTCCCTCCCACATACCTATTGCTGAGAGAAGCCTCCTCCTGAGGTGCTTCTGGGAAGTTGGCATACGTCTTGAGCCTAAGCCAGGGAATCAGTCGCATCTCGAGATGATTTGGGGTACACGGAGCATTCCTCGAGTTGCTGTGCTGAAGTTGGTGTTCCTCTAGACTTGGGACAGTGTTCTCGGGGCATCTCTGGAGTTGCCTGAAGGAAGTCGAGCCACCGGTCGTGTTGAATGGGGAACGGGGAATGGCTCTGGAGTCAATGCAGGGGAATCGGGCCTCATCTCGAGTTGATTTGGGGCACATGGAGCTGCTTTGCGTTGCTGGGGTGACCTCAGGGTCCGTCTAGACTGGTGACAGTGTTCTTGGGGACTGTCTCGAGATCCATTAAGCAAGTCGAAGCTCCTGACTTGTTTGAATGGGATCACGGAATAGCTCTGCATGCACTGCAGGGGAATGGGGCCTCATCTCGCCTCTAGGGGGAAGTCTCATGGTTTTTCTCGAGTTGCGGCGGGGACCTGGGGTATGTTCTCGACTTACGGCGGGGATGGCCCTTCAAAACACGAGTTTCTTCAGTGACGTCAGGACTCCTGTCTAGTAACGAGGGACACCTCAGGAATCTCTTCGAGGCTTGGCAGGGCCAAAGGGACGCTTCTTGAGGTGAGGCAGGGCACCCAAGGACCCTTTCCAGTAGCCACAGGGATTTTGGGATTCCTATCAGTATTCAAGAGGAGTCAGGCATCGTCACCTTTTGAAGCAATGAACTCCGCGTGCCTCTCGAGGTGTCAGCGGGATGTGAGGCATTCCGTCAAAATGAGGCAGGGACCTAGGGCTTTCTCTAAGGTCTCCACAGGGGATTCAGACATCCCTTCATGTTGTGAGATGAAAGACGAGCCTGTATTCAAGCCACTGCAAGGAAATCCGGCCTCCTTTCAAGTTAGGGCTTCTCGCTGTATATTCCCCTTGAGGCAGCAAACTCGGGGTCCCTCCCACATACCTATTGCTGAGAGAAGCCTCCTCCTGAGGTGCTTCTGGGAAGTTGGCATACGTCTTGAGCCTAAGCCAGGGAATCAGCTCGCATCTCGAGACGATTTGGGGTACACGGAGCATTCCTCGAGTTGCTGTGCTGAAGTTGGTGTTCCTCTAGACTTGGGACAGTGTTCTCGGGGCATCTCTGGAGTTGCCTGAAGGAAGTCGAGCCACCGGTCGTGTTGAATGGGGAACGGGGAATGGCTCTGGAGTCAATGCAGGGGAATCGGGCCTCATCTCGAGTTGATTTGGGGCACATGGAGCTGCTTTGCGTTGCTGGGGTGACCTCAGGGTCCGTCTAGACTGGTGACAGTGTTCTTGGGGACTGTCTCGAGATCCATTAAGCAAGTCGAAGCTCCTGACTTGTTTGAATGGGATCACGGAATAGCTCTGCATGCACTGCAGGGGAATGGGGCCTCATCTCGCCTCTAGGGGGAAGTCTCATGGTTTTTCTCGAGTTGCGGCGGGGACCTGGGGTATGTTCTCGACTTACGGCGGGGATGGCCCTTCAAAACACGAGTTTCTTCAGTGACGTCAGGACTCCTGTCTAGTAACGAGGGACACCTCAGGAATCTCTTCGAGGCTTGGCAGGGCCAAAGGGACGCTTCTCGAGGTGAGGCAGGGCACCCAAGGACCCTTTCCAGTAGCCACAGGGATTTTGGGATTCCTATCAGTATTCAAGAGGAGTCAGGCGTCGTCACCTTTTGAAGCAATGAACTCCGCGTGCCTCTCGAGGTGTCAGCGGGATGTGAGGCATTCCGTCAAAATGAGGCAGGGACCTAGGGCTTTCTCTAAGGTCTCCACAGGGGATTCAGACATCCCTTCATGTTGTGAGATGAAAGACGAGCCTGTATTCAAGCCACTGCAAGGAAATCCGGCCTCCTTTCAAGTTAGGGCTTCTCGCTGTATATTCCCCTTGAGGCAGCAAACTCGGGGTCCCTCCCACATACCTATTGCTGAGAGAAGCCTCCTCCTGAGGTGCTTCTGGGAAGTTGGCATACGTCTTGAGCCTAAGCCAGGGAATCAGCTCGCATCTCGAGACGATTTGGGGTACACGGAGCATTCCTCGAGTTGCTGTGCTGAAGTTGGTGTTCCTCTAGACTTGGGACAGTGTTCTCGGGGCATCTCTGGAGTTGCCTGAAGGAAGTCGAGCCACCGGTCGTGTTGAATGGGGAACGGGGAATGGCTCTGGAGTCAATGCAGGGGAATCGGGCCTCATCTCGAGTTGATTTGGGGCACATGGAGCTGCTTTGCGTTGCTGGGGTGACCTCAGGGTCCGTCTAGACTGGTGACAGTGTTCTTGGGGACTGTCTCGAGATCCATTAAGCAAGTCGAAGCTCCTGACTTGTTTGAATGGGATCACGGAATAGCTCTGCATGCACTGCAGGGGAATGGGGCCTCATCTCGCCTCTAGGGGGAAGTCTCATGGTTTTTCTCGAGTTGCGGCGGGGACCTGGGGTATGTTCTCGACTTACGGCGGGGATGGCCCTTCAAAACACGAGTTTCTTCAGTGACGTCAGGACTCCTGTCTAGTAACGAGGGACACCTCAGGAATCTCTTCGAGGCTTGGCAGGGCCAAAGGGACGCTTCTTGAGGTGAGGCAGGGCACCCAAGGACCCTTTCCAGTAGCCACAGGGATTTTGGGATTCCTATCAGTATTCAAGAGGAGTCAGGCATCGTCACCTTTTGAAGCAATGAACTCCGCGTGCCTCTCGAGGTGTCAGCGGGATGTGAGGCATTCCGTCAAAATGAGGCAGGGACCTAGGGCTTTCTCTAAGGTCTCCACAGGGGATTCAGACATCCCTTCATGTTGTGAGATGAAAGACGAGCCTGTATTCAAGCCACTGCAAGGAAATCCGGCCTCCTTTCAAGTTAGGGCTTCTCGCTGTATATTCCCCTTGAGGCAGCAAACTCGGGGTCCCTCCCACATACCTATTGCTGAGAGAAGCCTCCTCCTGAGGTGCTTCTGGGAAGTTGGCATACGTCTTGAGCCTAAGCCAGGGAATCAGCTCGCATCTCGAGACGATTTGGGGTACACGGAGCATTCCTCGAGTTGCTGTGCTGAAGTTGGTGTTCCTCTAGACTTGGGACAGTGTTCTCGGGGCATCTCTGGAGTTGCCTGAAGGAAGTCGAGCCACCGGTCGTGTTGAATGGGGAACGGGGAATGGCTCTGGAGTCAATGCAGGGGAATCGGGCCTCATCTCGAGTTGATTTGGGGCACATGGAGCTGCTTTGCGTTGCTGGGGTGACCTCAGGGTCCGTCTAGACTGGTGACAGTGTTCTTGGGGACTGTCTCGAGATCCATTAAGCAAGTCGAAGCTCCTGACTTGTTTGAATGGGATCACGGAATAGCTCTGCATGCACTGCAGGGGAATGGGGCCTCATCTCGCCTCTAGGGGGAAGTCTCATGGTTTTTCTCGAGTTGCGGCGGGGACCTGGGGTATGTTCTCGACTTACGGCGGGGATGGCCCTTCAAAACACGAGTTTCTTCAGTGACGTCAGGACTCCTGTCTAGTAACGAGGGACACCTCAGGAATCTCTTCGAGGCTTGGCAGGGCCAAAGGGACGCTTCTCGAGGTGAGGCAGGGCACCCAAGGACCCTTTCCAGTAGCCACAGGGATTTTGGGATTCCTATCAGTATTCAAGAGGAGTCAGGCGTCGTCACCTTTTGAAGCAATGAACTCCGCGTGCCTCTCGAGGTGTCAGCGGGATGTGAGGCATTCCGTCAAAATGAGGCAGGGACCTAGGGCTTTCTCTAAGGTCTCCACAGGGGATTCAGACATCCCTTCATGTTGTGAGATGAAAGACGAGCCTGTATTCAAGCCACTGCAAGGAAATCCGGCCTCCTTTCCAGTTAGGGCTTCTCGCTGTATATTCCCCTTGAGGCAGCAAACTCGGGGTCCCTCCCACATACCTATTGCTGAGAGAAGCCTCCTCCTGAGGTGCTTCTGGGAAGTTGGCATACGTCTTGAGCCTAAGCCAGGGAATCAGCTCGCATCTCGAGACGATTTGGGGTACACGGAGCATTCCTCGAGTTGCTGTGCTGAAGTTGGTGTTCCTCTAGACTTGGGACAGTGTTCTCGGGGCATCTCTGGAGTTGCCTGAAGGAAGTCGAGCCACCGGTCGTGTTGAATGGGGAACGGGGAATGGCTCTGGAGTCAATGCAGGGGAATCGGGCCTCATCTCGAGTTGATTTGGGGCACATGGAGCTGCTTTGCGTTGCTGGGGTGACCTCAGGGTCCGTCTAGACTGGTGACAGTGTTCTTGGGGACTGTCTCGAGATCCATTAAGCAAGTCGAAGCTCCTGACTTGTTTGAATGGGATCACGGAATAGCTCTGCATGCACTGCAGGGGAATGGGGCCTCATCTCGCCTCTAGGGGGAAGTCTCATGGTTTTTCTCGAGTTGCGGCGGGGACCTGGGGTATGTTCTCGACTTACGGCGGGGATGGCCCTTCAAAACACGAGTTTCTTCAGTGACGTCAGGACTCCTGTCTAGTAACGAGGGACACCTCAGGAATCTCTTCGAGGCTTGGCAGGGCCAAAGGGACGCTTCTCGAGGTGAGGCAGGGCACCCAAGGACCCTTTCCAGTAGCCACAGGGATTTTGGGATTCCTATCAGTATTCAAGAGGAGTCAGGCATCGTCACCTTTTGAAGCAATGAACTCCGCGTGCCTCTCGAGGTGTCAGCGGGATGTGAGGCATTCCGTCAAAATGAGGCAGGGACCTAGGGCTTTCTCTAAGGTCTCCACAGGGGATTCAGACATCCCTTCATGTTGTGAGATGAAAGACGAGCCTGTATTCAAGCCACTGCAAGGAAATCCGGCCTCCTTTCAAGTTAGGGCTTCTCGCTGTATATTCCCCTTGAGGCAGCAAACTCGGGGTCCCTCCCACATACCTATTGCTGAGAGAAGCCTCCTCCTGAGGTGCTTCTGGGAAGTTGGCATACGTCTTGAGCCTAAGCCAGGGAATCAGCTCGCATCTCGAGACGATTTGGGGTACACGGAGCATTCCTCGAGTTGCTGTGCTGAAGTTGGTGTTCCTCTAGACTTGGGACAGTGTTCTCGGGGCATCTCTGGAGTTGCCTGAAGGAAGTCGAGCCACCGGTCGTGTTGAATGGGGAACGGGGAATGGCTCTGGAGTCAATGCAGGGGAATCGGGCCTCATCTCGAGTTGATTTGGGGCACATGGAGCTGCTTTGCGTTGCTGGGGTGACCTCAGGGTCCGTCTAGACTGGTGACAGTGTTCTTGGGGACTGTCTCGAGATCCATTAAGCAAGTCGAAGCTCCTGACTTGTTTGAATGGGATCACGGAATAGCTCTGCATGCACTGCAGGGGAATGGGGCCTCATCTCGCCTCTAGGGGGAAGTCTCATGGTTTTTCTCGAGTTGCGGCGGGGACCTGGGGTATGTTCTCGACTTACGGCGGGGATGGCCCTTCAAAACACGAGTTTCTTCAGTGACGTCAGGACTCCTGTCTAGTAACGAGGGACACCTCAGGAATCTCTTCGAGGCTTGGCAGGGCCAAAGGGACGCTTCTCGAGGTGAGGCAGGGCACCCAAGGACCCTTTCCAGTAGCCACAGGGATTTTGGGATTCCTATCAGTATTCAAGAGGAGTCAGGCATCGTCACCTTTTGAAGCAATGAACTCCGCGTGCCTCTCGAGGTGTCAGCGGGATGTGAGGCATCCCGTCAAAATGAGGCAGGGACCTAGGGCTTTCTCTAAGGTCTCCACAGGGGATTCAGACATCCCTTCATGTTGTGAGATGATAGACGAGCCTGTATTCAAGCCACTGCAAGGAAATCCGGCCTCCTTTCAAGTTAGGGCTTCTCGCTGTATATTCCCCTTGAGGCAGCAAACTCGGGGTCCCTCCCACATACCTATTGCTGAGAGAAGCCTCCTCCTGAGGTGCTTCTGGGAAGTTGGCATACGTCTTGAGCCTAAGCCAGGGAATCAGCTCGCATCTCGAGATGATTTGGGGTACACGGAGCATTCCTCGAGTTGCTGTGCTGAAGTTGGTGTTCCTCTAGACTTGGGACAGTGTTCTCGGGGCATCTCTGGAGTTGCCTGAAGGAAGTCGAGCCACCGGTCGTGTTGAATGGGGAACGGGGAATGGCTCTGGAGTCAATGCAGGGGAATCGGGCCTCATCTCGAGTTGATTTGGGGCACATGGAGCTGCTTTGCGTTGCTGGGGTGACCTCAGGGTCCGTCTAGACTGGTGACAGTGTTCTTGGGGACTGTCTCGAGATCCATTAAGCAAGTCGAAGCTCCTGACTTGTTTGAATGGGGTCACGGAATAGCTCTGCATGCACTGCAGGGGAATGGGGCCTCATCTCGCCTCTAGGGGGAAGTCTCATGGTTTTTCTCGAGTTGCGGCGGGGACCTGGGGTATGTTCTCGACTTACGGCGGGGATGGCCCTTCAAAACACGAGTTTCTTCAGTGACGTCAGGACTCCTGTCTAGTAACGAGGGACACCTCAGGAATCTCTTCGAGGCTTGGCAGGGCCAAAGGGACGCTTCTCGAGGTGAGGCAGGGCACCCAAGGACCCTTTCCAGTAGCCACAGGGATTTTGGGATTCCTATCAGTATTCAAGAGGAGTCAGGCATCGTCACCTTTTGAAGCAATGAACTCCGCGTGCCTCTCGAGGTGTCAGCGGGATGTGAGGCATTCCGTCAAAATGAGGCAGGGACCTAGGGCTTTCTCTAAGGTCTCCACAGGGGATTCAGACATCCCTTCATGTTGTGAGATGAAAGACGAGCCTGTATTCAAGCCACTGCAAGGAAATCCGGCCTCCTTTCAAGTTAGGGCTTCTCGCTGTATATTCCCCTTGAGGCAGCAAACTCGGGGTCCCTCCCACATACCTATTGCTGAGAGAAGCCTCCTCCTGAGGTGCTTCTGGGAAGTTGGCATACGTCTTGAGCCTAAGCCAGGGAATCAGCTCTAATCTCGAGACGATTTGGGGTACACGGAGCATTCCTCGAGTTGCTGTGCTGAAGTTGGTGTTCCTCTAGACTTGGGACAGTGTTCTCGGGGCATCTCTGGAGTTGCCTGAAGGAAGTCGAGCCACCGGTCGTGTTGAATGGGGAACGGGGAATGGCTCTGGAGTCAATGCAGGGGAATCGGGCCTCATCTCGAGTTGATTTGGGGCACATGGAGCTGCTTTGCGTTGCTGGGGTGACCTCAGGGTCCGTCTAGACTGGTGACAGTGTTCTTGGGGACTGTCTCGAGATCCATTAAGCAAGTCGAAGCTCCTGACTTGTTTGAATGGGGTCACGGAATAGCTCTGCATGCACTGCAGGGGAATGGGGCCTCATCTCGCCTCTAGGGGGAAGTCTCATGGTTTTTCTCGAGTTGCGGCGGGGACCTGGGGTATGTTCTCGACTTACGGCGGGGATGGCCCTTCAAAACACGAGTTTCTTCAGTGACGTCAGGACTCCTGTCTAGTAACGAGGGACACCTCAGGAATCTCTTCGAGGCTTGGCAGGGCCAAAGGGACGCTTCTCGAGGTGAGGCAGGGCACCCAAGGACCCTTTCCAGTAGCCACAGGGATTTTGGGATTCCTATCAGTATTCAAGAGGAGTCAGGCATCGTCACCTTTTGAAGCAATGAACTCCGCGTGCCTCTCGAGGTGTCAGCGGGATGTGAGGCATTCCGTCAAAATGAGGCAGGGACCTAGGGCTTTCTCTAAGGTCTCCACAGGGGATTCAGACATCCCTTCATGTTGTGAGATGAAAGACGAGCCTGTATTCAAGCCACTGCAAGGAAATCCGGCCTCCTTTCAAGTTAGGGCTTCTTGCTGTATATTCCCCTTGAGGCAGCAAACTCGGGGTCCCTCCCACATACCTATTGCTGAGAGAAGCCTCCTCCTGAGGTGCTTCTGGGAAGTTGGCATACTTCTTGAGCCTAAGCCAGGGAATCAGCTCGCATCTCGAGACGATTTGGGGTAGACGGAGCATTCCTCGAGTTGCTGTGCTGAAGTTGGTGTTCCTCTAGACTTGGGACAGTGTTCTCGGGGCATCTCTGGAGTTGCCTGAAGGAAGTCGAGCCACCGGTCGTGTTGAATGGGGAACGGGGAATGGCTCTGGAGTCAATGCAGGGGAATCGGGCCTCATCTCGAGTTGATTTGGGGCACATGGAGCTGCTTTGCGTTGCTGGGGTGACCTCAGGGTCCGTCTAGACTGGTGACAGTGTTCTTGGGGACTGTCTCGAGATCCATTAAGCAAGTCGAAGCTCCTGACTTGTTTGAATGGGATCACGGAATAGCTCTGCATGCACTGCAGGGGAATGGGGCCTCATCTCGCCTCTAGGGGGAAGTCTCATGGTTTTTCTCGAGTTGCGGCGGGGACCTGGGGTATCTTCTCGACTTACGGCGGGGATGGCCCTTCAAAACACGAGTTTCTTCAGTGACGTCAGGACTCCTGTCTAGTAACGAGGGACACCTCAGGAATCACTTCGAGGCTTGGCAGGGCCAAAGGGACGCTTCTCGAGGTGAGGCAGGGCACCCAAGGACCCTTTCCAGTAGCCACAGGGATTTTGGGATTCCTATCAGTATTCAAGAGGAGTCAGGCGTCGTCACCTTTTGAAGCAATGAACTCCGCGTGCCTCTCGAGGTGTCAGCGGGATGTGAGGCATTCCGTCAAAATGAGGCAGGGACCTAGGGCTTTCTCTAAGGTCTCCACAGGGGATTCAGACATCCCTTCATGTTGTGAGATGAAAGACGAGCCTGTATTCAAGCCACTGCAAGGAAATCCGGCCTCCTTTCAAGTTAGGGCTTCTCGCTGTATATTCCCCTTGAGGCAGCAAACTCGGGGTCCCTCCCACATACCTATTGCTGAGAGAAGCCTCCTCCTGAGGTGCTTCTGGAAAGTTGGCATACGTCTTGAGCCTAAGCCAGGGAATCAGCTCTCATCTCGAGACGATTTGGGGTACACAGAGTATTCCTCGAGTTGCTGTGCTGAAGTTGGTGTTCCTCTAGACTTGGGACAGTGTTCTCGGGGCATCTCTGGAGTTGCCTGAAGGAAGTCGAGCCACCGGTCGTGTTGAATGGGGAACGGGGAATGGCTCTGGAGTCAATGCAGGGGAATCGGGCCTCATCTCGAGTTGATTTGGGGCACATGGAGCTGCTTTGCGTTGCTGGGGTGACCTCAGGGTCCGTCTAGACTGGTGACAGTGTTCTTGGGGACTGTCTCGAGATCCATTAAGCAAGTCGAAGCTCCTGACTTGTTTGAATGGGGTCACGGAATAGCTCTGCATGCACTGCAGGGGAATGGGGCCTCATCTCGCCTCTAGGGGGAAGTCTCATGGTTTTTCTCGAGTTGCGGCGGGGACCTGGGGTATGTTCTCGACTTACGGCGGGGATGGCCCTTCAAAACACGAGTTTCTTCAGTGACGTCAGGACTCCTGTCTAGTAACGAGGGACACCTCAGGAATCTCTTCGAGGCTTGGCAGGGCCAAAGGGACGCTTCTCGAGGTGAGGCAGGGCACCCAAGGACCCTTTCCAGTAGCCACAGGGATTTTGGGATTCCTATCAGTATTCAAGAGGAGTCAGGCCTCGTCACCTTTTGAAGCAATGAACTCCGCGTGCCTCTCGAGGTGTCAGCGGGATTTGAGGCATTGCGTCAAAATGAGGCAGGGACCTAGGGCTTTCTCTAAGGTCTCCACAGGGGATTCAGACATCCCTTCATGTTGTGAGATGAAAGACGAGCCTGTATTCAAGCCACTGCAAGGAAATCCGGCCTCCTTTCAAGTTAGGGCTTCTCGCTGTATATTCCCCTTGAGGCAGCAAACTCGGGGTCCCTCCCACATACCTATTGCTGAGAGAAGCCTCCTCCTGAGGTGCTTCTGGGAAGTTGGCATACGTCTTGAGCCTAAGCCAGGGAATCAGCTCGCATCTTGAGACGATTTGGGGTACACGGAGCATTCCTCGAGTTGCTGTGCTGAAGTTGGTGTTCCTCTAGACTTGGGACAGTGTTCTCGGGGCATCTCTGGAGTTGCCTGAAGGAAGTCGAGCCACCGGTCGTGTTGAATGGGGAACGGGGAATGGCTCTGGAGTCAATGCAGGGGAATCGGGCCTCATCTCGAGTTGATTTGGGGCACGTGGAGCTGCTTTGCGTTGCTGGGGTGACCTCAGGGTCCGTCTAGACTGGTGACAGTGTTCTTGGGGACTGTCTCGAGATCCATTAAGCAAGTCGAAGCTCCTGACTTGTTTGAATGGGGTCACGGAATAGCTCTGCATGCACTGCAGGGGAATGGGGCCTCATCTCGCCTCTAGGGGGAAGTCTCATTGTTTTTCTCGAGTTGCGGCGGGGACCTGGGGTATGTTCTCGACTTACGGCGGGGATGGCCCTTCAAAACACGAGTTTCTTCAGTGACGTCAGGACTCCTGTCTAGTAACGAGGGACACCTCAGGAATCTCTTCGAGGCTTGGCAGGGCCAAAGGGACGCTTCTCGAGGTGAGGCAGGGCACCCAAGGACCCTGTCCAGTAGCCACAGGGATTTTGGGATTCCTATCAGTATTCAAGAGGAGTCAGGCATCGTCACCTTTTGAAGCAATGAACTCCGCGTGCCTCTCGAGGTGTCAGCGGGATGTGAGGCATTCCGTCAAAATGAGGCAGGGACCTAGGGCTTTCTCTAAGGTCTCCACAGGGGATTCAGACATCCCTTCATGTTGTGAGATGAAAGACGAGCCTGTATTCAAGCCACTGCAAGGAAATCCGGCCTCCTTTCAACTTAGGGCTTCTCGCTGTATATTCCCCTTGAGGCAGCAAACTCGGGGTCCCTCCCACATACCTATTGCTGAGAGAAGCCTCCTCCTGAGGTGCTTCTGGGAAGTTGGCATACGTCTTGAGCCTAAGCCAGGGAATCAGCTCGCATCTCGAGACGATTTGGGGTAGACGGAGCATTCCTCGAGTTGCTGTGCTGATGTTGGTGTTCCTCTAGACTTGGGACAGTGTTCTCGGGGCATCTCTGGAGTTGCCTGAAGGAAGTCGAGCCACCGGTCGTGTTGAATGGGGAACGGGGAATGGCTCTGGAGTCAATGCAGGGGAATCGGGCCTCATCTCGAGTTGATTTGGGGCACATGGAGCTGCTTTGCGTTGCTGGGGTGACCTCAGGGTCCGTCTAGACTGGTGACAGTGTTCTTGGGGACTGTCTCGAGATCCATTAAGCAAGTCGAAGCTCCTGACTTGTTTGAATGGGATCACGGAATAGCTCTGCATGCACTGCAGGGGAATGGGGCCTCATCTCGCCTCTAGGGGGAAGTCTCATGGTTTTTCTCCAGTTGCGGCGGGGACCTGGGGTATGTTCTCGACTTACGGCGGGGATGGCCCTTCAAAACACGAGTTTCTTCAGTGACGTCAGGACTCCTGTCTAGTAACGAGGGACACCTCAGGAATCTCTTCGAGGCTTGGCAGGGCCAAAGGGACGCTTCTCGAGGTGAGGCAGGGCACCCAAGGACCCTTTCCAGTAGCCACAGGGATTTTGGGATTCCTATCAGTATTCAAGAGGAGTCAGGCATCGTCACCTTTTGAAGCAATGAACTCCGCGTGCCTCTCGAGGTGTCAGCGGGATGTGAGGCATTCCGTCAAAATGAGGCAGGGACCTAGGGCTTTCTCTAAGGTCTCCACAGGGGATTCAGACATCCCTTCATGTTGTGAGATGAAAGACGAGCCTGTATTCAAGCCACTGCAAGGAAATCCGGCCTCCTTTCAACTTAGGGCTTCTCGCTGTATATTCCCCTTGAGGCAGCAAACTCGGGGTCCCTCCCACATACCTATTGCTGAGAGAAGCCTCCTCCTGAGGTGCTTCTGGGAAGTTGGCATACGTCTTGAGCCTAAGCCAGGGAATCAGCTCGCATCTCGAGACGATTTGGGGTACACGGAGCATTCCTCGAGTTGCTGTGCTGAAGTTGGTGTTCCTCTAGACTTGGGACAGTGTTCTCGGGGCATCTCTGGAGTTGCCTGAAGGAAGTCGAGCCACCGGTCGTGTTGAATGGGGAACGGGGAATGGCTCTGGAGTCAATGCAGGGGAATCGGGCCTCATCTCGAGTTGATTTGGGGCACATGGAGCTGCTTTGCGTTGCTGGGGTGACCTCAGGGTCCGTCTAGACTGGTGACAGTGTTCTTGGGGACTGTCTCGAGATCCATTAAGCAAGTCGAAGCTCCTGACTTGTTTGAATGGGATCACGGAATAGCTCTGCATGCACTGCAGGGGAATGGGGCCTCATCTCGCCTCTAGGGGGAAGTCTCATGGTTTTTCTCGAGTTGCGGCGGGGACCTGGGGTATGTTCTCGACTTACGGCGGGGATGGCCCTTCAAAACACGAGTTTCTTCAGTGACGTCAGGACTCCTGTCTAGTAACGAGGGACACCTCAGGAATCTCTTCGAGGCTTGGCAGGGCCAAAGGGACGCTTCTCGAGGTGAGGCAGGGCACCCAAGGACCCTTTCCAGTAGCCACAGGGATTTTGGGATTCCTATCAGTATTCAAGAGGAGTCAGGCATCGTCACCTTTTGAAGCAATGAACTCCGCATGCCTCTCGAGGTGTCAGCGGGATGTGAGGCATTCCGTCAAAATGAGGCAGGGATCTAGGGCTTTCTCTAAGGTCTCCACAGGGGATTCAGACATCCCTTCATGTTGTGAGATGAAAGACGAGCCTGTATTCAAGCCACTGCAAGGAAATCCGGCCTCCTTTCAAGTTAGGGCTTCTCGCTGTATATTCCCCTTGAGGCAGCAAACTCGGGGTCCCTCCCACATACCTATTGCTGAGAGAAGCCTCCTCCTGAGGTGCTTCTGGGAAGTTGGCATACGTCTTGAGCCTAAGCCAGGGAATCAGCTCGCATCTCGAGACGATTTGGGGTACACGGAGCATTCCTCGAGTTGCTGTGCTGAAGTTGGTGTTCCTCTAGACTTGGGACAGTGTTCTCGGGGCATCTCTGGAGTTGCCTGAAGGAAGTCGAGCCACCGGTCGTGTTGAATGGGGAACGGGGAATGGCTCTGGAGTCAATGCAGGGGAATCGGGCCTCATCTCGAGTTGATTTGGGGCACATGGAGCTGCTTTGCGTTGCTGGGGTGACCTCAGGGTCCGTCTAGACTGGTGACAGTGTTCTTGGGGACTGTCTCGAGATCCATTAAGCAAGTCGAAGCTCCTGACTTGTTTGAATGGGATCACGGAATAGCTCTGCATGCACTGCAGGGGAATGGGGCCTCATCTCGCCTCTAGGGGGAAGTCTCATGGTTTTTCTCGAGTTGCGGCGGGGACCTGGGGTATGTTCTCGACTTACGGCGGGGATGGCCCTTCAAAACACGAGTTTCTTCAGTGACGTCAGGACTCCTGTCTAGTAACGAGGGACACCTCAGGAATCTCTTCGAGGCTTGGCAGGGCCAAAGGGACGCTTCTCGAGGTGAGGCAGGGCACCCAAGGACCCTTTCCAGTAGCCACAGGGATTTTGGGATTCCTATCAGTATTCAAGAGGAGTCAGGCATCGTCACCTTTTGAAGCAATGAACTCCGCGTGCCTCTCGAGGTGTCAGCGGGATGTGAGGCATTCCGTCAAAATGAGGCAGGGACCTAGGGCTTTCTCTAAGGTCTCCACAGGGGATTCAGACATCCCTTCATGTTGTGAGATGAAAGACGAGCCTGTATTCAAGCCACTGCAAGGAAATCCGGCCTCCTTTCAAGTTAGGGCTTCTCGCTGTATATTCCCCTTGAGGCAGCAAACTCGGGGTCCCTCCCACATACCTATTGCTGAGAGAAGCCTCCTCCTGAGGTGCTTCTGGGAAGTTGGCATACGTCTTGAGCCTAAGCCAGGGAATTAGCTCGCATCTCGAGACGATTTGGGGTACACGGAGCATTCCTCGAGTTGCTGTGCTGAAGTTGGTGTTCCTCTAGACTTGGGACAGTGTTCTCGGGGCATCTCTGGAGTTGCCTGAAGGAAGTCGAGCCACCGGTCGTGTTGAATGGGGAACGGGGAATGGCTCTGGAGTCAATGCAGGGGAATCGGGCCTCATCTCGAGTTGATTTGGGGCACATGGAGCTGCTTTGCGTTGCTGGGGTGACCTCAGGGTCCGTCTAGACTGGTGACAGTGTTCTTGGGGACTGTCTCGAGATCCATTAAGCAAGTCGAAGCTCCTGACTTGTTTGAATGGGATCACGGAATAGCTCTGCATGCACTGCAGGGGAATGGGGCCTCATCTCGCCTCTAGGGGGAAGTCTCATGGTTTTTCTCGAGTTGCGGCGGGGACCTGGGGTATGTTCTCGACTTACGGCGGGGATGGCCCTTCAAAACACGAGTTTCTTCAGTGACGTCAGGACTCCTGTCTAGTAACGAGGGACACCTCAGGAATCTCTTCGAGGCTTGGCAGGGCCAAAGGGACGCTTCTCGAGGTGAGGCAGGGCACCCAAGGACCCTTTCCAATAGCCACAGGGATTTTGGGATTCCTATCAGTATTCAAGAGGAGTCAGGCATCGTCACCTTTTGAAGCAATGAACTCCGCGTGCCTCTCGAGGTGTCAGCGGGATGTGAGGCATTCCGTCAAAATGAGGCAGGGACCTAGGGCTTTCTCTAAGGTCTCCACAGGGGATTCAGACATCCCTTCATGTTGTGAGATGAAAGACGAGCCTGTATTCAAGCCACTGCAAGGAAATCCGGCCTCCTTTCAAGTTAGGGCTTCTCGCTGTATATTCCCCTTGAGGCAGCAAACTCGGGGTCCCTCCCACATACCTATTGCTGAGAGAAGCCTCCTCCTGAGGTGCTTCTGGGAAGTTGGCATACGTCTTGAGCCTAAGCCAGGGAATCAGCTCGCATCTCGAGACGATTTGGGGTACACGGAGCATTCCTCGAGTTGCTGTGCTGAAGTTGGTGTTCCTCTAGACTTGGGACAGTGTTCTCGGGGCATCTCTGGAGTTGCCTGAAGGAAGTCGAGCCACCGGTCGTGTTGAATGGGGAACGGGGAATGGCTCTGGAGTCAATGCAGGGGAATCGGGCCTCATCTCGAGTTGATTTGGGGCACATGGAGCTGCTTTGCGTTGCTGGGGTGACCTCAGGGTCCGTCTAGACTGGTGACAGTGTTCTTGGGGACTGTCTCGAGATCCATTAAGCAAGTCGAAGCTCCTGACTTGTTTGAATGGGATCACGGAATAGCTCTGCATGCACTGCAGGGGAATGGGGCCTCATCTCGCCTCTAGGGGGAAGTCTCATGGTTTTTCTCGAGTTGCGGCGGGGACCTGGGGTATGTTCTCGACTTACGGCGGGGATGGCCCTTCAAAACACGAGTTTCTTCAGTGACGTCAGGACTCCTGTCTAGTAACGAGGGACACCTCAGGAATCTCTTCGAGGCTTGGCAGGGCCAAAGGGACGCTTCTCGAGGTGAGGCAGGGCACCCAAGGACCCTTTCCAGTAGCCACAGGGATTTTGGGATTCCTATCAGTATTCAAGAGGAGTCAGGCATCGTCACCTTTTGAAGCAATGAACTCCGCGTGCCTCTCGAGGTGTCAGCGGGATGTGAGGCATTCCGTCAAAATGAGGCAGGGACCTAGGGCTTTCTCTAAGGTCTCCACAGGGGATTCAGACATCCCTTCATGTTGTGAGATGAAAGACGAGCCTGTATTCAAGCCACTGCAAGGAAATCCGGCCTCCTTTCAAGTTAGGGCTTCTCGCTGTATATTCCCCTTGAGGCAGCAAACTCGGGGTCCCTCCCACATACCTATTGCTGAGAGAAGCCTCCTCCTGAGGTGCTTCTGGGAAGTTGGCATACGTCTTGAGCCTAAGCCAGGGAATCAGCTCGCATCTCGAGACGATTTGGGGTACACGGAGCATTCCTCGAGTTGCTGTGCTGAAGTTGGTGTTCCTCTAGACTTGGGACAGTGTTCTCGGGGCATCTCTGGAGTTGCCTGAAGGAAGTCGAGCCACCGGTCGTGTTGAATGGGGAACGGGGAATGGCTCTGGAGTCAATGCAGGGGAATCGGGCCTCATCTCGAGTTGATTTGGGGCACATGGAGCTGCTTTGCGTTGCTGGGGTGACCTCAGGGTCCGTCTAGACTGGTGACAGTGTTCTTGGGGACTGTCTCGAGATCCATTAAGCAAGTCGAAGCTCCTGACTTGTTTGAATGGGATCACGGAATAGCTCTGCATGCACTGCAGGGGAATGGGGCCTCATCTCGCCTCTAGGGGGAAGTCTCATGGTTTTTCTCGAGTTGCGGCGGGGACCTGGGGTATGTTCTCGACTTACGGCGGGGATGGCCCTTCAAAACACGAGTTTCTTCAGTGACGTCAGGACTCCTGTCTAGTAACGAGGGACACCTCAGGAATCTCTTCGAGGCTTGGCAGGGCCAAAGGGACGCTTCTCGAGGTGAGGCAGGGCACCCAAGGACCCTTTCCAGTAGCCACAGGGATTTTGGGATTCCTATCAGTATTCAAGAGGAGTCAGGCATCGTCACCTTTTGAAGCAATGAACTCCGCGTGCCTCTCGAGGTGTCAGCGGGATGTGAGGCATTCCGTCAAAATGAGGCAGGGACCTAGGGCTTTCTCTAAGGTCTCCACAGGGGATTCAGACATCCCTTCATGTTGTGAGATGAAAGACGAGCCTGTATTCAAGCCACTGCAAGGAAATCCGGCCTCCTTTCAAGTTAGGGCTTCTCGCTGTATATTCCCCTTGAGGCAGCAAACTCGGGGTCCCTCCCACATACCTATTGCTGAGAGAAGCCTCCTCCTGAGGTGCTTCTGGGAAGTTGGCATACGTCTTGAGCCTAAGCCAGGGAATCAGCTCGCATCTCGAGACGATTTGGGGTACACGGAGCATTCCTCGAGTTGCTGTGCTGAAGTTGGTGTTCCTCTAGACTTGGGACAGTGTTCTCGGGGCATCTCTGGAGTTGCCTGAAGGAAGTCGAGCCACCGGTCGTGTTGAATGGGGAACGGGGAATGGCTCTGGAGTCAATGCAGGGGAATCGGGCCTCATCTCGAGTTGATTTGGGGCACATGGAGCTGCTTTGCGTTGCTGGGGTGACCTCAGGGTCCGTCTAGACTGGTGACAGTGTTCTTGGGGACTGTCTCGAGATCCATTAAGCAAGTCGAAGCTCCTGACTTGTTTGAATGGGATCACGGAATAGCTCTGCATGCACTGCAGGGGAATGGGGCCTCATCTCGCCTCTAGGGGGAAGTCTCATGGTTTTTCTCGAGTTGCGGCGGGGACCTGGGGTATGTTCTCGACTTACGGCGGGGATGGCCCTTCAAAACACGAGTTTCTTCAGTGACGTCAGGACTCCTGTCTAGTAACGAGGGACACCTCAGGAATCTCTTCGAGGCTTGGCAGGGCCAAAGGGACGCTTCTCGAGGTGAGGCAGGGCACCCAAGGACCCTTTCCAGTAGCCACAGGGATTTTGGGATTCCTATCAGTATTCAAGAGGAGTCAGGCATCGTCACCTTTTGAAGCAATGAACTCCGCGTGCCTCTCGAGGTGTCAGCGGGATGTGAGGCATTCCGTCAAAATGAGGCAGGGACCTAGGGCTTTCTCTAAGGTCTCCACAGGGGATTCAGACATCCCTTCATGTTGTGAGATGAAAGACGAGCCTGTATTCAAGCCACTGCAAGGAAATCCGGCCTCCTTTCAAGTTAGGGCTTCTCGCTGTATATTCCCCTTGAGGCAGCAAACTCGGGGTCCCTCCCACATACCTATTGCTGAGAGAAGCCTCCTCCTGAGGTGCTTCTGGGAAGTTGGCATACGTCTTGAGCCTAAGCCAGGGAATCACCTCGCATCTCGAGACGCTTTGGGGTACACGGAGCATTCCTCGAGTTGCTGTGCTGAAGTTGGTGTTCCTCTAGACTTGGGACAGTGTTCTCGGGGCATCTCCGGAGTTGCCTGAAGGAAGTCGAGCCACCGGTCGTGTTGAATGGGGAACGGGGAATGGCTCTGGAGTCAATGCAGGGGAATCGGGCCTCATCTCGAGTTGATTTGGGGCACATGGAGCTGCTTTGCGTTGCTGGGGTGACCTCAGGGTCCGTCTAGACTGGTGACAGTGTTCTTGGGGACTGTCTCGAGATCCATTAAGCAAGTCGAAGCTCCTGACTTGTTTGAATGGGATCACGGAATAGCTCTGCATGCACTGCAGGGGAATGGGGCCTCATCTCGCCTCTAGGGGGAAGTCTCATGGTTTTTCTCGAGTTGCGGCGGGGACCTGGGGTATGTTCTCGACTTACGGCGGGGATGGCTCTTCAAAACACGAGTTTCTTCAGTGACGTCAGGACTCCTGTCTAGTAACGAGGGACACCTCAGGAATCTCTTCGAGGCTTGGCAGGGCCAAAGGGACGCTTCTCGAGGTGAGGCAGGGCACCCAAGGACCCTTTCCAGTAGCCACAGGGATTTTGGGATTCCTATCAGTATTCAAGAGGAGTCAGGCATCGTCACCTTTTGAAGCAATGAACTCCGCGTGCCCTTCGAGGTGTCAGCGGGATGTGAGGCATTCCGTCAAAATGAGGCAGGGACCTAGGGCTTTCTCTAAGGTCTCCACAGGGGATTCAGACATCCCTTCATGTTGTGAGATGAAAGACGAGCCTGTATTCAAGCCACTGCAAGGAAATCCGGCCTCCTTTCAAGTTAGGGCTTCTCGCTGTATATTCCCCTTGAGGCAGCAAACTCGGGGTCCCTCCCACATACCTATTGCTGAGAGAAGCCTCCTCCTGAGGTGCTTCTGGGAAGTTGGCATACGTCTTGAGCCTAAGCCAGGGAATCAGCTCGCATCTCGAGACGATTTGGGGTACACGGAGCATTCCTCGAGTTGCTGTGCTGAAGTTGGTGTTCCTCTAGACTTGGGACAGTGTTCTCGGGGCATCTCTGGAGTTGCCTGAAGGAAGTCGAGCCACCGGTCGTGTTGAATGGGGAACGGGGAATGGCTCTGGAGTCAATGCAGGGGAATCGGGCCTCATCTCGAGTTGATTTGGGGCACATGGAGCTGCTTTGCGTTGCTGGGGTGACCTCAGGGTCCGTCTAGACTGGTGACAGTGTTCTTGGGGACTGTCTCGAGATCCATTAAGCAAGTCGAAGCTCCTGACTTGTTTGAATGGGATCACGGAATAGCTCTGCATGCACTGCAGGGGAATGGGGCCTCATCTCGCCTCTAGGGGGAAGTCTCATGGTTTTTCTCGAGTTGCGGCGGGGACCTGGGGTATGTTCTCGACTTACGGCGGGGATGGCCCTTCAAAACACGAGTTTCTTCAGTGACGTCAGGACTCCTGTCTAGTAACGAGGGACACCTCAGGAATCTCTTCGAGGCTTGGCAGGGCCAAAGGGACGCTTCTCGAGGTGAGGCAGGGCACCCAAGGACCCTTTCCAGTAGCCACAGGGATTTTGGGATTCCTATCAGTATTCAAGAGGAGTCAGGCATCGTCACCTTTTGAAGCAATGAACTCCGCGTGCCTCTCGAGGTGTCAGCGGGATGTGAGGCATTCCGTCAAAATGAGGCAGGGACCTAGGGCTTTCTCTAAGGTCTCCACAGGGGATTCAGACATCCCTTCATGTTGTGAGATGAAAGACGAGCCTGTATTCAAGCCACTGCAAGGAAATCCGGCCTCCTTTCAAGTTAGGGCTTCTCTCTGTATATTCCCCTTGAGGCAGCAAACTCGGGGTCCCTCCCACATACCTATTGCTGAGAGAAGCCTCCTCCTGAGGTGCTTCTGGGAAGTTGGCATACGGCTTGAGCCTAAGCCAGGGAATCAGCTCGCATCTCGAGATGATTTGGGGTACACGGAGCATTCCTCGAGTTGCTGTGCTGAAGTTGGTGTTCCTCTAGACTTGGGACAGTGTTCTCGGGGCATCTCCGGAGTTGCCTGAAGGAAGTCGAGCCACCGGTCGTGTTGAATGGGGAACGGGGAATGGATCTGGAGTCAATGCAGGGGAATCGGGCCTCATCTCGAGTTGATTTGGGGCACATGGAGCTGCTTTGCGTTGCTTGGGTGACCTCAGGGTCCGTCTAGACTGGTGACAGTGTTCTTGGGGACTGTCTCGAGATCCATTAAGCAAGTCGAAGCTCCTGACTTGTTTGAATGGGATCAAGGAATAGCTCTGCATGCACTGCAGGGGAATGGGGCCTCATCTCGCCACTCGGGGGAAGTCTCATGGTTTTTCTCGAGTTGCGGCGGGGACCTGGGGTATGTTCTCGACTTACGGCGGGGATGGCCCTTCAAAACACGAGTTTCTTCAGTGACGTCAGGACTCCTGTCTAGTAACGAGGGACACCTCAGGAATCTCTTCGAGGCTTGGCAGGGCCAAAGGGACCCTTCTCGAGGTGAGGCAGGGCACCCAAGGACCCTTTCCAGTAGCCACAGGGATTTTGGGATTCCTATCAGTATTCAAGAGGAGTCAGGCATCGTCACCTTTTGAAGCAATGAACTCCGCGTGCCTCTCGAGGTGTCAGCGGGATGTGAGGCATTCCGTCAAAATGAGGCAGGGACCTAGGGCTTTCTCTAAGGTCTCCACAGGGGATTCAGACATCCCTTCATGTTGTGAGATGAAAGACGAGCCTGTATTCAAGCCACTGCAAGGAAATCCGGCCTCCTTTAAAGTTAGGGCTTCTCGCTGTATATTCCCCTTGAGGCAGCAAACTCGGGGTCCCTCCCACATACCTATTGCTGAGAGAAGCCTCCTCCTGAGGTGCTTCTGGGAAGTTGGCATACGTCTTGAGCCTAAGCCAGGGAATCAGCTCGCATCTCGAGACGATTTGGGGTACACGGAGCATTCCTCGAGTTGCTGTGCTGAAGTTGGTGTTCCTCTAGACTTGGGACAGTGTTCTCGGGGCATCTCTGGAGTTGCCTGAAGGAAGTCGAGCCACCGGTCGTGTTGAATGGGGAACGGGGAATGGCTCTGGAGTCAATGCAGGGGAATCGGGCCTCATCTCGAGTTGATTTGGGGCACATGGAGCTGCTTTGCGTTGCTGGGGTGACCTCAGGGTCCGTCTAGACTGGTGACAGTGTTCTTGGGGACTGTCTCGAGATCCATTAAGCAAGTCGAAGCTCCTGACTTGTTTGAATGGGGTCACGGAATAGCTCTGCATGCACTGCAGGGGAATGGGGCCTCATCTCGCCTCTAGGGGGAAGTCTCATGGTTTTTCTCGAGTTGCGGCGGGGACCTGGGGTATGTTCTCGACTTACGGCGGGGATGGCCCTTCAAAACACGAGTTTCTTCAGTGACGTCAGGACTCCTGTCTAGTAACGAGGGACACCTCAGGAATCTCTTCGAGGCTTGGCAGGGCCAAAGGGACGCTTCTCGAGGTGAGGGAGGGCACCCAAGGACCCTTTCCAGTAGCCACAGGGATTTTGGGATTCCTATCAGTATTCAAGAGGAGTCAGGCATCGTCACCTTTTGAAGCAATGAACTCCGCGTGCCTCTCGAGGTGTCAGCGGGATGTGAGGCATTCCGTCAAAATGAGGCAGGGACCTAGGGCTTTCTCTAAGGTCTCCACAGGGGATTCAGACATCCCTTCATGTTGTGAGATGAAAGACGAGCCTGTATTCAAGCCACTGCAAGGAAATCCGGCCTCCTTTCAAGTTAGGGCTTCTCGCTGTATATTCCCCTTGAGGCAGCAAACTCGGGGTCCCTCCCACATACCTATTGCTGAGAGAAGCCTCCTCCTGAGGTGCTTCTGGGAAGTTGGCATACGTCTTGAGCCTAAGCCAGGGAATCAGCTCGCATCTCGAGACGATTTGGGGTACACGGAGCATTCCTCGAGTTGCTGTGCTGAAGTTGGTGTTCCTCTAGACTTGGGACAGTGTTCTCGGGGCATCTCTGGAGTTGCCTGAAGGAAGTCGAGCCACCGGTCGTGTTGAATGGGGAACGGGGAATGGCTCTGGAGTCAATGCAGGGGAATCGGGCCTCATCTCGAGTTGATTTGGGGCACATGGAGCTGCTTTGCGTTGCTGGGGTGACCTCAGGGTCCGTCTAGACTGGTGACAGTGTTCTTGGGGACTGTCTCGAGATCCATTAAGCAAGTCGAAGCTCCTGACTTGTTTGAATGGGATCACGGAATAGCTCTGCATGCACTGCAGGGGAATGGGGCCTCATCTCGCCTCTAGGGGGAAGTCTCATGGTTTTTCTCGAGTTGCGGCGGGGACCTGGGGTATGTTCTCGACTTACGGCGGGGATGGCCCTTCAAAACACGAGTTTCTTCAGTGACGTCAGGACTCCTGTCTAGTAACGAGGGACACCTCAGGAATCTCTTCGAGGCTTGGCAGGGCCAAAGGGACGCTTCTCGAGGTGAGGCAGGGCACCCAAGGACCCTTTCCAGTAGCCACAGGGATTTTGGGATTCCTATCAGTATTCAAGAGGAGTCAGGCATCGTCACCTTTTGAAGCAATGAACTCCGCGTGCCTCTCGAGGTGTCAGCGGGATGTGAGGCATTCCGTCAAAATGAGGCAGGGACCTAGGGCTTTCTCTAAGGTCTCCACAGGGGATTCAGACATCCCTTCATGTTGTGAGATGAAAGACGAGCCTGTATTCAAGCCACTGCAAGGAAATCCGGCCTCCTTTCAAGTTAGGGCTTCTCGCTGTATATTCCCCTTGAGGCAGCAAACTCGGGGTCCCTCCCACATACCTATTGCTGAGAGAAGCCTCCTCCTGAGGTGCTTCTGGGAAGTTGGCATACGTCTTGAGCCTAAGCCAGGGAATCAGCTCTCATCTCGAGACGATTTGGGGTACACGGAGCATTCCTCGAGTTGCTGTGCTGAAGTTGGTGTTCCTCTAGACTTGGGACAGTGTTCTCGGGGCATCTCTGGAGTTGCCTGAAGGAAGTCGAGCCACCGGTCGTGTTGAATGGGGAACGGGGAATGGCTCTGGAGTCAATGCAGGGGAATCGGGCCTCATCTCGAGTTGATTTGGGGCACATGGAGCTGCTTTGCGTTGCTGGGGTGACCTCAGGGTCCGTCTAGACTGGTGACAGTGTTCTTGGGGACTGTCTCGAGATCCATTAAGCAAGTCGAAGCTCCTGACTTGTTTGAATGGGATCACGGAATAGCTCTGCATGCACTGCAGGGGAATGGGGCCTCATCTCGCCTCTAGGGGGAAGTCTCATGGTTTTTCTCGAGTTGCGGCGGGGACCTGGGGTATGTTCTCGACTTACGGCGGGGATGGCCCTTCAAAACACGAGTTTCTTCAGTGACGTCAGGACTCCTGTCTAGTAACGAGGGACACCTCAGGAATCTCTTCGAGGCTTGGCAGGGCCAAAGGGACGCTTCTCGAGGTGAGGCAGGGCACCCAAGGACCCTTTCCAGTAGCCACAGGGATTTTGGGATTCCTATCAGTATTCAAGAGGAGTCAGGCATCGTCACCTTTTGAAGCAATGAACTCCGCGTGCCTCTCGAGGTGTCAGCGGGATGTGAGGCATTCCGTCAAAATGAGGCAGGGACCTAGGGCTTTCTCTAAGGTCTCCACAGGGGATTCAGACATCCCTTCATGTTGTGAGATGAAAGACGAGCCTGTATTCAAGCCACTGCAAGGAAATCCGGCCTCCTTTCAAGTTAGGGCTTCTCGCTGTATATTCCCCTTGAGGCAGCAAACTCGGGGTCCCTCCCACATACCTATTGCTGAGAGAAGCCTCCTCCTGAGGTGCTTCTGGGAAGTTGGCATACGTCTTGAGCCTAAGCCAGGGAATCAGCTCGCATCTCGAGACGATTTGGGGTACACGGAGCATTCCTCGAGTTGCTGTGCTGAAGTTGGTGTTCCTCTAGACTTGGGACAGTGTTCTCGGGGCATCTCTGGAGTTGCCTGAAGGAAGTCGAGCCACCGGTCGTGTTGAATGGGGAACGGGGAATGGCTCTGGAGTCAATGCAGGGGAATCGGGCCTCATCTCGAGTTGATTTGGGGCACATGGAGCTGCTTTGCGTTGCTGGGGTGACCTCAGGGTCCGTCTAGACTGGTGACAGTGTTCTTGGGGACTGTCTCGAGATCCATTAAGCAAGTCGAAGCTCCTGACTTGTTTGAATGGGATCACGGAATAGCTCTGCATGCACTGCAGGGGAATGGGGCCTCATCTCGCCTCTAGGGGGAAGTCTCATGGTTTTTCTCGAGTTGCGGCGGGGACCTGGGGTATGTTCTCGACTTACGGCGGGGATGGCCCTTCAAAACACGAGTTTCTTCAGTGACGTCAGGACTCCTGTCTAGTAACGAGGGACACCTCAGGAATCTCTTCGAGGCTTGGCAGGGCCAAAGGGACGCTTCTCGAGGTGAGGCAGGGCACCCAAGGACCCTTTCCAGTAGCCACAGGGATTTTGGGATTCCTATCAGTATTCAAGAGGAGTCAGGCATCGTCACCTTTTGAAGCAATGAACTCCGCGTGCCTCTCGAGGTGTCAGCGGGATGTGAGGCATTCCGTCAAAATGAGGCAGGGACCTAGGGCTTTCTCTAAGGTCTCCACAGGGGATTCAGACATCCCTTCATGTTGTGAGATGAAAGACGAGCCTGTATTCAAGCCACTGCAAGGAAATCCGGCCTCCTTTCAAGTTAGGGCTTCTCGCTGTATATTCCCCTTGAGGCAGCAAACTCGGGGTCCCTCCCACATACCTATTGCTGAGAGAAGCCTCCTCCTGAGGTGCTTCTGGGAAGTTGGCATACGTCTTGAGCCTAAGCCAGGGAATCAGCTCGCATCTCGAGACGATTTGGGGTACACGGAGCATTCCTCGAGTTGCTGTGCTGAAGTTGGTGTTCCTCTAGACTTGGGACAGTGTTCTCGGGGCATCTCTGGAGTTGCCTGAAGGAAGTCGAGCCACCGGTCGTGTTGAATGGGGAACGGGGAATGGCTCTGGAGTCAATGCAGGGGAATCGGGCCTCATCTCGAGTTGATTTGGGGCACATGGAGCTGCTTTGCGTTGCTGGGGTGACCTCAGGGTCCGTCTAGACTGGTGACAGTGTTCTTGGGGACTGTCTCGAGATCCATTAAGCAAGTCGAAGCTCCTGACTTGTTTGAATGGGATCACGGAATAGCTCTGCATGCACTGCAGGGGAATGGGGCCTCATCTCGCCTCTAGGGGGAAGTCTCATGGTTTTTCTCGAGTTGCGGCGGGGACCTGGGGTATGTTCTCGACTTACGGCGGGGATGGCCCTTCAAAACACGAGTTTCTTCAGTGACGTCAGGACTCCTGTCTAGTAACGAGGGACACCTCAGGAATCTCTTCGAGGCTTGGCAGGGCCAAAGGGACGCTTCTCGAGGTGAGGCAGGGCACCCAAGGACCCTTTCCAGTAGCCACAGGGATTTTGGGATTCCTATCAGTATTCAAGAGGAGTCAGGCATCGTCACCTTTTGAAGCAATGAACTCCGCGTGCCTCTCGAGGTGTCAGCGGGATGTGAGGCATTGCGTCAAAATGAGGCAGGGACCTAGGGCTTTCTCTAAGGTCTCCACAGGGGATTCAGACATCCCTTCATGTTGTGAGATGAAAGACGAGCCTGTATTCAAGCCACTGCAAGGAAATCCGGCCTCCTTTCAAGTTAGGGCTTCTCGCTGTATATTCCCCTTGAGGCAGCAAACTCGGGGTCCCTCCCACATACCTATTGCTGAGAGAAGCCTCCTCCTGAGGTGCTTCTGGGAAGTTGGCATACGTCTTGAGCCTAAGCCAGGGAATCAGCTCGCATCTCGAGACGATTTGGGGTACACGGAGCATTCCTCGAGTTGCTGTGCTGAAGTTGGTGTTCCTCTAGACTTGGGACAGTGTTCTCGGGGCATCTCCGGAGTTGCCTGAAGGAAGTCGAGCCACCGGTCGTGTTGAATGGGGAACGGGGAATGGCTCTGGAGTCAATGCAGGGGAATCGGGCCTCATCTCGAGTTGATTTGGGGCACATGGAGCTGCTTTGCGTTGCTGGGGTGACCTCAGGGTCCGTCTAGACTGGTGACAGTGTTCTTGGGGACTGTCTCGAGATCCATTAAGCAAGTCGAAGCTCCTGACTTGTTTGAATGGGATCACGGAATAGCTCTGCATGCACTGCAGGGGAATGGGGCCTCATCTCGCCTCTAGGGGGAAGTCTCATGGTTTTTCTCGAGTTGCGGCGGGGACCTGGGGTATGTTCTCGACTTACGGCGGGGATGGCCCTTCAAAACACGAGTTTCTTCAGTGACGTCAGGACTCCTGTCTAGTAACGAGGGACACCTCAGGAATCTCTTCGAGGCTTGGCAGGGCCAAAGGGACGCTTCTCGAGGTGAGGCAGGGCACCCAAGGACCCTTTCCAGTAGCCACAGGGATTTTGGGATTCCTATCAGTATTCAAGAGGAGTCAGGCATCGTCACCTTTTGAAGCAATGAACTCCGCGTGCCTCTCGAGGTGTCAGCGGGATGTGAGGCATTCCGTCAAAATGAGGCAGGGACCTAGGGCTTTCTCTAAGGTCTCCACAGGGGATTCAGACATCCCTTCATGTTGTGAGATGAAAGACGAGCCTGTATTCAAGCCACTGCAAGGAAATCCGGCCTCCTTTCAAGTTAGGGCTTCTCGCTGTATATTCCCCTTGAGGCAGCAAACTCGGGGTCCCTCCCACATACCTATTGCTGAGAGAAGCCTCCTCCTGAGGTGCTTCTGGGAAGTTGGCATACGTCTTGAGCCTAAGCCAGGGAATTAGCTCGCATCTCGAGACGATTTGGGGTACACGGAGCATTCCTCGAGTTGCTGTGCTGAAGTTGGTGTTCCTCTAGACTTGGGACAGTGTTCTCGGGGCATCTCTGGAGTTGCCTGAAGGAAGTCGAGCCACCGGTCGTGTTGAATGGGGAACGGGGAATGGCTCTGGAGTCAATGCAGGGGAATCGGGCCTCATCTCGAGTTGATTTGGGGCACATGGAGCTGCTTTGCGTTGCTGGGGTGACCTCAGGGTCCGTCTAGACTGGTGACAGTGTTCTTGGGGACTGTCTCGAGATCCTTTAAGCAAGTCGAAGCTCCTGACTTGTTTGAATGGGATCACGGAATAGCTCTGCATGCACTGCAGGGGAATGGGGCCTCATCTCGCCTCTAGGGGGAAGTCTCATGGTTTTTCTCGAGTTGCGGCGGGGACCTGGGGTATGTTCTCGACTTACGGCGGGGATGGCCCTTCAAAACACGAGTTTCTTCAGTGACGTCAGGACTCCTGTCTAGTAACGAGGGACACCTCAGGAATCTCTTCGAGGCTTGGCAGGGCCAAAGGGACGCTTCTCGAGGTGAGGCAGGGCACCCAAGGACCCTTTCCAGTAGCCACAGGGATTTTGGGATTCCTATCAGTATTCAAGAGGAGTCAGGCATCGTCACCTTTTGAAGCAATGAACTCCGCGTGCCTCTCGAGGTGTCAGCGGGATGTGAGGCATTCCGTCAAAATGAGGCAGGGACCTAGGGCTTTCTCTAAGGTCTCCACAGGGGATTCAGACATCCCTTCATGTTGTGAGATGAAAGACGAGCCTGTATTCAAGCCACTGCAAGGAAATCCGGCCTCCTTTCAAGTTAGGGCTTCTCGCTGTATATTCCCCTTGAGGCAGCAAACTCGGGGTCCCTCCCACATACCTATTGCTGAGAGAAGCCTCCTCCTGAGGTGCTTCTGGGAAGTTGGCATACGTCTTGAGCCTAAGCCAGGGAATCAGCTTGCATCTCGAGACGATTTGGGGTACACGGAGCATTCCTCGAGTTGCTGTGCTGAAGTTGGTGTTCCTCTAGACTTGGGACAGTGTTCTCGGGGCATCTCTGGAGTTGCCTGAAGGAAGTCGAGCCACCGGTCGTGTTGAATGGGGAACGGGGAATGGCTCTGGAGTCAATGCAGGGGAATCGGGCCTCATCTCGAGTTGATTTGGGGCACATGGAGCTGCTTTGCGTTGCTGGGGTGACCTCAGGGTCCGTCTAGACTGGTGACAGTGTTCTTGGGGACTGTCTCGAGATCCATTAAGCAAGTCGAAGCTCCTGACTTGTTTGAATGGGATCACGGAATAGCTCTGCATGCACTGCAGGGGAATGGGGCCTCATCTCGCCTCTAGGGGGAAGTCTCATGGTTTTTCTCGAGTTGCGGCGGGGACCTGGGGTATGTTCTCGACTTACGGCGGGGATGGCCCTTCAAAACACGAGTTTCTTCAGTGACGTCAGGACTCCTGTCTAGTAACGAGGGACACCTCAGGAATCTCTTCGAGGCTTGGCAGGGCCAAAGGGACGCTTCTCGAGGTGAGGCAGGGCACCCAAGGACCCTTTCCAGTAGCCACAGGGATTTTGGGATTCCTATCAGTATTCAAGAGGAGTCAGGCATCGTCACCTTTTGAAGCAATGAACTCCGCGTGCCTCTCGAGGTGTCAGCGGGATGTGAGGCATTCCGTCAAAATGAGGCAGGGACCTAGGGCTTTCTCTAAGGTCTCCACAGGGGATTCAGACATCCCTTCATGTTGTGAGATGAAAGACGAGCCTGTATTCAAGCCACTGCAAGGAAATCCGGCCTCCTTTCAAGTTAGGGCTTCTCGCTGTATATTCCCCTTGAGGCAGCAAACTCGGGGTCCCTCCCACATACCTATTGCTGAGAGAAGCCTCCTCCTGAGGTGCTTCTGGGAAGTTGGCATACGTCTTGAGCCTAAGCCAGGGAATCAGCTCGCATCTCGAGACGATTTGGGGTACACGGAGCATTCCTCGAGTTGCTGTGCTGAAGTTGGTGTTCCTCTAGACTTGGGACAGTGTTCTCGGGGCATCTCTGGAGTTGCCTGAAGGAAGTCGAGCCACCGGTCGTGTTGAATGGGGAACGGGGAATGGCTCTGGAGTCAATGCAGGGGAATCGGGCCTCATCTCGAGTTGATTTGGGGCACATGGAGCTGCTTTGCGTTGCTGGGGTGACCTCAGGGTCCGTCTAGACTGGTGACAGTGTTCTTGGGGACTGTCTCGAGATCCATTAAGCAAGTCGAAGCTCCTGACTTGTTTGAATGGGATCACGGAATAGCTCTGCATGCACTGCAGGGGAATGGGGCCTCATCTCGCCTCTAGGGGGAAGTCTCATGGTTTTTCTCGAGTTGCGGCGGGGACCTGGGGTATGTTCTCGACTTACGGCGGGGATGGCCCTTCAAAACACGAGTTTCTTCAGTGACGTCAGGACTCCTGTCTAGTAACGAGGGACACCTCAGGAATCTCTTCGAGGCTTGGCAGGGCCAAAGGGACGCTTCTCGAGGTGAGGCAGGGCACCCAAGGACCCTTTCCAGTAGCCACAGGGATTTTGGGATTCCTATCAGTATTCAAGAGGAGTCAGGCATCGTCACCTTTTGAAGCAATGAACTCCGCGTGCCTCTCGAGGTGTCAGCGGGATGTGAGGCATTCCGTCAAAATGAGGCAGGGACCTAGGGCTTTCTCTAAGGTCTCCACAGGGGATTCAGACATCCCTTCATGTTGTGAGATGAAAGACGAGCCTGTATTCAAGCCACTGCAAGGAAATCCGGCCTCCTTTCAAGTTAGGGCTTCTCGCTGTATATTCCCCTTGAGGCAGCAAACTCGGGGTCCCTCCCACATACCTATTGCTGAGAGAAGCCTCCTCCTGAGGTGCTTCTGGGAAGTTGGCATACGTCTTGAGCCTAAGCCAGGGAATCAGCTCGCATCTCGAGACGATTTGGGGTACACGGAGCATTCCTCGAGTTGCTGTGCTGAAGTTGGTGTTCCTCTAGACTTGGGACAGTGTTCTCGGGGCATCTCTGGAGTTGCCTGAAGGAAGTCGAGCCACCGGTCGTGTTGAATGGGGAACGGGGAATGGCTCTGGAGTCAATGCAGGGGAATCGGGCCTCATCTCGAGTTGATTTGGGGCACATGGAGCTGCTTTGCGTTGCTGGGGTGACCTCAGGGTCCGTCTAGACTGGTGACAGTGTTCTTGGAGACTGTCTCGAGATCCATTAAGCAAGTCGAAGCTCCTGACTTGTTTGAATGGGATCACGGAATAGCTCTGCATGCACTGCAGGGGAATGGGGCCTCATCTCGCCTCTAGGGGGAAGTCTCATGGTTTTTCTCGAGTTGCGGCGGGGACCTGGGGTATGTTCTCGACTTACGGCGGGGATGGCCCTTCAAAACACGAGTTTCTTCAGTGACGTCAGGACTCCTGTCTAGTAACGAGGGACACCTCAGGAATCTCTTCGAGGCTTGGCAGGGCCAAAGGGACGCTTCTCGAGGTGAGGCAGGGCACCCAAGGACCCTTTCCAGTAGCCACAGGGATTTTGGGATTCCTATCAGTATTCAAGAGGAGTCAGGCATCGTCACCTTTTGAAGCAATGAACTCCGCGTGCCTCTCGAGGTGTCAGCGGGATGTGAGGCATTGCGTCAAAATGAGGCAGGGACCTAGGGCTTTCTCTAAGGTCTCCACAGGGGATTCAGACATCCCTTCATGTTGTGAGATGAAAGACGAGCCTGTATTCAAGCCACTGCAAGGAAATCCGGCCTCCTTTCAAGTTAGGGCTTCTCGCTGTATATTCCCCTTGAGGCAGCAAACTCGGGGTCCCTCCCACATACCTATTGCTGAGAGAAGCCTCCTCCTGAGGTGCTTCTGGGAAGTTGGCATACGTCTTGAGCCTAAGCCAGGGAATCAGCTCGCATCTCGAGACGATTTGGGGTACACGGAGCATTCCTCGAGTTGCTGTGCTGAAGTTGGTGTTCCTCTAGACTTGGGACAGTGTTCTCGGGGCATCTCCGGAGTTGCCTGAAGGAAGTCGAGCCACCGGTCGTGTTGAATGGGGAACGGGGAATGGCTCTGGAGTCAATGCAGGGGAATCGGGCCTCATCTCGAGTTGATTTGGGGCACATGGAGCTGCTTTGCGTTGCTGGGGTGACCTCAGGGTCCGTCTAGACTGGTGACAGTGTTCTTGGGGACTGTCTCGAGATCCATTAAGCAAGTCGAAGCTCCTGACTTGTTTGAATGGGATCACGGAATAGCTCTGCATGCACTGCAGGGGAATGGGGCCTCATCTCGCCTCTAGGGGGAAGTCTCATGGTTTTTCTCGAGTTGCGGCGGGGACCTGGGGTATGTTCTCGACTTACGGCGGGGATGGCTCTTCAAAACACGAGTTTCTTCAGTGACGTCAGGACTCCTGTCTAGTAACGAGGGACACCTCAGGAATCTCTTCGAGGCTTGGCAGGGCCAAAGGGACGCTTCTCGAGGTGAGGCAGGGCACCCAAGGACCCTTTCCAGTAGCCACAGGGATTTTGGGATTCCTATCAGTATTCAAGAGGAGTCAGGCATCGTCACCTTTTGAAGCAATGAACTCCGCGTGCCCTTCGAGGTGTCAGCGGGATGTGAGGCATTCCGTCAAAATGAGGCAGGGACCTAGGGCTTTCTCTAAGGTCTCCACAGGGGATTCAGACATCCCTTCATGTTGTGAGATGAAAGACGAGCCTGTATTCAAGCCACTGCAAGGAAATCCGGCCTCCTTTCAAGTTAGGGCTTCTCGCTGTATATTCCTCTTGAGGCAGCAAACTCGGGGTCCCTCCCACATACCTATTGCTGAGAGAAGCCTCCTCCTGAGGTGCTTCTGGGAAGTTGGCATACGTCTTGAGCCTAAGCCAGGGAATCAGCTCGCATCTCGAGACGATTTGGGGTACACGGAGCATTCCTCGAGTTGCTGTGCTGAAGTTGATGTTCCTCTAGACTTGGGACAGTGTTCTCGGGGCATCTCTGGAGTTGCCTGAAGGAAGTCGAGCCACCGGTCGTGTTGAATGGGGAACGGGGAATGGCTCTGGAGTCAATGCAGGGGAATCGGGCCTCATCTCGAGTTGATTTGGGGCACATGGAGCTGCTTTGCGTTGCTGGGGTGACCTCAGGGTCCGTCTAGACTGGTGACAGTGTTCTTGGGGACTGTCTCGAGATCCATTAAGCAAGTCGAAGCTCCTGACTTGTTTGAATGGGATCACGGAATAGCTCTGCATGCACTGCAGGGGAATGGGGCCTCATCTCGCCTCTAGGGGGAAGTCTCATGGTTTTTCTCGAGTTGCGGCGGGGACCTGGGGTATGTTCTCGACTTACGGCGGGGATGGCCCTTCAAAACACGAGTTTCTTCAGTGACGTCAGGACTCCTGTCTAGTAACGAGGGACACCTCAGGAATCTCTTCGAGGCTTGGCAGGGCCAAAGGGACGCTTCTCGAGGTGAGGCAGGGCACCCAAGGACCCTTTCCAGTAGCCACAGGGATTTTGGGATTCCTATCAGTATTCAAGAGGAGTCAGGCATCGTCACCTTTTGAAGCAATGAACTCCGCGTGCCTCTCGAGGTGTCAGCGGGATGTGAGGCATTCCGTCAAAATGAGGCAGGGATCTAGGGCTTTCTCTAAGGTCTCCACAGGGGATTCAGACATCCCTTCATGTTGTGAGATGAAAGACGAGCCTGTATTCAAGCCACTGCAAGGAAATCCGGCCTCCTTTCAAGTTAGGGCTTCTCGCTGTATATTCCCCTTGAGGCAGCAAACTCGGGGTCCCTCCCACATACCTATTGCTGAGAGAAGCCTCCTCCTGAGGTGCTTCTGGGAAGTTGGCATACGTCTTGAGCCTAAGCCAGGGAATCAGCTCGCATCTCGAGACGATTTGGGGTACACGGAGCATTCCTCGAGTTGCTGTGCTGAAGTTGGTGTTCCTCTAGACTTGGGACAGTGTTCTCGGGGCATCTCTGGAGTTGCCTGAAGGAAGTCGAGCCACCGGTCGTGTTGAATGGGGAACGGGGAATGGCTCTGGAGTCAATGCAGGGGAATCGGGCCTCATCTCGAGTTGATTTGGGGCACATGGAGCTGCTTTGCGTTGCTGGGGTGACCTCAGGGTCCGTCTAGACTGGTGACAGTGTTCTTGGGGACTGTCTCGAGATCCATTAAGCAAGTCGAAGCTCCTGACTTGTTTGAATGGGATCACGGAATAGCTCTGCATGCACTGCAGGGGAATGGGGCCTCATCTCGCCTCTAGGGGGAAGTCTCATGGTTTTTCTCGAGTTGCGGCGGGGACCTGGGGTATGTTCTCGACTTACGGCGGGGATGGCCCTTCAAAACACGAGTTTCTTCAGTGACGTCAGGACTCCTGTCTAGTAACGAGGGACACCTCAGGAATCTCTTCGAGGCTTGGCAGGGCCAAAGGGACGCTTCTCGAGGTGAGGCAGGGCACCCAAGGACCCTTTCCAGTAGCCACAGGGATTTTGGGATTCCTATCAGTATTCAAGAGGAGTCAGGCATCGTCACCTTTTGAAGCAATGAACTCCGCGTGCCTCTCGAGGTGTCAGCGGGATGTGAGGCATTCCGTCAAAATGAGGCAGGGACCTAGGGCTTTCTCTAAGGTCTCCACAGGGGATTCAGACATCCCTTCATGTTGTGAGATGAAAGACGAGCCTGTATTCAAGCCACTGCAAGGAAATCCGGCCTCCTTTCAAGTTAGGGCTTCTCGCTGTATATTCCCCTTGAGGCAGCAAACTCGGGGTCCCTCCCACATACCTATTGCTGAGAGAAGCCTCCTCCTGAGGTGCTTCTGGGAAGTTGGCATACGTCTTGAGCCTAAGCCAGGGAATCAGCTCGCATCTCGAGACGATTTGGGGTACACGGAGCATTCCTCGAGTTGCTGTGCTGAAGTTGGTGTTCCTCTAGACTTGGGACAGTGTTCTCGGGGCATCTCCGGAGTTGCCTGAAGGAAGTCGAGCCACCGGTCGTGTTGAATGGGGAACGGGGAATGGATCTGGAGTCAATGCAGGGGAATCGGGCCTCATCTCGAGTTGATTTGGGGCACATGGAGCTGCTTTGCGTTGCTTGGGTGACCTCAGGGTCCGTCTAGACTGGTGACAGTGTTCTTGGGGACTGTCTCGAGATCCATTAAGCAAGTCGAAGCTCCTGACTTGTTTGAATGGGATCAAGGAATAGCTCTGCATGCACTGCAGGGGAATGGGGCCTCATCTCGCCTCTCGGGGGAAGTCTCATGGTTTTTCTCGAGTTGCGGCGGGGACCTGGGGTATGTTCTCGACTTACGGCGGGGATGGCCCTTCAAAACACGAGTTTCTTCAGTGACGTCAGGACTCCTGTCTAGTAACGAGGGACACCTCAGGAATCTCTTCGAGGCTTGGCAGGGCCAAAGGGACCCTTCTCGAGGTGAGGCAGGGCACCCAAGGACCCTTTCCAGTAGCCACAGGGATTTTGGGATTCCTATCAGTATTCAAGAGGAGTCAGGCATCGTCACCTTTTGAAGCAATGAACTCCGCGTGCCTCTCGAGGTGTCAGCGGGATGTGAGGCATTCCGTCAAAATGAGGCAGGGACCTAGGGCTTTCTCTAAGGTCTCCACAGGGGATTCAGACATCCCTTCATGTTGTGAGATGAAAGACGAGCCTGTATTCAAGCCACTGCAAGGAAATCCGGCCTCCTTTCCAGTTAGGGCTTCTCGCTGTATATTCCCCTTGAGGCAGCAAACTCGGGGTCCCTCCCACATACCTATTGCTGAGAGAAGCCTCCTCCTGAGGTGCTTCTGGGAAGTTGGCATACGTCTTGAGCCTAAGCCAGGGAATCAGCTCGCATCTCGAGACGATTTGGGGTACACGGAGCATTCCTCGAGTTGCTGTGCTGAAGTTGGTGTTCCTCTAGACTTGGGACAGTGTTCTCGGTGCATCTCTGGAGTTGCCTGAAGGAAGTCGAGCCACCGGTCGTGTTGAATGGGGAACGGGGAATGGCTCTGGAGTCAATGCAGGGGAATCGGGCCTCATCTCGAGTTGATTTGGGGCACATGGAGCTGCTTTGCGTTGCTGGGGTGACCTCAGGGTCTGTCTAGACTGGTGACAGTGTTCTTGGGGACTGTCTCGAGATCCATTAAGCAAGTCGAAGCTCCTGACTTGTTTGAATGGGGTCACGGAATAGCTCTGCATGCACTGCAGGGGAATGGGGCCTCATCTCGCCTCTAGGGGGAAGTCTCATGGTTTTTCTCGAGTTGCGGCGGGGACCTGGGGTATGTTCTCGACTTACGGCGGGGATGGCCCTTCAAAACACGAGTTTCTTCAGTGACGTCAGGACTCCTGTCTAGTAACGAGGGACACCTCAGGAATCTCTTCGAGGCTTGGCAGGGCCAAAGGGACGCTTCTCGAGGTGAGGGAGGGCACCCAAGGACCCTTTCCAGTAGCCACAGGGATTTTGGGATTCCTATCAGTATTCAAGAGGAGTCAGGCATCGTCACCTTTTGAAGCAATGAACTCCGCGTGCCTCTCGAGGTGTCAGCGGGATGTGAGGCATTCCGTCAAAATGAGGCAGGGACCTAGGGCTTTCTCTAAGGTCTCCACAGGGGATTCAGACATCCCTTCATGTTGTGAGATGAAAGACGAGCCTGTATTCAAGCCACTGCAAGGAAATCCGGCCTCCTTTCAAGTTAGGGCTTCTCGCTGTATATTCCCCTTGAGGCAGCAAACTCGGGGTCCCTCCCACATACCTATTGCTGAGAGAAGCCTCCTCCTGAGGTGCTTCTGGGAAGTTGGCATACGTCTTGAGCCTAAGCCAGGGAATCAGCTCGCATCTCGAGACGATTTGGGGTACACGGAGCATTCCTCGAGTTGCTGTGCTGAAGTTGGTGTTCCTCTAGACTTGGGACAGTGTTCTCGGGGCATCTCTGGAGTTGCCTGAAGGAAGTCGAGCCACCGGTCGTGTTGAATGGGGAACGGGGAATGGCTCTGGAGTCAATGCAGGGGAATCGGGCCTCATCTCGAGTTGATTTGGGGCACATGGAGCTGCTTTGCGTTGCTGGGGTGACCTCAGGGTCCGTCTAGACTGGTGACAGTGTTCTTGGGGACTGTCTCGAGATCCATTAAGCAAGTCGAAGCTCCTGACTTGTTTGAATGGGATCACGGAATAGCTCTGCATGCACTGCAGGGGAATGGGGCCTCATCTCGCCTCTAGGGGGAAGTCTCATGGTTTTTCTCGAGTTGCGGCGGGGACCTGGGGTATGTTCTCGACTTACGGCGGGGATGGCCCTTCAAAACACGAGTTTCTTCAGTGACGTCAGGACTCCTGTCTAGTAACGAGGGACACCTCAGGAATCTCTTCGAGGCTTGGCAGGGCCAAAGGGACGCTTCTCGAGGTGAGGCAGGGCACCCAAGGACCCTTTCCAGTAGCCACAGGGATTTTGGGATTCCTATCAGTATTCAAGAGGAGTCAGGCATCGTCACCTTTTGAAGCAATGAACTCCGCGTGCCTCTCGAGGTGTCAGCGGGATGTGAGGCATTCCGTCAAAATGAGGCAGGGACCTAGGGCTTTCTCTAAGGTCTCCACAGGGGATTCAGACATCCCTTCATGTTGTGAGATGAAAGACGAGCCTGTATTCAAGCCACTGCAAGGAAATCCGGCCTCCTTTCAAGTTAGGGCTTCTCGCTGTATATTCCCCTTGAGGCAGCAAACTCGGGGTCCCTCCCACATACCTATTGCTGAGAGAAGCCTCCTCCTGAGGTGCTTCTGGGAAGTTGGCATACGTCTTGAGCCTAAGCCAGGGAATCAGCTCGCATCTCGAGACGATTTGGGGTACACGGAGCATTCCTCGAGTTGCTGTGCTGAAGTTGGTGTTCCTCTAGACTTGGGACAGTGTTCTCGGGTCATCTCCGGAGTTGCCTGAAGGAAGTCGAGCCACCGGTCGTGTTGAATGGGGAACGGGGAATGGCTCTGGAGTCAATGCAGGGGAATCGGGCCTCATCTCGAGTTGATTTGGGGCACATGGAGCTGCTTTGCGTTGCTGGGGTGACCTCAGGGTCCGTCTAGACTGGTGACAGTGTTCTTGGGGACTGTCTCGAGATCCATTAAGCAAGTCGAAGCTCCTGACTTGTTTGAATGGGATCACGGAATAGCTCTGCATGCACTGCAGGGGAATGGGGCCTCATCTCGCCTCTAGGGGGAAGTCTCATGGTTTTTCTCGAGTTGCGGCGGGGACCTGGGGTATGTTCTCGACTTACGGCGGGGATGGCTCTTCAAAACACGAGTTTCTTCAGTGACGTCAGGACTCCTGTCTAGTAACGAGGGACACCTCAGGAATCTCTTCGAGGCTTGGCAGGGCCAAAGGGACGCTTCTCGAGGTGAGGCAGGGCACCCAAGGACCCTTTCCAGTAGCCACAGGGATTTTGGGATTCCTATCAGTATTCAAGAGGAGTCAGGCATCGTCACCTTTTGAAGCAATGAACTCCGCGTGCCTCTCGAGGTGTCAGCGGGATGTGAGGCATTCCGTCAAAATGAGGCAGGGACCTAGGGCTTTCTCTAAGGTCTCCACAGGGGATTCAGACATCCCTTCATGTTGTGAGATGAAAGACGAGCCTGTATTCAAGCCACTGCAAGGAAATCCGGCCTCCTTTCAAGTTAGGGCTTCTCGCTGTATATTCCCCTTGAGGCAGCAAACTCGGGGTCCCTCCCACATACCTATTGCTGAGAGAAGCCTCCTCCTGAGGTGCTTCTGGGAAGTTGGCATACGTCTTGAGCCTAAGCCAGGGAATCAGCTCGCATCTCGAGACGATTTGGGGTACACGGAGCATTCCTCGAGTTGCTGTGCTGAAGTTGGTGTTCCTCTAGACTTGGGACAGTGTTCTCGGGGCATCTCTGGAGTTGCCTGAAGGAAGTCGAGCCACCGGTCGTGTTGAATGGGGAACGGGGAATGGCTCTGGAGTCAATGCAGGGGAATCGGGCCTCATCTCGAGTTGATTTGGGGCACATGGAGCTGCTTTGCGTTGCTGGGGTGACCTCAGGGTCCGTCTAGACTGGTGACAGTGTTCTTGGGGACTGTCTCGAGATCCATTAAGCAAGTCGAAGCTCCTGACTTGTTTGAATGGGATCACGGAATAGCTCTGCATGCACTGCAGGGGAATGGGGCCTCATCTCGCCTCTAGGGGGAAGTCTCATGGTTTTTCTCGAGTTGCGGCGGGGACCTGGGGTATGTTCTCGACTTACGGCGGGGATGGCCCTTCAAAACACGAGTTTCTTCAGTGACGTCAGGACTCCTGTCTAGTAACGAGGGACACCTCAGGAATCTCTTCGAGGCTTGGCAGGGCCAAAGGGACGCTTCTCGAGGTGAGGCAGGGCACCCAAGGACCCTTTCCAGTAGCCACAGGGATTTTGGGATTCCTATCAGTATTCAAGAGGAGTCAGGCATCGTCACCTTTTGAAGCAATGAACTCCGCGTGCCTCTCGAGGTGTCAGCGGGATGTGAGGCATTCCGTCAAAATGAGGCAGGGACCTAGGGCTTTCTCTAAGGTCTCCACAGGGGATTCAGACATCCCTTCATGTTGTGAGATGAAAGACGAGCCTGTATTCAAGCCACTGCAAGGAAATCCGGCCTCCTTTCAAGTTAGGGCTTCTCGCTGTATATTCCCCTTGAGGCAGCAAACTCGGGGTCCCTCCCACATACCTATTGCTGAGAGAAGCCTCCTCCTGAGGTGCTTCTGGGAAGTTGGCATACGTCTTGAGCCTAAGCCAGGGAATCAGCTCGCATCTCGAGACGATTTGGGGTACACGGAGCATTCCTCGAGTTGCTGTGCTGAAGTTGGTGTTCCTCTAGACTTGGGACAGTGTTCTCGGGGCATCTCTGGAGTTGCCTGAAGGAAGTCGAGCCACCGGTCGTGTTGAATGGGGAACGGGGAATGGCTCTGGAGTCAATGCAGGGGAATCGGGCCTCATCTCGAGTTGATTTGGGGCACATGGAGCTGCTTTGCGTTGCTGGGGTGACCTCAGGGTCCGTCTAGACTGGTGACAGTGTTCTTGGGGACTGTCTCGAGATCCATTAAGCAAGTCGAAGCTCCTGACTTGTTTGAATGGGATCACGGAATAGCTCTGCATGCACTGCAGGGGAATGGGGCCTCATCTCGCCTCTAGGGGGAAGTCTCATGGTTTTTCTCGAGTTGCGGCGGGGACCTGGGGTATGTTCTCGACTTACGGCGGGGATGGCCCTTCAAAACACGAGTTTCTTCAGTGACGTCAGGATCCCTGTCTAGTAACGAGGGACACCTCAGGAATCTCTTCGAGGCTTGGCAGGGCCAAAGGGACGCTTCTCGAGGTGAGGCAGGGCACCCAAGGACCCTTTCCAGTAGACACAGGGATTTTGGGATTCCTATCAGTATTCAAGAGGAGTCAGGCATCGTCACCTTTTGAAGCAATGAACTCCGCGTGCCTCTCGAGGTGTCAGCGGGATGTGAGGCATTCCGTCAAAATGAGCCAGGGACCTAGGGCTTTCTCTAAGGTCTCCACAGGGGATTCAGACATCCCTTCATGTTGTGAGATGAAAGACGAGCCTGTATTCAAGCCACTGCAAGGAAATCCGGCCTCCTTTCAAGTTAGGGCTTCTCGCTGTATATTCCCCTTGAGGCAGCAAACTCGGGGTCCCTCCCACATACCTATTGCTGAGAGAAGCCTCCTCCTGAGGTGCTTCTGGGAAGTTGGCATACGTCTTGAGCCTAAGCCAGGGAATCAGCTCGCATCTCGAGACGATTTGGGGTACACGGAGCATTCCTCGAGTTGCTGTGCTGAAGTTGGTGTTCCTCTAGACTTGGGACAGTGTTCTTGGGGCATCTCCGGAGTTGCCTGAAGGAAGTCGAGCCACCGGTCGTGTTGAATGGGGAACGGGGAATGGATCTGGAGTCAATGCAGGGGAATCGGGCCTCATCTCGAGTTGATTTGGGGCACATGGAGCTGCTTTGCGTTGCTGGGGTGACCTCAGGGTCCGTCTAGACTGGTGACAGTGTTCTTGGGGACTGTCTCGAGATCCATTAAGCAAGTCGAAGCTCCTGACTTGTTTGAATGGGATCACGGAATAGCTCTGCATGCACTGCAGGGGAATGGGGCCTCATCTCGCCTCTCGGGGGAAGTCTCATGGTTTTTCTCGAGTTGCGGCGGGGACCTGGGGTATGTTCTCGACTTACGGCGGGGATGGCCCTTCAAAACACGAGTTTCTTCAGTGACGTCAGGACTCCTTTCTAGTAAGGAGGGACACCTCAGGAATCTCTTCGAGGCTTGGCAGGGCCAAAGGGACCCTTCTCGAGGTGAGGCAGGGCACCCAAGAACCCTTTCCAGTAGCCACAGGGATTTTGGGATTCCTATCAGTATTCAAGAGGAGTCAGGCATCGTCACCTTTTGAAGCAATGAACTCCGCGTGCCTCTCGAGGTGTCAGCGGGATGTGAGGCATTCCGTCAAAATGAGGCAGGGACCTAGGGCTTTCTCTAAGGTCTCCACAGGGGATTCAGACATCCCTTCATGTTGTGAGATGAAAGACGAGCCTGTATTCAAGCCACTGCAAGGAAATCCGGCCTCCTTTCAAGTTAGGGCTTCTCGCTGTATATTCCCCTTGAGGCAGCAAACTCGGGGTCCCTCCCACATACCTATTGCTGAGAGAAGCCTCCTCCTGAGGTGCTTCTGGGAAGTTGGCATACGTCTTGAGCCTAAGCCAGGGAATCAGCTCGCATCTCGAGACGATTTGGGGTACACGGAGCATTCCTCGAGTTGCTGTGCTGAAGTTGGTGTTCCTCTAGACTTGGGACAGTGTTCTCGGGGCATCTCTGGAGTTGCCTGAAGGAAGTCGAGCCACCGGTCGTGTTGAATGGGGAACGGGGAATGGCTCTGGAGTCAATGCAGGGGAATCGGGCCTCATCTCGAGTTGATTTGGGGCACATGGAGCTGCTTTGCGTTGCTGGGGTGACCTCAGGGTCCGTCTAGACTGGTGACAGTGTTCTTGGGGACTGTCTCGAGATCCATTAAGCAAGTCGAAGCTCCTGACTTGTTTGAATGGGATCACGGAATAGCTCTGCATGCACTGCAGGGGAATGGGGCCTCATCTCGCCTCTAGGGGGAAGTCTCATGGTTTTTCTCGAGTTGCGGCGGGGACCTGGGGTATGTTCTCGACTTACGGCGGGGATGGCCCTTCAAAACACGAGTTTCTTCAGTGACGTCAGGACTCCTGTCTAGTAACGAGGGACACCTCAGGAATCTCTTCGAGGCTTGGCAGGGCCAAAGGGACGCTTCTCGAGGTGAGGCAGGGCACCCAAGGACCCTTTCCAGTAGCCACAGGGATTTTGGGATTCCTATCAGTATTCAAGAGGAGTCAGGCATCGTCACCTTTTGAAGCAATGAACTCCGCGTGCCTCTCGAGGTGTCAGCGGGATGTGAGGCATTCCGTCAAAATGAGGCAGGGATCTAGGGCTTTCTCTAAGGTCTCCACAGGGGATTCAGACATCCCTTCATGTTGTGAGATGAAAGACGAGCCTGTATTCAAGCCACTGCAAGGAAATCCGGCCTCCTTTCAAGTTAGGGCTTCTCGCTGTATATTCCCCTTGAGGCAGCAAACTCGGGGTCCCTCCCACATACCTATTGCTGAGAGAAGCCTCCTCCTGAGGTGCTTCTGGGAAGTTGGCATACGTCTTGAGCCTAAGCCAGGGAATCAGCTCGCATCTCGAGACGATTTGGGGTACACGGAGCATTCCTCGAGTTGCTGTGCTGAAGTTGGTGTTCCTCTAGACTTGGGACAGTGTTCTCGGGGCATCTCTGGAGTTGCCTGAAGGAAGTCGAGCCACCGGTCGTGTTGAATGGGGAACGGGGAATGGCTCTGGAGTCAATGCAGGGGAATCGGGCCTCATCTCGAGTTGATTTGGGGCACATGGAGCTGCTTTGCGTTGCTGGGGTGACCTCAGGGTCCGTCTAGACTGGTGACAGTGTTCTTGGGGACTGTCTCGAGATCCATTAAGCAAGTCGAAGCTCCTGACTTGTTTGAATGGGATCACGGAATAGCTCTGCATGCACTGCAGGGGAATGGGGCCTCATCTCGCCTCTAGGGGGAAGTCTCATGGTTTTTCTCGAGTTGCGGCGGGGACCTGGGGTATGTTCTCGACTTACGGCGGGGATGGCCCTTCAAAACACGAGTTTCTTCAGTGACGTCAGGACCCCTGTCTAGTAACGAGGGACACCTCAGGAATCTCTTCGAGGCTTGGCAGGGCCAAAGGGACGCTTCTCGAGGTGAGGCAGGGCACCCAAGGACCCTTTCCAGTAGCCACAGGGATTTTGGGATTCCTATCAGTATTCAAGAGGAGTCAGGCATCGTCACCTTTTGAAGCAATGAACTCCGCGTGCCTCTCGAGGTGTCAGCGGGATGTGAGGCATTCCGTCAAAATGAGGCAGGGACCTAGGGCTTTCTCTAAGGTCTCCACAGGGGATTCAGACATCCCTTCATGTTGTGAGATGAAAGACGAGCCTGTATTCAAGCCACTGCAAGGAAATCCGGCCTCCTTTCAAGTTAGGGCTTCTCGCTGTATATTCCCCTTGAGGCAGCAAACTCGGGGTCCCTCCCACATACCTATTGCTGAGAGAAGCCTCCTCCTGAGGTGCTTCTGGGAAGTTGGCATACGTCTTGAGCCTAAGCCAGGGAATCAGCTCGCATCTCGAGACGATTTGGGGTACACGGAGCATTCCTCGAGTTGCTGTGCTGAAGTTGGTGTTCCTCTAGACTTGGGACAGTGTTCTTGGGGCATCTCCGGAGTTGCCTGAAGGAAGTCGAGCCACCGGTCGTGTTGAATGGGGAACGGGGAATGGATCTGGAGTCAATGCAGGGGAATCGGGCCTCATCTCGAGTTGATTTGGGGCACATGGAGCTGCTTTGCGTTGCTGGGGTGACCTCAGGGTCCGTCTAGACTGGTGACAGTGTTCTTGGGTACTGTCTCGAGATCCATTAAGCAAGTCGAAGCTCCTGACTTGTTTGAATGGGATCACGGAATAGTTCTGCATGCACTGCAGGGGAATGGGGCCTCATCTCGCCTCTCGGGGGAAGTCTCATGGTTTTTCTCGAGTTGCGGCGGGGACCTGGGGTATGTTCTCGACTTACGGCGGGGATGGCCCTTCAAAACACGAGTTTCTTCAGTGACGTCAGAACTCCTGTCTAGTAAGGAGGGACACCTCAGGAATCTCTTCGAGGCTTGGCAGGGCCAAAGGGACCCTTCTCGAGGTGAGGCAGGGCACCAAAGAACCCTTTCCAGTAGCCACAGGGATTTTGGGATTCCTATCAGTATTCAAGAGGAGTCAGGCATCGTCACCTTTTGAAGCAATGAACTCCGCGTGCCTCTCGAGGTGTCAGCGGGATGTGAGGCATTCCGTCAAAATGAGGCAGGGACCTAGGGCTTTCTCTAAGGTCTCCACAGGGGATTCAGACATCCCTTCATGTTGTGAGATGAAAGACGAGCCTGTATTCAAGCCACTGCAAGGAAATCCGGCCTCCTTTCAAGTTAGGGCTTCTCGCTGTATATTCCCCTTGAGGCAGCAAACTCGGGGTCCCTCCCACATACCTATTGCTGAGAGAAGCCTCCTCCTGAGGTGCTTCTGGGAAGTTGGCATACGTCTTGAGCCTAAGCCAGGGAATCAGCTCGCATCTCGAGACGATTTGGGGTACACGGAGCATTCCTCGAGTTGCTGTGCTGAAGTTGGTGTTCCTCTAGACTTGGGACAGTGTTCTCGGGGCATCTCTGGAGTTGCCTGAAGGAAGTCGAGCCACCGGTCGTGTTGAATGGGGAACGGGGAATGGCTCTGGAGTCAATGCAGGGGAATCGGGCCTCATCTCGAGTTGATTTGGGGCACATGGAGCTGCTTTGCGTTGCTGGGGTGACCTCAGGGTCCGTCTAGACTGGTGACAGTGTTCTTGGGGACTGTCTCGAGATCCATTAAGCAAGTCGAAGCTCCTGACTTGTTTGAATGGGGTCACGGAATAGCTCTGCATGCACTGCAGGGGAATGGGGCCTCATCTCGCCTCTAGGGGGAAGTCTCATGGTTTTTCTCGAGTTGCGGCGGGGACCTGGGGTATGTTCTCGACTTACGGCGGGGATGGCCCTTCAAAACACGAGTTTCTTCAGTGACGTCAGGACTCCTGTCTAGTAACGAGGGACACCTCAGGAATCTCTTCGAGGCTTGGCAGGGCCAAAGGGACGCTTCTCGAGGTGAGGCAGGGCACCCAAGGACCCTTTCCAGTAGCCACAGGGATTTTGGGATTCCTATCAGTATTCAAGAGGAGTCAGGCATCGTCACCTTTTGAAGCAATGAACTCCGCGTGCCTCTCGAGGTGTCAGCGGGATGTGAGGCATTCCGTCAAAATGAGGCAGGGACCTAGGGCTTTCTCTAAGGTCTCCACAGGGGATTCAGACATCCCTTCATGTTGTGAGATGAAAGACGAGCCTGTATTCAAGCCACTGCAAGGAAATCCGGCCTCCTTTCAAGTTAGGGCTTCTCGCTGTATATTCCCCTTGAGGCAGCAAACTCGGGGTCCCTCCCACATACCTATTGCTGAGAGAAGCCTCCTCCTGAGGTGCTTCTGGGAAGTTGGCATACGTCTTGAGCCTAAGCCAGGGAATCAGCTCGCATCTCGAGACGATTTGGGGTACACGGAGCATTCCTCGAGTTGCTGTGCTGAAGTTGGTGTTCCTCTAGACTTGGGACAGTGTTCTCGGGGCATCTCTGGAGTTGCCTGAAGGAAGTCGAGCCACCGGTCGTGTTGAATGGGGAACGGGGAATGGCTCTGGAGTCAATGCAGGGGAATCGGGCCTCATCTCGAGTTGATTTGGGGCACATGGAGCTGCTTTGCGTTGCTGGGGTGACCTCAGGGTCCGTCTAGACTGGTGACAGTGTTCTTGGGGACTGTCTCGAGATCCATTAAGCAAGTCGAAGCTCCTGACTTGTTTGAATGGGATCACGGAATAGCTCTGCATGCACTGCAGGGGAATGGGGCCTCATCTCGCCTCTAGGGGGAAGTCTCATGGTTTTTCTCGAGTTGCGGCGGGGACCTGGGGTATGTTCTCGACTTACGGCGGGGATGGCCCTTCAAAACACGAGTTTCTTCAGTGACGTCAGGACTCCTGTCTAGTAACGAGGGACACCTCAGGAATCTCTTCGAGGCTTGGCAGGGCCAAAGGGACGCTTCTCGAGGTGAGGCAGGGCACCCAAGGACCCTTTCCAGTAGCCACAGGGATTTTGGGATTCCTATCAGTATTCAAGAGGAGTCAGGCATCGTCACCTTTTGAAGCAATGAACTCCGCGTGCCTCTCGAGGTGTCAGCGGGATGTGAGGCATTCCGTCAAAATGAGGCAGGGACCTAGGGCTTTCTCTAAGGTCTCCACAGGGGATTCAGACATCCCTTCATGTTGTGAGATGAAAGACGAGCCTGTATTCAAGCCACTGCAAGGAAATCCGGCCTCCTTTCAAGTTAGGGCTTCTCGCTGTATATTCCCCTTGAGGCAGCAAACTCGGGGTCCCTCCCACATACCTATTGCTGAGAGAAGCCTCCTCCTGAGGTGCTTCTGGGAAGTTGGCATACGTCTTGAGCCTAAGCCAGGGAATCAGCTCGCATCTCGAGACGATTTGGGGTACACGGTGCATTCCTCGAGTTGCTGTGCTGAAGTTGGTGTTCCTCTAGACTTGGGACAGTGTTCTCGGGGCATCTCCGGAGTTGCCTGAAGGAAGTCGAGCCACCGGTCGTGTTGAATGGGGAACGGGGAATGGCTCTGGAGTCAATGCAGGGGAATCGGGCCTCATCTCGAGTTGATTTGGGGCACATGGAGCTGCTTTGCGTTGCTGGGGTGACCTCAGGGTCCGTCTAGACTGGTGACAGTGTTCTTGGGGACTGTCTCGAGATCCATTAAGCAAGTCGAAGCTCCTGACTTGTTTGAATGGGATCACGGAATAGCTCTGCATGCACTGCAGGGGAATGGGGCCTCATCTCGCCTCTAGGGGGAAGTCTCATGGTTTTTCTCGAGTTGCGGCGGGGACCTGGGGTATGTTCTCGACTTACGGCGGGGATGGCTCTTCAAAACACGAGTTTCTTCAGTGACGTCAGGACTCCTGTCTAGTAACGAGGGACACCTCAGGAATCTCTTCGAGGCTTGGCAGGGCCAAAGGGACGCTTCTCGAGGTGAGGCAGGGCACCCAAGGACCCTTTCCAGTAGCCACAGGGATTTTGGGATTCCTATCAGTATTCAAGAGGAGTCAGGCATCGTCACCTTTTGAAGCAATGAACTCCGCGTGCCTCTCGAGGTGTCAGCGGGATGTGAGGCATTCCGTCAAAATGAGGCAGGGACCTAGGGCTTTCTCTAAGGTCTCCACAGGGGATTCAGACATCCCTTCATGTTGTGAGATGAAAGACGAGCCTGTATTCAAGCCACTGCAAGGAAATCCGGCCTCCTTTCAAGTTAGGGCTTCTCGCTGTATATTCCCCTTGAGGCAGCAAACTCGGGGTCCCTCCCACATACCTATTGCTGAGAGAAGCCTCCTCCTGAGGTGCTTCTGGGAAGTTGGCATACGTCTTGAGCCTAAGCCAGGGAATCAGCTCGCATCTCGAGACGATTTGGGGTACACGGTGCATTCCTCGAGTTGCTGTGCTGAAGTTGGTGTTCCTCTAGACTTGGGACAGTGTTCTCGGGGCATCTCCGGAGTTGCCTGAAGGAAGTCGAGCCACCGGTCGTGTTGAATGGGGAACGGGGAATGGCTCTGGAGTCAATGCAGGGGAATCGGGCCTCATCTCGAGTTGATTTGGGGCACATGGAGCTGCTTTGCGTTGCTGGGGTGACCTCAGGGTCCGTCTAGACTGGTGACAGTGTTCTTGGGGACTGTCTCGAGATCCATTAAGCAAGTCGAAGCTCCTGACTTGTTTGAATGGGATCACGGAATAGCTCTGCATGCACTGCAGGGGAATGGGGCCTCATCTCGCCTCTAGGGGGAAGTCTCATGGTTTTTCTCGAGTTGCGGCGGGGACCTGGGGTATGTTCTCGACTTACGGCGGGGATGGCTCTTCAAAACACGAGTTTCTTCAGTGACGTCAGGACTCCTGTCTAGTAACGAGGGACACCTCAGGAATCTCTTCGAGGCTTGGCAGGGCCAAAGGGACGCTTCTCGAGGTGAGGCAGGGCACCCAAGGACCCTTTCCAGTAGCCACAGGGATTTTGGGATTCCTATCAGTATTCAAGAGGAGTCAGGCATCGTCACCTTTTGAAGCAATGAACTCCGCGTGCCTCTCGAGGTGTCAGCGGGATGTGAGGCATTCCGTCAAAATGAGGCAGGGACCTAGGGCTTTCTCTAAGGTCTCCACAGGGGATTCAGACATCCCTTCATGTTGTGAGATGAAAGACGAGCCTGTATTCAAGCCACTGCAAGGAAATCCGGCCTCCTTTCAAGTTAGGGCTTCTCGCTGTATATTCCCCTTGAGGCAGCAAACTCGGGGTCCCTCCCACATACCTATTGCTGAGAGAAGCCTCCTCCTGAGGTGCTTCTGGGAAGTTGGCATACGTCTTGAGCCTAAGCCAGGGAATCAGCTCGCATCTCGAGACGATTTGGGGTACACGGAGCATTCCTCGAGTTGCTGTGCTGAAGTTGGTGTTCCTCTAGACTTGGGACAGTGTTCTCGGGGCATCTCTGGAGTTGCCTGAAGGAAGTCGAGCCACCGGTCGTGTTGAATGGGGAACGGGGAATGGCTCTGGAGTCAATGCAGGGGAATCGGGCCTCATCTCGAGTTGATTTGGGGCACATGGAGCTGCTTTGCGTTGCTGGGGTGACCTCAGGGTCCGTCTAGACTGGTGACAGTGTTCTTGGGGACTGTCTCGAGATCCATTAAGCAAGTCGAAGCTCCTGACTTGTTTGAATGGGATCACGGAATAGCTCTGCATGCACTGCAGGGGAATGGGGCCTCATCTCGCCTCTAGGGGGAAGTCTCATGGTTTTTCTCGAGTTGCGGCGGGGACCTGGGGTATGTTCTCGACTTACGGCGGGGATGGCCCTTCAAAACACGAGTTTCTTCAGTGACGTCAGGACTCCTGTCTAGTAACGAGGGACACCTCAGGAATCTCTTCGAGGCTAGGCAGGGCCAAAGGGACGCTTCTCGAGGTGAGGCAGGGCACCCAAGGACCCTTTCCAGTAGCCACAGGGATTTTGGGATTCCTATCAGTATTCAAGAGGAGTCAGGCATCGTCACCTTTTGAAGCAATGAACTCCGCGTGCCTCTCGAGGTGTCAGCGGGATGTGAGGCATTCCGTCAAAATGAGGCAGGGACCTAGGGCTTTCTCTAAGGTCTCCACAGGGGATTCAGACATCCCTTCATGTTGTGAGATGAAAGACGAGCCTGTATTCAAGCCACTGCAAGGAAATCCGGCCTCCTTTCAAGTTAGGGCTTCTCGCTGTATATTCCCCTTGAGGCAGCAAACTCGGGGTCCCTCCCACATACCTATTGCTGAGAGAAGCCTCCTCCTGAGGTGCTTCTGGGAAGTTGGCATACGTCTTGAGCCTAAGCCAGGGAATCAGCTCGCATCTCGAGACGATTTGGGGTACACGGTGCATTCCTCGAGTTGCTGTGCTGAAGTTGGTGTTCCTCTAGACTTGGGACAGTGTTCTCGGGGCATCTCCGGAGTTGCCTGAAGGAAGTCGAGCCACCGGTCGTGTTGAATGGGGAACGGGGAATGGCTCTGGAGTCAATGCAGGGGAATCGGGCCTCATCTCGAGTTGATTTGGGGCACATGGAGCTGCTTTGCGTTGCTGGGGTGACCTCAGGGTCCGTCTAGACTGGTGACAGTGTTCTTGGGGACTGTCTCGAGATCCATTAAGCAAGTCGAAGCTCCTGACTTGTTTGAATGGGATCACGGAATAGCTCTGCATGCACTGCAGGGGAATGGGGCCTCATCTCGCCTCTAGGGGGAAGTCTCATGGTTTTTCTCGAGTTGCGGCGGGGACCTGGGGTATGTTCTCGACTTACGGCGGGGATGGCTCTTCAAAACACGAGTTTCTTCAGTGACGTCAGGACTCCTGTCTAGTAACGAGGGACACCTCAGGAATCTCTTCGAGGCTTGGCAGGGCCAAAGGGACGCTTCTCGAGGTGAGGCAGGGCACCCAAGGACCCTTTCCAGTAGCCACAGGGATTTTGGGATTCCTATCAGTATTCAAGAGGAGTCAGGCATCGTCACCTTTTGAAGCAATGAACTCCGCGTGCCTCTCGAGGTGTCAGCGGGATGTGAGGCATTCCGTCAAAATGAGGCAGGGACCTAGGGCTTTCTCTAAGGTCTCCACAGGGGATTCAGACATCCCTTCATGTTGTGAGATGAAAGACGAGCCTGTATTCAAGCCACTGCAAGGAAATCCGGCCTCCTTTCAAGTTAGGGCTTCTCGCTGTATATTCCCCTTGAGGCAGCAAACTCGGGGTCCCTCCCACATACCTATTGCTGAGAGAAGCCTCCTCCTGAGGTGCTTCTGGGAAGTTGGCATACGTCTTGAGCCTAAGCCAGGGAATCAGCTCGCATCTCGAGACGATTTGGGGTACACGGAGCATTCCTCGAGTTGCTGTGCTGAAGTTGGTGTTCCTCTAGACTTGGGACAGTGTTCTCGGGGCATCTCTAGAGTTGCCTGAAGGAAGTCGAGCCACCGGTCGTGTTGAATGGGGAACGGGGAATGGCTCTGGAGTCAATGCAGGGGAATCGGGCCTCATCTCGAGTTGATTTGGGGCACATGGAGCTGCTTTGCGTTGCTGGGGTGACCTCAGGGTCCGTCTAGACTGGTGACAGTGTTCTTGGGGACTGTCTCGAGATCCATTAAGCAAGTCGAAGCTCCTGACTTGTTTGAATGGGATCACGGAATAGCTCTGCATGCACTGCAGGGGAATGGGGCCTCATCTCGCCTCTAGGGGGAAGTCTCATGGTTTTTCTCGAGTTGCGGCGGGGACCTGGGGTATGTTCTCGACTTACGGCGGGGATGGCCCTTCAAAACACGAGTTTCTTCAGTGACGTCAGGACTCCTGTCTAGTAAGGAGGGACACCTCAGGAATCTCTTCGAGGCTTGGCAGGGCCAAAGGGACCCTTCTCGAGGTGAGGCAGGGCACCCAAGAACCCTTTCCAGTAGCCACAGGGATTTTGGGATTCCTATCAGTATTCAAGAGGAGTCAGGCATCGTCACCTTTTGAAGCAATGAACTCCGCGTGCCTCTCGAGGTGTCAGCGGGATGTGAGGCATTCCGTCAAAATGAGGCAGGGACCTAGGGCTTTCTCTAAGGTCTCCACAGGGGATTCAGACATCCCTTCATGTTGTGAGATGAAAGACGAGCCTGTATTCAAGCCACTGCAAGGAAATCCGGCCTCCTTTCAAGTTAGGGCTTCTCGCTGTATATTCCCCTTGAGGCAGCAAACTCGGGGTCCCTCCCACATACCTATTGCTGAGAGAAGCCTCCTCCTGAGGTGCTTCTGGGAAGTTGGCATACGTCTTGAGCCTAAGCCAGGGAATCAGCTCGCATCTCGAGACGATTTGGGGTACACGGAGCATTCCTCGAGTTGCTGTGCTGAAGTTGGTGTTCCTCTAGACTTGGGACAGTGTTCTCGGGGCATCTCTGGAGTTGCCTGAAGGAAGTCGAGCCACCGGTCGTGTTGAATGGGGAACGGGGAATGGCTCTGGAGTCAATGCAGGGGAATCGGGCCTCATCTCGAGTTGATTTGGGGCACATGGAGCTGCTTTGCGTTGCTGGGGTGACCTCAGGGTCCGTCTAGACTGGTGACAGTGTTCTTGGGGACTGTCTCGAGATCCATTAAGCAAGTCGAAGCTCCTGACTTGTTTGAATGGGATCACGGAATAGCTCTGCATGCACTGCAGGGGAATGGGGCCTCATCTCGCCTCTAGGGGGAAGTCTCATGGTTTTTCTCGAGTTGCGGCGGGGACCTGGGGTATGTTCTCGACTTACGGCGGGGATGGCTCTTCAAAACACGAGTTTCTTCAGTGACGTCAGGACTCCTGTCTAGTAACGAGGGACACCTCAGGAATCTCTTCGAGGCTTGGCAGGGCCAAAGGGACGCTTCTCGAGGTGAGGCAGGGCACCCAAGGACCCTTTCCAGTAGCCACAGGGATTTTGGGATTCCTATCAGTATTCAAGAGGAGTCAGGCATCGTCACCTTTTGAAGCAATGAACTCCGCGTGCCTCTCGAGGTGTCAGCGGGATGTGAGGCATTCCGTCAAAATGAGGCAGGGACCTAGGGCTTTCTCTAAGGTCTCCACAGGGGATTCAGACATCCCTTCATGTTGTGAGATGAAAGACGAGCCTGTATTCAAGCCACTGCAAGGAAATCCGGCCTCCTTTCAAGTTAGGGCTTCTCGCTGTATATTCCCCTTGAGGCAGCAAACTCGGGGTCCCTCCCACATACCTATTGCTGAGAGAAGCCTCCTCCTGAGGTGCTTCTGGGAAGTTGGCATACGTCTTGAGCCTAAGCCAGGGAATCAGCTCGCATCTCGAGACGATTTGGGGTACACGGAGCATTCCTCGAGTTGCTGTGCTGAAGTTGGTGTTCCTCTAGACTTGGGACAGTGTTCTCGGGGCATCTCTGGAGTTGCCTGAAGGAAGTCGAGCCACCGGTCGTGTTGAATGGGGAACGGGGAATGGCTCTGGAGTCAATGCAGGGGAATCGGGCCTCATCTCGAGTTGATTTGGGGCACATGGAGCTGCTTTGCGTTGCTGGGGTGACCTCAGGGTCCGTCTAGACTGGTGACAGTGTTCTTGGGGACTGTCTCGAGATCCATTAAGCAAGTCGAAGCTCCTGACTTGTTTGAATGGGATCACGGAATAGCTCTGCATGCACTGCAGGGGAATGGGGCCTCATCTCGCCTCTAGGGGGAAGTCTCATGGTTTTTCTCGAGTTGCGGCGGGGACCTGGGGTATGTTCTCGACTTACGGCGGGGATGGCCCTTCAAAACACGAGTTTCTTCAGTGACGTCAGGACTCCTGTCTAGTAACGAGGGACACCTCAGGAATCTCTTCGAGGCTTGGCAGGGCCAAAGGGACGCTTCTCGAGGTGAGGCAGGGCACCCAAGGACCCTTTCCAGTAGCCACAGGGATTTTGGGATTCCTATCAGTATTCAAGAGGAGTCAGGCATCGTCACCTTTTGAAGCAATGAACTCCGCGTGCCTCTCGAGGTGTCAGCGGGATGTGAGGCATTCCGTCAAAATGAGGCAGGGATCTAGGGCTTTCTCTAAGGTCTCCACAGGGGATTCAGACATCCCTTCATGTTGTGAGATGAAAGACGAGCCTGTATTCAAGCCACTGCAAGGAAATCCGGCCTCCTTTCAAGTTAGGGCTTCTCGCTGTATATTCCCCTTGAGGCAGCAAACTCGGGGTCCCTCCCACATACCTATTGCTGAGAGAAGCCTCCTCCTGAGGTGCTTCTGGGAAGTTGGCATACGTCTTGAGCCTAAGCCAGGGAATCAGCTCGCATCTCGAGACGATTTGGGGTACACGGAGCATTCCTCGAGTTGCTGTGCTGAAGTTGGTGTTCCTCTAGACTTGGGACAGTGTTCTCGGGGCATCTCTGGAGTTGCCTGAAGGAAGTCGAGCCACCGGTCGTGTTGAATGGGGAACGGGGAATGGCTCTGGAGTCAATGCAGGGGAATCGGGCCTCATCTCGAGTTGATTTGGGGCACATGGAGCTGCTTTGCGTTGCTGGGGTGACCTCAGGGTCCGTCTAGACTGGTGACAGTGTTCTTGGGGACTGTCTCGAGATCCATTAAGCAAGTCGAAGCTCCTGACTTGTTTGAATGGGATCACGGAATAGCTCTGCATGCACTGCAGGGGAATGGGGCCTCATCTCGCCTCTAGGGGGAAGTCTCATGGTTTTTCTCGAGTTGCGGCGGGGACCTGGGGTATGTTCTCGACTTACGGCGGGGATGGCCCTTCAAAACACGAGTTTCTTCAGTGACGTCAGGACCCATGTCTAGTAACGAGGGACACCTCAGGAATCTCTTCGAGGCTTGGCAGGGCCAAAGGGACGCTTCTCGAGGTGAGGCAGGGCACCCAAGGACCCTTTCCAGTAGCCACAGGGATTTTGGGATTCCTATCAGTATTCAAGAGGAGTCAGGCATCGTCACCTTTTGAAGCAATGAACTCCGCGTGCCTCTCGAGGTGTCAGCGGGATGTGAGGCATTCCGTCAAAATGAGGCAGGGACCTAGGGCTTTCTCTAAGGTCTCCACAGGGGATTCAGACATCCCTTCATGTTGTGAGATGAAAGACGAGCCTGTATTCAAGCCACTGCAAGGAAATCCGGCCTCCTTTCAAGTTAGGGCTTCTCGCTGTATATTCCCCTTGAGGCAGCAAACTCGGGGTCCCTCCCACATACCTATTGCTGAGAGAAGCCTCCTCCTGAGGTGCTTCTGGGAAGTTGGCATACGTCTTGAGCCTAAGCCAGGGAATCAGCTCGCATCTCGAGACGATTTGGGGTACACGGAGCATTCCTCGAGTTGCTGTGCTGAAGTTGGTGTTCCTCTAGACTTGGGACAGTGTTCTTGGGGCATCTCCGGAGTTGCCTGAAGGAAGTCGAGCCACCGGTCGTGTTGAATGGGGAACGGGGAATGGATCTGGAGTCAATGCAGGGGAATCGGGCCTCATCTCGAGTTGATTTGGGGCACATGGAGCTGCTTTGCGTTGCTGGGGTGACCTCAGGGTCCGTCTAGACTGGTGACAGTGTTCTTGGGGACTGTCTCGAGATCCATTAAGCAAGTCGAAGCTCCTGACTTGTTTGAATGGGATCACGGAATAGCTCTGCATGCACTGCAGGGGAATGGGGCCTCATCTCGCCTCTCGGGGGAAGTCTCATGGTTTTTCTCGAGTTGCGGCGGGGACCTGGGGTATGTTCTCGACTTACGGCGGGGATGGCCCTTCAAAACACGAGTTTCTTCAGTGACGTCAGGACTCCTGTCTAGTAAGGAGGGACACCTCAGGAATCTCTTCGAGGCTTGGCAGGGCCAAAGGGACCCTTCTCGAGGTGAGGCAGGGCACCCAAGAACCCTTTCCAGTAGCCACAGGGATTTTGGGATTCCTATCAGTATTCAAGAGGAGTCAGGCATCGTCACCTTTTGAAGCAATGAACTCCGCGTGCCTCTCGAGGTGTCAGCGGGATGTGAGGCATTCCGTCAAAATGAGGCAGGGACCTAGGGCTTTCTCTAAGGTCTCCACAGGGGATTCAGACATCCCTTCATGTTGTGAGATGAAAGACGAGCCTGTATTCAAGCCACTGCAAGGAAATCCGGCCTCCTTTCAAGTTAGGGCTTCTCGCTGTATATTCCCCTTGAGGCAGCAAACTCGGGGTCCCTCCCACATACCTATTGCTGAGAGAAGCCTCCTCCTGAGGTGCTTCTGGGAAGTTGGCATACGTCTTGAGCCTAAGCCAGGGAATCAGCTCGCATCTCGAGACGATTTGGGGTACACGGAGCATTCCTCGAGTTGCTGTGCTGAAGTTGGTGTTCCTCTAGACTTGGGACAGTGTTCTCGGGGCATCTCTGGAGTTGCCTGAAGGAAGTCGAGCCACCGGTCGTGTTGAATGGGGAACGGGGAATGGCTCTGGAGTCAATGCAGGGGAATCGGGCCTCATCTCGAGTTGATTTGGGGCACATGGAGCTGCTTTGCGTTGCTGGGGTGACCTCAGGGTCCGTCTAGACTGGTGACAGTGTTCTTGGGGACTGTCTCGAGATCCATTAAGCAAGTCGAAGCTCCTGACTTGTTTGAATGGGGTCACGGAATAGCTCTGCATGCACTGCAGGGGAATGGGGCCTCATCTCGCCTCTAGGGGGAAGTCTCATGGTTTTTCTCGAGTTGCGGCGGGGACCTGGGGTATGTTCTCGACTTACGGCGGGGATGGCCCTTCAAAACACGAGTTTCTTCAGTGACGTCAGGACTCCTGTCTAGTAACGAGGGACACCTCAGGAATCTCTTCGAGGCTTGGCAGGGCCAAAGGGACGCTTCTCGAGGTGAGGCAGGGCACCCAAGAACCCTTTCCAGTAGCCACAGGGATTTTGGGATTCCTATCAGTATTCAAGAGGAGTCAGGCATCGTCACCTTTTGAAGCAATGAACTCCGCGTGCCTCTCGAGGTGTCAGCGGGATGTGAGGAATTCCCTCAAAATGAGGCAGGGACCTAGGGCTTTCTCTAAGGTCTCCACAGGGGATTCAGACATCCCTTCATGTTGTGAGATGAAAGACGAGCCTGTATTCAAGCCACTGCAAGGAAATCCGGCCTCCTTTCAAGTTAGGGCTTCTCGCTGTATATTCCCCTTGAGGCAGCAAACTCGGGGTCCCTCCCACATACCTATTGCTGAGAGAAGCCTCCTCCTGAGGTGCTTCTGGGAAGTTGGCATACGTCTTGAGCCTAAGCCAGGGAATCAGCTCGCATCTCGAGACGATTTGGGGTACACGGAGCATTCCTCGAGTTGCTGTGCTGAAGTTGGTGTTCCTCTAGACTTGGGACAGTGTTCTCGGGGCATCTCTGGAGTTGCCTGAAGGAAGTCGAGCCACCGGTCGTGTTGAATGGGGAACGGGGAATGGCTCTGGAGTCAATGCAGGGGAATCGGGCCTCATCTCGAGTTGATTTGGGGCACATGGAGCTGCTTTGCGTTGCTGGGGTGACCTCAGGGTCCGTCTAGACTGGTGACAGTGTTCTTGGGGACTGTCTCGAGATCCATTAAGCAAGTCGAAGCTCCTGACTTGTTTGAATGGGGTCACGGAATAGCTCTGCATGCACTGCAGGGGAATGGGGCCTCATCTCGCCTCTAGGGGGAAGTCTCATGGTTTTTCTCGAGTTGCGGCGGGGACCTGGGGTATGTTCTCGACTTACGGCGGGGATGGCCCTTCAAAACACGAGTTTCTTCAGTGACGTCAGGACTCCTGTCTAGTAACGAGGGACACCTCAGGAATCTCTTCGAGGCTTGGCAGAGCCAAAGGGACGCTTCTCGAGGTGAGGCAGGGCACCCAAGGACCCTTTCCAGTAGCCACAGGGATTTTGGGATTCCTATCAGTATTCAAGAGGAGTCAGGCATCGTCACCTTTTGAAGCCATGAACTCCGCGTGCCTCTCGAGGTGTCAGCGGGATGTGAGGCATTCCGTCAAAATGAGGCAGGGACCTAGGGCTTTCTCTAAGGTCTCCACAGGGGATTCAGACATCCCTTCATGTTGTGAGATGAAAGACGAGCCTGTATTCAAGCCACTGCAAGGAAATCCGGCCTCCTTTCAAGTTAGGGCTTCTCGCTGTATATTCCCCTTGAGGCAGCAAACTCGGGGTCCCTCCCACATACCTATTGCTGAGAGAAGCCTCCTCCTGAGGTGCTTCTGGGAAGTTGGCATACGTCTTGAGCCTAAGCCAGGGAATCAGCTCGCATCTCGAGACGATTTGGGGTACACGGAGCATTCCTCGAGTTGCTGTGCTGAAGTTGGTGTTCCTCTAGACTTGGGACAGTGTTCTCGGGGCATCTCTGGAGTTGCCTGAAGGAAGTCGAGCCACCGGTCGTGTTGAATGGGGAACGGGGAATGGCTCTGGAGTCAATGCAGGGGAATCGGGCCTCATCTCGAGTTGATTTGGGGCACATGGAGCTGCTTTGCGTTGCTGGGGTGACCTCAGGGTCCGTCTAGACTGGTGACAGTGTTCTTGGGGACTGTCTCGAGATCCATTAAGCAAGTCGAAGCTCCTGACTTGTTTGAATGGGGTCACGGAATAGCTCTGCATGCACTGCAGGGGAATGGGGCCTCATCTCGCCTCTAGGGGGAAGTCTCATGGTTTTTCTCGAGTTGCGGCGGGGACCTGGGGTATGTTCTCGACTTACGGCGGGGATGGCCCTTCAAAACACGAGTTTCTTCAGTGACGTCAGGACTCCTGTCTAGTAACGAGGGACACCTCAGGAATCTCTTCGAGGCTTGGCAGGGCCAAAGGGACGCTTCTCGAGGTGAGGCAGGGCACCCAAGGACCCTTTCCAGTAGCCACAGGGATTTTGGGATTCCTATCAGTATTCAAGAGGAGTCAGGCATCGTCACCTTTTGAAGCAATGAACTCCGCGTGCCTCTCGAGGTGTCAGCGGGATGTGAGGCATTCCGTCAAAATGAGGCAGGGACCTAGGGCTTTCTCTAAGGTCTCCACAGGGGATTCAGACATCCCTTCATGTTGTGAGATGAAAGACGAGCCTGTATTCAAGCCACTGCAAGGAAATCCGGCCTCCTTTCAAGTTAGGGCTTCTCGCTGTATATTCCCCTTGAGGCAGCAAACTCGGGGTCCCTCCCACATACCTATTGCTGAGAGAAGCCTCCTCCTGAGGTGCTTCTGGGAAGTTGGCATACGTCTTGAGCCTAAGCCAGGGAATCAGCTCGCATCTCGAGACGATTTGGGGTACACGGAGCATTCCTCGAGTTGCTGTGCTGAAGTTGGTGTTCCTCTAGACTTGGGACAGTGTTCTCGGGGCATCTCTGGAGTTGCCTGAAGGAAGTCGAGCCACCGGTCGTGTTGAATGGGGAACGGGGAATGGCTCTGGAGTCAATGCAGGGGAATCGGGCCTCATCTCGAGTTGATTTGGGGCACATGGAGCTGCTTTGCGTTGCTGGGGTGACCTCAGGGTCCGTCTAGACTGGTGACAGTGTTCTTGGGGACTGTCTCGAGATCCATTAAGCAAGTCGAAGCTCCTGACTTGTTTGAATGGGATCACGGAATAGCTCTGCATGCACTGCAGGGGAATGGGGCCTCATCTCGCCTCTAGGGGGAAGTCTCATGGTTTTTCTCGAGTTGCGGCGGGGACCTGGGGTATGTTCTCGACTTACGGCGGGGATGGCCCTTCAAAACACGAGTTTCTTCAGTGACGTCAGGACTCCTGTCTAGTAACGAGGGACACCTCAGGAATCTCTTCGAGGCTTGGCAGGGCCAAAGGGACGCTTCTCGAGGTGAGGCAGGGCACCCAAGGACCCTTTCCAGTAGCCACAGGGATTTTGGGATTCCTATCAGTATTCAAGAGGAGTCAGGCATCGTCACCTTTTGAAGCAATGAACTCCGCGTGCCTCTCGAGGTGTCAGCGGGATGTGAGGCATTCCGTCAAAATGAGGCAGGGACCTAGGGCTTTCTCTAAGGTCTCCACAGGGGATTCAGACATCCCTTCATGTTGTGAGATGAAAGACGAGCCTGTATTCAAGCCACTGCAAGGAAATCCGGCCTCCTTTCAAGTTAGGGCTTCTCGCTGTATATTCCCCTTGAGGCAGCAAACTCGGGGTCCCTCCCACATACCTATTGCTGAGAGAAGCCTCCTCCTGAGGTGCTTCTGGGAAGTTGGCATACGTCTTGAGCCTAAGCCAGGAAATCAGCTCGCATCTCGAGACGATTTGGGGTACACGGAGCATTCCTCGAGTTGCTGTGCTGAAGTTGGTGTTCCTCTAGACTTGGGACAGTGTTCTCGGGGCATCTCCGGAGTTGCCTGAAGGAAGTCGAGCCACCGGTCGTGTTGAATGGGGAACGGGGAATGGATCTGGAGTCAATGCAGGGGAATCGGGCCTCATCTCGAGTTGATTTGGGGCACATGGAGCTGCTTTGCGTTGCTGGGGTGACCTCAGGGTCCGTCTAGACTGGTGACAGTGTTCTTGGGGACTGTCTCGAGATCCATTAAGCAAGTCGAAGCTCCTGACTTGTTTGAATGGGATCACGGAATAGCTCTGCATGCACTGCAGGGGAATGGGGCCTCATCTCGCCTCTCGGGGGAAGTCTCATGGTTTTTCTCGAGTTGCGGCGGGGACCTGGGGTATGTTCTCGACTTACGGCGGGGATGCCCCTTCAAAACACGAGTTTCTTCAGTGACGTCAGGACTCCTGTCTAGTAACGAGGGACACCTCAGGAATCTCTTCGAGGCTTGGCAGGGCCAAAGGGACCCTTCTCGAGGTGAGGCAGGGCACCCAAGAACCCTTTCCAGTAGCCACAGGGATTTTGGGATTCCTATCAGTATTCAAGAGGAGTCAGGCATCGTCACCTTTTGAAGCAATGAACTCCGCGTGCCTCTCGAGGTGTCAGCGGGATGTGAGGCATTCCGTCAAAATGAGGCAGGGACCTAGGGCTTTCTCTAAGGTCTCCACAGGGGATTCAGACATCCCTTCATGTTGTGAGATGAAAGACGAGCCTGTATTCAAGCCACTGCAAGGAAATCCGGCCTCCTTTCAAGTTAGGGCTTCTCGCTGTATATTCCCCTTGAGGCAGCAAACTCGGGGTCCCTCCCACATACCTATTGCTGAGAGAAGCCTCCTCCTGAGGTGCTTCTGGGAAGTTGGCATACGTCTTGAGCCTAAGCCAGGGAATCAGCTCGCATCTCGAGACGATTTGGGGTACACGGAGCATTCCTCGAGTTGCTGTGCTGAAGTTGGTGTTCCTCTAGACTTGGGACAGTGTTCTCGGGGCATCTCTGGAGTTGCCTGAAGGAAGTCGAGCCACCGGTCGTGTTGAATGGGGAACGGGGAATGGCTCTGGAGTCAATGCAGGGGAATCGGGCCTCATCTCGAGTTGATTTGGGGCACATGGAGCTGCTTTGCGTTGCTGGGGTGACCTCAGGGTCCGTCTAGACTGGTGACAGTGTTCTTGGGGACTGTCTCGAGATCCATTAAGCAAGTCGAAGCTCCTGACTTGTTTGAATGGGGTCACGGAATAGCTCTGCATGCACTGCAGGGGAATGGGGCCTCATCTCGCCTCTAGGGGGAAGTCTCATGGTTTTTCTCGAGTTGCGGCGGGGACCTGGGGTATGTTCTCGACTTACGGCGGGGATGGCCCTTCAAAACACGAGTTTCTTCAGTGACGTCAGGACTCCTGTCTAGTAACGAGGGACACCTCAGGAATCTCTTCGAGGCTTGGCAGAGCCAAAGGGACGCTTCTCGAGGTGAGGCAGGGCACCCAAGGACCCTTTCCAGTAGCCACAGGGATTTTGGGATTCCTATCAGTATTCAAGAGGAGTCAGGCATCGTCACCTTTTGAAGCAATGAACTCCGCGTGCCTCTCGAGGTGTCAGCGGGATGTGAGGCATTCCGTCAAAATGAGGCAGGGACCTAGGGCTTTCTCTAAGGTCTCCACAGGGGATTCAGACATCCCTTCATGTTGTGAGATGAAAGACGAGCCTGTATTCAAGCCACTGCAAGGAAATCCGGCCTCCTTTCAAGTTAGGGCTTCTCGCTGTATATTCCCCTTGAGGCAGCAAACTCGGGGTCCCTCCCACATACCTATTGCTGAGAGAAGCCTCCTCCTGAGGTGCTTCTGGGAAGTTGGCATACGTCTTGAGCCTAAGCCAGGGAATCAGCTCGCATCTCGAGACGATTTGGGGTACACGGAGCATTCCTCGAGTTGCTGTGCTGAAGTTGGTGTTCCTCTAGACTTGGGACAGTGTTCTCGGGGCATCTCTGGAGTTGCCTGAAGGAAGTCGAGCCACCGGTCGTGTTGAATGGGGAACGGGGAATGGCTCTGGAGTCAATGCAGGGGAATCGGGCCTCATCTCGAGTTGATTTGGGGCACATGGAGCTGCTTTGCGTTGCTGGGGTGACCTCAGGGTCCGTCTAGACTGGTGACAGTGTTCTTGGGGACTGTCTCGAGATCCATTAAGCAAGTCGAAGCTCCTGACTTGTTTGAATGGGATCACGGAATAGCTCTGCATGCACTGCAGGGGAATGGGGCCTCATCTCGCCTCTAGGGGGAAGTCTCATTGTTTTTCTCGAGTTGCGGCGGGGACCTGGGGTATGTTCTCGACTTAAGGCGGGGATGGCCCTTCAAAACACGAGTTTCTTCAGTGACGTCAGGACTCCTGTCTAGTAACGAGGGACACCTCAGGAATCTCTTCGAGGCTTGGCAGGGCCAAAGGGACGCTTCTCGAGGTGAGGCAGGGCACCCAAGAACCCTTTCCAGTAGCCACAGGGATTTTGGGATTCCTATCAGTATTCAAGAGGAGTCAGGCATCGTCACCTTTTGAAGCAATGAACTCCGCGTGCCTCTCGAGGTGTCAGCGGGATGTGAGGCATTCCGTCAAAATGAGGCAGGGACCTAGGGCTTTCTCTAAGGTCTCCACAGGGGATTCAGACATCCCTTCATGTTGTGAGATGAAAGACGAGCCTGTATTCAAGCCACTGCAAGGAAATCCGGCCTCCTTTCAAGTTAGGGCTTCTCGCTGTATATTCCCCTTGAGGCAGCAAACTCGGGGTCCCTCCCACATACCTATTGCTGAGAGAAGCCTCCTCCTGAGGTGCTTCTGGGAAGTTGGCATACGTCTTGAGCCTAAGCCAGGGAATCAGCTCGCATCTCGAGACGATTTGGGGTACACGGAGCATTCCTCGAGTTGCTGTGCTGAAGTTGGTGTTCCTCTAGACTTGGGACAGTGTTCTCGGGGCATCTCTGGAGTTGCCTGAAGGAAGTCGAGCCACCGGTCGTGTTGAATGGGGAACGGGGAATGGCTCTGGAGTCAATGCAGGGGAATCGGGCCTCATCTCGAGTTGATTTGGGGCACATGGAGCTGCTTTGCGTTGCTGGGGTGACCTCAGGGTCCGTCTAGACTGGTGACAGTGTTCTTGGGGACTGTCTCGAGATCCATTAAGCAAGTCGAAGCTCCTGACTTGTTTGAATGGGGTCACGGAATAGCTCTGCATGCACTGCAGGGGAATGGGGCCTCATCTCGCCTCTAGGGGGAAGTCTCATGGTTTTTCTCGAGTTGCGGCGGGGACCTGGGGTATGTTCTCGACTTACGGCGGGGATGGCCCTTCAAAACACGAGTTTCTTCAGTGACGTCAGGACTCCTGTCTAGTAACGAGGGACACCTCAGGAATCTCTTCGAGGCTTGGCAGAGCCAAAGGGACGCTTCTCGAGGTGAGGCAGGGCACCCAAGGACCCTTTCCAGTAGCCACAGGGATTTTGGGATTCCTATCAGTATTCAAGAGGAGTCAGGCATCGTCACCTTTTGAAGCAATGAACTCCGCGTGCCTCTCGAGGTGTCAGCGGGATGTGAGGCATTCCGTCAAAATGAGGCAGGGACCTAGGGCTTTCTCTAAGGTCTCCACAGGGGATTCAGACATCCCTTCATGTTGTGAGATGAAAGACGAGCCTGTATTCAAGCCACTGCAAGGAAATCCGGCCTCCTTTCAAGTTAGGGCTTCTCGCTGTATATTCCCCTTGAGGCAGCAAACTCGGGGTCCCTCCCACATACCTATTGCTGAGAGAAGCCTCCTCCTGAGGTGCTTCTGGGAAGTTGGCATACGTCTTGAGCCTAAGCCAGGGAATCAGCTCGCATCTCGAGACGATTTGGGGTACACGGAGCATTCCTCGAGTTGCTGTGCTGAAGTTGGTGTTCCTCTAGACTTGGGACAGTGTTCTCGGGGCATCTCTGGAGTTGCCTGAAGGAAGTCGAGCCACCGGTCGTGTTGAATGGGGAACGGGGAATGGCTCTGGAGTCAATGCAGGGGAATCGGGCCTCATCTCGAGTTGATTTGGGGCACATGGAGCTGCTTTGCGTTGCTGGGGTGACCTCAGGGTCCGTCTAGACTGGTGACAGTGTTCTTGGGGACTGTCTCGAGATCCATTAAGCAAGTCGAAGCTCCTGACTTGTTTGAATGGGGTCACGGAATAGCTCTGCATGCACTGCAGGGGAATGGGGCCTCATCTCGCCTCTAGGGGGAAGTCTCATGGTTTTTCTCGAGTTGCGGCGGGGACCTGGGGTATGTTCTCGACTTACGGCGGGGATGGCCCTTCAAAACACGAGTTTCTTCAGTGACGTCAGGACTCCTGTCTAGTAACGAGGGACACCTCAGGAATCTCTTCGAGGCTTGGCAGGGCCAAAGGGACGCTTCTCGAGGTGAGGCAGGGCACCCAAGGACCCTTTCCAGTAGCCACAGGGATTTTGGGATTCCTATCAGTATTCAAGAGGAGTCAGGCATCGTCACCTTTTGAAGCAATGAACTCCGCGTGCCTCTCGAGGTGTCAGCGGGATGTGAGGCATTCCGTCAAAATGAGGCAGGGACCTAGGGCTTTCTCTAAGGTCTCCACAGGGGATTCAGACATCCCTTCATGTTGTGAGATGAAAGACGAGCCTGTATTCAAGCCACTGCAAGGAAATCCGGCCTCCTTTCAAGTTAGGGCTTCTCGCTGTATATTCCCCTTGAGGCAGCAAACTCGGGGTCCCTCCCACATACCTATTGCTGAGAGAAGCCTCCTCCTGAGGTGCTTCTGGGAAGTTGGCATACGTCTTGAGCCTAAGCCAGGGAATCAGCTCGCATCTCGAGACGATTTGGGGTACACGGAGCATTCCTCGAGTTGCTGTGCTGAAGTTGGTGTTCCTCTAGACTTGGGACAGTGTTCTCGGGGCATCTCTGGAGTTGCCTGAAGGAAGTCGAGCCACCGGTCGTGTTGAATGGGGAACGGGGAATGGCTCTGGAGTCAATGCAGGGGAATCGGGCCTCATCTCGAGTTGATTTGGGGCACATGGAGCTGCTTTGCGTTGCTGGGGTGACCTCAGGGTCCGTCTAGACTGGTGACAGTGTTCTTGGGGACTGTCTCGAGATCCATTAAGCAAGTCGAAGCTCCTGACTTGTTTGAATGGGATCACGGAATAGCTCTGCATGCACTGCAGGGGAATGGGGCCTCATCTCGCCTCTAGGGGGAAGTCTCATGGTTTTTCTCGAGTTGCGGCGGGGACCTGGGGTATGTTCTCGACTTACGGCGGGGATGGCTCTTCAAAACACGAGTTTCTTCAGTGACGTCAGGACTCCTGTCTAGTAACGAGGGACACCTCAGGAATCTCTTCGAGGCTTGGCAGGGCCAAAGGGACGCTTCTCGAGGTGAGGCAGGGCACCCAAGGACCCTTTCCAGTAGCCACAGGGATTTTGGGATTCCTATCAGTATTCAAGAGGAGTCAGGCATCGTCACCTTTTGAAGCAATGAACTCCGCGTGCCTCTCGAGGTGTCAGCGGGATGTGAGGCATTCCGTCAAAATGAGGCAGGGACCTAGGGCTTTCTCTAAGGTCTCCACAGGGGATTCAGACATCCCTTCATGTTGTGAGATGAAAGACGAGCCTGTATTCAAGCCACTGCAAGGAAATCCGGCCTCCTTTCAAGTTAGGGCTTCTCGCTGTATATTCCCCTTGAGGCAGCAAAATCGGGGTCCCTCCCACATACCTATTGCTGAGAGAAGCCTCCTCCTGAGGTGCTTCTGGGAAGTTGGCATACGTCTTGAGCCTAAGCCAGGGAATCAGCTCGCATCTCGAGACGATTTGGGGTACACGGAGCATTCCTCGAGTTGCTGTGCTGAAGTTGGTGTTCCTCTAGACTTGGGACAGTGTTCTCGGGGCATCTCTGGAGTTGCCTGAAGGAAGTCGAGCCACCGGTCGTGTTGAATGGGGAACGGGGAATGGCTCTGGAGTCAATGCAGGGGAATCGGGCCTCATCTCGAGTTGATTTGGGGCACATGGAGCTGCTTTGCGTTGCTGGGGTGACCTCAGGGTCCGTCTAGACTGGTGACAGTGTTCTTGGGGACTGTCTCGAGATCCATTAAGCAAGTCGAAGCTCCTGACTTGTTTGAATGGGATCACGGAATAGCTCTGCATGCACTGCAGGGGAATGGGGCCTCATCTCGCCTCTAGGGGGAAGTCTCATGGTTTTTCTCGAGTTGCGGCGGGGACCTGGGGTATGTTCTCGACTTACGGCGGGGATGGCCCTTCAAAACACGAGTTTCTTCAGTGACGTCAGGACTCCTGTCTAGTAACGAGGGACACCTCAGGAATCTCTTCGAGGCTTGGCAGGGCCAAAGGGACGCTTCTCGAGGTGAGGCAGGGCACCCAAGGACCCTTTCCAGTAGCCACAGGGATTTTGGGATTCCTATCAGTATTCAAGAGGAGTCAGGCATCGTCACCTTTTGAAGCAATGAACTCCGCGTGCCTCTCGAGGTGTCAGCGGGATGTGAGGCATTCCGTCAAAATGAGGCAGGGACCTAGGGCTTTCTCTAAGGTCTCCACAGGGGATTCAGACATCCCTTCATGTTGTGAGATGAAAGACGAGCCTGTATTCAAGCCACTGCAAGGAAATCCGGCCTCCTTTCAAGTTAGGGCTTCTCGCTGTATATTCCCCTTGAGGCAGCAAACTCGGGGTCCCTCCCACATACCTATTGCTGAGAGAAGCCTCCTCCTGAGGTGCTTCTGGGAAGTTGGCATACGTCTTGAGCCTAAGCCAGGAAATCAGCTCGCATCTCGAGACGATTTGGGGTACACGGAGCATTCCTCGAGTTGCTGTGCTGAAGTTGGTGTTCCTCTAGACTTGGGACAGTGTTCTCGGGGCATCTCCGGAGTTGCCTGAAGGAAGTCGAGCCACCGGTCGTGTTGAATGGGGAACGGGGAATGGATCTGGAGTCAATGCAGGGGAATCGGGCCTCATCTCGAGTTGATTTGGGGCACATGGAGCTGCTTTGCGTTGCTGGGGTGACCTCAGGGTCCGTCTAGACTGGTGACAGTGTTCTTGGGGACTGTCTCGAGATCCATTAAGCAAGTCGAAGCTCCTGACTTGTTTGAATGGGATCACGGAATAGCTCTGCATGCACTGCAGGGGAATGGGGCCTCATCTCGCCTCTCGGGGGAAGTCTCATGGTTTTTCTCGAGTTGCGGCGGGGACCTGGGGTATGTTCTCGACTTACGGCGGGGATGGCCCTTCAAAACACGAGTTTCTTCAGTGACGTCAGGACTCCTGTCTAGTAACGAGGGACACCTCAGGAATCTCTTCGAGGCTTGGCAGGGCCAAAGGGACCCTTCTCGAGGTGAGGCAGGGCACCCAAGAACACTTTCCAGTAGCCACAGGGATTTTGGGATTCCTATCAGTATTCAAGAGGAGTCAGGCATCGTCACCTTTTGAAGCAATGAACTCCGCGTGCCTCTCGAGGTGTCAGCGGGATGTGAGGCATTCCGTCAAAATGAGGCAGGGACCTAGGGCTTTCTCTAAGGTCTCCACAGGGGATTCAGACATCCCTTCATGTTGTGAGATGAAAGACGAGCCTGTATTCAAGCCACTGCAAGGAAATCCGGCCTCCTTTCAAGTTAGTTCTTCTCGCTGTATATTCCCCTTGAGGCAGCAAACTCGGGGTCCCTCCCACATACCTATTGCTGAGAGAAGCCTCCTCCTGAGGTGCTTCTGGGAAGTTGGCATACGTCTTGAGCCTAAGCCAGGGAATCAGCTCGCATCTCGAGACGATTTGGGGTACACGGAGCATTCCTCGAGTTGCTGTGCTGAAGTTGGTGTTCCTCTAGACTTGGGACAGTGTTCTCGGGGCATCTCTGGAGTTGCCTGAAGGAAGTCGAGCCACCGGTCGTGTTGAATGGGGAACGGGGAATGGCTCTGGAGTCAATGCAGGGGAATCGGGCCTCATCTCGAGTTGATTTGGGGCACATGGAGCTGCTTTGCGTTGCTGGGGTGACCTCAGGGTCCGTCTAGACTGGTGACAGTGTTCTTGGGGACTGTCTCGAGATCCATTAAGCAAGTCGAAGCTCCTGACTTGTTTGAATGGGGTCACGGAATAGCTCTGCATGCACTGCAGGGGAATGGGGCCTCATCTCGCCTCTAGGGGGAAGTCTCATGGTGTTTCTCGAGTTGCGGCGGGGACCTGGGGTATGTTCTCGACTTACGGCGGGGATGGCCCTTCAAAACACGAGTTTCTTCAGTGACGTCAGGACTCCTGTCTAGTAACGAGGGACACCTCAGGAATCTCTTCGAGGCTTGGCAGGGCCAAAGGGACGCTTCTCGAGGTGAGGCAGGGCACCCAAGGACCCTTTCCAGTAGCCACAGGGATTTTGGGATTCCTATCAGTATTCAAGAGGAGTCAGGCATCGTCACCTTTTGAAGCAATGAACTCCGCGTGCCTCTCGAGGTTTCAGCGGGATGTGAGGCATTCCGTCAATATGAGGCAGGGACCTAGGGCTTTCTCTAAGGTCTCCACAGGGGATTCAGACATCCCTTCATGTTGTGTGATGAAAGACGAGCCTGTATTCAAGCCACTGCAAGGAAATCCGGCCTCCTTTCAAGTTAGGGCTTCTCGCTGTATATTCCCCTTGAGGCAGCAAACTCGGGGTCCCTCCCACATACCTATTGCTGAGAGAAGCCTCCTCCTGAGGTGCTTCTGGGAAGTTGGCATACGTCTTGAGCCTAAGCCAGGGAATCAGCTCGCATCTCGAGACGATTTGGGGTACACGGAGCATTCCTCGAGTTGCTGTGCTGAAGTTGGTGTTCCTCTAGACTTGGGACAGTGTTCTCGGGGCATCTCTGGAGTTGCCTGAAGGAAGTCGAGCCACCGGTCGTGTTGAATGGGGAACGGGGAATGGCTCTGGAGTCAATGCAGGGGAATCGGGCCTCATCTCGAGTTGATTTGGGGCACATGGAGCTGCTTTGCGTTGCTGGGGTGACCTCAGGGTCCGTCTAGACTGGTGACAGTGTTCTTGGGGACTGTCTCGAGATCCATTAAGCAAGTCGAAGCTCCTGACTTGTTTGAATGGGGTCACGGAATAGCTCTGCATGCACTGCAGGGGAATGGGGCCTCATCTCGCCTCTAGGGGGAAGTCTCATGGTTTTTCTCGAGTTGCGGCGGGGACCTGGGGTATGTTCTCGACTTACGGCGGGGATGGCCCTTCAAAACACGAGTTTCTTCAGTGACGTCAGGACTCCTGTCTAGTAACGAGGGACACCTCAGGAATCTCTTCGAGGCTTGGCAGGGCCAAAGGGACGCTTCTCGAGGTGAGGCAGGGCACCCAAGAACCCTTTCCAGTAGCCACAGGGATTTTGGGATTCCTATCAGTATTCAAGAGGAGTCAGGCATCGTCACCTTTTGAAGCAATGAACTCCGCGTGCCTCTCGAGGTGTCAGCGGGATGTGAGGCATTCCGTCAAAATGAGGCAGGGACCTAGGGCTTTCTCTAAGGTCTCCACAGGGGATTCAGACATCCCTTCATGTTGTGAGATGAAAGACGAGCCTGTATTCAAGCCACTGCAAGGAAATCCGGCCTCCTTTCAAGTTAGGGCTTCTCGCTGTATATTCCCCTTGAGGCAGCAAACTCGGGGTCCCTCCCACATACCTATTGCTGAGAGAAGCCTCCTCCTGAGGTGCTTCTGGGAAGTTGGCATACGTCTTGAGCCTAAGCCAGGGAATCAGCTCGCATCTCGAGACGATTTGGGGTACACGGAGCATTCCTCGAGTTGCTGTGCTGAAGTTGGTGTTCCTCTAGACTTGGGACAGTGTTCTCGGGGCATCTCTGGAGTTGCCTGAAGGAAGTCGAGCCACCGGTCGTGTTGAATGGGGAACGGGGAATGGCTCTGGAGTCAATGCAGGGGAATCGGGCCTCATCTCGAGTTGATTTGGGGCACATGGAGCTGCTTTGCGTTGCTGGGGTGACCTCAGGGTCCGTCTAGACTGGTGACAGTGTTCTTGGGGACTGTCTCGAGATCCATTAAGCAAGTCGAAGCTCCTGACTTGTTTGAATGGGATCACGGAATAGCTCTGCATGCACTGCAGGGGAATGGGGCCTCATCTCGCCTCTAGGGGGAAGTCTCATGGTTTTTCTCGAGTTGCGGCGGGGACCTGGGGTATGTTCTCGACTTACGGCGGGGATGGCCCTTCAAAACACGAGTTTCTTCAGTGACGTCAGGACTCCTGTCTAGTAACGAGGGACACCTCAGGAATCTCTTCGAGGCTTGGCAGGGCCAAAGGGACGCTTCTCGAGGTGAGGCAGGGCACCCAAGGACCCTTTCCAGTAGCCACAGGGATTTTGGGATTCCTATCAGTATTCAAGAGGAGTCAGGCATCGTCACCTTTTGAAGCAATGAACTCCGCGTGCCTCTCGAGGTGTCAGCGGGATGTGAGGCATTCCGTCAAAATGAGGCAGGGACCTAGGGCTTTCTCTAAGGTCTCCACAGGGGATTCAGACATCCCTTCATGTTGTGAGATGAAAGACGAGCCTGTATTCAAGCCACTGCAAGGAAATATGGCCTCCTTTCAAGTTAGGGCTTCTCGCTGTATATTCCCCTTGAGGCAGCAAACTCGGGGTCCCTCCCACATACCTATTGCTGAGAGAAGCCTCCTCCTGAGGTGCTTCTGGGAAGTTGGCATACGTCTTGAGCCTAAGCCAGGGAATCAGCTCGCATCTCGAGACGATTTGGGGTACACGGAGCATTCCTCGAGTTGCTGTGCTGAAGTTGGTGTTCCTCTAGACTTGGGACAGTGTTCTCGGGGCATCTCCGGAGTTGCCTGAAGGAAGTCGAGCCACCGGTCGTGTTGAATGGGGAACGGGGAATGGCTCTGGAGTCAATGCAGGGGAATCGGGCCTCATCTCGAGTTGATTTGGGGCACATGGAGCTGCTTTGCGTTGCTGGGGTGACCTCAGGGTCCGTCTAGACTGGTGACAGTGTTCTTGGGGACTGTCTCGAGATCCATTAAGCAAGTCGAAGCTCCTGACTTGTTTGAATGGGATCACGGAATAGCTCTGCATGCACTGCAGGGGAATGGGGCCTCATCTCGCCTCTAGGGGGAAGTCTCATGGTTTTTCTCGAGTTGCGGCGGGGACCTGGGGTATGTTCTCGACTTACGGCGGGGATGGCTCTTCAAAACACGAGTTTCTTCAGTGACGTCAGGACTCCTGTCTAGTAACGAGGGACACCTCAGGAATCTCTTCGAGGCTTGGCAGGGCCAAAGGGACGCTTCTCGAGGTGAGGCAGGGCACCCAAGGACCCTTTCCAGTAGCCACAGGGATTTTGGGATTCCTATCAGTATTCAAGAGGAGTCAGGCATCGTCACCTTTTGAAGCAATGAACTCCGCGTGCCTCTCGAGGTGTCAGCGGGATGTGAGGCATTCCGTCAAAATGAGGCAGGGACCTAGGGCTTTCTCTAAGGTCTCCACAGGGGATTCAGACATCCCTTCATGTTGTGAGATGAAAGACGAGCCTGTATTCAAGCCACTGCAAGGAAATCCGGCCTCCTTTCAAGTTAGGGCTTCTCGCTGTATATTCCCCTTGAGGCAGCAAACTCGGGGTCCCTCCCACATACCTATTGCTGAGAGAAGCCTCCTCCTGAGGTGCTTCTGGGAAGTTGGCATACGTCTTGAGCCTAAGCCAGGGAATCAGCTCGCATCTCGAGACGATTTGGGGTACACGGAGCATTCCTCGAGTTGCTGTGCTGAAGTTGGTGTTCCTCTAGACTTGGGACAGTGTTCTCGGGGCATCTCTGGAGTTGCCTGAAGGAAGTCGAGCCACCGGTCGTGTTGAGTGGGGAACGGGGAATGGCTCTGGAGTCAATGCAGGGGAATCGGGCCTCATCTCGAGTTGATTTGGGGCACATGGAGCTGCTTTGCGTTGCTGGGGTGACCTCAGGGTCCGTCTAGACTGGTGACAGTGTTCTTGGGGACTGTCTCGAGATCCATTAAGCAAGTCGAAGCTCCGGACTTGTTTGAATGGGATCACGGAATAGCTCTGCATGCACTGCAGGGGAATGGGGCCTCATCTCGCCTCTAGGGGGAAGTCTCATGGTTTTTCTCGAGTTGCGGCGGGGACCTGGGGTATGTTCTCGACTTACGGCGGGGATGGCCCTTCAAAACACGAGTTTCTTCAGTGACGTCAGGACTCCTGTCTAGTAACGAGGGACACCTCAGGAATCTCTTCGAGGCTTGGCAGGGCCAAAGGGACGCTTCTCGAGGTGAGGCAGGGCACCCAAGGACCCTTTCCAGTAGCCACAGGGATTTTGGGATTCCTATCAGTATTCAAGAGGAGTCAGGCATCGTCACCTTTTGAAGCAATGAACTCCGCGTGCCTCTCGAGGTGTCAGCGGGATGTGAGGCATTCCGTAAAAATGAGGCAGGGACCTAGGACTTTCTCTAAGGTCTCCACAGGGGATTCAGACATCCCTTCATGTTGTGAGATGAAAGACGAGCCTGTATTCAAGCCACTGCAAGGAAATCCGGCCTCCTTTCAAGTTAGGGCTTCTCGCTGTATATTCCCCTTGAGGCAACAAACTCGGGGTCCCTCCCACATACCTATTGCTGAGAGAAGCCTCCTCCTGAGGTGCTTCTGGGAAGTTGGCATACGTCTTGAGCCTAAGCCAGGGGATCAGCTCGCATCTCGAGACGATTTGGGGTACACGGAGCATTCCTCGAGTTGCTGTGCTGAAGTTGGTGTTCCTCTAGACTTGGGACAGTGTTCTCGGGGCATCTCTGGAGTTGCCTGAAGGAAGTCGAGCCACCGGTCGTGTTGAATGGGGAACGGGGAATGGCTCTGGAGTCAATGCAGGGGAATCGGGCCTCATCTCGAGTTGATTTGGGGCACATGGAGCTGCTTTGCGTTGCTGGGGTGACCTCAGGGTCCGTCTAGACTGGTGACAGTGTTCTTGGGGACTGTCTCGAGATCCATTAAGCAAGTCGAAGCTCCTGACTTGTTTGAATGGGATCACGGAATAGCTCTGCATGCACTGCAGGGGAATGGGGCCTCATCTCGCCTCTAGGGGGAAGTCTCATGGTTTTTCTCGAGTTGCGGCGGGGACCTGGGGTATGTTCTCGACTTACGGCGGGGATGGCCCTTCAAAACACGAGTTTCTTCAGTGACGTCAGGACTCCTGTCTAGTAACGAGGGACACCTCAGGAATCTCTTCGAGGCTTGGCAGGGCCAAAGGGACGCTTCTCGAGGTGAGGCAGGGCACCCAAGGACCCTTTCCAGTAGCCACAGGGATTTTGGGATTCCTATCAGTATTCAAGAGGAGTCAGGCATCGTCACCTTTTGAAGGAATGAACTCCGCGTGCCTCTCGAGGTGTCAGCAGGATGTGAGGCATTCCGTCAAAATGAGGCAGGGACCTAGGGCTTTCTCTAAGGTCTCCACAGGGGATTCAGACATCCCTTCATGTTGTGAGATGAAAGACGAGCCTGTATTCAAGCCACTGCAAGGAAATCCGGCCTCCTTTCAAGTTAGGGCTTCTCGCTGTATATTCCCCTTGAGGCAGCAAACTCGGGGTCCCTCCCACATACCTATTGCTGAGAGAAGCCTCCTCCTGAGGTGCTTCTGGGAAGTTGGCATACGTCTTGAGCCTAAGCCAGGGAATCAGCTCGCATCTCGAGATGATTTGGGGTACACGGAGCATTCCTTGAGTTGCTGTGCTGAAGTTGGTGTTCCTCTAGTCTTGGGACAGTGTTCTCGGGGCATCTCTGGAGTTGCGTGAAGGAAGTCGAGCCACCGGTCGTGTTGAATGGGGAACGGGGAATGGCTCTGGAGTCAATGCAGGGGAATCGGGCCTCATCTCGAGTTGATTTCGGGCACATGGAGCTGCTTTGCGTTGCTGGGGTGACCTCAGGGTCCGTCTAGACTGGTGACAGTGTTCTTGGGGACTGTCTCGAGATCCATTAAGCAAGTCGAAGCTCCTGACTTGTTTGAATGGGATCACGGAATAGCTCTGCATGCACTGCAGGGGAATGGGGCCTCATCTCGCCTCTAGGGGGAAGTCTCATTGTTTTTCTCGAGTTGCGGCGGGGACCTGGGGTATGTTCTCGACTTACGGCGGGGATGGCCCTTCAAAACACGAGTTTCTTCAGTGACGTCAGGACTCCTGTCTAGTAACGAGGGACACCTCAGGAATCTCTTCGAGGCTTGGCAGGGCCAAAGGGACGCTTCTCGAGGTGAGGCAGGGCACCCAAGAACCCTTTCCAGTAGCCACAGGGATTTTGGGATTCCTATCAGTATTCAAGAGGAGTCAGGCATCGTCACCTTTTGAAGCAATGAACTCCGCGTGCCTCTCGAGGTGTCAGCGGGATGTGAGGAATTCCCTCAAAATGAGGCAGGGACCTAGGGCTTTCTCTAAGGTCTCCACAGGGGATTCAGACATCCCTTCATGTTGTGAGATGAAAGACGAGCCTGTATTCAAGCCACTGCAAGGAAATCCGGCCTCCTTTCAAGTTAGGGCTTCTCGCTGTATATTCCCCTTGAGGCAGCAAACTCGGGGTCCCTCCCACATACCTATTGCTGAGAGAAGCCTCCTCCTGAGGTGCTTCTGGGAAGTTGGCATACGTCTTGAGCCTAAGCCAGGGAATCAGCTCGCATCTCGAGACGATTTGGGGTACACGGAGCATTCCTCGAGTTGCTGTGCTGAAGTTGGTGTTCCTCTAGACTTGGGACAGTGTTCTCGGGGCATCTCTGGAGTTGCCTGAAGGAAGTCGAGCCACCGGTCGTGTTGAATGGGGAACGGGGAATGGCTCTGGAGTCAATGCAGGGGAATCGGGCCTCATCTCGAGTTGATTTGGGGCACATGGAGCTGCTTTGCGTTGCTGGGGTGACCTCAGGGTCCGTCTAGACTGGTGACAGTGTTCTTGGGGACTGTCTCGAGATCCATTAAGCAAGTCGAAGCTCCTGACTTGTTTGAATGGGATCACGGAATAGCTCTGCATGCACTGCAGGGGAATGGGGCCTCATCTCGCCTCTAGGGGGAAGTCTCATGGTTTTTCTCGAGTTGCGGCGGGGACCTGGGGTATGTTCTCGACTTACGGCGGGGATGGCCCTTCAAAACACGAGTTTCTTCAGTGACGTCAGGACTCCTGTCTAGTAACGAGGGACACCTCAGGAATCTCTTCGAGGCTTGGCAGAGCCAAAGGGACGCTTCTCGAGGTGAGGCAGGGCACCCAAGGACCCTTTCCAGTAGCCACAGGGATTTTGGGATTCCTATCAGTATTCAAGAGGAGTCAGGCATCGTCACCTTTTGAAGCAATGAACTCCGCGTGCCTCTCGAGGTGTCAGCGGGATGTGAGGCATTCCGTCAAAATGAGGCAGGGACCTAGGGCTTTCTCTAAGGTCTCCACAGGGGATTCAGACATCCCTTCATGTTGTGAGATGAAAGACGAGCCTGTATTCAAGCCACTGCAAGGAAATCCGGCCTCCTTTCAAGTTAGGGCTTCTCGCTGTATATTCCCCTTGAGGCAGCAAACTCGGGGTCCCTCCCACATACCTATTGCTGAGAGAAGCCTCCTCCTGAGGTGCTTCTGGGAAGTTGGCATACGTCTTGAGCCTAAGGCAGGGAATCAGCTCGCATCTCGAGACGATTTGGGGTACACGGAGCATTCCTCGAGTTGCTGTGCTGAAGTTGGTGTTCCTCTAGACTTGGGACAGTGTTCTCGGGGCATCTCTGGAGTTGCCTGAAGGAAGTCGAGCCACCGGTCGTGTTGAATGGGGAACGGGGAATGGCTCTGGAGTCAATGCAGGGGAATCGGGCCTCATCTCGAGTTGATTTGGGGCACATGGAGCTGCTTTGCGTTGCTGGGGTGACCTCAGGGTCCGTCTAGACTGGTGACAGTGTTCTTGGGGACTGTCTCGAGATCCATTAAGCAAGTCGAAGCTCCTGACTTGTTTGAATGGGGTCACGGAATAGCTCTGCATGCACTGCAGGGGAATGGGGCCTCATCTCGCCTCTAGGGGGAAGTCTCATGGTTTTTCTCGAGTTGCGGCGGGGACCTGGGGTATGTTCTCGACTTACGGCGGGGATGGCCCTTCAAAACACGAGTTTCTTCAGTGACGTCAGGACTCCTGTCTAGTAACGAGGGACACCTCAGGAATCTCTTCGAGGCTTGGCAGGGCCAAAGGGACGCTTCTCGAGGTGAGGCAGGGCACCCAAGGACCCTTTCCAGTAGCCACAGGGATTTTGGGATTCCTATCAGTATTCAAGAGGAGTCAGGCATCGTCACCTTTTGAAGCAATGAACTCCGCGTGCCTCTCGAGGTGTCAGCGGGATGTGAGGCATTCCGTCAAAATGAGGCAGGGACCTAGGGCTTTCTCTAAGGTCTCCACAGGGGATTCAGACATCCCTTCATGTTGTGAGATGAAAGACGAGCCTGTATTCAAGCCACTGCAAGGAAATCCGGCCTCCTTTCAAGTTAGGGCTTCTCGCTGTATATTCCCCTTGAGGCAGCAAACTCGGGGTCCCTCCCACATACCTATTGCTGAGAGAAGCCTCCTCCTGAGGTGCTTCTGGGAAGTTGGCATACGTCTTGAGCCTAAGCCAGGGAATCAGCTCGCATCTCGAGACGATTTGGGGTACACGGAGCATTCCTCGAGTTGCTGTGCTGAAGTTGGTGTTCCTCTAGACTTGGGACAGTGTTCTCGGGGCATCTCTGGAGTTGCCTGAAGGAAGTCGAGCCACCGGTCGTGTTGAATGGGGAACGGGGAATGGCTCTGGAGTCAATGCAGGGGAATCGGGCCTCATCTCGAGTTGATTTGGGGCACATGGAGCTGCTTTGCGTTGCTGGGGTGACCTCAGGGTCCGTCTAGACTGGTGACAGTGTTCTTGGGGACTGTCTCGAGATCCATTAAGCAAGTCGAAGCTCCTGACTTGTTTGAATGGGGTCACGGAATAGCTCTGCATGCACTGCAGGGGAATGGGGCCTCATCTCGCCTCTAGGGGGAAGTCTCATGGTTTTTCTCGAGTTGCGGCGGGGAACTGGGGTATGTTCTCGACTTACGGCGGGGATGGCCCTTCAAAACACGAGTTTCTTCAGTGACGTCAGGACTCCTGTCTAGTAACGAGGGACACCTCAGGAATCTCTTCGAGGCTTGGCAGGGCCAAAGGGACGCTTCTCGAGGTGAGGCAGGGCACCCAAGAACCCTTTCCAGTAGCCACAGGGATTTTGGGATTCCTATCAGTATTCAAGAGGAGTCAGGCATCGTCACCTTTTGAAGCAATGAACTCCGCGTGCCTCTCGAGGTGTCAGCGGGATGTGAGGCATTCCCTCAAAATGAGGCAGGGACCTAGGGCTTTCTCTAAGGTCTCCACAGGGGATTCAGACATCCCTTCATGTTGTGAGATGAAAGACGAGCCTGTATTCAAGCCACTGCAAGGAAATCCGGCCTCCTTTCAAGTTAGGGCTTCTCGCTGTATATTCCCCTTGAGGCAGCAAACTCGGGGTCCCTCCCACATACCTATTGCTGAGAGAAGCCTCCTCCTGAGGTGCTTCTGGGAAGTTGGCATACGTCTTGAGCCTAAGCCAGGGAATCAGCTCGCATCTCGAGACGATTTGGGGTACACGGAGCATTCCTCGAGTTGCTGTGCTGAAGTTGGTGTTCCTCTAGACTTGGGACAGTGTTCTCGGGGCATCTCTGGAGTTGCCTGAAGGAAGTCGAGCCACCGGTCGTGTTGAATGGGGAACGGGGAATGGCTCTGGAGTCAATGCAGGGGAATCGGGCCTCATCTCGAGTTGATTTGGGGCACATGGAGCTGCTTTGCGTTGCTGGGGTGACCTCAGGGTCCGTCTAGACTGGTGACAGTGTTCTTGGGGACTGTCTCGAGATCCATTAAGCAAGTCGAAGCTCCTGACTTGTTTGAATGGGATCACGGAATAGCTCTGCATGCACTGCAGGGGAATGGGGCCTCATCTCGCCTCTAGGGGGAAGTCTCATGGTTTTTCTCGAGTTGCGGCGGGGACCTGGGGTATGTTCTCGACTTACGGCGGGGATGGCCCTTCAAAACACGAGTTTCTTCAGTGACGTCAGGACTCCTGTCTAGTAACGAGGGACACCTCAGGAATCTCTTCGAGGCTTGGCAGAGCCAAAGGGACGCTTCTCGAGGTGAGGCAGGGCACCCAAGGACCCTTTCCAGTAGCCACAGGGATTTTGGGATTCCTATCAGTATTCAAGAGGAGTCAGGCATCGTCACCTTTTGAAGCAATGAACTCCGCGTGCCTCTCGAGGTGTCAGCGGGATGTGAGGCATTCCGTCAAAATGAGGCAGGGACCTAGGGCTTTCTCTAAGGTCTCCACAGGGGACTCAGACATCCCTTCATGTTGTGAGATGAAAGACGAGCCTGTATTCAAGCCACTGCAAGGAAATCCGGCCTCCTTTCAAGTTAGGGCTTCTCGCTGTATATTCCCCTTGAGGCAGCAAACTCGGGGTCCCTCCCACATACCTATTGCTGAGAGAAGCCTCCTCCTGAGGTGCTTCTGGGAAGTTGGCATACGTCTTGAGCCTAAGCCAGGGAATCAGCTCGCATCTCGAGACGATTTGGGGTACACGGAGCATTCCTCGAGTTGCTGTGCTGAAGTTGGTGTTCCTCTAGACTTGGGACAGTGTTCTCGGGGCATCTCCGGAGTTGCCTGAAGGAAGTCGAGCCACCGGTCGTGTTGAATGGGGAACGGGGAATGGCTCTGGAGTCAATGCAGGGGAATCGGGCCTCATCTCGAGTTGATTTGGGGCACATGGAGCTGCTTTGCGTTGCTGGGGTGACCTCAGGGTCCGTCTAGACTGGTGACAGTGTTCTTGGGGACTGTCTCGAGATCCATTAAGCAAGTCGAAGCTCCTGACTTGTTTGAATGGGATCACGGAATAGCTCTGCATGCACTGCAGGGGAATGGGGCCTCATCTCGCCTCTAGGGGGAAGTCTCATGGTTTTTCTCGAGTTGCGGCGGGGACCTGGGGTATGTTCTCGACTTACGGCGGGGATGGCTCTTCAAAACACGAGTTTCTTCAGTGAGGTCAGGACTCCTGTCTAGTAACGAGGGACACCTCAGGAATCTCTTCGAGGCTTGGCAGGGCCAAAGGGACGCTTCTCGAGGTGAGGCAGGGCACCCAAGGACCCTTTCCAGTAGCCACAGGGATTTTGGGATTCCTATCAGTATTCAAGAGGAGTCAGGCATCGTCACCTTTTGAAGCAATGAACTCCGCGTGCCTCTCGAGGTGTCAGCGGGATGTGAGGCATTCCGTCAAAATGAGGCAGGGACCTAGGGCTTTCTCTTAGGTCTCCACAGGGGATTCAGACATCCCTTCATGTTGTGAGATGAAAGACGAGCCTGTATTCAAGCCACTGCAAGGAAATCCGGCCTCCTTTCAAGTTAGGGCTTCTCGCTGTATATTCCCCTTGAGGCAGCAAACTCGGGGTCCCTCCCACATACCTATTGCTGAGAGAAGCCTCCTCCTGAGGTGCTTCTGGGAAGTTGGCATACGTCTTGAGCCTAAGCCAGGGAATCAGCTCGCATCTCGAGACGATTTGGGGTACACGGAGCATTCCTCGAGTTGCTGTGCTGAAGTTGGTGTTCCTCTAGACTTGGGACAGTGTTCTCGGGGCATCTCTGGAGTTGCCTGAAGGAAGTCGAGCCACCGGTCGTGTTGAATGGGGAACGGGGAATGGCTCTGGAGTCAATGCAGGGGAATCGGGCCTCATCTCGAGTTGATTTGGGGCACATGGAGCTGCTTTGCGTTGCTGGGGTGACCTCAGGGTCCGTCTAGACTGGTGACAGTGTTCTTGGGGACTGTCTCGAGATCCATTAAGCAAGTCGAAGCTCCTGACTTGTTTGAATGGGATCACGGAATAGCTCTGCATGCACTGCAGGGGAATGGGGCCTCATCTCGCCTCTAGGGGGAAGTCTCATGGTTTTTCTCGAGTTGCGGCGGGGACCTGGGGTATGTTCTCGACTTACGGCGGGGATGGCCCTTCAAAACACGAGTTTCTTCAGTGACGTCAGGACTCCTGTCTAGTAACGAGGGACACCTCAGGAATCTCTTCGAGGCTTGGCAGGGCCAAAGGGACGCTTCTCGAGGTGAGGCAGGGCACCCAAGGACCCTTTCCAGTAGCCACAGGGATTTTGGGATTCCTATCAGTATTCAAGAGGAGTCAGGCATCGTCACCTTTTGAAGCAATGAACTCCGCGTGCCTCTCGAGGTGTCAGCGGGATGTGAGGCATTCCGTCAAAATGAGGCAGGGACCTAGGGCTTTCTCTAAGGTCTCCACAGGGGATTCAGACATCCCTTCATGTTGTGAGATGAAAGACGAGCCTGTATTCAAGCCACTGCAAGGAAATCCGGCCTCCTTTCAAGTTAGGGCTTCTCGCTGTATATTCCCCTTGAGGCAGCAAACTCGGGGTCCCTCCCACATACCTATTGCTGAGAGAAGCCTCCTCCTGAGGTGCTTCTGGGAAGTTGGCATACGTCTTGAGCCTAAGCCAGGGAATCAGCTCGCATCTCGAGACGATTTGGGGTACACGGAGCATTCCTCGAGTTGCTGTGCTGAAGTTGGTGTTCCTCTAGACTTGGGACAGTGTTCTCGGGGCATCTCCGGAGTTGCCTGAAGGAAGTCGAGCCACCGGTCGTGTTGAATGGGGAACGGGGAATGGATCTGGAGTCAATGCAGGGGAATCGGGCCTCATCTCGAGTTGATTTGGGGCACATGGAGCTGCTTTGCGTTGCTGGGGTGACCTCAGGGTCCGTCTAGACTGGTGACAGTGTTCTTGGGGACTGTCTCGAGATCCATTAAGCAAGTCGAAGCTCCTGACTTGTTTGAATGGGATCACGGAATAGCTCTGCATGCACTGCAGGGGAATGGGGCCTCATCTCGCCTCTCGGGGGAAGTCTCATGGTTTTTCTCGAGTTGCGGCGGGGACCTGGGGTATGTTCTCGACTTACGGCGGGGATGGCCCTTCAAAACACGAGTTTCTTCAGTGACGTCAGGACTCCTGTCTAGTAACGAGGGACACCTCAGGAATCTCTTCGAGGCTTGGCAGGGCCAAAGGGACCCTTCTCGAGGTGAGGCAGGGCACCCAAGAACACTTTCCAGTAGCCACAGGGATTTTGGGATTCCTATCAGTATTCAAGAGGAGTCAGGCATCGTCACCTTTTGAAGCAATGAACTCCGCGTGCCTCTCGAGGTGTCAGCGGGATGTGAGGCATTCCGTCAAAATGAGGCAGGGACCTAGGGCTTTCTCTAAGGTCTCCACAGGGGATTCAGACATCCCTTCATGTTGTGAGATGAAAGACGAGCCTGTATTCAAGCCACTGCAAGGAAATCCGGCCTCCTTTCAAGTTAGGGCTTCTCGCTGTATATTCCCCTTGAGGCAGCAAACTCGGGGTCCCTCCCACATACCTATTGCTGAGAGAAGCCTCCTCCTGAGGTGCTTCTGGGAAGTTGGCATACGTCTTGAGCCTAAGCCAGGGAATCAGCTCGCATCTCGAGACGATTTGGGGTACACGGAGCATTCCTCGAGTTGCTGTGCTGAAGTTGGTGTTCCTCTAGACTTGGGACAGTGTTCTCGGGGCATCTCTGGAGTTGCCTGAAGGAAGTCGAGCCACCGGTCGTGTTGAATGGGGAACGGGGAATGGCTCTGGAGTCAATGCAGGGGAATCGGGCCTCATCTCGAGTTGATTTGGGGCACATGGAGCTGCTTTGCGTTGCTGGGGTGACCTCAGGGTCCGTCTAGACTGGTGACAGTGTTCTTGGGGACTGTCTCGAGATCCATTAAGCAAGTCGAAGCTCCTGACTTGTTTGAATGGGATCACGGAATAGCTCTGCATGCACTGCAGGGGAATGGGGCCTCATCTCGCCTCTAGGGGGAAGTCTCATGGTTTTTCTCGAGTTGCGGCGGGGACCTGGGGTATGTTCTCGACTTACGGCGGGGATGGCCCTTCAAAACACGAGTTTCTTCAGTGACGTCAGGACTCCTGTCTAGTAACGAGGGACACCTCAGGAATCTCTTCGAGGCTTGGCAGGGCCAAAGGGACGCTTCTCGAGGTGAGGCAGGGCACCCAAGGACCCTTTCCAGTAGCCACAGGGATTTTGGGATTCCTATCAGTATTCAAGAGGAGTCAGGCATCGTCACCTTTTGAAGCAATGAACTCCGCGTGCCTCTCGAGGTGTCAGCGGGATGTGAGGCATTCCGTCAAAATGAGGCAGGGACCTAGGGCTTTCTCTAAGGTCTCCACAGGGGATTCAGACATCCCTTCATGTTGTGAGATGAAAGACGAGCCTGTATTCAAGCCACTGCAAGGAAATCCGGCCTCCTTTCAAGTTAGGGCTTCTCGCTGTATATTCCCCTTGAGGCAGCAAACTCGGGGTCCCTCCCACATACCTATTGCTGAGAGAAGCCTCCTCCTGAGGTGCTTCTGGGAAGTTGGCATACGTCTTGAGCCTAAGCCAGGGAATCAGCTCGCATCTCGAGACGATTTGGGGTACACGGAGCATTCCTCGAGTTGCTGTGCTGAAGTTGGTGTTCCTCTAGACTTGGGACAGTGTTCTCGGGGCATCTCTGGAGTTGCCTGAAGGAAGTCGAGCCACCGGTCGTGTTGAATGGGGAACGGGGAATGGCTCTGGAGTCAATGCAGGGGAATCGGGCCTCATCTCGAGTTGATTTGGGGCACATGGAGCTGCTTTGCGTTGCTGGGGTGACCTCAGGGTCCGTCTAGACTGGTGACAGTGTTCTTGGGGACTGTCTCGAGATCCATTAAGCAAGTCGAAGCTCCTGACTTGTTTGAATGGGATCACGGAATAGCTCTGCATGCACTGCAGGGGAATGGGGCCTCATCTCGCCTCTAGGGGGAAGTCTCATGGTTTTTCTCGAGTTGCGGCGGGGACCTGGGGTATGTTCTCGACTTACGGCGGGGATGGCCCTTCAAAACACGAGTTTCTTCAGTGACGTCAGGACTCCTGTCTAGTAACGAGGGACACCTCAGGAATCTCTTCGAGGCTTGGCAGGGCCAAAGGGACGCTTCTCGAGGTGAGGCAGGGCACCCAAGGACCCTTTCCAGTAGCCACAGGGATTTTGGGATTCCTATCAGTATTCAAGAGGAGTCAGGCATCGTCACCTTTTGAAGCAATGAACTCCGCATGCCTCTCGAGGTGTCAGCGGGATGTGAGGCATTCCGTCAAAATGAGGCAGGGACCTAGGGCTTTCTCTAAGGTCTCCACAGGGGATTCAGACATCCCTTCATGTTGTGAGATGAAAGACGAGCCTGTATTCAAGCCACTGCAAGGAAATCCGGCCTCCTTTCAAGTCAGGGCTTCTCGCTGTATATTCCCCTTGAGGCAGCAAACTCGGGGTCCCTCCCACATACCTATTGCTGAGAGAAGCCTCCTCCTGAGGTGCTTCTGGGAAGTTGGCATACGTCTTGAGCCTAAGCCAGGGAATCAGCTCGCATCTCGAGACGATTTGGGGTACACGGAGCATTCCTCGAGTTGCTGTGCTGAAGTTGGTGTTCCTCTAGACTTGGGACAGTGTTCTCGGGGCATCTCCGGAGTTGCCTGAAGGAAGTCGAGCCACCGGTCGTGTTGAATGGGGAACGGGGAATGGCTCTGGAGTCAATGCAGGGGAATCGGGCCTCATCTCGAGTTGATTTGGGGCACATGGAGCTGCTTTGCGTTGCTGGGGTGACCTCAGGGTCCGTCTAGACTGGTGACAGTGTTCTTGGGGACTGTCTCGAGATCCATTAAGCAAGTCGAAGCTCCTGACTTGTTTGAATGGGATCACGGAATAGCTCTGCATGCACTGCAGGGGAATGGGGCCTCATCTCGCCTCTAGGGGGAAGTCTCATGGTTTTTCTCGAGTTGCGGCGGGGACCTGGGGTATGTTCTCGACTTACGGCGGGGATGGCTCTTCAAAACACGAGTTTCTTCAGTGACGTCAGGACTCCTGTCTAGTAACGAGGGACACCTCAGGAATCTCTTCGAGGCTTGGCAGGGCCAAAGGGACGCTTCTCGAGGTGAGGCAGGGCACCCAAGGACCCTTTCCAGTAGCCACAGGGATTTTGGGATTCCTATCAGTATTCAAGAGGAGTCAGGCATCGTCACCTTTTGAAGCAATGAACTCCGCGTGCCTCTCGAGGTGTCAGCGGGATGTGAGGCATTCCGTCAAAATGAGGCAGGGACCTAGGGCTTTCTCTAAGGTCTCCACAGGGGATTCAGACATCCCTTCATGTTGTGAGATGAAAGACGAGCCTGTATTCAAGCCACTGCAAGGAAATCCGGCCTCCTTTCAAGTTAGGGCTTCTCGCTGTATATTCCCCTTGAGGCAGCAAACTCGGGGTCCCTCCCACATACCTATTGCTGAGAGAAGCCTCCTCCTGAGGTGCTTCTGGGAAGTTGGCATACGTCTTGAGCCTAAGCCAGGGAATCAGCTCGCATCTCGAGACGATTTGGGGTACACGGAGCATTCCTCGAGTTGCTGTGCTGAAGTTGGTGTTCCTCTAGACTTGGGACAGTGTTCTCGGGGCATCTCTGGAGTTGCCTGAAGGAAGTCGAGCCACCGGTCGTGTTGAATGGGGAACGGGGAATGGCTCTGGAGTCAATGCAGGGGAATCGGGCCTCATCTCGAGTTGATTTGGGGCACATGGAGCTGCTTTGCATTGCTGGGGTGACCTCAGGGTCCGTCTAGACTGGTGACAGTGTTCTTGGGGACTGTCTCGTGATCCATTAAGCAAGTCGAAGCTCCTGACTTGTTTGAATGGGATCACGGAATAGCTCTGCATGCACTGCAGGGGAATGGGGCCTCATCTCGCCTCTAGGGGGAAGTCTCATGGTTTTTCTCGAGTTGCGGCGGGGACCTGGGGTATGTTCTCGACTTACGGCGGGGATGGCCCTTCAAAACACGAGTTTCTTCAGTGACGTCAGGACTCCTGTCTAGTAACGAGGGACACCTCAGGAATCTCTTCGAGGCTTGGCAGGGCCAAAGGGACGCTTCTCGAGGTGAGGCAGGGCACCCAAGGACCCTTTCCAGTAGCCACAGGGATTTTGGGATTCCTATCAGTATTCAAGAGGAGTCAGGCATCGTCACCTTTTGAAGCAATGAACTCCGCGTGCCTCTCGAGGTGTCAGCGGGATGTGAGGCATTCCGTCAAAATGAGGCAGGGACCTAGGGCTTTCTCTAAGGTCTCCACAGGGGATTCAGACATCCCTTCATGTTGTGAGATGAAAGACGAGCCTGTATTCAAGCCACTGCAAGGAAATCCGGCCTCCTTTCAAGTTAGGGCTTCTCGCTGTATATTCCCCTTGAGGCAGCAAACTCGGGGTCCCTCCCACATACCTATTGCTGAGAGAAGCCTCCTCCTGAGGTGCTTCTGGGAAGTTGGCATACGTCTTGAGCCTAAGCCAGGGAATCAGCTCGCATCTCGAGACGATTTGGGGTACACGGAGCATTCCTCGAGTTGCTGTGCTGAAGTTGGTGTTCCTCTAGACTTGGGACAGTGTTCTCGGGGCATCTCTGGAGTTGCCTGAAGGAAGTCGAGCCACCGGTCGTGTTGAATGGGGAACGGGGAATGGCTCTGGAGTCAATGCAGGGGAATCGGGCCTCATCTCGAGTTGATTTGGGGCACATGGAGCTGCTTTGCGTTGCTGGGGTGACCTCAGGGTCCGTCTAGACTGGTGACAGTGTTCTTGGGGACTGTCTCGAGATCCATTAAGCAAGTCGAAGCTCCTGACTTGTTTGAATGGGATCACGGAATAGCTCTGCATGCACTGCAGGGGAATGGGGCCTCATCTCGCCTCTAGGGGGAAGTCTCATGGTTTTTCTCGAGTTGCGGCGGGGATCTGGGGTATGTTCTCGACTTACGGCGGGGATGGCCCTTCAAAACACGAGTTTCTTCAGTGACGTCAGGACTCCTGTCTAGTAACGAGGGACACCTCAGGAATCTCTTCGAGGCTTGGCAGGGCCAAAGGGACGCTTCTCGAGGTGAGGCAGGGCACCCAAGGACCCTTTCCAGTAGCCACAGGGATTTTGGGATTCCTATCAGTATTCAAGAGGAGTCAGGCATCGTCACCTTTTGAAGGAATGAACTCCGCGTGCCTCTCGAGGTGTCAGCAGGATGTGAGGCATTCCGTCAAAATGAGGCAGGGACCTAGGGCTTTCTCTAAGGTCTCCACAGGGGATTCAGACATCCCTTCATGTTGTGAGATGAAAGACGAGCCTGTATTCAAGCCACTGCAAGGAAATCCGGCCTCCTTTCAAGTTAGGGCTTCTCGCTGTATATTCCCCTTGAGGCAGCAAACTCGGGGTCCCTCCCACATACCTATTGCTGAGAGAAGCCTCCTCCTGAGGTGCTTCTGGGAAGTTGGCATACGTCTTGAGCCTAAGCCAGGGAATCAGCTCGCATCTCGAGATGATTTGGGGTACACGGAGCATTCCTTGAGTTGCTGTGCTGAAGTTGGTGTTCCTCTAGTCTTGGGACAGTGTTCTCGGGGCATCTCTGGAGTTGCGTGAAGGAAGTCGAGCCACCGGTCGTGTTGAATGGGGAACGGGGAATGGCTCTGGAGTCAATGCAGGGGAATCGGGCCTCATCTCGAGTTGATTTCGGGCACATGGAGCTGCTTTGCGTTGCTGGGGTGACCTCAGGGTCCGTCTAGACTGGTGACAGTGTTCTTGGGGACTCTCTCAAGATCCATTAAGCAAGTCGAAGCTCCTGACTTGTTTGAATGGGGTCACGGAATAGCTCTGCATGCACTGCAGGGGAATGGGGCCTCATCTCGCCTCTAGGGGGAAGTCTCATGGTTTTTCTCGAGTTGCGGCGGGGACCTGGGGTATGTTCTCGACTTACGGCGGGGATGGCCCTTCAAAACACGAGTTTCTTCAGTGACGTCAGGACTCCTGTCTAGTAACGAGGGACACCTCAGGAATCTCTTCGAGGCTTGGCAGGGCCAAAGGGACGCTTCTCGAGGTGAGGCAGGGCACCCAAGGACCCTTTCCAGTAGCCACAGGGATTTTGGGATTCCTATCAGTATTCAAGAGGAGTCAGGCATCGTCACCTTTTGAAGCAATGAACTCCGCGTGCCTCTCGAGGTGTCAGCGGGATGTGAGGCATTCCGTCAAAATGAGGCAGGGACCTAGGGCTTTCTCTAAGGTCTCCACAGGGGATTCAGACATCCCTTCATGTTGTGAGATGAAAGACGAGCCTGTATTCAAGCCACTGCAAGGAAATCCGGCCTCCTTTCAAGTTAGGGCTTCTCGCTGTATATTCCCCTTGAGGCAGCAAACTCGGGGTCCCTCCCACATACCTATTGCTGAGAGAAGCCTCCTCCTGAGGTGCTTCTGGGAAGTTGGCATACGTCTTGAGCCTAAGCCAGGGAATCAGCTCGCATCTCGAGACGATTTGGGGTACACGGAGCATTCCTCGAGTTGCTGTGCTGAAGTTGGTGTTCCTCTAGACTTGGGACAGTGTTCTCGGGGCATCTCTGGAGTTGCCTGAAGGAAGTCGAGCCACCGGTCGTGTTGAATGGGGAACGGGGAATGGCTCTGGAGTCAATGCAGGGGAATCGGGCCTCATCTCGAGTTGATTTGGGGCACATGGAGCTGCTTTGCGTTGCTGGGGTGACCTCAGGGTCCGTCTAGACTGGTGACAGTGTTCTTGGGGACTGTCTCGAGATCCATTAAGCAAGTCGAAGCTCCTGACTTGTTTGAATGGGATCACGGAATAGCTCTGCATGCACTGCAGGGGAATGGGGCCTCATCTCGCCTCTAGGGGGAAGTCTCATGGTTTTTCTCGAGTTGCGGCGGGGACCTGGGGTATGTTCTCGACTTACGGCGGGGATGGCCCTTCAAAACACGAGTTTCTTCAGTGACGTCAGGACTCCTGTCTAGTACCGAGGGACACCTCAGGAATCTCTTCGAGGCTTGGCAGGGCCAAAGGGACGCTTCTCGAGGTGAGGCAGGGCACCCAAGGACCCTTTCCAGTAGCCACAGGGATTTTGGGATTCCTATCAGTATTCAAGAGGAGTCAGGCATCGTCACCTTTTGAAGCAATGAACTCCGCGTGCCTCTCGAGGTGTCAGCGGGATGTGAGGCATTCCGTCAAAATGAGGCAGGGACCTAGGGCTTTCTCTAAGGTCTCCACAGGGGATTCAGACATCCCTTCATGTTGTGAGATGAAAGACGAGCCTGTATTCAAGCCACTGCAAGGAAATCCGGCCTCCTTTCAAGTTAGGGCTTCTCGCTGTATATTCCCCTTGAGGCAGCAAACTCGGGGTCCCTCCCACATACCTATTGCTGAGAGAAGCCTCCTCCTGAGGTGCTTCTGGGAAGTTGGCATACGTCTTGAGCCTAAGCCAGGGAATCAGCTCTCATCTCGAGACGATTTGGGGTACACAGAGCATTTCTCGAGTTGCTGTGCTGAAGTTGGTGTTCCTCTAGACTTGGGACAGTGTTCTCGGGGCATCTCTGGAGTTGCCTGAAGGAAGTCGAGCCACCGGTCGTGTTGAATGGGGAACGGGGAATGGCTCTGGAGTCAATGCAGGGGAATCGGGCCTCATCTCGAGTTGATTTGGGGCACATGGAGCTGCTTTGCGTTGCTGGGGTGACCTCAGGGTCCGTCTAGACTGGTGACAGTGTTCTTGGGGACTGTCTCGAGATCCATTAAGCAAGTCGAAGCTCCTGACTTGTTTGAATGGGGTCACGGAATAGCTCTGCATGCACTGCAGGGGAATGGGGCCTCATCTTGCCTCTAGGGGGAAGTCTCATGGTTTTTCTCGAGTTGCGGCGGGGACCTGGGGTATGTTCTCGACTTACGGCGGGGATGGCCCTTCAAAACACGAGTTTCTTCAGTGACGTCAGGACTCCTGTCTAGTAACGAGGGACACCTCAGGAATCTCTTCGAGGCTTGGCAGGGCCAAAGGGACGCTTCTCGAGGTGAGGGAGGGCACCCAAGGACCCTTTCCAGTAGCCACAGGGATTTTGGGATTCCTATCAGTATTCAAGAGGAGTCAGGCATCGTCACATTTTGAAGCAATGAACTCCGCGTGCCTCTCGAGGTGTCAGCGGGATGTGAGGCATTCCGTCAAAATGAGGCAGGGACCTAGGGCTTTCTCTAAGGTCTCCACAGGGGATTCAGACATCCCTTCATGTTGTGAGATGAAAGACGAGCCTGTATTCAAGCCACTGCAAGGAAATCCGGCCTCCTTTCAAGTTAGGGCTTCTCGCTGTATATTCCCCTTGAGGCAGCAAACTCGGGGTCCCTCCCACATACCTATTGCTGAGAGAAGCCTCCTCCTGAGGTGCTTCTGGGAAGTTGGCATACGTCTTGAGCCTAAGCCAGGGAATCAGCTCGCATCTCGAGACGATTTGGGGTACACGGAGCATTCCTCGAGTTGCTGTGCTGAAGTTGGTGTTCCTCTAGACTTGGGACAGTGTTCTCGGGGCATCTCTGGAGTTGCCTGAAGGAAGTCGACCCACCGGTCGTGTTGAATGGGGAACGGGGAATGGCTCTGGAGTCAATGCAGGGGAATCGGGCCTCATCTCGAGTTGATTTGGGGCACATGGAGCTGCTTTGCGTTGCTGGGGTGACCTCAGGGTCCGTCTAGACTGGTGACAGTGTTCTTGGGGACTGTCTCGAGATCCATTAAGCAAGTAGAAGGTCCTGACTTGTTTGAATGGGATCACGGAATAGCTCTGCATGCACTGCAGGGGAATGGGGCCTCATCTCGCCTCTAGGGGGAAGTCTCATGGTTTTTCTCGAGTTGCGGCGGGGACCTGGGGTATGTTCTCGACTTACGGCGGGGATGGCCCTTCAAAACACGAGTTTCTTCAGTGACGTCAGGACTCCTGTCTAGTAACGAGGGACACCTCAGGAATCTCTTCGAGGCTTGGCAGGGCCAAAGGGACGCTTCTCGAGGTGAGGCAGGGCACCCAAGGACCCTTTCCGGTAGCCACAGGGATTTTGGGATTCCTATCAGTATTCAAGAGGAGTCAGGCATCGTCACCTTTTGAAGCAATGAACTCCGCGTGCCTCTCGAGGTGTCAGCGGGATGTGAGGCATTCCGTCAAAATGAGGCAGGGACCTAGGGCTTTCTCTAAGGTCTCCACAGGGGATTCAGACATCCCTTCATGTTGTGAGATGAAAGACGAGCCTGTATTCAAGCCACTGCAAGGAAATCCGGCCTCCTTTCAAGTTAGGGCTTCTCGCTGTATATTCCCCTTGAGGCAGCAAACTCGGGGTCCCTCCCACATACCTATTGCTGAGAGAAGCCTCCTCCTGAGGTGCTTCTGGGAAGTTGGCATACGTCTTGAGCCTAAGCCAGGGAATCAGCTCTCATCTCGAGACGATTTGGGGTACACGGAGCATTCCTCGAGTTGCTGTGCTGAAGTTGGTGTTCCTCTAGACTTGGGACAGTGTTCTCGGGGCATCTCTGGAGTTGCCTGAAGGAAGTCGAGCCACCGGTCGTGTTGAATGGGGAACGGGGAATGGCTCTGGAGTCAATGCAGGGGAATCGGGCCTCATCTCGAGTTGATTTGGGGCACATGGAGCTGCTTTGCGTTGCTGGGGTGACCTCAGGGTCCGTCTAGACTGGTGACAGTGTTCTTGGGGACTGTCTCGAGATCCATTAAGCAAGTCGAAGCTCCTGACTTGTTTGAATGGGGTCACGGAATAGCTCTGCATGCACTGCAGGGGAATGGGGCCTCATCTCGCCTCTAGGGGGAAGTCTCATGGTTTTTCTCGAGTTGCGGCGGGGACCTGGGGTATGTTCTCGACTTACGGCGGGGATGGCCCTTCAAAACACGAGTTTCTTCAGTGACGTCAGGACTCCTGTCTAGTAACGAGGGACACCTCAGGAATCTCTTCGAGGCTTGGCAGGGCCAAAGGGACGCTTCTCGAGGTGAGGCAGGGCACCCAAGGACCCTTTCCAGTAGCCACAGGGATTTTGGGATTCCTATCAGTATTCAAGAGGAGTCAGGCATCGTCACCTTTTGAAGCAATGAACTCCGCGTGCCTCTCGAGGTGTCAGCGGGATGTGAGGCATTCCGTCAAAATGAGCCAGGGACCTAGGGCTTTCTCTAAGGTCTCCACAGGGGATTCAGACATCCCTTCATGTTGTGAGATGAAAGACGAGCCTGTATTCAAGCCACTGCAAGGAAATCCGGCCTCCTTTCAAGTTAGGGCTTCTCGCTGTATATTCCCCTTGAGGCAGCAAACTCGGGGTCCCTCCCACATACCTATTGCTGAGAGAAGCCTCCTCCTGAGGTGCTTCTGGGAAGTTGGCATACGTCTTGAGCCTAAGCCAGGGAATCAGCTCGCATCTCGAGACGATTTGGGGTACACGGAGCATTCCTCGAGTTGCTGTGCTGAAGTTGGTGTTCCTCTAGACTTGGGACAGTGTTCTCGGGGCATCTCTGGAGTTGCCTGAAGGAAGTCGAGCCACCGGTCGTGTTGAATGGGGAACAGGGAATGTCTCTGGAGTCAATGCAGGGGAATCGGGCCTCATCTCGAGTTGATTTGGGGCACATGGAGCTGCTTTGCGTTGCTGGGGTGACCTCAGGGTCCGTCTAGACTGGTGACAGTGTTCTTGGGGACTGTCTCGAGATCCATTAAGCAAGTCGAAGCTCCTGACTTGTTTGAATGGGATCACGGAATAGCTCTGCATGCACTGCAGGGGAATGGGGCCTCATCTCGCCTCTAGGGGGAAGTCTCATGGTTTTTCTCGAGTTGCGGCGGGGACCTGGGGTATGTTCTCGACTTACGGCGGGGATGGCCCTTCAAAACACGAGTTTCTTCAGTGACGTCAGGACTCCTGTCTAGTAACGAGGGACACCTCAGGAATCTCTTCGAGGCTTGGCAGGGCCAAAGGGACGCTTCTCGAGGTGAGGCAGGGCACCCAAGGACCCTTTCCAGTAGCCACAGGGATTTTGGGATTCCTATCAGTATTCAAGAGGAGTCAGGCATCGTCACCTTTTGAAGCAATGAACTCCGCGTGCCTCTCGAGGTGTCAGCGGGATGTGAGGCATTCCGTCAAAATGAGGCAGGGACCTAGGGCTTTCTCTAAGGTCTCCACAGGGGATTCAGACATCCCTTCATGTTGTGAGATGAAAGACGAGCCTGTATTCAAGCCACTGCAAGGAAATCTGGCCTCCTTTCAAGTTAGGGCTTCTCGCTGTATATTCCCCTTGAGGCAGCAAACTCGGGGTCCCTCCCACATACCTATTGCTGAGAGAAGCCTCCTCCTGAGGTGCTTCTGGGAAGTTGGCATACGTCTTGAGCCTAAGCCAGGGAATCAGCTCGCATCTTGAGACGATTTGGGGTACACGGAGCATTCCTCGAGTTGCTGTGCTGAAGTTGGTGTTCCTCTAGACTTGGGACAGTGTTCTCGGGGCATCTCTGGAGTTGCCTGAAGGAAGTCGAGCCACCGGTCGTGTTGAATGGGGAACGGGGAATGGCTCTGGAGTCAATGCAGGGGAATCGGGCCTCATCTCGAGTTGATTTGGGGCACATGGAGCTGCTTTGCGTTGCTGGGGTGACCTCAGGGTCCGTCTAGACTGGTGACAGTGTTCTTGGGGACTGTCTCGAGATCCATTAAGCAAGTCGAAGCTCCTGACTTGTTTGAATGGGATCACGGAATAGCTCTGCATGCACTGCAGGGGAATGGGGCCTCATCTCGCCTCTAGGGGGAAGTCTCATGGTTTTTCTCGAGTTGCGGCGGGGACCTGGGGTATGTTCTCGACTTACGGCGGGGATGGCCCTTCAAAACACGAGTTTCTTCAGTGACGTCAGGACTCCTGTCTAGTAACGAGGGACACCTCAGGAATCTCTTCGAGGCTTGGCAGGGCCAAAGGGACGCTTCTCGAGGTGAGGCAGGGCACCCAAGGACCCTTTCCAGTAGCCACAGGGATTTTGGGATTCCTATCAGTATTCAAGAGGAGTCAGGCATCGTCACCTTTTGAAGCAATGAACTCCGCGTGACTCTCGAGGTGTCAGCGGGATGTGAGGCATTCCGTCAAAATGAGGCAGGGATCTAGGGCTTTCTCTAAGGTCTCCACAGGGGATTCAGACATCCCTTCATGTTGTGAGATGAAAGACGAGCCTGTATTCAAGCCACTGCAAGGAAATCCGGCCTCCTTTCAAGTTAGGGCTTCTCGCTGTATATTCCCCTTGAGGCAGCAAACTCGGGGTCCCTCCCACATACCTATTGCTGAGAGAAGCCTCCTCCTGAGGTGCTTCTGGGAAGTTGGCATACGTCTTGAGCCTAAGCCAGGGAATCAGCTCGCATCTCGAGACGATTTGGGGTAGACGGAGCATTCCTCGAGTTGCTGTGCTGAAGTTGGTGTTCCTCTAGACTTGGGACAGTGTTCTCGGGGCATCTCTGGAGTTGCCTGAAGGAAGTCGAGCCACCGGTCGTGTTGAATGGGGAACGGGGAATGGCTCTGGAGTCAATGCAGGGGAATCGGGCCTCATCTCGAGTTGATTTGGGGCACATGGAGCTGCTTTGCGTTGCTGGGGTGACCTCAGGGTCCGTCTAGACTGGTGACAGTGTTCTTGGGGACTGTCTCGAGATCCATTAAGCAAGTCGAAGCTCCTGACTTGTTTGAATGGGATCACGGAATAGCTCTGCATGCACTGCAGGGGAATGGGGCCTCATCTCGCCTCTAGGGGGAAGTCTCATGGTTTTTCTCGAGTTGCGGCGGGGACCTGGGGTATGTTCTCGACTTACGGCGGGGATGGCCCTTCAAAACACGAGTTTCTTCAGTGACGTCAGGACTCCTGTCTAGTAACGAGGGACACCTCAGGAATCTCTTCGAGGCTTGGCAGGGCCAAAGGGACGCTTCTCGAGGTGAGGCAGGGCACCCAAGGACCCTTTCCAGTAGCCACAGGGATTTTGGGATTCCTATCAGTATTCAAGAGGAGTCAGGCATCGTCACCTTTTGAAGCAATGAACTCCGCGTGCCTCTCGAGGTGTCAGCGGGATGTGAGGCATTCCGTCAAAATGAGGCAGGGACCTAGGGCTTTCTCTAAGGTCTCCACAGGGGATTCAGACATCCCTTCATGTTGTGAGATGAAAGACGAGCCTGTATTCAAGCCACTGCAAGGAAATCCGGCCTCCTTTCAAGTTAGGGCTTCTCGCTGTATATTCCCCTTGAGGCAGCAAACTCGGGGTCCCTCCCACATACCTATTGCTGAGAGAAGCCTCCTCCTGAGGTGCTTCTGGGAAGTTGGCATACGTCTTGAGCCTAAGCCAGGGAATCAGCTCGCATCTCGAGATGATTTGGGGTACACGGAGCATTCCTCGAGTTGCTGTGCTGAAGTTGGTGTTCCTCTAGACTTGGGACAGTGTTCTTGGGGCATCTCCGGAGTTGCCTGAAGGAAGTCGAGCCACCGGTCGTGTTGAATGGGGAACGGGGAATGGCTCTGGAGTCAATGCAGGGGAATCGGGCCTCATCTCGAGTTGATTTGGGGCACATGGAGCTGCTTTGCGTTGCTGGGGTGACCTCAGGGTCCGTCTAGACTGGTGACAGTGTTCTTGGAGACTGTCTCAAGATCCATTAAGCAAGTCGAAGCTCCTGACTTGTTTGAATGGGATCACGGAATAGCTCTGCATGCACTGCAGGGGAATGGGGCCTCATCTCGCCTCTAGGGGGAAGTCTCATGGTTTTTCTCGAGTTGCGGCGGGGACCTGGGGTATGTTCTCGACTTACGGCGGGGATGGCCCTTCAAAACACGAGTTTCTTCAGTGACGTCAGGACTCCTGTCTAGTAACGAGGGACACCTCAGGAATCTCTTCGAGGCTTGGCAGGGCCAAAGGGACGCTTCTCGAGGTGAGGCAGGGCACCCAAGAACCCTTTCCAGTAGCCACAGGGATTTTGGGATTCCTATCAGTATTCAAGAGGAGTCAGGCATCGTCACCTTTTGAAGCAATGAACTCCGCGTGCCTCTCGAGGTGTCAGCGGGATGTGAGGCATTCCGTCAAAATGAGGCAGGGACCTAGGGCTTTCTCTAAGGTCTCCACAGGGGATTCAGACATCCCTTCATGTTGTGAGATGAAAGACGAGCCTGTATTCAAGCCACTGCAAGGAAATCCGGCCTCCTTTCAAGTTAGGGCTTCTCGCTGTATATTCCCCTTGAGGCAGCAAACTCGGGGTCCCTCCCACATACCTATTGCTGAGAGACGCCTCCTCCTGAGGTGCTTCTGGGAAGTTGGCATACGTCTTGAGCCTAAGCCAGGGAATCAGCTCGCATCTCGAGACGATTTGGTGTAGACGGAGCATTCCTCGAGTTGCTGTGCTGAAGTTGGTGTTCCTCTAGACTTGGGACAGTGTTCTCGGGGCATCTCTGGAGTTGCCTGAAGGAAGTCGAGCCACCGGTCGTGTTGAATGGGGAACGGGGAATGGCTCTGGATTCAATGCAGGGGAATCGGGCCTCATCTCGAGTTGATTTGGGGCACATGGAGCTGCTTTGCGTTGCTGGGGTGACCTCAGGGTCCGTCTAGACTGGTGACAGTGTTCTTGGGGACTGTCTCGAGATCCATTAAGCAAGTCGAAGCTCCTGACTTGTTTGAATGGGATCACGGAATAGCTCTGCATGCACTGCAGGGGAATGGGGCCTCATCTCGCCTCTAGGGGGAAGTCTCATGGTTTTTCTCGAGTTGCGGCGGGGACCTGGGGTATGTTCTCGACTTACGGCGGGGATGGCCCTTCAAAACACGAGTTTCTTCAGTGACGTCAGGACTCCTGTCTAGTAACGAGGGACACCTCAGGAATCTCTTCGAGGCTTGGCAGGGCCAAAGGGACGCTTCTCGAGGTGAGGCAGGGCACCCAAGGACCCTTTCCAGTAGCCACAGGGATTTTGGGATTCCTATCAGTATTCAAGAGGAGTCAGGCATCGTCACCTTTTGAAGCAATGAACTCCGCGTGCCTCTCGAGGTGTCAGCGGGATGTGAGGCATTCCGTCAAAATGAGGCAGGGACCTAGGGCTTTCTCTAAGGTCTCCACAGGGGATTCAGACATCCCTTCATGTTGTGAGATGAAAGACGAGCCTGTATTCAAGCCACTGCAAGGAAATCCGGCCTCCTTTCAAGTTAGGGCTTCTCGCTGTATATTCCCCTTGAGGCAGCAAACTCGGGGTCCCTCCCACATACCTATTGCTGAGAGAAGCCTCCTCCTGAGGTGCTTCTGGGAAGTTGGCATACGTCTTGAGCCTAAGCCAGGGAATCAGCTCGCATCTCGAATCGATTTGGGGTACACGGAGCATTCCTCGAGTTGCTGTGCTGAAGTTGGTGTTCCTCTAGACTTGGGACAGTGTTCTCGGGGCATCTCCGGAGTTGCCTGAAGGAAGTCGAGCCACCGGTCGTGTTGAATGGGGAACGGGGAATGGCTCTGGAGTCAATGCAGGGGAATCGGGCCTCATCTCGAGTTGATTTGGGGCACATGGAGCTGCTTTGCGTTGCTGGGGTGACCTCAGGGTCCGTCTAGACTGGTGACAGTGTTCTTGGGGACTGTCTCGAGATCCATTAAGCAAGTCGAAGCTCCTGACTTGTTTGAATAGGATCACGGAATAGCTCTGCATGCACTGCAGGGGAATGGGGCCTCATCTCGCCTCTAGGGGGAAGTCTCATGGTTTTTCTCGAGTTGCGGCGGGGACCTGGGGTATATTCTCGACTTACGGCGGGGATGGCCCTTCAAAACACGAGTTTCTTCAGTGACGTCAGGACTCCTGTCTAGTAACGAGGGACACCTCAGGAATCTCTTCGAGGCTTGGCAGGGCCAAAGGGACGCTTCTCGAGGTGAGGCAGGGCACCCAAGGACCCTTTCCAGTAGCCACAGGGATTTTGGGATTCCTATCAGTATTCAAGAGGAGTCAGGCATCGTCACCTTTTGAAGCAATGAACTCCGCGTGCCTCTCGAGGTGTCAGCGGGATGTGAGGCATTCCGTCAAAATGAGGCAGGGACCTAGGGCTTTCTCTAAGGTCTCCACAGGGGATTCAGACATCCCTTCATGTTGTGAGATGAAAGACGAGCCTGTATTCAAGCCACTGCAAGGAAATCCGGCCTCCTTTCAAGTTAGGGCTTCTCGCTGTATATTCCCCTTGAGGCAGCAAACTCGGGGTCCCTCCCACATACCTATTGCTGAGAGACGCCTCCTCCTGAGGTGCTTCTGGGAAGTTGGCATACGTCTTGAGCCTAAGCCAGGGAATCAGCTCGCATCTCGAGACGATTTGGTGTAGACGGAGCATTCCTCGAGTTGCTGTGCTGAAGTTGGTGTTCCTCTAGACTTGGGACAGTGTTCTCGGGGCATCTCTGGAGTTGCCTGAAGGAAGTCGAGCCACCGGTCGTGTTGAATGGGGAACGGGGAATGGCTCTGGATTCAATGCAGGGGAATCGGGCCTCATCTCGAGTTGATTTGGGGCACATGGAGCTGCTTTGCGTTGCTGGGGTGACCTCAGGGTCCGTCTAGACTGGTGACAGTGTTCTTGGGGACTGTCTCGAGATCCATTAAGCAAGTCGAAGCTCCTGACTTGTTTGAATGGGATCACGGAATAGCTCTGCATGCACTGCAGGGGAATGGGGCCTCATCTCGCCTCTAGGGGGAAGTCTCATGGTTTTTCTCGAGTTGCGGCGGGGACCTGGGGTATGTTCTCGACTTACGGCGGGGATGGCCCTTCAAAACACGAGTTTCTTCAGTGACGTCAGGACTCCTGTCTAGTAACGAGGGACACCTCAGGAATCTCTTCGAGGCTTGGCAGGGCCAAAGGGACGCTTCTCGAGGTGAGGCAGGGCACCCAAGGACCCTTTCCAGTAGCCACAGGGATTTTGGGATTCCTATCAGTATTCAAGAGGAGTCAGGCATCGTCACCTTTTGAAGCAATGAACTCCGCGTGCCTCTCGAGGTGTCAGCGGGATGTGAGGCATTCCGTCAAAATGAGGCAGGGACCTAGGGCTTTCTCTAAGGTCTCCACAGGGGATTCAGACATCCCTTCATGTTGTGAGATGAAAGACGAGCCTGTATTCAAGCCACTGCAAGGAAATCCGGCCTCCTTTCAAGTTAGGGCTTCTCGCTGTATATTCCCCTTGAGGCAGCAAACTCGGGGTCCCTCCCACATACCTATTGCTGAGAGAAGCCTCCTCCTGAGGTGCTTCTGGGAAGTTGGCATACGTCTTGAGCCTAAGCCAGGGAATCAGCTCGCATCTCGAATCGATTTGGGGTACACGGAGCATTCCTCGAGTTGCTGTGCTGAAGTTGGTGTTCCTCTAGACTTGGGACAGTGTTCTCGGGGCATCTCCGGAGTTGCCTGAAGGAAGTCGAGCCACCGGTCGTGTTGAATGGGGAACGGGGAATGGCTCTGGAGTCAATGCAGGGGAATCGGGCCTCATCTCGAGTTGATTTGGGGCACATGGAGCTGCTTTGCGTTGCTGGGGTGACCTCAGGGTCCGTCTAGACTGGTGACAGTGTTCTTGGGGACTGTCTCGAGATCCATTAAGCAAGTCGAAGCTCCTGACTTGTTTGAATAGGATCACGGAATAGCTCTGCATGCACTGCAGGGGAATGGGGCCTCATCTCGCCTCTAGGGGGAAGTCTCATGGTTTTTCTCGAGTTGCGGCGGGGACCTGGGGTATATTCTCAACTTACGGCGGGGATGGCCCTTCAAAACACGAGTTTCTTCAGTGACGTCAGGACTCCTGTCTAGTAACGAGGGACACCTCAGGAATCTCTTCGAGGCTTGGCAGGGCCAAAGGGACGCTTCTCGAGGTGAGGCAGGGCACCCAAGGACCCTTTCCAGTAGCCACAGGGATTTTGGGATTCCTATCAGTATTCAAGAGGAGTCAGGCATCGTCACCTTTTGAAGCAATGAACTCCGCGTGCCTCTCGAGGTGTCAGCGGGATGTGAGGCATTCCGTCAAAATGAGGCAGGGACCTAGGGCTTTCTCTAAGGTCTCCACAGGGGATTCAGACATCCCTTCATGTTGTGAGATGAAAGACGAGCCTGTATTCAAGCCACTGCAAGGAAATCCGGCCTCCTTTCAAGTTAGGGCTTCTCGCTGTATATTCCCCTTGAGGCAGCAAACTCGGGGTCCCTCCCACATACCTATTGCTGAGAGAAGCCTCCTCCTGAGGTGCTTCTGGGAAGTTGGCATACGTCTTGAGCCTAAGCCAGGGAATCAGCTCGCATCTCGAGACGATTTGGGGTACACGGAGCATTCCTCGAGTTGCTGTGCTGAAGTTGGTGTTCCTCTAGACTTGGGACAGTGTTCTCGGGGCATCTCTGGAGTTGCCTGAAGGAAGTCGAGCCACCGGTCGTGTTGAATGGGGAACGGGGAATGGCTCTGGAGTCAATGCAGGGGAATCGGGCCTCATCTCGAGTTGATTTGGGGCACATGGAGCTGCTTTGCGTTGCTGGGGTGACCTCAGGGTCCGTCTAGACTGGTGACAGTGTTCTTGGGGACTGTCTCGAGATCCATTAAGCAAGTCGAAGCTCCTGACTTGTTTGAATGGGATCACGGAATAGCTCTGCATGCACTGCAGGGGAATGGGGCCTCATCTCGCCTCTAGGGGGAAGTCTCATGGTTTTTCTCGAGTTGCGGCGGGGACCTGGGGTATGTTCTCGACTTACGGCGGGGATGGCCCTTCAAAACACGAGTTTCTTCAGTGACGTCAGGACTCCTGTCTAGTAACGAGGGACACCTCAGGAATCTCTTCGAGGCTTGGCAGGGCCAAAGGGACGCTTCTCGAGGTGAGGCAGGGCACCCAAGGACCCTTTCCAGTAGCCACAGGGATTTTGGGATTCCTATCAGTATTCAAGAGGAGTCAGGCATCGTCACCTTTTGAAGCAATGAACTCCGCGTGCCTCTCGAGGTGTCAGCGGGATGTGAGGCATTCCGTCAAAATGAGGCAGGGACCTAGGGCTTTCTCTAAGGTCTCCACAGGGGATTCAGACATCCCTTCATGTTGTGAGATGAAAGACGAGCCTGTATTCAAGCCACTGCAAGGAAATCCGGCCTCCTTTCAAGTTAGGGCTTCTCGCTGTATATTCCCCTTGAGGCAGCAAACTCGGGGTCCCTCCCACATACCTATTGCTGAGAGAAGCCTCCTCCTGAGGTGCTTCTGGGAAGTTGGCATACGTCTTGAGCCTAAGCCAGGGAATCAGCTCGCATCTCGAGACGATTTGGGGTACACGGAGCATTCCTCGAGTTGCTGTGCTGAAGTTGGTGTTCCTCTAGACTTGGGACAGTGTTCTCGGGGCATCTCCGGAGTTGCCTGAAGGAAGTCGAGCCACCGGTCGTGTTGAATGGGGAACGGGGAATGGCTCTGGAGTCAATGCAGGGGAATCGGGCCTCATCTCGAGTTGATTTGGGGCACATGGAGCTGCTTTGCGTTGCTGGGGTGACCTCAGGGTCCGTCTAGACTGGTGACAGTGTTCTTGGGGACTGTCTCGAGATCCATTAAGCAAGTCGAAGCTCCTGACTTGTTTGAATGGGATCACGGAATAGCTCTGCATGCACTGCAGGGGAATGGGGCCTCATCTCGCCTCTAGGGGGAAGTCTCATGGTTTTTCTCGAGTTGCGGCGGGGACCTGGGGTATGTTCTCGACTTACGGCGGGGATGGCCCTTCAAAACACGAGTTTCTTCAGTGACGTCAGGACTCCTGTCTAGTAACGAGGGACACCTCAGGAATCTCTTCGAGGCTTGGCAGGGCCAAAGGGACGCTTCTCGAGGTGAGGCAGGGCACCCAAGGACCCTTTCCAGTAGCCACAGGGATTTTGGGATTCCTATCAGTATTCAAGAGGAGTCAGGCATCGTCACCTTTTGAAGCAATGAACTCCGCGTGCCTCTCGAGGTGTCAGCGGGATGTGAGGCATTCCATCAAAATGAGGCAGGGACCTAGGGCTTTCTCTAAGGTCTCCACAGGGGATTCAGACATCCCTTCATGTTGTGAGATGAAAGACGAGCCTGTATTCAAGCCACTGCAAGGAAATCCGGCCTCCTTTCAAGTTAGGGCTTCTCGCTGTATATTCCCCTTGAGGCAGCAAACTCGGGGTCCCTCCCACATACCTATTGCTGAGAGAAGCCTCCTCCTGAGGTGCTTCTGGGAAGTTGGTATACGTCTTGAGCCTAAGCCAGGGAATCAGCTCGCATCTCGAGACGATTTGGGGTACACGGAGCATTCCTCGAGTTGCTGTGCTGAAGTTGGTGTTCCTCTAGACTTGGGACAGTGTTCTTGGGGCATCTCCGGAGTTGCCTGAAGGAAGTCGAGCCACCGGTCGTGTTGAATGGGGAACGGGGAATGGCTCTGGAGTCAATGCAGGGGAATCGGGCCTCATCTCGAGTTGATTTGGGGCACATGGAGCTGCTTTGCGTTGCTGGGGTGACCTCAGGGTCCGTCTAGACTGGTGACAGTGTTCTTGGGGACTGTCTCGAGATCCATTAAGCAAGTCGAAGCTCCTGACTTGTTTGAATGGGATCACGGAATAGCTCTGCATGCACTGCAGGGGAATGGGGCCTCATCTCGCCTCTAGGGGGAAGTCTCATGGTTTTTCTCGAGTTGCGGCGGGGACCTGGGGTATGTTCTCGACTTACGGCGGGGATGGCCCTTCAAAACACGAGTTTCTTCAGTGACGTCAGGACTCCTGTCTAGTAACGAGGGACACCTCAGGAATCTCTTCGAGGCTTGGCAGGGCCAAAGGGACGCTTCTCGAGGTGAGGCAGGGCACCCAAGAACCCTTTCCAGTAGCCACAGGGATTTTGGGATTCCTATCAGTATTCAAGAGGAGTCAGGCATCGTCACCTTTTGAAGCAATGAACTCCGCGTGCCTCTCGAGGTGTCAGCGGGATGTGAGGCATTCCGTCAAAATGAGCCAGGGACCTAGGGCTTTCTCTAAGGTCTCCACAGGGGATTCAGACATCCCTTCATGTTGTGAGATGAAAGACGAGCCTGTATTCAAGCCACTGCAAGGAAATCCGGCCTCCTTTCAAGTTAGGGCTTCTCGCTGTATATTCCCCTTGAGGCAGCAAACTCGGGGTCCCTCCCACATACCTATTGCTGAGAGAAGCCTCCTCCTGAGGTGCTTCTGGGAAGTTGGCATACGTCTTGAGCCTAAGCCAGGGAATCAGCTCGCATCTCGAGTCGATTTGGGGTACACGGAGCATTCCTCGAGTTGCTGTGCTGAAGTTGGTGTTCCTCTAGACTTGGGACAGTGTTCTCGGGGCATCTCTGGAGTTGCCTGAAGGAAGTCGAGCCACCGGTCGTGTTGAATGGGGAACGGGGAATGGCTCTGGAGTCAATGCAGGGGAATCGGGCCTCATCTCGAGTTGATTTGGGGCACATGGAGCTGCTTTGCGTTGCTGGGGTGACCTCAGGGTCCGTCTAGACTGGTGACAGTGTTCTTGGGGACTGTCTCGAGATCCATTAAGCAAGTCGAAGCTCCTGACTTGTTTGAATGGGATCACGGAATAGCTCTGCATGCACTGCAGGGGAATGGGGCCTCATCTCGCCTCTAGGGGGAAGTCTCATGGTTTTTCTCGAGTTGCGGCGGGGACCTGGGGTATGTTCTCGACTTACGGCGGGGATGGCCCTTCAAAACACGAGTTTCTTCAGTGACGTCAGGACTCCTGTCTAGTAACGAGGGACACCTCAGGAATCTCTTCGAGGCTTGGCAGGGCCAAAGGGACGCTTCTCGAGGTGAGGCAGGGCACCCAAGGACCCTTTCCAGTAGCCACAGGGATTTTGGGATTCCTATCAGTATTCAAGAGGAGTCAGGCATCGTCACCTTTTGAAGCAATGAACTCCGCGTGCCTCTCGAGGTGTCAGCGGGATGTGAGGCATTCCGTCAAAATGAGGCAGGGACCTAGGGCTTTCTCTAAGGTCTCCACAGGGGATTCAGACATCCCTTCATGTTGTGAGATGAAAGACGAGCCTGTATTCAAGCTACTGCAAGGAAATCCGGCCTCCTTTCAAGTTAGGGCTTCTCGCTGTATATTCCCCTTGAGGCAGCAAACTCGGGGTCCCTCCCACATACCTATTGCTGAGAGAAGCCTCCTCCTGAGGTGCTTCTGGGAAGTTGGCATACGTCTTGAGCCTAAGCCAGGGAATCAGCTCGCATCTCGAATCGATTTGGGGTACACGGAGCATTCCTCGAGTTGCTGTGCTGAAGTTGGTGTTCCTCTAGACTTGGGACAGTGTTCTCGGGGCATCTCCGGAGTTGCCTGAAGGAAGTCGAGCCACCGGTCGTGTTGAATGGGGAACGGGGAATGGCTCTGGAGTCAATGCAGGGGAATCGGGCCTCATCTCGAGTTGATTTGGGGCACATGGAGCTGCTTTGCGTTGCTGGGGTGACCTCAGGGTCCGTCTAGACTGGTGACAGTGTTCTTGGGGACTGTCTCGAGATCCATTAAGCAAGTCGAAGCTCCTGACTTGTTTGAATGGGATCACGGAATAGCTCTGCATGCACTGCAGGGGAATGGGGCCTCATCTCGCCTCTAGGGGGAAGTCTCATGGTTTTTCTCGAGTTGCGGCGGGGACCTGGGGTATGTTCTCGACTTACGGCGGGGATGGCCCTTCAAAACACGAGTTTCTTCAGTGACGTCAGGACTCCTGTCTAGTAACGAGGGACACCTCAGGAATCTCTTCGAGGCTTGGCAGGGCCAAAGGGACGCTTCTCGAGGTGAGGCAGGGCACCCAAGGACCCTTTCCAGTAGCCACAGGGATTTTGGGATTCCTATCAGTATTCAAGAGGAGTCAGGCATCGTCACCTTTTGAAGCAATGAACTCCGCGTGCCTCTCGAGGTGTCAGCGGGATGTGAGGCATTCCATCAAAATGAGGCAGGGACCTAGGGCTTTCTCTAAGGTCTCCACAGGGGATTCAGACATCCCTTCATGTTGTGAGATGAAAGACGAGCCTGTATTCAAGCCACTGCAAGGAAATCCGGCCTCCTTTCAAGTTAGGGCTTCTCGCTGTATATTCCCCTTGAGGCAGCAAACTCGGGGTCCCTCCCACATACCTATTGCTGAGAGAAGCCTCCTCCTGAGGTGCTTCTGGGAAGTTGGTATACGTCTTGAGCCTAAGCCAGGGAATCAGCTCGCATCTCGAGACGATTTGGGGTACACGGAGCATTCCTCGAGTTGCTGTGCTGAAGTTGGTGTTCCTCTAGACTTGGGACAGTGTTCTTGGGGCATCTCCGGAGTTGCCTGAAGGAAGTCGAGCCACCGGTCGTGTTGAATGGGGAACGGGGAATGGCTCTGGAGTCAATGCAGGGGAATCGGGCCTCATCTCGAGTTGATTTGGGGCACATGGAGCTGCTTTGCGTTGCTGGGGTGACCTCAGGGTCCGTCTAGACTGGTGACAGTGTTCTTGGGGACTGTCTCGAGATCCATTAAGCAAGTCGAAGCTCCTGACTTGTTTGAATGGGATCACGGAATAGCTCTGCATGCACTGCAGGGGAATGGGGCCTCATCTCGCCTCTAGGGGGAAGTCTCATGGTTTTTCTCGAGTTGCGGCGGGGACCTGGGTTATGTTCTCGACTTACGGCGGGGATGGCCCTTCAAAACACGAGTTTCTTCAGTGACGTCAGGACTCCTGTCTAGTAACGAGGGACACCTCAGGAATCTCTTCGAGGCTTGGCAGGGCCAAAGGGACGCTTCTCGAGGTGAGGCAGGGCACCCAAGAACCCTTTCCAGTAGCCACAGGGATTTTGGGATTCCTATCAGTATTCAAGAGGAGTCAGGCATCGTCACCTTTTGAAGCAATGAACTCCGCGTGCCTCTCGAGGTGTCAGCGGGATGTGAGGCATTCCGTCAAAATGAGCCAGGGACCTAGGGCTTTCTCTAAGGTCTCCACAGGGGATTCAGACATCCCTTCATGTTGTGAGATGAAAGACGAGCCTGTATTCAAGCCACTGCAAGGAAATCCGGCCTCCTTTCAAGTTAGGGCTTCTCGCTGTATATTCCCCTTGAGGCAGCAAACTCGGGGTCCCTCCCACATACCTATTGCTGAGAGAAGCCTCCTCCTGAGGTGCTTCTGGGAAGTTGGCATACGTCTTGAGCCTAAGCCAGGGAATCAGCTCGCATCTCGAGTCGATTTGGGGTACACGGAGCATTCCTCGAGTTGCTGTGCTGAAGTTGGTGTTCCTCTAGACTTGGGACAGTGTTCTCGGGGCATCTCTGGAGTTGCCTGAAGGAAGTCGAGCCACCGGTCGTGTTGAATGGGGAACGGGGAATGGCTCTGGAGTCAATGCAGGGGAATCGGGCCTCATCTCGAGTTGATTTGGGGCACATGGAGCTGCTTTGCGTTGCTGGGGTGACCTCAGGGTCCGTCTAGACTGGTGACAGTGTTCTTGGGGACTGTCTCGAGATCCATTAAGCAAGTCGAAGCTCCTGACTTGTTTGAATGGGATCACGGAATAGCTCTGCATGCACTGCAGGGGAATGGGGCCTCATCTCGCCTCTAGGGGGAAGTCTCATGGTTTTTCTCGAGTTGCGGCGGGGACCTGGGGTATGTTCTCGACTTACGGCGGGGATGGCCCTTCAAAACACGAGTTTCTTCAGTGACGTCAGGACTCCTGTCTAGTAACGAGGGACACCTCAGGAATCTCTTCGAGGCTTGGCAGGGCCAAAGGGACGCTTCTCGAGGTGAGGCAGGGCACCCAAGGACCCTTTCCAGTAGCCACAGGGATTTTGGGATTCCTATCAGTATTCAAGAGGAGTCAGGCATCGTCACCTTTTGAAGCAATGAACTCCGCGTGCCTCTCGAGGTGTCAGCGGGATGTGAGGCATTCCGTCAAAATGAGGCAGGGACCTAGGGCTTTCTCTAAGGTCTCCACAGGGGATTCAGACATCCCTTCATGTTGTGAGATGAAAGACGAGCCTGTATTCAAGCCACTGCAAGGAAATCCGGCCTCCTTTCAAGTTAGGGCTTCTCGCTGTATATTCCCCTTGAGGCAGCAAACTCGGGGTCCCTCCCACATACCTATTGCTGAGAGAAGCCTCCTCCTGAGGTGCTTCTGGGAAGTTGGCATACGTCTTGAGCCTAAGCCAGGGAATCAGCTCGCATCTCGAATCGATTTGGGGTACACGGAGCATTCCTCGAGTTGCTGTGCTGAAGTTGGTGTTCCTCTAGACTTGGGACAGTGTTCTCGGGGCATCTCCGGAGTTGCCTGAAGGAAGTCGAGCCACCGGTCGTGTTGAATGGGAACGGGGAATGGCTCTGGAGTCAATGCAGGGGAATCGGGCCTCATCTCGAGTTGATTTGGGGCACATGGAGCTGCTTTGCGTTGCTGGGGTGACCTCAGGGTCCGTCTAGACTGGTGACAGTGTTCTTGGGGACTGTCTCGAGATCCATTAAGCAAGTCGAAGCTCCTGACTTGTTTGAATGGGGTCACGGAATAGCTCTGCATGCACTGCAGGGGAATGGGGCCTCATCTCGCCTCTAGGGGGAAGTCTCATGGTTTTTCTCGAGTTGCGGCGGGGACCTGGGGTATGTTCTCGACTTACGGCGGGGATGGCCCTTCAAAACACGAGTTTCTTCAGTGACGTCAGGACTCCTGTCTAGTAACGAGGGACACCTCAGGAATCTCTTCGAGGCTTGGCAGGGCCCAAGGGACGCTTCTCGAGGTGAGGCAGGGCACCCAAGGACCCTTTCCAGTAGCCACAGGGATTTTGGGATTCCTATCAGTATTCAAGAGGAGTCAGGCATCGTCACCTTTTGAAGCAATGAACTCCGCGTGCCTCTCGAGGTGTCAGCGGGATGTGAGGCATCCCGTCAAAATGAGGCAGGGACCTAGGGCTTTCTCTAAGGTCTCCACAGGGGATTCAGACATCCCTTCATGTTGTGAGATGAAAGACGAGCCTGTATTCAAGCCACTGCAAGGAAATCCGGCCTCGTTTCAAGTTAGGGCTTCTCGCTGTATATTCCCCTTGAGGCAGCAAACTCGGGGTCCCTCCCACATACCTATTGCTGAGAGAAGCCTCCTCCTGAGGTGCTTCTGGGAAGTTGGCATACGTCTTGAGCCTAAGCCAGGGAATCAGCTCGCATCTCGAGATGATTTGGGGTACACGGAGCATTCCTCGAGTTGCTGTGCTGAAGTTGGTGTTCCTCTAGACTTGGGACAGTGTTCTCGGGGCATCTCCGGAGTTGCCTGAAGGAAGTCGAGCCACCGGTCGTGTTGAATGGGGAACGGGGAATGGCTCTGGAGTCAATGCAGGGGAATCGGGCCTCATCTCGAGTTGATTTGGGGCACATGGAGCTGCTTTGCGTTGCTGGGGTGACCTCAGGGTCCGTCTAGACTGGTGACAGTGTTCTTGGGGACTGTCTCGAGATCCATTAAGCAAGTCGAAGCTCCTGACTTGTTTGAATGGGATCACGGAATAGCTCTGCATGCACTGCAGGGGAATGGGGCCTCATCTCGCCTCTAGGGGGAAGTCTCATGGTTTTTCTCGAGTTGCGGCGGGGACCTGGGGTATGTTCTCGACTTACGGCGGGGATGGCCCTTCAAAACACGAGTTTCTTCAGTGACGTCAGGACTCCTGTCTAGTAACGAGTTACACCTCAGGAATCTCTTCGAGGCTTGGCAGGGCCAAAGGGACGCTTCTCGAGGTGAGGCAGGGCACCCAAGGACCCTTTCCAGTAGCCACAGGGATTTTGGGATTCCTATCAGTATTCAAGAGGAGTCAGGCATCGTCACCTTTTGAAGCAATGAACTCCGCGTGCCTCTCGAGGTGTCAGCGGGATGTGAGGCATCCCGTCAAAATGAGGCAGGGACCTAGGGCTTTCTCTAAGGTCTCCACAGGGGATTCAGACATCCCTTCATGTTGTGAGATGAAAGACGAGCCTGTATTCAAGCCACTGCAAGGAAATCCGGCCTCGTTTCAAGTTAGGGCTTCTCGCTGTATATTCCCCTTGAGGCAGCAAACTCGGGGTCCCTCCCACATACCTATTGCTGAGAGAAGCCTCCTCCTGAGGTGCTTCTGGGAAGTTGGCATACGTCTTGAGCCTAAGCCAGGGAATCAGCTCGCATCTCGAGATGATTTGGGGTACACGGAGCATTCCTCGAGTTGCTGTGATGAAGTTGGTGTTCCTCTAGACTTGGGACAGTGTTCTCGGGGCATCTCCGGAGTTGCCTGAAGGAAGTCGAGCCACCGGTCGTGTTGAATGGGGAACGGGGAATGGCTCTGGAGTCAATGCAGGGGAATCGGGCCTCATCTCGAGTTGATTTGGGGCACATGGAGCTGCTTTGCGTTGCTGGGGTGACCTCAGGGTCCGTCTAGACTGGTGACAGTGTTCTTGGGGACTGTCTCGAGATCCATTAAGCAAGTCGAAGCTCCTGACTTGTTTGAATGGGATCACGGAATAGCTCTGCATGCACTGCAGGGGAATGGGGCCTCATCTCGCCTCTAGGGGGAAGTCTCATGGTTTTTCTCGAGTTGCGGCGGGGACCTGGGGTATGTTCTCGACTTACGGCGGGGATGGCCCTTCAAAACACGAGTTTCTTCAGTGACGTCAGGACTCCTGTCTAGTAACGAGTTACACCTCAGGAATCTCTTCGAGGCTTGGCAGGGCCAAAGGGACGCTTCTCGAGGTGAGGCAGGGCACCCAAGGACCCTTTCCAGTAGCCACAGGGATTTTGGGATTCCTATCAGTATTCAAGAGGAGTCAGGCATCGTCACCTTTTGAAGCAATGAACTCCGCGTGCCTCTCGAGGTGTCAGCGGGATGTGAGGCATTCCGTCAAAATGAGGCAGGGACCTAGGGCTTTCTCTAAGGTCTCCACAGGGGATTCAGACATCCCTTCATGTTGTGAGATGAAAGACGAGCCTGTATTCAAGCCACTGCAAGGAAATCCGGCCTCCTTTCAAGTTAGGGCTTCTCGCTGTATATTCCCCTTGAGGCAGCAAACTCGGGGTCCCTCCCACATACCTATTGCTGAGAGAAGCCTCCTCCTGAGGTGCTTCTGGGAAGTTGGCATACGTCTTGAGCCTAAGCCAGGGAATCAGCTCGCATCTCGAGACGATTTGGGGTACACGGAGCATTCCTCGAGTTGCTGTGCTGAAGTTGGTGTTCCTCTAGACTTGGGACAGTGTTCTTGGGGCATCTCCGGAGTTGCCTGAAGGAAGTCGAGCCACCGGTCGTGTTGAATGGGGAACAGGGAATGGCTCTGGAGTCAATGCAGGGGAATCGGGCCTCATCTCGAGTTGATTTGGGGCACATGGAGCTGCTTTGCGTTGCTGGGGTGACCTCAGGGTCCGTCTAGACTGGTGACAGTGTTCTTGGGGACTGTCTCGAGATCCATTAAGCAAGTCGAAGCTCCTGACTTGTTTGAATGGGATCACGGAATAGCTCTGCATGCACTGCAGGGGAATGGGGCCTCATCTCGCCTCTAGGGGGAAGTCTCATGGTTTTTCTCGAGTTGCGGCGGGGACCTGGGGTATGTTCTCGACTTACGGCGGGGATGGCCCTTCAAAACACGAGTTTCTTCAGTGACGTCAGGACTCCTGTCTAGTAACGAGGGACACCTCAGGAATCTCTTCGAGGCTTGGCAGGGCCAAAGGGACGCTTCTCGAGGTGAGGCAGGGCACCCAAGAACCCTTTCCAGTAGCCACAGGGATTTTGGGATTCCTATCAGTATTCAAGAGGAGTCAGGCATCGTCACCTTTTGAAGCAATGAACTCCGCGTGCCTCTCGAGGTGTCAGCGGGATGTGAGGCATTCCGTCAAAATGAGGCAGGGACCTAGGGCTTTCTCTAAGGTCTCCACAGGGGATTCAGACATCCCTTCATGTTGTGAGATGAAAGACGAGCCTGTATTCAAGCCACTGCAAGGAAATCCGGCCTCCTTTCAAGTTAGGGCTTCTCGCTGTATATTCCCCTTGAGGCAGCAAACTCGGGGTCCCTCCCACATACCTATTGCTGAGAGAAGCTTCCTCCTGAGGTGCTTCTGGGAAGTTGGCATACGTCTTGAGCCTAAGCCAGGGAATCAGCTCGCATCTCGAGACGATTTGGGGTACACGGAGCATTCCTCGAGTTGCTGTGCTGAAGTTGGTGTTCCTCTAGACTTGGGACAGTGTTCTCGGGGCATCTCCGGAGTTGCCTGAAGGAAGTCGAGCCACCGGTCGTGTTGAATGGGGAACGGGGAATGGCTCTGGAGTCAATGCAGGGGAATCGGGCCTCATCTCGAGTTGATTTGGGGCACATGGAGCTGCTTTGCGTTGCTGGGGTGACCTCAGGGTCCGTCTAGACTGGTGACAGTGTTCTTGGGGACTGTCTCGAGATCCATTAAGCAAGTCGAAGCTCCTGACTTGTTTGAATGGGATCACGGAATAGCTCTGCATGCACTGCAGGGGAATGGGGCCTCATCTCGCCTCTAGGGGGAAGTCTCATGGTTTTTCTCGAGTTGCGGCGGGGACCTGGGGTATGTTCTCGACTTACGGCGGGGATGGCCCTTCAAAACACGAGTTTCTTCAATGACGTCAGGACTCCTGTCTAGTAACGAGTTACACCTCAGGAATCTCTTCGAGGCTTGGCAGGGCCAAAGGGACGCTTCTCGAGGTGAGGCAGGGCACCCAAGGACCCTTTCCAGTAGCCACAGGGATTTTGGGATTCCTATCAGTATTCAAGAGGAGTCAGGCATCGTCACCTTTTGAAGCAATGAACTCCGCGTGCCTCTCGAGGTGTCAGCGGGATGTGAGGCATCCCGTCAAAATGAGGCAGGGACCTAGGGCTTTCTCTAAGGTCTCCACAGGGGATTCAGACATCCCTTCATGTTGTGAGATGAAAGACGAGCCTGTATTCAAGCCACTGCAAGGAAATCCGGCCTCGTTTCAAGTTAGGGCTTCTCGCTGTATATTCCCCTTGAGGCAGCAAACTCGGGGTCCCTCCCACATACCTATTGCTGAGAGAAGCCTCCTCCTGAGGTGCTTCTGGGAAGTTGGCATACGTCTTGAGCCTAAGCCAGGGAATCAGCTCGCATCTCGAGATGATTTGGGGTACACGGAGCATTCCTCGAGTTGCTGTGCTGAAGTTGGTGTTCCTCTAGACTTGGGACAGTGTTCTCGGTGCATCTCCGGAGTTGCCTGAAGGAAGTCGAGCCACCGGTCGTGTTGAATGGGGAACGGGGAATGGCTCTGGAGTCAATGCAGGGGAATCGGGCCTCATCTCGAGTTGATTTGGGGCACATGGAGCTGCTTTGCGTTGCTGGGGTGACCTCAGGGTCCGTCTAGACTGGTGACAGTGTTCTTGGGGACTGTCTCGAGATCCATTAAGCAAGTCGAAGCTCCTGACTTGTTTGAATGGGATCACGGAATAGCTCTGCATGCACTGCAGGGGAATGGGGCCTCATCTCGCCTCTAGGGGGAAGTCTCATGGTTTTTCTCGAGTTGCGGCGGGGACCTGGGGTATGTTCTCGACTTACGGCGGGGATGGCCCTTCAAAACACGAGTTTCTTCAGTGACGTCAGGACTCCTGTCTAGTAACGAGTTACACCTCAGGAATCTCTTCGAGGCTTGGCAGGGCCAAAGGGACGCTTCTCGAGGTGAGGCAGGGCACCCAAGGACCCTTTCCAGTAGCCACAGGGATTTTGGGATTCCTATCAGTATTCAAGAGGAGTCAGGCATCGTCACCTTTTGAAGCAATGAACTCCGCGTGCCTCTCGAGGTGTCAGCGGGATGTGAGGCATTCCGTCAAAATGAGGCAGGGACCTAGGGCTTTCTCTAAGGTCTCCACAGGGGATTCAGACATCCCTTCATGTTGTGAGATGAAAGACGAGCCTGTATTCAAGCCACTGCAAGAAATCCGGCCTCCTTTCAAGTTAGGGCTTCTCGCTGTATATTCCCCTTGAGGCAGCAAACTCGGGGTCCCTCCCACATACCTATTGCTGAGAGAAGCCTCCTCCTGAGGTGCTTCTGGGAAGTTGGCATACGTCTTGAGCCTAAGCCAGGGAATCAGCTCGCATCTCGAGACGATTTGGGGTACACGGAGCATTCCTCGAGTTGCTGTGCTGAAGTTGGTGTTCCTCTAGACTTGGGACAGTGTTCTTGGGGCATCTCCGGAGTTGCCTGAAGGAAGTCGAGCCACCGGTCGTGTTGAATGGGGAACGGGGAATGGCTCTGGAGTCAATGCAGGGGAATCGGGCCTCATCTCGAGTTGATTTGGGGCACATGGAGCTGCTTTGCGTTGCTGGGGTGACCTCAGGGTCCGTCTAGACTGGTGACAGTGTTCTTGGGGACTGTCTCGAGATCCATTAAGCAAGTCGAAGCTCCTGACTTGTTTGAATGGGATCACGGAATAGCTCTGCATGCACTGCAGGGGAATGGGGCCTCATCTCGCCTCTAGGGGGAAGTCTCATGGTTTTTCTCGAGTTGCGGCGGGGACCTGGGGTATGTTCTCGACTTACGGCGGGGATGGCCCTTCAAAACACGAGTTTCTTCAGTGACGTCAGGACTCCTGTCTAGTAACGAGGGACACCTCAGGAATCTCTTCGAGGCTTGGCAGGGCCAAAGGGACGCTTCTCGAGGTGAGGCAGGGCACCCAAGAACCCTTTCCAGTAGCCACAGGGATTTTGGGATTCCTATCAGTATTCAAGAGGAGTCAGGCATCGTCACCTTTTGAAGCAATGAACTCCGCGTGCCTCTCGAGGTGTCAGCGGGATGTGAGGCATTCCGTCAAAATGAGGCAGGGACCTAGGGCTTTCTCTAAGGTCTCCACAGGGGATTCAGACATCCCTTCATGTTGTGAGATGAAAGACGAGCCTGTATTCAAGCCACTGCACGGAAATCCGGCCTCCTTTCAAGTTAGGGCTTCTCGCTGTATATTCCCCTTGAGGCAGCAAACTCGGGGTCCCTCCCACATACCTATTGCTGAGAGAAGCTTCCTCCTGAGGTGCTTCTGGGAAGTTGGCATACGTCTTGAGCCTAAGCCAGGGAATCAGCTCGCATCTCGAGACGATTTGGGGTACACGGAGCATTCCTCGAGTTGCTGTGCTGAAGTTGGTGTTCCTCTAGACTTGGGACAGTGTTCTCGGGGCATCTCCGGAGTTGCCTGAAGGAAGTCGAGCCACCGGTCGTGTTGAATGGGGAACGGGGAATGGCTCTGGAGTCAATGCAGGGGAATCGGGCCTCATCTCGAGTTGATTTGGGGCACATGGAGCTGCTTTGCGTTGCTGGGGTGACCTCAGGGTCCGTCTAGACTGGTGACAGTGTTCTTGGGGACTGTCTCGAGATCCATTAAGCAAGTCGAAGCTCCTGACTTGTTTGAATGGGATCACGGAATAGCTCTGCATGCACTGCAGGGGAATGGGGCCTCATCTCGCCTCTAGGGGGAAGTCTCATGGTTTTTCTCGAGTTGCGGCGGGGACCTGGGGTATGTTCTCGACTTACGGCGGGGATGGCCCTTCAAAACACGAGTTTCTTCAGTGACGTCAGGACTCCTGTCTAGTAACGAGGGACACCTCAGGAATCTCTTCGAGGCTTGGCAGGGCCAAAGGGACGCTTCTCGAGGTGAGGCAGGGCACCCAAGAACCCTTTCCAGTAGCCACAGGGATTTTGGGATTCCTATCAGTATTCAAGAAGAGTCAGGCATCGTCACCTTTTGAAGCAATGAACTCCGCGTGCCTCTCGAGGTGTCAGCGGGATGTGAGGCATTCCGTCAAAATGAGGCAGGGACCTAGGGCTTTCTCTAAGGTCTCCACAGGGGATTCAGACATCCCTTCATGTTGTGAGATGAAAGACGAGCCTGTATTCAAGCCACTGCAAGGAAATCCGGCCTCCTTTCAAGTTAGGGCTTCTCGCTGTATATTCCCCTTGAGGCAGCAAACTCGGGGTCCCTCCCACATACCTATTGCTGAGAGAAGCCTCCTCCTGAGGTGCTTCTGGGAAGTTGGCATACGTCTTGAGCCTAAGCCAGGGAATCAGCTCGCATCTCGAGACGATTTGGGGTACACGGAGCATTCCTCGATTTGCTGTGCTGAAGTTGGTGTTCCTCTAGACTTGGGACAGTGTTCTCGGGGCATCTCCGGAGTTGCCTGAAGGAAGTCGAGCCACCGGTCGTGTTGAATGGGGAACGGGGAATGGCTCTGGAGTCAATGCAGGGGAATCGGGCCTCATCTCGAGTTGATTTGGGGCACATGGAGCTGCTTTGCGTTGCTGGGGTGACCTCAGGGTCCGTCTAGACTGGTGACAGTGTTCTTGGGGACTGTCTCGAGATCCATTAAGCAAGTCGAAGCTCCTGACTTGTTTGAATGGGATCACGGAATAGCTCTGCATGCACTGCAGGGGAATGGGGCCTCATCTCGCCTCTAGGGGGAAGTCTCATGGTTTTTCTCGAGTTGCGGCGGGGACCTGGGGTATGTTCTCGACTTACGGCGGGGATGGCCCTTCAAAACACGAGTTTCTTCAGTGACGTCAGGACTCCTGTCTAGTAACGAGGGACACCTCAGGAATCTCTTCGAGGCTTGGCAGGGCCAAAGGGACGCTTCTCGAGGTGAGGCAGGGCACCCAAGGACCCTTTCCAGTAGCCACAGGGATTTTGGGATTCCTATCAGTATTCAAGAGGAGTCAGGCATCGTCACCTTTTGAAGCAATGAACTCCGCGTGCCTCTCGAGGTGTCAGCGGGATGTGAGGCATTCCGTCAAAATGAGCCAGGGACCTAGGGCTTTCTCTAAGGTCTCCACAGGGGATTCAGACATCCCTTCATGTTGTGAGATGAAAGACGAGCCTGTATTCAAGCCACTGCAAGGAAATCCGGCCTCCTTTCAAGTTAGGGCTTCTCGCTGTATATTCCCCTTGAGGCAGCAAACTCGGGGTCCCTCCCACATACCTATTGCTGAGAGAAGCCTCCTCCTGAGGTGCTTCTGGGAAGTTGGCATACGTCTTGAGCCTAAGCCAGGGAATCAGCTCGCATCTCGAGACGATTTGGGGTACACGGAGCATTCCTCGAGTTGCTGTGCTGAAGTTGGTGTTCCTCTAGACTTGGGACAGTGTTCTCGGGGCATCTCCGGAGTTGCCTGAAGGAAGTCGAGCCACCGGTCGTGTTGAATGGGGAACGGGGAATGGCTCTGGAGTCAATGCAGGGGAATCGGGCCTCATCTCGAGTTGATTTGGGGCACATGGAGCTGCTTTGCGTTGCTGGGGTGACCTCAGGGTCCGTCTAGACTGGTGACAGTGTTCTTGGGGACTGTCTCGAGATCCATTAAGCAAGTCGAAGCTCCTGACTTGTTTGAATGGGATCACGGAATAGCTCTGCATGCACTGCAGGGGAATGGGGCCTCATCTCGCCTCTAGGGGGAAGTCTCATGGTTTTTCTCGAGTTGCGGCGGGGACCTGGGGTATGTTCTCGACTTACGGCGGGGATGGCCCTTCAAAACACGAGTTTCTTCAGTGACGTCAGGACTCCTGTCTAGTAACGAGGGACACCTCAGGAATCTCTTCGAGGCTTGGCAGGGCCAAAGGGACGCTTCTCGAGGTGAGGCAGGGCACCCAAGGACCCTTTCCAGTAGCCACAGGGATTTTGGGATTCCTATCAGTATTCAAGAGGAGTCAGGCATCGTCACCTTTTGAAGCAATGAACTCCGCGTGCCTCTCGAGGTGTCAGCGGGATGTGAGGCATTCCGTCAAAATGAGCCAGGGACCTAGGGCTTTCTCTAAGGTCTCCACAGGGGATTCAGACATCCCTTCATGTTGTGAGATGAAAGACGAGCCTGTATTCAAGCCACTGCAAGGAAATCCGGCCTCCTTTCAAGTTAGGGCTTCTCGCTGTATATTCCCCTTGAGGCAGCAAACTCGGGGTCCCTCCCACATACCTATTGCTGAGAGAAGCCTCCTCCTGAGGTGCTTCTGGGAAGTTGGCATACGTCTTGAGCCTAAGCCAGGGAATCAGCTCGCATCTCGAGACGATTTGGGGTACACGGAGCATTCCTCGAGTTGCTGTGCTGAAGTTGGTGTTCCTCTAGACTTGGGACAGTGTTCTCGGGGCATCTCCGGAGTTGCCTGAAGGAAGTCGAGCCACCGGTCGTGTTGAATGGGGAACGGGGAATGGCTCTGGAGTCAATGCAGGGGAATCGGGCCTCATCTCGAGTTGATTTGGGGCACATGGAGCTGCTTTGCGTTGCTGGGGTGACCTCAGGGTCCGTCTAGACTGGTGACAGTGTTCTTGGGGACTGTCTCGAGATCCATTAAGCAAGTCGAAGCTCCTGACTTGTTTGAATGGGATCACGGAATAGCTCTGCATGCACTGCAGGGGAATGGGGCCTCATCTCGCCTCTAGGGGGAAGTCTCATGGTTTTTCTCGAGTTGCGGCGGGGACCTGGGGTATGTTCTCGACTTACGGCGGGGATGGCCCTTCAAAACACGAGTTTCTTCAGTGACGTCAGGACTCCTGTCTAGTAACGAGGGACACCTCAGGAATCTCTTCGAGGCTTGGCAGGGCCAAAGGGACGCTTCTCGAGGTGAGGCAGGGCACCCAAGGACCCTTTCCAGTAGCCACAGGGATTTTGGGATTCCTATCAGTATTCAAGAGGAGTCAGGCATCGTCACCTTTTGAAGCAATGAACTCCGCGTGCCTCTCGAGGTGTCAGCGGGATGTGAGGCATTCCGTCAAAATGAGGCAGGGACCTAGGGCTTTCTCTAAGGTCTCCACAGGGGATTCAGACATCCCTTCATGTTGTGAGATGAAAGACGAGCCTGTATTCAAGCCACTGCAAGGAAATCCGGCCTCCTTTCAAGTTAGGGCTTCTCGCTGTATATTCCCCTTGAGGCAGCAAACTCGGGGTCCCTCCCACATACCTATTGCTGAGAGAAGCCTCCTCCTGAGGTGCTTCTGGGAAGTTGGCATACGTCTTGAGCCTAAGCCAGGGAATCAGCTCGCATCTCGAGACGATTTGGGGTACACGGAGCATTCCTCGAGTTGCTGTGCTGAAGTTGGTGTTCCTCTAGACTTGGGACAGTGTACTCGGGGCATCTCTGGAGTTGCCTGAAGGACGTCGAGCCACCGGTCGTGTTGAATGGGGAACGGGGAATGGCTCTGGAGTCAATGCAGGGGAATCGGGCCTCATCTCGAGTTGATTTGGGGCACATGGAGCTGCTTTGCGTTGCTGGGGTGACCTCAGGGTCCGTCTAGACTGGTGACAGTGTTCTTGGGGACTGTCTCGAGATCCATTAAGCAAGTCGAAGCTCCTGACTTGTTTGAATGGGATCACGGAATAGCTCTGCATGCACTGCAGGGGAATGGGGCCTCATCTCGCCTCTAGGGGGAAGTCTCATGGTTTTTCTCGAGTTGCGGCGGGGACCTGGGGTATGTTCTCGACTTACGGCGGGGATGGCCCTTCAAAACACGAGTTTCTTCAGTGACGTCAGGACTCCTGTCTAGTAACGAGGGACACCTCAGGAATCTCTTCGAGGCTTGGCAGGGCCAAAGGGACGCTTCTCGAGGTGAGGCAGGGCACCCAAGGACCCTTTCCAGTAGCCACAGGGATTTTGGGATTCCTATCAGTATTCAAGAGGAGTCAGGCATCGTCACCTTTTGAAGCAATGAACTCCGCGTGCCTCTCGAGGTGTCAGCGGGATGTGAGGCATTCCGTCAAAATGAGGCAGGGACCTAGGGCTTTCTCTAAGGTCTCCACAGGGGATTCAGACATCCCTTCATGTTGTGAGATGAAAGACGAGCCTGTATTCAAGCCACTGCAAGGAAATCCGGCCTCCTTTCAAGTTAGGGCTTCTCGCTGTATATTCCCCTTGAGGCAGCAAACTCGGGGTCCCTCCCACATACCTATTGCTGAGAGAAGCCTCCTCCTGAGGTGCTTCTGGGAAGTTGGCATACGTCTTGAGCCTAAGCCAGGGAATCAGCTCGCATCTCGAGACGATTTGGGGTACACGGAGCATTCCTCGAGTTGCTGTGCTGAAGTTGGTGTTCCTCTAGACTTGGGACAGTGTTCTCGGGGCATCTCTGGAGTTGCCTGAAGGACGTCGAGCCACCGGTCGTGTTGAATGGGGAACGGGGAATGGCTCTGGAGTCAATGCAGGGGAATCGGGCCTCATCTCGAGTTGATTTGGGGCACATGGAGCTGCTTTGCGTTGCTGGGGTGACCTCAGGGTCCGTCTAGACTGGTGACAGTGTTCTTGGGGACTGTCTCGAGATCCATTAAGCAAGTCGAAGCTCCTGACTTGTTTGAATGGGATCACGGAATAGCTCTGCATGCACTGCAGGGGAATGGGGCCTCATCTCGCCTCTAGGGGGAAGTCTCATGGTTTTTCTCGAGTTGCGGCGGGGACCTGGGGTATGTTCTCGACTTACGGCGGGGATGGCCCTTCAAAACACGAGTTTCTTCAGTGACGTCAGGACTCCTGTCTAGTAACGAGGGACACCTCAGGAATCTCTTCGAGGCTTGGCAGGGCCAAAGGGACGCTTCTCGAGGTGAGGCAGGGCACCCAAGGACCCTTTCCAGTAGCCACAGGGATTTTGGGATTCCTATCAGTATTCAAGAGGAGTCAGGCATCGTCACCTTTTGAAGCAATGAGCTCCGCGTGCCTCTCGAGGTGTCAGCGGGATGTGAGGCATTCCGTCAAAATGAGGCAGGGACCTAGGGCTTTCTCTAAGGTCTCCACAGGGGATTCAGACATCCCTTCATGTTGTGAGATGAAAGACGAGCCTGTATTGAAGCCACTGCAAGGAAATCCGGCCTCCTTTCAAGTTAGGGCTTCTCGCTGTATATTCCCCTTGAGGCAGCAAACTCGGGGTCCCTCCCACATACCTATTGCTGAGAGAAGCCTCCTCCTGAGGTGCTTCTGGGAAGTTGGCATACGTCTTGAGCCTAAGCCAGGGAATCAGCTCGCATCTCGAGACGATTTGGGGTACACGGAGCATTCCTCGAGTTGCTGTGCTGAAGTTGGTGTTCCTCTAGACTTGGGACAGTGTTCTCGGGGCATCTCTGGAGTTGCCTGAAGGAAGTCGAGCCACCGGTCGTGTTGAATGGGGAACGGGGAATGGCTCTGGAGTCAATGCAGGGGAATCGGGCCTCATCTCGAGTTGATTTGGGGCACATGGAGCTGCTTTGCGTTGCTGGGGTGACCTCAGGGTCCGTCTAGACTGGTGACAGTGTTCTTGGGGACTGTCTCGAGATCCATTAAGCAAGTCGAAGCTCCTGACTTGTTTGAATGGGATCACGGAATAGCTCTGCATGCACTGCAGGGGAATGGGGCCTCATCTCGCCTCTAGGGGGAAGTCTCATGGTTTTTCTCGAGTTGCGGCGGGGACCTGGGGTATGTTCTCGACTTACGGCGGGGATGGCCCTTCAAAACACGAGTTTCTTCAGTGACGTCAGGACTCCTGTCTAGTAACGAGGGACACCTCAGGAATCTCTTCGAGGCTTGGCAGGGCCAAAGGGACGCTTCTCGAGGTGAGGCAGGGCACCCAAGGACCCTTTCCAGTAGCCACAGGGATTTTGGGATTCCTATCAGTATTCAAGAGGAGTCAGGCATCGTCACCTTTTGAAGCAATGAACTCCGCGTGCCTCTCGAGGTGTCAGCGGGATGTGAGGCATTCCGTCAAAATGAGGCAGGGACCTAGGGCTTTCTCTAAGGTCTCCACAGGGGATTCAGACATCCCTTCATGTTGTGAGATGAAAGACGAGCCTGTATTCAAGCCACTGCAAGGAAATCCGGCCTCCTTTCAAGTTAGGGCTTCTCGCTGTATATTCCCCTTGAGGCAGCAAACTCGGGGTCCCTCCCACATACCTATTGCTGAGAGAAGCCTCCTCCTGAGGTGCTTCTGGGAAGTTGGCATACGTCTTGAGCCTAAGCCAGGGAATCAGCTCGCATCTCGAGACGATTTGGGGTACACGGAGCATTCCTCGAGTTGCTGTGCTGAAGTTGGTGTTCCTCTAGACTTGGGACAGTGTTCTCGGGGCATCTCCGGAGTTGCCTGAAGGAAGTCGAGCCACCGGTCGTGTTGAATGGGGAACGGGGAATGGCTCTGGAGTCAATGCAGGGGAATCGGGCCTCATCTCGAGTTGATTTGGGGCACATGGAGCTGCTTTGCGTTGCTGGGGTGACCTCAGGGTCCGTCTAGACTGGTGACAGTGTTCTTGGGGACTGTCTCGAGATCCATTAAGCAAGTCGAAGCTCCTGACTTGTTTGAATGGGGTCACGGAATAGCTCTGCATGCACTGCAGGGGAATGGGGCCTCATCTCGCCTCTAGGGGGAAGTCTCATGGTTTTTCTCGAGTTGCGGCGGGGACCTGGGGTATGTTCTCGACTTACGGCGGGGATGGCCCTTCAAAACACGAGTTTCTTCAGTGACGTCAGGACTCCTGTCTAGTAACGAGGGACACCTCAGGAATCTCTTCGAGGCTTGGCAGGGCCAAAGGGACGCTTCTCGAGGTGAGGCAGGGCACCCAAGGACCCTTTCCAGTAGCCACAGGGATTTTGGGATTCCTATCAGTATTCAAGAGGAGTCAGGCATCGTCACCTTTTGAAGCAATGAACTCCGCGTGCCTCTCGAGGTGTCAGCGGGATGTGAGGCATTCCGTCAAAATGAGGCAGGGACCTAGGGCTTTCTCTAAGGTCTCCACAGGGGATTCAGACATCCCTTCATGTTGTGAGATGAAAGACGAGCCTGTATTCAAGCCACTGCAAGGAAATCCGGCCTCCTTTCAAGTTAGGGCTTCTCGCTGTATATTCCCCTTGAGGCAGCAAACTCGGGGTCCCTCCCACATACCTATTGCTGAGAGAAGCCTCCTCCTGAGGTGCTTCTGGGAAGTTGGCATACGTCTTGAGCCTAAGCCAGGGAATCAGCTCGCATCTCGAGACGATTTGGGGTACACGGAGCATTCCTCGAGTTGCTGTGCTGAAGTTGGTGTTCCTCTAGACTTGGGACAGTGTTCTCGGGGCATCTCTGGAGTTGCCTGAAGGAAGTCGAGCCACCGGTCGTGTTGAATGGGGAACGGGGAATGGCTCTGGAGTCAATGCAGGGGAATCGGGCCTCATCTCGAGTTGATTTGGGGCACATGGAGCTGCTTTGCGTTGCTGGGGTGACCTCAGGGTCCGTCTAGACTGGTGACAGTGTTCTTGGGGACTGTCTCGAGATCCATTAAGCAAGTCGAAGCTCCTGACTTGTTTGAATGGGATCACGGAATAGCTCTGCATGCACTGCAGGGGAATGGGGCCTCATCTCGCCTCTAGGGGGAAGTCTCATGGTTTTTCTCGAGTTGCGGCGGGGACCTGGGGTATGTTCTCGACTTACGGCGGGGATGGCCCTTCAAAACACGAGTTTCTTCAGTGACGTCAGGACTCCTGTCTAGTAACGAGGGACACCTCAGGCATCTCTTCGAGGCTTGGCAGGGCCAAAGGGACGCTTCTCGAGGTGAGGCAGGGCACCCAAGGACCCTTTCCAGTAGCCACAGGGATTTTGGGATTCCTATCAGTATTCAAGAGGAGTCAGGCATCGTCACCTTTTGAAGCAATGAACTCCGCGTGCCTCTCGAGGTGTCAGCGGGATGTGAGGCATCCCGTCAAAATGAGGCAGGGACCTAGGGCTTTCTCTAAGGTCTCCACAGGGGATTCAGACATCCCTTCATGTTGTGAGATGAAAGACGAGCCTGTATTCAAGCCACTGCAAGGAAATCCGGCCTCCTTTCAAGTTAGGGCTTCTCGCTGTATATTCCCCTTGAGGCAGCAAACTCGGGGTCCCTCCCACATACCTATTGCTGAGAGAAGCCTCCTCCTGAGGTGCTTCTGGGAAGTTGGCATACGTCTTGAGCCTAAGCCAGGGAATCAGCTCGCATCTCGAGACGATTTGGGGTAGACGGAGCATTCCTCGAGTTGCTGTGCTGAAGTTGGTGTTCCTCTAGACTTGGGACAGTGTTCTCGGGGCATCTCTGGAGTTGCCTGAAGGAAGTCGAGCCACCGGTCGTTTTGAATGGGGAACGGGGAATGGCTCTGGAGTCAATGCAGGGGAATTGGGCCTCATCTCGAGTTGATTTGGGGCACATGGAGCTGCTTTGCGTTGCTGGGGTGACCTCAGGGTCCGTCTAGACTGGTGACAGTGTTCTTGGGGACTGTCTCGAGATCCATTAAGCAAGTCGAAGCTCCTGACTTGTTTGAATGGGATCACAGAATAGCTCTGCATGCACTGCAGGGGAATGGGGCCTCATCTCGCCTCTAGGGGGAAGTCTCATGGTTTTTCTCGAGTTGCGGCGGGGACCTGGGGTATGTTCTCGACTTACGGCGGGGATGGCCCTTCAAAACACGAGTTTCTTCAGTGACGTCAGGACTCCTGTCTAGTAACGAGGGACACCTCAGGAATCTCTTCGAGGCTTGGCAGGGCCAAAGGGACGCTTCTCGAGGTGAGGCAGGGCACCCAAGGACCCTTTCCAGTAGCCACAGGGATTTTGGGATTCCTATCAGTATTCAAGAGGAGTCAGGCATCGTCACCTTTTGAAGCAATGAACTCCGCGTGCCTCTCGAGGTGTCAGCGGGATGTGAGGCATTCCGTCAAAATGAGGCAGGGACCTACGGCTTTCTCTAAGGTCTCCACAGGGGATTCAGACATCCCTTCATGTTGTGAGATGAAAGACGAGCCTGTATTCAAGCCACTGCAAGGAAATCCGGCCTCCTTTCAAGTTAGGGCTTCTCGCTGTATATTCCCCTTGAGGCAGCAAACTCGGGGTCCCTCCCACATACCTGTTGCTGAGAGAAGCCTCCTCCTGAGGTGCTTCTGGGAAGTTGGCATACGCCTTGAGCCTAAGCCAGGGACTCAGCTCTCATCTCGAGACGATTTGGGGTACACGGAGCATTCCTCGAGTTGCTGTGCTGAAGTTGGTGTTCCTCTAGACTTGGGACAGTGTTCTCGGGGCATCTCTGGAGTTGCCTGAAGGAAGTCGAGCCACCGGTCGTGTTGAATGGGGAACGGGGAATGGCTCTGGAGTCAATGCAGGGGAATCGGGCCTCATCTCGAGTTGATTTGGGGCACATGGAGCTGCTTTGCGTTGCTGGGGTGACCTCAGGGTCCGTCTAGACTGGTGACAGTGTTCTTGGGGACTGTCTCGAGATCCATTAAGCAAGTCGAAGCTCCTGACTTGTTTGAATGGGGTCACGGAATAGCTCTGCATGCACTGCAGGGGAATGGGGCCTCATCTCGCCTCTAGGGGGAAGTCTCATGGTTTTTCTCGAGTTGCGGCGGGGACCTGGGGTATGTTCTCGACTTACGGCGGGGATGGCCCTTCAAAACACGAGTTTCTTCAGTGACGTCAGGACTCCTGTCTAGTAACGAGGGACACCTCAGGAATCTCTTCGAGGCTTGGCAGGGCCAAAGGGACGCTTCTCGAGGTGAGGGAGGGCACCCAAGGACCCTTTCCAGTAGCCACAGGGATTTTGGGATTCCTATCAGTATTCAAGAGGAGTCAGGCATCGTCACCTTTTGAAGCAATGAACTCCGCGTGCCTCTCGAGGTGTCAGCGGGATGTGAGGCATTCCGTCAAAATGAGGCAGGGACCTAGGGCTTTCTCTAAGGTCTCCACAGGGGATTCAGACATCCCTTCATGTTGTGAGATGAAAGACGAGCCTGTATTCAAGCCACTGCAAGGAAATCCGGCCTCCTTTCAAGTTAGGGCTTCTCGCTGTATATTCCCCTTGAGGCAGCAAATTCGGGGTCCCTCCCACATACCTATTGCTGAGAGAAGCCTCCTCCTGAGGTGCTTCTGGGAAGTTGGCATACGCCTTGAGCCTAAGCCAGGGAATCAGCTCGCATCTCGAGACGATTTGGGGTACACAGAGCATTCCTCGAGTTGCTGTGCTGAAGTTGGTGTTCCTCTAGACTTGGGACAGTGTTCTCGGGGCATCTCTGGAGTTGCCTGAAGGAAGTCGAGCCACCGGTCGTGTTGAATGGGGAACGGGGAATGGCTCTGGAGTCAATGCAGGGGAATCGGGCCTCATCTCGAGTTGATTTGGGGCACATGGAGCTGCTTTGCGTTGCTGGGGTGACCTCAGGGTCCGTCTAGACTGGTGACAGTGTTCTTGGGGACTGTCTCGAGATCCATTAAGCAAGTCGAAGCTCCTGACTTGTTTGAATGGGGTCACGGAATAGCTCTGCATGCACTGCAGGGGAATGGGGCCTCATCTCGCCTCTAGGGGGAAGTCTCATGGTTTTTCTCGAGTTGCGGCGGGGACCTGGGGTATGTTCTCGACTTACGGCGGGGATGGCCCTTCAAAACACGAGTTTCTTCAGTGACGTCAGGACTCCTGTCTAGTAACGAGGGACACCTCAGGAATCTCTTCGAGGCTTGGCAGGGGCAAAGGGACGCTTCTCGAGGTGAGGGAGGGCACCCAAGGACCCTTTCCAGTAGCCACAGGGATTTTGGGATTCCTATCAGTATTCAAGAGGAGTCAGGCATCGTCACCTTTTGAAGCAATGAACTCCGCGTGCCTCTCGAGGTGTCAGCGGGATGTGAGGCATTCCGTCAAAATGAGGCAGGGACCTAGGGCTTTCTCTAAGGTCTCCACAGGGGATTCAGACATCCCTTCATGTTGTGAGATGAAAGACGAGCCTGTATTCAAGCCACTGCAAGGAAATCCGGCCTCCTTTCAAGTTAGGGCTTCTCGCTGTATATTCCCCTTGAGGCAGCAAACTCGGGGTCCCTCCCACATACCTATTGCTGAGAGAAGCCTCCTCCTGAGGTGCTTCTGGGAAGTTGGCATACGCCTTGAGCCTAAGCCAGGGAATCAGCTCGCATCTCGAGACGATTTGGGGTACACGGAGCATTCCTCGAGTTGCTGTGCTGAAGTTGGTGTTCCTCTAGACTTGGGACAGTGTTCTCGGGGCATCTCTGGAGTTGCCTGAAGGAAGTCGAGCCACCGGTCGTGTTGAATGGGGAACGGGGAATGGCTCTGGAGTCAATGCAGGGGAATCGGGCCTCATCTCGAGTTGATTTGGGGCACATGGAGCTGCTTTGCGTTGCTGGGGTGACCTCAGGGTCCGTCTAGACTGGTGACAGTGTTCTTGGGGACTGTCTCGAGATCCATTAAGCAAGTCGAAGCTCCTGACTTGTTTGAATGGGGTCACGGAATAGCTCTGCATGCACTGCAGGGGAATGGGGCCTCATCTCGCCTCTAGGGGGAAGTCTCATGGTTTTTCTCGAGTTGCGGCGGGGACCTGGGGTATGTTCTCGACTTACGGCGGGGATGGCCCTTCAAAACACGAGTTTCTTCAGTGACGTCAGGACTCCTGTCTAGTAACGAGGGACACCTCAGGAATCTCTTCGAGGCTTGGCAGGGCCAAAGGGACGCTTCTCGAGGTGAGGCAGGGCACCCAAGGACCCTTTCCAGTAGCCACAGGGATTTTGGGATTCCTATCAGTATTCAAGAGGAGTCAGGCATCGTCACCTTTTGAAGCAATGAACTCTGCGTGCCTCTCGAGGTGTCAGCGGGATGTGAGGCATTCCGTCAAAATGAGGCAGGGACCTAGGGCTTTCTCTAAGGTCTCCACAGGGGATTCAGACATCCCTTCATGTTGTGAGATGAAAGACGAGCCTGTATTCAAGCCACTGCAAGGAAATCCGGCCTCCTTTCAAGTTAGGGCTTCTCGCTGTATATTCCCCTTGAGGCAGCAAACTCGGGGTCCCTCCCACATACCTATTGCTGAGAGAAGCCTCCTCCTGAGGTGCTTCTGGGAAGTTGGCATACGCCTTGAGCCTAAGCCAGGGAATCAGCTCGCATCTCGAGACGATTTGGGGTACACAGAGCATTCCTCGAGTTGCTGTGCTGAAGTTGGTGTTCCTCTAGACTTGGGACAGTGTTCTCGGGGCATCTCTGGAGTTGCCTGAAGGAAGTCGAGCCACCGGTCGTGTTGAATGGGGAACGGGGAATGGCTCTGGAGTCAATGCAGGGGAATCGGGCCTCATCTCGAGTTGATTTGGGGCACATGGAGCTGCTTTGCGTTGCTGGGGTGACCTCAGGGTCCGTCTAGACTGGTGACAGTGTTCTTGGGGACTGTCTCGAGATCCATTAAGCAAGTCGAAGCTCCTGACTTGTTTGAATGGGGTCACGGAATAGCTCTGCATGCACTGCAGGGGAATGGGGCCTCATCTCGCCTCTAGGGGGAAGTCTCATGGTTTTTCTCGAGTTGCGGCGGGGACCTGGGGTATGTTCTCGACTTACGGCGGGGATGGCCCTTCAAAACACGAGTTTCTTCAGTGACGTCAGGACTCCTGTCTAGTAACGAGGGACACCTCAGGAATCTCTTCGAGGCTTGGCAGGGGCAAAGGGACGCTTCTCGAGGTGAGGGAGGGCACCCAAGGACCCTTTCCAGTAGCCACAGGGATTTTGGGATTCCTATCAGTATTCAAGAGGAGTCAGGCATCGTCACCTTTTGAAGCAATGAACTCCGCGTGCCTCTCGAGGTGTCAGCGGGATGTGAGGCATTCCGTCAAAATGAGGCAGGGACCTAGGGCTTTCTCTAAGGTCTCCACAGGGGATTCAGACATCCCTTCATGTTGTGAGATGAAAGACGAGCCTGTATTCAAGCCACTGCAAGGAAATCCGGCCTCCTTTCAAGTTAGGGCTTCTCGCTGTATATTCCCCTTGAGGCAGCAAACTCGGGGTCCCTCCCACATACCTATTGCTGAGAGAAGCCTCCTCCTGAGGTGCTTCTGGGAAGTTGGCATACGCCTTGAGCCTAAGCCAGGGAATCAGCTCGCATCTCGAGACGATTTGGGGTACACGGAGCATTCCTCGAGTTGCTGTGCTGAAGTTGGTGTTCCTCTAGACTTGGGACAGTGTTCTCGGGGCATCTCTGGAGTTGCCTGAAGGAAGTCGAGCCACCGGTCGTGTTGAATGGGGAACGGGGAATGGCTCTGGAGTCAATGCAGGGGAATCGGGCCTCATCTCGAGTTGATTTGGGGCACATGGAGCTGCTTTGCGTTGCTGGGGTGACCTCAGGGTCCGTCTAGACTGGTGACAGTGTTCTTGGGGACTGTCTCGAGATCCATTAAGCAAGTCGAAGCTCCTGACTTGTTTGAATGGGGTCACGGAATAGCTCTGCATGCACTGCAGGGGAATGGGGCCTCATCTCGCCTCTAGGGGGAAGTCTCATGGTTTTTCTCGAGTTGCGGCGGGGACCTGGGGTATGTTCTCGACTTACGGCGGGGATGGCCCTTCAAAACACGAGTTTCTTCAGTGACGTCAGGACTCCTGTCTAGTAACGAGGGACACCTCAGGAATCTCTTCGAGGCTTGGCAGGGCCAAAGGGACGCTTCTCGAGGTGAGGCAGGGCACCCAAGGACCCTTTCCAGTAGCCACAGGGATTTTGGGATTCCTATCAGTATTCAAGAGGAGTCAGGCATCGTCACCTTTTGAAGCAATGAACTCTGCGTGCCTCTCGAGGTGTCAGCGGGATGTGAGGCATTCCGTCAAAATGAGGCAGGGACCTAGGGCTTTCTCTAAGGTCTCCACAGGGGATTCAGACATCCCTTCATGTTGTGAGATGAAAGACGAGCCTGTATTCAAGCCACTGCAAGGAAATCCGGCCTCCTTTCAAGTTAGGGCTTCTCGCTGTATATTCCCCTTGAGGCAGCAAACTCGGGGTCCCTCCCACATACCTATTGCTGAGAGAAGCCTCCTCCTGAGGTGCTTCTGGGAAGTTGGCATACGTCTTGAGCCTAAGCCAGGGAATCAGCTCGCATCTCGAGACGATTTGGGGTACACGGAGCATTCCTCGAGTTGCTGTGCTGAAGTTGGTGTTCCTCTAGACTTGGGACAGTGTTCTCGGGGCATCTCTGGAGTTGCCTGAAGGAAGTCGAGCCACCGGTCGTGTTGAATGGGGAACGGGGAATGGCTCTGGAGTCAATGCAGGGGAATCGGGCCTCATCTCGAGTTGATTTGGGGCACATGGAGCTGCTTTGCGTTGCTGGGGAGACCTCAGGGTCCGTCTAGACTGGTGACAGTGTTCTTGGGGACTGTCTCGAGATCCATTAAGCAAGTCGAAGCTCCTGACTTGTTTGAATGGGATCACGGAATAGCTCTGCATGCACTGCAGGGGAATGGGGCCTCATCTCGCCTCTAGGGGGAAGTCTCATGTTTTTTCTCGAGTTGCGGCGGGGACCTGGGGTATGTTCTCGACTTACGGCGGGGATGGCCCTTCAAAACACGAGTTTCTTCAGTGACGTCAGGACTCCTGTCTAGTAACGAGGGACACCTCAGGAATCTCTTCGAGGCTTGGCAGGGCCAAAGGGACGCTTCTCGAGGTGAGGCAGGGCACCCAAGGACCCTTTCCAGTAGCCACAGGGATTTTGGGATTCCTATCAGTATTCAAGAGGAGTCAGGCATCGTCACCTTTTGAAGCAATGAACTCCGCGTGCCTCTCGAGGTGTCAGCGGGATGTGAGGCATCCCGTCAAAATGAGGCAGGGACCTAGGGCTTTCTCTAAGGTCTCCACAGGGGATTCAGACATCCCTTCATGTTGTGAGATGAAAGACGAGCCTGTATTCAAGCCACTGCAAGGAAATCCGGCCTCCTTTCAAGTTAGGGCTTCTCGCTGTATATTCCCCTTGAGGCAGCAAACTCGGGGTCCGTCCCACATACCTATTGCTGAGAGAAGCCTCCTCCTGAGGTGCTTCTGGGAAGTTGGCATACGTCTTGAGCCTAAGCCAGGGAATCAGCTCACATCTCGAGACGATTTGGGGTACACGGAGCATTCCTCGAGTTGCTGTGCTGAAGTTGGTGTTCCTCTAGACTTGGGACAGTGTTCTCGGGGCATCTCTGGAGTTGCCTGAAGGAAGTCGAGCCACCGGTCGTGTTGAATGGGGAACGGGGAATGGCTCTGGAGTCAATGCAGGGGAATCGGGCCTCATCTCGAGTTGATTTGGGGCACATGGAGCTGCTTTGCGTTGCTGGGGTGACCTCAGGGTCCGTCTAGACTGGTGACAGTGTTCTTGGGGACTGTCTCGAGATCCATTAAGCAAGTCGAAGCTCCTGACTTGTTTGAATGGGATCACGGAATAGCTCTGCATGCACTGCAGGGGAATGGGGCCTCATCTCGCCTCTAGGGGGAAGTCTCATGGTTTTTCTCGAGTTGCGGCGGGGACCTGGGGTATGTTCTCGACTTACGGCGGGGATGGCCCTTCAAAACACGAGTTTCTTCAGTGACGTCAGGACTCCTGTCTAGTAACGAGGGACACCTCAGGAATCTCTTCGAGGCTTGGCAGGGCCAAAGGGACGCTTCTCGAGGTGAGGCAGGGCACCCAAGGACCCTTTCCAGTAGCCACAGGGATTTTGGGATTCCTATCAGTATTCAAGAGGAGTCAGGCATCGTCACCTTTTGAAGCAATGAACTCCGCGTGCCTCTCGAGGTGTCAGCGGGATGTGAGGCATCCCGTCAAAATGAGGCAGGGACCTAGGGCTTTCTCTAAGGTCTCCACAGGGGATTCAGACATCCCTTCATGTTGTGAGATGAAAGACGAGCCTGTATTCAAGCCACTGCAAGGAAATCCGGCCTCCTTTCAAGTTAGGGCTTCTCGCTGTATATTCCCCTTGAGGCAGCAAACTCGGGGTCCCTCCCACATACCTATTGCTGAGAGAAGCCTCCTCCTGAGGTGCTTCTGGGAAGTTGGCATACGTCTTGAGCCTAAGCCAGGGAATCAGCTCGCATCTCGAGACGATTTGGGGTACACGGAGCATTCCTCGAGTTGCTGTGCTGAAGTTGGTGTTCCTCTAGACTTGGGACAGTGTTCTCGGGGCATCTCTGGAGTTGCCTGAAGGAAGTCGAGCCACCGGTCGTGTTGAATGGGGAACGGGGAATGGCTCTGGAGTCAATGCAGGGGAATCGGGCCTCATCTCGAGTTGATTTGGGGCACATGGAGCTGCTTTGCGTTGCTGGGGTGACCTCAGGGTCCGTCTAGACTGGTGACAGTGTTCTTGGGGACTGTCTCGAGATCCATTAAGCAAGTCGAAGCTCCTGACTTGTTTGAATGGGGTCACGGAATAGCTCTGCATGCACTGCAGGGGAATGGGGCCTCATCCCGCCTCTAGGGGGAAGTCTCATGGTTTTTCTCGAGTTGCGGCGGGGACCTGGGGTATGTTCTCGACTTACGGCGGGGATGGCCCTTCAAAACACGAGTTTCTTCAGTGACGTCAGGACTCCTGTCTAGTAACGAGGGACACCTCAGGAATCTCTTCGAGGCTTGGCAGGGCCAAAGGGACGCTTCTCGAGGTGAGGCAGGGCACCCAAGGACCCTTTCCAGTAGCCACAGGGATTTTGGGATTCCTATCAGTATTCAAGAGGAGTCAGGCATCGTCACCTTTTGAAGCAATGAACTCCGCGTGCCTCTCGAGGTGTCAGCGGGATGTGAGGCATCCCGTCAAAATGAGGCAGGGACCTAGGGCTTTCTCTAAGGTCTCCACAGGGGATTCAGACATCCCTTCATGTTGTGAGATGAAAGACGAGCCTGTATTCAAGCCACTGCAAGGAAATCCGGCCTCCTTTCAAGTTAGGGCTTCTCGCTGTATATTCCCCTTGAGGCAGCAAACTCGGGGTCCCTCCCACATACCTATTGCTGAGAGAAGCCTCCTCCTGAGGTGCTTCTGGGAAGTTGGCATACGTCTTGAGCCTAAGCCAGGGAATCAGCTCGCATCTCGAGACGATTTGGGGTACACGGAGCATTCCTCGAGTTGCTGTGCTGAAGTTGGTGTTCCTCTAGACTTGGGACAGTGTTCTCGGGGCATCTCTGGAGTTGCCTGAAGGAAGTCGAGCCACCGGTCGTGTTGAATGGGGAACGGGGAATGGCTCTGGAGTCAATGCAGGGGAATCGGGCCTCATCTCGAGTTGATTTGGGGCACATGGAGCTGCTTTGCGTTGCTGGGGTGACCTCAGGGTCCGTCTAGACTGGTGACAGTGTTCTTGCGGACTGTCTCGAGATCCATTAAGCAAGTCGAAGCTCCTGACTTGTTTGAATGGGGTCACGGAATAGCTCTGCATGCACTGCAGGGGAATGGGGCCTCATCTCGCCTCTAGGGGGAAGTCTCATGGTTTTTCTCGAGTTGCGGCGGGGACCTGGGGTATGTTCTCGACTTACGGCGGGGATGGCCCTTCAAAACACGAGTTTCTTCAGTGACGTCAGGACTCCTGTCTAGTAACGAGGGACACCTCAGGAATCTCTTCGAGGCTTGGCAGGGCCAAAGGGACGCTTCTCGAGGTGAGGCAGGGCACCCAAGGACCCTTTCCAGTAGCCACAGGGATTTTGGGATTCCTATCAGTATTCAAGAGGAGTCAGGCATCGTCACCTTTTGAAGCAATGAACTCCGCGTGCCTCTCGAGGTGTCAGCGGGATGTGAGGCATTCCGTCAAAATGAGGCAGGGACCTAGGGCTTTCTCTAAGGTCTCCACAGGGGATTCAGACATCCCTTCATGTTGTGAGATGAAAGACGAGCCTGTATTCAAGCCACTGCAAGGAAATCCGGCCTCCTTTCAAGTTAGGGCTTCTCGCTGTATATTCCCCTTGAGGCAGCAAACTCGGGGTCCCTCCCACATACCTATTGCTGAGAGAAGCCTCCTCCTGAGGTGCTTCTGGGAAGTTGGCATACGTCTTGAGCCTAAGCCAGGGAATCAGCTCTCATCTCGAGACGATTTGGGGTACACAGAGCATTCCTCGAGTTGCTGTGCTGAAGTTGGTGTTCCTCTAGACTTGGGACAGTGTTCTCGGGGCATCTCTGGAGTTGCCTGAAGGAAGTCGAGCCACCGGTCGTGTTGAATGGGGAACGGGGAATGGCTCTGGAGTCAATGCAGGGGAATCGGGCCTCATCTCGAGTTGATTTGGGGCACATGGAGCTGCTTTGCGTTGCTGGGGTGACCTCAGGGTCCGTCTAGACTGGTGACAGTGTTCTTGGGGACTGTCTCGAGATCCATTAAGCAAGTCGAAGCTCCTGACTTGTTTGAATGGGGTCACGGAATAGCTCTGCATGCACTGCAGGGGAATGGGGCCTCATCTCGCCTCTAGGGGGAAGTCTCATGGTTTTTCTCGAGTTGCGGCGGGGACCTGGGGTATGTTCTCGACTTACGGCGGGGATGGCCCTTCAAAACACGAGTTTCTTCAGTGACGTCAGGACTCCTGTCTAGTAACGAGGGACACCTCAGGAATCTCTTCGAGGCTTGGCAGGGCCAAAGGGACGCTTCTCGAGGTGAGGCAGGGCACCCAAGGACCCTTTCCAGTAGCCACAGGGATTTTGGGATTCCTATCAGTATTCAAGAGGAGTCAGGCATCGTCACCTTTTGAAGCAATGAACTCCGCGTGCCTCTCGAGGTGTCAGCGGGATGTGAGGCATTCCGTCAAAATGAGGCAGGGACCTAGGGCTTTCTCTAAGGTCTCCACAGGGGATTCAGACATCCCTTCATGTTGTGAGATGAAAGACGAGCCTGTATTCAAGCCACTGCAAGGAAATCCGGCCTCCTTTCAAGTTAGGGCTTCTCGCTGTATATTCCCCTTGAGGCAGCAAACTCGGGGTCCCTCCCACATACCTATTGCTGAGAGAAGCCTCCTCCTGAGGTGCTTCTGGGAAGTTGGCATACGTCTTGAGCCTAAGCCAGGGAATCAGCTCGCATCTCGAGATGATTTGGGGTAGACGGAGCATTCCTCGAGTTGCTGTGCTGAAGTTGGTGTTCCTCTAGACTTGGGACAGTGTTCTCGGGGCATCTCTGGAGTTGCCTGAAGGAAGTCGAGCCACCGGTCGTGTTGAATTGGGAACGGGGAATGGCTCTGGAGTCAATGCAGGGGAATCGGGCCTCATCTCGAGTTGATTTGGGGCACATGGAGCTGCTTTGCGTTGCTGGGGTGACCTCAGGGTCCGTCTAGACTGGTGACAGTGTTCTTGGGGACTGTCTCGAGATCCATTAAGCAAGTCGAAGCTCCTGACTTGTTTGAATGGGATCACGGAATAGCTCTGCATGCACTGCAGGGGAATGGGGCCTCATCTCGCCTCTAGGGGGAAGTCTCATGGTTTTTCTCGAGTTGCGGCGGGGACCTGGGGTATGTTCTCGACTTACGGCGGGGATGGCCCTTCAAAACACGAGTTTCTTCAGTGACGTCAGGACTCCTGTCTAGTAACGAGGGACACCTCAGGAATCTCTTCGAGGCTTGGCAGGGCCAAAGGGACGCTTCTCGAGGTGAGGCAGGGCACCCAAGGACCCTTTCCAGTAGCCACAGGGATTTTGGGATTCCTATCAGTATTCAAGAGGAGTCAGGCATCGTCACCTTTTGAAGCAATGAACTCCGCGTGCCTCTCGAGGTGTCAGCGGGATGTGAGGCATTCCGTCAAAATGAGGCAGGGACCTAGGGCTTTCTGTAAGGTCTCCACAGGGGATTCAGACATCCCTTCATGTTGTGAGATGAAAGACGAGCCTGTATTCAAGCCACTGCAAGGAAATCCGGCCTCCTTTCAAGTTAGGGCTTCTCGCTGTATATTCCCCTTGAGGCAGCAAACTCGGGGTCCCTCCCACATACCTATTGCTGAGAGAAGCCTCCTCCTGAGGTGCTTCTGGGAAGTTGGCATACGCCTTGAGCCTAAGCCAGGGAATCAGCTTGCATCTCGAGACGATTTGGGGTACACAGAGCATTCCTCGAGTTGCTGTGCTGAAGTTGGTGTTCCTCTAGACTTGGGACAGTGTTCTCGGGGCATCTCTGGAGTTGCCTGAAGGAAGTCGAGCCACCGGTCGTGTTGAATGGGGAACGGGGAATGGCTCTGGAGTCAATGCAGGGGAATCGGGCCTCATCTCGAGTTGATTTGGGGCACATGGAGCTGCTTTGCGTTGCTGGGGTGACCTCAGGGTCCGTCTAGACTGGTGACAGTGTTCTTGGGGACTGTCTCGAGATCCATTAAGCAAGTCGAAGCTCCTGACTTGTTTGAATGGGGTCACGGAATAGCTCTGCATGCACTGCAGCGGAATGGGGCCTCATCTCGCCTCTAGGGGGAAGTCTCATGGTTTTTCTCGAGTTGCGGCGGGGACCTGGGGTATGTTCTCGACTTACGGCGGGGATGGCCCTTCAAAACACGAGTTTCTTCAGTGACGTCAGGACTCCTGTCTAGTAACGAGGGACACCTCAGGTATCTCTTCGAGGCTTGGCAGGGCCAAAGGGATGCTTCTCGAGGTGAGGGAGGGCACCCAAGGACCCTTTCCAGTAGCCACAGGGATTTTGGGATTCCTATCAGTATTCAAGAGGAGTCAGGCATCGTCACCTTTTGAAGCAATGAACTCCGCGTGCCTCTCGAGGTGTCAGCGGGATGTGAGGCATTCCGTCAAAATGAGGCAGGGACCTAGGGCTTTCTCTAAGGTCTCCACAGGGGATTCAGACATCCCTTCATGTTGTGAGATGAAAGACGAGCCTGTATTCAAGCCACTGCAAGGAAATCCGGCCTCCTTTCAAGTTAGGGCTTCTCGCTGTATATTCCCCTTGAGGCAGCAAACTCGGGGTCCCTCCCACATACCTATTGCTGAGAGAAGCCTCCTCCTGAGGTGCTTCTGGGAAGTTGGCATATGTCTTGAGCCTAAGCCAGGGAATCAGCTCGCATCTCGAGACGATTTGGGGTACACAGAGCATTCCTCGAGTTGCTGTGCTGAAGTTGGTGTTCCTCTAGACTTGGGACAGTGTTCTCGGGGCATCTCTGGAGTTGCCTGAAGGAAGTCGAGCCACCGGTCGTGTTGAATGGGGAACGGGGAATGGCTCTGGAGTCAATGCAGGGGAATCGGGCCTCATCTCGAGTTGATTTGGGGCACATGGAGCTGCTTTGCGTTGCTGGGGTGACCTCAGGGTCCGTCTAGACTGGTGACAGTGTTCTTGGGGACTGTCTCGAGATCCATTAAGCAAGTCGAAGCTCCTGACTTGTTTGAATGGGGTCACGGAATAGCTCTGCATGCACTGCAGGGGAATGGGGCCTCATCTCGCCTCTAGGGGGAAGTCTCATGGTTTTTCTCGAGTTGCGGCGGGGACCTGGGGTATGTTCTCGACTTACGGCGGGGATGGCCCTTCAAAACACGAGTTTCTTCAGTGACGTCAGGACTCCTGTCTAGTAACGAGGGACACCTCAGGAATCTCTTCGAGGCTTGGCAGGGCCAAAGGGACGCTTCTCGAGGTGAGGCAGGGCACCCAAGGACCCTTTCCAGTAGCCACAGGGATTTTGGGATTCCTATCAGTATTCAAGAGGAGTCAGGCATCGTCACCTTTTGAAGCAATGAACTCCGCGTGCCTCTCGAGGTGTCAGCGGGATGTGAGGCATTCCGTCAAAATGAGGCAGGGACCTAGGGCTTTCTCTAAGGTCTCCACAGGGGATTCAGACATCCCTTCATGTTGTGAGATGAAAGACGAGCCTGTATTCAAGCCACTGCAAGGAAATCCGGCCTCGTTTCAAGTTAGGGCTTCTCGCTGTATATTCCCCTTGAGGCAGCAAACTCGGGGTACCCCCCACATACCTATTGCTGAGAGAAGCCTCCTCCTGAGGTGCTTCTGGGAAGTTGGCATACGTCTTGAGCATAAGCCAGGGAATCAGCTCTCATCTCGAGACGATTTGGGGTAGACGGAGCATTCCTCGAGTTGCTGTGCTGAAGTTGGTGTTCCTCGAGACTTGGGACAGTGTTCTCGGGGCATCTCTGGAGTTGCCTGAAGGAAGTCGAGCCACCGGTCGTGTTGAATGGGGAACGGGGAATGGCTCTGGAGTCAATGCAGGGGAATCGGGCCTCATCTCGAGTTGATTTGGGGCACATGGAGCTGCTTTGCGTTGCTGGGGTGACCTCAGGGTCCGTCTAGACTGGGGACAGTGTTCTTGGGGACTCTCTCGAGATCCATTAAGCAAGTCGAAGCTCCTGACTTGTTTGAATGGGATCACGGAATAGCTCTGCATGCACTGCAGGGGAATGGGGCCTCATCTCGCCTCTAGGGGGAAGTCTCATGGTTTTTCTCGAGTTGCGGCGGGGACCTGGGGTATGTTCTCGACTTACGGCGGGGATGGCCCTTCAAAACACGAGTTTCTTCAGTGACGTCAGGACTCCTGTCTAGTAACGAGGGACACCTCAGGAATCTCTTCGAGGCTTGGCAGGGCAAAAGGGACGCTTCTCGAGGTGAGGCAGGGCACCCAAGGACCCTTTCCAGTAGCCACAGGGATTTTGGGATTCCTATCAGTATTCAAGAGGAGTCAGGCATCGTCACCTTTTGAAGCAATGAACTCCGCGTGCCTCTCGAGGTGTCAGCGGGATGTGAGGCATTCCGTCAAAATGAGGCAGGGACCTAGGGCTTTCTCTAAGGTCTCCACAGGGGATTCAGACATCCCTTCATGTTGTGAGATGAAAGACGAGCCTGTATTCAAGCCACTGCAAGGAAATCCGGCCTCCTTTCAAGTTAGGGCTTCTCGCTGTATATTCCCCTTGAGGCAGCAAACTCGGGGTCCCTCCCACATACCTATCGCTGAGAGAAGCCTCCTCCTGAGGTGCTTCTGGGAAGTTGGCATACGTCTTGAGCCTAAGCCAGGGAATCAGCTCTCATCTCGAGACGATTTGGGGTACACGGAGCATTCCTCGTGTTGCTGTGCTGAAGTTGGTGTTCCTCTAGACATGGGACAGTGTTCTCGGGGCATCTCTGGAGTTGCCTGAAGGAAGTCGAGCCACCGGTCGCGTTGAATGGGGAACGGGGAATGGCTCTGGAGTCAATGCAGGGGAATCGGGCCTCATCTCGAGTTGATTTGGGGCACATGGAGCTGCTTTGCGTTGCTGGGGTGACCTCAGGGTCCGTCTAGACTGGGGACAGTGTTCTTGGGGACTGTCTCGAGATCCATTAAGCAAGTCGAAGCTCCTGACTTGTTTGAATGGGATCACGGAATAGCTCTGCATGCACTGCAGGGGAATGGGGCCTCATCTCGCCTCTAGGGGGAAGTCTCATGGTTTTTCTCGAGTTGCGGCGGGGACCTGGGGTATGTTCTCGACTTACGGCGGGGATGGCCCTTCAAAACACGAGTTTCTTCAGTGACGTCAGGACTCCTGTCTAGTAACGAGGGACACCTCAGGAATCTCTTCGAGGCTTGGCAGGGCAAAAGGGACGCTTCTCGAGGTGAGGCAGGGCACCCAAGGACCCTTTCCAGTAGCCACAGGGATTTTGGGATTCCTATCAGTATTCAAGAGGAGTCAGGCATCGTCACCTTTTGAAGCAATGAACTCCGCGTGCCTCTCGAGGTGTCAGCGGGATGTGAGGCATTCCGTCAAAATGAGGCAGGGACCTAGGGCTTTCTCTAAGGTCTCCATAGGGGATTCAGACATCCCTTCATGTTGTGAGATGAAAGACGAGCCTGTATTCAAGCCACTGCAAGGAAATCCGGCCTCGTTTCAAGTTAGGGCTTCTCGCTGTATATTCCCCTTGAGGCAGCAAACTCGGGGTCCCTCCCACACACCTATTGCTGAGAGAAGCCTCCTCCTGAGGTGCTTCTGGGAAGTTGGCATACGTCTTGAGCCTAAGCCAGGGAATCAGCTCTCATCTCAAGACGATTTGGGGTACACGGAGCATTCCTCGAGTTGCTGTGCTGAAGTTGGTGTTCCTCGAGACTTGGGACAGTGTTCTCGGGGCATCTCTGGAGTTGCCTGAAGGAAGTCGAGCCACCGGTCGTGTTGAATGGGGAACGGGGAATGGCTCTGGAGTCAATGCAGGGGAATCGGGCCTCATCTCGAGTTGATTTGGGGCACATGGAGCTGCTTTGCGTTGCTGGGGTGACCTCAGGGTCCGTCTAGACTGGGGACAGTGTTCTTGGGGACTCTCTCGAGATCCATTAAGCAAGTCGAAGCTCCTGACTTGTTTGAATGGGATCACGGAATAGCTCTGCATGCACTGCAGGGGAATGGGGCCTCATCTCGCCTCTAGGGGGAAGTCTCATGGTTTTTCTCGAGTTGCGGCGGGGACCTGGGGTATGTTCTCGACTTACGGCGGGGATGGCCCTTCAAAACACGAGTTTCTTCAGTGACGTCAGGACTCCTGTCTAGTAACGAGGGACACCTCAGGAATCTCTTCGAGGCTTGGCAGGGCAAAAGGGACGCTTCTCGAGGTGAGGCAGGGCACCCAAGGACCCTTTCCAGTAGCCACAGGGATTTTGGGATTCCTATCAGTATTCAAGAGGAGTCAGGCATCGTCACCTTTTGAAGCAATGAACTCCGCGTGCCTCTCGAGGTGTCAGCGGGATGTGAGGCATTCCGTCAAAATGAGGCAGGGACCTAGGGCTTTCTCTAAGGTCTCCACAGGGGATTCAGACATCCCTTCATGTTGTGAGATGAAAGACGAGCCTGTATTCAAGCCACTGCAAGGAAATCCGGCCTCCTTTCAAGTTAGGGCTTCTCGCTGTATATTCCCCTTGAGGCAGCAAACTCGGGGTCCCTCCCACATACCTATCGCTGAGAGAAGCCTCCTCCTGAGGTGCTTCTGGGAAGTTGGCATACGTCTTGAGCCTAAGCCAGGGAATCAGCTCTCATCTCGAGACGATTTGGGGTACACGGAGCATTCCTCGTGTTGCTGTGCTGAAGTTGGTGTTCCTCTAGACATGGGACAGTGTTCTCGGGGCATCTCTGGAGTTGCCTGAAGGAAGTCGAGCCACCGGTCGCGTTGAATGGGGAACGGGGAATGGCTCTGGAGTCAATGCAGGGGAATCGGGCCTCATCTCGAGTTGATTTGGGGCACATGGAGCTGCTTTGCGTTGCTGGGGTGACCTCAGGGTCCGTCTAGACTGGGGACAGTGTTCTTGGGGACTGTCTCGAGATCCATTAAGCAAGTCGAAGCTCCTGACTTGTTTGAATGGGATCACGGAATAGCTCTGCATGCACTGCAGGGGAATGGGGCCTCATCTCGCCTCTAGGGGGAAGTCTCATGGTTTTTCTCGAGTTGCGGCGGGGACCTGGGGTATGTTCTCGACTTACGGCGGGGATGGCCCTTCAAAACACGAGTTTCTTCAGTGACGTCAGGACTCCTGTCTAGTAACGAGGGACACCTCAGGAATCTCTTCGAGGCTTGGCAGGGCAAAAGGGACGCTTCTCGAGGTGAGGCAGGGCACCCAAGGACCCTTTCCAGTAGCCACAGGGATTTTGGGATTCCTATCAGTATTCAAGAGGAGTCAGGCATCGTCACCTTTTGAAGCAATGAACTCCGCGTGCCTCTCGAGGTGTCAGCGGGATGTGAGGCATTCCGTCAAAATGAGGCAGGGACCTAGGGCTTTCTCTAAGGTCTCCATAGGGGATTCAGACATCCCTTCATGTTGTGAGATGAAAGACGAGCCTGTATTCAAGCCACTGCAAGGAAATCCGGCCTCGTTTCAAGTTAGGGCTTCTCGCTGTATATTCCCCTTGAGGCAGCAAACTCGGGGTCCCTCCCACACACCTATTGCTGAGAGAAGCCTCCTCCTGAGGTGCTTCTGGGAAGTTGGCATACGTCTTGAGCCTAAGCCAGGGAATCAGCTCTCATCTCAAGACGATTTGGGGTACACGGAGCATTCCTCGAGTTGCTGTGCTGAAGTTGGTGTTCCTCGAGACTTGGGACAGTGTTCTCGGGGCATCTCTGGAGTTGCCTGAAGGAAGTCGAGCCACCGGTCGTGTTGAATGGGGAACGGGGAATGGCTCTGGAGTCAATGCAGGGGAATCGGGCCTCATCTCGAGTTGATTTGGGGCACATGGAGCTGCTTTGCGTTGCTGGGGTGACCTCAGGGTCCGTCTAGACTGGGGACAGTGTTCTTGGGGACTCTCTCGAGATCCATTAAGCAAGTCGAAGCTCCTGACTTGTTTGAATGGGATCACGGAATAGCTCTGCATGCACTGCAGGGGAATGGGGCCTCATCTCGCCTCTAGGGGGAAGTCTCATGGTTTTTCTCGAGTTGCGGCGGGGACCTGGGGTATGTTCTCGACTTACGGCGGGGATGGCCCTTCAAAACACGAGTTTCTTCAGTGACGTCAGGACTCCTGTCTAGTAACGAGGGACACCTCAGGAATCTCTTCGAGGCTTGGCAGGGCAAAAGGGACGCTTCTCGAGGTGAGGCAGGGCACCCAAGGACCCTTTCCAGTAGCCACAGGGATTTTGGGATTCCTATCAGTATTCAAGAGGAGTCAGGCATCGTCACCTTTTGAAGCAATGAACTCCGCGTGCCTCTCGAGGTGTCAGCGGGATGTGAGGCATTCCGTCAAAATGAGGCAGGGACCTAGGGCTTTCTCTAAGGTCTCCACAGGGGATTCAGACATCCCTTCATGTTGTGAGATGAAAGACGAGCCTGTATTCAAGCCACTGCAAGGAAATCCGGCCTCGTTTCAAGTTAGGGCTTCTCGCTGTATATTCCCCTTGAGGCAGCAAACTCGGGGTCCCTCCCACATACCTATCGCTGAGAGAAGCCTCCTCCTGAGGTGCTTCTGGGAAGTTGGCATACGTCTTGAGCCTAAGCCAGGGAATCAGCTCTCATCTCGAGACGATTTGGGGTACACGGAGCATTCCTCGTGTTGCTGTGCTGAAGTTGGTGTTCCTCTAGACTTGGGACAGTGTTCTCGGGGCATCTCTGGAGTTGCCTGAAGGAAGTCGAGCCACCGGTCGTGTTGAATGGGGAACGGGGAATGGCTCTGGAGTCAATGCAGGGGAATCGGGCCTCATCTCGAGTTGATTTGGGGCACATGGAGCTGCTTTGCGTTGCTGGGGTGACCTCAGGGTCCGTCTAGACTGGGGACAGTGTTCTTGGGGACTGTCTCGAGATCCATTAAGCAAGTCGAAGCTCCTGACTTGTTTGAATGGGATCACGGAATAGCTCTGCATGCACTGCAGGGGAATGGGGCCTCATCTCGCCTCTAGGGGGAAGTCTCATGGTTTCTCTCAAGTTGCGGCGGGGACCTGGGGTATGTTCTCGACTTACGGCGGGGATGCCCCTTCAAAACACGAGTTTCTTCAGTGACGTCTGGACTCCTGTCTAGTAACGAGGGACACCTCAGGAATCTCTTCGAGGCTTGGCAGGGCAAAAGGGACGCTTCTCGAGGTGAGGCAGGGCACCCAAGGACCCTTTCCAGTAGCCACAGGGATTTTGGGATTCCTATCAGTATTCAAGAGGAGTCAGGCATCGTCACCTTTTGAAGCAATGAACTCCGCGTGCCTCTCGAGGTGTCAGCGGGATGTGAGGCATTCCGTCAAAATGAGGCAGGGACCTAGGGCTTTCTCTAAGGTCTCCACAGGGGATTCAGACATCCCTTCATGTTGTGAGATGAAAGACGAGCCTGTATTCAAGCCACTGCAAGGAAATCCGGCCTCCTTCCAAGTTACGGCTTCTCGCTGTATATTCCCCTTGAGGCAGCAAACTCGGGGTCCCTCCCACATACCTATTGCTGAGAGAAGCCTCCTCCTGAGGTGCTTCTGGGAAGTTGGCATACGTCTTGAGCCTAAGCCAGGGAATCAGCTCTCATCTCGAGACGATTTGGGGTACACGGAGCATTCCTCGAGTTGCTGTGCTGAAGTTGGTGTTCCTCTAGACTTGGGACAGTGTTCTCGGGGCATCTCTGGAGTTGCCTGAAGGAAGTCGAGCCACCGGTCGTGTTGAATGGGGAACGGGGAATGGCTCTGGAGTCAATGCAGGGGAATCGGGCCTCATCTCGAGTTGATTTGGGGCACATGGAGCTGCTTTGCGTTGCTGGGGTGACCTCAGGGTCCGTCTAGACTGGGGACAGTGTTCTTGGGGACTGTCTCGAGATCCATTAAGCAAGTCGAAGCTCCTGACTTGTTTGAATGGGATCACGGAATAGCTCTGCATGCACTGCAGGGGAATGGGGCCTCATCTCGCCTCTAGGGGGAAGTCTCATGTTTTTTCTCGAGTTGCGGCGGGGACCTGGGGTATGTTCTCGACTTACGGCGGGGATGGCCCTTCAAAACACGAGTTTCTTCAGTGACGTCAGGACTCCTGTCTAGTAACGAGGGACACCTCAGGAATCTCTTCGAGGCTTGGCAGGGCCAAAGGGACGCTTCTCGAGGTGAGGCAGGGCACCCAAGGACCCTTTCCAGTAGCCACAGGGATTTTGGGATTCCTATCAGTATTCAAGAGGAGTCAGGCATCGTCACCTTTTGAAGCAATGAACTCCGCGTGCCTCTCGAGGTGTCAGCGGGATGTGAGGCATTCCGTCAAAATGAGGCAGGGACCTAGGGCTTTCTCTAAGGTCTCCACAGGGGATTCAGACATCCCTTCATGTTGTGAGATGAAAGACGAGCCTGTATTCAAGCCACTGCAAGGAAATCCGGCCTCCTTTCAAGTTAGGGCTTCTCGCTGTATATTCCCCTTGAGGCAGCAAACTCGGGGCCCCTCCCACATACTTATTGCTGAGAGAAGCCTCCTCCTGAGGTGCTTCTGGGAAGTTGGCATATGTCTTGAGCCTAAGCCAGGGAATCAGCTCTCATCTCAAGACGATTTGTGGTACACGGAGCATTCCTCGAGTTGCTGTGCTGAAGTTGGTGTTCCTCGAGACTTGGGACAGTGTTCTCGGGGCATCTCTGGAGTTGCCTGAAGTAAGTCGAGCCACCGGTCGTGTTGAATGGAGAACGGGGAATGGCTCTGGAGTCAATGCAGGGGAATCGGGCCTCATCTCGAGTTGATTTGGGGCACATGGAGCTGCTTTGCGTTGCTGGGTTGACCTCAGGGTCCGTCTAGACTGGTGACAGTGTTCTTGGGGACTGTCTCGAGATCCATTAAGCAAGTCGAAGCTCCTGACTTGTTTGAATGGGATCACGGAATAGCTCTGCATGCACTGCAGGGGAATGGGGCCTCATCTCGCCTCTAGGGGGAAGTCTCATGGTTTTTCTCGAGTTGCGGCGGGGACCTGGGGTATGTTCTCGACTTACGGTGGGGATGGCCCTTCAAAACACGAGTTTCTTCAGTGACGTCAGGACTCCTGTCTAGTAACGAGCGACACCTCAGCAATCTCTTCGAGGCTTGGCAGGGCAAAAGGGACGCTTCTCGAGGTGAGGCAGGGCACCCAAGGACCCTTTCCAGTAGCCACAGGGATTTTGGGATTCCTATCAGTATTCAAGAGGAGTCAGGCATCGTCACCTTTTGAAGCAATGAACTCCGCGTGCCTCTCGAGGTGTCAGCGGGATGTGAGGCATTCCGTCAAAATGAGGCAGGGACCTAGGGCTTTCTCTAAGGTCTCCACAGGGGATTCAGACATCCCTTCATGTTGTGAGATGAAAGACGAGCCTGTATTCAAGCCACTGCAAGGAAATCCGGCCTCCTTTCAAGTTAGGGCTTCTCGCTGTATATTCCCCTTGAGGCAGCAAACTCGGGGTCCCTCCCACATACATATTGCTGAGAGAAGCCTCCTCCTGAGGTGCTTCTGGGAAGTTGGCATACGTCTTGAGCCTAAGCCAGGGAATCCGCTCTCATCTCAAGACGATTTGGGGTACACGGAGCATTCCTCGAGTTGCTGTGCTGAAGTTGGTGTTCCTCTAGACTTGGGACAGTGTTCTCGGGGCATCTCTGGAGTTGCCTGAAGGAAGTCGAGCCACCGGTCGTGTTGAATGGGGAACGGGGAATGGCTCTGGAGTCAATGCAGGGGAATCGGGCCTCATCTCGAGTTGATTTGGGGCACATGGAGCTGCTTTGCGTTGCTAGGGTGACCTCAGGGTCCGTCTAGATTCGGGACAGTGTTCTTGGGGACTGTCTCGAGATCCATTAAGCAAGTCGAAGCTCCTGACTTGTTTGAATGGGATCACGGAATAGCTCTGCATGCACTGCAGGGGAATGGGGCCTCATCTCGCCTCTAGGGGGAAGTCTCATGGTTTTTCTCGAGTTGCGGCCGGGAACTGGGGTATGTTCTCGACTTACGGCGGGGATGGCCCTTCAAAACACGAGTTTCTTCAGTGACGTCAGGACTCCTGTCTAGTAACGAGGGACACCTCAGGAATCTCTTCGAGGCTTGGCAGGGCAAAAGGGACACTTCTCGAGGTGAGGCAGGGCACCCAAGGACCCTTTCCAGTAGCCACAGGGATTTTGGGATTCCTATCAGTATTCAAGAGGAGTCAGGCATCGTCACCTTTTGAAGCAATGAACTCCGCGTGCCTCTCGAGGTGTCAGCGGGATGTGAGGCATTCCGTCAAAATGAGGCAGGGACCTAGGGCTTTCTCTAAGGTCTCCACAGGGGATTCAGACATCCCTTCATGTTGTGAGATGAAAGACGAGCCTGTATTCAAGCCACTGCAAGGAAATCCGGCCTCCTTTCAAGTTAGGGCTTCTCGCTGTATATTCCCCTTGAGGCAGCAAACTCGGGGTCCCTCCCACATACCTATTGCTGAGAGAAGCCTCCTCCTGAGGTGCTTCTGGGAAGTTGGCATATGTCTTGAGCCTAAGCCAGGGAATCAGCTCGCATCTCGAGACGATTTGGGGTACACAGAGCATTCCTCGAGTTGCTGTGCTGAAGTTGGTGTTCCTCTAGACTTGGGACAGTGTTCTCGGGGCATCTCTGGAGTTGCCTGAAGGAAGTCGAGCCACCGGTCGTGTTGAATGGGGAACGGGGAATGGCTCTGGAGTCAATGCAGGGGAATCGGGCCTCATCTCGAGTTGATTTGGGGCACATGGAGCTGCTTTGCGTTGCTGGGGTGACCTCAGGGTCCGTCTAGACTGGTGACAGTGTTCTTGGGGACTGTCTCGAGATCCATTAAGCAAGTCGAAGCTCCTGACTTGTTTGAATGGGGTCACGGAATAGCTCTGCATGCACTGCAGGGGAATGGGGCCTCATCTCGCCTCTAGGGGGAAGTCTCATGGTTTTTCTCGAGTTGCGGCGGGGACCTGGGGTATGTTCTCGACTTACGGCGGGGATGGCCCTTCAAAACACGAGTTTCTTCAGTGACGTCAGGACTCCTGTCTAGTAACGAGGGACACCTCAGGAATCTCTTCGAGGCTTGGCAGGGCCAAAGGGACGCTTCTCGAGGTGAGGCAGGGCACCCAAGGACCCTTTCCAGTAGCCACAGGGATTTTGGGATTCCTATCAGTATTCAAGAGGAGTCAGGCATCGTCACCTTTTGAAGCAATGAACTCCGCGTGCCTCTCGAGGTGTCAGCGGGATGTGAGGCATTCCGTCAAAATGAGGCAGGGACCTAGGGCTTTCTCTAAGGTCTCCACAGGGGATTCAGACATCCCTTCATGTTGTGAGATGAAAGACGAGCCTGTATTCAAGCCACTGCAAGGAAATCCGGCCTCGTTTCAAGTTAGGGCTTCTCGCTGTATATTCCCCTTGAGGCAGCAAACTCGGGGTACCCCCCACATACCTATTGCTGAGAGAAGCCTCCTCCTGAGGTGCTTCTGGGAAGTTGGCATACGTCTTGAGCATAAGCCAGGGAATCAGCTCTCATCTCGAGACGATTTGGGGTAGACGGAGCATTCCTCGAGTTGCTGTGCTGAAGTTGGTGTTCCTCGAGACTTGGGACAGTGTTCTCGGGGCATCTCTGGAGTTGCCTGAAGGAAGTCGAGCCACCGGTCGTGTTGAATGGGGAACGGGGAATGGCTCTGGAGTCAATGCAGGGGAATCGGGCCTCATCTCGAGTTGATTTGGGGCACATGGAGCTGCTTTGCGTTGCTGGGGTGACCTCAGGGTCCGTCTAGACTGGGGACAGTGTTCTTGGGGACTCTCTCGAGATCCATTAAGCAAGTCGAAGCTCCTGACTTGTTTGAATGGGATCACGGAATAGCTCTGCATGCACTGCAGGGGAATGGGGCCTCATCTCGCCTCTAGGGGGAAGTCTCATGGTTTTTCTCGAGTTGCGGCGGGGACCTGGGGTATGTTCTCGACTTACGGCGGGGATGGCCCTTCAAAACACGAGTTTCTTCAGTGACGTCAGGACTCCTGTCTAGTAACGAGGGACACCTCAGGAATCTCTTCGAGGCTTGGCAGGGCAAAAGGGACGCTTCTCGAGGTGAGGCAGGGCACCCAAGGACCCTTTCCAGTAGCCACAGGGATTTTGGGATTCCTATCAGTATTCAAGAGGAGTCAGGCATCGTCACCTTTTGAAGCAATGAACTCCGCGTGCCTCTCGAGGTGTCAGCGGGATGTGAGGCATTCCGTCAAAATGAGGCAGGGACCTAGGGCTTTCTCTAAGGTCTCCACAGGGGATTCAGACATCCCTTCATGTTGTGAGATGAAAGACGAGCCTGTATTCAAGCCACTGCAAGGAAATCCGGCCTCCTTTCAAGTTAGGGCTTCTCGCTGTATATTCCCCTTGAGGCAGCAAACTCGGGGTCCCTCCCACATACCTATCGCTGAGAGAAGCCTCCTCCTGAGGTGCTTCTGGGAAGTTGGCATACGTCTTGAGCCTAAGCCAGGGAATCAGCTCTCATCTCGAGACGATTTGGGGTACACGGAGCATTCCTCGTGTTGCTGTGCTGAAGTTGGTGTTCCTCTAGACATGGGACAGTGTTCTCGGGGCATCTCTGGAGTTGCCTGAAGGAAGTCGAGCCACCGGTCGCGTTGAATGGGGAACGGGGAATGGCTCTGGAGTCAATGCAGGGGAATCGGGCCTCATCTCGAGTTGATTTGGGGCACATGGAGCTGCTTTGCGTTGCTGGGGTGACCTCAGGGTCCGTCTAGACTGGGGACAGTGTTCTTGGGGACTGTCTCGAGATCCATTAAGCAAGTCGAAGCTCCTGACTTGTTTGAATGGGATCACGGAATAGCTCTGCATGCACTGCAGGGGAATGGGGCCTCATCTCGCCTCTAGGGGGAAGTCTCATGGTTTTTCTCGAGTTGCGGCGGGGACCTGGGGTATGTTCTCGACTTACGGCGGGGATGGCCCTTCAAAACACGAGTTTCTTCAGTGACGTCAGGACTCCTGTCTAGTAACGAGGGACACCTCAGGAATCTCTTCGAGGCTTGGCAGGGCAAAAGGGACGCTTCTCGAGGTGAGGCAGGGCACCCAAGGACCCTTTCCAGTAGCCACAGGGATTTTGGGATTCCTATCAGTATTCAAGAGGAGTCAGGCATCGTCACCTTTTGAAGCAATGAACTCCGCGTGCCTCTCGAGGTGTCAGCGGGATGTGAGGCATTCCGTCAAAATGAGGCAGGGACCTAGGGCTTTCTCTAAGGTCTCCATAGGGGATTCAGACATCCCTTCATGTTGTGAGATGAAAGACGAGCCTGTATTCAAGCCACTGCAAGGAAATCCGGCCTCGTTTCAAGTTAGGGCTTCTCGCTGTATATTCCCCTTGAGGCAGCAAACTCGGGGTCCCTCCCACACACCTATTGCTGAGAGAAGCCTCCTCCTGAGGTGCTTCTGGGAAGTTGGCATACGTCTTGAGCCTAAGCCAGGGAATCAGCTCTCATCTCAAGACGATTTGGGGTACACGGAGCATTCCTCGAGTTGCTGTGCTGAAGTTGGTGTTCCTCGAGACTTGGGACAGTGTTCTCGGGGCATCTCTGGAGTTGCCTGAAGGAAGTCGAGCCACCGGTCGTGTTGAATGGGGAACGGGGAATGGCTCTGGAGTCAATGCAGGGGAATCGGGCCTCATCTCGAGTTGATTTGGGGCACATGGAGCTGCTTTGCGTTGCTGGGGTGACCTCAGGGTCCGTCTAGACTGGGGACAGTGTTCTTGGGGACTCTCTCGAGATCCATTAAGCAAGTCGAAGCTCCTGACTTGTTTGAATGGGATCACGGAATAGCTCTGCATGCACTGCAGGGGAATGGGGCCTCATCTCGCCTCTAGGGGGAAGTCTCATGGTTTTTCTCGAGTTGCGGCGGGGACCTGGGGTATGTTCTCGACTTACGGCGGGGATGCCCCTTCAAAACACGAGTTTCTTCAGTGACGTCTGGACTCCTGTCTAGTAACGAGGGACACCTCAGGAATCTCTTCGAGGCTTGGCAGGGCAAAAGGGACGCTTCTCGAGGTGAGGCAGGGCACCCAAGGACCCTTTCCAGTAGCCACAGGGATTTTGGGATTCCTATCAGTATTCAAGAGGAGTCAGGCATCGTCACCTTTTGAAGCAATGAACTCCGCGTGCCTCTCGAGGTGTCAGCGGGATGTGAGGCATTCCGTCAAAATGAGGCAGGGACCTAGGGCTTTCTCTAAGGTCTCCACAGGGGATTCAGACATCCCTTCATGTTGTGAGATGAAAGACGAGCCTGTATTCAAGCCACTGCAAGGAAATCCGGCCTCCTTCCAAGTTACGGCTTCTCGCTGTATATTCCCCTTGAGGCAGCAAACTCGGGGTCCCTCCCACATACCTATTGCTGAGAGAAGCCTCCTCCTGAGGTGCTTCTGGGAAGTTGGCATACGTCTTGAGCCTAAGCCAGGGAATCAGCTCTCATCTCGAGACGATTTGGGGTACACGGAGCATTCCTCGAGTTGCTGTGCTGAAGTTGGTGTTCCTCTAGACTTGGGACAGTGTTCTCGGGGCATCTCTGGAGTTGCCTGAAGGAAGTCGAGCCACCGGTCGTGTTGAATGGGGAACGGGGAATGGCTCTGGAGTCAATGCAGGGGAATTGGGCCTCATCTCGAGTTGATTTGGGGCACATGGAGCTGCTTTGCGTTGCTGGGGTGACCTCAGGGTCCGTCTAGACTGGGGACAGTGTTCTTGGGGACTGTCTCGAGATCCATTAAGCAAGTCGAAGCTCCTGACTTGTTTGAATGGGATCACGGAATAGCTCTGCATGCACTGCAGGGGAATGGGGCCTCATCTCGCCTCTAGGGGGAAGTCTCATGTTTTTTCTCGAGTTGCGGCGGGGACCTGGGGTATGTTCTCGACTTACGGCGGGGATGGCCCTTCAAAACACGAGTTTCTTCAGTGACGTCAGGACTCCTGTCTAGTAACGAGGGACACCTCAGGAATCTCTTCGAGGCTTGGCAGGGCCAAAGGGACGCTTCTCGAGGTGAGGCAGGGCACCCAAGGACCCTTTCCAGTAGCCACAGGGATTTTGGGATTCCTATCAGTATTCAAGAGGAGTCAGGCATCGTCACCTTTTGAAGCAATGAACTCCGCGTGCCTCTCGAGGTGTCAGCGGGATGTGAGGCATTCCGTCAAAATGAGGCAGGGACCTAGGGCTTTCTCTAAGGTCTCCACAGGGGATTCAGACATCCCTTCATGTTGTGAGATGAAAGACGAGCCTGTATTCAAGCCACTGCAAGGAAATCCGGCCTCCTTTCAAGTTAGGGCTTCTCGCTGTATATTCCCCTTGAGGCAGCAAACTCGGGGCCCCTCCCACATACTTATTGCTGAGAGAAGCCTCCTCCTGAGGTGCTTCTGGGAAGTTGGCATATGTCTTGAGCCTAAGCCAGGGAATCAGCTCTCATCTCAAGACGATTTGTGGTACACGGAGCATTCCTCGAGTTGCTGTGCTGAAGTTGGTGTTCCTCGAGACTTGGGACAGTGTTCTCGGGGCATCTCTGGAGTTGCCTGAAGTAAGTCGAGCCACCGGTCGTGTTGAATGGAGAACGGGGAATGGCTCTGGAGTCAATGCAGGGGAATCGGGCCTCATCTCGAGTTGATTTGGGGCACATGGAGCTGCTTTGCGTTGCTGGGTTGACCTCAGGGTCCGTCTAGACTGGTGACAGTGTTCTTGGGGACTGTCTCGAGATCCATTAAGCAAGTCGAAGCTCCTGACTTGTTTGAATGGGATCACGGAATAGCTCTGCATGCACTGCAGGGGAATGGGGCCTCATCTCGCCTCTAGGGGGAAGTCTCATGGTTTTTCTCGAGTTGCGGCGGGGACCTGGGGTATGTTCTCGACTTACGGTGGGGATGGCCCTTCAAAACACGAGTTTCTTCAGTGACGTCAGGACTCCTGTCTAGTAACGAGCGACACCTCAGCAATCTCTTCGAGGCTTGGCAGGGCAAAAGGGACGCTTCTCGAGGTGAGGCAGGGCACCCAAGGACCCTTTCCAGTAGCCACAGGGATTTTGGGATTCCTATCAGTATTCAAGAGGAGTCAGGCATCGTCACCTTTTGAAGCAATGAACTCCGCGTGCCTCTCGAGGTGTCAGCGGGATGTGAGGCATTCCGTCAAAATGAGGCAGGGACCTAGGGCTTTCTCTAAGGTCTCCACAGGGGATTCAGACATCCCTTCATGTTGTGAGATGAAAGACGAGCCTGTATTCAAGCCACTGCAAGGAAATCCGGCCTCCTTTCAAGTTAGGGCTTCTCGCTGTATATTCCCCTTGAGGCAGCAAACTCGGGGTCCCTCCCACATACCTATTGCTGAGAGAAGCCTCCTCCTGAGGTGCTTCTGGGAAGTTGGAATACGTCTTGAGCCTAAGCCAGGGAATCAGCTCTCATGTCGAGACGATTTGGGGTACACGGAGCATTCCTCGAGTTGCTGTGCTGAAGTTGGTGTTCCTCTAGACTTGGGACAGTGTTCTCGGGGCATCTCTGGAGTTGCCTGAAGGAAGTCGAGCCACCGGTCGTGTTGAATGGGGAACGGGGAATGGCTCTGGAGTCAATGCAGGGGAATCGGGCCTCATCTCGAGTTGATTTGGGGCACATGGAGCTGCTTTGCGTTGCTGGGGTGACCTCAGGGTCCGTCTAGACTGGTGACAGTGTTCTTGGGGACTGTCTCGAGATCCATTAAGCAAGTCGAAGCTCCTGACTTGTTTGAATGGGATCACGGAATAGCTCTGCATGCACTGCAGGGGAATGGGGCCTCATCTCGCCTCTAGGGGGAAGTCTCATGGTTTTTCTCGAGTTGCGGCGGGGACCTGGGGTATGTTCTCGACTTACGGTGGGGATGGCCCTTCAAAACACGAGTTTCTTCAGTGACGTCAGGACTCCTGTCTAGTAACGAGGGACACCTCAGCAATCTCTTCGAGGCTTGGCAGGGCAAAAGGGACGCTTCTCGAGGTGAGGCAGGGCACCCAAAGACCCTTTCCAGTAGCCACAGGGATTTTGGGATTCCTATCAGTATTCAAGAGGAGTCAGGCATCGTCACCTTTTGAAGCAATGAACTCCGCGTGCCTCTCCAGGTGTCAGCGGGATGTGAGGCATTCCGTCAAAATGAGGCAGGGACCTAGGGCTTTCTCTAAGGTCTCCACAGGGGATTCAGACATCCCTTCATGTTGTGAGATGAAAGACGAGCCTGTATTCAAGCCACTGCAAGGAAATCCGGCCTCCTTTCAAGTTAGGGCTTCTCGCTGTATATTCCCCTTGAGGCAGCAAACTCGGGGCCCCTCCCACATACTTATTGCTGAGAGAAGCCTCCTACTGAGGTGCTTCTGGGAAGTTGGCATATGTCTTGAGCCTAAGCCAGGGAATCAGCTCTCATCTCAAGACGATTTGTGGTACACGGAGCATTCCTCGAGTTGCTGTGCTGAAGTTGGTGTTCCTCGAGACTTGGGACAGTGTTCTCGGGGCATCTCTGGAGTTGCCTGAAGGAAGTCGAGCCACCGGTCGTGTTGAATGGAGAACGGGGAATGGCTCTGGAGTCAATGCAGGGGAATCGGGCCTCATCTCGAGTTGATTTGGGGCACATGGAGCTGCTTTGCGTTGCTGGGGTGACCTCAGGGTCCGTCTAGACTGGGGACAGTGTTCTTGGGGACGCTCTCGAGATCCATTAAGCAAGTCGAAGCTCCTGACTTGTTTGAATGGGATCACGGAATAGCTCTGAATGCACTGCAGGGGAATGGGGCCTCATCTCGCCTCTAGGGGGAAGTCTCATGGTTTTTCTCGAGTTGCGGCGGGGACCTGGGGTATGTTCTCGACTTACGGCGGGGATGGCCCTTCAAAACACGAGTTTCTTCAGTGACGTCAGGACTCCTGTCTAGTAACGAGGGACACCTCAGGAATCTCTTCGAGGCTTGGCAGGGCAAAAGGGACGCTTCTCGAGGTGAGGCAGGGCACCCAAGGACCCTTTCCAGTAGCCACAGGGATTTTGGGATTCCTATCAGTATTCAAGAGGAGTCAGGCATCGTCACCTTTTGAAGCAATGAACTCCGCGTGCCTCTCGAGGTGTCAGCGGGATGTGAGGCATTCCGTCAAAATGAGGCAGGGACCTAGGGCTTTCTCTAAGGTCTCCACAGGGGATTCAGACATCCCTTCATGTTGTGAGATGAAAGACGAGCCTGTATTCAAGCCACTGCAAGGAAATCCGGCCTCCTTTCAAGTTAGGGCTTCTCGCTGTATATTCCCCTTGAGGCAGCAAACTCGGGGTCCCTCCCACATACCTATTGCTGAGAGAAGCCTCCTCCTGAGGTGCTTCTGGGAAGTTGGAATACGTCTTGAGCCTAAGCCAGGGAATCAGCTCTCATGTCGAGACGATTTGGGGTACACGGAGCATTCCTCGAGTTGCTGTGCTGAAGTTGGTGTTCCTCTAGACTTGGGACAGTGTTCTCGGGGCATCTCTGGAGTTGCCTGAAGGAAGTCGAGCCACCGGTCGTGTTGAATGGGGAACGGGGAATGGCTCTGGAGTCAATGCAGGGGAATCGGGCCTCATCTCGAGTTGATTTGGGGCACATGGAGCTGCTTTGCGTTGCTGGGGTGACCTCAGGGTCCGTCTAGACTGGTGACAGTGTTCTTGGGGACTGTCTCGAGATCCATTAAGCAAGTCGAAGCTCCTGACTTGTTTGAATGGGATCACGGAATAGCTCTGCATGCACTGCAGGGGAATGGGGCCTCATCTCGCCTCTAGGGGGAAGTCTCATGGTTTTTCTCGAGTTGCGGCGGGGACCTGGGGTATGTTCTCGACTTACGGTGGGGATGGCCCTTCAAAACACGAGTTTCTTCAGTGACGTCAGGACTCCTGTCTAGTAACGAGGGACACCTCAGCAATCTCTTCGAGGCTTGGCAGGGCAAAAGGGACGCTTCTCGAGGTGAGGCAGGGCACCCAAAGACCCTTTCCAGTAGCCACAGGGATTTTGGGATTCCTATCAGTATTCAAGAGGAGTCAGGCATCGTCACCTTTTGAAGCAATGAACTCCGCGTGCCTCTCCAGGTGTCAGCGGGATGTGAGGCATTCCGTCAAAATGAGGCAGGGACCTAGGGCTTTCTCTAAGGTCTCCACAGGGGATTCAGACATCCCTTCATGTTGTGAGATGAAAGACGAGCCTGTATTCAAGCCACTGCAAGGAAATCCGGCCTCCTTTCAAGTTAGGGCTTCTCGCTGTATATTCCCCTTGAGGCAGCAAACTCGGGGTCCCTCCCACATACCTATTGCTGAGAGAAGCCTCCTCCTGAGGTGCTTCTGGGAAGTTGGCATACGTCTTGAGCCTAAGCCAGGGAATCAGCTCTCATCTCAAGACGATTTGGGGTACACGGAGCATTCCTCGAGTTGCTGTGCTGAAGTTGGTGTTCCTCTAGACTTGGGACAGTGTTCTCGGGGCATCTCTGGAGTTGCCTGAAGGAAGTCGAGCCACCGGTCGTGTTGAATGGGGAACGGGGAATGGCTCTGGAGTCAATGCAGGGGAATCGGGCCTCATCTCGAGTTGATTTGGGGCACATGGAGCTGCTTTGCGTTGCTGGGGTGACCTCAGGGTCCGTCTAGACTGGGGACAGTGTTCTTGGGGACTCTCTCGAGATCCATTAAGCAAGTCGAAGCTCCTGACTTGTTTGAATGGGATCACGGAATAGCTCTGAATGCACTGCAGGGGAATGGGGCCTCATCTCGCCTCTAGGGGGAAGTCTCATGGTTTTTCTCGAGTTGCGGCGGGGACCTGGGGTATGTTCTCGACTTACGGCGGGGATGGCCCTTCAAAACACGAGTTTCTTCAGTGACGTCAGGACTCCTGTCTAGTAACGAGGGACACCTCAGGAATCTCTTCGAGGCTTGGCAGGGCAAAAGGGACGCTTCTCGAGGTGAGGCAGGGCACCCAAGGACCCTTTCCAGTAGCCACAGGGATTTTGGGATTCCTATCAGTATTCAAGAGGAGTCAGGCATCGTCACCTTTTGAAGCAACGAACTCCGCGTGCCTCTCGAGGTGTCAGCGGGATGTGAGGCATTCCGTCAAAATGAGGCAGGGACCTAGGGCTTTCTCTAAGGTCTCCACAGGGGATTCAGACATCCCTTCATGTTGTGAGATGAAAGACGAGCCTGTATTCAAGCCACTGCAAGGAAATCCGGCCTCCTTTCAAGTTAGGGCTTCTCGCTGTATATTCCCCTTGAGGCAGCAAACTCGGGGTTCCTCCCACATACCTATTGCTGAGAGAAGCCTCCTCCTGAGGTGCTTCTGGGAAGTTGGAATACGTCTTGAGCCTAAGCCAGGGAATCAGCTCTCATGTCGAGACGATTTGGGGTACACGGAGCATTCCTCGAGTTGCTGTGCTGAAGTTGGTGTTCCTCGAGACTTGGGACAGTGTTCTCGGGGCACCTCTGGAGTTGCCTGAAGGAAGTCGAGCCACCGGTCGTGTTGAATGGGGAACGGGGAATGGCTCTGGAGTCAATGCAGGGGAATCGGGCCTCATCTCGAGTTGATTTGGGGCACATGGAGCTGCTTTGCGTTGCTGGGTTGACCTCAGGGTCCGTCTAGACTGGTGACAGTGTTCTTGGGGACTGTCTCGAGATCCATTAAGCAAGTCGAAGCTCCTGACTTGTTTGAATGGGATCACGGAATAGCTCTGCATGCACTGCAGGGGAATGGGGCCTCATCTCGCCTCTAGGGGGAAGTCTCATGGTTTTTCTCGAGTTGCGGCGGGGACCTGGGATATGTTCTCGACTTACGGTGGGGATGGCCCTTCAAAACACGAGTTTCTTCAGTGACGTCAGGACTCCTGTCTAGTAACGAGGGACACCTCAGGAATCTCTTCGAGGCTTGGCAGGGCAAAAGGGACACTTCTCGAGGTGAGGCAGGGCACCCAAGGACCCTTTCCAGTAGCCACAGGGATTTTGGGATTCCTATCAGTATTCAAGAGGAGTCAGGCATCGTCACCTTTTGAAGCAATGAACTCCGCGTGCCTCTCGAGGTGTCAGCGGGATGTGAGGCATTCCGTCAAAATGAGGCAGGGACCTAGGGCTTTCTCTAAGGTCTCCACAGGGGATTTAGACATCCCTTCATGTTGTGAGATGAAAGACGAGCCTGTATTCAAGCCACTGCAAGGAAATCCGGCCTCCTTTCAAGTTAGGGCTTCTCGCTGTATATTCCCCTTGAGGCAGCAAACTCGGGGTCCCTCCCACATACCTATTGCTGAGAGAAGCCTCCTCCTGAGGTGCTTCTGGGAAGTTGGCATACGTCTTGAGCCTAAGCCAGGGAATCAGCTCTCATCTCGAGACGATTTGGGGTACACGGAGCATTCCTCGAGTTGCTGTGCTGAAGTTGGTGTTCCTCTAGACTTGGGACAGTGATCTCGGGGCATTTCTGGAGTTGCCTGAAGGAAGTCGAGCCACTGGTCGTGTTGAATGGGGAACGGGGAATGGCTCTGGAGTCAATGCAGGGGAATCGGGCCTCATCTCGAGTTGATTTGGGGCACATGGAGCTGCTTTGCGTTGCTGGGGTGACCTCAGGGTCCGTCTAGACTGGGGACAGTGTTCTTGGGGACTCTCTCGAGATCCATTAAGCAAGTCGAAGCTCCTGACTTGTTTGAATGGGATCACGGAATAGCTCTGCATGCACTGCAGGGGAATGGGCCTCATCTCGCCTCTAGGGGGAAGTCTCATGGTTTTTCTCGAGTTGCGGCGGGGACCTGGGGTATGTTCTCGACTTACGGCGGGGATGGCCCTTCAAAACACGAGTTTCTTCAGTGACGTCAGGACTCCTGTCTAGTAACGAGGGACACCTCAGGAATCTCTTCGAGGCTTGGCAGGGCAAAAGGGACGCTTCTCGAGGTGAGGTAGGTCACCCAAGGACCCTTTCCAGTAGCCACAGGGATTTTGGGATTCCTATCAGTATTCAAGAGGAGTCAGGCATCGTCACCTTTTGAAGCAATGAACTCCGCGTGCCTCTCGAGGTGTCAGCGGGATGTGAGGCATTCCGTCAAAATGAGGCAGGGACCTAGGGCTTTCTCTAAGGTCTCCACAGGGGATTCAGACATCCCTTCATGTTGTGAGATGAAAGACGAGCCTGTATTCAAGCCACTGCAAGGAAATCCGGCCTCGTTTCAAGTTAGGGCTTCTCGTTGTATATTCCCCTTGAGGCAGCAAACTCGGGGCCCCTCCCACATACCTATTGCTGAGAGAAGCCTCCTCCTGAGGTGCTTCTGGGAAGTTGGCATACGTCTTGAGCCTAAGCCAGGAAATCAGCTCTCATCTCGAGACGATTTAGGGTACACGGAGCATTCCTCGAGTTGCTGTGCTGAAGTTGGTGTTCCTCTAGACTTGGGACAGTGTTCTCGGGGCATCTCTGGAGTTGCCTGAAGGAAGTCGAGCCACCGGTCGTGTTGAATGGGGAACGGGGAATGGCTCTGGAGTCAATGCAGGGGAATCGGGCCTCATCTCGAGTTGATTTGGGGCACATGGAGCTGCTTTGCGTTGCTGGGGTGACCTCAGGGTCCGTCTAGACTGGTGACAGTGTTCTTGGGGACTGTCTCGAGATCCATTAAGCAAGTCGAAGCTCCTGACTTGTTTGAATGGGATCACGGAATAGCTCTGCATGCACTGCAGGGGAATGGGGCCTCATCTCGCCTCTAGGGGGAAGTCTCATGGTTTTTCTCGAGTTGCGGCGGGGACCTGGGGTATGTTCTCGACTTACGGCGGGGATGGCCCTTCAAAACACGAGTTTCTTCAGTGACGTCAGGACTCCTGTCTAGTAACGAGGGACACCTCAGGAATCTCTTCGAGGCTTGGCAGGGCCAAAGGGACGCTTCTCGAGGTGAGGCAGGGCACCCAAGGACCCTTTCCAGTAGCCACAGGGATTTTGGGATTCCTATCAGTATTCAAGAGGAGTCAGGCATCGTCACCTTTTGAAGCAATGAACTCCGCGTGCCTCTCGAGGTGTCAGCGGGATGTGAGGCATTCCGTCAAAATGAGGCAGGGACCTAGGGCTTTCTCTAAGGTCTCCACAGAGGATTCAGACATCCCTTCATGTTGTGAGATGAAAGACGAGCCTGTATTCAAGCCACTGCAAGGAAATCCGGCCTCCTTTCAAGTTAGGTCTTCTCGCTGTATATTCCCCTTGAGGCAGCAAACTCGGGGTCCCTCCCACATACCTATTGCTGAGAGAAGCCTCCTCCTGAGGTGCTTCTGGGAAGTTGGCATACGTCTTGAGCCTAAGCCAGGGAATCAGCTCTCATCTCGAGACGATTTGGGGTACACGGAGCATTCCTCGAGTTGCTGTGCTGAAGTTGGTGTTCCTCTAGACTTGGGACAGTGTTCTCGGGGCATCTCTGGAGTTGCCTGAAGGAAGTCGAGCCACCGGTCGTGTTGAATGGGGAACGGGGAATGGCTCTGGAGTCAATGCAGGGGAATCGGGCCTCATCTTGAGTTGATTTGGGGCACATGGAGCTGCTTTGCGTTGCTGGGGTGACCTCAGGGTCCGTCTAGACTGGGGACAGTGTTCTTGGGGACTGTCTCGAGATCCATTAAGCAAGTCGAAGCTCCTGACTTGTTTGAATGGGATCACGGAATAGCTCTGCATGCACTGCAGGGGAATGGGGCCTCATCTCGCCTCTAGGGGGAAGTCTCATGGTTTTTCTCGAGTTGCGGCGGGGACCTGGGGTATGTTGTCGACTTACGGCGGGGATGGCCCTTCAAAACACGAGTTTCTTCAGTGACGTCAGGACTCCTGTCTAGTAACGAGGGACACCTCAAGAATCTCTTCGAGGCTTGGCAGGGCAAAAGGGACGCTTCTCGAGGTGAGGCAGGGCACCCAAGGACCCTTTCCAGTAGCCACAGGGATTTTGGGATTCCTATCAGTATTCAAGAGGAGTCAGGCATCGTCACCTTTTGAAGCAATGAACTCCGCGTGCCTCTCGAGGTGTCAGCGGGATGTGAGGCATTCCGTCAAAATGAGGCAGGGACCTAGGGCTTTCTCTAAGGTCTCCACAGGGGATTCAGACATCCCTTCATGTTGTGAGATGAAAGACGAGCCTGTATTCAAGCCACTGCAAGGAAATCCGGCCTCGTTTCAAGTTAGGGCTTCTCGCTGTATATTCCCCTTGAGGCAGCAAACTCGGGGTCCCTCCCACATACCTATTGCTGAGAGAAGCCTCCTCCTGAGGTGCTTCTGGGAAGTTGGCATACGTCTTGAGCCTAAGCCAGGGAATCAGCTCTCATCTCGAGACGATTTGGGGTACACGGAGCATTCCTCGAGTTGCTGTGCTGAAGTTGGTGTTCCTCTAGACTTGGGACAGTGTTCTCGGGGCATCTCTGGAGTTGCCTGAAGGAAGTCGAGCCACCGGTCGTGTTGAATGGGGAACGGGGAATGGCTCTGGAGTCAATGCAGGGGAATCGGGCCTCATCTCGAGTTGATTTGGGGCACATGGAGCTGCTTTGCGTTGCTGGGGTGACCTCAGGGTCCGTCTAGACTGGGGACAGTGTTCTTGGGGACTGTCTCGAGATCCATTAAGCAAGTCGAAGCTCCTGACTTGTTTGAATGGGATCACGGAATAGCTCTGCATGCACTGCAGGGGAATGGGGCCTCATCTCGCCTCTAGGGGGAAGTCTCATGGTTTTTCTCGAGTTGCGGCGGGGACCTGGGGTATGTTCTCGACTTACGGCGGGGATGGCCCTTCAAAACACGAGTTTCTTCAGTGACGTCAGGACTCCTGTCTAGTAACCAGGGACACCTCAGGAATCTCTTCGAGGCTTGGCAGGGCAAAAGGGACGCTTCTCGAGGTGAGGCAGGGCACCCAAGGACCCTTTCCAGTAGCCACAGGGATTTTGGGATTCCTATCAGTATTCAAGAGGAGTCAGGCATCGTCACCTTTTGAAGCAATGAACTCCGCGTGCCTCTCGAGATGTCAGCGGGATGTGAGGCATTCCGTCAAAATGAGGCAGGGACCTAGGGCTTTCTCTAAGGTCTCCACAGGGGATTCAGACATCTCTTCATGTTGTGAGATGAAAGACGAGCCTGTATTCAAGCCACTGCAAGGAAATCCGGCCTCGTTTCAAGTTAGGGCTTCTCGCTGTATATTCCCCTTGAGGCAGCAAACTCGGGGTCCCTCCCACATACCTATTGCTGAGAGAAGCCTCCTCCTGAGGTGCTTCTGGGAAGTTGGCATACGTCTTGAGCCTAAGCCAGGGAATCAGCTCTCATCTCGAGACGATTTGGGGTACACGGAGCATTCCTCGAGTTGCTGTGCTGAAGTTGGTGTTCCTCGAGACTTGGGACAGTGTTCTCGGGGCATCTCTGGAGTTGCCTGAAGGAAGTCGAGCCACCGGTCGTGTTGAATGGGGAACGGGGAATGGCTCTGGAGTCAATGCAGGGGAATCGGGCCTCATCTCGAGTTGATTTGGGGCACATGGAGCTGCTATGCATTGCTGGGGTGACCTCAGGGTCCGTCTAGACTGGTGACAGTGTTCTTGGGGACTGTCTCGAGATCCATTAAGCAAGTCGAAGCTCCTGACTTGTTTGAATGGGATCACGGAATAGCTCTGCATGCACTGCAGGGGAATGGGGCCTCATCTCGCCTCTAGGGGGAAGTCTCATGGTTTTTCTCGAGTTGCGGCGGGGACCTGGGGTATGTTCTCGACTTACGGCGGGGATGGCCCTTCAAAACACGAGTTTCTTCAGTGAGGTCAGGACTCCTGTCTAGTAACGAGGGACACCTCAGGAATCTCTTCGAGGCTTGGCAGGGCAAAAGGGACGCTTCTCGAGGTGAGGTAGGTCACCCAAGGACCCTTTCCAGTAGCCACAGGGATTTTGGGATTCCTATCAGTATTCAAGAGGAGTCAGGCATCGTCACCTTTTGAAGCAATGAACTCCGCGTGCCTCTCGAGGTGTCAGCGGGATGTGAGGCATTCCGTCAAAATGAGGCAGGGACCTAGGGCTTTCTCTAAGGTCTCCACAGGGGATTCAGACATCCCTTCATGTTGTGAGATGAAAGACGAGCCTGTATTCAAGCCACTGCAAGGAAATCCGGCCTCGTTTCAAGTTAGGGCTTCTCGCTGTATATTCCCCTTGAGGCAGCAAACTCGGGGCCCCTCCCACATACCTATTGCTGAGAGAAGCCTCCTCCTGAGGTGCTTCTGGGAAGTTGGCATACGTCTTGAGCCTAAGCCAGGAAATCTGCTCTCATCTCGAGACGATTTAGGGTACACGGAGCATTCCTCGAGTTGCTGTGCTGAAGTTGGTGTTCCTCTAGACTTGGGACAGTGTTCTCGGGGCATCTCTGGAGTTGCCTGAAGGAAGTCGAGCCACCGGTCGTGTTGAATGGGGAACGGGGAATGGCTCTGGAGTCAATGCAGGGGAATCGGGCCTCATCTCGAGTTGATTTGGGGCACATGGAGCTGCTTTGCGTTGCTGGGGTGACCTCAGGGTCCGTCTAGACTGGTGACAGTGTTCTTGGGGACTGTCTCGAGATCCATTAAGCAAGTCGAAGCTCCTGACTTGTTTGAATGGGATCACGGAATAGCTCTGCATGCACTGCAGGGGAATGGGGCCTCATCTCGCCTCTAGGGGGAAGTCTCATGGTTTTTCTCGAGTTGCGGCGGGGACCTGGGGTATGTTCTCGACTTACGGCGGGGATGGCCCTTCAAAACACGAGTTTCTTCAGTGACGTCAGGACTCCTGTCTAGTAACGAGGGACACCTCAGGAATCTCTTCGAGGCTTGGCAGGGCAAAAGGGACGCTTCTCGAGGTGAGGCAGGGCACCCAAGGACCCTTTCCAGTAGCCACAGGGATTTTGGGATTCCTATCAGTATTCAAGAGGAGTCAGGCATCGTCACCTTTTGAAGCAATGAACTCCGCGTGCCTCTCGAGGTGTCAGCGGGATGTGAGGCATTCCGTCAAAATGAGGCAGGGACCTAGGGCTTTCTCTAAGGTCTCCACAGGGGATTCAGACATCCCTTCATGTTGTGAGATGAAAGACGAGCCTGTATTCAAGCCACTGCAAGGAAATCCGGCCTCCTTTCAAGTTAGGTCTTCTCGCTGTATATTCCCCTTGAGGCAGCAAACTCGGGGTCCCTCCCACATACCTATTGCTGAGAGAAGCCTCCTCCTGAGGTGCTTCTGGGAAGTTGGCATACGTCTTGAGCCTAAGCCAGGGAATCAGCTCTCATCTCGAGACGATTTGGGGTACACGGAGCATTCCTCGAGTTGCTGTGCTGAAGTTGGTGTTCCTCTAGACTTGGGACAGTGTTCTCGGGGCATCTCTGGAGTTGCCTGAAGGAAGTCGAGCCACCGGTCGTGTTGAATGGGGAACGGGGAATGGCTCTGGAGTCAATGCAGGGGAATCGGGCCTCATCTTGAGTTGATTTGGGGCACATGGAGCTGCTTTGCGTTGCTGGGGTGACCTCAGGGTCCGTCTAGACTGGTGACAGTGTTCTTGGGGACTGTCTCGAGATCCATTAAGCAAGTCGAAGCTCCTGACTTGTTTGAATGGGATCACGGAATAGCTCTGCATGCACTGCAGGGGAATGGGGCCTCATCTCGCCTCTAGGGGGAAGTCTCATGGTTTTTCTCGAGTTGCGGCGGGGACCTGGGGTATGTTCTCGACTTACGGCGGGGATGGCCCTTCAAAACACGAGTTTCTTCAGTGACGTCAGGACTCCTGTCTAGTAACGAGGGACACCTCAGGAATCTCTTCGAGGCTTGGCAGGGCAAAAGGGACGCTTCTCGAGGTGAGGCAGGGCACCCAAGGACCCTTTCCAGTAGCCACAGGGATTTTGGGATTCCTATCAGTATTCAAGAGGAGTCAGGCATCGTCACCTTTTGAAGCAATGAACTCCGCGTGCCTCTCGAGGTGTCAGCGGGATGTGAGGCATTCCGTCAAAATGAGGCAGGGACCTAGGGCTTTCTCTAAGGTCTCCACAGGGGATTCAGACATCCCTTCATGTTGTGAGATGAAAGACGAGCCTGTATTCAAGCCACTGCAAGGAAATCCGGCCTCGTTTCAAGTTAGGGCTTCTCGCTGTATATTCCCCTTGAGGCAGCAAACTCGGGGCCCCTCCCACATACCTATTGCTGAGAGAAGCCTCCTCCTGAGGTGCTTCTGGGAAGTTGGCATACGTCTTGAGCCTAAGCCAGGGAATCAGCTCTCATCTCGAGACGATTTGGGGTACACGGAGCATTCCTCGAGTTGCTGTGCTGAAGTTGGTGTTCCTCTAGACTTGGGACAGTGTTCTCGGGGCATCTCTGGAGTTGCCTGAAGGAAGTCGAGCCACCGGTCGTGTTGAATGGGGAACGGGGAATGGCTCTGGAGTCAATGCAGGGGAATCGGGCCTCATCTCGAGTTGATTTGGGGCACATGGAGCTGCTTTGCGTTGCTGGGGTGACCTCAGGGTCCGTCTAGACTGGGGACAGTGTTCTTGGGGACTGTCTCGAGATCCATTAAGCAAGTCGAAGCTCCTGACTTGTTTGAATGGGATCACGGAATAGCTCTGCATGCACTGCAGGGGAATGGGGCCTCATCTCGCCTCTAGGGGGAAGTCTCATGGTTTTTCTCGAGTTGCGGCGGGGACCTGGGGTATGTTCTCGACTTACGGCGGGGATGGCCCTTCAAAACACGAGTTTCTTCAGTGACGTCAGGACTCCTGTCTAGTAACCAGGGACACCTCAGGAATCTCTTCGAGGCTTGGCAGGGCAAAAGGGACGCTTCTCGAGGTGAGGCAGGGCACCCAAGGACCCTTTCCAGTAGCCACAGGGATTTTGGGATTCCTATCAGTATTCAAGAGGAGTCAGGCATCGTCACCTTTTGAAGCAATGAACTCCGCGTGCCTCTCGAGGTGTCAGCGGGATGTGAGGCATTCCGTCAAAATGAGGCAGGGACCTAGGGCTTTCTCTAAGGTCTCCACAGGGGATTCAGACATCCCTTCATGTTGTGAGATGAAAGACGAGCCTGTATTCAAGCCACTGCAAGGAAATCCGGCCTCGTTTCAAGTTAGGGCTTCTCGCTGTATATTCCCCTTGAGGCAGCAAACTCGGGGCCCCTCCCACATACCTATTGCTGAGAGAAGCCTCCTCCTGAGGTGCTTCTGGGAAGTTGGCATACGTCTTGAGCCTAAGCCAGGGAATCAGCTCTCATCTCGAGACGATTTGGGGTACACGGAGCATTCCTCGAGTTGCTGTGCTGAAGTTGGTGTTCCTCTAGACTTGGGACAGTGTTCTCGGGGCATCTCTGGAGTTGCCTGAAGGAAGTCGAGCCACCGGTCGTGTTGAATGGGGAACGGGGAATGGCTCTGGAGTCAATGCAGGGGAATCGGGCCTCATCTCGAGTTGATTTGGGGCACATGGAGCTGCTTTGCGTTGCTGGGGTGACCTCAGGGTCCGTCTAGACTGGGGACAGTGTTCTTGGGGACTGTCTCGAGATCCATTAAGCAAGTCGAAGCTCCTGACTTGTTTGAATGGGATCACGGAATAGCTCTGCAAGCACTGCAGGGGAATGGGGCCTCATCTCGCCTCTAGGGGGAAGTCTCATGGTTTTTCTCGAGTTGCGGCGGGGACCTGGGGTATGTTCTCGACTTACGGCGGGGATGGCCCTTCAAAACACGAGTTTCTTCAGTGACGTCAGGACTCCTCTCTAGTAACGAGGGACACCTCAGGAATCTCTTCGAGGCTTGGCAGGGCAAAAGGGACGCTTCTCGAGGTGAGGCAGGGCACCCAAGGACCCTTTCCAGTAGCCACAGGGATTTGGGGATTCCTATCAGTATTCAAGAGGAGTCAGGCATCGTCACCTTTTGAAGCAATGAACTCCGCCTGCCTCTCGAGGTGTCAGCGGGATGTGAGGCATTCCGTCAAAATGAGGCAGGGACCTAGGGCTTTCTCTAAGGTCTCCACAGGGGATTCAGACATCCCTTCATGTTGTGAGATGAAAGACGAGCCTGTATTCAAGCCACTGCAAGGAAATCCGGCCTCGTTTCAAGTTAGGGCTTCTCGCTGTATATTCCCCTTGAGGCAGCAAACTCGGGGTCCCTCCCACATACCTATTGCTGAGAGAAGCCTCCTCCTGAGGTGCTTCTGGGAAGTTGGCATACGTCTTGAGCCTAAGCCAGGGAATCAGCTCTCATCTCGAGACGATTTGGGGTACACGGAGCATTCCTCGAGTTGCTGTGCTGAAGTTGGTGTTCCTCGAGACTTGGGACAGTGTTCTCGGGGCATCTCTGGAGTTGCCTGAAGGAAGTCGAGCCACCGGTCGTGTTGAATGGGGAACGGGGAATGGCTCTGGAGTCAATGCAGGGGAATCGGGCCTCATCTCGAGTTGATTTGGGGCACATGGAGCTGCTATGCATTGCTGGGGTGACCTCAGGGTCCGTCTAGACTGGTGACAGTGTTCTTGGGGACTGTCTCGAGATCCATTAAGCAAGTCGAAGCTCCTGACTTGTTTGAATGGGATCACGGAATAGCTCTGCATGCACTGCAGGGGAATGGGGCCTCATCTCGCCTCTAGGGGGAAGTCTCATGGTTTTTCTCGAGTTGCGGCGGGGACCTGGGGTATGTTCTCGACTTACGGCGGGGATGGCCCTTCAAAACACGAGTTTCTTCAGTGACGTCAGGACTCCTGTCTAGTAACGAGGGACACCTCAGGAATCTCTTCGAGGCTTGGCAGGGCAAAAGGGACGCTTCTCGAGGTGAGGCAGGGCACCCAAGGACCCTTTCCAGTAGCCACAGGGATTTTGGGATTCCTATCAGTATTCAAGAGGAGTCAGGCATCGTCACCTTTTGAAGCAATGAACTCCGCGTGCCTCTCGAGGTGTCAGCGGGATGTGAGGCATTCCGTCAAAATGAGGCAGGGACCTAGGGCTTTCTCTAAGGTCTCCACAGGGGATTCAGACATCCCTTCATGTTGTGAGATGAAAGACGAGCCTGTATTCAAGCCACTGCAAGGAAATCCGGCCTCCTTTCAAGTTAGGGCTTCTCGCTGTATATTCCCCTTGAGGCAGCAAACTCGGGGTCCCTCCCACATACCTATTGCTGAGAGAAGCCTCCTCCTGAGGTGCTTCTGGGAAGTTGGCATACGTCTTGAGCCTAAGCCAGGGAATCAGCTCTCATCTCGAGACGATTTGGGGTACACGGAGCATTCCTCGAGTTGCTGTGCTGAAGTTGGTGTTCCTCTAGACTTGGGACAGTGTTCTCGGGTCATCTCTGGAGTTGCCTGAAGGAAGTCGAGCCACCGGTCGTGTTGAATGGGGAACGGGGAATGGCTCTGGAGTCAATGCAGGGGAATCGGGCCTCATCTCGAGTTGATTTGGGGCACATGGAGCTGCTTTGCGTTGCTGGGGTGACCTCAGGGTCCGTCTAGACTGGTGACAGTGTTCTTGGGGACTGTCTCGAGATCCATTAAGCAAGTCGAAGCTCCTGACTTGTTTGAATGGGATCACGGAATAGCTCTGCATGCACTGCAGGGGAATGGGGCCTCATCTCGCCTCTAGGGGGAAGTCTCATGGTTTTTCTCGAGTTGCGGCGGGGACCTGGGGTATGTTCTCGACTTACGGCGGGGATGGCCCTTCAAAACACGAGTTTCTTCAGTGACGTCAGGACTCCTGTCTAGTAACGAGGGACACCTCAGGAATCTCTTCGAGGCTTGGCAGGGCAAAAGGGACGCTTCTCGAGGTGAGGCAGGGCACCCAAGGACCCTTTCCAGTAGCCACAGGGATTTTGGGATTCCTATCAGTATTCAAGAGGAGTCAGGCATCGTCACCTTTTGAAGCAATGAACTCCGCGTGCCTCTCGAGGTGTCAGCGGGATGTGAGGCATTCCGTCAAAATGAGGCAGGGACCTAGGGCTTTCTCTAAGGTCTCCACAGGGGATTCAGACATCCCTTCATGTTGTGAGATGAAAGACGAGCCTGTATTCAAGCCACTGCAAGGAAATCCGGCCTCCTTTCAAGTTAGGGCTTCTCGCTGTATATTCCTCTTGAGGCAGCAAACTCGGGGTCCCTCCCACATACCTATTGCTGAGAGAAGCCTCCTCCTGAGGTGCTTCTGGGAAGTTGGCATACGTCTTGAGCCTAAGCCAGGGAATCAGCTCTCATCTCGAGACGATTTGGGGTACACGGAGCATTCCTCGAGTTGTTGTGCTGAAGTTGGTGTTCCTCTAGACTTGGGACAGTGTTCTCGGGGCATCTCTGGAGTTGCCTGAAGGAAGTCGAGCCACCGGTCGTGTTGAATGGGGAACGGGGAATGGCTCTGGAGTCAATGCAGGGGAATCGGGCCTCATCTCGAGTTGATTTGGGGCACATGGAGCTGCTTTGCGTTGCTGGGGTGACCTCAGGGTCCGTCTAGACTGGTGACAGTGTTCTTGGGGACTGTCTCGAGATCCATTAAGCAAGTCGAAGCTCCTGACTTGTTTGAATGGGATCACGGAATAGCTCTGCATGCACTGCAGGGGAATGGGGCCTCATCTCGCCTCTAGGGGGAAGTCTCATGGTTTTTCTCGAGTTGCGGCGGGGACCTGGGGTATGTTCTCGACTTACGGCGGGGATGGCCCTTCAAAACACGAGTTTCTTCAGTGACGTCAGGACTCCTGTCTAGTAACGAGGGACACCTCAGGAATCTCTTCGAGGCTTGGCAGGGCAAAAGGGACGCTTCTCGAGGTGAGGCAGGGCACCCAAGGACCCTTTCCTGTAGCCACAGGGATTTTGGGATTCCTATCAGTATTCAAGAGGAGTCAGGCATCGTCACCTTTTGAAGCAATGAACTCCGCGTGCCTCTCGAGGTGTCAGCGGGATGTGAGGCATTCCGTCAAAATGAGGCAGGGACCTAGGGCTTTCTCTAAGGTCTCCACAGGGGATTTAGACATCCCTTCATGTTGTGAGATGAAAGACGAGCCTGTATTCAAGCCACTGCAAGGAAATCCGGCCTCCTTTCAAGTTAGGGCTTCTCGCTGTATATTCCCCTTGAGGCGGCAAACTCGGGGTCCCTCCCACATACCTATTGCTGAGAGAAGCCTCCTCCTGAGGTGCTTCTGGGAAGTTGGCATACGTCTTGAGCCTAAGCCAGGGAATCAGCTCTCATCTCGAGACGATTTGGGGTACACGGAGCATTCTTTGAGTTGCTGTGCTGAAGTTGGTGTTCCTCTAGACTTGGGACAGTGTTCTCGGGGCATCTCTGGAGTTGCCTGAAGGAAGTCGAGCCACCGGTCGTGTTGAATGGGGAACGGGGAATGGCTCTGGAGTCAATGCAGGGGAATCGGGCCTCATCTCGAGTTGATTTGGGGCACATGGAGCTGCTTTGCGTTGCTGGGGTGACCTCAGGGTCCGTCTAGACTGGTGACAGTGTTCTTGGGGACTGTCTCGAGATCCATTAAGCAAGTCGAAGCTCCTGACTTGTTTGAATGGGATCACGGAATAGCTCTGCATGCACTGCAGGGGAATGGGGCCTCATCTCGCCTCTAGGGGGAAGTCTCATGGTTTTTCTCGAGTTGCGGCGGGGACCTGGGGTATGTTCTCGACTTACGGCGGGGATGCCCCTTCAAAACACGAGTTTCTTCAGTGACGTCAGGACTCCTGTCTAGTAACGAGGGACACCTCAGGAATCTCTTCGAGGCTTGGCAGGGCAAAAGGGACGCTTCTCGAGGTGAGGCAGGGCACCCAAGGACCCTTTCCAGTAGCCACAGGGATTTTGGGATTCCTATCAGTATTCAAGAGGAGTCAGGCATCGTCACCTTTTGAAGCAATGAACTCCGCGTGCCTCTCGAGGTGTCAGCGGGATGTGAGGCATTCCGTCAAAATGAGGCAGGGACCTAGGGCTTTCTCTAAGGTCTCCACAGGGGATTCAGACATCCCTTCCTGTTGTGAGATGAAAGACGAGCCTGTATTCAAGCCACTGCAAGGAAATCCGGCCTCGATTCAAGTTAGGGCTTCTCGCTGTATATTCCCCTTGAGGCAGCAAACTCGGGGTCCCTCCCACATACATATTGCTGAGAGAAGCCTCCTCCTGAGGTGCTTCTGGGAAGTTGGCATACGTCTTGAGCCTAAGCCAGGGAATCAGCTCTCACCTCAAGACGATTTGGGGTACACGGAGCATTCCTCGAGTTGCTGTGCTGAAGTTGGTGTTCCTCTAGATTTGGGACAGTGTTCTCGGGGCATCTCTGGAGTTGCCTGAAGGAAGTCGAGCCACCGGTCGTGTTGAATGGGGAACGGGGAATGGCTCTGGAGTCAATGCAGGGGAATCGGGCCTCATCTCGAGTTGATTTGGGGCACATGGATCTGCTTTGCGTTGCTAGGGTGACCTCAGGGTCCGTCTAGATTCGGGACAGTGTTCTTGGGGACTGTCTCGAGATCCATTAAGCAAGTCGAAGCTCCTGACTTGTTTGAATGGGATCACGGAATAGCTCTGCATGCACTGCAGGGGAATGGGGCCTCATCTCGCCTCTAGGGGGAAGTCTCATGGTTTTTCTCGAGTTGCGGCGGGGACCTGGGGTATGTTCTCGACTTACGGCGGGAAGGCCCTTCAAAATACGAGTTTCTTCAGTGACGTCAGGACTCCTGTCTAGTAACGAGGGACACCTCAGGAATCTCTTCGAGGCTTGGCAGGGCAAAAGGGACGCTTCTCGAGGTGAGGCAGGGCACCCAAGGACCCTTTCCAGTAGCCACAGGGATTTTGGGATTCCTATCAGTATTCAAGAGGAGTCAGGCATCGTCACCTTTTGAAGCAATGAACTCCGCGTGCCTCTCGAGGTGTCAGCGGGATGTGAGGCATTCCGTCAAAATGAGGCAGGGACCTAGGGCTTTCTCTAAGGTCTCCACAGGGGATTCAGACATCCCTTCCTGTTGTGAGATGAAAGACGAGCCTGTATTCAAGCCACTGCAAGGAAATCCGGCCTCCTTTCAAGTTAGGGCTTCTCGCTGTATATTCCCCTTGAGGCGGCAAACTCGGGGTCCCTCCCACATACCTATTGCTGAGAGAAGCCTCCTCCTGAGGTGCTTCTGGGAAGTTGGCATACGTCTTGAGCCTAAGCCAGGGAATCAGCTCTCATCTCGAGACGATTTGGGGTACACGGAGCATTCCTCGAGTTGCTGTGCTGAAGTTGGTGTTCCTCTAGACTTGGGACAGTGTTCTCGGGGCATCTCTGGAGTTGCCTGAAGGAAGTCGAGCCACCGGTCGTGTTGAATGGGGAACGGGGAATGGCTCTGGAGTCAATGCAGGGGAATCGGGCCTCATCTCGAGTTGATTTGGGGCACATGGAGCTGCTTTGCGTTGCTGGGGTGACCTCAGGGTCCGTCTAGACTGGGGACAGTGTTCTTGGGGACTCTCTCGAGATCCATTAAGCAAGTCGAAGCTCCTGACTTGTTTGAATGGGATCACGGAATAGCTCTGCATGCACTGCAGGGGAATGGGCCTCATCTCGCCTCTAGGGGGAAGTCTCATGGTTTTTCTCGAGTTGCGGCGGGGACCTGGGGTATGTTCTCGACTTACGGCGGGGATGCCCCTTCAAAACACGAGTTTCTTCAGTGACGTCAGGACTCCTGTCTAGTAACGAGGGACACCTCAGGAATCTCTTCGAGGCTTGGCAGGGCAAAAGGGACGCTTCTCGAGGTGAGGCAGGGCACCCAAGGACCCTTTCCAGTAGCCACAGGGATTTTGGGATTCCTATCAGTATTCAAGAGGAGTCAGGCATCGTCACCTTTTGAAGCAATGAACTCCGCGTGCCTCTCGAGGTGTCAGCGGGATGTGAGGCATTCCGTCAAAATGAGGCAGGGACCTAGGGCTTTCTCTAAGGTCTCCACAGGGGATTCAGACATCCCTTCCTGTTGTGAGATGAAAGACGAGCCTGTATTCAAGCCACTGCAAGGAAATCCGGCCTCGTTTCAAGTTAGGGCTTCTCGCTGTATATTCCCCTTGAGGCAGCAAACTCGGGGTCCCTCCCACATACCTATTGCTGAGAGAAGCCTCCTCCTGAGGTGCTTCTGGGAAGTTGGCATACGTCTTGAGCCTAAGCCAGGGAATCAGCTCTCATCTCGAGACGATTTGGGGTACACGGAGCATTCCTCGAGTTGCTGTGCTGAAGTTGGTGTTCCTCTAGACTTGGGACAGTGTTCTCGGGGCATCTCTGGAGTTGCCTGAAGGAAGTCGAGCCACCGGTCGTGTTGAATGGGGAACGGGGAATGGCTCTGGAGTCAATGCAGGGGAATCGGGCCTCATCTCGAGTTGATTTGGGGCACATGGAGCTGCTTTGCGTTGCTGGGGTGACCTCAGGGTCCGTCTAGACTGGTGACAGTGTTCTTGGGGACTGTCTCGAGATCCATTAAGCAAGTCGAAGCTCCTGACTTGTTTGAATGGGATCACGGAATAGCTCTGCATGCACTGCAGGGGAATGGGGCCTCATCTCGCCTCTAGGGGGAAGTCTCATGGTTTTTCTCGAGTTGCGGCGGGGACCTGGGGTATGTTCTCGACTTACGGCGGGGATGGCCCTTCAAAACACGAGTTTCTTCAGTGACGTCAGGACTCCTGTCTAGTAACGAGGGACACCTCAGGAATCTCTTCGAGGCTTGGCAGGGCAAAAGGGACACTTCTCGAGGTGAGGCAGGGCACCCAAGGACCCTTTCCAGTAGCCACAGGGATTTTGGGATTCCTATCAGTATTCAAGAGGAGTCAGGCATCGTCACCTTTTGAAGCAATGAACTCCGCGTGCCTCTCGAGGTGTCAGCGGGATGTGAGGCATTCCGTCAAAATGAGGCAGGGACCTAGGGCTTTCTCTAAGGTCTCCACAGGGGATTCAGACATCCCTTCATGTTGTGAGATGAAAGACGAGCCTGTATTCAAGCCACTGCAAGGAAATCCGGCCTCGTTTCAAGTTAGGGCTTCTCGCTGTATATTCCCCTTGAGGCAGCAAACTCGGGGTCCCTCCCACATACATATTGCTGAGAGAAGCCTCCTCCTGAGGTGCTTCTGGGAAGTTGGCATACGTCTTGAGCCTAAGCCAGGGAATCAGCTCTCACCTCAAGACGATTTGGGGTACACGGAGCATTCCTCGAGTTGCTGTGCTGAAGTTGGTGTTCCTCTAGACTTGGGACAGTGTTCTCGGGGCATCTCTGGAGTTGCCTGAAGGAAGTCGAGCCACCGGTCGTGTTGAATGGGGAACGGGGAATGGCTCTGGAGTCAATGCAGGGGAATCGGGCCTCATCTCGAGTTGATTTGGGGCACATGGATCTGCTTTGCGTTGCTAGGGTGACCTCAGGGTCCGTCTAGATTCGGGACAGTGTTCTTGGGGACTGTCTCGAGATCCATTAAGCAAGTCGAAGCTCCTGACTTGTTTGAATGGGATCACGGAATAGCTCTGCATGCACTGCAGGGGAATGGGGCCTCATCTCGCCTCTAGGGGGAAGTCTCATGGTTTTTCTCGAGTTGCGGCGGGGACCTGGGGTATGTTCTCGACTTACGGCGGGAAGGCCCTTCAAAATACGAGTTTCTTCAGTGACGTCAGGACTCCTGTCTAGTAACGAGGGACACCTCAGGAATCTCTTCGAGGCTTGGCAGGGCAAAAGGGACGCTTCTCGAGGTGAGGCAGGGCACCCAAGGACCCTTTCCAGTAGCCACAGGGATTTTGGGATTCCTATCAGTATTCAAGAGGAGTCAGGCATCGTCACCTTTTGAAGCAATGAACTCCGCGTGCCTCTCGAGGTGTCAGCGGGATGTGAGGCATTCCGTCAAAATGAGGCAGGGACCTAGGGCTTTCTCTAAGGTCTCCACAGGGGATTCAGACATCCCTTCATGTTGTGAGATGAAAGACGAGCCTGTATTCAAGCCACTGCAAGGAAATCCGGCCTCGTTTCAAGTTATGGCTTCTCGCTGTATATTCCCCTTGAGGCAGCAAATTCGGGGTCCCTCCCACATACCTATTGCTGAGAGAAGCCTCCTCCTGAGGTGCTTCTGGGAAGTTGGCATACGTCTTGAGCCTAAGCCAGGGAATCAGCTCTCATCTCGAGACGATTTGGGGTACACGGAGCATTCCTCGAGTTGCTGTGCTGAAGTTGGTGTTCCTCTAGACTTGGGACAGTGTTCTCGGGGCATCTCTGGAGTTGCCTGAAGGAAGTCGAGCCACCGGTCGTGTTGAATGGGGAACGGGGAATGGCTCTGGAGTCAATGCAGGGGAATCGGGCCTCATCTCGAGTTGATTTGGGGCACATGGAGCTGCTTTGCGTTGCTGGGGTGACCTCAGGGTCCGTCTAGACTGGGGACAGTGTTCTTGGGGACTCTCTCGAGATCCATTAAGCAAGTCGAAGCTCCTGACTTGTTTGAATGGAATCACGGAATAGCTCTGCATGCACTGCAGGGGAATGGGCCTCATCTCGCCTCTAGGGGGAAGTCTCATGGTTTTTCTCGAGTTGCGGCGGGGACCTGGGGTATGTTCTCGACTTACGGCGGGGATGCCCCTTCAAAACACGAGTTTCTTCAGTGACGTCAGGACTCCTGTCTAGTAACGAGGGACACCTCAGGAATCTCTTCGAGGCTTGGCAGGGCAAAAGGGACGCTTCTCGAGGTGAGGCAGGGCACCCAAGGACCCTTTCCAGTAGCCACAGGGATTTTGGGATTCCTATCAGTATTCAAGAGGAGTCAGGCATCGTCACCTTTTGAAGCAATGAACTCCGCGTGCCTCTCGAGGTGTCAGCGGGATGTGAGGCATTCCGTCAAAATGAGGCAGGGACCTAGGGCTTTCTCTAAGGTCTCCACAGGGGATTCAGACATCCCTTCCTGTTGTGAGATGAAAGACGAGCCTGTATTCAAGCCACTGCAAGGAAATCCGGCCTCGTTTCAAGTTAGGGCTTCTCGCTGTATATTCCCCTTGAGGCAGAAAACTCGGGGTCCCTCCCACATACCTATTGCTGAGAGAAGCCTCCTCCTGATGTGCTTCTGGGAAGTTGGCATAAGTCTTGAGCCTAAGCCAGGGAATCAGCTCTCATCTCGAGACGATTTGGGGTACACGGAGCATTCCTCGAGTTGCTGTGCTGAAGTTGGTGTTCCTCTAGACTTGGGACAGTGTTCTCGGGGCATCTCTGGAGTTGCCTGAAGGAAGTCGAGCCACCGGTTGTGTTGAATGGGGAACGGGGAATGGCTCTGGAGTCAATGCAGGGGAATCGGGCCTCATTTCGAGTTGATTTGGGGCACATGGAGCTGCTTTGCGTTGCTGGGGTGACCTCAGGGTCCGTCTAGACTGGTGATAGTGTTCTTGGGGACTGTCTCGAGATCCATTAAGCAAGTCGAAGCTCCTGACTTGTTTGAATGGGATCACGGAATAGCTCTGCATGCTCTGCAGGGGAATGGGGCCTCATCTCGCCTCTAGGGGGAAGTCTCATGGTTTTTCTCGAGTTGCGGCGGGGACCTGGGGTATGTTCTCGACTTACGGCGGGGATGCCCCTTCAAAACACGAGTTTCTTCAGTGACGTCAGGACTCCTGTCTAGTAACGAGGGACACCTCAGGAATCTCTTCGAGGCTTGGCAGGGCAAAAGGGACGCTTCTCGAGGTGAGGCAGGGCACCCAAGGACCCTTTCCAGTAGCCACAGGGATTTTGGGATTCCTATCAGTATTCAAGAGGAGTCAGGCATCGTCACCTTTTGAAGCAATGAACTCCGCGTGCCTCTCGAGGTGTCAGCGGGATGTGAGGCATTCCGTAAAAATGAGGCAGGGACCTAGGGCTTTCTCTAAGGTCTCCACAGGGGATTCAGACATCCCTTCATGTTGTGAGATGAAAGACGAGCCTGTATTCAAGCCACTGCAAGGAAATCCGGCCTCCTTTCAAGTTAGGGCTTCTCGCTGTATATTCCCCTTGAGGCAGCAAACTCGGGGACCCTCCCACATACCTATTGCTGAGAGAAGCCTCCTCCTGAGGTGCTTCTGGGAAGTTGGCATACGTCTTGAGCCTAAGCCAGGGAATCAGCTCTCATCTCGAGACGATTTGGGGTACACGGAGCATTCCTCGAGTTGCTGTGCTGAAGTTGGTGTTCCTCTAGACTTGGGACAGTGTTCTCGGGGCATCTCTGGAGTTGCCTGAAGGAAGTCGAGCCACCGGTCGTGTTGAATGGGGAACGGGGAATGGCTCTGGAGTCAATGCAGGGGAATCGGGCCTCATCTCGAGTTGATTTGGGGCACATGGAGCTGCTTTGCGTTGATGGGGTGACCTCAGGGTCCGTCTAGACTGGGGACAGTGTTCTTGGGGACTCTCTCGAGATCCATTAAGCAAGTCGAAGCTCCTGACTTGTTTGAATGGGATCACGGAATAGCTCTGCATGCACTGCAGGGGAATGGGGCCTCATCTCGCCTCTAGGGGGAAGTCTCATGGTTTTTCTCGAGTTGCGGCGGGGACCTGGGGTATGTTCTCGACTTACGGCGGGGATGGCCCTTCAAAACACGAGTTTCTTCAGTGACGTCAGGACTCCTGTCTAGTAACGAGGGACACCTCAGGAATCTCTTCGAGGCTTGGCAGGGCAAAAGGGACGCTTCTCGAGGTGAGGCAGGGCACCCAAGGACCCTTTCCAGTAGCCACAGTGATTTTGGGATTCCTATCAGTATTCAAGAGGAGTCAGGCATCGTCACCTTTTGAAGCAATGAACTCCGCGTGCCTCTCGAGGTGTCAGCGGGATGTGAGGCATTCCGTCAAAATGAGGCAGGGACCTAGGGCTTTCTCTAAGGTCTCCACAGGGGATTCAGACATCCCTTCATGTTGTGAGATGAAAGACGAGCCTGTATTCAAGCCACTGCAAGGAAATCCGGCCTCGTTTCAAGTTAGGGCTTCTCGCTGTATATTCCCCTTGAGGCAGCAAACTCGGGGTCCCTCCCACATACCTATTGCTGAGAGAAGCCTCCTCCTGAGGTGCTTCTGGGAAGTTGTCATACGTCTTGAGCCTAAGCCAGGGAATCAGCTCTCATCTCGAGACGATTTGGGGTACACGGAGCATTCCTCGAGTTGCTGTGCTGAAGTTGGTGTTCCTCTAGACTTGGGACAGTGTTCTCGGGGCATCTCTGGAGTTGCCTGAAGGAAGTCGAGCCACCGGTCGTGTTGAATGGGGAACGGGGAATGGCTCTGGAGTCAATGCAGGGGAATCGGGCCTCATCTCGAGTTGATTTGGGGCACATGGAGCTGCTTTGCGTTGCTGGGGTGACCTCAGGGTCCGTCTAGACTGGGGACAGTGTTCTTGGGGACTCTCTCGAGATCCATTAAGCAAGTCGAAGCTCCTGACTTGTTTGAATGGGATCACGGAATAGCTCTGCATGCACTGCAGGGGAATGGGCCTCATCTCGCCTCTAGGGGGAAGTCTCATGGTTTTTCTCGAGTTGCGGCGGGGACCTGGGGTATGTTCTCGACTTACGGCGGGGATGGCCCTTCAAAACACGAGTTTCTTCAGTGACGTCAGGACTCCTGTCTAGTAACGAGGGACACCTCAGGAATCTCTTCGAGGCTTGGCAGGGCAAAAGGGATGCTTCTCGAGGTGAGGCAGGGCACCCAAGGACCCTTTCCAGTAGCCACAGGGATTTTGGGATTCCTATCAGTATTCAAGAGGAGTCAGGCATCGTCACCTTTTGAAGCAATGAACTCCGCGTGCCTCTCGAGGTGTCAGCGGGATGTGAGGCATTCCGTCAAAATGAGGCAGGGACCTAGGGCTTTCTCTAAGGTCTCCACAGGGGATTCAGACATCCCTTCATGTTGTGAGATGAAAGACGAGCCTGTATTCAAGCCACTGCAAGGAAATCCGGCCTCGTTTCAAGTTAGGGCTTCTCGCTGTATATTCCCCTTGAGGCAGCAAACTCGGGGTCCCTCCCACATACCTATTGCTGAGAGAAGCCTCCTCCTGAGGTGCTTCTGGGAAGTTGTCATACGTCTTGAGCCTAAGCCAGGGAATCAGCTCTCATCTCGAGACGATTTGGGGTACACGGAGCATTCCTCGAGTTGCTGTGCTGAAGTTGGTGTTCCTCTAGACTTGGGACAGTGTTCTCGGGGCATCTCTGGAGTTGCCTGAAGGAAGTCGAGCCACCGGTCGTGTTGAATGGGGAACGGGGAATGGCTCTGGAGTCAATGCAGGGGAATCGGGCCTCATCTCGAGTTGATTTGGGGCACATGGAGCTGCTTTGCGTTGCTGGGGTGACCTCAGGGTCCGTCTAGACTGGTGACAGTGTTCTTGGGGACTATCTCGAGATCCATTAAGCAAGTCGAAGCTCCTGACTTGTTTGAACGGGATCAAGGAATAGCTCTGCATGCACTGCAGGGGAATGGGGCCTCATCTCGCCTCTAGGGGGAAGTCTCATGGTTTTTCTCGAGTTGCGGCGGGGACCTGGGGTATGTTCTCGACTTACGGCGGGGATGGCCCTTCAAAACACGAGTTTCTTCAGTGACGTCAGGACTCCTGTCTAGTAACGAGGGACACCTCAGGAATCTCTTCGAGGCTTGGCAGGGCAAAAGGGACGCTTCTCGAGGTGAGGCAGGGCACCCAAGGACCCTTTCCAGTAGCCACAGGGATTTTGGGATTCCTATCAGTATTCAAGAGGAGTCAGGCATCGTCACCTTTTGAAGCAATGAACTCCGTGTGCCTCTCGAGGTGTCAGCGGGATGTGAGGCATTCCGTCAAAATGAGGCAGGGACCTAGGGCTTTCTCTAAGGTCTCCACAGGGGATTCAGACATCCCTTCCTGTTGTGAGATGAAAGACGAGCCTGTATTCAAGCCACTGCAAGGAAATCCGGCCTCGTTTCAAGTTAGGGCTTCTCGCTGTATATTCCCCTTGAGGCAGCAAACTCGGGGTCCCTCCCACATACCTATTGCTGAGAGAAGCCTCCTCCTGAGGTGCTTCTGGGAAGTTGGCATACGTCTTGAGCCTAAGCCAGGGAATCAGCTCTCATCTCGAGACGATTTGGGGTACACGGAGCATTCCTCGAGTTGCTGTGCTGAAGTTGGTGTTCCTCTAGACTTGGGACAGTGTTCTCGGGGCATCTCTGGAGTTGCCTGAAGGAAGTCGAGCCACCGGTTGTGTTGAATGGGGAACGGGGAATGGCTCTGGAGTCAATGCAGGGGAATCGGGCCTCATCTCGAGTTGATTTGGGGCACATGGAGCTGCTTTGCGTTGCTGGGGTGACCTCAGGGTCCGTCTAGACTGGTGACAGTGTTCTTGGGGACTGTCTCGAGATCCATTAAGCAAGTCGAAGCTCCTGACTTGTTTGAATGGGATCACGGAATAGCTCTGCATGCTCTGCAGGGGAATGGGGCCTCATCTCGCCTCTAGGGGGAAGTCTCATGGTTTTTCTCGAGTTGCGGCGGGGACCTGGGGTATGTTCTCGACTTACGGCGGGGATGGCCCTTCAAAACACGAGTTTCTTCAGTGACGTCAGGACTCCTGTCTAGTAACGAGGGACACCTCAGGAATCTCTTCGAGGCTTGGCAGGGCCAAAGGGACGCTTCTCGAGGTGAGGCAGGGCACCCAAGGACCCTTTCCAGTAGCCACAGGGATTTTGGGATTCCTATCAGTATTCAAGAGGAGTCAGGCATCGTCACCTTTTGAAGCAATGAACTCCGCGTGCCTCTCGAGGTGTCAGCGGGATGTGAGGCATTCCGTCAAAATGAGGCAGGGACCTAGGGCTTTCTCTAAGGTCTCCACAGGGGATTCAGACATCCCTTCATGTTGTGAGATGAAAGACGAGCCTGTATTCAAGCCACTGCAAGGAAATCCGGCCTCCTTTCAAGTTAGGGCTTCTCGCTGTATATTCCCCTTGAGGCAGCAAACTCGGGGCCCCTCCCACATACCTATTGCTGAGAGAAGCCTCCTCCTGAGGTGCTTCTGGGAAGTTGGCATACGTCTTGAGCCTAAGCCAGGGAATCAGCTCTCATCTCGAGACGATTTGGGGTACACGGAGCATTCCTCGAGTTGCTGTGCTGAAGTTGGTGTTCCTCTAGACTTGGGACAGTGTTCTCGGGGCATCTCTGGAGTTGCCTGAAGGAAGTCGAGCCACCGGTCGTGTTGAATGGGGAACGGGGAATGGCTCTGGAGTCAATGCAGGGGAATCGGGCCTCATCTCGAGTTGATTTGGGGCACATGGAGCTGCTTTGCGTTGCTGGGGTGACCTCAGGGTCCGTCTAGACTGGGGACAGTGTTCTTGGGGACTCTCTCGAGATCCATTAAGCAAGTCGAAGCTCCTGACTTGTTTGAATGGGATCACGGAATAGCTCTGCATGCACTGCAGGGGAATGGGGCCTCATCTCGCCTCTAGGGGGAAGTCTCATGGTTTTTCTCGAGTTGCGGCGGGGACCTGGGGTATGTTCTCGACTTACGGCGGGGATGCCCCTTCAAAACACGAGTTTCTTCAGTGACGTCAGGACTCCTGTCTAGTAACGAGGGACACCTCAGGAATCTCTTCGAGGCTTGGCAGGGCAAAAGGGACGCTTCTCGAGGTGAGGCAGGGCACCCAAGGACCCTTTCCAGTAGCCACAGGGATTTTGGGATTCCTATCAGTATTCAAGAGGAGTCAGGCATCGTCACCTTTTGAAGCAATGAACTCCGCGTGCCTCTCGAGGTGTCAGCGGGATGTGAGGCATTCCGTCAAAATGAGGCAGGGACCTAGGGCTTTCTCTAAGGTCTCCACAGGGGATTCAGACATCCCTTCATGTTGTGAGATGAAAGACGAGCCTGTATTCAAGCCACTGCAAGGAAATCCGGCCTCGTTTCAAGTTAGGGCTTCTCGCTGTATATTCCCCTTGAGGCAGCAAACTCGGGGTCCCTCCCACATACCTATTGCTGAGAGAAGCCTCCTCCTGAGGTGCTTCTGGGAAGTTGGCATACGTCTTGAGCCTAAGCCAGGGAATCAGCTCTCATCTCGAGACGATTTGGGGTACACGGAGCATTCCTCGAGTTGCTGTGCTGAAGTTGGTGTTCCTCTAGACTTGGGACAGTGTTCTCGGGGCATCTCTGGAGTTGCCTGAAGGAAGTCGAGCCACCGGTCGTGTTGAATGGGGAACGGGGAATGGCTCTGGAGTCAATGCAGGGGAATCGGGCCTCATCTCGAGTTGATTTGGGGCACATGGAGCTGCTTTGCGTTGCTGGGGTGACCTCAGGGTCCGTCTAGACTGGGGACAGTGTTCTTGGGGACTCTCTCGAGATCCATTAAGCAAGTCGAAGCTCCTGACTTGTTTGAATGGGATCACGGAATAGCTCTGCATGCACTGCAGGGGAATGGGCCTCATCTCGCCTCTAGGGGGAAGTCTCATGGTTTTTCTCGAGTTGCGGCGGGGACCTGGGGTATGTTCTCGACTTACGGCGGGGATGGCCCTTCAAAACACGAGTTTCTTCAGTGACGTCAGGACTCCTGTCTAGTAACGAGGGACACCTCAGAAATCTCTTCGAGGCTTGGCAGGGCAAAAGGGACCCTTCTCGAGGTGAGGCAGGGCACCCAAGGACCCTTTCCAGTAGCCACAGGGATTTTGGGATTCCTATCAGTATTCAAGAGGAGTCAGGCATCGTCACCTTTTGAAGCAATGAACTCCGCGTGCCTCTCGAGGTGTCAGCGGGATGTGAGGCATTCCGTCAAAATGAGGCAGGGACCTAGGGCTTTCTCTAAGGTCTCCACAGGGGATTCAGACATCCCTTCATGTTGTGAGATGAAAGACGAGCCTGTATTCAAGCCACTGCAAGGAAATCCGGCCTCGTTTCAAGTTAGGGCTTCTCGCTGTATATTCCCCTTGAGGCAGCACACTCGGGGTCCCTCCCACATACCTATTGCTGAGAGAAGCCTCCTCCTGAGGTGCTTCTGGGAAGTTGGCATACGTCTTGAGCCTAAGCCAGGGAATCAGCTCGCATCTCGAGACGATTTGGGGTACACGGAGCATTCCTCGAGTTGCTGTGCTGAAGTTGGTGTTCCTCTAGACTTGGGACAGTGTTCTCGGGGCATCTCTGGAGTTGCCTGAAGGAAGTCGAGCCACCGGTCGTGTTGAATGGGGAACGGGGAATGGCTCTGGAGTCAATGCAGGGGAATCGGGCCTCATCTCGAGTTGATTTGGGGCACATGGAGCTGCTTTGCGTTGCTGGGGTGACCTCAGGGTCCGTCTAGACTGGTGACAGTGTTCTTGGGGACTATCTCGAGATCCATTAAGCAAGTCGAAGCTCCTGACTTGTTTGAATGGGATCAAGGAATAGCTCTGCATGCACTGCAGGGGAATGGGGCCTCATCTCGCCTCTAGGGGGAAGTCTCATGGTTTTTCTCGAGTTGCGGCGGGGACCTGGGGTATGTTCTCGACTTACGGCGGGGATGGCCCTTCAAAACACGAGTTTCTTCAGTGACGTCAGGACTCCTGTCTAGTAACGAGGGACACCTCAGGAATCTCTTCGAGGCTTGGCAGGGCAAAAGGGACGCTTCTCGAGGTGAGGCAGGGCACCCAAGGACCCTTTCCAGTAGCCACAGGGATTTTGGGATTCCTATCAGTATTCAAGAGGAGTCAGGCATCGTCACCTTTTGAAGCAATGAACTCCGCGTGCCTCTCGAGGTGTCAGCGGGATGTGAGGCATTCCGTCAAAATGAGGCAGGGACCTAGGGCTTTCTCTAAGGTCTCCACAGGGGATTCAGACATCCCTTCCTGTTGTGAGATGAAAGACGAGCCTGTATTCAAGCCACTGCAAGGAAATCCGGCCTCGTTTCAAGTTAGGGCTTCTCGCTGTATATTCCCCTTGAGGCAGCAAACTCGGGGTCCCTCCCACATACCTATTGCTGAGAGAAGCCTCCTCCTGAGGTGCTTCTGGGAAGTTGGCATACGTCTTGAGCCTAAGCCAGGGAATCAGCTCTCATCTCGAGACGATTTGGGGTACACGGAGCATTCCTCGAGTTGCTGTGCAGAAGTTGGTGTTCCTCGAGACTTGGGACAGTGTTCTCGGGGCATCTCTGGAGTTGCCTGAAGGAAGTCGAGCCACCGGTTGTGTTGAATGGGGAACGGGGAATGGCTCTGGAGTCAATGCAGGGGAATCGGGCCTCATCTCGAGTTGATTTGGGGCACATGGAGCTGCTTTGCGTTGCTGGGGTGACCTCAGGGTCCGTCTAGACTGGTGACAGTGTTCTTGGGGACTGTCTCGAGATCCATTAAGCAAGTCGAAGCTCCTGACTTGTTTGAATGGGATCACGGAATAGCTCTGCATGCACTGCAGGGGAATGGGGCCTCATCTCGCCTCTAGGGGGAAGTCTCATGGTTTTTCTCGAGTTGCGGCGGGGACCTGGGGTATGTTCTCGACTTACGGCGGGGATGGCCCTTCAAAACACGAGTTTCTTCAGTGACGTCAGGACTCCTGTCTAGTAACGAGGGACACCTCAGGAATCTCTTCGAGGCTTGGCAGGGCAAAAGGGACGCTTCTCGACGTGAGGCAGGGCACCCAAGGACCCTTTCCAGTAGCCACAGGGATTTTGGGATTCCTATCAGTATTCAAGAGGAGTCAGGCATCGTCACCTTTTGAAGCAATGAACTCCGCGTGCCTCTCGAGGTGTCAGCGGGATGTGAGGCATTCCGTCAAAATGAGGCAGGGACCTAGGGCTTTCTCTAAGGTCTCCACAGGGGATTCAGACATCCCTTCATGTTGTGAGATGAAAGACGAGCCTGTATTCAAGCCACTGCAAGGAAATCCGGCCTCGTTTCAAGTTAGGGCTTCTCGCTGTATATTCCCCTTGAGGCAGCAAACTCGGGGCCCCTCCCACATACCTATTGCTGAGAGAAGCCTCCTCCTGAGGTGCTTCTGGGAAGTTGGCATACGTCTTGAGCCTAAGCCAGGGAATCAGCTCTCATCTCGAGACGATTTGGGGTACACGGAGCATTCCTCGAGTTGCTGTGCTGAATTTGGTGTTCCTCTAGACTTGGGACAGTGTTCTCGGGGCATCTCTGGAGTTGCCTGAAGGAAGTCGAGCCACCGGTCGTGTTGAATGGGGAACGGGGAATGGCTCTGGAGTCAATGCAGGGGAATCGGGCCTCATCTCGAGTTGATTTGGGGCACATGGAGCTGCTTTGCGTTGATGGGGTGACCTCAGGGTCCGTCTAGACTGGGGACAGTGTTCTTGGGGACTCTCTCGAGATCCATTAAGCAAGTCGAAGCTCCTGACTTGTTTGAATGGGATCACGGAATAGCTCTGCATGCACTGCAGGGGAATGGGGCCTCATCTCGCCTCTAGGGGGAAGTCTCATGGTTTTTCTCGAGTTGCGGCGGGGACCTGGGGTATGTTCTCGACTTACGGCGGGGATGGCCCTTCAAAACACGAGTTTCTTCAGTGACGTCAGGACTCCTGTCTAGTAACGAGGGACACCTCAGGAATCTCTTCGAGGCTTGGCAGGGCAAAAGGGACGCTTCTCGAGGTGAGGCAGGGCACCCAAGGACCCTTTCCAGTAGCCACAGGGATTTTGGGATTCCTATCAGTATTCAAGAGGAGTCAGGCATCGTCACCTTTTGAAGCAATGAACTCCGCGTGCCTCTCGAGGTGTCAGCGGGATGTGAGGCATTCCGTCAAAATGAGGCAGGGACCTAGGGCTTTCTCTAAGGTCTCCACAGGGGATTCAGACATCCCTTCATGTTGTGAGATGAAAGACGAGCCTGTATTCAAGCCACTGCAAGGAAATCCGGCCTCGTTTCAAGTTAGGGCTTCTCGCTGTATATTCCCCTTGAGGCAGCAAACTCGGGGTCCCTCCCACATACCTATTGCTGAGAGAAGCCTCCTCCTGAGGTGCTTCTGGGAAGTTGGCATACGTCTTGAGCCTAAGCCAGGGAATCAGCTCTCATCTCGAGACGATTTGGGGTACACGGAGCATTCCTCGAGTTGCTGTGCTGAAGTTGGTGTTCCTCTAGACTTGGGACAGTGTTCTCGGGGCATCTCTGGAGTTGCCTGAAGGAAGTCGAGCCACCGGTCGTGTTGAATGGGGAACGGGGAATGGCTCTGGAGTCAATGCAGGGGAATCGGGCCTCATCTCGAGTTGATTTGGGGCACATGGAGCTGCTTTGCGTTGATGGGGTGACCTCAGGGTCCGTCTAGACTGGGGACAGTGTTCTTGGGGACTCTCTCGAGATCCATTAAGCAAGTCGAAGCTCCTGACTTGTTTGAATGGGATCACGGAATAGCTCTGCATGCACTGCAGGGGAATGGGGCCTCATCTCGCCTCTAGGGGGAAGTCTCATGGTTTTTCTCGAGTTGCGGCGGGGACCTGGGGTATGTTCTCGACTTACGGCGGGGATGCCCCTTCAAAACACGAGTTTCTTCAGTGACGTCAGGACTCCTGTCTAGTAACGAGGGACACCTCAGGAATCTCTTCGAGGCTTGGCAGGGCAAAAGGGACGCTTCTCGAGGTGAGGCAGGGCACCCAAGGACCCTTTCCAGTAGCCACAGGGATTTTGGGATTCCTATCAGTATTCAAGAGGAGTCAGGCATCGTCACCTTTTGAAGCAATGAACTCCGCGTGCCTCTCGAGGTGTCAGCGGGATGTGAGGCATTCCGTCAAAATGAGGCAGGGACCTAGGGCTTTCTCTAAGGTCTCCACAGGGGATTCAGACATCCCTTCATGTTGTGAGATGAAAGACGAGCCTGTATTCAAGCCACTGCAAGGAAATCCGGCCTCGTTTCAAGTTAGGGCTTCTCGCTGTATATTCCCCTTGAGGCAGCAAACTCGGGGTCCCTCCCACATACCTATTGCTGAGAGAAGCCTCCTCCTGAGGTGCTTCTGGGAAGTTGGCATACGTCTTAAGCCTAAGCCAGGGAATCAGCTCTCATCTCGAGACGATTTGGGGTACACGGAGCATTCCTCGAGTTGCTGTGCTGAAGTTGGTGTTCCTCTAGACTTGGGACAGTGTTCTCGGGGCATCTCTGGAGTTGCCTGAAGGAAGTCGAGCCACCGGTCGTGTTGAATGGGGAACGGGGAATGGCTCTGGAGTCAATGCAGGGGAATCGGGCCTCATCTCGAGTTGATTTGGGGCACACGGAGCTGCTTTGCGTTGCTGGGGTGACCTCAGGGTCCGTCTAGACTGGTGACAGTGTTCTTGGGGACTATCTCGAGATCCATTAAGCAAGTCGAAGCTCCTGACTTGTTTGAATGGGATCACGGAATAACTCTGCATGCACTGCAGGGGAATGGGGCCTCATCTCGCCTCTAGGGGGAAGTCTCATGGTTTTTCTCGAGTTGCGGCGGGGACCTGGGGTATGTTCTCGACTTACGGCGGGGATGGCCCTTCAAAACACGAGTTTCTTCAGTGACGTCAGGACTCCTGTCTAGTAACGAGGGACACCTCAGGATTCTCTTCGAGGCTTGGCAGGGCAAAAGGGACGCTTCTCGAGGTGAGGCAGGGCACCCAAGGACCCTTTCCAGTAGCCACAGGGATTTTGGGATTCCTATCAGTATTCAAGAGGAGTCAGGCATCGTCACCTTTTGAAGCAACGAACTCCGCGTGCCTCTCGAGGTGTCAGCGGGATGTGAGGCATTCCGTCAAAATGAGGCAGGGACCTAGGGCTTTCTCTAAGGTCTCCACAGGGGATTCAGACATCCCTTCATGTTGTGAGATGAAAGACGAGCCTGTATTCAAGCCACTGCAAGGAAATCCGGCCTCCTTTCAAGTTAGGGCTTCTCGCTGTATATTCCCCTTGAGGCAGCAAACTCGGGGTCCCTCCCACATACCTATTGCTGAGAGAAGCCTCCTCCTGAGGTGCTTCTGGGAAGTTGGCATACGTCTTGAGCCTAAGCCAGGGAATCAGCCTGCATCTCGAGACGATTTGGGGTACACGGAGCATTCCTCGAGTTGCTGTGCTGAAGTTGGTGTTCCTCTAGACTTGGGACAGTGTTCTAGGGGCATCTCTGGAGTTGCCTGAAGGAAGTCGAGCCACCGGTCGTGTTGAATGGGGAACGGGGAATGGCTCTGGAGTCAATGCAGGGGAATCGGGCCTCATCTCGAGTTGATTTGGGGCACATGGAGCTGCTTTGCGTTGCTGGGGTGACCTCAGGGTCCGTCTAGACTGGTGACAGTGTTCTTGGGGACTGTCTCGAGATCCATTAAGCAAGTCGAAGCTCCTGACTTGTTTGAATGGGATCACGGAATAGCTCTGCATGCACTGCAGGGGAATGGGGCCTCATCTCGCCTCTAGGGGGAAGTCTCATGGTTTTTCTCGAGTTGCGGCGGGGACCTGGGGTATGTTCTCGACTTACGGCGGGGATGGCCCTTCAAAACACGAGTTTCTTCAGTGACGTCAGGACTCCTGTCTAGTAACGAGGGACACCTCAGGAATCTCTTCGAGGCTTGGCAGGGCCAAAGGGACGCTTCTCGAGGTGAGGCAGGGCACCCAAGGACCCTTTCCAGTAGCCACAGGGATTTTGGGATTCCTATCAGTATTCAAGAGGAGTCAGGCATCGTCACCTTTTGAAGCAACGAACACCGCGTGCCTCTCGAGGTGTCAGCGGGATGTGAGGCATTCCGTCAAAATGAGGCAGGGACCTAGGGCTTTCTCTAAGGTCTCCACAGGGGATTCAGACATCCCTTCATGTTGTGAGATGAAAGACGAGCCTGTATTCAAGCCACTGCAAGGAAATCCGGCCTCCTTTCAAGTTAGGGCTTCTCGCTGTATATTCCCCTTGAGGCAGCAAACTCGGGGTCCCTCCCACATACCTATTGCTGAGAGAAGCCTCCTCCTGAGGTGCTTCTGGGAAGTTGGCATACGTCTTGAGCCTAAGCCAGGGAATCAGCTCTCATCTCGAGACGATTTGGGGTACACGGAGCATTCCTCGAGTTGCTGTGCTGAAGTTGGTGTTCCTCTAGACTTGGGACAGTGTTCTCGGGGCATCTCTGGAGTTGCCTGAAGGAAGTCGAGCCACCGGTCGTGCTGAATGGGGAACGGGGAATGGCTCTGGAGTCAATGCAGGGGAATCGGGCCTCATCTCGAGTTGATTTGGGGCACATGGAGCTGCTTTGCGTTGCTGGGGTGACCTCAGGGTCCGTCTAGACTGGTGACAGTGTTCTTGGGGACTGTCTCGATATCCATTAAGCAAGTCGAAGCTCCTGACTTGTTTGAATGGGATCACGGAATAGCTCTGCATGCACTGCAGGGGAATGGGGCCTCATCTCGCCTCTAGGGGGAAGTCTCATGGTTTTTCTCGAGTTGCGGCGGGGACCTGGGGTATGTTCTCGACTTACGGCGGGGATGGCCCTTCAAAACACGAGTTTCTTCAGTGACGTCAGGACTCCTGTCTAGTAACGAGGGACACCTCAGGAATCTCTTCGAGGCTTGGCAGGGCCAAAGGGACGCTTCTCGAGGTGAGGCAGGGCACCCAAGGACCCTTTCCAGTAGCCACAGGGATTTTGGGATTCCTATCAGTATTCAAGAGGAGTCAGGCATCGTCACCTTTTGAAGCAACGAACTCCGCGTGCCTCTCGAGGTGTCAGCGGGATGTGAGGCATTCCGTCAAAATGAGGCAGGGACCTAGGGCTTTCTCTAAGGTCTCCACAGGGGATTCAGACATCCCTTCATGTTGTGAGATGAAAGACGAGCCTGTATTCAAGCCACTGCAAGGAAATCCGGCCTCCTTTCAAGTTAGGGCTTCTCGCTGTATATTCCCCTTGAGGCAGCAAACTCGGGGTCCCTCCCACATACCTATTGCTGAGAGAAGCCTCCTCCTGAGGTGCTTCTGGGAAGTTGGCATACGTCTTGAGCCTAAGCCAGGGAATCAGCTCGCATCTCGAGACGATTTGGGGTACACGGAGCATTCCTCGAGTTGCTGTGCTGAAGTTGGTGTTCCTCTAGACTTGGGACAGTGTTCTCGGGGCATCTCTGGAGTTGCCTGAAGGAAGTCGAGCCACCGGTCGTGCTGAATGGGGAACGGGGAATGGCTCTGGAGTCAATGCAGGGGAATCGGGCCTCATCTCGAGTTGATTTGGGGCACATGGAGCTGCTTTGCGTTGCTGGGGTGACCTCAGGGTCCGTCTAGACTGGTGACAGTGTTCTTGGGGACTGTCTCGAGATCCATTAAGCAAGTCGAAGCTCCTGACTTGTTTGAATGGGATCACGGAATAGCTCTGCATGCACTGCAGGGGAATGGGGCCTCATCTCGCCTCTAGGGGGAAGTCTCATGGTTTTTCTCGAGTTGCGGCGGGGACCTGGGGTATGTTCTCGACTTACGGCGGGGATGGCCCTTCAAAACACGAGTTTCTTCAGTGACGTCAGGACTCCTGTCTAGTAACGAGGGACACCTCAGGAATCTCTTCGAGGCTTGGCAGGGCCAAAGGGACGCTTCTCGAGGTGAGGCAGGGCACCCAAGGACCCTTTCCAGTAGCCACAGGGATTTTGGGATTCCTATCAGTATTCAAGAGGAGTCAGGCATCGTCACCTTTTGAAGCAATGAACTCCGCGTGCCTCTCGAGGTGTCAGCGGGATGTGAGGCATTCCGTCAAAATGAGGCAGGGACCTAGGGCTTTCTCTAAGGTCTCCACAGGGGATTCAGACATCCCTTCATGTTGTGAGATGAAAGACGAGCCTGTATTCAAGCCACTGCAAGGAAATCCGGCCTCCTTTCAAGTTAGGGCTTCTCGCTGTATATTCCCCTTGAGGCAGCAAACTCGGGGTCCCTCCCACATACCTATTGCTGAGAGAAGCCTCCTCCTGAGGTGCTTCTGGGAAGTTGGCATACGTCTTGAGCCTAAGCCAGGGAATCAGCTCGCATCTCGAGACGATTTGGGGTACACGGAGCATTCCTCGAGTTGCTGTGCTGAAGTTGGTGTTCCTCTAGACTTGGGACAGTGTTCTCGGGGCATCTCTGGAGTTGCCTGAAGGAAGTCGAGCCACCGGTCGTGTTGAATGGGGAACGGGGAATGGCTCTGGAGTCAATGCAGGGGAATCGGGCCTCATCTCGAGTTGATTTGGGGCACATGGAGCTGCTTTGCGTTGCTGGGGTGACCTCAGGGTCCGTCTAGACTGGTGACAGTGTTCTTGGGGACTGTCTCGAGATCCATTAAGCAAGTCGAAGCTCCTGACTTGTTTGAATGGGATCACGGAATAGCTCTGCATGCACTGCAGGGGAATGGGGCCTCATCTCGCCTCTAGGGGGAAGTCTCATGGTTTTTCTCGAGTTGCGGCGGGGACCTGGGGTATGTTCTCGACTTACGGCGGGGATGGCCCTTCAAAACACGAGTTTCTTCAGTGACGTCAGGACTCCTGTCTAGTAACGAGGGACACCTCAGGAATCTCTTCGAGGCTTGGCAGGGCCAAAGGGACGCTTCTCGAGGTGAGGCAGGGCACCCAAGGACCCTTTCCAGTAGCCACAGGGATTTTGGGATTCCTATCAGTATTCAAGAGGAGTCAGGCATCGTCACCTTTTGAAGCAATGAACTCCGCGTGCCTCTCGAGGTATCAGCGGGATGTGAGGCATTCCGTCAAAATGAGGCAGGGACCTAGGGCTTTCTCTAAGGTCTCCACAGGGGATTCAGACATCCCTTCATGTTGTGAGATGAAAGACGAGCCTGTATTCAAGCCACTGCAAGGAAATCCGGCCTCCTTTCAAGTTAGGGCTTCTCGCTGTATATTCCCCTTGAGGCAGCAAACTCGGGGTCCCTCCCACATACCTATTGCTGAGAGAAGAATCCTCCTGAGGTGCTTCTGGGAAGTTGGCATACGTCTTGAGCCTAAGCCAGGGAATCAGCTCGCATTTCGAGACGATTTGGGGTACACGGAGCATTCCTCGAGTTGCTGTGCTGAAGTTGGTGTTCCTCTAGACTTGGGACAGTGTTCTCGGGGCATCTCTGGAGTTGCCTGAAGGAAGTCGAGCCACCGGTCGTGTTGAATGGGGAACGGGGAATGGCTCTGGAGTCAATGCAGGGGAATCGGGCCTCATCTCGAGTTGATTTGGGGCACATGGAGCTGCTTTGCGTTGCTGGGGTGACCTCAGGGTCCGTCTAGACTGGTGACAGTGTTCTTGGGGACTGTCTCGAGATCCATTAAGCAAGTCGAAGCTCCTGACTTGTTTGAATGGGATCACGGAATAGCTCTGCATGCACTGCAGGGGAATGGGGCCTCATCTCGCCTCTAGGGGGAAGTCTCATGGTTTTACTCGAGTTGCGGCGGGGACCTGGGATATGTTCTCAACTTACGGCGGGGATGGCCCTTCAAAACACGAGTTTCTTCAGTGACGTCAGGACTCCTGTCTAGTAACGAGGGACACCTCAGGAATCTCTTCGAGGCTTGGCAGGGCCAAAGGGACGCTTCTCGAGGTGAGGCAGGGCACCCAAGGACCCTTTCCAGTAGCCACAGGGATTTTGGGATTCCTATCAGTATTCAAGAGGAGTCAGGCATCGTCACCTTTTGAAGCAATGAACTCCGCGTGCCTCTCGAGGTGTCAGCGGGATGTGAGGCATTCCGTCAAAATGAGGCAGGGACCTAGGGCTTTCTCTAAGGTCTCCACAGGGGATTCAGACATCCCTTCATGTTGTGAGATGAAAGACGAGCCTGTATTCAAGCCACTGCAAGGAAATCCGGCCTCCTTTCAAGTTAGGGCTTCTCGCTGTATATTCCCCTTGAGGCAGCAAACTCGGGGTCCCTCCCACATACCTATTGCTGAGAGAAGCCTCCTCCTGAGGTGCTTCTGGGAAGTTGGCATACGTCTTGAGCCTAAGCCAGGGAATCAGCTCGCATCTCGAGACGATTTGGGGTACACGGAGCATTCCTCGAGTTGCTGTGCTGAAGTTGGTGTTCCTCTAGACTTGGGACAGTGTTCTCGGGGCATCTCTGGAGTTGCCTGAAGGAAGTCGAGCCACCGGTCGTGTTGAATGGGGAACGGGGAATGGCTCTGGAGTCAATGCAGGGGAATCGGGCCTCATCTCGAGTTGATTTGGGGCACATGGAGCTGCTTTGCGTTGCTGGGGTGACCTCAGGGTCCGTCTAGACTGGTGACAGTGTTCTTGGGGACTGTCTCGAGATCCATTAAGCAAGTCGAAGCTCCTGACTTGTTTGAATGGGGTCACGGAATAGCTCTGCATGCACTGCAGGGGAATGGGGCCTCATCTCGCCTCTAGGGGGAAGTCTCATGGTTTTTCTCGAGTTGCGGCGGGGACCTGGGGTATGTTCTCGACTTACGGCGGGGATGGCCCTTCAAAACACGAGTTTCTTCAGTGACGTCAGGACTCCTGTCTAGTAACGAGGGACACCTCAGGAATCTCTTCGAGGCTTGGCAGGGCCAAAGGGACGCTTCTCGAGGTGAGGCAGGGCACCCAAGGACCCTTTCCAGTAGCCACAGGGATTTTGGGATTCCTATCAGTATTCAAGAGGAGTCAGGCATCGTCACCTTTTGAAGCAATGAACTCCGCGTGCCTCTCGAGGTGTCAGCGGGATGTGAGGCATTCCGTCAAAATGAGGCAGGGACCTAGGGCTTTCTCTAAGGTCTCCACAGGGGATTCAGACATCCCTTCATGTTGTGAGATGAAAGACGAGCCTGTATTCAAGCCACTGCAAGGAAATCCGGCCTCCTTTCAAGTTAGGGCTTCTCGCTGTATATTCCCCTTGAGGCAGCAAACTCGGGGTCCCTCCCACATACCTATTGCTGAGAGAAGCCTCCTCCTGAGGTGCTTCTGGGAAGTTGGCATACGTCTTGAGCCTAAGCCAGGGAATCAGCTCGCATCTCGAGACGATTTGGGGTACACGGAGCATTCCTCGAGTTGCTGTGCTGAAGTTGGTGTTCCTCTAGACTTGGGACAGTGTTCTCGGGGCATCTCTGGAGTTGCCTGAAGGAAGTCGAGCCACCGGTCGTGTTGAATGGGGAACGGGGAATGGCTCTGGAGTCAATGCAGGGGAATCGGGCCTCATCTCGAGTTGATTTGGGGCACATGGAGCTGCTTTGCGTGGCTGGGGTGACCTCAGGGTCCGTCTAGACTGGTGACAGTGTTCTTGGGGACTGTCTCGAGATCCATTAAGCAAGTCGAAGCTCCTGACTTGTTTGAATGGGATCACGGAATAGCTCTGCATGCACTGCAGGGGAATGGGGCCTCATCTCGCCTCTAGGGGGAAGTCTCATGGTTTTTCTCGAGTTGCGGCGGGGACCTGGGGTATGTTCTCGGCTTAAGGCGGGGATGGCCCTTCAAAACACGAGTTTCTTCAGTGACGTCAGGACTCCTGTCTAGTAACGAGGGACACCTCAGGAATCTCTTCGAGGCTTGGCAGGGCCAAAGGGACGCTTCTCGAGGTGAGGCAGGGCACCCAAGGACCCTTTCCAGTAGCCACAGGGATTTTGGGATTCCTATCAGTATTCAAGAGGAGTCAGGCATCGTCACCTTTTGAAGCAATGAACTCCGCGTGCCTCTCGAGGTGTCAGCGGGATGTGAGGCATTCCGTCAAAATGAGGCAGGGACCTAGGGCTTTCTCTAAGGTCTCCACAGGGGATTCAGACATCCCTTCATGTTGTGAGATGAAAGACGAGCCTGTATTCAAGCCACTGCAAGGAAATCCGGCCTCCTTTCAAGTTAGGGCTTCTCGCTGTATATTCCCCTTGAGGCAGCAAACTCGGGGTCCCTCCCACATACCTATTGCTGAGAGAAACCTCCTCCTGAGGTGCTTCTGGGAAGTTGGCATACGTCTTGAGCCTAAGCCAGGGAATCAGCTCGCATCTCGAGACGATTTGGGGTACACGGAGCATTCCTCGAGTTGCTGTGCTGAAGTTGGTGTTCCTCTAGACTTGGGACAGTGTTCTCGGGGCATCTCTGGAGTTGCCTGAAGGAAGTCGAGCCACCGGTCGTGTTGAATGGGGAACGGGGAATGGCTCTGGAGTCAATGCAGGGGAATCGGGCCTCATCTCGAGTTGATTTGGGGCACATGGAGCTGCTTTGCTTTGCTGGGGTGACCTCAGGGTCCGTCTAGACTGGTGACAGTGTTCTTGGGGACTGTCTCGAGATCCATTAAGCAAGTCGAAGCTCCTGACTTGTTTGAATGGGATCACGGAATAGCTCTGCATGCACTGCAGGGGAATGGGGCCTCATCTCGCCTCTAGGGGGAAGTCTCATGGTTTTTCTCGAGTTGCGGCGGGGACCTGGGGTATGTTCTCGACTTACGGCGGGGATGGCCCTTCAAAACACGAGTTTCTTCAGTGACGTCAGGACTCCTGTCTAGTAATGAGGGACACCTCAGGAATCTCTTCGAGGCTTGGCAGGGCCAAAGGGACGCTTCTCGAGGTGAGGCAGGGCACCCAAGGACCCTTTCCAGTAGCCACAGGGATTTTGGGATTCCTATCAGTATTCAAGAGGAGTCAGGCATCGTCACCTTTTGAAGCAATGAACTCCGCGTGCCTCTCGAGGTGTCAGCGGGATGTGAGGCATTCCGTCAAAATGAGGCAGGGACCTAGGGCTTTCTCTAAGGTCTCCACAGGGGATTCAGACATCCCTTCATGTTGTGAGATGAAAGACGAGCCTGTATTCAAGCCACTGCAAGGAAATCCGGCCTCCTTTCAAGTTAGGGCTTCTCGCTGTATATTCCCCTTGAGGCAGCAAACTCGGGGTCCCTCCCACATACCTATTGCTGAGAGAAGCCTCCTCCTGAGGTGCTTCTGGGAAGTTGGCATACGTCTTGAGCCTAAGCCAGGGAATCAGCTCGCATCTCGAGACGATTTGGGGTACACGGAGCATTCCTCGAGTTGCTGTGCTGAAGTTGGTGTTCCTCTAGACTTGGGACAGTGTTCTCGGGGCATCTCTGGAGTTGCCTGAAGGAAGTCGAGCCACCGGTCGTGTTGAATGGGGAACGGGGAATGGCTCTGGAGTCAATGCAGGGGAATCGGGCCTCATCTCGAGTTGATTTGGGGCACATGGAGCTGCTTTGCGTTGCTGGGGTGACCTCAGGGTCCGTCTAGACTGGTGACAGTGTTCTTGGGGACTGTCTCGAGATCCATTAAGCAAGTCGAAGCTCCTGACTTGTTTGAATGGGGTCACGGAATAGCTCTGCATGCACTGCAGGGGAATGGGGCCTCATCTCGCCTCTAGGGGGAAGTCTCATGGTTTTTCTCGAGTTGCGGCGGGGACCTGGGGTATGTTCTCGACTTACGGCGGGGATGGCCCTTCAAAACACGAGTTTCTTCAGTGACGTCAGGACTCCTGTCTAGTAACGAGGGACACCTCAGGAATCTCTTCGAGGCTTGGCAGGGCCAAAGGGACGCTTCTCGAGGTGAGGCAGGGCACCCAAGGACCCTTTCCAGTAGCCACAGGGATTTTGGGATTCCTATCAGTATTCAAGAGGAGTCAGGCATCGTCACCTTTTGAAGCAATGAACTCCGCGTGCCTCTCGAGGTGTCAGCGGGATGTGAGGCATTCCGTCAAAATGAGGCAGGGACCTAGGGCTTTCTCTAAGGTCTCCACAGGGGATTCAGACATCCCTTCATGTTGTGAGATGAAAGACGAGCCTGTATTCAAGCCACTGCAAGGAAATCCGGCCTCCTTTCAAGTTAGGGTTTCTCGCTGTATATTCCCCTTGAGGCAGCAAACTCGGGGTCCCTCCCACATACCTATTGCTGAGAGAAGCCTCCTCCTGAGGTGCTTCTGGGAAGTTGGCATACGTCTTGAGCCTAAGCCAGGGAATCAGCTCGCATCTCGAGACGATTTGGGGTACACGGAGCATTCCTCGAGTTGCTGTGCTGAAGTTGGTGTTCCTCTAGACTTGGGACAGTGTTCTCGGGGCATCTCTGGAGTTGCCTGAAGGAAGTCGAGCCACCGGTCGTGTTGAATGGGGAACGGGGAATGGCTCTGGAGTCAATGCAGGGGAATCGGGCCTCATCTCGAGTTGATTTGGGGCACATGGAGCTGCTTTGCGTTGCTGGGGTGACCTCAGGGTCCGTCTAGACTGGTGACAGTGTTCTTGGGGACTGTCTCGAGATCCATTAAGCAAGTCGAAGCTCCTGACTTGTTTGAATGGGGTCACGGAATAGCTCTGCATGCACTGCAGGGGAATGGGGCCTCATCTCGCCTCTAGGGGGAAGTCTCATGGTTTTTCTCGAGTTGCGGCGGGGACCTGGGGTATGTTCTCGACTTACGGCGGGGATGGCCCTTCAAAACACGAGTTTCTTCAGTGACGTCAGGACTCCTGTCTAGTAACGAGGGACACCTCAGGAATCTCTTCGAGGCTTGGCAGGGCCAAAGGGACGCTTCTCGAGGTGAGGCAGGGCACCCAAGGACCCTTTCCAGTAGCCACAGGGATTTTGGGATTCCTATCAGTATTCAAGAGGAGTCAGGCATCGTCACCTTTTGAAGCAATGAACTCCGCGTGCCTCTCGAGGTGTCAGTGGGATGTGAGGCATTCCGTCAAAATGAGGCAGGGACCTAGGGCTTTCTCTAAGGTCTCCACAGGGGATTCAGACATCCCTTCATGTTGTGAGATGAAAGACGAGCCTGTATTCAAGCCACTGCAAGGAAATCCGGCCTCCTTTCAAGTTAGGGCTTCTCGCTGTATATTCCCCTTGAGGCAGCAAACTCGGGGTCCCTCCCACATACCTATTGCTGAGAGAAGCCTCCTCCTGAGGTGCTTCTGGGAAGTTGGCATACGTCTTGAGCCTAAGCCAGGGAATCAGCTCGCATCTCGAGATGATTTGGGGTAGACGGAGCATTCCTCGAGTTGCTGTGCTGAAGTTGGTGTTCCTCTAGACTTGGGACAGTGTTCTCGGGGCATCTCTGGAGTTGCCTGAAGGAAGTCGAGCCACCGGTCGTGTTGAATGGGGAACGGGGAATGGCTCTGGAGTCAATGCAGGGGAATCGGGCCTCATCTCGAGTTGATTTGGGGCACATGGAGCTGCTTTGCGTTGCTGGGGTGACCTCAGGGTCCGTCTAGACTGGTGACAGTGTTCTTGGGGACTGTCTCGAGATCCATTAAGCAAGTCGAAGCTCCTGACTTGTTTGAATGGGATCACGGAATAGCTCTGCATGCACTGCAGGGGAATGGGGCCTCATCTCGCCTCTAGGGGGAAGTCTCATGGTTTTTCTCGAGTTGCGGCGGGGACCTGGGGTATGTTCTCGACTTACGGCGGGGATGGCCCTTCAAAACACGAGTTTCTTCAGTGACGTCAGGACTCCTGTCTAGTAACGAGGGACACCTCAGGAATCTCTTCGAGGCTTGGCAGGGCCAAAGGGACGCTTCTCGAGGTGAGGCAGGGCACCCAAGGACCCTTTCCAGTAGCCACAGGGATTTTGGGATTCCTATCAGTATTCAAGAGGAGTCAGGCATCGTCACCTTTTGAAGCAATGAACTCCGCGTGCCTCTCGAGGTGTCAGCGGGATGTGAGGCATTCCGTCAAAATGAGGCAGGGACCTAGGGCTTTCTCTAAGGTCTCCACAGGGGATTCAGACATCCCTTCATGTTGTGAGATGAAAGACGAGCCTGTATTCAAGCCACTGCAAGGAAATCCGGCCTCCTTTCAAGTTAGGGCTTCTCGCTGTATATTCCCCTTGAGGCAGCAAACTCGGGGTCCCTCCCACATACCTATTGCTGAGAGAAGCCTCCTCCTGAGGTGCTTCTGGGAAGTTGGCATACGTCTTGAGCCTAAGCCAGGGAATCAGCTCGCATCTCGAGACGATTTGGGGTACACGGAGCATTCCTCGAGTTGCTGTGCTGAAGTTGGTGTTCCTCTAGACTTGGGACAGTGTTCTCGGGGCATCTCTGGAGTTGCCTGAAGGAAGTCGAGCCACCGGTCGTGTTGAATGGGGAACGGGGAATGGCTCTGGAGTCAATGCAGGGGAATCGGGCCTCATCTCGAGTTGATTTGGGGCACATGGAGCTGCTTTGCGTTGCTGGGGTGACCTCAGGGTCCGTCTAGACTGGTGACAGTGTTCTTGGGGACTGTCTCGAGATCCATTAAGCAAGTCGAAGCTCCTGACTTGTTTGAATGGGATCACGGAATAGCTCTGCATGCACTGCAGGGGAATGGGGCCTCATCTCGCCTCTAGGGGGAAGTCTCATGGTTTTTCTCGAGTTGCGGCGGGGACCTGGGGTATGTTCTCGACTTACGGCGGGGATGGCCCTTCAAAACACGAGTTTCTTCAGTGACGTCAGGACTCCTGTCTAGTAACGAGGGACACCTCAGGAATCTCTTCGAGGCTTGGCAGGGCCAAAGGGACGCTTCTCGAGGTGAGGCAGGGCACCCAAGGACCCTTTCCAGTAGCCACAGGGATTTTGGGATTCCTATCAGTATTCAAGAGGAGTCAGGCATCGTCACCTTTTGAAGCAATGAACTCCGCGTGCCTCTCGAGGTGTCAGCGGGATGTGAGGCATTCCGTCAAAATGAGGCAGGGACCTAGGGCTTTCTCTAAGGTCTCCACAGGGGATTCAGACATCCCTTCATGTTGTGAGATGAAAGACGAGCCTGTATTCAAGCCACTGCAAGGAAATCCGGCCTCCTTTCAAGTTAGGGCTTCTCGCTGTATATTCCCCTTGAGGCAGCAATCTCGGGGTCCCTCCCACATACCTATTGCTGAGAGAAGCCTCCTCCTGAGGTGCTTCTGGGAAGTTGGCATACGTCTTGAGCCTAAGCCAGGGAATCAGCTCGCATCTCGAGACGATTTGGGGTACACGGAGCATTCCTCGAGTTGCTGTGCTGAAGTTGGTGTTCCTCTAGACTTGGGACAGTGTTCTCGGGGCATCTCTGGAGTTGCCTGAAGGAAGTCGAGCCACCGGTCGTGTTGAATGGGCAACGGGGAATGGCTCTGGAGTCAATGCAGGGGAATCGGGCCTCATCTCGAGTTGATTTGGGGCACATGGAGCTGCTTTGCGTTGCTGGGGTGACCTCAGGGTCCGTCTAGACTGGTGACAGTGTTCTTGGGGACTGTCTCGAGATCCATTAAGCAAGTCGAAGCTCCTGACTTGTTTGAATGGGGTCACGGAATAGCTCTGCATGCACTGCAGGGGAATGGGGCCTCATCTCGCCTCTAGGGGGAAGTCTCATGGTTTTTCTCGAGTTGCGGCGGGGACCTGGGGTATGTTCTCGACTTACGGCGGGGATGGCCCTTCAAAACACGAGTTTCTTCAGTGACGTCAGGACTCCTGTCTAGTAACGAGGGACACCTCAGGAATCTCTTCGAGGCTTGGCAGGGCCAAAGGGACGCTTCTCGAGGTGAGGCAGGGCACCCAAGGACCCTTTCCAGTAGCCACAGGGATTTTGGGATTCCTATCAGTATTCAAGAGGAGTCAGGCATCGTCACCTTTTGAAGCAATGAACTCCGCGTGCCTCTCGAGGTGTCAGCGGGATGTGAGGCATTCCGTCAAAATGAGGCAGGGACCTAGGGCTTTCTCTAAGGTCTCCACAGGGGATTCAGACATCCCTTCATGTTGTGAGATGAAAGACGAGCCTGTATTCAAGCCACTGCAAGGAAATCCGGCCTCCTTTCAAGTTAGGGCTTCTCGCTGTATATTCCCCTTGAGGCAGCAAACTCGGGGTCCCTCCCACATACCTATTGCTGAGAGAAGCCTCCTCCTGAGGTGCTTCTGGGAAGTTGGCATACGTCTTGAGCCTAAGCCAGGGAATCAGCTCGCATCTCGAGACGATTTGGGGTACACGGAGCATTCCTCGAGTTGCTGTGCTGAAGTTGGTGTTCCTCTAGACTTGGGACAGTGTTCTCGGGGCATCTCTGGAGTTGCCTGAAGGAAGTCGAGCCACCGGTCGTGTTGAATGGGGAACGGGGAATGGCTCTGGAGTCAATGCAGGGGAATCGGGCCTCATCTCGAGTTGATTTGGGGCACATGGAGCTGCTTTGCGTTGCTGGGGTGACCTCAGGGTCCGTCTAGACTGGTGACAGTGTTCTTGGGGACTGTCTCGAGATCCATTAAGCAAGTCGAAGCTCCTGACTTGTTTGAATGGGATCACGGAATAGCTCTGCATGCACTGCAGGGGAATGGGGCCTCATCTCGCCTCTAGGGGGAAGTCTCATGGTTTTTCTCGAGTTGCGGCGGGGACCTGGGGTATGTTCTCGACTTACGGCGGGGATGGCCCTTCAAAACACGAGTTTCTTCAGTGACGTCAGGACTCCTGTCTAGTAACGAGGGACACCTCAGGAATCTCTTCGAGGCTTGGCAGGGCCAAAGGGACGCTTCTCGAGGTGAGGCAGGGCACCCAAGGACCCTTTCCAGTAGCCACAGGGATTTTGGGATTCCTATCAGTATTCAAGAGGAGTCAGGCATCGTCACCTTTTGAAGCAATGAACTCCGCGTGCCTCTCGAGGTGTCAGCGGGATGTGAGGCATTCCGTCAAAATGAGGCAGGGACCTAGGGCTTTCTCTAAGGTCTCCACAGGGGATTCAGACATCCCTTCATGTTGTGAGATGAAAGACGAGCCTGTATTCAAGCCACTGCAAGGAAATCCGGCCTCCTTTCAAGTTAGGGCTTCTCGCTGTATATTCCCCTTGAGGCAGCAATCTCGGGGTCCCTCCCACATACCTATTGCTGAGAGAAGCCTCCTCCTGAGGTGCTTCTGGGAAGTTGGCATACGTCTTGAGCCTAAGCCAGGGAATCAGCTCGCATCTCGAGACGATTTGGGGTACACGGAGCATTCCTCGAGTTGCTGTGCTGAAGTTGGTGTTCCTCTAGACTTGGGACAGTGTTCTCGGGGCATCTCTGGAGTTGCCTGAAGGAAGTCGAGCCACCGGTCGTGTTGAATGGGCAACGGGGAATGGCTCTGGAGTCAATGCAGGGGAATCGGGCCTCATCTCGAGTTGATTTGGGGCACATGGAGCTGCTTTGCGTTGCTGGGGTGACCTCAGGGTCCGTCTAGACTGGTGACAGTGTTCTTGGGGACTGTCTCGAGATCCATTAAGCAAGTCGAAGCTCCTGACTTGTTTGAATGGGGTCACGGAATAGCTCTGCATGCACTGCAGGGGAATGGGGCCTCATCTCGCCTCTAGGGGGAAGTCTCATGGTTTTTCTCGAGTTGCGGCGGGGACCTGGGGTATGTTCTCGACTTACGGCGGGGATGGCCCTTCAAAACACGAGTTTCTTCAGTGACGTCAGGACTCCTGTCTAGTAACGAGGGACACCTCAGGAATCTCTTCGAGGCTTGGCAGGGCCAAAGGGACGCTTCTCGAGGTGAGGCAGGGCACCCAAGGACCCTTTCCAGTAGCCACAGGGATTTTGGGATTCCTATCAGTATTCAAGAGGAGTCAGGCATCGTCACCTTTTGAAGCAATGAACTCCGCGTGCCTCTCGAGGTGTCAGCGGGATGTGAGGCATTCCGTCAAAATGAGGCAGGGACCTAGGGCTTTCTCTAAGGTCTCCACAGGGGATTCAGACATCCCTTCATGTTGTGAGATGAAAGACGAGCCTGTATTCAAGCCACTGCAAGGAAATCCGGCCTCCTTTCAAGTTAGGGCTTCTCGCTGTATATTCCCCTTGAGGCAGCAAACTCGGGGTCCCTCCCACATACCTATTGCTGAGAGAAGCCTCCTCCTGAGGTGCTTCTGGGAAGTTGGCATACGTCTTGAGCCTAAGCCAGGGAATCAGCTCGCATCTCGAGACGATTTGGGGTACACGGAGCATTCCTCGAGTTGCTGTGCTGAAGTTGGTGTTCCTCTAGACTTGGGACAGTGTTCTCGGGGCATCTCTGGAGTTGCCTGAAGGAAGTCGAGCCACCGGTCGTGTTGAATGGGGAACGGGGAATGGCTCTGGAGTCAATGCAGGGGAATCGGGCCTCATCTCGAGTTGATTTGGGGCACATGGAGCTGCTTTGCGTTGCTGGGGTGACCTCAGGGTCCGTCTAGACTGGTGACAGTGTTCTTGGGGACTGTCTCGAGATCCATTAAGCAAGTCGAAGCTCCTGACTTGTTTGAATGGGGTCACGGAATAGCTCTGCATGCACTGCAGGGGAATGGGGCCTCATCTCGCCTCTAGGGGGAAGTCTCATGGTTTTTCTCGAGTTGCGGCGGGGACCTGGGGTATGTTCTCGACTTACGGCGGGGATGGCCCTTCAAAACACGAGTTTCTTCAGTGACGTCAGGACTCCTGTCTAGTAACGAGGGACACCTCAGGAATCTCTTCGAGGCTTGGCAGGGCCAAAGGGACGCTTCTCGAGGTGAGGCAGGGCACCCAAGGACCCTTTCCAGTAGCCACAGGGATTTTGGGATTCCTATCAGTATTCAAGAGGAGTCAGGCATCGTCACCTTTTGAAGCAATGAACTCCGCGTGCCTCTCGAGGTGTCAGCGGGATGTGAGGCATTCCGTCAAAATGAGGCAGGGACCTAGGGCTTTCTCTAAGGTCTCCACAGGGGATTCAGACATCCCTTCATGTTGTGAGATGAAAGACGAGCCTGTATTCAAGCCACTGCAAGGAAATCCGGCCTCCTTTCAAGTTAGGGCTTCTCGCTGTATATTCCCCTTGAGGCAGCAAACTCGGGGTCCCTCCCACATACCTATTGCTGAGAGAAGCCTCCTCCTGAGGTGCTTCTGGGAAGTTGGCATACGTCTTGAGCCTAAGCCAGGGAATCAGCTCGCATCTCGAGACGATTTGGGGTACACGGAGCATTCCTCGAGTTGCTGTGCTGAAGTTGGTGTTCCTCTAGACTTGGGACAGTGTTCTCGGGGCATCTCTGGAGTTGCCTGAAGGAAGTCGAGCCACCGGTCGTGTTGAATGGGGAACGGGGAATGGCTCTGGAGTCAATGCAGGGGAATCGGGCCTCATCTCGAGTTGATTTGGGGCACATGGAGCTGCTTTGCGTTGCTGGGGTGACCTCAGGGTCCGTCTAGACTGGTGACAGTGTTCTTGGGGACTGTCTCGAGATCCATTAAGCAAGTCGAAGCTCCTGACTTGTTTGAATGGGGTCACGGAATAGCTCTGCATGCACTGCAGGGGAATGGGGCCTCATCTCGCCTCTAGGGGGAAGTCTCATGGTTTTTCTCGAGTTGCGGCGGGGACCTGGGGTATGTTCTCGACTTACGGCGGGGATGGCCCTTCAAAACACGAGTTTCTTCAGTGACGTCAGGACTCCTGTCTAGTAACGAGGGACACCTCAGGAATCTCTTCGAGGCTTGGCAGGGCCAAAGGGACGCTTCTCGAGGTGAGGCAGGGCACCCAAGGACCCTTTCCAGTAGCCACAGGGATTTTGGGATTCCTATCAGTATTCAAGAGGAGTCAGGCATCGTCACCTTTTGAAGCAATGAACTCCGCGTGCCTCTCGAGGTGTCAGCGGGATGTGAGGCATTCCGTCAAAATGAGGCAGGGACCTAGGGCTTTCTCTAAGGTCTCCACAGGGGATTCAGACATCCCTTCATGTTGTGAGATGAAAGACGAGCCTGTATTCAAGCCACTGCAAGGAAATCCGGCCTCCTTTCAAGTTAGGGCTTCTCGCTGTATATTCCCCTTGAGGCAGCAAACTCGGGGTCCCTCCCACATACCTATTGCTGAGAGAAGCCTCCTCCTGAGGTGCTTCTGGGAAGTTGGCATACGTCTTGAGCCTAAGCCAGGGAATCAGCTCGCATCTCGAGACGACTTGGGGTACACGGAGCATTCCTCGAGTTGCTGTGCTGAAGTTGGTGTTCCTCTAGACTTGGGACAGTGTTCTCGGGGCATCTCTGGAGTTGCCTGAAGGAAGTCGAGCCACCGGTCGTGTTGAATGGGGAACGGGGAATGGCTCTGGAGTCAATGCAGGGGAATCGGGCCTCATCTCGAGTTGATTTGGGGCACATGGAGCTGCTTTGCGTTGCTGGGGTGACCTCAGGGTCCGTCTAGACTGGTGACAGTGTTCTTGGGGACTGTCTCGAGATCCATTAAGCAAGTCGAAGCTCCTGACTTGTTTGAATGGGATCACGGAATAGCTCTGCATGCACTGCAGGGGAATGGGGCCTCATCTCTCCTCTAGGGGGAAGTCTCATGGTTTTTCTCGAGTTCCGGCGGGGACCTGGGATATGTTCTCGACTTACGGCGGGGATGGCCCTTCAAAACACGAGTTTCTTCAGTGACGTCAGGACTCCTGTCTAGTAACGAGGGACACCTCAGGAATCTCTTCGAGGCTTGGCAGGGCCAAAGGGACGCTTCTCGAGGTGAGGCAGGGCACCCAAGGACCCTTTCCAGTAGCCACAGGGATTTTGGGATTCCTATCAGTATTCAAGAGGAGTCAGGCATCGTCACCTTTTGAAGCAATGAACTCCGCGTGCCTCTCGAGGTGTCAGCGGGATGTGAGGCATTCCGTCAAAATGAGGCAGGGACCTAGGGCTTTCTCTAAGGTCTCCACAGGGGATTCAGACATCCCTTCATGTTGTGAGATGAAAGACGAGCCTGTATTCAAGCCACTGCAAGGAAATCCGGCCTCCTTTCAAGTTAGGGCTTCTCGCTGTATATTCCCCTTGAGGCAGCAAACTCGGGGTCCCTCCCACATACCTATTGCTGAGAGAAGCCTCCTCCTGAGGTGCTTCTGGGAAGTTGGCATACGTCTTGAGCCTAAGCCAGGGAATCAGCTCGCATCTCGAGACGATTTGGGGTACACGGAGCATTCCTCGAGTTGCTGTGCTGAAGTTGGTGTTCCTCTAGACTTGGGACAGTGTTCTCGGGGCATCTCTGGAGTTGCCTGAAGGAAGTCGAGCCACCGGTCGTGTTGAATGGGGAACGGGGAATGGCTCTGGAGTCAATGCAGGGGAATCGGGCCTCATCTCGAGTTGATTTGGGGCACATGGAGCTGCTTTGCGTTGCTGGGGTGACCTCAGGGTCCGTCTAGACTGGTGACAGTGTTCTTGGGGACTGTCTCGAGATCCATTAAGCAAGTCGAAGCTCCTGACTTGTTTGAATGGGATCACGGAATAGCTCTGCATGCACTGCAGGGGAATGGGGCCTCATCTCGCCTCTAGGGGGAAGTCTCATGGTTTTTCTCGAGTTGCGGCGGGGACCTGGGGTATGTTCTCGACTTACGGCGGGGATGGCCCTTCAAAACACGAGTTTCTTCAGTGACGTCAGGACTCCTGTCTAGTAACGAGGGACACCTCAGGAATCTCTTCGAGGCTTGGCAGGGCCAAAGGGACGCTTCTCGAGGTGAGGCAGGGCACCCAAGGACCCTTTCCAGTAGCCACAGGGATTTTGGGATTCCTATCAGTATTCAAGAGGAGTCAGGCATCGTCACCTTTTGAAGCAATGAACTCCGCGTGCCTCTCGAGGTGTCAGCGGGATGTGAGGCATTCCGTCAAAATGAGGCAGGGACCTAGGTCTTTCTCTAAGGTCTCCACAGGGGATTCAGACATCCCTTCATGTTGTGAGATGAAAGACGAGCCTGTATTCAAGCCACTGCAAGGAAATCCGGCCTCCTTTCAAGTTAGGGCTTCTCGCTGTATATTCCCCTTGAGGCAGCAAACTCGGGGTCCCTCCCACATACCTATTGCTGAGAGAAGCCTCCTCCTGAGGTGCTTCTGGGAAGTTGGCATACGTCTTGAGCCTAAGCCAGGGAATCAGCTCGCATCTCGAGACGATTTGGGGTACACGGAGCATTCCTCGAGTTGCTGTGCTGAAGTTGGTGTTCCTCTAGACTTGGGACAGTGTTCTCGGGGCATCTCTGGAGTTGCCTGAAGGAAGTCGAGCCACCGGTCGTGTTGAATGGGGAACGGGGAATGGCTCTGGAGTCAATGCAGGGGAATCGGGCCTCATCTCGAGTTGATTTGGGGCACATGGAGCTGCTTTGCGTTGCTGGGGTGACCTCAGGGTCCGTCTAGACTGGTGACAGTGTTCTTGGGGACTGTCTCGAGATCCATTAAGCAAGTCGAAGCTCCTGACTTGTTTGAATGGGGTCACGGAATAGCTCTGCATGCACTGCAGGGGAATGGGGCCTCATCTCGCCTCTAGGGGGAAGTCTCATGGTTTTTCTCGAGTTGCGGCGGGGACCTGGGGTATGTTCTCGACTTACGGCGGGGATGGCCCTTCAAAACACGAGTTTCTTCAGTGACGTCAGGACTCCTGTCTAGTAACGAGGGACACCTCAGGAATCTCTTCGAGGCTTGGCAGGGCCAAAGGGACGCTTCTCGAGGTGAGGCAGGGCACCCAAGGACCCTTTCCAGTAGCCACAGGGATTTTGGGATTCCTATCAGTATTCAAGAGGAGTCAGGCATCGTCACCTTTTGAAGCAATGAACTCCGCGTGCCTCTCGAGGTGTCAGCGGGATGTGAGGCATTCCGTCAAAATGAGGCAGGGACCTAGGGCTTTCTCTAAGGTCTCCACAGGGGATTCAGACATCCCTTCATGTTGTGAGATGAAAGACGAGCCTGTATTCAAGCCACTGCAAGGAAATCCGGCCTCCTTTCAAGTTAGGGCTTCTCGCTGTATATTCCCCTTGAGGCAGCAAACTCGGGGTCCCTCCCACATACCTATTGCTGAGAGAAGCCTCCTCCTGAGGTGCTTCTGGGAAGTTGGCATACGTCTTGAGCCTAAGCCAGGGAATCAGCTCGCATCTCGAGACGATTTGGGGTACACGGAGCATTCCTCGAGTTGCTGTGCTGAAGTTGGTGTTCCTCTAGACTTGGGACAGTGTTCTCGGGGCATCTCTGGAGTTGCCTGAAGGAAGTCGAGCCACCGGTCGTGTTGAATGGGGAACGGGGAATGGCTCTGGAGTCAATGCAGGGGAATCGGGCCTCATCTCGAGTTGATTTGGGGCACATGGAGCTGCTTTGCGTTGCTGGGGTGACCTCAGGGTCCGTCTAGACTGGTGACAGTGTTCTTGGGGACTGTCTCGAGATCCATTAAGCAAGTCGAAGCTCCTGACTTGTTTGAATGGGGTCACGGAATAGCTCTGCATGCACTGCAGGGGAATGGGGCCTCATCTCGCCTCTAGGGGGAAGTCTCATGGTTTTTCTCGAGTTGCGGCGGGGACCTGGGGTATGTTCTCGACTTACGGCGGGGATGGCCCTTCAAAACACGAGTTTCTTCAGTGACGTCAGGACTCCTGTCTAGTAACGAGGGACACCTCAGGAATCTCTTCGAGGCTTGGCAGGGCCAAAGGGACGCTTCTCGAGGTGAGGCAGGGCACCCAAGGACCCTTTCCAGTAGCCACAGGGATTTTGGGATTCCTATCAGTATTCAAGAGGAGTCAGGCATCGTCACCTTTTGAAGCAATGAACTCCGCGTGCCTCTCGAGGTGTCAGCGGGATGTGAGGCATTCCGTCAAAATGAGGCAGGGACCTAGGTCTTTCTCTAAGGTCTCCACAGGGGATTCAGACATCCCTTCATGTTGTGAGATGAAAGACGAGCCTGTATTCAAGCCACTGCAAGGAAATCCGGCCTCCTTTCAAGTTAGGGCTTCTCGCTGTATATTCCCCTTGAGGCAGCAAACTCGGGGTCCCTCCCACATACCTATTGCTGAGAGAAGCCTCCTCCTGAGGTGCTTCTGGGAAGTTGGCATACGTCTTGAGCCTAAGCCAGGGAATCAGCTCGCATCTCGAGACGATTTGGGGTACACGGAGCATTCCTCGAGTTGCTGTGCTGAAGTTGGTGTTCCTCTAGACTTGGGACAGTGTTCTCGGGGCATCTCTGGAGTTGCCTGAAGGAAGTCGAGCCACCGGTCGTGTTGAATGGGGAACGGGGAATGGCTCTGGAGTCAATGCAGGGGAATCGGGCCTCATCTCGAGTTGATTTGGGGCACATGGAGCTGCTTTGCGTTGCTGGGGTGACCTCAGGGTCCGTCTAGACTGGTGACAGTGTTCTTGGGGACTGTCTCGAGATCCATTAAGCAAGTCGAAGCTCCTGACTTGTTTGAATGGGGTCACGGAATAGCTCTGCATGCACTGCAGGGGAATGGGGCCTCATCTCGCCTCTAGGGGGAAGTCTCATGGTTTTTCTCGAGTTGCGGCGGGGACCTGGGGTATGTTCTCGACTTACGGCGGGGATGGCCCTTCAAAACACGAGTTTCTTCAGTGACGTCAGGACTCCTGTCTAGTAACGAGGGACACCTCAGGAATCTCTTCGAGGCTTGGCAGGGCCAAAGGGACGCTTCTCGAGGTGAGGCAGGGCACCCAAGGACCCTTTCCAGTAGCCACAGGGATTTTGGGATTCCTATCAGTATTCAAGAGGAGTCAGGCATCGTCACCTTTTGAAGCAATGAACTCCGCGTGCCTCTCGAGGTGTCAGCGGGATGTGAGGCATTCCGTCAAAATGAGGCAGGGACCTAGGGCTTTCTCTAAGGTCTCCACAGGGGATTCAGACATCCCTTCATGTTGTGAGATGAAAGACGAGCCTGTATTCAAGCCACTGCAAGGAAATCCGGCCTCCTTTCAAGTTAGGGCTTCTCGCTGTATATTCCCCTTGAGGCAGCAAACTCGGGGTCCCTCCCACATACCTATTGCTGAGAGAAGCCTCCTCCTGAGGTGCTTCTGGGAAGTTGGCATACGTCTTGAGCCTAAGCCAGGGAATCAGCTCGCATCTCGAGACGATTTGGGGTACACGGAGCATTCCTCGAGTTGCTGTGCTGAAGTTGGTGTTCCTCTAGACTTGGGACAGTGTTCTCGGGGCATCTCTGGAGTTGCCTGAAGGAAGTCGAGCCACCGGTCGTGTTGAATGGGGAACGGGGAATGGCTCTGGAGTCAATGCAGGGGAATCGGGCCTCATCTCGAGTTGATTTGGGGCACATGGAGCTGCTTTGCGTTGCTGGGGTGACCTCAGGGTCCGTCTAGACTGGTGACAGTGTTCTTGGGGACTGTCTCGAGATCCATTAAGCAAGTCGAAGCTCCTGACTTGTTTGAATGGGGTCACGGAATAGCTCTGCATGCACTGCAGGGGAATGGGGCCTCATCTCGCCTCTAGGGGGAAGTCTCATGGTTTTTCTCGAGTTGCGGCGGGGACCTGGGGTATGTTCTCGACTTACGGCGGGGATGGCCCTTCAAAACACGAGTTTCTTCAGTGACGTCAGGACTCCTGTCTAGTAACGAGGGACACCTCAGGAATCTCTTCGAGGCTTGGCAGGGCCAAAGGGACGCTTCTCGAGGTGAGGCAGGGCACCCAAGGACCCTTTCCAGTAGCCACAGGGATTTTGGGATTCCTATCAGTATTCAAGAGGAGTCAGGCATCGTCACCTTTTGAAGCAATGAACTCCGCGTGCCTCTCGAGGTGTCAGCGGGATGTGAGGCATTCCGTCAAAATGAGGCAGGGACCTAGGGCTTTCTCTAAGGTCTCCACAGGGGATTCAGACATCCCTTCATGTTGTGAGATGAAAGACGAGCCTGTATTCAAGCCACTGCAAGGAAATCCGGCCTCCTTTCAAGTTAGGGCTTCTCGCTGTATATTCCCCTTGAGGCAGCAAACTCGGGGTCCCTCCCACATACCTATTGCTGAGAGAAGCCTCCTCCTGAGGTGCTTCTGGGAAGTTGGCATACGTCTTGAGCCTAAGCCAGGGAATCAGCTCGCATCTCGAGACGATTTGGGGTACACGGAGCATTCCTCGAGTTGCTGTGCTGAAGTTGGTGTTCCTCTAGACTTGGGACAGTGTTCTCGGGGCATCTCTGGAGTTGCCTGAAGGAAGTCGAGCCACCGGTCGTGTTGAATGGGCAACGGGGAATGGCTCTGGAGTCAATGCAGGGGAATCGGGCCTCATCTCGAGTTGATTTGGGGCACATGGAGCTGCTTTGCGTTGCTGGGGTGACCTCAGGGTCCGTCTAGACTGGTGACAGTGTTCTTGGGGACTGTCTCGAGATCCATTAAGCAAGTCGAAGCTCCTGACTTGTTTGAATGGGGTCACGGAATAGCTCTGCATGCACTGCAGGGGAATGGGGCCTCATCTCGCCTCTAGGGGGAAGTCTCATGGTTTTTCTCGAGTTGCGGCGGGGACCTGGGGTATGTTCTCGACTTACGGCGGGGATGGCCCTTCAAAACACGAGTTTCTTCAGTGACGTCAGGACTCCTGTCTAGTAACGAGGGACACCTCAGGAATCTCTTCGAGGCTTGGCAGGGCCAAAGGGACGCTTCTCGAGGTGAGGCAGGGCACCCAAGGACCCTTTCCAGTAGCCACAGGGATTTTGGGATTCCTATCAGTATTCAAGAGGAGTCAGGCATCGTCACCTTTTGAAGCAATGAACTCCGCGTGCCTCTCGAGGTGTCAGCGGGATGTGAGGCATTCCGTCAAAATGAGGCAGGGACCTAGGGCTTTCTCTAAGGTCTCCACAGGGGATTCAGACATCCCTTCATGTTGTGAGATGAAAGACGAGCCTGTATTCAAGCCACTGCAAGGAAATCCGGCCTCCTTTCAAGTTAGGGCTTCTCGCTGTATATTCCCCTTGAGGCAGCAAACTCGGGGTCCCTCCCACATACCTATTGCTGAGAGAAGCCTCCTCCTGAGGTGCTTCTGGGAAGTTGGCATACGTCTTGAGCCTAAGCCAGGGAATCAGCTCGCATCTCGAGACGATTTGGGGTACACGGAGCATTCCTCGAGTTGCTGTGCTGAAGTTGGTGTTCCTCTAGACTTGGGACAGTGTTCTCGGGGCATCTCTGGAGTTGCCTGAAGGAAGTCGAGCCACCGGTCGTGTTGAATGGGGAACGGGGAATGGCTCTGGAGTCAATGCAGGGGAATCGGGCCTCATCTCGAGTTGATTTGGGGCACATGGAGCTGCTTTGCGTTGCTGGGGTGACCTCAGGGTCCGTCTAGACTGGTGACAGTGTTCTTGGGGACTGTCTCGAGATCCATTAAGCAAGTCGAAGCTCCTGACTTGTTTGAATGGGATCACGGAATAGCTCTGCATGCACTGCAGGGGAATGGGGCCTCATCTCGCCTCTAGGGGGAAGTCTCATGGTTTTTCTCGAGTTGCGGCGGGGACCTGGGGTATGTTCTCGACTTACGGCGGGGATGGCCCTTCAAAACACGAGTTTCTTCAGTGACGTCAGGACTCCTGTCTAGTAACGAGGGACACCTCAGGAATCTCTTCGAGGCTTGGCAGGGCAAAAGGGACGCTTCTCGAGGTGAGGCAGGGCACCCAAGGACCCTTTCCAGTAGCCACAGGGATTTTGGGATTCCTATCAGTATTCAAGAGGAGTCAGGCATCGTCACCTTTTGAAGCAATGAACTCCGCGTGCCTCTCGAGGTGTCAGCGGGATGTGAGGCATTCCGTCAAAATGAGGCAGGGACCTAGGGCTTTCTCTAAGGTCTCCACAGGGGATTCAGACATCCCTTCATGTTGTGAGATGAAAGACGAGCCTGTATTCAAGCCACTGCAAGGAAATCCGGCCTCCTTTCAAGTTAGGGCTTCTCGCTGTATATTCCCCTTGAGGCAGCAAACTCGGGGTCCCTCCCACATACCTATTGCTGAGAGAAGCCTCCTCCTGAGGTGCTTCTGGGAAGTTGGCATACGTCTTGAGCCTAAGCCAGGGAATCAGCTCGCATCTCGAGACGATTTGGGGTACACGGAGCATTCCTCGAGTTGCTGTGCTGAAGTTGGTGTTCCTCTAGACTTGGGACAGTGTTCTCGGGGCATCTCTGGAGTTGCCTGAAGGAAGTCGAGCCACCGGTCGTGTTGAATGGGGAACGGGGAATGGCTCTGGAGTCAATGCAGGGGAATCGGGCCTCATCTCGAGTTGATTTGGGGCACATGGAGCTGCTTTGCGTTGCTGGGGTGACCTCAGGGTCCGTCTAGACTGGTGACAGTGTTCTTGGGGACTGTCTCGAGATCCATTAAGCAAGTCGAAGCTCCTGACTTGTTTGAAAGGGGTCACGGAATAGCTCTTCATGCACTGTAGGGGAATGGGGCCTCATCTCGCCTCTAGGGGGAAGTCTCATGGTTTTTCTCGAGTTGCGGCGGGGACCTGGGGTATGTTCTCGACTTACGGCGGGGATGGCCCTTCAAAACACGAGTTTCTTCAGTGACGTCAGGACTCCTGTCTAGTAACGAGGGACACCTCAGGAATCTCTTCGAGGCTTGGCAGGGCCAAAGGGACGCTTCTCGAGGTGAGGCAGGGCACCCAAGGACCCTTTCCAGTAGCCACAGGGATTTTGGGATTCCTATCAGTATTCAAGAGGAGTCAGGCATCGTCACCTTTTGAAGCAATGAACTCCGCGTGCCTCTCGAGGTGTCAGCGGGATGTGAGGCATTCCGTCAAAATGAGGCAGGGACCTAGGGCTTTCTCTAAGGTCTCCACAGGGGATTCAGACATCCCTTCATGTTGTGAGATGAAAGACGAGCCTGTATTCAAGCCACTGCAAGGAAATCCGGCCTCCTTTCAAGTTAGGGCTTCTCGCTGTATATTCCCCTTGAGGCAGCAAACTCGGGGTCCCTCCCACATACCTATTGCTGAGAGAAGCCTCCTCCTGAGGTGCTTCTGGGAAGTTGGCATACGTCTTGAGCCTAAGCCAGGGAATCAGCTCGCATCTCGAGACGATTTGGGGTACACGGAGCATTCCTCGAGTTGCTGTGCTGAAGTTGGTGTTCCTCTAGACTTGGGACAGTGTTCTCGGGGCATCTCTGGAGTTGCCTGAAGGAAGTCGAGCCACCGGTCGTGTTGAATGGGGAACGGGGAATGGCTCTGGAGTCAATGCAGGGGAATCGGGCCTCATCTCGAGTTGATTTGGGGCACATGGAGCTGCTTTGCGTTGCTGGGGTGACCTCAGGGTCCGTCTAGACTGGTGACAGTGTTCTTGGGGACTGTCTCGAGATCCATTAAGCAAGTCGAAGCTCCTGACTTGTTTGAATGGGATCACGGAATAGCTCTGCATGCACTGCAGGGGAATGGGGCCTCATCTCGCCTCTAGGGGGAAGTCTCATGGTTTTTCTCGAGTTGCGGCGGGGACCTGGGGTATGTTCTCGACTTACGGCGGGGATGGCCCTTCAAAACACGAGTTTCTTCAGTGACGTCAGGACTCCTGTCTAGTAACGAGGGACACCTCAGGAATCTCTTCGAGGCTTGGCAGGGCAAAAGGGACGCTTCTCGAGGTGAGGCAGGGCACCCAAGGACCCTTTCCAGTAGCCACAGGGATTTTGGGATTCCTATCAGTATTCAAGAGGAGTCAGGCATCGTCACCTTTTGAAGCAATGAACTCCGCGTGCCTCTCGAGGTGTCAGCGGGATGTGAGGCATTCCGTCAAAATGAGGCAGGGACCTAGGGCTTTCTCTAAGGTCTCCACAGGGGATTCAGACATCCCTTCATGTTGTGAGATGAAAGACGAGCCTGTATTCAAGCCACTGCAAGGAAATCCGGCCTCCTTTCAAGTTAGGGCTTCTCGCTGTATATTCCCCTTGAGGCAGCAAACTCGGGGTCCCTCCCACATACCTATTGCTGAGAGAAGCCTCCTCCTGAGGTGCTTCTGGGAAGTTGGCATACGTCTTGAGCCTAAGCCAGGGAATCAGCTCGCATCTCGAGACGATTTGGGGTACACGGAGCATTCCTCGAGTTGCTGTGCTGAAGTTGGTGTTCCTCTAGACTTGGGACAGTGTTCTCGGGGCATCTCTGGAGTTGCCTGAAGGAAGTCGAGCCACCGGTCGTGTTGAATGGGGAACGGGGAATGGCTCTGGAGTCAATGCAGGGGAATCGGGCCTCATCTCGAGTTGATTTGGGGCACATGGAGCTGCTTTGCGTTGCTGGGGTGACCTCAGGGTCCGTCTAGACTGGTGACAGTGTTCTTGGGGACTGTCTCGAGATCCATTAAGCAAGTCGAAGCTCCTGACTTGTTTGAATGGGATCACGGAATAGCTCTGCATGCACTGCAGGGGAATGGGGCCTCATCTCGCCTCTAGGGGGAAGTCTCATGGTTTTTCTCGAGTTGCGGCGGGGACCTGGGGTATGTTCTCGACTTACGGCGGGGATGGCCCTTCAAAACACGAGTTTCTTCAGTGACGTCAGGACTCCTGTCTAGTAACGAGGGACACCTCAGGAATCTCTTCGAGGCTTTGCAGGGCCAAAGGGACGCTTCTCGAGGTGAGGCAGGGCACCCAAGGACCCTTTCCAGTTGCCACAGGGATTTTGGGATTCCTATCAGTATTCAAGAGGAGTCAGGCATCGTCACCTTTTGAAGCAATGAACTCCGCGTGCCTCTCGAGGTGTCAGCGGGATGTGAGGCATTCCGTCAAAATGAGGCAGGGACCTAGGGCTTTCTCTAAGGTCTCCACAGGGGATTCAGACATCCCTTCATGTTGTGAGATGAAAGACGAGCCTGTATTCAAGCCACTGCAAGGAAATCCGGCCTCCTTTCAAGTTAGGGTTTCTCGCTGTATATTCCCCTTGAGGCAGCAAACTCGGGGTCCCTCCCACATACCTATTGCTGAGAGAAGCCTCCTCCTGAGGTGCTTCTGGGAAGTTGGCATACGTCTTGAGCCTAAGCCAGGGAATCAGCTCGCATCTCGAGACGATTTGGGGTAGACGGAGCATTCCTCGAGTTGCTGTGCTGAAGTTGGTGTTCCTCTAGACTTGGGACAGTGTTCTCGGGGCATCTCTGGAGTTGCCTGAAGGAAGTCGAGCCACCGGTCGTGTTGAATGGGGAACGGGGAATGGCTCTGGAGTCCATGCAGGGGAATCGGGCCTCATCTCGAGTTGATTTGGGGCACATGGAGCTGCTTTGCGTTGCTGGGGTGACCTCAGGGTCCGTCTAGACTGGTGACAGTGTTCTTGGGGACTGTCTCGAGATCCATTAAGCAAGTCGAAGCTCCTGACTTGTTTGAATGGGGTCACGGAATAGCTCTGCATGCACTGCAGGGGAATGGGGCCTCATCTCGCCTCTAGGGGGAAGTCTCATGGTTTTTCTCGAGTTGCGGCGGGGACCTGGGGTATGTTCTCGACTTACGGCGGGGATGGCCCTTCAAAACACGAGTTTCTTCAGTGACGTCAGGACTCCTGTCTAGTAACGAGGGACACCTCAGGAATCTCTTCGAGGCTTGGCAGGGCCAAAGGGACGCTTCTCGAGGTGAGGCAGGGCACCCAAGGACCCTTTCCAGTAGCCACAGGGATTTTGGGATTCCTATCAGTATTCAAGAGGAGTCAGGCATCGTCACCTTTTGAAGCAATGAACTCCGCGTGCCTCTCGAGGTGTCAGCGGGATGTGAGGCATTCCGTCAAAATGAGGCAGGGACCTAGGGCTTTCTCTAAGGTCTCCACAGGGGATTCAGACATCCCTTCATGTTGTGAGATGAAAGACGAGCCTGTATTCAAGCCACTGCAAGGAAATCCGGCCTCCTTTCAAGTTAGGGCTTCTCGCTGTATATTCCCCTTGAGGCAGCAAACTCGGGGTCCCTCCCACATACCTATTGCTGAGAGAAGCCTCCTCCTGAGGTGCTTCTGGGAAGTTGGCATACGTCTTGAGCCTAAGCCAGGGAATCAGCTCGCATCTCGAGACGATTTGGGGTACACGGAGCATTCCTCGAGCTGCTGTGCTGATGTTGGTGTTCCTCTAGACTTGGGACAGTGTTCTCGGGGCATCTCTGGAGTTGCCTGAAGGAAGTCGAGCCACCGGTCGTGTTGAATGGGGAACGGGGAATGGCTCTGGAGTCAATGCAGGGGAATCGGGCCTCATCTCGAGTTGATTTGGGGCACATGGAGCTGCTTTGCGTTGCTGGGGTGACCTCAGGGTCCGTCTAGACTGGTGACAGTGTTCTTGGGGACTGTCTCGAGATCCATTAAGCAAGTCGAAGCTCCTGACTTGTTTGAATGGGGTCACGGAATAGCTCTGCATGCACTGCAGGGGAATGTGGCCTCATCTCGCCTCTAGGGGGAAGTCTCATGGTTTTTCTCGAGTTGCGGCGGGGACCTGGGGTATGTTCTCGACTTACGGCGGGGATGGCCCTTCAAAACACGAGTTTCTTCAGTGACGTCAGGACTCCTGTCTAGTAACGAGGGACACCTCAGGAATCTCTTCGAGGCTTGGCAGGGCCAAAGGGACGCTTCTCGAGGTGAGGCAGGGCACCCAAGGACCCTTTCCAGTAGCCACAGGGATTTTGGGATTCCTATCAGTATTCAAGAGGAGTCAGGCATCGTCACCTTTTGAAGCAATGAACTCCGCGTGCCTCTCGAGGTGTCAGCGGGATGTGAGGCATTCCGTCAAAATGAGGCAGGGACCTAGGGCTTTCTCTAAGGTCTCCACAGGGGATTCAGACATCCCTTCATGTTGTGAGATGAAAGACGAGCCTGTATTCAAGCCACTGCAAGGAAATCCGGCCTCCTTTCAAGTTAGGGCTTCTCGCTGTATATTCCCCTTGAGGCAGCAAACTCGGGGTCCCTCCCACATACCTATTGCTGAGAGAAGCCTCCTCCTGAGGTGCTTCTGGGAAGTTGGCATACGTCTTGAGCCTAAGCCAGGGAATCAGCTCGCATCTCGAGACGATTTGGGGTACACGGAGCATTCCTCGAGTTGCTGTGCTGAAGTTGGTGTTCCTCTAGACTTGGGACAGTGTTCTCGGGGCATCTCTGGAGTTGCCTGAAGGAAGTCGAGCCACCGGTCGTGTTGAATGGGGAACGGGGAATGGCTCTGGAGTCAATGCAGGGGAATCGGGCCTCATCTCGAGTTGATTTGGGGCACATGGAGCTGCTTTGCGTTGCTGGGGTGACCTCAGGGTCCGTCTAGACTGGTGACAGTGTTCTTGGGGACTGTCTCGAGATCCATTAAGCAAGTCGAAGCTCCTGACTTGTTTGAATGGGATCACGGAATAGCTCTGCATGCACTGCAGGGGAATGGGGCCTCATCTCGCCTCTAGGGGGAAGTCTCATGGTTTTTCTCGAGTTGCGGCGGGGACCTGGGGTATGTTCTCGACTTACGGCGGGGATGGCCCTTCAAAACACGAGTTTCTTCAGTGACGTCAGGACTCCTGTCTAGTAACGAGGGACACCTCAGGAATCTCTTCGAGGCTTGGCAGGGCCAAAGGGACGCTTCTCGAGGTGAGGCAGGGCACCCAAGGACCCTTTCCAGTAGCCACAGGGATTTTGGGATTCCTATCAGTATTCAAGAGGAGTCAGGCATCGTCACCTTTTGAAGCAATGAACTCCGCGTGCCTCTCGAGGTGTCAGCGGGATGTGAGGCATTCCGTCAAAATGAGGCAGGGACCTAGGGCTTTCTCTAAGGTCTCCACAGGGGATTCAGACATCCCTTCATGTTGTGAGATGAAAGACGAGCCTGTATTCAAGCCACTGCAAGGAAATCCGGCCTCCTTTCAAGTTAGGGCTTCTCGCTGTATATTCCCCTTGAGGCAGCAAACTCGGGGTCCCTCCCACATACCTATTGCTGAGAGAAGCCTCCTCCTGAGGTGCTTCTGGGAAGTTGGCATACGTCTTGAGCCTAAGCCAGGGAATCAGCTCGCATCTCGAGACGATTTGGGGTACACGGTGCATTCCTCGAGTTGCTGTGCTGAAGTTGGTGTTCCTCTAGACTTGGGACAGTGTTCTCGGGGCATCTCTGGAGTTGCCTGAAGGAAGTCGAGCCACCGGTCGTGTTGAATGGGGAACGGGGAATGGCTCTGGAGTCAATGCAGGGGAATCGGGCCTCATCTCGAGTTGATTTGGGGCACATGGAGCTGCTTTGCGTTGCTGGGGTGACCTCAGGGTCCGTCTAGACTGGTGACAGTGTTCTTGGGGACTGTCTCGAGATCCATTAAGCAAGTCGAAGCTCCTGACTTGTTTGAATGGGGTCACGGAATAGCTCTGCATGCACTGCAGGGGAATGGGGCCTCATCTCGCCTCTAGGGGGAAGTCTCATGGTTTTTCTCGAGTTGCGGCGGGGACCTGGGGTATGTTCTCGACATACGGCGGGGATGGCCCTTCAAAACACGAGTTTCTTCAGTGACGTCAGGACTCCTGTCTAGTAACGAGGGACACCTCAGGAATCTCTTCGAGGCTTGGCAGGGCCAAAGGGACGCTTCTCGAGGTGAGGCAGGGCACCCAAGGACCCTTTCCAGTAGCCACAGGGATTTTGGGATTCCTATCAGTATTCAAGAGGAGTCAGGCATCGTCACCTTTTGAAGCAATGAACTCCGCGTGCCTCTCGAGGTGTCAGCGGGATGTGAGGCATTCCGTCAAAATGAGGCAGGGACCTAGGGCTTTCTCTAAGGTCTCCACAGGGGATTCAGACATCCCTTCATGTTGTGAGATGAAAAACGAGCCTGTGTTCAAGCCACTGCAAGGAAATCCGGCCTCCTTCCAAGTTAGGGCTTCTCGCTGTATATTCCCCTTGAGGCAGCAAACTCGGGGTCCCTCCCACATACCTATTGCTGAGAGAAGCCTCCTCCTGAGGTGCTTCTGGGAAGTTGGCATACGTCTTGAGCCTAAGCCAGGGAATCAGCTCGCATCTCGAGACGATTTGGGGTACACGGAGCATTCCTCGAGTTGCTGTGCTGAAGTTGGTGTTCCTCTAGACTTGGGACAGTGTTCTCGGGGCATCTCTGGAGTTGCCTGAAGGAAGTCGAGCCACCGGTCGTGTTGAATGGGGAACGGGGAATGGCTCTGGAGTCAATGCAGGGGAATCGGGCCTCATCTCGAGTTGATTTGGGGCACATGGAGCTGCTTTGCGTTGCTGGGGTGACCTCAGGGTCCGTCTAGACTGGTGACAGTGTTCTTGGGGACTGTCTCGAGATCCATTAAGCAAGTCGAAGCTCCTGACTTGTTTGAATGGGGTCACGGAATAGCTCTGCATGCACTGCAGGGGAATGGGGCCTCATCTCGCCTCTAGGGGGAAGTCTCATGGTTTTTCTCGAGTTGCGGCGGGGACCTGGGGTATGTTCTCGACTTACGGCGGGGATGGCCCTTCAAAACACGAGTTTCTTCAGTGACGTCAGGACTCCTGTCTAGTAACGAGGGACACCTCAGGAATCTCTTCGAGGCTTGGCAGGGCCAAAGGGACGCTTCTCGAGGTGAGGCAGGGCACCCAAGGACCCTTTCCAGTAGCCACAGGGATTTTGGGATTCCTATCAGTATTCAAGAGGAGTCAGGCATCGTCACCTTTTGAAGCAATGAACTCCGCGTGCCTCTCGAGGTGTCAGCGGGATGTGAGGCATTCCGTCAAAATGAGGCAGGGACCTAGGGCTTTCTCTAAGGTCTCCACAGGGGATTCAGACATCCCTTCATGTTGTGAGATGAAAGACGAGCCTGTATTCAAGCCACTGCAAGGAAATCCGGCCTCCTTTCAAGTTAGGGCTTCTCGCTGTATATTCCCCTTGAGGCAGCAAACTCGGGGTCCCTCCCACATACCTATTGCTGAGAGAAGCCTCCTCCTGAGGTGCTTCTGGAAAGGTGGCATACGTCTTGAGCCTAAGCCAGGGAATCAGCTCGCATCTCGAGACGATTTGGGGTACACGGAGCATTCCTCGAGTTGCTGTGCTGAAGTTGGTGTTCCTCTAGACTTGGGACAGTGTTCTCGGGGCATCTCTGGAGTTGCCTGAAGGAAGTCGAGCCACTGGTCGTGTTGAATGGGGAACGGGGAATGGCTCTGGAGTCAATGCAGGGGAATCGGGCCTCATCTCGAGTTGATTTGGGGCACATGGAGCTGCTTTGCGTTGCTGGGGTGACCTCAGGGTCCGTCTAGACTGGTGACAGTGTTCTTGGGGACTGTCTCGAGATCCATTAAGCAAGTCGAAGCTCCTGACTTGTTTGAATGGGGTCACGGAATAGCTCTGCATGCACTGCAGGGGAATGGGGCCTCATCTCGCCTCTAGGGGGAAGTCTCATGGTTTTTCTCGAGTTGCGGCGGGGACCTGGGGTATGTTCTCGACTTACGGCGGGGATGGCCCTTCAAAACACGAGTTTCTTCAGTGACGTCAGGACTCCTGTCTAGTAACGAGGGACACCTCAGGAATCTCTTCGAGGCTTGGCAGGGCCAAAGGGACGCTTCTCGAGGTGAGGCAGGGCACCCAAGGACCCTTTCCAGTAGCCACAGGGATTTTGGGATTCCTATCAGTATTCAAGAGGAGTCAGGCATCGTCACCTTTTGAAGCAATGAACTCCGCGTGCCTCTCGAGGTGTCAGCGGGATGTGAGGCATTCCGTCAAAATGAGGCAGGGACCTAGGGCTTTCTCTAAGGTCTCCACAGGGGATTCAGACATCCCTTCATGTTGTGAGATGAAAGACGAGCCTGTATTCAAGCCACTGCAAGGAAATCCGGCCTCCTTTCAAGTTAGGGCTTCTCGCTGTATATTCCCCTTGAGGCAGCAAACTCGGGGTCCCTCCCACATACCTATTGCTGAGAGAAGCCTCCTCCTGAGGTGCTTCTGGGAAGTTGGCATACGTCTTGAGCCTAAGCCAGGGAATCAGCTCGCATCTCGAGACGATTTGGGGTACACGGAGCATTCCTCGAGTTGCTGTGCTGAAGTTGGTGTTCCTCTAGACTTGGGACAGTGTTCTCGGGGCATCTCTGGAGTTGCCTGAAGGAAGTCGAGCCACCGGTCGTGTTGAATGGGGAACGGGGAATGGCTCTGGAGTCAATGCAGGGGAATCGGGCCTCATCTCGAGTTGATTTGGGGCACATGGAGCTGCTTTGCGTTGCTGGGGTGACCTCAGGGTCCGTCTAGACTGGTGACAGTGTTCTTGGGGACTGTCTCGAGATCCATTAAGCAAGTCGAAGCTCCTGACTTGTTTGAATGGGATCACGGAATAGCTCTGCATGCACTGCAGGGGAATGGGGCCTCATCTCGCCTCTAGGGGGAAGTCTCATGGTTTTTCTCGAGTTGCGGCGGGGACCTGGGGTATGTTCTCGACTTACGGCGGGGATGGCCCTTCAAAACACGAGTTTCTTCAGTGACGTCAGGACTCCTGTCTAGTAACGAGGGACACCTCAGGAATCTCTTCGAGGCTTGGCAGGGCCAAAGGGACGCTTCTCGAGGTGAGGCAGGGCACCCAAGGACCCTTTCCAGTAGCCACAGGGATTTTGGGATTCCTATCAGTATTCAAGAGGAGTCAGGCATCGTCACCTTTTGAAGCAATGAACTCCGCGTGCCTCTCGAGGTGTCAGCGGGATGTGAGGCATTCCGTCAAAATGAGGCAGGGACCTAGGGCTTTCTCTAAGGTCTCCACAGGGGATTCAGACATCCCTTCATGTTGTGAGATGAAAGACGAGCCTGTATTCAAGCCACTGCAAGGAAATCCGGCCTCCTTTCAAGTTAGGGCTTCTCGCTGTATATTCCCCTTGAGGCAGCAAACTCGGGGTCCCTCCCACATACCTATTGCTGAGAGAAGCCTCCTCCTGAGGTGCTTCTGGAAAGGTGGCATACGTCTTGAGCCTAAGCCAGGGAATCAGCTCGCATCTCGAGACGATTTGGGGTACACGGAGCATTCCTCGAGTTGCTGTGCTGAAGTTGGTGTTCCTCTAGACTTGGGACAGTGTTCTCGGGGCATCTCTGGAGTTGCCTGAAGGAAGTCGAGCCACCGGTCGTGTTGAATGGGGAACGGGGAATGGCTCTGGAGTCAATGCAGGGGAATCGGGCCTCATCTCGAGTTGATTTGGGGCACATGGAGCTGCTTTGCGTTGCTGGGGTGACCTCAGGGTCCGTCTAGACTGGTGACAGTGTTCTTGGGGACTGTCTCGAGATCCATTAAGCAAGTCGAAGCTCCTGACTTGTTTGAATGGGGTCACGGAATAGCTCTGCATGCACTGCAGGGGAATGGGGCCTCATCTCGCCTCTAGGGGGAAGTCTCATGGTTTTTCTCGAGTTGCGGCGGGGACCTGGGGTATGTTCTCGACTTACGGCGGGGATGGCCCTTCAAAACACGAGTTTCTTCAGTGACGTCAGGACTCCTGTCTAGTAACGAGGGACACCTCAGGAATCTCTTCGAGGCTTGGCAGGGCCAAAGGGACGCTTCTCGAGGTGAGGCAGGGCACCCAAGGACCCTTTCCAGTAGCCACAGGGATTTTGGGATTCCTATCAGTATTCAAGAGGAGTCAGGCATCGTCACCTTTTGAAGCAATGAACTCCGCGTGCCTCTCGAGGTGTCAGCGGGATGTGAGGCATTCCGTCAAAATGAGGCAGGGACCTAGGGCTTTCTCTAAGGTCTCCACAGGGGATTCAGACATCCCTTCATGTTGTGAGATGAAAGACGAGCCTGTATTCAAGCCACTGCAAGGAAATCCGGCCTCCTTTCAAGTTAGGGCTTCTCGCTGTATATTCCCCTTGAGGCAGCAAACTCGGGGTCCCTCCCACATACCTATTGCTGAGAGAAGCCTCCTCCTGAGGTGCTTCTGGGAAGTTGGCATACGTCTTGAGCCTAAGCCAGGGAATCAGCTCGCATCTCGAGACGATTTGGGGTACACGGAGCATTCCTCGAGTTGCTGTGCTGAAGTTGGTGTTCCTCTAGACTTGGGACAGTGTTCTCGGGGCATCTCTGGAGTTGCCTGAAGGAAGTCGAGCCACCGGTCGTGTTGAATGGGGAACGGGGAATGGCTCTGGAGTCAATGCAGGGGAATCGGGCCTCATCTCGAGTTGATTTGGGGCACATGGAGCTGCTTTGCGTTGCTGGGGTGACCTCAGGGTCCGTCTAGACTGGTGACAGTGTTCTTGGGGACTGTCTCGAGATCCATTAAGCAAGTCGAAGCTCCTGACTTGTTTGAATGGGATCACGGAATAGCTCTGCATGCACTGCAGGGGAATGGGGCCTCATCTCGCCTCTAGGGGGAAGTCTCATGGTTTTTCTCGAGTTGCGGCGGGGACCTGGGGTATGTTCTCGACTTACGGCGGGGATGGCCCTTCAAAACACGAGTTTCTTCAGTGACGTCAGGACTCCTGTCTAGTAACGAGGGACACCTCAGGAATCTCTTCGAGGCTTGGCAGGGCCAAAGGGACGCTTCTCGAGGTGAGGCAGGGCACCCAAGGACCCTTTCCAGTAGCCACAGGGATTTTGGGATTCCTATCAGTATTCAAGAGGAGTCAGGCATCGTCACCTTTTGAAGCAATGAACTCCGCGTGCCTCTCGAGGTGTCAGCGGGATGTGAGGCATTCCGTCAAAATGAGGCAGGGACCTAGGGCTTTCTCTAAGGTCTCCACAGGGGATTCAGACATCCCTTCATGTTGTGAGATGAAAGACGAGCCTGTATTCAAGCCACTGCAAGGAAATCCGGCCTCCTTTCAAGTTAGGGCTTCTCGCTGTATATTCCCCTTGAGGCAGCAAACTCGGGGTCCCTCCCACATACCTATTGCTGAGAGAAGCCTCCTCCTGAGGTGCTTCTGGGAAGTTGGCATACGTCTTGAGCCTAAGCCAGGGAATCAGCTCGCATCTCGAGACGATTTGGGGTACACGGAGCATTCCTCGAGTTGCTGTGCTGAAGTTGGTGTTCCTCTAGACTTGGGACAGTGTTCTCGGGGCATCTCTGGAGTTGCCTGAAGGAAGTCGAGCCACCGGTCGTGTTGAATGGGGAACGGGGAATGGCTCTGGAGTCAATGCAGGGGAATCGGGCCTCATCTCGAGTTGATTTGGGGCACATGGAGCTGCTTTGCGTTGCTGGGGTGACCTCAGGGTCCGTCTAGACTGGTGACAGTGTTCTTGGGGACTGTCTCGAGATCCATTAAGCAAGTCGAAGCTCCTGACTTGTTTGAATGGGATCACGGAATAGCTCTGCATGCACTGCAGGGGAATGGGGCCTCATCTCGCCTCTAGGGGGAAGTCTCATGGTTTTTCTCGAGTTGCGGCGGGGACCTGGGGTATGTTCTCGACTTACGGCGGGGATGGCCCTTCAAAACACGAGTTTCTTCAGTGACGTCAGGACTCCTGTCTAGTAACGAGGGACACCTCAGGAATCTCTTCGAGGCTTGGCAGAGCCAAAGGGACGCTTCTCGAGGTGAGGCAGGGCACCCAAGGACCCTTTCCAGTAGCCACAGGGATTTTGGGATTCCTATCAGTATTCAAGAGGAGTCAGGCATCGTCACCTTTTGAAGCAATGAACTCCGCGTGCCTCTCGAGGTGTCAGCGGGATGTGAGGCATTCCGTCAAAATGAGGCAGGGACCTAGGGCTTTCTCTAAGGTCTCCACAGGGGATTCAGACATCCCTTCATGTTGTGAGATGAAAGACGAGCCTGTATTCAAGCCACTGCAAGGAAATCCGGCCTCCTTTCAAGTTAGGGCTTCTCGCTGTATATTCCCCTTGAGGCAGCAAACTCGGGGTCCCTCCCACATACCTATTGCTGAGAGAAGCCTCCTCCTGAGGTGCTTCTGGGAAGTTGGCATACGTCTTGAGCCTAAGCCAGGGAATCAGCTCGCATCTCGAGACGATTTGGGGTACACGGAGCATTCCTCGAGTTGCTGTGCTGAAGTTGGTGTTCCTCTAGACTTGGGACAGTGTTCTCGGGGCATCTCTGGAGTTGCCTGAAGGAAGTCGAGCCACCGGTCGTGTTGAATGGGGAACGGGGAATGGCTCTGGAGTCAATGCAGGGGAATCGGGCCTCATCTCGAGTTGATTTGGGGCACATGGAGCTGCTTTGCGTTGCTGGGGTGACCTCAGGGTCCGTCTAGACTGGTGACAGTGTTCTTGGGGACTGTCTCGAGATCCATTAAGCAAGTCGAAGCTCCTGACTTGTTTGAATGGGGTCACGGAATAGCTCTGCATGCACTGCAGGGGAATGGGGCCTCATCTCGCCTCTAGGGGGAAGTCTCATGGTTTTTCTCGAGTTGCGGCGGGGACCTGGGGTATGTTCTCGACTTACGGCGGGGATGGCCCTTCAAAACACGAGTTTCTTCAGTGACGTCAGGACTCCTGTCTAGTAACGAGGGACACCTCAGGAATCTCTTCGAGGCTTGGCAGGGCAAAAGGGACGCTTCTCGAGGTGAGGCAGGGCACCCAAGGACCCTTTCCAGTAGCCACAGGGATTTTGGGATTCCTATCAGTATTCAAGAAGAGTCAGGCATCGTCACCTTTTGAAGCAATGAACTCCGCGTGCCTCTCGAGGTGTCAGCGGGATGTGAGGCATTCCGTCAAAATGAGGCAGGGACCTAGGGCTTTCTCTAAGGTCTCCACAGGGGATTCAGACATCCCTTCATGTTGTGAGATGAAAGACGAGCCTATATTCAAGCCACTGCAAGGAAATCCGGCCTCCTTTCAAGTTAGGGCTTCTCGCTGTATATTCCCCTTGAGGCAGCAAACTCGGGGTCCCTCCCACATACCTATTGCTGAGAGAAGCCTCCTCCTGAGGTGCTTCTGGGAAGTTGGCATACGTCTTGAGCCTAAGCCAGGGAATCAGCTCGCATCTCGAGACGATTTGGGGTACACGGAGCATTCCTCGAGTTGCTGTGCTGAAGTTGGTGTTCCTCTAGACTTGGGACAGTGTTCTCGGGGCATCTCTGGAGTTGCCTGAAGGAAGTCGAGCCACCGGTCGTGTTGAATGGGCAACGGGGAATGGCTCTGGAGTCAATGCAGGGGAATCGGGCCTCATCTCGAGTTGATTTGGGGCACATGGAGCTGCTTTGCGTTGCTGGGGTGACCTCAGGGTCCGTCTAGACTGGTGACAGTGTTCTTGGGGACTGTCTCGAGATCCATTAAGCAAGTCGAAGCTCCTGACTTGTTTGAATGGGATCACGGAATAGCTCTGCATGCACTGCAGGGGAATGGGGCCTCATCTCGCCTCTAGGGGGAAGTCTCATGGTTTTTCTCGAGTTGCGGCGGGGACCTGGGGTATGTTCTCGACTTACGGCGGGGATGGCCCTTCAAAACACGAGTTTCTTCAGTGACGTCAGGACTCCTGTCTAGTAACGAGGGACACCTCAGGAATCTCTTCGAGGCTTTGCAGGGCCAAAGGGACGCTTCTCGAGGTGAGGCAGGGCACCCAAGGACCCTTTCCAGTAGCCACAGGGATTTTGGGATTCCTATCAGTATTCAAGAGGAGTCAGGCATCGTCACCTTTTGAAGCAATGAACTCCGCGTGCCTCTCGAGGTGTCAGCGGGATGTGAGGCATTCCGTCAAAATGAGGCAGGGACCTAGGGCTTTCTCTAAGGTCTCCACAGGGGATTCAGACATCCCTTCATGTTGTGAGATGAAAGACGAGCCTGTATTCAAGCCACTGCAAGGAAATCCGGCCTCCTTTCAAGTTAGGGCTTCTCGCTGTATATTCCCCTTGAGGCAGCAAACTCGGGGTCCCTCCCACATACCTATTGCTGAGAGAAGCCTCCTCCTGAGGTGCTTCTGGAAAGGTGGCATACGTCTTGAGCCTAAGCCAGGGAATCAGCTCGCATCTCGAGACGATTTGGGGTACACGGAGCATTCCTCGAGTTGCTGTGCTGAAGTTGGTGTTCCTCTAGACTTGGGACAGTGTTCTCGGGGCATCTCTGGAGTTGCCTGAAGGAAGTCGAGCCACCGGTCGTGTTGAATGGGGAACGGGGAATGGCTCTGGAGTCAATGCAGGGGAATCGGGCCTCATCTCGAGTTGATTTGGGGCACATGGAGCTGCTTTGCGTTGCTGGGGTGACCTCAGGGTCCGTCTAGACTGGTGACAGTGTTCTTGGGGACTGTCTCGAGATCCATTAAGCAAGTCGAAGCTCCTGACTTGTTTGAATGGGGTCACGGAATAGCTCTGCATGCACTGCAGGGGAATGGGGCCTCATCTCGCCTCTAGGGGGAAGTCTCATGGTTTTTCTCGAGTTGCGGCGGGGACCTGGGGTATGTTCTCGACTTACGGCGGGGATGGCCCTTCAAAACACGAGTTTCTTCAGTGACGTCAGGACTCCTGTCTAGTAACGAGGGACACCTCAGGAATCTCTTCGAGGCTTGGCAGGGCCAAAGGGACGCTTCTCGAGGTGAGGCAGGGCACCCAAGGACCCTTTCCAGTAGCCACAGGGATTTTGGGATTCCTATCAGTATTCAAGAGGAGTCAGGCATCGTCACCTTTTGAAGCAATGAACTCCGCGTGCCTCTCGAGGTGTCAGCGGGATGTGAGGCATTCCGTCAAAATGAGGCAGGGACCTAGGGCTTTCTCTAAGGTCTCCACAGGGGATTCAGACATCCCTTCATGTTGTGAGATGAAAGACGAGCCTGTATTCAAGCCACTGCAAGGAAATCCGGCCTCCTTTCAAGTTAGGGCTTCTCGCTGTATATTCCCCTTGAGGCAGCAAACTCGGGGTCCCTCCCACATACCTATTGCTGAGAGAAGCCTCCTCCTGAGGTGCTTCTGGGAAGTTGGCATACGTCTTGAGCCTAAGCCAGGGAATCAGCTCGCATCTCGAGACGATTTGGGGTACACGGAGCATTCCTCGAGTTGCTGTGCTGAAGTTGGTGTTCCTCTAGACTTGGGACAGTGTTCTCGGGGCATCTCTGGAGTTGCCTGAAGGAAGTCGAGCCACCGGTCGTGTTGAATGGGGAACGGGGAATGGCTCTGGAGTCAATGCAGGGGAATCGGGCCTCATCTCGAGTTGATTTGGGGCACATGGAGCTGCTTTGCGTTGCTGGGGTGACCTCAGGGTCCGTCTAGACTGGTGACAGTGTTCTTGGGGACTGTCTCGAGATCCATTAAGCAAGTCGAAGCTCCTGACTTGTTTGAATGGGATCACGGAATAGCTCTGCATGCACTGCAGGGGAATGGGGCCTCATCTCGCCTCTAGGGGGAAGTCTCATGGTTTTTCTCGAGTTGCGGCGGGGACCTGGGGTATGTTCTCGACTTACGGCGGGGATGGCCCTTCAAAACACGAGTTTCTTCAGTGACGTCAGGACTCCTGTCTAGTAATGAGGGACACCTCAGGAATCTCTTCGAGGCTTGGCAGGGCCAAAGGGACGCTTCTCGAGGTGAGGCAGGGCACCCAAGGACCCTTTCCAGTAGCCACAGGGATTTTGGGATTCCTATCAGTATTCAAGAGGAGTCAGGCATCGTCACCTTTTGAAGCAATGAACTCCGCGTGCCTCTCGAGGTGTCAGCGGGATGTGAGGCATTCCGTCAAAATGAGGCAGGGACCTAGGGCTTTCTCTAAGGTCTCCACAGGGGATTCAGACATCCCTTCATGTTGTGAGATGAAAGACGAGCCTGTATTCAAGCCACTGCAAGGAAATCCGGCCTCCTTTCAAGTTAGGGCTTCTCGCTGTATATTCCCCTTGAGGCAGCAAACTCGGGGTCCCTCCCACATACCTATTGCTGAGAGAAGCCTCCTCCTGAGGTGCTTCTGGGAAGTTGGCATACGTCTTGAGCCTAAGCCAGGGAATCAGCTCGCATCTCGAGACGATTTGGGGTACACGGAGCATTCCTCGAGTTGCTGTGCTGAAGTTGGTGTTCCTCTAGACTTGGGACAGTGTTCTCGGGGCATCTCTGGAGTTGCCTGAAGGAAGTCGAGCCACCGGTCGTGTTGAATGGGGAACGGGGAATGGCTCTGGAGTCAATGCAGGGGAATCGGGCCTCATCTCGAGTTGATTTGGGGCACATGGAGCTGCTTTGCGTTGCTGGGGTGACCTCAGGGTCCGTCTAGACTGGTGACAGTGTTCTTGGGGACTGTCTCGAGATCCATTAAGCAAGTCGAAGCTCCTGACTTGTTTGAATGGGATCACGGAATAGCTCTGCATGCACTGCAGGGGAATGGGGCCTCATCTCGCCTCTAGGGGGAAGTCTCATGGTTTTTCTCGAGTTGCGGCGGGGACCTGGGGTATGTTCTCGACTTACGGCGGGGATGGCCCTTCAAAACACGAGTTTCTTCAGTGACGTCAGGACTCCTGTCTAGTAACGAGGGACACCTCAGGAATCTCTTCGAGGCTTGGCAGGGCCAAAGGGACGCTTCTCGAGGTGAGGCAGGGCACCCAAGGACCCTTTCCAGTAGCCACAGGGATTTTGGGATTCCTATCAGTATTCAAGAGGAGTCAGGCATCGTCACCTTTTGAAGCAATGAACTCCGCGTGCCTCTCGAGGTGTCAGCGGGATGTGAGGCATTCCGTCAAAATGAGGCAGGGACCTAGGGCTTTCTCTAAGGTCTCCACAGGGGATTCAGACATCCCTTCATGTTGTGAGATGAAAGACGAGCCTGTATTCAAGCCACTGCAAGGAAATCCGGCCTCCTTTCAAGTTAGGGCTTCTCGCTGTATATTCCCCTTGAGGCAGCAAACTCGGGGTCCCTCCCACATACCTATTGCTGAGAGAAGCCTCCTCCTGAGGTGCTTCTGGGAAGTTGGCATACGTCTTGAGCCTAAGCCAGGGAATCAGCTCGCATCTCGAGACGATTTGGGGTACACGGAGCATTCCTCGAGTTGCTGTGCTGAAGTTGGTGTTCCTCTAGACTTGGGACAGTGTTCTCGGGGCATCTCTGGAGTTGCCTGAAGGAAGTCGAGCCACCGGTCGTGTTGAATGGGGAACGGGGAATGGCTCTGGAGTCAATGCAGGGGAATCGGGCCTCATCTCGAGTTGATTTGGGGCACATGGAGCTGCTTTGCGTTGCTGGGGTGACCTCAGGGTCCGTCTAGACTGGTGACAGTGTTCTTGGGGACTGTCTCGAGATCCATTAAGCAAGTCGAAGCTCCTGACTTGTTTGAATGGGGTCACGGAATAGCTCTGCATGCACTGCAGGGGAATGGGGCCTCATCTCGCCTCTAGGGGGAAGTCTCATGGTTTTTCTCGAGTTGCGGCGGGGACCTGGGGTATGTTCTCGACTTACGGCGGGGATGGCCCTTCAAAACACGAGTTTCTTCAGTGACGTCAGGACTCCTGTCTAGTAACGAGGGACACCTCAGGAATCTCTTCGAGGCTTGGCAGGGCCAAAGGGACTCTTCTCGAGGTGAGGCAGGGCACCCAAGGACCCTTTCCAGTAGCCACAGGGATTTTGGGATTCCTATCAGTATTCAAGAGGAGTCAGGCATCGTCACCTTTTGAAGCAATGAACTCCGCGTGCCTCTCGAGGTGTCAGCGGGATGTGAGGCATTCCGTCAAAATGAGGCAGGGACCTAGGGCTTTCTCTAAGGTCTCCACAGGGGATTCAGACATCCCTTCATGTTGTGAGATGAAAGACGAGCCTGTATTCAAGCCACTGCAAGGAAATCCGGCCTCCTTTCAAGTTAGGGCTTCTCGCTGTATATTCCCCTTGAGGCAGCAAACTCGGGGTCCCTCCCACATACCTATTGCTGAGAGAAGCCTCCTCCTGAGGTGCTTTTGGGAAGTTGGCATACGTCTTGAGCCTAAGCCAGGGAATCAGCTCGCATCTCGAGACGATTTGGGGTACACGGAGCATTCCTCGAGTTGCTGTGCTGAAGTTGGTGTTCCTCTAGACTTGGGACAGTGTTCTCGGGGCATCTCTGGAGTTGCCTGAAGGAAGTCGAGCCACCGGTCGTGTTGAATGGGGAACGGGGAATGGCTCTGGAGTCAATGCAGGGGAATCGGGCCTCATCTCGAGTTGATTTGGGGCACATGGAGCTGCTTTGCGTTGCTGGGGTGACCTCAGGGTCCGTCTAGACTGGTGACAGTGTTCTTGGGGACTGTCTCGAGATCCATTAAGCAAGTCGAAGCTCCTGACTTGTTTGAATGGGGTCACGGAATAGCTCTGCATGCACTGCAGGGGAATGGGGCCTCATCTCGCCTCTAGGGGGAAGTCTCATGGTTTTTCTCGAGTTGCGGCGGGGACCTGGGGTATGTTCTCGACTTACGGCGGGGATGGCCCTTCAAAACACGAGTTTCTTCAGTGACGTCAGGACTCCTGTCTAGTAACGAGGGACACCTCAGGAATCTCTTCGAGGCTTGGCAGGGCCAAAGGGACGCTTCTCGAGGTGAGGCAGGGCACCCAAGGACCCTTTCCAGTAGCCACAGGGATTTTGGGATTCCTATCAGTATTCAAGAGGAGTCAGGCATCGTCACCTTTTGAAGCAATGAACTCCACGTGCCTCTCGAGGTGTCAGCGGGATGTGAGGCATTCCGTCAAAATGAGGCAGGGACCTAGGGCTTTCTCTAAGGTCTCCACAGGGGATTCAGACATCCCTTCATGTTGTGAGATGAAAGACGAGCCTGTATTCAAGCCACTGCAAGGAAATCCGGCCTCCTTTCAAGTTAGGGCTTCTCGCTGTATATTCCCCTTGAGGCAGCAAACTCGGGGTCCCTCCCACATACCTATTGCTGAGAGAAGCCTCCTCCTGAGGTGCTTCTGGGAAGTTGGCATACGTCTTGAGCCTAAGCCAGGGAATCAGCTCGCATCTCGAGACGATTTGGGGTACACGGAGCATTCCTCGAGTTGCTGTCCTGAAGTTGGTGTTCCTCTAGACTTGGGACAGTGTTCTCGGGGCATCTCTGGAGTTGCCTGAAGGAAGTCGAGCCACCGGTCGTGTTGAATGGGGAACGGGGAATGGCTCTGGAGTCAATGCAGGGGAATCGGGCCTCATCTCGAGTTGATTTGGGCACATGGAGCTGCTTTGCTTTGCTGGGGTGACCTCAGGGTCCGTCTAGACTGGTGACAGTGTTCTTGGGGACTGTCTCGAGATCCATTAAGCAAGTCGAAGCTCCTGACTTGTTTGAATGGGGTCACGGAATAGCTCTGCATGCACTGCAGGGGAATGGGGCCTCATCTCGCCTCTAGGGGGAAGTCTCATGGTTTTTCTCGAGTTGCGGCGGGGACCTGGGGTATGTTCTCGACTTACGGCGGGGATGGCCCTTCAAAACACGAGTTTCTTCAGTGACGTCAGGACTCCTGTCTAGTAACGAGGGACACCTCAGGAATCTCTTCGAGGCTTGGCAGGGCCAAAGGGACGCTTCTCGAGGTGAGGCAGGGCACCCAAGGACCCTTTCCAGTAGCCACAGGGATTTTGGGATTCCTATCAGTGTTCAGGAGGAGTCAGGCATCGTCACCTTTTGAAGCAATGAACTCCGCGTGCCTCTCGAGGTGTCAGCGGGATGTGAGGCATTCCGTCAAAATGAGGCAGGGACCTAGGGCTTTCTCTAAGGTCTCCACAGGGGATTCAGACATCCCTTCATGTTGTGAGATGAAAGACGAGCCTGTATTCAAGCCACTGCAAGGAAATCCGGCCTCCTTTCAAGTTAGGGCTTCTCGCTGTATATTCCCCTTGAGGCAGCAAACTCGGGGTCCCTCCCACATACCTATTGCTGAGAGAAGCCTCCTCCTGAGGTGCTTCTGGGAAGTTGGCATACGTCTTGAGCCTAAGCCAGGGAATCAGCTCGCATCTCGAGACGATTTGGGGTACACGGAGCATTCCTCGAGTTGCTGTGCTGAAGTTGGTGTTCCTCTAGACTTGGGACAGTGTTCTCGGGGCATCTCTGGAGTTGCCTGAAGGAAGTCGAGCCACCGGTCGTGTTGAATGGGGAACGGGGAATGGCTCTGGAGTCAATGCAGGGGAATCGGGCCTCATCTCGAGTTGATTTGGGGCACATGGAGCTGCTTTGCGTTGCTGGGGTGACCTCAGGGTCCGTCTAGACTGGTGACAGTGTTCTTGGGGACTGTCTCGAGATCCATTAAGCAAGTCGAAGCTCCTGACTTGTTTGAATGGGATCACGGAATAGCTCTGCATGCACTGCAGGGGAATGGGGCCTCATCTCGCCTCTAGGGGGAAGTCTCATGGTTTTTCTCGAGTTGCGGCGGGGACCTGGGGTATGTTCTCGACTTACGGCGGGGATGGCCCTTCAAAACACGAGTTTCTTCAGTGACGTCAGGACTCCTGTCTAGTAACGAGGGACACCTCAGGAATCTCTTCGAGGCTTGGCAGGGCCAAAGGGACGCTTCTCGAGGTGAGGCAGGGCACCCAAGGACCCTTTCCAGTAGCCACAGGGATTTTGGGATTCCTATCAGTATTCAAGAGGAGTCAGGCATCGTCACCTTTTGAAGCAATGAACTCCGCGTGCCTCTCGAGGTGTCAGCGGGATGTGAGGCATTCCGTCAAAATGAGGCAGGGACCTAGGGCTTTCTCTAAGGTCTCCACAGGGGATTCAGACATCCCTTCATGTTGTGAGATGAAAGACGAGCCTGTATTCAAGCCACTGCAAGGAAATCCGGCCTCCTTTCAAGTTAGGGCTTCTCGCTGTATATTCCCCTTGAGGCAGCAAACTCGGGGTCCCTCCCACATACCTATTGCTGAGAGAAGCCTCCTCCTGAGGTGCTTCTGGGAAGTTGGCATACGTCTTGAGCCTAAGCCAGGGAATCAGCTCGCATCTCGAGACGATTTGGGGTACACGGAGCATTCCTCGAGTTGCTGTGCTGAAGTTGGTGTTCCTCTAGACTTGGGACAGTGTTCTCGGGGCATCTCTGGAGTTGCCTGAAGGAAGTCGAGCCACCGGTCGTGTTGAATGGGGAACGGGGAATGGCTCTGGAGTCAATGCAGGGGAATCGGGCCTCATCTCGAGTTGATTTGGGGCACATGGAGCTGCTTTGCGTTGCTGGGGTGACCTCAGGGTCCGTCTAGACTGGTGACAGTGTTCTTGGGGACTGTCTCGAGGTCCATTAAGCAAGTCGAAGCTCCTGACTTGTTTGAATGGGGTCACGGAATAGCTCTGCATGCACTGCAGGGGAATGGGGCCTCATCTCGCCTCTAGGGGGAAGTCTCATGGTTTTTCTCGAGTTTCGGCGGGGACCTGGGGTATGTTCTCGACTTACGGCGGGGATGGCCCTTCAAAACACGAGTTTCTTCAGTGACGTCAGGACTCCTGTCTAGTAACGAGGGACACCTCAGGAATCTCTTCGAGGCTTGGCAGGGCCAAAGGGACGCTTCTCGAGGTGAGGCAGGGCACCCAAGGACCCTTTCCAGTAGCCACAGGGATTTTGGGATTCCTATCAGTATTCAAGAGGAGTCAGGCATCGTCACCTTTTGAAGCAATGAACTCCGCGTGCCTCTCGAGGTGTCAGCGGGATGTGAGGCATTCCGTCAAAATGAGGCAGGGACCTAGGGCTTTCTCTAAGGTCTCCACAGGGGATTCAGACATCCCTTCATGTTGTGAGATGAAAGACGAGCCTGTATTCAAGCCACTGCAAGGAAATCCGGCCTCCTTTCAAGTTAGGGTTTCTCGCTGTATATTCCCCTTGAGGCAGCAAACTCGGGGTCCCTCCCACATACCTATTGCTGAGAGAAGCCTCCTCCTGAGGTGCTTCTGGGAAGTTGGCATACGTCTTGAGCCTAAGCCAGGGAATCAGCTCGCATCTCGAGACGATTTGGGGTACACGGAGCATTCCTCGAGTTGCTGTGCTGAAGTTGGTGTTCCTCTAGACTTGGGACAGTGTTCTCGGGGCATCTCTGGAGTTGCCTGAAGGAAGTCGAGCCACCGGTCGTGTTGAATGGGGAACGGGGAATGGCTCTGGAGTCAATGCAGGGGAATCGGGCCTCATCTCGAGTTGATTTGGGGCACATGGAGCTGCTTTGCGTTGCTGGGGTGACCTCAGGGTCCGTCTAGACTGGTGACAGTGTTCTTGGGGACTGTCTCGAGATCCATTAAGCAAGTCGAAGCTCCTGACTTGTTTGAATGGGGTCACAGAATAGCTCTGCATGCACTGCAGGGGAATGGGGCCTCATCTCGCCTCTAGGGGGAAGTCTCATGGTTTTTCTCGAGTTGCGGCGGGGACCTGGGGTATGTTCTCGACTTACGGCGGGGATGGCCCTTCAAAACACGAGTTTCTTCAGTGACGTCAGGACTCCTGTCTAGTAACGAGGGACACCTCAGGAATCTCTTCGAGGCTTGGCAGTGCCAAAGGGACGCTTCTCGAGGTGAGGCAGGGCACCCAAGGACCCTTTCCAGTAGCCACAGGGATTTTGGGATTCCTATCAGTATTCAAGAGGAGTCAGGCATCGTCACCTTTTGAAGCAATGAACTCCGCGTGCCTCTCGAGGTGTCAGTGGGATGTGAGGCATTCCGTCAAAATGAGGCAGGGACCTAGGGCTTTCTCTAAGGTCTCCACAGGGGATTCAGACATCCCTTCATGTTGTGAGATGAAAGACGAGCCTGTATTCAAGCCACTGCAAGGAAATCCGGCCTCCTTTCAAGTTAGGGCTTCTCGCTGTATATTCCCCTTGAGGCAGCAAACTCGGGGTCCCTCCCACATACCTATTGCTGAGAGAAGCCTCCTCCTGAGGTGCTTCTGGGAAGTTGGCATACGTCTTGAGCCTAAGCCAGGGAATCAGCTCGCATCTCGAGACGATTTGGGGTACACGGAGCATTCCTCGAGTTGCTGTGCTGAAGTTGGTGTTCCTCTAGACTTGGGACAGTGTTCTCGGGGCATCTCTGGAGTTGCCTGAAGGAAGTCGAGCCACCGGTCGTGTTGAATGGGGAACGGGGAATGGCTCTGGAGTCAATGCAGGGGAATCGGGCCTCATCTCGAGTTGATTTGGGGCACATGGAGCTGCTTTGCGTTGCTGGGGTGACCTCAGGGTCCGTCTAGACTGGTGACAGTGTTCTTGGGGACTGTCTCGAGATCCATTAAGCAAGTCGAAGCTCCTGACTTGTTTGAATGGGGTCACGGAATAGCTCTGCATGCACTGCAGGGGAATGGGGCCTCATCTCGCCTCTAGGGGGAAGTCTCATGGTTTTTCTCGAGTTGCGGCGGGGACCTGGGGTATGTTCTCGACTTACGGCGGGGATGGCCCTTCAAAACACGAGTTTCTTCAGTGACGTCAGGACTCCTGTCTAGTAACGAGGGACACCTCAGGAATCTCTTCGAGGCTTGGCAGTGCCAAAGGGACGCTTCTCGAGGTGAGGCAGGGCACCCAAGGACCCTTTCCAGTAGCCACAGGGATTTTGGGATTCCTATCAGTATTCAAGAGGAGTCAGGCATCGTCACCTTTTGAAGCAATGAACTCTGCGTGCCTCTCGAGGTGTCAGTGGGATGTGAGGCATTCCGTCAAAATGAGGCAGGGACCTAGGGCTTTCTCTAAGGTCTCCACAGGGGATTCAGACATCCCTTCATGTTGTGAGATGAAAGACGAGCCTGTATTCAAGCCACTGCAAGGAAATCCGGCCTCCTTTCAAGTTAGGGCTTCTCGCTGTATATTCCCCTTGAGGCAGCAAACTCGGGGTCCCTCCCACATACCTATTGCTGAGAGAAGCCTCCTCCTGAGGTGCTTCTGGGAAGTTGGCATACGTCTTGAGCCTAAGCCAGGGAATCAGCTCGCATCTCGAGACGATTTGGGGTACACGGAGCATTCCTCGAGTTGCTGTGCTGAAGTTGGTGTTCCTCTAGACTTGGGACAGTGTTCTCGGGGCATCTCTGGAGTTGCCTGAAGGAAGTCGAGCCACCGGTCGTGTTGAATGGGGACCGGGGAATGGCTCTGGAGTCAATGCAGGGGAATCGGGCCTCATCTCGAGTTGATTTGGGGCACATGGAGCTGCTTTGCGTTGCTGGGGTGACCTCAGGGTCCGTCTAGACTGGTGACAGTGTTCTTGGGGACTGTCTCGAGATCCATTAAGCAAGTCGAAGCTCCTGACTTGTTTGAATGGGATCACGGAATAGCTCTGCATGCACTGCAGGGGAATGGGGCCTCATCTCGCCACTAGGGGGAAGTCTCATGGTTTTTCTCGAGTTGCGGCGGGGACCTGGGGTATGTTCTCGACTTACGGCGGGGATGGCCCTTCAAAACACGAGTTTCTTCAGTGACGTCAGGACTCCTGTCTAGTAACGAGGGACACCTCAGGAATCTCTTCGAATCTTGGCAGGGCCAAAGGGACGCTTCTCGAGGTGAGGCAGGGCACCCAAGGACCCTTTCCAGTAGCCACAGGGATTTTGGGATTCCTATCAGTATTCAAGAGGAGTCAGGCATCGTCACCTTTTGAAGCAATGAACTCCGCGTGCCTCTCGAGGTGTCAGCGGGATGTGAGGCATTCCGTCAAAATGAGGCAGGGACCTAGGGCTTTCTCTAAGGTCTCCACAGGGGATTCAGACATCCCTTCATGTTGTGAGATGAAAGACGAGCCTGTATTCAAGCCACTGCAAGGAAATCCGGCCTCCTTTCAAGTTAGGGCTTCTCGCTGTATATTCCCCTTGAGGCAGCAAACTCGGGGTCCCTCCCACATACCTATTGCTGAGAGAAGCCTCCTCCTGAGGTGCTTCTGGGAAGTTGGCATACGTCTTGAGCCTAAGCCAGGGAATCAGCTCGCATCTCGAGACGATTTGGGGTACACGGAGCATTCCTCGAGTTGCTGTGCTGAAGTTGGTGTTCCTCTAGACTTGGGACAGTGTTCTCGGGGCATCTCTGGAGTTGCCTGAAGGAAGTCGAGCCACCGGTCGTGTTGAATGGGGAACGGGGAATGGCTCTGGAGTCAATGCAGGGGAATCGGGCCTCATCTCGAGTTGATTTGGGGCACATGGAGCTGCTTTGCGTTGCTGGGGTGACCTCAGGGTCCGTCTAGACTGGTGACAGTGTTCTTGGGGACTGTCTCGAGATCCATTAAGCAAGTCGAAGCTCCTGACTTGTTTGAATGGGATCACGGAATAGCTCTGCATGCACTGCAGGGGAATGGGGCCTCATCTCGCCTCAAGGGGGAAGTCTCATGGTTTTTCTCGAGTTGCGGCGGGGACCTGGGGTATGTTCTCGACTTACGGCGGGGATGGCCCTTCAAAACACGAGTTTCTTCAGTGACGTCAGGACTCCTGTCTAGTAACGAGGGACACCTCAGGAATCTCTTCGAGGCTTTGCAGGGCCAAAGGGACGCTTCTCGAGGTGAGGCAGGGCACCCAAGGACCCTTTCCAGTAGCCACAGGGATTTTGGGATTCCTGTCAGTATTCAAGAGGAGTCAGGCATCGTCACCTTTTGAAGCAATGAACTCCGCGTGCCTCTCGAGGTGTCAGCGGGATGTGAAGCATTCCGTCAAAATGAGGCAGGGACCTAGGGCTTTCTCTAAGGTCTCCACAGGGGATTCAGACATCCCTTCATGTTGTGAGATGAAAGACGAGCCTGTATTCAAGCCACTGCAAGGAAATCCGGCCTCCTTTCAAGTTAGGGCTTCTCGCTGTATATTCCCCTTGAGGCAGCAAACTCGGGGTCCCTCCCACATACCTAATGCTGAGAGAAGCCTCCTCCTGAGGTGCTTCTGGGAAGTTGGCATACGTCTTGAGCCTAAGCCAGGGAATCAGCTCGCATCTCGAGACGATTTGGGGTACACGGAGCATTCCTCGAGTTGCTGTGCTGAAGTTGGTGTTCCTCTAGACTTGGGACAGTGTTCTCGGGGCATCTCTGGAGTTGCCTGAAGGAAGTCGAGCCACCGGTCGTGTTGAATGGGGAACGGGGAATGGCTCTGGAGTCAATGCAGGGGAATCGGGCCTCATCTCGAGTTGATTTGGGGCACATGGAGCTGCTTTGCGTTGCTGGGGTGACCTCAGGGTCCGTCTAGACTGGTGACAGTGTTCTTGGGGACTGTCTCGAGATCCATTAAGCAAGTCGAAGCTCCTGACTTGTTTGAATGGGATCACGGAATAGCTCTGCATGCACTGCAGGGGAATGGAGCCTCATCTCGCCTCTAGGGGGAAGTCTCATTGTTTTTCTCGAGTTGCGGCGGGGACCTGGGGTATGTTCTCGACTTACGGCGGGGATGGCCCTTCAAAACACGAGTTTCTTCAGTGACGTCAGGACTCCTGTCTAGTAACGAGGGACACCTCAGGAATCTCTTCGAGGCTTGGCAGGGCCAAAGGGACGCTTCTCGAGCTGAGGCAGGGCACCCAAGGACCCATTCCAGTAGCCACAGGGATTTTGGGATTCCTATCAGTATTCAAGAGGAGTCAGGCATCGTCACCTTTTGAAGCAATGAACTCCGCGTGCCTCTCGAGGTGTCAGCGGGATGTGAGGCATTCCGTCAAAATGAGGCAGGGACCTAGGGCTTTCTCTAAGGTCTCCACAGGGGATTCAGACATCCCTTCATGTTGTGAGATGAAAGACGAGCCTGTATTCAAGCCACTGCAAGGAAATCCGGCCTCCTTTCAAGTTAGGGCTTCTCGCTGTATATTCCCCTTGAGGCAGCAAACTCGGGGTCCCTCCCACATACCTATTGCTGAGAGAAGCCTCCTCCTGAGGTGCTTCTGGGAAGTTGGCATACGTCTTGAGCCTAAGCCAGGGAATCAGCTCTCATCTCGAGACGATTTGGGGTACACGGAGCATTCCTCGAGTTGCTGTGCTGAAGTTGGTGTTCCTCTAGACTTGGGACAGTGTTCTCGGGGCATCTCTGGAGTTGCCTGAAGGAAGTCGAGCCACCGGTCGTGTTGAATGGGGAACGGGGAATGGCTCTGGAGTCAATGCAGGGGAATCGGGCCTCATCTCGAGTTGATTTGGGGCACATGGAGCTGCTTTGCGTTGCTGGGGTGACCTCAGGGTCCGTCTAGACTGGTGACAGTGTTCTTGGGGACTGTCTCGAGATCCATTAAGCAAGTCGAAGCTCCTGACTTGTTTGAATGGGATCACGGAATAGCTCTGCATGCACTGCAGGGGAATGGGGCCTCATCTTGCCTCTAGGGGGAAGTCTCATGGTTTTTCTTGAGTTGCGGCGGGGACCTGGGGTATGTTCTCGACTTACGGCGGGGATGGCCCTTCAAAACACAAGTTTCTTCAGTGACGTCAGGACTCCTGTCTAATAACGAGGGACACCTCAGGAATCTCTTCGAGGCTTGGCAGGGCCAAAGGGACGCTTCTCGAGGTGAGGCAGGGCACCCAAGGACCCTTTCCAGTAGCCACAGGGATTTTGGGATTCCTATCAGTATTCAAGAGGAGTCAGGCATCGTCACCTTTTGAAGCAATGAACTCCGCGTGACTCTCGAGGTGTCAGCGGGATGTGAGGCATTCCGTCAAAATGAGGCAGGGACCTAGGGCTTTCTCTAAGGTCTCCACAGGGGATTCAGACATCCCTTCATGTTGTGAGATGAAAGACGAGCCTGTATTCAAGCCACTGCAAGGAAATCCGGCCTCCTTTCAAGTTAGGGCTTCCCGCTGTATATTCCCCTTGAGGCAGCAAACTCGGGGTCCCTCCCACATACCTATTGCTGAGAGAAGCCTCCTCCTGAGGTGCTTCTGGGAAGTTGGCATACGTCTTGAGCCTAAGCCAGGGAATCAGCTCGCATCTCGAGACGATTTGGGGTACACGGAGCATTCCTCGAGTTGCTGTGCTGAAGTTGGTGTTCCTCTGGACTTGGGACAGTGTTCTCGGGGCATCTCTGGAGTTGCCTGAAGGAAGTCGAGCCACCGGTCGTGTTGAATGGGGAACGGGGAATGGCTCTGGAGTCAATGCAGGGGAATCGGGCCTCATCTCGAGTTGATTTGGGGCACATGGAGCTGCTTTGCGTTGCTGGGGTGACCTCAGGGTCCGTCTAGACTGGTGACAGTGTTCTTGGGGACTGTCTCGAGATCCATTAAGCAAGTCGAAGCTCCTGACTTGTTTGAATGGGATCATGGAATAGCTCTGCATGCACTGCAGGGGAATGGGGCCTCATCTCGCCTCTAGGGGGAAGTCTCATGGTTTTTCTCGAGTTGCGGCGGGGACCTGGGGTATGTTCTCGACTTACGGCGGGGATGGCCCTTCAAAACACGAGTTTCTTCAGTGACGTCAGGACTCCTGTCTAGTAACGAGGGACACCTCAGGAATCTCTTCGAGGCTTGGCAGGGCCAAAGGGACGCTTCTCGAGGTGAGGCAGGGCACCCAAGGACCCTTTCCAGTAGCCACAGGGATTTTGGGATTCCTATCAGTATTCAAGAGGAGTCAGGCATCGTCAGCTTTTGAAGCAATGAACTCCGCGTGCCTCTCGAGGTGTGAGCGGGATATGAGACATTCCGTCAAAATGAGGCAGGGACCTAGGGCTTTCTCTAAGGTCTCCACAGGGGATTCAGACATCCCTTCATGTTGTGAGATGAAAGACGAGCCTGTATTCAAGCCACTGCAAGGAAATCCGGCCTCCTTTCAAGTTAGGGCTTCTCGCTGTATATTCCCCTTGAGGTAGCACACTCGGGGTCCCTCCCACATACCTATTGCTGAGAGAAGCCCCCTCCTGAGGTGCTGCTGGGAAGTTGGCATACGTCTTGAGCCTAAGCCAGGGAATCAGCTCGCATCTCGAGACGATTTGGGGTACACGGAGCATTCCTCGAGTTGCTGTGCTGAAGTTGGTGTTCCTCTAGACTTGGGACAGTGTTCTCGGGGCATCTCTGGAGTTGCCTGAAGGAAGTCGAGCCACCGGTCGTGTTGAATGGGGAACGGGGAATGGCTCTGGAGTCAATGCAGGGGAATCGGGCCTCATCTCGAGTTGATTTGGGGCACATGGAGCTGCTTTGCGTTGCTGGGGTGACCTCAGGGTCCGTCTAGACTGGTGACAGTGTTCTTGGGGACTGTCTCGAGATCCATTAAGCAAGTCGAAGCTCCTGACTTGTTTGAATGGGGTCACGGAATAGCTCTGCATGCACTGCAGGGGAATGGGGCCTCATCTCGCCTCTAGGGGGAAGTCTCATGGTTTTTCTCGAGTTGCGGCGGGGACCTGGGGTATGTTCTCGACTTACGGCGGGGATGGCCCTTCAAAACACGAGTTTCTTCAGTGACGTCAGGACTCCTGTCTAGTAACGAGGGACACCTCAGGAATCTCTTCGAGGCTTGGCAGTGCCAAAGGGACGCTTCTCGAGGTGAGGCAGGGCACCCAAGGACCCTTTCCAGTAGCCACAGGGATTTTGGGATTCCTATCAGTATTCAAGAGGAGTCAGGCATCGTCACCTTTTGAAGCAATGAACTCTGCGTGCCTCTCGAGGTGTCAGTGGGATGTGAGGCATTCCGTCAAAATGAGGCAGGGACCTAGGGCTTTCTCTAAGGTCTCCACAGGGGATTCAGACATCCCTTCATGTTGTGAGATGAAAGACGAGCCTGTATTCAAGCCACTGCAAGGAAATCCGGCCTCCTTTCAAGTTAGGGCTTCTCGCTGTATATTCCCCTTGAGGCAGCAAACTCGGGGTCCCTCCCACATACCTATTGCTGAGAGAAGCCTCCTCCTGAGGTGCTTCTGGGAAGTTGGCATACGTCTTGAGCCTAAGCCAGGGAATCAGCTCGCATCTCGAGACGATTTGGGGTACACGGAGCATTCCTCGAGTTGCTGTGCTGAAGTTGGTGTTCCTCTAGACTTGGGACAGTGTTCTCGGGGCATCTCTGGAGTTGCCTGAAGGAAGTCGAGCCACCGGTCGTGTTGAATGGGGAACGGGGAATGGCTCTGGAGTCAATGCAGGGGAATCGGGCCTCATCTCGAGTTGATTTGGGGCACATGGAGCTGCTTTGCGTTGCTGGGGTGACCTCAGGGTCCGTCTAGACTGGTGACAGTGTTCTTGGGGACTGTCTCGAGATCCATTAAGCAAGTCGAAGCTCCTGACTTGTTTGAATGGGGTCACGGAATAGCTCTGCATGCACTGCAGGGGAATGGGGCCTCATCTCGCCTCTAGGGGGAAGTCTCATGGTTTTTCTCGAGTTGCGGCGGGGACCTGGGGTATGTTCTCGACTTACGGCGGGGATGGCCCTTCAAAACACGAGTTTCTTCAGTGACGTCAGGACTCCTGTCTAGTAACGAGGGACACCTCAGGAATCTCTTCGAGGCTTGGCAGTGCCAAAGGGACGCTTCTCGAGGTGAGGCAGGGCACCCAAGGACCCTTTCCAGTAGCCACAGGGATTTTGGGATTCCTATCAGTATTCAAGAGGAGTCAGGCATCGTCACCTTTTGAAGCAATGAACTCCGCGTGCCTCTCGAGGTGTCAGTGGGATGTGAGGCATTCCGTCAAAATGAGGCAGGGACCTAGGGCTTTCTCTAAGGTCTCCACAGGGGATTCAGACATCCCTTCATGTTGTGAGATGAAAGACGAGCCTGTATTCAAGCCACTGCAAGGAAATCCGGCCTCCTTTCAAGTTAGGGCTTCTCGCTGTATATTCCCCTTGAGGCAGCAAACTCGGGGTCCCTCCCACATACCTATTCCTGAGAGAAGCCTCCTCCTGAGGTGCTTCTGGGAAGTTGGCATACGTCTTGAGCCTAAGCCAGGGAATCAGCTCGCATCTCGAGACGATTTGGGGTACACGGAGCATTCCTCGAGTTGCTGTGCTGAAGTTGGTGTTCCTCTAGACTTGGGACAGTGTTCTCGGGGCATCTCTGGAGTTGCCTGAAGGAAGTCGAGCCACCGGTCGTGTTGAATGGGGAACGGGGAATGGCTCTGGAGTCAATGCAGGGGAATCGGGCCTCATCTCGAGTTGATTTGGGGCACATGGAGCTGCTTTGCGTTGCTGGGGTGACCTCAGGGTCCGTCTAGACTGGTGACAGTGTTCTTGGGGACTGTCTCGAGATCCATTAAGCAAGTCGAAGCTCCTGACTTGTTTGAATGGGATCACGGAATAGCTCTGCATGCACTGCAGGGGAATGGGGCCTCATCTCGCCTCTAGGGGGAAGTCTCATGGTTTTTCTCGAGTTGCGGCGGGGACCTGGGGTATGTTCTCGACTTACGGCGGGGATGGCCCTTCAAAACACGAGTTTCTTCAGTGACGTCAGGACTCCTGTCTAGTAACGAGGGACACCTCAGGAATCTCTTCGAGGCTTGGCAGGGCCAAAGGGAGGCTTCTCAAGGTGAGGCAGGGCACCCAAGGACCCTTTCCAGTAGCCACAGGGATTTTGGGATTCCTATCAGTATTCAAGAGGAGTCAGGCATCGTCACCTTTTGAAGCAATGAACTCCGCGTGCCTCTCGAGGTGTCAGCGGGATGTGAGGCATTCCGTCAAAATGAGGCAGAGACCTAGGGCTTTCTCTAAGGTCTCCACAGGGTATTCAGACATCCCTTCATGTTGTGAGATGAAAGACGAGCCTGTATTCAAGCCACTGCAAGGAAATCCGGCCTCCTTTCAAGTTAGGGCTTCTCGCTGTATATTCCCCTTGAGGCAGCAAACTCGGGGTCCCTCCCACATACCTATTGCTGAGAGAAGCCTCCTCCTGAGGTGCTTCTGGGAAGTTGGCATACGTCTTGAGCCTAAGCCAGGGAATCAGCTCGCATCTCGAGACGATTTGGGGTACACGGAGCATTCCTCGAGTTGCTGTGCTGAAGTTGGTGTTCCTCTAGACTTGGGACAGTGTTCTCGGGGCATCTCTGGAGTTGCCTGAAGGAAGTCGAGCCACCGGTCGTGTTGAATGGGGAACGGGGAATGGCTCTGGAGTCAATGCAGGGGAATCGGGCCTCATCTCGAGTTGATTTGGGGCACATGGAGCTGCTTTGCGTTGCTGGGGTGACCTCAGGGTCCGTCTAGACTGGTGACAGTGTTCTTGGGGACTGTCTCGAGATCCATTAAGCAAGTCGAAGCTCCTGACTTGTTTGAATGGGATCACGGAATAGCTCTGCATGCACTGCAGGGGAATGGAGCCTCATCTCGCCTCTAGGGGGAAGTCTCATTGTTTTTCTCGAGTTGCGGCGGGGACCTGGGGTATGTTCTCGACTTACGGCGGGGATGGCCCTTCAAAACACGAGTTTCTTCAGTGACGTCAGGACTCCTGTCTAGTAACGAGGGACACCTCAGGAATCTCTTCGAGGCTTGGCAGGGCCAAAGGGACGCTTCTCGAGCTGAGGCAGGGCACCCAAGGACCCTTTCCAGTAGCCACAGGGATTTTGGGATTCCTATCAGTATTCAAGAGGAGTCAGGCATCGTCACCTTTTGAAGCAATGAACTCCGCGTGCCTCTCGAGGTGTCAGCGGGATGTGAGGCATTCCGTCAAAATGAGGCAGGGACCTAGGGCTTTCTCTAAGGTCTCCACAGGGGATTCAGACATCCCTTCATGTTGTGAGATGAAAGACGAGCCTGTATTCAAGCCACTGCAAGGAAATCCGGCCTCCTTTCAAGTTAGGGCTTCTCGCTGTATATTCCCCTTGAGGCAGCAAACTCGGGGTCCCTCCCACATACCTATTGCTGAGAGAAGCCTCCTCCTGAGGTGCTTCTGGGAAGTTGGCATACGTCTTGAGCCTAAGCCAGGGAATCAGCTCTCATCTCGAGACGATTTGGGGTACACGGAGCATTCCTCGAGTTGCTGTGCTGAAGTTGGTGTTCCTCTAGACTTGGGACAGTGTTCTCAGGGCATCTCTGGAGTTGCCTGAAGGAAGTCGAGCCACCGGTCGTGTTGAATGGGGAACGGGGAATGGCTCTGGAGTCAATGCAGGGGAATCGGGCCTCATCTCGAGTTGATTTGGGGCACATGGAGCTGCTTTGCGTTGCTGGGGTGACCTCAGGGTCTGTCTAGACTGGTGACAGTGTTCTTGGGGACTGTCTCGAGATCCATTAAGCAAGTCGAAGCTCCTGACTTGTTTGAATGGGATCACGGAATAGCTCTGCATGCACTGCAGGGGAATGGGGCCTCATCTTGCCTCTAGGGGGAAGTCTCATGGTTTTTCTTGAGTTGCGGCGGGGACCTGGGGTATGTTCTCGACTTACGGCGGGGATGGCCCTTCAAAACACAAGTTTCTTCAGTGACGTCAGGACTCCTGTCTAATAACGAGGGACACCTCAGGAATCTCTTCGAGGCTTGGCAGGGCCAAAGGGACGCTTCTCGAGGTGAGGCAGGGCACCCAAGGACCCTTTCCAGTAGCCACAGGTATTTTGGGATTCCTATCAGTATTCAAGAGGAGTCAGGCATCGTCACCTTTTGAAGCAATGAACTCCGCGTGACTCTCGAGGTGTCAGCGGGATGTGAGGCATTCCGTCAAAATGAGGCAGGGACCTAGGGCTTTCTCTAAGGTCTCCACAGGGGATTCAGACATCCCTTCATGTTGTGAGATGAAAGACGAGCCTGTATTCAAGCCACTGCAAGGAAATCCGGCCTCCTTTCAAGTTAGGGCTTCTCGCTGTATATTCCCCTTGAGGCAGCAAACTCGGGGTCCCTCCCACATACCTATTGCTGAGAGAAGCCTCCTCCTGAGGTGCTTCTGGGAAGTTGGCATACGTCTTGAGCCTAAGCCAGGGAATCAGCTCGCATCTCGAGACGATTTGGGGTACACGGAGCATTCCTCGAGTTGCTGTGCTGAAGTTGGTGTTCCTCTAGACTTGGGACAGTGTTCTCGGGGCATCTCTGGAGTTGCCTGAAGGAAGTCGAGCCACCGGTCGTGTTGAATGGGGAACGGGGAATGGCTCTGGAGTCAATGCAGGGGAATCGGGCCTCATCTCGAGTTGATTTGGGGCACATGGAGCTGCTTTGCGTTGCTGTGGTGACCTCAGGGTCCGTCTAGACTGGTGACAGTGTTCTTGGGGACTGTCTCGAGATCCATTAAGCAAGTCGAAGCTCCTGACTTGTTTGAATGGGATCACGGAATAGCTCTGCATGCACTGCAGGGGAATGGAGCCTCATCTCGCCTCTAGGGGGAAGTCTCATTGTTTTTCTCGAGTTGCGGCGGGGACCTGGGGTATGTTCTCGACTTACGGCGGGGATGGCCCTTCAAAACACGAGTTTCTTCAGTGACGTCAGGACTCCTGTCTAGTAACGAGGGACACCTCAGGAATCTCTTCGAGGCTTGGCAGGGCCAAAGGGACGCTTCTCGAGGTGAGGCAGGGCACCCAAGGACCCTTTCCAGTAGCCACAGGGATTTTGGGATTCCTATCAGTATTCAAGAGGAGTCAGGCATCGTCACCTTTTGAAGCAATGAACTCCGCGTGCCTCTCGAGGTGTCAGCGGGATGTGAGGCATTCCGTCAAAATGAGGCAGGGACCTAGGGCTTTCTCTAAGGTCTCCACAGGGGATTCAGACATCCCTTCATGTTGTGAGATGAAAGACGAGCCTGTATTCAAGCCACTGCAAGGAAATCCGGCCTCCTTTCAAGTTAGGGCTTCTCGCTGTATATTCCCCTTGAGGCAGCAAACTCAGGGTCCCTCCCACATACCTATTGCTGAGAGAAGCCTCCTCCTGAGGTGCTTCTGGGAAGTTGGCATACGTCTTGAGCCTAAGCCAGGGAATCAGCTCTCATCTCGAGACGATTTGGGGTACACGGAGCATTCCTCGAGTTGCTGTGCTGAAGTTGGTGTTCCTCTAGACTTGGGACAGTGTTCTCAGGGCATCTCTGGAGTTGCCTGAAGGAAGTCGAGCCACCGGTCGTGTTGAATGGGGAACGGGGAATGGCTCTGGAGTCAATGCAGGGGAATCGGGCCTCATCTCGAGTTGATTTGGGGCACATGGAGCTGCTTTGCGTTGCTGGGGTGACCTCAGGGTCTGTCTAGACTGGTGACAGTGTTCTTGGGGACTGTCTCGAGATCCATTAAGCAAGTCGAAGCTCCTGACTTGTTTGAATGGGATCACGGAATAGCTCTGCATGCACTGCAGGGGAATGGGGCCTCATCTTGCCTCTAGGGGGAAGTCTCATGGTTTTTCTTGAGTTGCGGCGGGGACCTGGGGTATGTTCTCGACTTACGGCGGGGATGGCCCTTCAAAACACAAGTTTCTTCAGTGACGTCAGGACTCCTGTCTAATAACGAGGGACACCTCAGGAATCTCTTCGAGGCTTGGCAGGGCCAAAGGGACGCTTCTCGAGGTGAGGCAGGGCACCCAAGGACCCTTTCCAGTAGCCACAGGGATTTTGGGATTCCTATCAGTATTCAAGAGGAGTCAGGCATCGTCACCTTTTGAAGCAATGAACTCCGCGTGACTCTCGAGGTGTCAGCGGGATGTGAGGCATTCCGTCAAAATGAGGCAGGGACCTAGGGCTTTCTCTAAGGTCTCCACAGGGCATTCAGACATCCCTTCATGTTGTGAGATGAAAGACGAGCCTGTATTCAAGCCACTGCAAGGAAATCCGGCCTCCTTTCAAGTTAGGGCTTCCCGCTGTATATTCCCCTTGAGGCAGCAAACTCGGGGTCCCTCCCACATACCTATTGCTGAGAGAAGCCTCCTCCTGAGGTGCTTCTGGGAAGTTGGCATACGTCTTGAGCCTAAGCCAGGGAATCAGCTCGCATCTCGAGACGATTTGGGGTACACGGAGCATTCCTCGAGTTGCTGTGCTGAAGTTGGTGTTCCTCTGGACTTGGGACAGTGTTCTCGGGGCATCTCTGGAGTTGCCTGAAGGAAGTCGAGCCACCGGTCGTGTTGAATGGGGAACGGGGAATGGCTCTGGAGTCAATGCAGGGGAATCGGGCCTCATCTCGAGTTGATTTGGGGCACATGGAGCTGCTTTGCGTTGCTGGGGTGACCTCAGGGTCCGTCTAGACTGGTGACAGTGTTCTTGGGGACTGTCTCGAGATCCATTAAGCAAGTCGAAGCTCCTGACTTGTTTGAATGGGATCATGGAATAGCTCTGCATGCACTGCAGGGGAATGGGGCCTCATCTCGCCTCTAGGGGGAAGTCTCATGGTTTTTCTCGAGTTGAGGCGGGGACCTGGGGTATGTTCTCGACTTACGGCGGGGATGGCCCTTCAAAACACGAGTTTCTTCAGTGACGTCAGGACTCCTGTCTAGTAACGAGGGACACCTCAGGAATCTCTTCGAGGCTTGGCAGGGCCAAAGGGACGCTTCTCGAGGTGAGGCAGGGCACCCAAGGACCCTTTCCAGTAGCCACAGGGATTTTGGGATTCCTATCAGTATTCAAGAGGAGTCAGGCATCGTCACCTTTTGAAGCAATGAACTCCGCGTGCCTCTCGAGGTGTCAGCGGGATGTGAGGCATTCCGTCAAAATGAGGCAGGGACCTAGGGCTTTCTCTAAGGTCTCCACAGGGGATTCAGACATCCCTTCATGTTGTGAGATGAAAGACGAGCCTGTATTCAAGCCACTGCAAGGAAATCCGGCCTCCTTTCAAGTTAGGGCTTCTCGCTGTATATTCCCCTTGAGGCAGCAAACTCGGGGTCCCTCCCACATACCTATTGCTGAGAGAAGCCTCCTCCTGAGGTGCTTCTGGGAAGTTGGCATACGTCTTGAGCCTAAGCCAGGGAATCAGCTCGCATCTCGAGACGATTTGGGGTACACGGAGCATTCCTCGAGTTGCTGTGCTGAAGTTGGTGTTCCTCTAGACTTGGGACAGTGTTCTCGGGGCATCTCTGGAGTTGCCTGAAGGAAGTCGAGCCACCGGTCGTGTTGAATGGGGAACGGGGAATGGCTCTGGAGTCAATGCAGGGGAATCGGGCCTCATCTCGAGTTGATTTGGGGCACATGGAGCTGCTTTGCGTTGCTGGGGTGACCTCAGGGTCCGTCTAGACTGGTGACAGTGTTCTTGGGGACTGTCTCGAGATCCATTAAGCAAGTCGAAGCTCCTGACTTGTTTGAATGGGATCACGGAATAGCTCTGCATGCACTGCAGGGGAATGGGGCCTCATCTCGCCTCTAGGGGGAAGTCTCATGGTTTTTCTCGAGTTGCGGCGGGGACCTGGGGTATGTTCTCGACTTACGGCGGGGATGGCCCTTCAAAACACGAGTTTCTTCAGTGACGTCAGGACTCCTGTCTAGTAACGAGGGACACCTCAGGAATCTCTTCGAGGCTTGGCAGGGCCAAAGGGAGGCTTCTCAAGGTGAGGCAGGGCACCCAAGGACCCTTTCCAGTAGCCACAGGGATTTTGGGATTCCTATCAGTATTCAAGAGGAGTCAGGCATCGTCACCTTTTGAAGCAATGAACTCCGCGTGCCTCTCGAGGTGTCAGCGGGATGTGAGGCATTCCGTCAAAATGAGGCAGGGACCTAGGGCTTTCTCTAAGGTCTCCACAGGGGATTCAGACATCCCTTCATGTTGTGAGATGAAAGACGAGCCTGTATTCAAGCCACTGCAAGGAAATCCGGCCTCCTTTCAAGTTAGGGCTTCTCGCTGTATATTCCCCTTGAGGCAGCAAACTCGGGGTCCCTCCCACATACCTATTGCTGAGAGAAGCCTCCTCCTGAGGTGCTTCTGGGAAGTTGGCATACGTCTTGAGCCTAAGCCAGGGAATCAGCTCGCATCTCGAGACGATTTGGGGTACACGGAGCATTCCTCGAGTTGCTGTGCTGAAGTTGGTGTTCCTCTAGACTTGGGACAGTGTTCTCGGGGCATCTCTGGAGTTGCCTGAAGGAAGTCGAGCCACCGGTCGTGTTGAATGGGGAACGGGGAATGGCTCTGGAGTCAATGCAGGGGAATCGGGCCTCATCTCGAGTTGATTTGGGGCACATGGAGCTGCTTTGCGTTGCTGGGGTGACCTCAGGGTCCGTCTAGACTGGTGACAGTGTTCTTGGGGACTGTCTCGAGATCCATTAAGCAAGTCGAAGCTCCTGACTTGTTTGAATGGGGTCACGGAATAGCTCTGCATGCACTGCAGGGGAATGGGGCCTCATCTCGCCTCTAGGGGGAAGTCTCATGGTTTTTCTCGAGTTGCGGCGGGGACCTGGGGTATGTTCTCGACTTACGGCGGGGATGGCCCTTCAAAACACGAGTTTCTTCAGTGACGTCAGGACTCCTGTCTAGTAACGAGGGACACCTCAGGAATCTCTTCGAGGCTTGGCAGGGCCAAAGGGACGCTTCTCGAGGTGAGGCAGGGCACCCAAGGACCCTTTCCAGTAGCCACAGGGATTTTGGGATTCCTATCAGTATTCAAGAGGAGTCAGGCATCGTCACCTTTTGAAGCAATGAACTCCGCGTGCCTCTCGAGGTGTCAGCGGGATGTGAGGCATTCCGTCAAAATGAGGCAGGGACCTAGGGCTTTCTCTAAGGTCTCCACAGGGGATTCAGACATCCCTTCATGTTGTGAGATGAAAGACGAGCCTGTATTCAAGCCACTGCAAGGAAATCCGGCCTCCTTTCAAGTTAGGGCTTCTCGCTGTATATTCCCCTTGAGGCAGCAAACTCGGGGTCCCTCCCACATACCTATTGCTGAGAGAAGCCTCCTCCTGAGGTGCTTCTGGGAAGTTGGCATACGTCTTGAGCCTAAGGCAGGGAATCAGCTCGCATCTCGAGACGATTTGGGGTACACGGAGCATTCCTCGAGTTGCTGTGCTGAAGTTGGTGTTCCTCTAGACTTGGGACAGTGTTCTCGGGGCATCTCTGGAGTTGCCTGAAGGAAGTCGAGCCACCGGTCGTGTTGAATGGGGAACGGGGAATGGCTCTGGAGTCAATGCAGGGGAATCGGGCCTCATCTCGAGTTGATTTGGGGCACATGGAGCTGCTTTGCGTTGCTGGGGTGACCTCAGGGTCCGTCTAGACTGGTGACAGTGTTCTTGGGGACTGTCTCGAGATCCATTAAGCAAGTCGAAGCTCCTGACTTGTTTGAATGGGGTCACGGAATAGCTCTGCATGCACTGCAGGGGAATGGGGCCTCATCTCGCCTCTAGGGGGAAGTCTCATGGTTTTTCTCGAGTTGCGGCGGGGACCTGGGGTATGTTCTCGACTTACGGCGGGGATGGCCCTTCAAAACACGAGTTTCTTCAGTGACGTCAGGACTCCTGTCTAGTAACGAGGGACACCTCAGGAATCTCTTCGAGGCTTGGCAGGGCCAAAGGGACGCTTCTCGAGGTGAGGCAGGGCACCCAAGGACCCTTTCCAGTAGCCACAGGGATTTTGGGATTCCTATCAGTATTCAAGAGGAGTCAGGCATCGTCACCTTTTGAAGCAATGAACTCCGCGTGCCTCTCGAGGTGTCAGCGGGATGTGAGGCATTCCGTCAAAATGAGGCAGGGACCTAGGGCTTTCTCTAAGGTCTCCACAGGGGATTCAGACATCCCTTCATGTTGTGAGATGAAAGACGAGCCTGTATTCAAGCCACTGCAAGGAAATCCGGCCTCCTTTCAAGTTAGGGCTTCTCGCTGTATATTCCCCTTGAGGCAGCAAACTCGGGGTCCCTCCCACATACCTATTGCTGAGAGAAGCCTCCTCCTGAGGTGCTTCTGGGAAGTTGGCATACGTCTTGAGCCTAAGGCAGGGAATCAGCTCGCATCTCGAGACGATTTGGGGTACACGGAGCATTCCTCGAGTTGCTGTGCTGAAGTTGGTGTTCCTCTAGACTTGGGACAGTGTTCTCGGGGCATCTCTGGAGTTGCCTGAAGGAAGTCGAGCCACCGGTCGTGTTGAATGGGGAACGGGGAATGGCTCTGGAGTCAATGCAGGGGAATCGGGCCTCATCTCGAGTTGATTTGGGGCACATGGAGCTGCTTTGCGTTGCTGGGGTGACCTCAGGGTCCGTCTAGACTGGTGACAGTGTTCTTGGGGACTGTCTCGAGATCCATTAAGCAAGTCGAAGCTCCTGACTTGTTTGAATGGGGTCACGGAATAGCTCTGCATGCACTGCAGGGGAATGGGGCCTCATCTCGCCTCTAGGGGGAAGTCTCATGGTTTTTCTCGAGTTGCGGCGGGGACCTGGGGTATGTTCTCGACTTACGGCGGGGATGGCCCTTCAAAACACGAGTTTCTTCAGTGACGTCAGGACTCCTGTCTAGTAACGAGGGACACCTCAGGAATCTCTTCGAGGCTTGGCAGGGCCAAAGGGACGCTTCTCGAGGTGAGGCAGGGCACCCAAGGACCCTTTCCAGTAGCCACAGGGATTTTGGGATTCCTATCAGTATTCAAGAGGAGTCAGGCATCGTCACCTTTTGAAGCAATGAACTCCGCGTGCCTCTCGAGGTGTCAGCGGGATGTGAGGCATTCCGTCAAAATGAGGCAGGGACCTAGGGCTTTCTCTAAGGTCTCCACAGGGGATTCAGACATCCCTTCATGTTGTGAGATGAAAGACGAGCCTGTATTCAAGCCACTGCAAGGAAATCCGGCCTCCTTTCAAGTTAGGGCTTCTCGCTGTATATTCCCCTTGAGGCAGCAAACTCGGGGTCCCTCCCACATACCTATTGCTGAGAGAAGCCTCCTCCTGAGGTGCTTCTGGGAAGTTGGCATACGTCTTGAGCCTAAGGCAGGGAATCAGCTCGCATCTCGAGACGATTTGGGGTACACAGAGCATTCCTCGAGTTGCTGTGCTGAAGTTGGTGTTCCTCTAGACTTGGGACAGTGTTCTCGGGGCATCTCTGGAGTTGCCTGAAGGAAGTCGAGCCACCGGTCGTGTTGAATGGGGAACGGGGAATGGCTCTGGAGTCAATGCAGGGGAATCGGGCCTCATCTCGAGTTGATTTGGGGCACATGGAGCTGCTTTGCGTTGCTGGGGTGACCTCAGGGTCCGTCTAGACTGGTGACAGTGTTCTTGGGGACTGTCTCGAGATCCATTAAGCAAGTCGAAGCTCCTGACTTGTTTGAATGGGGTCACGGAATAGCTCTGCATGCACTGCAGGGGAATGGGGCCTCATCTCGCCTCTATTGGGAAGTCTCATGGTTTTTCTCGAGTTGCGGCGGGGACCTGGGGTATGTTCTCGACTTACGGCGGGGATGGCCCTTCAAAACACGAGTTTCTTCAGTGACGTCAGGACTCCTGTCTAGTAACGAGGGACACCTCAGGAATCTCTTCGAGGCTTGGCAGGGCCAAAGGGACGCTTCTCGAGGTGAGGCAGGGCACCCAAGGACCCTTTCCAGTAGCCACAGGGATTTTGGGATTCCTATCAGTATTCAAGAGGAGTCAGGCATCGTCACCTTTTGAAGCAATGAACTCCGCGTGACTCTCGAGGTGTCAGCGGGATGTGAGGCATTCCGTCAAAATGAGGCAGGGACCTAGGGCTTTCTCTAAGGTCTCCACAGGGGATTCAGACATCCCTTCATGTTGTGAGATGAAAGACGAGCCTGTATTCAAGCCACTGCAAGGAAATCCGGCCTCCTTTCAAGTTAGGGCTTCTCGCTGTATATTCCCCTTGAGGCAGCAAACTCGGGGTCCCTCCCACATACCTATTGCTGAGAGAAGCCTCCTCCTGAGGTGCTTCTGGGAAGTTGGCATACGTCTTGAGCCTAAGCCAGGGAATCAGCTCACATCTCGAGACGATTTGGGGTACACGGAGCATTCCTCGAGTTGCTGTGCTGAAGTTGGTGTTCCTCTAGACTTGGGACAGTGTTCTCGGGGCATCTCTGGAGTTGCCTGAAGGAAGTCGAGCCACCGGTCGTGTTGAATGGGGAACGGGGAATGGCTCTGGAGTCAATGCAGGGGAATCGGGCCTCATCTCGAGTTGATTTGGGGCACATGGAGCTGCTTTGCGTTGCTGGGGTGACCTCAGGGTCCGTCTAGACTGGTGACAGTGTTCTTGGGGACTGTCTCGAGATCCATTAAGCAAGTCGAAGCTCCTGACTTGTTTGAATGGGGTCACGGAATAGCTCTGCATGCACTGCAGGGGAATGGGGCCTCATCTCGCCTCTAGGGGGAAGTCTCATGGTTTTTCTCGAGTTGCGGCGGGGACCTGGGGTATGTTCTCGACTTACGGCGGGGATGGCCCTTCAAAACACGACTTTCTTCAGTGACGTCAGGACTCCTGTCTAGTAACGAGGGACACCTCAGGAATCTCTTCGAGGCTTGGCAGGGCCAAAGGGACGCTTCTCGAGGTGAGGCAGGGCACCCAAGGACCCTTTCCAGTAGCCACAGGGATTTTGGGATTCCTATCAGTATTCAAGAGGAGTCAGGCATCGTCACCTTTTGAAGCAATGAACTCCGCGTGCCTCTCGAGGTGTCAGCGGGATGTGAGGCATTCCGTCAAAATGAGGCAGGGACCTAGGGCTTTCTCTAAGGTCTCCACAGGGGATTCAGACATCCCTTCATGTTGTGAGATGAAAGACGAGCCTGTATTCAAGCCACTGCAAGGAAATCCGGCCTCCTTTCAAGTTAGGGCTTCTCGCTGTATATTCCCCTTGAGGCAGCACACTCGGGGTCCCTCCCACATACCTATTGCTGAGAGAAGCCCCCTCCTGAGGTGCTGCTGGGAAGTTGGCATACGTCTTGAGCCTAAGCCAGGGAATCAGCTCGCATCTCGAGACGATTTGGGGTACACGGAGCATTCCTCGAGTTGCTGTGCTGAAGTTGGTGTTCCTCTAGACTTGGGACAGTGTTCTCGGGGCATCTCTGGAGTTGCCTGAAGGAAGTCGAGCCACCGGTCGTGTTGAATGGGGAACGGGGAATGGCTCTGGAGTCAATGCAGGGGAATCGGGCCTCATCTCGAGTTGATTTGGGGCACATGGAGCTGCTTTGCGTTGCTGGGGTGACCTCAGGGTCCGTCTAGACTGGTGACAGTGTTCTTGGGGACTGTCTCGAGATCCATTAAGCAAGTCGAAGCTCCTGACTTGTTTGAATGGGGTCACGGAATAGCTCTGCATGCACTGCAGGGGAATGGGGCCTCATCTCGCCTCTAGGGGGAAGTCTCATGGTTTTTCTCGAGTTGCGGCGGGGACCTGGGGTATGTTCTCGACTTACGGCGGGGATGGCCCTTCAAAACACGAGTTTCTTCAGTGACGTCAGGACTCCTGTCTAGTAACGAGGGACATCTCAGGAAACTCTTCGAGGCTTGGCAGGGCCCAAGGGACGCTTCTCGAGGTGAGGCAGGGCACCCAAGGACCCTTTCCAGTAGCCACAGGGATTTTGGGATTCCTATCAGTATTCAAGAGGAGTCAGGCATCGTCACCTTTTGAAGCAATGAACTCCGCGTGCCTCTCGAGGTGTCAGCGGGATGTGAGGCATTCCGTCAAAATGAGGCAGGGACCTAGGGCTTTCTCTAAGGTCTCCACAGGGGATTCAGACATCCCTTCATGTTGTGAGATGAAAGACGAGCCTGTATTCAAGCCACTGCAAGGAAATCCGGCCTCCTTTCAAGTTAGGGCTTCTCGCTGTATATTCCCCTTGAGGCAGCAAACTCGGGGTCCCTCCCACATACCTAATGCTGAGAGAAGCCTCCTCCTGAGGTGCTTCTGGGAAGTTGGCATACGTCTTGAGCCTAAGCCAGGGAATCAGCTCGCATCTCGAGACGATTTGGGGTACACGGAGCATTCCTCGAGTTGCTGTGCTGAAGTTGGTGTTCCTCTAGACTTGGGACAGTGTTCTCGGGGCATCTCTGGAGTTGCCTGAAGGAAGTCGAGCCACCGGTCGTGTTGAATGGGGAACGGGGAATGGCTCTGGAGTCAATGCAGGGGAATCGGGCCTCATCTCGAGTTGATTTGGGGCACATGGAGCTGCTTTGCGTTGCTGGGGTGACCTCAGGGTCCGTCTAGACTGGTGACAGTGTTCTTGGGGACTGTCTCGAGATCCATTAAGCAAGTCGAAGCTCCTGACTTGTTTGAATGGGGTCACGGAATAGCTCTGCATGCACTGCAGGGGAATGGGGCCTCATCTCGCCTCTAGGGGGAAGTCTCATGGTTTTTCTCGAGTTGCGGCGGGGACCTGGGGTATGTTCTCGACTTACGGCGGGGATGGCCCTTCAAAACACGAGTTTCTTCAGTGACGTCAGGACTCCTGTCTAGTAACGAGGGACACCTCAGGAATCTCTTCGAGGCTTGGCAGGGCCAAAGGGACGCTTCTCGAGGTGAGGCAGGGCACCCAAGGACCCTTTCCAGTAGCCACAGGGATTTTGGGATTCCTATCAGTATTCAAGAGGAGTCAGGCATCGTCACCTTTTGAAGCAATGAACTCCGCGTGCCTCTCGAGGTGTCAGCGGGATGTGAGGCATTCCGTCAAAATGAGGCAGGGACCTAGGGCTTTCTCTAAGGTCTCCACAGGGGATTCAGACATCCCTTCATGTTGTGAGATGAAAGACGAGCCTGTATTCAAGCCACTGCAAGGAAATCCGGCCTCCTTTCAAGTTAGGGCTTCTCGCTGTATATTCCCCTTGAGGCAGCAAACTCGGGGTCCCTCCCACATACCTATTGCTGAGAGAAGCCTCCTCCTGAGGTGCTTCTGGGAAGTTGGCATACGTCTTGAGCCTAAGCCAGGGAATCAGCTCGCATCTCGAGACGATTTGGGGTACACGGAGCATTCCTCGAGTTGCTGTGCTGAAGTTGGTGTTCCTCTAGACTTGGGACAGTGTTCTCGGGGCATCTCTGGAGTTGCCTGAAGGAAGTCGAGCCACCGGTCGTGTTGAATGGGGAACGGGGAATGGCTCTGGAGTCAATGCAGGGGAATCGGGCCTCATCTCGAGTTGATTTGGGGCACATGGAGCTGCTTTGCGTTGCTGGGGTGACCTCAGGGTCCGTCTAGACTGGTGACAGTGTTCTTGGGGACTGTCTCGAGATCCATTAAGCAAGTCGAAGCTCCTGACTTGTTTGAATGGGATCACGGAATAGCTCTGCATGCACTGCAGGGGAATGGGGCCTCATCTCGCCTCTAGGGGGAAGTCTCATGGTTTTTCTCGAGTTGCGGCGGGGACCTGGGGTATGTTCTCGACTTACGGCGGGGATGGCCCTTCAAAACACGAGTTTCTTCAGTGACGTCAGGACTCCTGTCTAGTAACGAGGGACACCTCAGGAATCTCTTCGAGGCTTGGCAGGGCCAAAGGGAGGCTTCTCAAGGTGAGGCAGGGCACCCAAGGACCCTTTCCAGTTGCCACAGGGATTTTGGGATTCCTATCAGTATTCAAGAGGAGTCAGGCATCGTCACCTTTTGAAGCAATGAACTCCGCGTGCCTCTCGAGGTGTCAGCGGGATGTGAGGCATTCCGTCAAAATGAGGCAGAGACCTAGGGCTTTCTCTAAGGTCTCCACAAGGGATTCAGACATCCCTTCATGTTGTGAGATGAAAGACGAGCCTGTATTCAAGCCACTGCAAGGAAATCCGGCCTCCTTTCAAGTTAGGGCTTCTCGCTGTATATTCCCCTTGAGGCAGCAAACTCGGGGTCCCTCCCACATACCTATTGCTGAGAGAAGCCTCCTCCTGAGGTGCTTCTGGGAAGTTGGCATACGTCTTGAGCCTAAGCCAGGGAATCAGCTCGCATCTCGAGACGATTTGGGGTACACGGAGCATTCCTCGAGTTGCTGTGCTGAAGTTGGTGTTCCTCTAGACTTGGGACAGTGTTCTCGGGGCATCTCTGGAGTTGCCTGAAGGAAGTCGAGCCACCGGTCGTGTTGAATGGGGAACGGGGAATGGCTCTGGAGTCAATGCAGGGGAATCGAGCCTCATCTCGAGTTGATTTGGGGCACATGGAGCTGCTTTGCGTTGCTGGGGTGACCTCAGGGTCCGTCTAGACTGGTGACAGTGTTCTTGGGGACTGTCTCGAGATCCATTAAGCAAGTCGAAGCTCCTGACTTGTTTGAATGGGATCACGGAATAGCTCTGCATGCACTGCAGGGGAATGGGGCCTCATCTCGCCTCTAGGGGGAAGTCTCATGGTTTTTCTCGAGTTGCGGCGGGGACCTGGGGTATGTTCTCGACTTACGGCGGGGATGGCCCTTCAAAACACGAGTTTCTTCAGTGACGTCAGGACTCCTGTCTAGTAACGAGGGACACCTCAGGAATCTCTTCGAGGCTTGGCAGGGCCAAAGGGACGCTTCTCGAGGTGAGGCAGGGCACCCAAGGACCCTTTCCAGTAGCCACAGGGATTTTGGGATTCCTATCAGTATTCAAGAGGAGTCAGGCATCGTCACCTTTTGAAGCAATGAACTCCGCGTGCCTCTCGAGGTGTCAGCGGGATGTGAGGCATTCCGTCAAAATGAGGCAGGGACCTAGGGCTTTCTCTAAGGTCTCCACAGGGGTTTCAGACATCCCTTCATGTTGTGAGATGAAAGACGAGCCTGTATTCAAGCCACTGCAAGGAAATCCGGCCTCCTTTCAAGTTAGGGCTTCTCGCTGTATATTCCCCTTGAGGCAGCAAACTCGGGGTCCCTCCCACATACCTATTGCTGAGAGAAGCCTCCTCCTGAGGTGCTTCTGGGAAGTTGGCATACGTCTTGAGCCTAAGCCAGGGAATCAGCTCGCATCTCGAGACGATTTGGGGTAGACAGAGCATTCCTCGAGTTGCTGTGCTGAAGTTGGTGTTCCTCTAGACTTGGGACAGTGTTCTCGGGGCATCTCTGGAGTTGCCTGAAGGAAGTCGAGCCACCGGTCGTGTTGAATGGGGAACGGGGAATGGCTCTGGAGTCAATGCAGGGGAATCGGGCCTCATCTCGAGTTGATTTGGGGCACATGGAGCTGCTTTGCGTTGCTGGGGTGACCTCAGGGTCCGTCTAGACTGGTGACAGTGTTCTTGGGGACTGTCTCGAGATCCATTAAGCAAGTCGAAGCTCCTGACTTGTTTGAATGGGGTCACGGAATAGCTCTGCATGCACTGCAGGGGAATGGGGCCTCATCTCGCCTCTAGGGGGAAGTCTCATGGTTTTTCTCGAGTTGCGGCGGGGACCTGGGGTATGTTCTCGACTTACGGCGGGGATGGCCCTTCAAAACACGAGTTTCTTCAGTGACGTCAGGACTCCTGTCTAGTAACGAGGGACACCTCAGGAATCTCTTCGAGGCTTGGCAGGGCCAAAGGGACGCTTCTCGAGGTGAGGCAGGGCACCCAAGGACCCTTTCCAGTAGCCACAGGGATTTTGGGATTCCTATCAGTATTCAAGAGGAGTCAGGCATCGTCACCTTTTGAAGCAATGAACTCCGCGTGCCTCTCGAGGTGTCAGCGGGATGTGAGGCATTCCGTCAAAATGAGGCAGGGACCTAGGGCTTTCTCTAAGGTCTCCACAGGGGATTCAGACATCCCTTCATGTTGTGAGATGAAAGACGAGCCTGTATTCAAGCCACTGCAAGGAAATCCGGCCTCCTTTCAAGTTAGGGCTTCTCGCTGTATATTCCCCTTGAGGCAGCAAACTCGGGGTCCCTCCCACATACCTATTGCTGAGAGAAGCCTCCTCCTGAGGTGCTTCTGGGAAGTTGGCATACGTCTTGAGCCTAAGCCAGGGAATCAGCTCGCATCTCGAGACGATTTGGGGTACACGGAGCATTCCTCGAGTTGCTGTGCTGAAGTTGGTGTTCCTCTAGACTTGGGACAGTGTTCTCGGGGCATCTCTGGAGTTGCCTGAAGGAAGTCGAGCCACCGGTCGTGTTGAATGGGGAACGGGGAATGGCTCTGGAGTCAATGCAGGGGAATCGGGCCTCATCTCGAGTTGATTTGGGGCACATGGAGCTGCTTTGCGTTGCTGGGGTGACCTCAGGGTCCGTCTAGACTGGTGACAGTGTTCTTGGGGACTGTCTCGAGATCCATTAAGCAAGTCGAAGCTCCTGACTTGTTTGAATGGGGTCACGGAATAGCTCTGCATGCACTGCAGGGGAATGGGGCCTCATCTCGCCTCTAGGGGGAAGTCTCATGGTTTTTCTCGAGTTGCGGCGGGGACCTGGGGTATGTTCTCGACTTACGGCGGGGATGGCCCTTCAAAACACGAGTTTCTTCAGTGACGTCAGGACTCCTGTCTAGTAACGAGGGACACCTCAGGAATCTCTTCGAGGCTTGGCAGGGCCAAAGGGACGCTTCTCGAGGTGAGGCAGGGCACCCAAGGACCCTTTCCAGTAGCCACAGGGATTTTGGGATTCCTATCAGTATTCAAGAGGAGTCAGGCATCGTCACCTTTTGAAGCAATGAACTCCGCGTGCCTCTCGAGGTGTCAGCGGGATGTGAGGCATTCCGTCAAAATGAGGCAGGGACCTAGGGCTTTCTCTAAGGTCTCCACAGGGGATTCAGACATCCCTTCATGTTGTGAGATGAAAGACGAGCCTGTATTCAAGCCACTGCAAGGAAATCCGGCCTCCTTTCAAGTTAGGGCTTCTCGCTGTATATTCCCCTTGAGGCAGCAAACTCGGGGTCCCTCCCACATACCTATTGCTGAGAGAAGCCTCCTCCTGAGGTGCTTCTGGGAAGTTGGCATACGTCTTGAGCCTAAGCCAGGGAATCAGCTCGCATCTCGAGACGATTTGGGGTACACGGAGCATTCCTCGAGTTGCTGTGCTGAAGTTGGTGTTCCTCTAGACTTGGGACAGTGTTCTCGGGGCATCTCTGGAGTTGCCTGAAGGAAGTCGAGCCACCGGTCGTGTTGAATGGGGAACGGGGAATGGCTCTGGAGTCAATGCAGGGGAATCGGGCCTCATCTCGAGTTGATTTGGGGCACATGGAGCTGCTTTGCGTTGCTGGGGTGACCTCAGGGTCCGTCTAGACTGGTGACAGTGTTCTTGGGGACTGTCTCGAGATCCATTAAGCAAGTCGAAGCTCCTGACTTGTTTGAATGGGGTCACGGAATAGCTCTGCATGCACTGCAGGGGAATGGGGCCTCATCTCGCCTCTAGGGGGAAGTCTCATGGTTTTTCTCGAGTTGCGGCGGGGACCTGGGGTATGTTCTCGACTTACGGCGGGGATGGCCCTTCAAAACACGAGTTTCTTCAGTGACGTCAGGACTCCTGTCTAGTAACGAGGGACACCTCAGGAATCTCTTCGAGGCTTGGCAGGGCCAAAGGGACGCTTCTCGAGGTGAGGCAGGGCACCCAAGGACCCTTTCCAGTAGCCACAGGGATTTTGGGATTCCTATCAGTATTCAAGAGGAGTCAGGCATCGTCACCTTTTGAAGCAATGAACTCCGCGTGCCTCTCGAGGTGTCAGCGGGATGTGAGGCATTCCGTCAAAATGAGGCAGGGACCTAGGGCTTTCTCTAAGGTCTCCACAGGGGATTCAGACATCCCTTCATGTTGTGAGATGAAAGACGAGCCTGTATTCAAGCCACTGCAAGGAAATCCGGCCTCCTTTCAAGTTAGGGCTTCTCGCTGTATATTCCCCTTGAGGCAGCACACTCGGGGTCCCTCCCACATACCTATTGCTGAGAGAAGCCCCCTCCTGAGGTGCTGCTGGGAAGTTGGCATACGTCTTGAGCCTAAGCCAGGGAATCAGCTCGCATCTCGAGACGATTTGGGGTACACGGAGCATTCCTCGAGTTGCTGTGCTGAAGTTGGTGTTCCTCTAGACTTGGGACAGTGTTCTCGGGGCATCTCTGGAGTTGCCTGAAGGAAGTCGAGCCACCGGTCGTGTTGAATGGGGAACGGGGAATGGCTCTGGAGTCAATGCAGGGGAATCGGGCCTCATCTCGAGTTGATTTGGGGCACATGGAGCTGCTTTGCGTTGCTGGGGTGACCTCAGGTTCCGTCTAGACTGGTGACAGTGTTCTTGGGGACTGTCTCGAGATCCATTAAGCAAGTCGAAGCTCCTGACTTGTTTGAATGGGGTCACGGAATAGCTCTGCATGCACTGCAGGGGAATGGGGCCTCATCTCGCCTCTAGGGGGAAGTCTCATGGTTTTTCTCGAGTTGCGGCGGGGACCTGGGGTATGTTCTCGACTTACGGCGGGGATGGCCCTTCAAAACACGACTTTCTTCAGTGACGTCAGGACTCCTGTCTAGTAACGAGGGACACCTCAGGAATCTCTTCGAGGCTTGGCAGGGCCAAAGGGACGCTTCTCGAGGTGAGGCAGGGCACCCAAGGACCCTTTCCAGTAGCCACAGGGATTTTGGGATTCCTATCAGTATTCAAGAGGAGTCAGGCATCGTCACCTTTTGAAGCAATGAACTCCGCGTGCCTCTCGAGGTGTCAGCGGGATGTGAGGCATTCCGTCAAAATGAGGCAGGGACCTAGGGCTTTCTCTAAGGTCTCCACAGGGGATTCAGACATCCCTTCATGTTGTGAGATGAAAGACGAGCCTGTATTCAAGCCACTGCAAGGAAATCCGGCCTCCTTTCAAGTTAGGGCTTCTCGCTGTATATTCCCCTTGAGGCAGCACACTCGGAGTCCCTCCCACATACCTATTGCTGAGAGAAGCCCCCTCCTGAGGTGCTGCTGGGAAGTTGGCATACGTCTTGAGCCTAAGCCAGGGAATCAGCTCGCATCTCGAGACGATTTGGGGTACACGGAGCATTCCTCGAGTTGCTGTGCTGAAGTTGGTGTTCCTCTAGACTTGGGACAGTGTTCTCGGGGCATCTCTGGAGTTGCCTGAAGGAAGTCGAGCCACCGGTCGTGTTGAATGGGGAACGGGGAATGGCTCTGGAGTCAATGCAGGGGAATCGGGCCTCATCTCGAGTTGATTTGGGGCACATGGAGCTGCTTTGCGTTGCTGGGGTGACCTCAGGGTCCGTCTAGACTGGTGACAGTGTTCTTGGGGACTGTCTCGAGATCCATTAAGCAAGTCGAAGCTCCTGACTTGTTTGAATGGGATCACGGAATAGCTCTGCATGCACTGCAGGGGAATGGGGCCTCATCTCGCCTCTAGGGGGAAGTCTCATGGTTTTTCTCGAGTTGCGGCGGGGACCTGGGGTATGTTCTCGACTTACGGCGGGGATGGCCCTTCAAAACACGAGTTTCTTCAGTGACGTCAGGACTCCTGTCTAGTAACGAGGGACACCTCAGGAATCTCTTCGAGGCTTGGCAGGGCCAAAGGGACGCTTCTCGAGGTGAGGCAGGGCACCCAAGGACCCTTTCCAGTAGCCACAGGGATTTTGGGATTCCTATCAGTATTCAAGAGGAGTCAGGCATCGTCACCTTTTGAAGCAATGAACTCCGCGTGCCTCTCGAGGTGTCAGCGGGATGTGAGGCATTCCGTCAAAATGAGGCAGGGACCTAGGGCTTTCTCTAAGGTCTCCACAGGGGATTCAGACATCCCTTCATGTTGTGAGATGAAAGACGAGCCTGTATTCAAGCCACTGCAAGGAAATCCGGCCTCCTTTCAAGTTAGGGCTTCTCGCTGTATATTCCCCTTGAGGCAGCAAACTCGGGGTCCCTCCCACATACCTATTGCTGAGAGAAGCCTCCTCCTGAGGTGCTTCTGGGAAGTTGGCATACGTCTTGAGCCTAAGCCAGGGAATCAGCTCGCATCTCGAGACGATTTGGGGTACACGGAGCATTCCTCGAGTTGCTGTGCTGAAGTTGGTGTTCCTCTAGACTTGGGACAGTGTTCTCGGGGCATCTCTGGAGTTGCCTGAAGGAAGTCGAGCCACCGGTCGTGTTGAATGGGGAACGGGGAATGGCTCTGGAGTCAATGCAGGGGAATCGGGCCTCATCTCGAGTTGATTTGGGGCACATGGAGCTGCTTTGCGTTGCTGGGGTGACCTCAGGGTCCGTCTAGACTGGTGACAGTGTTCTTGGGGACTGTCTCGAGATCCATTAAGCAAGTCGAAGCTCCTGACTTGTTTGAATGGGATCACGGAATAGCTCTGCATGCACTGCAGGGGAATGGAGCCTCATCTCGCCTCTAGGGGGAAGTCTCATTGTTTTTCTCGAGTTGCGGCGGGGACCTGGGGTATGTTCTCGACTTACGGCGGGGATGGCCCTTCAAAACACGAGTTTCTTCAGTGACGTCAGGACTCCTGTCTAGTAACGAGGGACACCTCAGGAATCTCTTCGAGGCTTGGCAGGGCCAAAGGGACGCTTCTCGAGGTGAGGCAGGGCACCCAAGGACCCTTTCCAGTAGCCACAGGGATTTTGGGATTCCTATCAGTATTCAAGAGGAGTCAGGCATCGTCACCTTTTGAAGCAATGAACTCCGCGTGCCTCTCGAGGTGTCAGCGGGATGTGAGGCATTCCGTCAAAATGAGGCAGGGACCTAGGGCTTTCTCTAAGGTCTCCACAGGGGATTCAGACATCCCTTCATGTTGTGAGATGAAAGACGAGCCTGTATTCAAGCCACTGCAAGGAAATCCGGCCTCCTTTCAAGTTAGGGCTTCTCGCTGTATATTCCCCTTGAGGCAGCAAACTCAGGGTCCCTCCCACATACCTATTGCTGAGAGAAGCCTCCTCCTGAGGTGCTTCTGGGAAGTTGGCATACGTCTTGAGCCTAAGCCAGGGAATCAGCTCTCATCTCGAGACGATTTGGGGTACACGGAGCATTCCTCGAGTTGCTGTGCTGAAGTTGGTGTTCCTCTAGACTTGGGACAGTGTTCTCAGGGCATCTCTGGAGTTGCCTGAAGGAAGTCGAGCCACCGGTCGTGTTGAATGGGGAACGGGGAATGGCTCTGGAGTCAATGCAGGGGAATCGGGCCTCATCTCGAGTTGATTTGGGGCACATGGAGCTGCTTTGCGTTGCTGGGGTGACCTCAGGGTCTGTCTAGACTGGTGACAGTGTTCTTGGGGACTGTCTCGAGATCCATTAAGCAAGTCGAAGCTCCTGACTTGTTTGAATGGGATCACGGAATAGCTCTGCATGCACTGCAGGGGAATGGGGCCTCATCTTGCCTCTAGGGGGAAGTCTCATGGTTTTTCTTGAGTTGCGGCGGGGACCTGGGGTATGTTCTCGACTTACGGCGGGGATGGCCCTTCAAAACACAAGTTTCTTCAGTGACGTCAGGACTCCTGTCTAATAACGAGGGACACCTCAGGAATCTCTTCGAGGCTTGGCAGGGCCAAAGGGACGCTTCTCGAGGTGAGGCAGGGCACCCAAGGACCCTTTCCAGTAGCCACAGGTATTTTGGGATTCCTATCAGTATTCAAGAGGAGTCAGGCATCGTCACCTTTTGAAGCAATGAACTCCGCGTGACTCTCGAGGTGTCAGCGGGATGTGAGGCATTCCGTCAAAATGAGGCAGGGACCTAGGGCTTTCTCTAAGGTCTCCACAGGGGATTCAGACATCCCTTCATGTTGTGAGATGAAAGACGAGCCTGTATTCAAGCCACTGCAAGGAAATCCGGCCTCCTTTCAAGTTAGGGCTTCCCGCTGTATATTCCCCTTGAGGCAGCAAACTCGGGGTCCCTCCCACATACCTATTGCTGAGAGAAGCCTCCTCCTGAGGTGCTTCTGGGAAGTTGGCATACGTCTTGAGCCTAAGCCAGGGAATCAGCTCGCATCTCGAGACGATTTGGGGTACACGGAGCATTCCTCGAGTTGCTGTGCTGAAGTTGGTGTTCCTCTGGACTTGGGACAGTGTTCTCGGGGCATCTCTGGAGTTGCCTGAAGGAAGTCGAGCCACCGGTCGTGTTGAATGGGGAACGGGGAATGGCTCTGGAGTCAATGCAGGGGAATCGGGCCTCATCTCGAGTTGATTTGGGGCACATGGAGCTGCTTTGCGTTGCTGGGGTGACCTCAGGGTCCGTCTAGACTGGTGACAGTGTTCTTGGGGACTGTCTCGAGATCCATTAAGCAAGTCGAAGCTCCTGACTTGTTTGAATGGGATCATGGAATAGCTCTGCATGCACTGCAGGGGAATGGGGCCTCATCTCGCCTCTAGGGGGAAGTCTCATGGTTTTTCTCGAGTTGAGGCGGGGACCTGGGGTATGTTCTCGACTTACGGCGGGGATGGCCCTTCAAAACACGAGTTTCTTCAGTGACGTCAGGACTCCTGTCTAGTAACGAGGGACACCTCAGGAATCTCTTCGAGGCTTGGCAGGGCCAAAGGGACGCTTCTCGAGGTGAGGCAGGGCACCCAAGGACCCTTTCCAGTAGCCACAGGGATTTTGGGATTCCTATCAGTATTCAAGAGGAGTCAGGCATCGTCAGCTTTTGAAGCAATGAACTCCGCGTGCCTCTCGAGGTGTGAGCGGGATGTGAGACATTCCGTCAAAATGAGGCAGGGACCTAGGGCTTTCTCTAAGGTCTCCACAGGGGATTCAGACATCCCTTCATGTTGTGAGATGAAAGACGAGCCTGTATTCAAGCCACTGCAAGGAAATCCGGCCTCCTTTCAAGTTAGGGCTTCTCGCTGTATATTCCCCTTGAGGCAGCACACTCGGGGTCCCTCCCACATACCTATTGCTGACAGAAGCCCCCTCCTGAGGTGCTGCTGGGAAGTTGGCATACGTCTTGAGCCTAAGCCAGGGAATCAGCTCGCATCTCGAGACGATTTGGGGTACACGGAGCATTCCTCGAGTTGCTGTGCTGAAGTTGGTGTTCCTCTAGACTTGGGACAGTGTTCTCGGGGCATCTCTGGAGTTGCCTGAAGGAAGTCGAGCCACCGGTCGTGTTGAATGGGGAACGGGGAATGGCTCTGGAGTCAATGCAGGGGAATCGGGCCTCATCTCGAGTTGATTTGGGGCACATGGAGCTGCTTTGCGTTGCTGGGGTGACCTCAGGGTCCGTCTAGACTGGTGACAGTGTTCTTGGGGACTGTCTCGAGATCCATTAAGCAAGTCGAAGCTCCTGACTTGTTTGAATGGGATCACGGAATAGCTCTGCATGCACTGCAGGGGAATGGGGCCTCATCTCGCCTCTAGGGGGAAGTCTCATGGTTTTTCTCGAGTTGCGGCGGGGACCTGGGGTATGTTCTCGACTTACGGCGGGGATGGCCCTTCAAAACACGAGTTTCTTCAGTGACGTCAGGACTCCTGTCTAGTAACGAGGGACACCTCAGGAATCTCTTCGAGGCTTGGCAGGGCCAAAGGGACGCTTCTCGAGGTGAGGCAGGGCACCCAAGGACCCTTTCCAGTAGCCACAGGGATTTTGGGATTCCTATCAGTATTCAAGAGGAGTCAGGCATCGTCACCTTTTGAAGCAATGAACTCCGCGTGCCTCTCGAGGTGTCAGCGGGATGTGAGGCATTCCGTCAAAATGAGGCAGGGACCTAGGGCTTTCTCTAAGGTCTCCACAGGGGATTCAGACATCCCTTCATGTTGTGAGATGAAAGACGAGCCTGTATTCAAGCCACTGCAAGGAAATCCGGCCTCCTTTCAAGTTAGGGCTTCTCGCTGTATATTCCCCTTGAGGCAGCAAACTCGGGGTCCCTCCCACATACCTATTGCTGAGAGAAGCCTCCTCCTGAGGTGCTTCTGGGAAGTTGGCATACGTCTTGAGCCTAAGCCAGGGAATCAGCTCGCATCTCGAGACGATTTGGGGTACACGGAGCATTCCTCGAGTTGCTGTGCTGAAGTTGGTGTTCCTCTAGACTTGGGACAGTGTTCTCGGGGCATCTCTGGAGTTGCCTGAAGGAAGTCGAGCCACCGGTCGTGTTGAATGGGGAACGGGGAATGGCTCTGGAGTCAATGCAGGGGAATCGGGCCTCATCTCGAGTTGATTTGGGGCACATGGAGCTGCTTTGCGTTGCTGGGGTGACCTCAGGGTCCGTCTAGACTGGTGACAGTGTTCTTGGGGACTGTCTCGAGATCCATTAAGCAAGTCGAAGCTCCTGACTTGTTTGAATGGGATCACGGAATAGCTCTGCATGCACTGCAGGGGAATGGGGCCTCATCTCGCCTCTAGGGGGAAGTCTCATGGTTTTTCTCGAGTTGCGGCGGGGACCTGGGGTATGTTCTCGACTTACGGCGGGGATGGCCCTTCAAAACACGAGTTTCTTCAGTGACGTCAGGACTCCTGTCTAGTAACGAGGGACACCTCAGGAATCTCTTCGAGGCTTGGCAGGGCCAAAGGGAGGCTTCTCAAGGTGAGGCAGGGCACCCAAGGACCCTTTCCAGTAGCCACAGGGATTTTGGGATTCCTATCAGTATTCAAGAGGAGTCAGGCATCGTCACCTTTTGAAGCAATGAACTCCGCGTGCCTCTCGAGGTGTCAGCGGGATGTGAGGCATTCCGTCAAAATGAGGCAGGGACCTAGGGCTTTCTCTAAGGTCTCCACAGGGGATTCAGACATCCCTTCATGTTGTGAGATGAAAGACGAGCCTGTATTCAAGCCACTGCAAGGAAATCCGGCCTCCTTTCAAGTTAGGGCTTCTCGCTGTATATTCCCCTTGAGGCAGCAAACTCGGGGTCCCTCCCACATACCTATTGCTGAGAGAAGCCTCCTCCTGAGGTGCTTCTGGGAAGTTGGCATACGTCTTGAGCCTAAGCCAGGGAATCAGCTCGCATCTCGAGACGATTTGGGGTACACGGAGCATTCCTCGAGTTGCTGTGCTGAAGTTGGTGTTCCTCTAGACTTGGGACAGTGTTCTCGGGGCATCTCTGGAGTTGCCTGAAGGAAGTCGAGCCACCGGTCGTGTTGAATGGGGAACGGGGAATGGCTCTGGAGTCAATGCAGGGGAATCGGGCCTCATCTCGAGTTGATTTGGGGCACATGGAGCTGCTTTGCGTTGCTGGGGTGACCTCAGGGTCCGTCTAGACTGGTGACAGTGTTCTTGGGGACTGTCTCGAGATCCATTAAGCAAGTCGAAGCTCCTGACTTGTTTGAATGGGGTCACGGAATAGCTCTGCATGCACTGCAGGGGAATGGGGCCTCATCTCGCCTCTAGGGGGAAGTCTCATGGTTTTTCTCGAGTTGCGGCGGGGACCTGGGGTATGTTCTCGACTTACGGCGGGGATGGCCCTTCAAAACACGAGTTTCTTCAGTGACGTCAGGACTCCTGTCTAGTAACGAGGGACACCTCAGGAATCTCTTCGAGGCTTGGCAGGGCCAAAGGGACGCTTCTCGAGGTGAGGCAGGGCACCCAAGGACCCTTTCCAGTAGCCACAGGGATTTTGGGATTCCTATCAGTATTCAAGAGGAGTCAGGCATCGTCACCTTTTGAAGCAATGAACTCCGCGTGCCTCTCGAGGTGTCAGCGGGATGTGAGGCATTCCGTCAAAATGAGGCAGGGACCTAGGGCTTTCTCTAAGGTCTCCACAGGGGATTCAGACATCCCTTCATGTTGTGAGATGAAAGACGAGCCTGTATTCAAGCCACTGCAAGGAAATCCGGCCTCCTTTCAAGTTAGGGCTTCTCGCTGTATATTCCCCTTGAGGCAGCAAACTCGGGGTCCCTCCCACATACCTATTGCTGAGAGAAGCCTCCTCCTGAGGTGCTTCTGGGAAGTTGGCATACGTCTTGAGCCTAAGGCAGGGAATCAGCTCGCATCTCGAGACGATTTGGGGTACACGGAGCATTCCTCGAGTTGCTGTGCTGAAGTTGGTGTTCCTCTAGACTTGGGACAGTGTTCTCGGGGCATCTCTGGAGTTGCCTGAAGGAAGTCGAGCCACCGGTCGTGTTGAATGGGGAACGGGGAATGGCTCTGGAGTCAATGCAGGGGAATCGGGCCTCATCTCGAGTTGATTTGGGGCACATGGAGCTGCTTTGCGTTGCTGGGGTGACCTCAGGGTCCGTCTAGACTGGTGACAGTGTTCTTGGGGACTGTCTCGAGATCCATTAAGCAAGTCGAAGCTCCTGACTTGTTTGAATGGGGTCACGGAATAGCTCTGCATGCACTGCAGGGGAATGGGGCCTCATCTCGCCTCTAGGGGGAAGTCTCATGGTTTTTCTCGAGTTGCGGCGGGGACCTGGGGTATGTTCTCGACTTACGGCGGGGATGGCCCTTCAAAACACGAGTTTCTTCAGTGACGTCAGGACTCCTGTCTAGTAACGAGGGACACCTCAGGAATCTCTTCGAGGCTTGGCAGGGCCAAAGGGACGCTTCTCGAGGTGAGGCAGGGCACCCAAGGACCCTTTCCAGTAGCCACAGGGATTTTGGGATTCCTATCAGTATTCAAGAGGAGTCAGGCATCGTCACCTTTTGAAGCAATGAACTCCGCGTGCCTCTCGAGGTGTCAGCGGGATGTGAGGCATTCCGTCAAAATGAGGCAGGGACCTAGGGCTTTCTCTAAGGTCTCCACAGGGGATTCAGACATCCCTTCATGTTGTGAGATGAAAGACGAGCCTGTATTCAAGCCACTGCAAGGAAATCCGGCCTCCTTTCAAGTTAGGGCTTCTCGCTGTATATTCCCCTTGAGGCAGCAAACTCGGGGTCCCTCCCACATACCTATTGCTGAGAGAAGCCTCCTCCTGAGGTGCTTCTGGGAAGTTGGCATACGTCTTGAGCCTAAGGCAGGGAATCAGCTCGCATCTCGAGACGATTTGGGGTACACGGAGCATTCCTCGAGTTGCTGTGCTGAAGTTGGTGTTCCTCTAGACTTGGGACAGTGTTCTCGGGGCATCTCTGGAGTTGCCTGAAGGAAGTCGAGCCACCGGTCGTGTTGAATGGGGAACGGGGAATGGCTCTGGAGTCAATGCAGGGGAATCGGGCCTCATCTCGAGTTGATTTGGGGCACATGGAGCTGCTTTGCGTTGCTGGGGTGACCTCAGGGTCCGTCTAGACTGGTGACAGTGTTCTTGGGGACTGTCTCGAGATCCATTAAGCAAGTCGAAGCTCCTGACTTGTTTGAATGGGGTCACGGAATAGCTCTGCATGCACTGCAGGGGAATGGGGCCTCATCTCGCCTCTAGGGGGAAGTCTCATGGTTTTTCTCGAGTTGCGGCGGGGACCTGGGGTATGTTCTCGACTTACGGCGGGGATGGCCCTTCAAAACACGAGTTTCTTCAGTGACGTCAGGACTCCTGTCTAGTAACGAGGGACACCTCAGGAATCTCTTCGAGGCTTGGCAGGGCCAAAGGGACGCTTCTCGAGGTGAGGCAGGGCACCCAAGGACCCTTTCCAGTAGCCACAGGGATTTTGGGATTCCTATCAGTATTCAAGAGGAGTCAGGCATCGTCACCTTTTGAAGCAATGAACTCCGCGTGCCTCTCGAGGTGTCAGCGGGATGTGAGGCATTCCGTCAAAATGAGGCAGGGACCTAGGGCTTTCTCTAAGGTCTCCACAGGGGATTCAGACATCCCTTCATGTTGTGAGATGAAAGACGAGCCTGTATTCAAGCCACTGCAAGGAAATCCGGCCTCCTTTCAAGTTAGGGCTTCTCGCTGTATATTCCCCTTGAGGCAGCAAACTCGGGGTCCCTCCCACATACCTATTGCTGAGAGAAGCCTCCTCCTGAGGTGCTTCTGGGAAGTTGGCATACGTCTTGAGCCTAAGGCAGGGAATCAGCTCGCATCTCGAGACGATTTGGGGTACACAGAGCATTCCTCGAGTTGCTGTGCTGAAGTTGGTGTTCCTCTAGACTTGGGACAGTGTTCTCGGGGCATCTCTGGAGTTGCCTGAAGGAAGTCGAGCCACCGGTCGTGTTGAATGGGGAACGGGGAATGGCTCTGGAGTCAATGCAGGGGAATCGGGCCTCATCTCGAGTTGATTTGGGGCACATGGAGCTGCTTTGCGTTGCTGGGGTGACCTCAGGGTCCGTCTAGACTGGTGACAGTGTTCTTGGGGACTGTCTCGAGATCCATTAAGCAAGTCGAAGCTCCTGACTTGTTTGAATGGGGTCACGGAATAGCTCTGCATGCACTGCAGGGGAATGGGGCCTCATCTCGCCTCTATTGGGAAGTCTCATGGTTTTTCTCGAGTTGCGGCGGGGACCTGGGGTATGTTCTCGACTTAGGGCGGGGATGGCCCTTCAAAACACGAGTTTCTTCAGTGACGTCAGGACTCCTGTCTAGTAACGAGGGACACCTCAGGAATCTCTTCGAGGCTTGGCAGGGCCAAAGGGACGCTTCTCGAGGTGAGGCAGGGCACCCAAGGACCCTTTCCAGTAGCCACAGGGATTTTGGGATTCCTATCAGTATTCAAGAGGAGTCAGGCATCGTCACCTTTTGAAGCAATGAACTCCGCGTGACTCTCGAGGTGTCAGCGGGATGTGAGGCATTCCGTCAAAATGAGGCAGGGACCTAGGGCTTTCTCTAAGGTCTCCACAGGGGATTCAGACATCCCTTCATGTTGTGAGATGAAAGACGAGCCTGTATTCAAGCCACTGCAAGGAAATCCGGCCTCCTTTCAAGTTAGGGCTTCTCGCTGTATATTCCCCTTGAGGCAGCAAACTCGGGGTCCCTCCCACATACCTATTGCTGAGAGAAGCCTCCTCCTGAGGTGCTTCTGGGAAGTTGGCATACGTCTTGAGCCTAAGCCAGGGAATCAGCTCACATCTCGAGACGATTTGGGGTACACGGAGCATTCCTCGAGTTGCTGTGCTGAAGTTGGTGTTCCTCTAGACTTGGGACAGTGTTCTCGGGGCATCTCTGGAGTTGCCTGAAGGAAGTCGAGCCACCGGTCGTGTTGAATGGGGAACGGGGAATGGCTCTGGAGTCAATGCAGGGGAATCGGGCCTCATCTCGAGTTGATTTGGGGCACATGGAGCTGCTTTGCGTTGCTGGGGTGACCTCAGGGTCCGTCTAGACTGGTGACAGTGTTCTTGGGGACTGTCTCGAGATCCATTAAGCAAGTCGAAGCTCCTGACTTGTTTGAATGGGGTCACGGAATAGCTCTGCATGCACTGCAGGGGAATGGGGCCTCATCTCGCCTCTAGGGGGAAGTCTCATGGTTTTTCTCGAGTTGCGGCGGGGACCTGGGGTATGTTCTCGACTTACGGCGGGGATGGCCCTTCAAAACACGACTTTCTTCAGTGACGTCAGGACTCCTGTCTAGTAACGAGGGACACCTCAGGAATCTCTTCGAGGCTTGGCAGGGCCAAAGGGACGCTTCTCGAGGTGAGGCAGGGCACCCAAGGACCCTTTCCAGTAGCCACAGGGATTTTGGGATTCCTATCAGTATTCAAGAGGAGTCAGGCATCGTCACCTTTTGAAGCAATGAACTCCGCGTGCCTCTCGAGGTGTCAGCGGGATGTGAGGCATTCCGTCAAAATGAGGCAGGGACCTAGGGCTTTCTCTAAGGTCTCCACAGGGGATTCAGACATCCCTTCATGTTGTGAGATGAAAGACGAGCCTGTATTCAAGCCACTGCAAGGAAATCCGGCCTCCTTTCAAGTTAGGGCTTCTCGCTGTATATTCCCCTTGAGGCAGCACACTCGGGGTCCCTCCCACATACCTATTGCTGAGAGAAGCCCCCTCCTGAGGTGCTGCTGGGAAGTTGGCATACGTCTTGAGCCTAAGCCAGGGAATCAGCTCGCATCTCGAGACGATTTGGGGTACACGGAGCATTCCTCGAGTTGCTGTGCTGAAGTTGGTGTTCCTCTAGACTTGGGACAGTGTTCTCGGGGCATCTCTGGAGTTGCCTGAAGGAAGTCGAGCCACCGGTCGTGTTGAATGGGGAACGGGGAATGGCTCTGGAGTCAATGCAGGGGAATCGGGCCTCATCTCGAGTTGATTTGGGGCACATGGAGCTGCTTTGCGTTGCTGGGGTGACCTCAGGGTCCGTCTAGACTGGTGACAGTGTTCTTGGGGACTGTCTCGAGATCCATTAAGCAAGTCGAAGCTCCTGACTTGTTTGAATGGGGTCACGGAATAGCTCTGCATGCACTGCAGGGGAATGGGGCCTCATCTCGCCTCTAGGGGGAAGTCTCATGGTTTTTCTCGAGTTGCGGCGGGGACCTGGGGTATGTTCTCGACTTACGGCGGGGATGGCCCTTCAAAACACGAGTTTCTTCAGTGACGTCAGGACTCCTGTCTAGTAACGAGGGACATCTCAGGAAACTCTTCGAGGCTTGGCAGGGCCCAAGGGACGCTTCTCGAGGTGAGGCAGGGCACCCAAGGACCCTTTCCAGTAGCCACAGGGATTTTGGGATTCCTATCAGTATTCAAGAGGAGTCAGGCATCGTCACCTTTTGAAGCAATGAACTCCGCGTGCCTCTCGAGGTGTCAGCGGGATGTGAGGCATTCCGTCAAAATGAGGCAGGGACCTAGGGCTTTCTCTAAGGTCTCCACAGGGGATTCAGACATCCCTTCATGTTGTGAGATGAAAGACGAGCCTGTATTCAAGCCACTGCAAGGAAATCCGGCCTCCTTTCAAGTTAGGGCTTCTCGCTGTATATTCCCCTTGAGGCAGCAAACTCGGGGTCCCTCCCACATACCTAATGCTGAGAGAAGCCTCCTCCTGAGGTGCTTCTGGGAAGTTGGCATACGTCTTGAGCCTAAGCCAGGGAATCAGCTCGCATCTCGAGACGATTTGGGGTACACGGAGCATTCCTCGAGTTGCTGTGCTGAAGTTGGTGTTCCTCTAGACTTGGGACAGTGTTCTCGGGGCATCTCTGGAGTTGCCTGAAGGAAGTCGAGCCACCGGTCGTGTTGAATGGGGAACGGGGAATGGCTCTGGAGTCAATGCAGGGGAATCGGGCCTCATCTCGAGTTGATTTGGGGCACATGGAGCTGCTTTGCGTTGCTGGGGTGACCTCAGGGTCCGTCTAGACTGGTGACAGTGTTCTTGGGGACTGTCTCGAGATCCATTAAGCAAGTCGAAGCTCCTGACTTGTTTGAATGGGGTCACGGAATAGCTCTGCATGCACTGCAGGGGAATGGGGCCTCATCTCGCCTCTAGGGGGAAGTCTCATGGTTTTTCTCGAGTTGCGGCGGGGACCTGGGGTATGTTCTCGACTTACGGCGGGGATGGCCCTTCAAAACACGAGTTTCTTCAGTGACGTCAGGACTCCTGTCTAGTAACGAGGGACACCTCAGGAATCTCTTCGAGGCTTGGCAGGGCCAAAGGGAAGCTTCTCGAGGTGAGGCAGGGCACCCAAGGACCCTTTCCAGTAGCCACAGGGATTTTGGGATTCCTATCAGTATTCAAGAGGAGTCAGGCATCGTCACCTTTTGAAGCAATGAACTCCGCGTGCCTCTCGAGGTGTCAGCGGGATGTGAGGCATTCCGTCAAAATGAGGCAGGGACCTAGGGCTTTCTCTAAGGTCTCCACAGGGGATTCAGACATCCCTTCATGTTGTGAGATGAAAGACGAGCCTGTATTCAAGCCACTGCAAGGAAATCCGGCCTCCTTTCAAGTTAGGGCTTCTCGCTGTATATTCCCCTTGAGGCAGCAAACTCGGGGTCCCTCCCACATACCTATTGCTGAGAGAAGCCTCCTCCTGAGGTGCTTCTGGGAAGTTGGCATACGTCTTGAGCCTAAGCCAGGGAATCAGCTCGCATCTCGAGACGATTTGGGGTACACGGAGCATTCCTCGAGTTGCTGTGCTGAAGTTGGTGTTCCTCTAGACTTGGGACAGTGTTCTCGGGGCATCTCTGGAGTTGCCTGAAGGAAGTCGAGCCACCGGTCGTGTTGAATGGGGAACGGGGAATGGCTCTGGAGTCAATGCAGGGGAATCGGGCCTCATCTCGAGTTGATTTGGGGCACATGGAGCTGCTTTGCGTTGCTGGGGTGACCTCAGGGTCCGTCTAGACTGGTGACAGTGTTCTTGGGGACTGTCTCGAGATCCATTAAGCAAGTCGAAGCTCCTGACTTGTTTGAATGGGATCACGGAATAGCTCTGCATGCACTGCAGGGGAATGGGGCCTCATCTCGCCTCTAGGGGGACGTCTCATGGTTTTTCTCGAGTTGCGGCGGGGACCTGGGGTATGTTCTCGACTTACGGCGGGGATGGCCCTTCAAAACACGAGTTTCTTCAGTGACGTCAGGACTCCTGTCTAGTAACGAGGGACACCTCAGGAATCTCTTCGAGGCTTGGCAGGGCCAAAGGGAGGCTTCTCAAGGTGAGGCAGGGCACCCAAGGACCCTTTCCAGTAGCCACAGGGATTTTGGGATTCCTATCAGTATTCAAGAGGAGTCAGGCATCGTCACCTTTTGAAGCAATGAACTCCGCGTGCCTCTCGAGGTGTCAGCGGGATGTGAGGCATTCCGTCAAAATGAGGCAGAGACCTAGGGCTTTCTCTAAGGTCTCCACAAGGGATTCAGACATCCCTTCATGTTGTGAGATGAAAGACGAGCCTGTATTCAAGCCACTGCAAGGAAATCCGGCCTCCTTTCAAGTTAGGGCTTCTCGCTGTATATTCCCCTTGAGGCAGCAAACTCGGGGTCCCTCCCACATACCTATTGCTGAGAGAAGCCTCCTCCTGAGGTGCTTCTGGGAAGTTGGCATACGTCTTGAGCCTAAGCCAGGGAATCAGCTCGCATCTCGAGACGATTTGGGGTACACGGAGCATTCCTCGAGTTGCTGTGCTGAAGTTGGTGTTCCTCTAGACTTGGGACAGTGTTCTCGGGGCATCTCTGGAGTTGCCTGAAGGAAGTCGAGCCACCGGTCGTGTTGAATGGGGAACGGGGAATGGCTCTGGAGTCAATGCAGGGGAATCGAGCCTCATCTCGAGTTGATTTGGGGCACATGGAGCTGCTTTGCGTTGCTGGGGTGACCTCAGGGTCCGTCTAGACTGGTGACAGTGTTCTTGGGGACTGTCTCGAGATCCATTAAGCAAGTCGAAGCTCCTGACTTGTTTGAATGGGATCACGGAATAGCTCTGCATGCACTGCAGGGGAATGGGGCCTCATCTCGCCTCTAGGGGGAAGTCTCATGGTTTTTCTCGAGTTGCGGCGGGGACCTGGGGTATGTTCTCGACTTACGGCGGGGATGGCCCTTCAAAACACGAGTTTCTTCAGTGACGTCAGGACTCCTGTCTAGTAACGAGGGACACCTCAGGAATCTCTTCGAGGCTTGGCAGGGCCAAAGGGACGCTTCTCGAGGTGAGGCAGGGCACCCAAGGACCCTTTCCAGTAGCCACAGGGATTTTGGGATTCCTATCAGTATTCAAGAGGAGTCAGGCATCGTCACCTTTTGAAGCAATGAACTCCGCGTGCCTCTCGAGGTGTCAGCGGGATGTGAGGCATTCCGTCAAAATGAGGCAGGGACCTAGGGCTTTCTCTAAGGTCTCCACAGGGGTTTCAGACATCCCTTCATGTTGTGAGATGAAAGACGAGCCTGTATTCAAGCCACTGCAAGGAAATCCGGCCTCCTTTCAAGTTAGGGCTTCTCGCTGTATATTCCCCTTGAGGCAGCAAACTCGGGGTCCCTCCCACATACCTATTGCTGAGAGAAGCCTCCTCCTGAGGTGCTTCTGGGAAGTTGGCATACGTCTTGAGCCTAAGCCAGGGAATCAGCTCGCATCTCGAGACGATTTGGGGTAGACAGAGCATTCCTCGAGTTGCTGTGCTGAAGTTGGTGTTCCTCTAGACTTGGGACAGTGTTCTCGGGGCATCTCTGGAGTTGCCTGAAGGAAGTCGAGCCACCGGTCGTGTTGAATGGGGAACGGGGAATGGCTCTGGAGTCAATGCAGGGGAATCGGGCCTCATCTCGAGTTGATTTGGGGCACATGGAGCTGCTTTGCGTTGCTGGGGTGACCTCAGGGTCCGTCTAGACTGGTGACAGTGTTCTTGGGGACTGTCTCGAGATCCATTAAGCAAGTCGAAGCTCCTGACTTGTTTGAATGGGGTCACGGAATAGCTCTGCATGCACTGCAGGGGAATGGGGCCTCATCTCGCCTCTAGGGGGAAGTCTCATGGTTTTTCTCGAGTTGCGGCGGGGACCTGGGGTATGTTCTCGACTTACGGCGGGGATGGCCCTTCAAAACACGAGTTTCTTCAGTGACGTCAGGACTCCTGTCTAGTAACGAGGGACACCTCAGGAATCTCTTCGAGGCTTGGCAGGGCCAAAGGGACGCTTCTCGAGGTGAGGCAGGGCACCCAAGGACCCTTTCCAGTAGCCACAGGGATTTTGGGATTCCTATCAGTATTCAAGAGGAGTCAGGCATCGTCACCTTTTGAAGCAATGAACTCCGCGTGCCTCTCGAGGTGTCAGCGGGATGTGAGGCATTCCGTCAAAATGAGGCAGGGACCTAGGGCTTTCTCTAAGGTCTCCACAGGGGATTCAGACATCCCTTCATGTTGTGAGATGAAAGACGAGCCTGTATTCAAGCCACTGCAAGGAAATCCGGCCTCCTTTCAAGTTAGGGCTTCTCGCTGTATATTCCCCTTGAGGCAGCAAACTCGGGGTCCCTCCCACATACCTATTGCTGAGAGAAGCCTCCTCCTGAGGTGCTTCTGGGAAGTTGGCATACGTCTTGAGCCTAAGGCAGGGAATCAGCTCGCATCTCGAGACGATTTGGGGTACACGGAGCATTCCTCGAGTTGCTGTGCTGAAGTTGGTGTTCCTCTAGACTTGGGACAGTGTTCTCGGGGCATCTCTGGAGTTGCCTGAAGGAAGTCGAGCCACCGGTCGTGTTGAATGGGGAACGGGGAATGGCTCTGGAGTCAATGCAGGGGAATCGGGCCTCATCTCGAGTTGATTTGGGGCACATGGAGCTGCTTTGCGTTGCTGGGGTGACATCAGGGTCCGTCTAGACTGGTGACAGTGTTCTTGGGGACTCTCTCGAGATCCATTAAGCAAGTCGAAGCTCCTGACTTGTTTGAATGGGGTCACGGAATAGCTCTGCATGCACTGCAGGGGAATGGGGCCTCATCTCGCCTCTAGGGGGAAGTCTCATGGTTTTTCTCGAGTTGCGGCGGGGACCTGGGGTATGTTCTCGACTTACGGCGGGGATGGCCCTTCAAAACACGAGTTTCTTCAGTGACGTCAGGACTCCTGTCTAGTAACGAGGGACACCTCAGGAATCTCTTCGAGGCTTGGCAGGGCCAAAGGGACGCTTCTCGAGGTGAGGCAGGGCACCCAAGGACCCTTTCCAGTAGCCACAGGGATTTTGGGATTCCTATCAGTATTCAAGAGGAGTCAGGCATCGTCACCTTTTGAAGCAATGAACTCCGCGTGCCTCTCGAGGTGTCAGCGGGATGTGAGGCATTCCGTCAAAATGAGGCAGGGACCTAGGGCTTTCTCTAAGGTCTCCACAGGGGATTCAGACATCCCTTCATGTTGTGAGATGAAAGACGAGCCTGTATTCAAGCCACTGCAAGGAAATCCGGCCTCCTTTCAAGTTAGGGCTTCTCACTGTATATTCCCCTTGAGGCAGCAAACTCGGGGTCCCTCCCACATACCTATTGCTGAGAGAAGCCTCCTCCTGAGGTGCTTCTGGGAAGTTGGCATACGTCTTGAGCCTAAGCCAGGGAATCAGCTCGCATCTCGAGACGATTTGGGGTACACGGAGCATTCCTCGAGTTGCTGTGCTGAAGTTGGTGTTCCTCTAGACTTGGGACAGTGTTCTCGGGGCATCTCTGGAGTTGCCTGAAGGAAGTCGAGCCACCGGTCGTGTTGAATGGGGAACGGGGAATGGCTCTGGAGTCAATGCAGGGGAATCGGGCCTCATCTCGAGTTGATTTGGGGCACATGGAGCTGCTTTGCGTTGCTGGGGTGACCTCAGGGTCCGTCTAGACTGGTGACAGTGTTCTTGGGGACTGTCTCGAGATCCATTAAGCAAGTCGAAGCTCCTGACTTGTTTGAATGGGGTCACGGAATAGCTCTGCATGCACTGCAGGGGAATGGGGCCTCATCTCGCCTCTAGGGGGAAGTCTCATGGTTTTTCTCGAGTTGCGGCGGGGACCTGGGGTATGTTCTCGACTTACGGCGGGGATGGCCCTTCAAAACACGACTTTCTTCAGTGACGTCAGGACTCCTGTCTAGTAACGAGGGACACCTCAGGAATCTCTTCGAGGCTTGGCAGGGCCAAAGGGACGCTTCTCGAGGTGAGGCAGGGCACCCAAGGACCCTTTCCAGTAGCCACAGGGATTTTGGGATTCCTATCAGTATTCAAGAGGAGTCAGGCATCGTCACCTTTTGAAGCAATGAACTCCGCGTGCCTCTCGAGGTGTCAGCGGGATGTGAGGCATTCCGTCAAAATGAGGCAGGGACCTAGGGCTTTCTCTAAGGTCTCCACAGGGGATTCAGACATCCCTTCATGTTGTGAGATGAAAGACGAGCCTGTATTCAAGCCACTGCAAGGAAATCCGGCCTCCTTTCAAGTTAGGGCTTCTCGCTGTATATTCCCCTTGAGGCAGCACACTCGGGGTCCCTCCCACATACCTATTGCTGAGAGAAGCCCCCTCCTGAGGTGCTGCTGGGAAGTTGGCATACGTCTTGAGCCTAAGCCAGGGAATCAGCTCGCATCTCGAGACGATTTGGGGTACACGGAGCATTCCTCGAGTTGCTGTGCTGAAGTTGGTGTTCCTCTAGACTTGGGACAGTGTTCTCGGGGCATCTCTGGAGTTGCCTGAAGGAAGTCGAGCCACCGGTCGTGTTGAATGGGGAACGGGGAATGGCTCTGGAGTCAATGCAGGGGAATCGGGCCTCATCTCGAGTTGATTTGGGGCACATGGAGCTGCTTTGCGTTGCTGGGGTGACCTCAGGTTCCGTCTAGACTGGTGACAGTGTTCTTGGGGACTGTCTCGAGATCCATTAAGCAAGTCGAAGCTCCTGACTTGTTTGAATGGGGTCACGGAATAGCTCTGCATGCACTGCAGGGGAATGGGGCCTCATCTCGCCTCTAGGGGGAAGTCTCATGGTTTTTCTCGAGTTGCGGCGGGGACCTGGGGTATGTTCTCGACTTACGGCGGGGATGGCCCTTCAAAACACGACTTTCTTCAGTGACGTCAGGACTCCTGTCTAGTAACGAGGGACACCTCAGGAATCTCTTCGAGGCTTGGCAGGGCCAAAGGGACGCTTCTCGAGGTGAGGCAGGGCACCCAAGGACCCTTTCCAGTAGCCACAGGGATTTTGGGATTCCTATCAGTATTCAAGAGGAGTCAGGCATCGTCACCTTTTGAAGCAATGAACTCCGCGTGCCTCTCGAGGTGTCAGCGGGATGTGAGGCATTCCGTCAAAATGAGGCAGGGACCTAGGGCTTTCTCTAAGGTCTCCACAGGGGATTCAGACATCCCTTCATGTTGTGAGATGAAAGACGAGCCTGTATTCAAGCCACTGCAAGGAAATCCGGCCTCCTTTCAAGTTAGGGCTTCTCGCTGTATATTCCCCTTGAGGCAGCACACTCGGAGTCCCTCCCACATACCTATTGCTGAGAGAAGCCCCCTCCTGAGGTGCTGCTGGGAAGTTGGCATACGTCTTGAGCCTAAGCCAGGGAATCAGCTCGCATCTCGAGACGATTTGGGGTACACGGAGCATTCCTCGAGTTGCTGTGCTGAAGTTGGTGTTCCTCTAGACTTGGGACAGTGTTCTCGGGGCATCTCTGGAGTTGCCTGAAGGAAGTCGAGCCACCGGTCGTGTTGAATGGGGAACGGGGAATGGCTCTGGAGTCAATGCAGGGGAATCGGGCCTCATCTCGAGTTGATTTGGGGCACATGGAGCTGCTTTGCGTTGCTGTGGTGACCTCAGGGTCCGTCTAGACTGGTGACAGTGTTCTTGGGGACTGTCTCGAGATCCATTAAGCAAGTCGAAGCTCCTGACTTGTTTGAATGGGGTCACGGAATAGCTCTGCATGCACTGCAGGGGAATGGGGCCTCATCTCGCCTCTAGGGGGAAGTCTCATGGTTTTTCTCGAGTTGCGGCGGGGACCTGGGGTATGTTCTCGACTTACGGCGGGGATGGCCCTTCAAAACACGAGTTTCTTCAGTGACGTCAGGACTCCTGTCTAGTAACGAGGGACACCTCAGGAAACTCTTCGAGGCTTGGCAGGGCCCAAGGGACGCTTCTCGAGGTGAGGCAGGGCACCCAAGGACCCTTTCCAGTAGCCACAGGGATTTTGGGATTCCTATCAGTATTCAAGAGGAGTCAGGCATCGTCACCTTTTGAAGCAATGAACTCCGCGTGCCTCTCGAGGTGTCAGCGGGATGTGAGGCATTCCGTCAAAATGAGGCAGGGACCTAGGGCTTTCTCTAAGGTCTCCACAGGGGATTCAGACATCCCTTCATGTTGTGAGATGAAAGACGAGCCTGTATTCAAGCCACTGCAAGGAAATCCGGCCTCCTTTCAAGTTAGGGCTTCTCGCTGTATATTCCCCTTGAGGCAGCAAACTCGGGGTCCCTCCCACATACCTATTGCTGAGAGAAGCCTCCTCCTGAGGTGCTTCTGGGAAGTTGGCATACGTCTTGAGCCTAAGGCAGGGAATCAGCTCGCATCTCGAGACGATTTGGGGTACACGGAGCATTCCTCGAGTTGCTGTGCTGAAGTTGGTGTTCCTCTAGACTTGGGACAGTGTTCTCGGGGCATCTCTGGAGTTGCCTGAAGGAAGTCGAGCCACCGGTCGTGTTGAATGGGGAACGGGGAATGGCTCTGGAGTCAATGCAGGGGAATCGGGCCTCATCTCGAGTTGATTTGGGGCACATGGAGCTGCTTTGCGTTGCTGGGGTGACCTCAGGGTCCGTCTAGACTGGTGACAGTGTTCTTGGGGACTGTCTCGAGATCCATTAAGCAAGTCGAAGCTCCTGACTTGTTTGAATGGGGTCACGGAATAGCTCTGCATGCACTGCAGGGGAATGGGGCCTCATCTCGCCTCTAGGGGGAAGTCTCATGGTTTTTCTCGAGTTGCGGCGGGGACCTGGGGTATGTTCTCGACTTACGGCGGGGATGGCCCTTCAAAACACGAGTTTCTTCAGTGACGTCAGGACTCCTGTCTAGTAACGAGGGACACCTCAGGAATCTCTTCGAGGCTTGGCAGGGCCAAAGGGACGCTTCTCGAGGTGAGGCAGGGCACCCAAGGACCCTTTCCAGTAGCCACAGGGATTTTGGGATTCCTATCAGTATTCAAGAGGAGTCAGGCATCGTCACCTTTTGAAGCAATGAACTCCGCGTGCCTCTCGAGGTGTCAGCGAAATGTGAGGCATTCCGTCAAAATGAGGCAGGGACCTAGGGCTTTCTCTAAGGTCTCCACAGGGGATTCAGACATCCCTTCATGTTGTGAGATGAAAGACGAGCCTGTATTCAAGCCACTGCAAGGAAATCCGGCCTCCTTTCTAGTTAGGGCTTCTCGCTGTATATTCCCCTTGAGGCAGCAAACTCGGGGTCCCTCCCACATACCTATTCCTGAGAGAAGCCTCCTCCTGAGGTGCTTCTGGGAAGTTGGCATACGTCTTGAGCCTAAGCCAGGGAATCAGCTCGCATCTCGAGACGATTTGGGGTACACGGAGCATTCCTCGAGTTGCTGTGCTGAAGTTGGTGTTCCTCTAGACTTGGGACAGTGTTCTCGGGGCATCTCTGGAGTTGCCTGAAGGAAGTCGAGCCACCGGTCGTGTTGAATGGGGAACGGGGAATGGCTCTGGAGTCAATGCAGGGGAATCGGGCCTCATCTCGAGTTGATTTGGGGCACATGGAGCTGCTTTGCGTTGCTGGGGTGACCTCAGGGTCCGTCTAGACTGGTGACAGTGTTCTTGGGGACTGTCTCGAGATCCATTAAGCAAGTCGAAGCTCCTGACTTGTTTGAATGGGGTCACGGAATAGCTCTGCATGCACTGCAGGGGAATGGGGCCTCATCTCGCCTCTAGGGGGAAGTCTCATGGTTTTTCTCGAGTTGCGGCCGGGACCTGGGGTATGTTCTCGACTTACGGCGGGGATGGCCCTTCAAAACACGACTTTCTTCAGTGACGTCAGGACTCCTGTCTAGTAACGAGGGACACCTCAGGAATCTCTTCGAGGCTTGGCAGGGCCAAAGGGACGCTTCTCGAGGTGAGGCAGGGCACCCAAGGACCCTTTCCAGTAGCCACAGGGATTTTGGGATTCCTATCAGTATTCAAGAGGAGTCAGGCATCGTCACCTTTTGAAGCAATGAACTCCGCGTGCCTCTCGAGGTGTCAGCGGGATGTGAGGCATTCCGTCAAAATGAGGCAGGGACCTAGGGCTTTCTCTAAGGTCTCCACAGGGGATTCAGACATCCCTTCATGTTGTGAGATGAAAGACGAGCCTGTATTCAAGCCACTGCAAGGAAATCCGGCCTCCTTTCAAGTTAGGGCTTCTCGCTGTATATTCCCCTTGAGGCAGCACACTCGGGGTCCCTCCCACATACCTATTGCTGAGAGAAGCCCCCTCCTGAGGTGCTGCTGGGAAGTTGGCATACGTCTTGAGCCTAAGCCAGGGAATCAGCTCGCATCTCGAGACGATTTGGGGTACACGGAGCATTCCTCGAGTTGCTGTGCTGAAGTTGGTGTTCCTCTAGACTTGGGACAGTGTTCTCGGGGCATCTCTGGAGTTGCCTGAAGGAAGTCGAGCCACCGGTCGTGTTGAATGGGGAACGGGGAATGGCTCTGGAGTCAATGCAGGGGAATCGGGCCTCATCTCGAGTTGATTTGGGGCACATGGAGCTGCTTTGCGTTGCTGGGGTGACCTCAGGTTCCGTCTAGACTGGTGACAGTGTTCTTGGGGACTGTCTAGAGATCCATTAAGCAAGTCGAAGCTCCTGACTTGTTTGAATGGGGTCACGGAATAGCTCTGCATGCACTGCAGGGGAATGGGGCCTCATCTCGCCTCTAGGGGGAAGTCTCATGGTTTTTCTCGAGTTGCGGCGGGGACCTGGGGTATGTTCTCGACTTACGGCGGGGATGGCCCTTCAAAACACGACTTTCTTCAGTGACGTCAGGACTCCTGTCTAGTAACGAGGGAAACCTCAGGAATCTCTTCGAGGCTTGGCAGGGCCAAAGGGACGCTTCTCGAGGTGAGGCAGGGCACCCAAGGACCCTTTCCAGTAGCCACAGGGATTTTGGGATTCCTATCAGTATTCAAGAGGAGTCAGGCATCGTCACCTTTTGAAGCAATGAACTCCGCGTGCCTCTCGAGGTGTCAGCGGGATGTGAGGCATTCCGTCAAAATGAGGCAGGGACCTAGGGCTTTCTCTAAGGTCTCCACAGGGGATTCAGACATCCCTTCATGTTGTGAGATGAAAGACGAGCCTGTATTCAAGCCACTGCAAGGAAATCCGGCCTCCTTTCAAGTTAGGGCTTCTCGCTGTATATTCCCCTTGAGGCAGCACACTCGGAGTCCCTCCCACATACCTATTGCTGAGAGAAGCCCCCTCCTGAGGTGCTGCTGGGAAGTTGGCATACGTCTTGAGCCTAAGCCAGGGAATCAGCTCGCATCTCGAGACGATTTGGGGTACACGGAGCATTCCTCGAGTTGCTGTGCTGAAGTTGGTGTTCCTCTAGACTTGGGACAGTGTTCTCGGGGCATCTCTGGAGTTGCCTGAAGGAAGTCGAGCCACCGGTCGTGTTGAATGGGGAACGGGGAATGGCTCTGGAGTCAATGCAGGGGAATCGGGCCTCATCTCGAGTTGATTTGGGGCACATGGAGCTGCTTTGCGTTGCTGTGGTGACCTCAGGGTCCGTCTAGACTGGTGACAGTGTTCTTGGGGACTGTCTCGAGATCCATTAAGCAAGTCGAAACTCCTGACTTGTTTGAATGGGGTCACGGAATAGCTCTGCATGCACTGCAGGGGAATGGGGCCTCATCTCGCCTCTAGGGGGAAGTCTCATGGTTTTTCTCGAGTTGCGGCGGGGACCTGGGGTATGTTCTCGACTTACGGCGGGGATGGCCCTTCAAAACACGAGTTTCTTCAGTGACGTCAGGACTCCTGTCTAGTAACGAGGGACACCTCAGGAAACTCTTCGAGGCTTGGCAGGGCCCAAGGGACGCTTCTCGAGGTGAGGCAGGGCACCCAAGGACCCTTTCCAGTAGCCACAGGGATTTTGGGATTCCTATCAGTATTCAAGAGGAGTCAGGCATCGTCACCTTTTGAAGCAATGAACTCCGCGTGCCTCTCGAGGTGTCAGCGGGATGTGAGGCATTCCGTCAAAATGAGGCAGGGACCTAGGGCTTTCTCTAAGGTCTCCACAGGGGATTCAGACATCCCTTCATGTTGTGAGATGAAAGACGAGCCTGTATTCAAGCCACTGCAAGGAAATCCGGCCTCGTTTCAAGTTAGGGCTTCTCGCTGTATATTCCCCTTGAGGCAGCAAACTCGGGGCCCCTCCCACATACCTATTGCTGAGAGAAGCCTCCTCCTGAGGTGCTTCTGGGAAGTTGGCATACGCCTTGAGCCTAAGCCAGGGAATCAGCTCTCATCTCGAGACGATTTGGGGTACACGGAGCATTCCTCGAGTTGCTGTGCTGAAGTTGGTGTTCCTCTAGACTTGGGACAGTGTTCTCGGGGCATCTCTGGAGTTGCCTGAAGGAAGTCGAGCCACCGGTCGTGTTGAATGGGGAACGGGGAATGGCTCTGGAGTCAATGCAGGGGAATCGGGCCTCATCTCGAGTTGATTTGGGGCACATGGAGCTGCTTTGCGTTGCTGGGGTGACCTCAGGGTCCGTCTAGACTGGTGACAGTGTTCTTGGGGACTGTCTCGAGATTCATTAAGCAAGTCGAAGCTCCTGACTTGTTTGAATGGGATCACGGAATAGCTCTGCATGCACTGCAGGGGAATGGAGCCTCATCTCGCCTCTAGGGGGAAGTCTCATGGTTTTTCTCGAGTTGCGGCGGGGACCTGGGGTATGTTCTCGACTTACGGCGGGGATGGCCCTTCAAAACACGAGTTTCTTCAGTGACGTCAGGACTCCTGTCTAGTAACGAGGGACACCTCAGGAATCTCTTCGAGGCTTGGCAGGGCCAAAGGGACGCTTCTCGAGGTGAGGCAGGGCACCCAAGGACCCTTTCCAGTAGCCACAGGGATTTTGGGATTCCTATCAGTATTCAAGAGGAGTCAGGCATCGTCACCTTTTGAAGCAATGAACTCCGCGTGCCTCTCGAGGTGTCAGCGGGATGTGAGGCATTCCGTCAAAATGAGGCAGGGACCTAGGGCTTTCTCTAAGGTCTCCACAGGGGATTCAGACATCCCTTCATGTTGTGAGATGAAAGACGAGCCTGTATTCAAGCCACTGCAAGGAAATCCGGCCTCCTTTCAAGTTAGGGCTTCTCGCTGTATATTCCCCTTGAGGCAGCAAACTCGGGGTCCCTCCCACATACCTATTGCTGAGAGAAGCCTCCTCCTGAGGTGCTTCTGGGAAGTTGGCATACGTCTTGAGCCTAAGCCAGGGAATCAGCTCTCATCTCGAGACGATTTGGGGTACACGGAGCATTCCTCGAGTTGCTGTGCTGAAGTTGGTGTTCCTCTAGACTTGGGACAGTGTTCTCGGGGCATCTCTGTAGTTGCCTGAAGGAAGTCGAGCCACCGGTCGTGTTGAATGGGGAACGGGGAATGGCTCTGGAGTCAATGCAGGGGAATCGGGCCTCATCTCGAGTTGATTTGGGGCACATGGAGCTGCTTTGCGTTGCTGGGGTGACCTCAGGGTCCGTCTAGACTGGTGACAGTGTTCTTGGGGACTGTCTCGAGATCCATTAAGCAAGTCGAAGCTCCTGACTTGTTTGAATGGGATCACGGAATAGCTCTGCATGCACTGCAGGGGAATGGGGCCTCATCTCGCCTCTAGGGGGAAGTCTCATGGTTTTTCTCGAGTTGCGGCGAGGACCTGGGGTATGTTCTCGACTTACGGCGGGGATGGCCCTTCAAAACACAAGTTTCTTCAGTGACGTCAGGACTCCTGTCTAATAACGAGGGACACCTCAGGAATCTCTTCGAGGCTTGGCAGGGCCAAAGGGACGCTTCTCGAGGTGAGGCAGGGCACCCAAGGACCCTTTCCAGTAGCCACAGGGATTTTGGGATTCCTATCAGTATTCAAGAGGAGTCAGGCATCGTCACCTTTTGAAGCAATGAACTCCGCGTGCCTCTCGAGGTGTCAGCGGGATGTGAGGCATTCCGTCAAAATGAGGCAGGGACCTAGGGCTTTCTCTAAGGTCTCCACAGGGGATTCAGACATCCCTTCATGTTGTGAGATGAAAGACGAGCCTGTATTCAAGCCACTGCAAGGAAATCCGGCCTCCTTTCAAGTTAGGGCTTCTCGCTGTATATTCCCCTTGAGGCAGCAAACTCGGGGTCCCTCCCACATACCTATTGCTGAGTGAAGCCTCCTCCTGAGGTGCTTCTGGGAAGTTGGCATACGTCTTGAGCCTAAGCCAGGGAATCAGCTCTCATCTCGAGACGATTTGGGGTACACGGAGCATTCCTCGAGTTGCTGTGCTGAAGTTGGTGTTCCTCTAGACTTGGGACAGTGTTCTCGGGGCATCTCTGGAGTTGCCTGAAGGAAGTCGAGCCACCGGTCGTGTTGAATGGGGAACGGGGAATGGCTCTGGAGTCAATGCAGGGGAATCGGGCCTCATCTCGAGTTGATTTGGGGCACATGGAGCTGCTTTGCGTTGCTGGGGTGACCTCAGGGTCCGTCTAGACTGGTGACAGTGTTCTTGGGGACTGTCTCGAGATCCATTAAGCAAGTCGAAGCTCCTGACTTGTTTGAATGGGATCACGGAATAGCTCTGCATGCACTGCAGGGGAATGGGGCCTCATCTCGCCTCTAGGGGGAAGTCTCATGGTTTTTCTCGAGGTGCGGCGGGGACCTGGGGTATGTTCTCGACTTACGGCGGGGATGGCCCTTCAAAACACAAGTTTCTTCAGTGACGTCAGGACTCCTGTCTAATAACGAGGGACACCTCAGGAATCTCTTCGAGGCTTGGCAGGGCCAAAGGGACGCTTCTCGAGGTGAGGCAGGGCACCCAAGGACCCTTTCCAGTAGCCACAGGGATTTTGGGATTCCTATCAGTATTCAAGAGGAGTCAGGCATCGTCACCTTTTGAAGCAATGAACTCCGCGTGCCTCTCGAGGTGTCAGCGGGATGTGAGGCATTCCGTCAAAATGAGGCAGGGACCTAGGGCTTTCTCTAAGGTCTCCACAGGGGATTCAGACATCCCTTCATGTTGTGAGATGAAAGACGAGCCTGTATTCAAGCCACTGCAAGGAAATCCGGCCTCCTTTCAAGTTAGGGCTTCTCGCTGTATATTCCCCTTGAGGCAGCACACTCGGGGTCCCTCCCACATACCTATTGCTGAGAGAAGCCCCCTCCTGAGGTGCTGCTGGGAAGTTGGCATACGTCTTGAGCCTAAGCCAGGGAATCAGCTCGCATCTCGAGACGATTTGGGGTACACGGAGCATTCCTCGAGTTGCTGTGCTGAAGTTGGTGTTCCTCTAGACTTGGGACAGTGTTCTCGGGGCATCTCTGGAGTTGCCTGAAGGAAGTCGAGCCACCGGTCGTGTTGAATGGGGAACGGGGAATGGCTCTGGAGTCAATGCAGGGGAATCGGGCCTCATCTCGAGTTGATTTGGGGCACATGGAGCTGCTTTGCATTGCTGGGGTGACCTCAGGTTCCGTCTAGACTGGTGACAGTGTTCTTGGGGACTGTCTCGAGATCCATTAAGCAAGTCGAAGCTCCTGACTTGTTTGAATGGGGTCACGGAATAGCTCTGCATGCACTGCAGGGGAATGGGGCCTCATCTCGCCTCTAGGGGGAAGTCTCATGGTTTTTCTCGAGTTGCGGCGGGGACCTGGGGTATGTTCTCGACTTACGGCGGGGATGGCCCTTCAAAACACGACTTTCTTCAGTGACGTCAGGACTCCTGTCTAGTAACGAGGGACACCTCAGGAATCTCTTCGAGGCTTGGCAGGGCCAAAGGGACGCTTCTCGAGGTGAGGCAGGGCACCCAAGGACCCTTTCCAGTAGCCACAGGGATTTTGGGATTCCTATCAGTATTCAAGAGGAGTCAGGCATCGTCACCTTTTGAAGCAATGAACTCCGCGTGCCTCTCGAGGTGTCAGCGGGATGTGAGGCATTCCGTCAAAATGAGGCAGGGACCTAGGGCTTTCTCTAAGGTCTCCACAGGGGATTCAGACATCCCTTCATGTTGTGAGATGAAAGACGAGCCTGTATTCAAGCCACTGCAAGGAAATCCGGCCTCCTTTCAAGTTAGGGCTTCTCGCTGTATATTCCCCTTGAGGCAGCACACTCGGAGTCCCTCCCACATACCTATTGCTGAGAGAAGCCCCCTCCTGAGGTGCTGCTGGGAAGTTGGCATACGTCTTGAGCCTAAGCCAGGGAATCAGCTCGCATCTCGAGACGATTTGGGGTACACGGAGCATTCCTCGAGTTGCTGTGCTGAAGTTGGTGTTCCTCTAGACTTGGGACAGTGTTCTCGGGGCATCTCTGGAGTTGCCTGAAGGAAGTCGAGCCACCGGTCGTGTTGAATGGGGAACGGGGAATGGCTCTGGAGTCAATGCAGGGGAATCGGGCCTCATCTCGAGTTGATTTGGGGCACATGGAGCTGCTTTGCGTTGCTGTGGTGACCTCAGGGTCCGTCTAGACTGGTGACAGTGTTCTTGGGGACTGTCTCGAGATCCATTAAGCAAGTCGAAGCTCCTGACTTGTTTGAATGGGGTCACGGAATAGCTCTGCATGCACTGCAGGGGAATGGGGCCTCATCTCGCCTCTAGGGGGAAGTCTCATGGTTTTTCTCGAGTTGCGGCGGGGACCTGGGGTATGTTCTCGACTTACGGCGGGGATGGCCCTTCAAAACACGAGTTTCTTCAGTGACGTCAGGACTCCTGTCTAGTAACGAGGGACACCTCAGGAAACTCTTCGAGGCTTGGCAGGGCCCAAGGGACGCTTCTCGAGGTGAGGCAGGGCACCCAAGGACCCTTTCCAGTAGCCACAGGGATTTTGGGATTCCTATCAGTATTCAAGAGGAGTCAGGCATCGTCACCTTTTGAAGCAATGAACTCCGCGTGCCTCTCGAGGTGTCAGCGGGATGTGAGGCATTCCGTCAAAATGAGGCAGGGACCTAGGGCTTTCTCTAAGGTCTCCACAGGGGATTCAGACATCCCTTCATGTTGTGAGATGAAAGACGAGCCTGTATTCAAGCCACTGCAAGGAAATCCGGCCTCGTTTCAAGTTAGGGCTTCTCGCTGTATATTCCCCTTGAGGCAGCAAACTCGGGGCCCCTCCCACATACCTATTGCTGAGAGAAGCCTCCTCCTGAGGTGCTTCTGGGAAGTTGGCATACGTCTTGAGCCTAAGCCAGGGAATCAGCTCTCATCTCGAGACGATTTGGGGTACACGGAGCATTCCTCGAGTTGCTGTGCTGAAGTTGGTGTTCCTCTAGACTTGGGACAGTGTTCTCGGGGCATCTCTGGAGTTGCCTGAAGGAAGTCGAGCCACCGGTCGTGTTGAATGGGGAACGGGGAATGGCTCTGGAGTCAATGCAGGGGAATCGGGCCTCATCTCGAGTTGATTTGGGGCACATGGAGCTGCTTTGCGTTGCTGGGGTGACCTCAGGGTCCGTCTAGACTGGTGACAGTGTTCTTGGGGACTGTCTCGAGATTCATTAAGCAAGTCGAAGCTCCTGACTTGTTTGAATGGGATCACGGAATAGCTCTGCATGCACTGCAGGGGAATGGAGCCTCATCTCGCCTCTAGGGGGAAGTCTCATGGTTTTTCTCGAGTTGCGGCGGGGACCTGGGGTATGTTCTCGACTTACGGCGGGGATGGCCCTTCAAAACACGAGTTTCTTCAGTGACGTCAGGACTCCTGTCTAGTAACGAGGGACACCTCAGGAATCTCTTCGAGGCTTGGCAGGGCCAAAGGGACGCTTCTCGAGGTGAGGCAGGGCACCCAAGGACCCTTTCCAGTAGCCACAGGGATTTTGGGATTCCTATCAGTATTCAAGAGGAGTCAGGCATCGTCACCTTTTGAAGCAATGAACTCCGCGTGCCTCTCGAGGTGTCAGCGGGATGTGAGGCATTCCGTCAAAATGAGGCAGGGACCTAGGGCTTTCTCTAAGGTCTCCACAGGGGATTCAGACATCCCTTCATGTTGTGAGATGAAAGACGAGCCTGTATTCAAGCCACTGCAAGGAAATCCGGCCTCCTTTCAAGTTAGGGCTTCTCGCTGTATATTCCCCTTGAGGCAGCAAACTCGGGGTCCCTCCCACATACCTATTGCTGAGAGAAGCCTCCTCCTGAGGTGCTTCTGGGAAGTTGGCATACGTCTTGAGCCTAAGCCAGGGAATCAGCTCTCATCTCGAGACGATTTGGGGTACACGGAGCATTCCTCGAGTTGCTGTGCTGAAGTTGGTGTTCCTCTAGACTTGGGACAGTGTTCTCGGGGCATCTCTGGAGTTGCCTGAAGGAAGTCGAGCCACCGGTCGTGTTGAATGGGGAACGGGGAATGGCTCTGGAGTCAATGCAGGGGAATCGGGCCTCATCTCGAGTTGATTTGGGGCACATGGAGCTGCTTTGCGTTGCTGGGGTGACCTCAGGGTCCGTCTAGACTGGTGACAGTGTTCTTGGGGACTGTCTCGAGATCCATTAAGCAAGTCGAAGCTCCTGACTTGTTTGAATGGGATCACGGAATAGCTCTGCATGCACTGCAGGGGAATGGGGCCTCATCTCGCCTCTAGGGGGAAGTCTCATGGTTTTTCTCGAGTTGCGGCGAGGACCTGGGGTATGTTCTCGACTTACGGCGGGGATGGCCCTTCAAAACACAAGTTTCTTCAGTGACGTCAGGACTCCTGTCTAATAACGAGGGACACCTCAGGAATCTCTTCGAGGCTTGGCAGGGCCAAAGGGACGCTTCTCGAGGTGAGGCAGGGCACCCAAGGACCCTTTCCAGTAGCCACAGGGATTTTGGGATTCCTATCAGTATTCAAGAGGAGTCAGGCATCGTCACCTTTTGAAGCAATGAACTCCGCGTGCCTCTCGAGGTGTCAGCGGGATGTGAGGCATTCCGTCAAAATGAGGCAGGGACCTAGGGCTTTCTCTAAGGTCTCCACAGGGGATTCAGACATCCCTTCATGTTGTGAGATGAAAGACGAGCCTGTATTCAAGCCACTGCAAGGAAATCCGGCCTCCTTTCAAGTTAGGGCTTCTCGCTGTATATTCCCCTTGAGGCAGCAAACTCGGGGTCCCTCCCACATACCTATTGCTGAGTGAAGCCTCCTCCTGAGGTGCTTCTGGGAAGTTGGCATACGTCTTGAGCCTAAGCCAGGGAATCAGCTCTCATCTCGAGACGATTTGGGGTACACGGAGCATTCCTCGAGTTGCTGTGCTGAAGTTGGTGTTCCTCTAGACTTGGGACAGTGTTCTCGGGGCATCTCTGGAGTTGCCTGAAGGAAGTCGAGCCACCGGTCGTGTTGAATGGGCAACGGGGAATGGCTCTGGAGTCAATGCAGGGGAATCGGGCCTCATCTCGAGTTGATTTGGGGCACATGGAGCTGCTTTGCGTTGCTGGGGTGACCTCAGGGTCCGTCTAGACTGGTGACAGTGTTCTTGGGGACTGTCTCGAGATCCATTAAGCAAGTCGAAGCTCCTGACTTGTTTGAATGGGATCACGGAATAGCTCTGCATGCACTGCAGGGGAATGGGGCCTCATCTCGCCTCTAGGGGGAAGTCTCATGGTTTTTCTCGAGTTGCGGCGGGGACCTGGGGTATGTTCTCGACTTACGGCGGGGATGGCCCTTCAAAACACAAGTTTCTTCAGTGACGTCAGGACTCCTGTCTAATAACGAGGGACACCTCAGGAATCTCTTCGAGGCTTGGCAGGGCCAAAGGGACGCTTCTCGAGGTGAGGCAGGGCACCCAAGGACCCTTTCCAGTAGCCACAGGGATTTTGGGATTCCTATCAGTATTCAAGAGGAGTCAGGCATCGTCACCTTTTGAAGCAATGAACTCCGCGTGCCTCTCGAGGTGTCAGCGGGATGTGAGGCATTCCGTCAAAATGAGGCAGGGACCTAGGGCTTTCTCTAAGGTCTCCACAGGGGATTCAGACATCCCTTCATGTTGTGAGATGAAAGACGAGCCTGTATTCAAGCCACTGCAAGGAAATCCGGCCTCCTTTCAAGTTAGGGCTTCTCGCTGTATATTCCCCTTGAGGCAGCACACTCGGGGTCCCTCCCACATACCTATTGCTGAGAGAAGCCCCCTCCTGAGGTGCTGCTGGGAAGTTGGCATACGTCTTGAGCCTAAGCCAGGGAATCAGCTCGCATCTCGAGACGATTTGGGGTACACGGAGCATTCCTCGAGTTGCTGTGCTGAAGTTGGTGTTCCTCTAGACTTGGGACAGTGTTCTCGGGGCATCTCTGGAGTTGCCTGAAGGAAGTCGAGCCACCGGTCGTGTTGAATGGGGAACGGGGAATGGCTCTGGAGTCAATGCAGGGGAATCGGGCCTCATCTCGAGTTGATTTGGGGCACATGGAGCTGCTTTGCGTTGCTGGGGTGACCTCAGGTTCCGTCTAGACTGGTGACAGTGTTCTTGGGGACTGTCTCGAGATCCATTAAGCAAGTCGAAGCTCCTGACTTGTTTGAATGGGGTCACGGAATAGCTCTGCATGCACTGCAGGGGAATGGGGCCTCATCTCGCCTCTAGGGGGAAGTCTCATGGTTTTTCTCGAGTTGCGGCGGGGACCTGGGGTATGTTCTCGACTTACGGCGGGGATGGCCCTTCAAAACACGACTTTCTTCAGTGACGTCAGGACTCCTGTCTAGTAACGAGGGACACCTCAGGAATCTCTTCGAGGCTTGGCAGGGCCAAAGGGACGCTTCTCGAGGTGAGGCAGGGCACCCAAGGACCCTTTCCAGTAGCCACAGGGATTTTGGGATTCCTATCAGTATTCAAGAGGAGTCAGGCATCGTCACCTTTTGAAGCAATGAACTCCGCGTGCCTCTCGAGGTGTCAGCGGGATGTGAGGCATTCCGTCAAAATGAGGCAGGGACCTAGGGCTTTCTCTAAGGTCTCCACAGGGGATTCAGACATCCCTTCATGTTGTGAGATGAAAGACGAGCCTGTATTCAAGCCACTGCAAGGAAATCCGGCCTCCTTTCAAGTTAGGGCTTCTCGCTGTATATTCCCCTTGAGGCAGCACACTCGGAGTCCCTCCCACATACCTATTGCTGAGAGAAGCCCCCTCCTGAGGTGCTGCTGGGAAGTTGGCATACGTCTTGAGCCTAAGCCAGGGAATCAGCTCGCATCTCGAGACGATTTGGGGTACACGGAGCATTCCTCGAGTTGCTGTGCTGAAGTTGGTGTTCCTCTAGACTTGGGACAGTGTTCTCGGGGCATCTCTGGAGTTGCCTGAAGGAAGTCGAGCCACCGGTCGTGTTGAATGGGGAACGGGGAATGGCTCTGGAGTCAATGCAGGGGAATCGGGCCTCATCTCGAGTTGATTTGGGGCACATGGAGCTGCTTTGCGTTGCTGTGGTGACCTCAGGGTCCGTCTAGACTGGTGACAGTGTTCTTGGGGACTGTCTCGAGATCCATTAAGCAAGTCGAAGCTCCTGACTTGTTTGAATGGGGTCACGGAATAGCTCTGCATGCACTGCAGGGGAATGGGGCCTCATCTCGCCTCTAGGGGGAAGTCTCATGGTTTTTCTCGAGTTGCGGCGGGGACCTGGGGTATGTTCTCGACTTACGGCGGGGATGGCCCTTCAAAACACGAGTTTCTTCAGTGACGTCAGGACTCCTGTCTAGTAACGAGGGACACCTCAGGAAACTCTTCGAGGCTTGGCAGGGCCCAAGGGACGCTTCTCGAGGTGAGGCAGGGCACCCAAGGACCCTTTCCAGTAGCCACAGGGATTTTGGGATTCCTATCAGTATTCAAGAGGAGTCAGGCATCGTCACCTTTTGAAGCAATGAACTCCGCGTGCCTCTCGAGGTGTCAGCGGGATGTGAGGCATTCCGTCAAAATGAGGCAGGGACCTAGGGCTTTCTCTAAGGTCTCCACAGGGGATTCAGACATCCCTTCATGTTGTGAGATGAAAGACGAGCCTGTATTCAAGCCACTGCAAGGAAATCCGGCCTCCTTTCAAGTTAGGGCTTCTCGCTGTATATTCCCCTTGAGGCAGCAAACTCGGGGTCCCTCCCACATACCTATTGCTGAGAGAAGCCTCCTCCTGAGGTGCTTCTGGGAAGTTGGCATACGTCTTGAGCCTAAGCCAGGGAATCAGCTCTCATCTCGAGACGATTTGGGGTACACGGAGCATTCCTCGAGTTGCTGTGCTGAAGTTGGTGTTCCTCTAGACTTGGGACAGTGTTCTCGGGGCATCTCTGGAGTTGCCTGAAGGAAGTCGAGCCACCGGTCGTGTTGAATGGGGAACGGGGAATGGCTCTGGAGTCAATGCAGGGGAATCGGGCCTCATCTCGAGTTGATTTGGGGCACATGGAGCTGCTTTGCGTTGCTGGGGTGACCTCAGGGTCCGTCTAGACTGGTGACAGTGTTCTTGGGGACTGTCTCGAGATCCATTAAGCAAGTCGAAGCTCCTGACTTGTTTGAATGGGATCACGGAATAGCTCTGCATGCACTGCAGGGGAATGGGGCCTCATCTCGCCTCTAGGGGGAAGTCTCATGGTTTTTCTCGAGTTGCGGCGAGGACCTGGGGTATGTTCTCGACTTACGGCGGGGATGGCCCTTCAAAACACAAGTTTCTTCAGTGACGTCAGGACTCCTGTCTAATAACGAGGGACACCTCAGGAATCTCTTCGAGGCTTGGCAGGGCCAAAGGGACGCTTCTCGAGGTGAGGCAGGGCACCCAAGGACCCTTTCCAGTAGCCACAGGGATTTTGGGATTCCTATCAGTATTCAAGAGGAGTCAGGCATCGTCACCTTTTGAAGCAATGAACTCCGCGTGCCTCTCGAGGTGTCAGCGGGATGTGAGGCATTCCGTCAAAATGAGGCAGGGACCTAGGGCTTTCTCTAAGGTCTCCACAGGGGATTCAGACATCCCTTCATGTTGTGAGATGAAAGACGAGCCTGTATTCAAGCCACTGCAAGGAAATCCGGCCTCCTTTCAAGTTAGGGCTTCTCGCTGTATATTCCCCTTGAGGCAGCAAACTCGGGGTCCCTCCCACATACCTATTGCTGAGAGAAGCCTCCTCCTGAGGTGCTTCTGGGAAGTTGGCATACGTCTTGAGCCTAAGCCAGGGAATCAGCTCTCATCTCGAGACGATTTGGGGTACACGGAGCATTCCTCGAGTTGCTGTGCTGAAGTTGGTGTTCCTCTAGACTTGGGACAGTGTTCTCGGGGCATCTCTGGAGTTGCCTGAAGGAAGTCGAGCCACCGGTCGTGTTGAATGGGGAACGGGGAATGGCTCTGGAGTCAATGCAGGGGAATCGGGCCTCATCTCGAGTTGATTTGGGGCACCTGGAGCTGCTTTGCGTTGCTGGGGTGACCTCAGGGTCCGTCTAGACTGGTGACAGTGTTCTTGGGGACTGTCTCGAGATCCATTAAGCAAGTCGAAGCTCCTGACTTGTTTGAATGGGATCACGGAATAGCTCTGCATGCACTGCAGGGGAATGGGGCCTCATCTCGCCTCTAGGGGGAAGTCTCATGGTTTTTCTCGAGTTGCGGCGGGGACCTGGGGTATGTTCTCGACTTACGGCGGGGATGGCCCTTCAAAACACAAGTTTCTTCAGTGACGTCAGGACTCCTGTCTAATAACGAGGGACACCTCAGGAATCTCTTCGAGGCTTGGCAGGGCCAAAGGGACGCTTCTCGAGGTGAGGCAGGGCACCCAAGGACCCTTTCCAGTAGCCACAGGGATTTTGGGATTCCTATCAGTATTCAAGAGGAGTCAGGCATCGTCACCTTTTGAAGCAATGAACTCCGCGTGCCTCTCGAGGTGTCAGCGGGATGTGAGGCATTCCTTCAAAATGAGGTAGGGACCTAGGGCTTTCTCTAAGGTCTCCACAGGGGATTCAGACATCCCTTCATGTTGTGAGATGAAAGACGAGCCTGTATTCAAGCCACTGCAAGGAAATCCGGCCTCCTTTCAAGTTAGGGCTTCTCGCTGTATATTCCCCTTGAGGCAGCAAACTCGGGGTCCCTCCCACATACCTATTGCTGAGAGAAGCCTCCTCCTGAGGTGCTTCTGGGAAGTTGGCATACGTCTTGAGCCTAAGCCAGGGAATCAGCTCGCATCTCGAGACGATTTGGGGTACACGGAGCATTCCTCGAGTTGCTGTGCTGAAGTTGGTGTTCCTCTAGACTTGGGACAGTGTTCTCGGGGCATCTCTGGAGTTGCCTGAAGGAAGTCGAGCCACCGGTCGTGTTGAATGGGGAACGGGGAATGGCTCTGGAGTCAATGCAGGGGAATCGGGCCTCATCTCGAGTTGATTTGGGGCACATGGAGCTGCTTTGCGTTGCTGGGGTGACCTCAGGGTCCGTCTAGACTGGTGACAGTGTTCTTGGGGACTGTCTCGAGATCCATTAAGCAAGTCGAAGCTCCTGACTTGTTTGAATGGGATCACGGAATAGCTCTGCATGCACTGCAGGGGAATGGGGCCTCATCTCGCCTCTAGGGGGAAGTCTCATGGTTTTTCTCGAGTTGCGGCGGGGACCTGGGGTATGTTCTCGACTTACGGCGGGGATGGCCCTTCAAAACACGAGTTTCTTCAGTGACGTCAGGACTCCTGTCTAGTAACGAGGGACACCTCAGGAATCTCTTCGAGGCTTGGCAGGGCCAAAGGGACGCTTCTCGAGGTGAGGCAGGGCACCCAAGGACCCTTTCCAGTAGCCACAGGGATTTTGGGATTCCTATCAGTATTCAAGAGGAGTCAGGCATCGTCACCTTTTGAAGCAATGAACTCCGCGTGCCTCTCGAGGTGTCAGCGGGATGTGAGGCATTCCGTCAAAATGAGGCAGGGACCTAGGGCTTTCTCTAAGGTCTCCACAGGGGATTCAGACATCCCTTCATGTTGTGAGATGAAAGACGAGCCTGTATTCAAGCCACTGCAAGGAAATCCGGCCTCCTTTCAAGTTAGGGCTTCTCGCTGTATATTCCCCTTGAGGCAGCAAACTCGGGGTCCCTCCCACATACCTATTGCTGAGAGAAGCCTCCTCCTGAGGTGCTTCTGGGAAGTTGGCATACGTCTTGAGCCTAAGCCAGGGAATCAGCTCGCATCTCGAGACGATTTGGGGTACACGGAGCATTCCTCGAGTTGCTGTGCTGAAGTTGGTGTTCCTCTAGACTTGGGACAGTGTTCTCGGGGCATCTCTGGAGTTGCCTGAAGGAAGTCGAGCCACCGGTCGTGTTGAATGGGGAACGGGGAATGGCTCTGGAGTCAATGCAGGGGAATCGGGCCTCATCTCGAGTTGATTTGGGGCACATGGAGCTGCTTTGCGTTGCTGGGGTGACCTCAGGGTCCGTCTAGACTGGTGACAGTGTTCTTGGGGACTGTCTCGAGATCCATTAAGCAAGTCGAAGCTCCTGACTTGTTTGAATGGGATCACGGAATAGCTCTGCATGCACTGCAGGGGAATGGGGCCTCATCTCGCCTCTAGGGGGAAGTCTCATGGTTTTTCTCGAGTTGCGGCGGGGACCTGGGGTATGTTCTCGACTTACGGCGGGGATGGCCCTTCAAAACACGAGTTTCTTCAGTGACGTCAGGACTCCTGTCTAGTAACGAGGGACACCTCAGGAATCTCTTCGAGGCTTGGCAGGGCCAAAGGGACGCTTCTCGAGGTGAGGCAGGGCACCCAAGGACCCTTTCCAGTAGCCACAGGGATTTTGGGATTCCTATCAGTATTCAAGAGGAGTCAGGCATCGTCACCTTTTGAAGCAATGAACTCCGCGTGCCTCTCGAGGTGTCAGCGGGATGTGAGGCATTCCGTCAAAATGAGGCAGGGACCTAGGGCTTTCTCTAAGGTCTCCACAGGGGATTCAGACATCCCTTCATGTTGTGAGATGAAAGACGAGCCTGTATTCAAGCCACTGCAAGGAAATCCGGCCTCCTTTCAAGTTAGGGCTTCTCGCTGTATATTCCCCTTGAGGCAGCAAACTCGGGGTCCCTCCCACATACCTATTGCTGAGAGAAGCCTCCTCCTGAGGTGCTTCTGGGAAGTTGGCATACGTCTTGAGCCTAAGCCAGGGAATCAGCTCTCATCTCGAGACGATTTGGGGTACACGGAGCATTCCTCGAGTTGCTGTGCTGAAGTTGGTGTTCCTCTAGACTTGGGACAGTGTTCTCGGGGCATCTCTGGAGTTGCCTGAAGGAAGTCGAGCCACCGGTCGTGTTGAATGGGGAACGGGGAATGGCTCTGGAGTCAATGCAGGGGAATCGGGCCTCATCTCGAGTTGATTTGGGGCACATGGAGCTGCTTTGCGTTGCTGGGGTGACCTCAGGGTCCGTCTAGACTGGTGACAGTGTTCTTGGGGACTGTCTCGAGATCCATTAAGCAAGTCGAAGCTCCTGACTTGTTTGAATGGGGTCACGGAATAGCTCTGCATGCACTGCAGGGGAATGGGGCCTCATCTCGCCTCTAGGGGGAAGTCTCATGGTTTTTCTCGAGTTGCGGCGGGGACCTGGGGTATGTTCTCGACTTACGGCGGGGATGGCCCTTCAAAACACGAGTTTCTTCAGTGACGTCAGGACTCCTGTCTAGTAACGAGGGACACCTCAGGAATCTCTTCGAGGCTTGGCAGGGCCAAAGGGACGCTTCTCGAGGTGAGGCAGGGCACCCAAGGACCCTTTCCAGTAGCCACAGGGATTTTGGGATTCCTATCAGTATTCAAGAGGAGTCAGGCATCGTCACCTTTTGAAGCAATGAACTCCGCGTGCCTCTCGAGGTGTCAGCGGGATGTGAGGCATTCCGTCAAAATGAGGCAGGGACCTAGGGCTTTCTCTAAGGTCTCCACAGGGGATTCAGACATCCCTTCATGTTGTGAGATGAAAGACGAGCCTGTATTCAAGCCACTGCAAGGAAATCCGGCCTCCTTTCAAGTTAGGGCTTCTCGCTGTATATTCCCCTTGAGGCAGCAAACTCGGGGTCCCTCCCACATACCTATTGCTGAGAGAAGCCTCCTCCTGAGGTGCTTCTGGGAAGTTGGCATACGTCTTGAGCCTAAGCCAGGGAATCAGCTCGCATCTCGAGACGATTTGGGGTACACGGAGCATTCCTCGAGTTGCTGTGCTGAAGTTGGTGTTCCTCTAGACTTGGGACAGTGTTCTCGGGGCATCTCTGGAGTTGCCTGAAGGAAGTCGAGCCACCGGTCGTGTTGAATGGGGAACGGGGAATGGCTCTGGAGTCAATGCAGGGGAATCGGGCCTCATCTCGAGTTGATTTGGGGCACATGGAGCTGCTTTGCGTTGCTGGGGTGACCTCAGGGTCCGTCTAGACTGGTGACAGTGTTCTTGGGGACTGTCTCGAGATCCATTAAGCAAGTCGAAGCTCCTGACTTGTTTGAATGGGGTCACGGAATAGCTCTGCATGCACTGCAGGGGAATGGGGCCTCATCTCGCCTCTAGGGGGAAGTCTCATGGTTTTTCTCGAGTTGCGGCGGGGACCTGGGGTATGTTCTCGACTTACGGCGGGGATGGCCCTTCAAAACACGAGTTTCTTCAGTGACGTCAGGACTCCTGTCTAGTAACGAGGGACACCTCAGGAATCTCTTCGAGGCTTGGCAGGGCCAAAGGGACGCTTCTCGAGGTGAGGAAGGGCACCCAAGGACCCTTTCCAGTAGCCACAGGGATTTTGGGATTCCTATCAGTATTCAAGAGGAGTCAGGCATCGTCACCTTTTGAAGCAATGAACTCCGCGTGCCTCTCGAGGTGTCAGCGGGATGTGAGGCATTCCGTCAAAATGAGGCAGGGACCTAGGGCTTTCTCTAAGGTCACCACAGGGGATTCAGACATCCCTTCATGTTGTGAGATGAAAGACGAGCCTGTATTCAAGCCACTGCAAGGAAATCCGGCCTCCTTTCAAGTTAGGGCTTCTCGCTGTATATTCCCCTTGAGGCAGCAAACTCGGGGTCCCTCCCACATACCTATTGCTGAGAGAAGCCCCCTCCTGAGGTGCTTCTGGGAAGTTGGCATACGTCTTGAGCCTAAGCCAGGGAATCAGCTCGCATCTCGAGACGATTTGGGGTACACGGAGCATTCCTCGAGTTGCTGTGCTGAAGTTGGTGTTCCTCTAGACTTGGGACAGTGTTCTCGGGGCATCTCTGGAGTTGCCTGAAGGAAGTCGAGCCACCGGTCGTGTTGAATGGGGAACGGGGAATGGCTCTGGAGTCAATGCAGGGGAATCGGGCCTCATCTCGAGTTGATTTGGGGCACATGGAGCTGCTTTGCGTTGCTGGGGTGACCTCAGGGTCCGTCTAGACTGGTGACAGTGTTCTTGGGGACTGTCTCGAGATCCATTAAGCAAGTCGAAGCTCCTGACTTGTTTGAATGGGATCACGGAATAGCTCTGCATGCACTGCAGGGGAATGGGGCCTCATCTCGCCTCTAGGGGGAAGTCTCATGGTTTTTCTCGAGTTGCGGCGGGGACCTGGGGTATGTTCTCGACTTACGGCGGGGATGGCCCTTCAAAACACGAGTTTCTTCAGTGACGTCAGGACTCCTGTCTAGTAACGAGGGACACCTCAGGAATCTCTTCGAGGCTTGGCAGGGCCAAAGGGACGCTTCTCGAGGTGAGGCAGGGCACCCAAGGACCCTTTCCAGTAGCCACAGGGATTTTGGGATTCCTATCAGTATCCAAGAGGAGTCAGGCATCGTCACCTTTTGAAGCAATGAACTCCGCGTGCCTCTCGAGGTGTCAGCGGGATGTGAGGCATTCCGTCAAAATGAGGCAGGGACCTAGGGCTTTCTCTAAGGTCTCCACAGGGGATTCAGACATCCCTTCATGTTGTGAGATGAAAGACGAGCCTGTATTCAAGCCACTGCAAGGAAATCCGGCCTCCTTTCAAGTTAGGGCTTCTCGCTGTATATTCCCCTTGAGGCAGCAAACTCGGGGTCCCTCCCACATACCTATTCCTGAGAGAAGCCTCCTCCTGAGGTGCTTCTGGGAAGTTGGCATACGTCTTGAGCCTAAGCCAGGGAATCAGCTCGCATCTCGAGACGATTTGGGGTACACGGAGCATTCCTCGAGTTGCTGTGCTGAAGTTGGTGTTCCTCTAGACTTGGGACAGTGTTCTCGGGGCATCTCTGGAGTTGCCTGAAGGAAGTCGAGCCACCGGTCGTGTTGAATGGGGAACTGGGAATGGCTCTGCAGTCAATGCAGGGGAATCGGGCCTCATCTCGAGTTGATTTGGGGCACATGGAGCTGCTTTGCGTTGCTGGGGTGACCTCAGGGTCCGTCTAGACTGGTGACAGTGTTCTTGGGGACTGTCTCGAGATCCATTAAGCAAGTCGAAGCTCCTGACTTGTTTGAATGGGATCACGGAATAGCTCTGCATGCACTGCAGGGGAATGGAGCCTCATCTCGCCTCTAGGGGGAAGTCTCATGGTTTTTCTCGAGTTGCGGCGGGGACCTGGGGTATGTTCTCGACTTACGGCGGGGATGGCCCTTCAAAACACGAGTTTCTTCAGTGACGTCAGGACTCCTGTCTAGTAACGAGGGACACCTCAGGAAACTCTTCGAGGCTTGGCAGGGCCAAAGGGACGCTTCTCGAGGTGAGGCAGGGCACCCAAGGACCCTTTCCAGTAGCCACAGGGATTTTGGGATTCCTATCAGTATTCAAGAGGAGTCAAGCATCGTCACCTTTTGAAGCAATGAACTCCGCGTGCCTCTCGAGGTGTCAGCGGGATGTGAGGCATTCCGTCAAAATGAGGCAGGGACCTAGGGCTTTCTCTAAGGTCTCCACAGGGGATTCAGACATCCCTTCAAGTTGTGAGATGAAAGACGAGCCTGTATTCAAGCCACTGCAAGGAAATCCGGCCTCCTTTCAAGTTAGGGCTTCTCGCTGTATATTCCCCTTGAGGCAGCAAACTCGGGGTCCCTCCCACATACCTATTGCTGAGAGAAGCCTCCTCCTGAGGTGCTTCTGGAAAGTTGGCATACGTCTTGAGCCTAAGCCAGGGAATCAGCTCTCATCTCGAGACGATTTAGGGTACACGGAGCATTCCTCGAGTTCCTGTGCTGAAGTTGGTGTTCCTCTAGACTTGGGACAGTGTTCTCGGGGCATCTCTGGAGTTGCCTGAAGGAAGTCGAGCCACCGGTCGTGTTGAATGGGGAACGGGGAATGGCTCTGGAGTCAATGCAGGGGAATCGGGCCTCATCTCGAGTTGATTTGGGGCACTTGGAGCTGCTTTGTGTTGCTGGGGTGACCTCAGGGTCCGTCTAGACTGGTGACAGTGTTCTTGGGGACTGTCTCGAGATCCATTAAGCAAGTCGAAGCTCCTGACTTGTTTGAATGGGGTCACGGAATAGCTCTGCATGCACTGCAGGGGAATGGGGCCTCATCTCGCCTCTAGGGGGAAGTCTCATGGTTTTTCTCGAGTTGCGGCGGGGACCTGGGGTATGTTCTCGACTTACGGCGGGGATGGCCCTTCAAAACACGAGTTTCTTCAGTGACGTCAGGACTCCTGTCTAGTAACGAGGGACACCTCAGGAATCTCTTCGAGGCTTGGCAGGGCCAAAGGGACGCTTCTCGAGGTGAGGCAGGGCACCCAAGGACCCTTTCCAGTAGCCACAGGGATTTTGGGATTCCTATCAGTATTCAAGAGGAGTCAGGCATCGTCACCTTTTGAAGCAATGAACTCCGCGTGCCTCTCGAGGTGTCAGCGGGATGTGAGGCATTCCGTCAAAATGAGGCAGGGAACTAGGGCTTTCTCTAAGGTCTCCACAGGGGATTCAGACATCCCTTCATGTTGTGAGATGAAAGACGAGCCTGTATTCAAGCCACTGCAAGGAAATCCGGCCTCCTTTCAAGTTAGGGCTTCTCGCTGTATATTCCCCTTGAGGCAGCAAACTCGGGGTCCCTCCCACATACCTATTGCTGAGAGAAGCCCCCTCCTGAGGTGCTTCTGGGAAGTTGGCATACGTCTTGAGCCTAAGCCAGGGAATCAGCTCGCATCTCGAGACGATTTGGGGTACACGGAGCATTCCTCGAGTTGCTGTGCTGAAGTTGGTGTTCCTCTAGACTTGGGACAGTGTTCTCGGGGCATCTCTGGAGTTGCCTGAAGGAAGTCGAGCCACCGGTCGTGTTGAATGGGGAACGGGGAATGGCTCTGGAGTCAATGCAGGGGAATCGGGCCTCATCTCGAGTTGATTTGGGGCACATGGAGCTGCTTTGCGTTGCTGGGGTGACCTCAGGGTCCGTCTAGACTGGTGACAGTGTTCTTGGGGACTGTCTCGAGATCCATTAAGCAAGTCGAAGCTCCTGACTTGTTTGAATGGGATCACGGAATAGCTCTGCATGCACTGCAGGAGAATGGGGCCTCATCTCGCCTCTAGGGGGAAGTCTCATGGTTTTTCTCGAGTTGCGGCGGGGACCTGGGGTATGTTCTCGACTTACGGCGGGGATGGCCCTTCAAAACACGAGTTTCTTCAGTGACGTCAGGACTCCTGTCTAGTAACGAGGGACACCTCAGGAAACTCTTCGAAGCTTGGCAGGGCCAAAGGGACGCTTCTCGAGGTGAGGCAGGGCACCCAAGGACCCTTTCCAATAGCCACAGGGATTTTGGGATTCCTATCAGTATCCAAGAGGAGTCAGGCATCGTCACCTTTTGAAGCAATGAACTCCGCGTGCCTCTCGAGGTGTCAGCGGGATGTGAGGCATTCCGTCAAAATGAGGCAGGGACCTAGGGCTTTCTCTAAGGTCTCCACAGGGGATTCAGACATCCCTTCATGTTGTGAGATGAAAGACGAGCCTGTATTCAAGCCACTGCAAGGAAATCCGGCCTCCTTTCAAGTTAGGGCTTCTCGCTGTATATTCCCCTTGAGGCAGCAAACTCGGGGTCCCTCCCACATACCTATTGCTGAGAGAAGCCTCCTCCTGAGGTGCTTCTGGGAAGTTGGCATACGTCTTGAGCCTAAGCCAGGGAATCAGCTCGCATCTCGAGACGATTTGGGGTACACGGACCATTCCTCGAGTTGCTGTGCTGAAGTTGGTGTTCCTCTAGACTTGGGACAGTGTTCTCGGGGCATCTCTGGAGTTGCCTGAAGGAAGTCGAGCCACCGGTCGTGTTGAATGGGGAACGGGGAATGGCTCTGCAGTCAATGCAGGGGAATCGGGCCTCATCTCGAGTTGATTTGGGGCACATGGAGCTGCTTTGCGTTGCTGGGGTGACCTCAGGGTCCGTCTAGACTGGTGACAGTGTTCTTGGGGACTGTCTCGAGATCCATTAAGCAAGTCGAAGCTCCTGACTTGTTTGAATGGGATCACGGAATAGCTCTGCATGCACTGCAGGGGAATGGAGCCTCATCTCGCCTCTAGGGGGAAGTCTCATGGTTTTTCTCGAGTTGCGGCGGGGACCTGGGGTATGTTCTCGACTTACGGCGGGGATGGCCCTTCAAAACACGAGTTTCTTCAGTGACGTCAGGACTCCTGTCTAGTAACGAGGGACACCTCAGGAAACTCTTCGAGGCTTGGCAGGGCCAAAGGGACGCTTCTCGAGGTGAGGCAGGGCACCCAAGGACCCTTTCCAGTAGCCACAGGGATTTTGGGATTCCTATCAGTATTCAAGAGGAGTCAGGCATCGTCACCTTTTGAAGCAATGAACTCCGCGTGCCTCTCGAGGTGTCAGCGGGATGTGAGGCATTCCGTCAAAATGAGGCAGGGACCTAGGGCTTTCTCTAAGGTCTCCACAGGGGATTCAGACATCCCTTCAAGTTGTGAGATGAAAGACGAGCCTGTATTCAAGCCACTGCAAGGAAATCCGGCCTCCTTTCAAGTTAGGGCTTCTCGCTGTATATTCCCCTTGAGGCAGCAAACTCGGGGTCCCTCCCACATACCTATTGCTGAGAGAAGCCTCCTCCTGAGGTGCTTCTGGGAAGTTGGCATACGTCTTGAGCCTAAGCCAGGGAATCAGCTCTCATCTCGAGACGATTTGGGGTACACGGAGCATTCCTCGAGTTGCTGTGCTGAAGTTGGTGTTCCTCTAGACTTGGGACAGTGTTCTCGGGGCATCTCTGTAGTTGCCTGAAGGAAGTCGAGCCACCGGTCGTGTTGAATGGGGAACGGGGAATGGCTCTGGAGTCAATGCAGGGGAATCGGGCCTCATCTCGAGTTGATTTGGGGCACATGGAGCTGCTTTGTGTTGCTGGGGTGACCTCAGGGTCCGTCTAGACTGGTGACAGTGTTCTTGGGGACTGTCTCGAGATCCATTAAGCAAGTCGAAGCTCCTGACTTGTTTGAATGGGGTCACGGAATAGCTCTGCATGCACTGCAGGGGAATGGGGCCTCATCTCGCCTCTAGGGGGAAGTCTCATGGTTTTTCTCGAGTTGCGGCGGGGACCTGGGGTATGTTCTCGACTTACGGCGGGGATGGCCCTTCAAAACACGAGTTTCTTCAGTGACGTCAGGACTCCTGTCTAGTAACGAGGGACACCTCAGGAATCTCTTCGAGGCTTGGCAGGGCCAAAGGGACGCTTCTCGAGGTGAGGCAGGGCACCCAAGGACCCTTTCCAGTAGCCACAGGGATTTTGGGATTCCTATCAGTATTCAAGAGGAGTCAGGCATCGTCACCTTTTGAAGCAATGAACTCCGCGTGCCTCTCGAGGTGTCAGCGGGATGTGAGGCATTCCGTCAAAATGAGGCAGGGACCTAGGGCTTTCTCTAAGGTCTCCACAGGGGATTCAGACATCCCTTCATGTTGTGAGATGAAAGACGAGCCTGTATTCAAGCCACTGCAAGGAAATCCGGCCTCCTTTCAAGTTAGGGCTTCTCGCTGTATATTCCCCTTGAGGCAGCACACTCGGGGTCCCTCCCACATACCTATTGCTGAGAGAAGCCTCCTCCTGAGGTGCTTCTGGGAAGTTGGCATACGTCTTGAGCCTAAGCCAGGGAATCAGCTCGCATCTCGAGACGATTTGGGGTAGACGGAGCATTCCTCGAGTTGCTGTGCTGAAGTTGGTGTTCCTCTAGACTTGGGACAGTGTCCTCGGGGCATCTCTGGAGTTGCCTGAAGGAAGTCGAGCCACCGGTCGTGTTGAATGGGGAACGGGGAATGGCTCTGGAGTCAATGCAGGGGAATCGGGCCTCATCTCGAGTTGATTTGGGGCACATGGAGCTGCTTTGCGTTGCTGGGGTGACCTCAGGGTCCGTCTAGACTGGTGACAGTGTTCTTGGGGACTGTCTCGAGATCCATTAAGCAAGTCGAAGCTCCTGACTTGTTTGAATGGGGTCACGGAATAGCTCTGCATGCACTGCAGGGGAATGGGGCCTCATCTCGCCTCTAGGGGGAAGTCTCATGGTTTTTCTCGAGTTGCGGCGGGGACCTGGGGTATGTTCTCGACTTACGGCGGGGATGGCCCTTCAAAACACGAGTTTCTTCAGTGACGTCAGGACTCCTGTCTAGTAACGAGGGACACCTCAGGAATCTCTTCGAGGCTTGGCAGGGCCAAAGGGACGCTTCTCGAGGTGAGGCAGGGCACCCAAGGACCCTTTCCAGTAGCCACAGGGATTTTGGGATTCCTATCAGTATTCAAGAGGAGTCAGGCATCGTCACCTTTTGAAGCAATGAACTCCGCGTGCCTCTCGAGGTGTCAGCGGGATGTGAGGCATTCCGTCAAAATGAGGCAGGGACCTAGGGCTTTCTCTAAGGTCTCCACAGGGGATTCAGACATCCCTTCATGTTGTGAGATGAAAGACGAGCCTGTATTCAAGCCACTGCAAGGAAATCCGGCATCCTTTCAAGTTAGGGCTTCTCGCTGTATATTCCCCTTGAGGCAGCAAACTCGGGGTCCCTCCCACATACCTATTGCTGAGAGAAGCCCCCTCCTGAGGTGCTTCTGGGAAGTTGGCATACGTCTTGAGCCTAAGCCAGGGAATCAGCTCGCATCTCGAGACGATTTGGGGTACACGGAGCATTCCTCGAGTTGCTGTGCTGAAGTTGGTGTTCCTCTAGACTTGGGACAGTGTTCTCGGGGCATCTCTGGAGTTGCCTGAAGGAAGTCGAGCCACCGGTCGTGTTGAATGGGGAACGGGGAATGGCTCTGGAGTCAATGCAGGGGAATCGGGCCTCATCTTGAGTTGATTTGGGGCACATGGAGCTGCTTTGCGTTGCTGGGGTGACCTCAGGGTCCGTCTAGACTGGTGACAGTGTTCTTGGGGACTGTCTCGAGATCCATTAAGCAAGTCGAAGCTCCTGACTTGTTTGAATGGGATCACGGAATAGCTCTGCATGCACTGCAGGGGAATGGGGCCTCATCTCGCCTCTAGGGGGAAGTCTCATGGTTTTTCTCGAGTTGCGGCGGGGACCTGGGGTATGTTCTCGACTTACGGCGGGGATGGCCCTTCAAAACACGAGTTTCTTCAGTGACGTCAGGACTCCTGTCTAGTAACGAGGGACACCTCAGGAATCTCTTCGAGGTTTGGCAGGGCCAAAGGGACGCTTCTCGAGGTGAGGCAGGGCACCCAAGGACCCTTTCCAGTAGCCACAGGGATTTTGGGATTCCTATCAGTATTCAAGAGGAGTCAGGCATCGTCACCTTTTGAAGCAATGAACTCCGCGTGCCTCTCGAGGTGTCAGCGGGATGTGAGGCATTCCGTCAAAATGAGGCAGGGACCTAGGGCTTTCTCTAAGGTCTCCACAGGGGATTCAGACATCCCTTCATGTTGTGAGATGAAAGACGAGCCTGTATTCAAGCCACTGCAAGGAAATCCGGCCTCCTTTCAAGTTAGGGCTTCTCGCTGTATATTCCCCTTGAGGCAGCAAACTCGGGGTCCCTCCCACATACCTATTGCTGAGAGAAGCCTCCTCCTGAGGTGCTTCTGGGAAGTTGGCATACGTCTTGAGCCTAAGCCAGGGAATCAGCTCGCATCTCGAGACGATTTGGGGTACACGGAGCATTCCTCGAGTTGCTGTGCTGAAGTTGGTGTTCCTCTAGACTTGGGACAGTGTTCTCGGGGCATCTCTGGAGTTGCCTGAAGGAAGTCGAGCCACCGGTCGTGTTGAATGGGGAACGGGGAATGGCTCTGGAGTCAATGCAGGGGAATCGGGCCTCATCTCGAGTTGATTTGGGGCACATGGAGCTGCTTTGCGTTGCTGGGGTGACCTCAGGGTCCGTCTAGACTGGTGACAGTGTTCTTGGGGACTGTCTCGAGATCCATTAAGCAAGTCGAAGCTCCTGACTTGTTTGAATGGGATCACGGAATAGCTCTGCATGCACTGCAGGGGAATGGGGCCTCATCTCGCCTCTAGGGGGAAGTCTCATGGTTTTTCTCGAGTTGCGGCGGGGACCTGGGGTATGTTCTCGACTTACGGCGGGGATGGCCCTTCAAAACACGAGTTTCTTCAGTGACGTCAGGACTCCTGTCTAGTAACGAGGGACACCTCAGGAATCTCTTCGAGGCTTGGCAGGGCCAAAGGGACGCTTCTCGAGGTGAGGCAGGGCACCCAAGGACCCTTTCCAGTAGCCACAGGGATTTTGGGATTCCTATCAGTATTCAAGAGGAGTCAGGCATCGTCACCTTTTGAAGCAATGAACTCCGCGTGCCTCTCGAGGTGTCAGCGGGATGTGAGGCATTCCGTCAAAATGAGGCAGGGACCTAGGGCTTTCTCTAAGGTCTCCACAGGGGATTCAGACATCCCTTCATGTTGTGAGATGAAAGACGAGCCTGTATTCAAGCCACTGCAAGGAAATCCGGCCTCCTTTCAAGTTAGGGCTTCTCGCTGTATATTCCCCTTGAGGCAGCAAACTCGGGGTCCCTCCCACATACCTATTGCTGAGAGAAGCCTCCTCCTGAGGTGCTTCTGGGAAGTTGGCATACGTCTTGAGCCTAAGCCAGGGAATCAGCTCGCATCTCGAGACGATTTGGGGTAGACGGAGCATTCCTCGAGTTGCTGTGCTGAAGTTGGTGTTCCTCTAGACTTGGGACAGTGTTCTCGGGGCATCTCTGGAGTTGCCTGAAGGAAGTCGAGCCACCGGTCGTGTTGAATGGGGAACGGGGAATGGCTCTGGAGTCAATGCAGGGGAATCGGGCCTCATCTCGAGTTGATTTGGGGCACATGGAGCTGCTTTGCGTTGCTGGGGTGACCTCAGGGTCCGTCTAGACTGGTGACAGTGTTCTTGGGGACTGTCTCGAGATCCATTAAGCAAGTCGAAGCTCCTGACTTGTTTGAATGGGATCACGGAATAGCTCTGCATGCACTGCAGGGGAATGGGGCCTCATCTCGCCTCTAGGGGGAAGTCTCATGGTTTTTCTCGAGTTGCGGCGGGGACCTGGGGTATGTTCTCGACTTACGGCGGGGATGGCCCTTCAAAACACGAGTTTCTTCAGTGACGTCAGGACTCCTGTCTAGTAACGAGGGACACCTCAGGAATCTCTTCGAGGCTTGACAGGGCCAAAGGGACGCTTCTCGAGGTGAGGCAGGGCACCCAAGGACCCTTTCCAGTAGCCACAGGGATTTTGGGATTCCTATCAGTATTCAAGAGGAGTCAGGCATCGTCACCTTTTGAAGCAATGAACTCCGCGTGCCTCTCGAGGTGTCAGCGGGATGTGAGGCATTCCGTCAAAATGAGGCAGGGACCTAGGGCTTTCTCTAAGGTCTCCACAGGGGATTCAGACATCCCTTCATGTTGTGCGATGAAAGACGAGCCTGTATTCAAGCCACTGCAAGGAAATCCGGCCTCCTTTCAAGTTAGGGCTTCTCGCTGTATATTCCCCTTGAGGCAGCAAACTCGGGGTCCCTCCCACATACCTATTGCTGAGAGAAGCCTCCTCCTGAGGTGCTTCTGGGAAGTTGGCATACGTCTTGAGCCTAAGCCAGGGAATCAGCTCGCATCTCGAGACGATTTGGGGTACACGGAGCATTCCTCGAGTTGCTGTGCTGAAGTTGGTGTTCCTCTAGACTTGGGACAGTGTTCTCGGGGCATCTCTGGAGTTGCCTGAAGGAAGTCGAGCCACCGGTCGTGTTGAATGGGGAACGGGGAATGGCTCTGGAGTCAATGCAGGGGAATCGGGCCTCATCTCGAGTTGATTTGGGGCACATGGAGCTGCTTTGCGTTGCTGGGGTGACCTCAGGGTCCGTCTAGACTGGTGACAGTGTTCTTGGGGACTGTCTCGAGATCCATTAAGCAAGTCGAAGCTCCTGACTTGTTTGAATGGGGTCACGGAATAGCTCTGCATGCACTGCAGGGGAATGGGGCCTCATCTCGCCTCTAGGGGGAAGTCTCATGGTTTTTCTCGAGTTGCGGCGGGGACCTGGGGTATGTTCTCGACTTACGGCGGGGATGGCCCTTCAAAACACGAGTTTCTTCAGTGACGTCAGGACTCCTGTCTAGTAACGAGGGACACCTCAGGAAACTCTTCGAAGCTTGGCAGGGCCAAAGGGACGCTTCTCGAGGTGAGGCAGGGCACCCAAGGACCCTTTCCAGTAGCCACAGGGATTTTGGGATTCCTATCAGTATCCAAGAGGAGTCAGGCATCGTCACCTTTTGAAGCAATGAACTCCGCGTGCCTCTCGAGGTGTCAGCGGGATGTGAGGCATTCCGTCAAAATGAGGCAGGGACCTAGGGCTTTCTCTAAGGTCTCCACAGGGGATTCAGACATCCCTTCATGTTGTGAGATGAAAGACGAGCCTGTATTCAAGCCACTGCAAGGAAATCCGGCCTCCTTTCAAGTTAGGGCTTCTCGCTGTATATTCCCCTTGAGGCAGCAAACTCGGGGTCCCTCCCACATACCTATTGCTGAGAGAAGCCTCCTCCTGAGGTGCTTCTGGGAAGTTGGCATACGTCTTGAGCCTAAGCCAGGGAATCAGCTCGCATCTCGAGACGATTTGGGGTACACGGAGCATTCCTCGAGTTGCTGTGCTGAAGTTGGTGTTCCTCTAGACTTGGGACAGTGTTCTCGGGGCATCTCTGGAGTTGCCTGAAGGAAGTCAAGCCACCGGTCGTGTTGAATGGGGAACGGGGAATGGCTCTGCAGTCAATGCAGGGGAATCGGGCCTCATCTCGAGTTGATTTGGGGCACATGGAGCTGCTTTGCGTTGCTGGGGTGACCTCAGGGTCCGTCTAGACTGGTGACAGTGTTCTTGGGGACTGTCTCGAGATCCATTAAGCAAGTCGAAGCTCCTGACTTGTTTGAATGGGATCACGGAATAGCTCTGCATGCACTGCAGGGGAATGGAGCCTCATCTCGCCTCTAGGGGGAAGTCTCATGGTTTTTCTCGAGTTGCGGCGGGGACCTGGGGTATGTTCTCGACTTACGGCGGGGATGGCCCTTCAAAACACGAGTTTCTTCAGTGACGTCAGGACTCCTGTCTAGTAACGAGGGACACCTCAGGAAACTCTTCGAGGCTTGGCAGGGCCAAAGGGACGCTTCTCGAGGTGAGGCAGGGCACCCAAGGACCCTTTCCAGTAGCCACAGGGATTTTGGGATTCCTATCAGTATTCAAGAGGAGTCAAGCATCGTCACCTTTTGAAGCAATGAACTCCGCGTGCCTCTCGAGGTGTCAGCGGGATGTGAGGCATTCCGTCAAAATGAGGCAGGGACCTAGGGCTTTCTCTAAGGTCTCCACAGGGGATTCAGACATCCCTTCAAGTTGTGAGATGAAAGACGAGCCTGTATTCAAGCCACTGCAAGGAAATCCGGCCTCCTTTCAAGTTAGGGCTTCTCGCTGTATATTCCCCTTGAGGCAGCAAACTCGGGGTCCCTCCCACATACCTATTGCAGAGAGAAGCCTCCTCCTGAGGTGCTTCTGGGAAGTTGGCATACGTCTTGAGCCTAAGCCAGGGAATCAGCTCTCATCTCGAGACGATTTAGGGTACACGGAGCATTCCTCGAGTTGCTGTGCTGAAGTTGGTGTTCCTCTAGACTTGGGACAGTGTTCTCGGGGCATCTCTGGAGTTGCCTGAAGGAAGTCGAGCCACCGGTCGTGTTGAATGGGGAACGGGGAATGGCTCTGGAGTCAATGCAGGGGAATCGGGCCTCATCTCGAGTTGATTTGGGGCACTTGGAGCTGCTTTGTGTTGCTGGGGTGACCTCAGGGTCCGTCTAGACTGGTGACAGTGTTCTTGGGGACTGTCTCGAGATCCATTAAGCAAGTCGAAGCTCCTGACTTGTTTGAATGGGGTCACGGAATAGCTCTGCATGCACTGCAGGGGAATGGGGCCTCATCTCGCCTCTAGGGGGAAGTCTCATGGTTTTTCTCGAGTTGCGGCGGGGACCTGGGGTATGTTCTCGACTTACGGCGGGGATGGCCCTTCAAAACACGAGTTTCTTCAGTGATGTCAGGACTCCTGTCTAGTAACGAGGGACACCTCAGGAATCTCTTCGAGGCTTGGCAGGGCCAAAGGGACGCTTCTCGAGGTGAGGCAGGGCACCCAAGGACCCTTTCCAGTAGCCACAGGGATTTTGGGATTCCTATCAGTATTCAAGAGGAGTCAGGCATCGTCACCTTTTGAAGCAATGAACTCCGCGTGCCTCTCGAGGTGTCAGCGGGATGTGAGGCATTCCGTCAAAATGAGGCAGGGACCTAGGGCTTTCTCTAAGGTCTCCACAGGGGATTCAGACATCCCTTCATGTTGTGAGATGAAAGACGAGCCTGTATTCAAGCCACTGCAAGGAAATCCGGCCTCCTTTCAAGTTAGGGCTTCTCGCTGTATATTCCCCTTGAGGCAGCAAACTCGGGGTCCCTCCCACATACCTATTGCTGAGAGAAGCCCCCTCCTGAGGTGCTTCTGGGAAGTTGGCATACGTCTTGAGCCTAAGCCAGGGAATCAGCTCGCATCTCGAGACGATTTGGGGTACACGGAGCATTCCTCGAGTTGCTGTGCTGAAGTTGGTGTTCCTCTAGACTTGGGACAGTGTTCTCGGGGCATCTCTGGAGTTGCCTGAAGGAAGTCGAGCCACCGGTCGTGTTGAATGGGGAACGGGGAATGGCTCTGGAGTCAATGCAGGGGAATCGGGCCTCATCTCGAGTTGATTTGGGGCACATGGAGCTGCTTTGCGTTGCTGGGGTGACCTCAGGGTCCGTCTAGACTGGTGACAGTGTTCTTGGGGACTGTCTCGAGATCCATTAAGCAAGTTGAAGCTCCTGACTTGTTTGAATGGGATCACGGAATAGCTCTGCATGCACTGCAGGAGAATGGGGCCTCATCTCGCCTCTAGGGGGAAGTCTCATGGTTTTTCTCGAGTTGCGGCGGGGACCTGGGGTATGTTCTCGACTTACGGCGGGGATGGCCCTTCAAAACACGAGTTTCTTCAGTGACGTCAGGACTCCTGTCTAGTAACGAGGGACACCTCAGGAAACTCTTCGAAGCTTGGCAGGGCCAAAGGGACGCTTCTCGAGGTGAGGCAGGGCACCCAAGGACCCTTTCCAGTAGCCACAGGGATTTTGGGATTCCTATCAGTATCCAAGAGGAGTCAGGCATCGTCACCTTTTGAAGCAATGAACTCCGCGTGCCTCTCGAGGTGTCAGCGGGATGTGAGGCATTCCGTCAAAATGAGGCAGGGACCTAGGGCTTTCTCTAAGGTCTCCACAGGGGATTCAGACATCCCTTCATGTTGTGAGATGAAAGACGAGCCTGTATTCAAGCCACTGCAAGGAAATCCGGCCTCCTTTCAAGTTAGGGCTTCTCGCTGTATATTCCCCTTGAGGCAGCAAACTCGGGGTCCCTCCCACATACCTATTGCTGAGAGAAGCCTCCTCCTGAGGTGCTTCTGGGAAGTTGGCATACGTCTTGAGCCTAAGCCAGGGAATCAGCTCGCATCTCGAGACGATTTGGGGTACACGGACCATTCCTCGAGTTGCTGTGCTGAAGTTGGTGTTCCTCTAGACTTGGGACAGTGTTCTCGGGGCATCTCTGGAGTTGCCTGAAGGAAGTTGAGCCACCGGTCGTGTTGAATGGGGAACGGGGAATGGCTCTGCAGTCAATGCAGGGGAATCGGGCCTCATCTCGAGTTGATTTGGGGCACATGGAGCTGCTTTGCGTTGCTGGGGTGACCTCAGGGTCCGTCTAGACTGGTGACAGTGTTCTTGGGGACTGTCTCGAGATCCATTAAGCAAGTCGAAGCTCCTGACTTGTTTGAATGGGATCACGGAATAGCTCTGCATGCACTGCAGGGGAATGGAGCCTCATCTCGCCTCTAGGGGGAAGTCTCATGGTTTTTCTCGAGTTGCGGCGGGGACCTGGGGTATGTTCTCGACTTACGGCGGGGATGGCCCTTCAAAACACGAGTTTCTTCAGTGACGTCAGGACTCCTGTCTAGTAACGAGGGACACCTCAGGAAACTCTTCGAGGCTTGGCAGGGCCAAAGGGACGCTTCTCGAGGTGAGGCAGGGCACCCAAGGACCCTTTCCAGTAGCCACAGGGATTTTGGGATTCCTATCAGTATTCAAGAGGAGTCAGGCATCGTCACCTTTTGAAGCAATGAACTCCGCGTGCCTCTCGAGGTGTCAGCGGGATGTGAGGCATTCCGTCAAAATGAGGCAGGGACCTAGGGCTTTCTCTAAGGTCTCCACAGGGGATTCAGACATCCCTTCAAGTTGTGAGATGAAAGACGAGCCTGTATTCAAGCCACTGCAAGGAAATCCGGCCTCCTTTCAAGTTAGGGCTTCTCGCTGTATATTCCCCTTGAGGCAGCAAACTCGGGGTCCCTCCCACATACCTATTGCTGAGAGAAGCCTCCTCCTGAGGTGCTTCTGGGAAGTTGGCATACGTCTTGAGCCTAAGCCAGGGAATCAGCTCTCATCTCGAGACGATTTGGGGTACACGGAGCATTCCTCGAGTTGCTGTGCTGAAGTTGGTGTTCCTCTAGACTTGGGACAGTGTTCTCGGGGCATCTCTGGAGTTGCCTGAAGGAAGTCGAGCCACCGGTCGTGTTGAATGGGGAACGGGGAATGGCTCTGGAGTCAATGCAGGGGAATCGGGCCTCATCTCGAGTTGATTTGGGGCACATGGAGCTGCTTTGTGTTGCTGGGGTGACCTCAGGGTCCGTCTAGACTGGTGACAGTGTTCTTGGGGACTGTCTCGAGATCCATTAAGAAAGTCGAAGCTCCTGACTTGTTTGAATGGGGTCACGGAATAGCTCTGCATGCACTGCAGGGGAATGGGGCCTCATCTCGCCTCTAGGGGGAAGTCTCATGGTTTTTCTCGAGTTGCGGCGGGGACCTGGGGTATGTTCTCGACTTACGGCGGGGATGGCCCTTCAAAACACGAGTTTCTTCAGTGACGTCAGGACTCCTGTCTAGTAACGAGGGACACCTCAGGAATCTCTTCGAGGCTTGGCAGGGCCAAAGGGACGCTTCTCGAGGTGAGGCAGGGCACCCAAGGACCCTTTCCAGTAGCCACAGGGATTTTGGGATTCCTATCAGTATTCAAGAGGAGTCAGGCATCGTCACCTTTTGAAGCAATGAACTCCGCGTGCCTCTCGAGGTGTCAGCGGGATGTGAGGCATTCCGTCAAAATGAGGCAGGGACCTAGGGCTTTCTCTAAGGTCTCCACAGGGGATTCAGACATCCCTTCATGTTGTGAGATGAAAGACGAGCCTGTATTCAAGCCACTGCAAGGAAATCCGGCCTCCTTTCAAGTTAGGGCTTCTCGCTGTATATTCCCCTTGAGGCAGCACACTCGGGGTCCCTCCCACATACCTATTGCTGAGAGAAGCCTCCTCCTGAGGTGCTTCTGGGAAGTTGGCATACGTCTTGAGCCTAAGCCAGGGAATCAGCTCGCATCTCGAGACGATTTGGGGTAGACGGAGCATTCCTCGAGTTGCTGTGCTGAAGTTGGTGTTCCTCTAGACTTGGGACAGTGTTCTCGGGGCATCTCTGGAGTTGCCTGAAGGAAGTCGAGCCACCGGTCGTGTTGAATGGGGAACGGGGAATGGCTCTGGAGTCAATGCAGGGGAATCGGGCCTCATCTCGAGTTGATTTGGGGCACATGGAGCTGCTTTGCGTTGCTGGGGTGACCTCAGGGTCCGTCTAGACTGGTGACAGTGTTCTTGGGGACTGTCTCGAGATCCATTAAGCAAGTCGAAGCTCCTGACTTGTTTGAATGGGGTCACGGAATAGCTCTGCATGCACTGCAGGGGAATGGGGACTCATCTCGCCTCTAGGGGGAAGTCTCATGGTTTTTCTCGAGTTGCGGCGGGGACCTGGGGTATGTTCTCGACTTACGGCGGGGATGGCCCTTCACAACACGAGTTTCTTCAGTGACGTCAGGACTCCTGTCTAGTAACGAGGGACACCTCAGGAATCTCTTCGAGGCTTGGCAGGGCCAAAGGAACGCTTCTCGAGGTGAGGCAGGGCACCCAAGGACCCTTTCCAGTAGCCACAGGGATTTTGGGATTCCTATCAGTATTCAAGAGGAGTCAGGCATCGTCACCTTTTGAAGCAATGAACTCCGCGTGCCTCTCGAGGTGTCAGCGGGATGTGAGGCATTCCGTCAAAATGAGGCAGGGACCTAGGGCTTTCTCTAAGGTCTCCACAGGGGATTCAGACATCCCTTCATGTTGTGAGATGAAAGACGAGCCTGTATTCAAGCCACTGCAAGGAAATCCGGCCTCCTTTCAAGTTAGGGCTTCTCGCTGTATATTCCCCTTGAGGCAGCACACTCGGGGTCCCTCCCACATACCTATTGCTGAGAGAAGCCTCCTCCTGAGGTGCTTCTGGGAAGTTGGCATACGTCTTGAGCCTAAGCCAGGGAATCAGCTCGCATCTCGAGACGATTTGGGGTAGACGGAGCATTCCTCGAGTTGCTGTGCTGAAGTTGGTGTTCCTCTAGACTTGGGACAGTGTTCTCGGGGCATCTCTGGAGTTGCCTGAAGGAAGTCGAGCCACCGGTCGTGTTGAATGGGGAACGGGGAATGGCTCTGGAGTCAATGCAGGGGAATCGGGCCTCATCTCGAGTTGATTTGGGGCACATGGAGCTGCTTTGCGTTGCTGGGGTGACCTCAGGGTCCGTCTAGACTGATGACAGTGTTCTTGGGGACTGTCTCGAGATCCATTAAGCAAGTCGAAGCTCCTGACTTGTTTGAATGGGATCACGGAATAGCTCTGCATGCACTGCAGGGGAATGGGGCCTCATCTCGCCTCTAGGGGGAAGTCTCATGGTTTTTCTCGAGTTGCGGCGGGGACCTGGGGTATGTTCTCGACTTACGGCGGGGATGGCCCTTCAAAACACAAGTTTCTTCAGTGACGTCAGGACTCCTGTCTAATAACGAGGGACAACTCAGGAATCTCTTCGAGGCTTGGCAGGGCCAAAGGGACGCTTCTAGAGGTGAGGCAGGGCACCCAAGGACCCTTTCCAGTAGCCACAGGGATTTTGGGATTCCTATCAGTATTCAAGAGGAGTCAGGCATCGTCACCTTTTGAAGCAATGAACTCCGCGTGACTCTCGAGGTGTCAGCGGGATGTGAGGCATTCCGTCAAAATGAGGCAGGGACCTAGGGCTTTCTCTAAGGTCTCCACAGGGGATTCAGACATCCCTTCATGTTGTGAGATGAAAGACGAGCCTGTATTCAAGCCACTGCAAGGAAATCCGGCCTCCTTTCAAGTTAGGGCTTCTCGCTGTATATTCCCCTTGAGGCAGCAAACTCGGGGTCCCTCCCACATACCTATTGCTGAGAGAAGCCTCCTCCTGAGGTGCTTCTGGGAAGTTGGCATACGTCTTGAGCCTAAGCCAGGGAATCAGCTCGCATCTCGAGACGATTTGGGGTACACGGAGCATTCCTCGAGTTGCTGTGCTGAAGTTGGTGTTCCTCTAGACTTGGGACAGTGTTCTCGGGGCATCTCTGGAGTTGCCTGAAGGAAGTCGAGCCACCGGTCGTGTTGAATGGGGAACGGGGAATGGCTCTGGAGTCAATGCAGGGGAATCGGGCCTCATCTCGAGTTGATTTGGGGCACATGGAGCTGCTTTGCGTTGCTGGGGTGACCTCAGGGTCCGTCTAGACTGGTGACAGTGTTCTTGGGGACTGTCTCGAGATCCATTAAGCAAGTCGAAGCTCCTGACTTGTTTGAATGGGATCACGGAATAGCTCTGCATGCACTGCAGGGGAATGGGGCCTCATCTCGCCTCTAGGGGGAAGTCTCATGGTTTTTCTCGAGTTGCGGCGGGGACCTGGGGTATGTTCTCGACTTACGGCGGGGATGGCCCTTCAAAACACGAGTTTCTTCAGTGACGTCAGGACTCCTGTCTAGTAACGAGGGACACCTCAGGAATCTCTTCGAGGTTTGGCAGGGCCAAAGGGACGCTTCTCGAGGTGAGGCAGGGCACCCAAGGACCCTTTCCAGTAGCCACAGGGATTTTGGGATTCCTATCAGTATTCAAGAGGAGTCAGGCATCGTCACCTTTTGAAGCAATGAACTCCGCGTGCCTCTCGAGGTGTCAGCGGGATGTGAGGCATTCCGTCAAAATGAGGCAGGGACCTAGGGCTTTCTCTAAGGTCTCCACAGGGGATTCAGACATCCCTTCATGTTGTGAGATGAAAGACGAGCCTGTATTCAAGCCACTGCAAGGAAATCCGGCCTCCTTTCAAGTTAGGGCTTCTCGCTGTATATTCCCCTTGAGGCAGCAAACTTGGGGTCCCTCCCACATACCTATTGCTGAGAGAAGCCTCCTCCTGAGGTGCTTCTGGGAAGTTGGCATACGTCTTGAGCCTAAGCCAGGGAATCAGCTCGCATCTCGAGACGATTTGGGGTACACGGACCATTCCTCGAGTTGCTGTGCTGAAGTTGGTGTTCCTCTAGACTTGGGACAGTGTTCTCGGGGCATCTCTGGAGTTGCCTGAAGGAAGTCGAGCCACCGGTCGTGTTGAATGGGGAACGGGGAATGGCTCTGGAGTCAATGCAGGGGAATCGGGCCTCATCTCGAGTTGATTTGGGGCACATGGAGCTGCTTTGCGTTGCTGGGGTGACCTCAGGGTCCGTCTAGACTGGTGACAGTGTTCTTGGGGACTGTCTCGAGATCCATTAAGCAAGTCGAAGCTCCTGACTTGTTTGAATGGGATCACGGAATAGCTCTGCATGCACTGCAGGGGAATGGGGCCTCATCTCGCCTCTAGGGGGAAGTCTCATGGTTTTTCTCGAGTTGCGGCGGGGACCTGGGGTATGTTCTCGACTTACGGCGGGGATGGCCCTTCAAAACACGAGTTTCTTCAGTGACGTCAGGACTCCTGTCTAGTAACGAGGGACACCTCAGGAATCTCTTCGAGGCTTGGCAGGGCCAAAGGGACGCTTCTCGAGGTGAGGCAGGGCACCCAAGGACCCTTTCCAGTAGCCACAGGGATTTTGGGATTCCTATCAGTATTCAAGAGGAGTCAGGCATCGTCACCTTTTGAAGCAATGAACTCCGCGTGCCTCTCGAGGTGTCAGCGGGATGTGAGGCATTCCGTCAAAATGAGGCAGGGACCTAGGGCTTTCTCTAAGGTCTCCACAGGGGATTCAGACATCCCTCCATGTTGTGAGATGAAAGACGAGCCTGTATTCAAGCCACTGCAAGGAAATCCGGCCTCGTTTCAAGTTAGGGCTTCTCGCTGTATATTCCCCTTGAGGCAGCAAACTCGGGGTCCCTCCCACATACCTATTGCTGAGAGAAGCCTCCTCCTGAGGTGCTTCTGGGAAGTTGGCATACGTCTTGAGCCTAAGCCAGGGAATCAGCTCTCATCTCGAGACGATTTGGGGTAGACGGAGCATTCCTCGAGTTGCTGTGCTGAAGTTGGTGTTCCTCTAGACTTGGGACAGTGTTCTCGGGGCATCTCTGGAGTTGCCTGAAGGAAGTCGAGCCACCGGTCGTGTTGAATGGGGAACGGGGAATGGCTCTGGAGTCAATGCAGGGGAATCGGGCCTCATCTCGAGTTGATTTGGGGCACATGGAGCTGCTTTGCGTTGCTGGGGTGACCTCAGGGTCCGTCTAGACTGGTGACAGTGTTCTTGGGGACTGTCTCGAGATCCATTAAGCAAGTCGAAGCTCCTGACTTGTTTGAATGGGATCACGGAATAGCTCTGCATGCACTGCAGGGGAATGGGGCCTCATCTCGCCTCTAGGGGGAAGTCTCATGGTTTTTCTCGAGTTGCGGCGGGGACCTGGGGTATGTTCTCGACTTACGGCGGGGATGGCCCTTCAAAACACGAGTTTCTTCAGTGACGTCAGGACTCCTGTCTAGTAACGAGGGACACCTCAGGAATCTCTTCGAGGCTTGGCAGGGCCAAAGGGACGCTTCTCGAGGTGAGGCAGGGCACCCAAGGACCCTTTCCAGTAGCCACAGGGATTTTGGGATTCCTATCAGTATTCAAGAGGAGTCAGGCATCGTCACCTTTTGAAGCAATGAACTCCGCGTGCCTCTCGAGGTGTCAGCGGGATGTGAGGCATTCCGTCAAAATGAGGCAGGGACCTAGGGCTTTCTCTAAGGTCTCCACAGGGGATTCAGACATCCCTTCATGTTGTGAGATGAAAGACGAGCCTGTATTCAAGCCACTGCAAGGAAATCCGGCCTCCTTTCAAGTTAGGGCTTCTCGCTGTATATTCCCCTTGAGGCAGCAAACTCGGGGTCCCTCCCACATACCTATTGCTGAGAGAAGCCTCCTCCTGAGGTGCTTCTGGGAAGTTGGCATACGTCTTGAGCCTAAGCCAGGGAATCAGCTCGCATCTCGAGACGATTTGGGGTACACGGAGCATTCCTCGAGTTGCTGTGCTGAAGTTGGTGTTCCTCTAGACTTGGGACAGTGTTCTCGGGGCATCTCTGGAGTTGCCTGAAGGAAGTCGAGCCACCGGTCGTGTTGAATGGGGAACGGGGAATGGCTCTGGAGTCAATGCAGGGGAATCGGGCCTCATCTCGAGTTGATTTGGGGCACATGGAGCTGCTTTGCGTTGCTGGGGTGACCTCAGGGTCCGTCTAGACTGGTGACAGTGTTCTTGGGGACTGTCTCGAGATCCATTAAGCAAGTCGAAGCTCCTGACTTGTTTGAATGGGGTCACGGAATAGCTCTGCATGCACTGCAGGGGAATGGGGCCTCATCTCGCCTCTAGGGGGAAGTCTCATGGTTTTTCTCGAGTTGCGGCGGGGACCTGGGGTATGTTCTCGACTTACGGCGGGGATGGCCCTTCAAAACACGAGTTTCTTCAGTGACGTCAGGACTCCTGTCTAGTAACGAGGGACACCTCAGGAATCTCTTCGAGGCTTGGCAGGGCCAAAGGGACGCTTCTCGAGGTGAGGCAGGGCACCCAAGGACCCTTTCCAGTAGCCACAGGGATTTTGGGATTCCTATCAGTATTCAAGAGGAGTCAGGCATCGTCACCTTTTGAAGCAATGAACTCCGCGTGCCTCTCGAGGTGTCAGCGGGATGTGAGGCATTCCGTCAAAATGAGGCAGGGACCTAGGTCTTTCTCTAAGGTCTCCACAGGGGATTCAGACATCCCTTCATGTTGTGAGATGAAAGAAGAGCCTGTATTCAAGCCACTGCAAGGAAATCCGGCCTCCTTTCAAGTTAGGGCTTCTCGCTGTATATTCCCCTTGAGGCAGCAAACTCGGGGTCCCTCCCACATACCTATTGCTGAGAGTAGCCTCCTCCTGAGGTGCTTCTGGGAAGTTGGCATACGTCTTGAGCCTAAGCCAGGGAATCAGCTCGCATCTCGAGACGATTTGGGGTACACGGAGCATTCCTCGAGTTGCTGTGCTGAAGTTGGTGTTCCTCTAGACTTGGGACAGTGTTCTCGGGGCATCTCTGGAGTTGCCTGAAGGAAGTCGAGCCACCGGTCGTGTTGAATGGGGAACGGGGAATGGCTCTGGAGTCAATGCAGGGGAATCGGGCCTCATCTCGAGTTGATTTGGGGCACATGGAGCTGCTTTGCGTTGCTGGGGTGACCTCAGGGTCCGTCTAGACTGGTGACAGTGTTCTTGGGGACTGTCTCGCGATCCATTAAGCAAGTCGAAGCTCCTGACTTGTTTGAATGGGGTCACGGAATAGCTCTGCATGCACTGCAGGGGAATGGGGCCTCATCTCGCCTCTAGGGGGAAGTCTCATGGTTTTTCTCGAGTTGCGGCGGGGACCTGGGGTATGTTCTCGACTTACGGCGGGGATGGCCCTTCAAAACACGAGTTTCTTCAGTGACATCAGGACTCCTGTCTAGTAACGAGGGACACCTCAGGAATCTCTTCGAGGCTTGGCAGGGCCAAAGGGACGCTTCTCGAGGTGAGGCAGGGCACCCAAGGACCCTTTCCAGTAGCCACAGGGATTTTGGGATTCCTATCAGTATTCAAGAGGAGTCAGGCATCGTCACCTTTTGAAGCAATGAACTCCGCGTGCCTCTCGAGGTGTCAGCGGGATGTGAGGCATTCCGTCAAAATGAGGCAGGGACCTAGGGCTTTCTCTAAGGTCTCCACAGGGGATTCAGACATCCCTTCATGTTGTGAGATGAAAGACGAGCCTGTATTCAAGCCACTGCAAGGAAATCCGGCCTCCTTTCAAGTTAGGGCTTCTCGCTGTATATTCCCCTTGAGGCAGCAAACTCGGGGTCCCTCCCACATACCTATTGCTGAGAGAAGCCCCCTCCTGAGGTGCTTCTGGGAAGTTGGCATACGTCTTGAGCCTAAGCCAGGGAATCAGCTCGCATCTCGAGACGATTTGGGGTACACGGAGCATTCCTCGAGTTGCTGTGCTGAAGTTGGTGTTCCTCTAGACTTGGGACAGTGTTCTCGGGGCATCTCTGGAGTTGCCTGAAGGAAGTCGAGCCACCGGTCGTGTTGAATGGGGAACGGGGAATGGCTCTGGAGTCAATGCAGGGGAATCGGGCCTCATCTCGAGTTGATTTGGGGCACATGGAGCTGCTTTGCGTTGCTGGGGTGACCTCAGGGTCCGTCTAGACTGGTGACAGTGTTCTTGGGGACTGTCTCGAGATCCATTAAGCAAGTCGAAGCTCCTGACTTGTTTGAATGGGGTCACGGAATAGCTCTGCATGCACTGCAGGGGAATGGGGCCTCATCTCGCCTCTAGGGGGAAGTCTCATGGTTTTTCTCGAGTTGCGGCGGGGACCTGGGGTATGTTCTCGACTTACGGCGGGGATGGCCCTTCAAAACACGAGTTTCTTCAGTGACGTCAGGACTCCTGTCTAGTAACGAGGGACACCTCAGGAAACTCTTCGAAGCTTGGCAGGGCCAAAGGGACGCTTCTCGAGGTGAGGCAGGGCACCCAAGGACCCTTTCCAGTAGCCACAGGGATTTTGGGATTCCTATCAGTATCCAAGAGGAGTCAGGCATCGTCACCTTTTGAAGCAATGAACTCCGCGTGCCTCTCGAGGTGTCAGCGGGATGTGAGGCATTCCGTCAAAATGAGGCAGGGACCTAGGGCTTTCTCTAAGGTCTCCACAGGGGATTCAGACATCCCTTCATGTTGTGAGATGAAAGACGAGCCTGTATTCAAGCCACTGCAAGGAAATCCGGCCTCCTTTCAAGTTAGGGCTTCTCGCTGTATATTCCCCTTGAGGCAGAAAACTCGGGGTCCCTCCCACATACCTATTGCTGAGAGAAGCCTCCTCCTGAGGTGCTTCTGGGAAGTTGGCATACGTCTTGAGCCTAAGCCAGGGAATCAGCTCGCATCTCGAGACGATTTGGGGTACACGGAGCATTCCTCGAGTTGCTGTGCTGAAGTTGGTGTTCCTCTAGACTTGGGACAGTGTTCTCGGGGCATCTCTGGAGTTGCCTGAAGGAAGTCGAGCCACCGGTCGTGTTGAATGGGGAACGGGGAATGGCTCTGGAGTCAATGCAGGGGAATCGGGCCTCATCTCGAGTTGATTTGGGGCACATGGAGCTGCTTTGCGTTGCTGGGGTGACCTCAGGGTCCGTCTAGACTGGTGACAGTGTTCTTGGGGACTGTCTCGAGATCCATTAAGCAAGTCGAAGCTCCTGACTTGTTTGAATGGGATCACGGAATAGCTCTGCATGCACTGCAGGGGAATGGAGCCTCATCTCGCCTCTAGGGGGAAGTCTCATGGTTTTTCTCGAGTTGCAGCGGGGACCTGGGGTATGTTCTCGACTTACGGCGGGGATGGCCCTTCAAAACACGAGTTTCTTCAGTGACGTCAGGACTCCTGTCTAGTAACGAGGGACACCTCAGGAAACTCTTCGAGGCTTGGCAGGGCCAAAGGGACGCTTCTCGAGGTGAGGCAGGGCACCCAAGGACCCTTTCCAGTAGCCACAGGGATTTTGGGATTCCTATCAGTATTCAAGAGGAGTCAGGCATCGTCACCTTTTGAAGCAATGAACTCCGCGTGCCTCTCGAGGTGTCAGCGGGATGTGAGGCATTCCGTCAAAATGAGGCAGGGACCTAGGGCTTTCTCTAAGGTCTCCACAGGGGATTCAGACATCCCTTCAAGTTGTGAGATGAAAGACGAGCCTGTATTCAAGCCACTGCAAGGAAATCCGGCCTCCTTTCAAGTTAGGGCTTCTCGCTGTATATTCCCCTTGAGGCAGCAAACTCGGGGTCCCTCCCACATACCTATTGCTGAGAGAAGCCTCCTCCTGAGGTGCTTCTGGGAAGTTGGCATACGTCTTGAGCCTAAGCCAGGGAATCAGCTCTCATCTCGAGACGATTTGGGGTACACGGAGCATTCCTCGAGTTGCTGTGCTGAAGTTGGTGTTCCTCTAGACTTCGGACAGTGTTCTCGGGGCAACTCTGGAGTTGCCTGAAGGAAGTCGAGCCACCGGTCGTGTTGAATGGGGAACGGGGAATGGCTCTGGAGTCAATGCAGGGGAATCGGGCCTCATCTCGAGTTGATTTGGGGCACATGGAGCTGCTTTGCGTTGCTGGGGTGACCTCAGGGTCCGTCTAGACTGGTGACAGTGTTCTTGGGGACTGTCTCGAGATCCATTAAGCAAGTCGAAGCTCCTGACTTGTTTGAATGGGGTCACGGAATACCTCTGCATGCACTGCAGGGGAATGGGGCCTCATCTCGCCTCTAGGGGGAAGTCTCATGGTTTTTCTCGAGTTGCGGCGGGGACCTGGGGTATGTTCTCGACTTACGGCGGGGATGGCCCTTCAAAACACGAGTTTCTTCAGTGACGTCAGGACTCCTGTCTAGTAACGAGGGACACCTCAGGAATCTCTTCGAGGCTTGGCAGGGCCAAAGGGACGCTTCTCGAGGTGAGGCAGGGCACCCAAGGACCCTTTCCAGTAGCCACAGGGATTTTGGGATTCCTATCAGTATTCAAGAGGAGTCAGGCATCGTCACCTTTTGAAGCAATGAACTCCGCGTGCCTCTCGAGGTGTCAGCGGGATGTGAGGCATTCCGTCAAAATGAGGCAGGGACCTAGGGCTTTCTCTAAGGTCTCCACAGGGGATTCAGACATCCCTTCATGTTGTGAGATGAAAGACGAGCCTGTATTCAAGCCACTGCAAGGAAATCCGGCCTCCTTTCAAGTTAGGGCTTCTCGCTGTATATTCCCCTTGAGGCAGCAAACTCGGGGTCCCTCCCACATACCTATTGCTGAGAGAAGCCTCCTCCTGAGGTGCTTCTGGGAAGTTGGCATACGTCTTGAGCCTAAGCCAGGGAATCAGCTCGCATCTCGAGACGATTTGGGGTACACGGAGCATTCCTCGAGTTGCTGTGCTGAAGTTGGTGTTCCTCTAGACTTGGGACAGTGTTCTCGGGGCATCTCTGGAGTTGCCTGAAGGAAGTCGAGCCACCGGTCGTGTTGAATGGGGAACGGGGAATGGCTCTGGAGTCAATGCAGGGGAATCGGGCCTCATCTCGAGTTGATTTGGGGCACATGGAGCTGCTTTGCGTTGCTGGGGTGACCTCAGGGTCCGTCTAGACTGGTGACAGTGTTCTTGGGGACTGTCTCGAGATCCATTAAGCAAGTCGAAGCTCCTGACTTGTTTGAATGGGGTCACGGAATAGCTCTGCATGCACTGCAGGGGAATGGGGCCTCATCTCGCCTCTAGGGGGAAGTCTCATGGTTTTTCTCGAGTTGCGGCGGGGACCTGGGGTATGTTCTCGACTTACGGCGGGGATGGCCCTTCAAAACACGAGTTTCTTCAGTGACGTCAGGACTCCTGTCTAGTAACGAGGGACACCTCAGGAATCTCTTCGAGGCTTGGCAGGGCCAAAGGGACGCTTCTCGAGGTGAGGCAGGGCACCCAAGGACCCTTTCCAGTAGCCACAGGGATTTTGGGATTCCTATCAGTATTCAAGAGGAGTCAGGCATCGTCACCTTTTGAAGCAATGAACTCCGCGTGCCTCTCGAGGTGTCAGCGGGATGTGAGGCATTCCGTCAAAATGAGGCAGGGACCTAGGGCTTTCTCTAAGGTCTCCACAGGGGATTCAGACATCCCTTCATGTTGTGAGATGAAAGACGAGCCTGTATTCAAGCCACTGCAAGGAAATCCGGCCTCCTTTCAAGTTAGGGCTTCTCGCTGTATATTCCCCTTGAGGCAGCAAACTCGGGGTCCCTCCCACATACCTATTGCTGAGAGAAGCCTCCTCCTGAGGTGCTTCTGGGAAGTTGGCATACGTCTTGAGCCTAAGCCAGGGAATCAGCTCGCATCTCGAGACGATTTGGGGTACACGGAGCATTCCTCGAGTTGCTGTGCTGAAGTTGGTGTTCCTCTAGACTTGGGACAGTGTTCTCGGGGCATCTCTGGAGTTGCCTGAAGGAAGTCGAGCCACCGTTCGTGTTGAATGGGGAACGGGGAATGGCTCTGGAGTCAATGCAGGGGAATCGGGCCTCATCTCGAGTTGATTTGGGGCACATGGAGCTGCTTTGCGTTGCTGGGGTGACCTCAGGTTCCGTCTAGACTGGTGACAGTGTTCTTGGGGACTGTCTCGAGATCCATTAAGCAAGTCGAAGCTCCTGACTTGTTTGAATGGGATCACGGAATAGCTCTGCATGCACTGCAGGGGAATGGAGCCTCATCTCTCCTCTAGGGGGAAGTCTCATGGTTTTTCTCGAGTTGCGGCGGGGACCTGGGGTATGTTCTCGACTTACGGCGGGGATGGCCCTTCAAAACACGAGTTTCTTCAGTGACGTCAGGACTCCTGTCTAGTAACGAGGGACACCTCAGGAATCTCTTCGAGGCTTGGCAGGGCCAAAGGGACGCTTCTCGAGGTGAGGCAGGGCACCCAAGGACCCTTTCCAGTAGCCACAGGGATTTTGGGATTCCTATCAGTATTCTAGAGGAGTCAGGCATCGTCACCTTTTGAAGCAATGAACTCCGCGTGCCTCTCGAGGTGTCAGCGGGATGTGAGGCATTCCGTCAAAATGAGGCAGGGACCTAGGGCTTTCTCTAAGGTCTCCACAGGGGATTCAGACATCCCTTCATGTTGTGAGATGAAAGACGAGCCTGTATTCAAGCCACTGCAAGGAAATCCGGCCTCCTTTCAAGTTAGGGCTTCTCGCTGTATATTCCCCTTGAGGCAGCAAACTCGGGGTCCCTCCCACATACCTATTGCTGAGAGAAGCCTCCTCCTGAGGTGCTTCTGGGAAGTTGGCATACGTCTTGAGCCTAAGCCAGGGAATCAGCTCGCATCTCGAGACGATTTGGGGTACACGGAGCATTCCTCGAGTTGCTGTGCTGAAGTTGGTGTTCCTCTAGACTTGGGACAGTGTTCTCGGGGCATCTCTGGAGTTGCCTGAAGGAAGTCGAGCCACCGGTCGTGTTGAATGGGGAACGGGGAATGGCTCTGGAGTCAATGCAGGGGAATCGGGCCTCATCTCGAGTTGATTTGGGGCACATGGAGCTGCTTTGCGTTGCTGGGGTGACCTCAGGGTCCGTCTAGACTGGTGACAGTGTTCTTGGGGACTGTCTCGAGATCCATTAAGCAAGTCGAAGCTCCTGACTTGTTTGAATGGGATCACGGAATAGCTCTGCATGCACTGCAGGGGAATGGGGCCTCATCTCGCCTCTAGGGGGAAGTCTCATGGTTTTTCTCGAGTTGCGGCGGGGACCTGGGGTATGTTCTCGACTTACGGCGGGGATGGCCCTTCAAAACACGAGTTTCTTCAGTGACGTCAGGACTCCTGTCTAGTAACGAGGGACACCTCAGGAATCTCTTCGAGGCTTGGCAGGGCCAAAGGGACGCTTCTCGAGGTGAGGCAGGGCACCCAAGGACCCTTTCCAGTAGCCACAGGGATTTTGGGATTCCTATCAGTATTCAAGAGGAGTCAGGCATCGTCACCTTTTGAAGCAATGAACTCCGCGTGCCTCTCGAGGTGTCAGCGGGATGTGAGGCATTCCGTCAAAATGAGGCAGGGACCTAGGGCTTTCTCTAAGGTCTCCACAGGGGATTCAGACATCCCTTCATGTTGTGAGATGAAAGACGAGCCTGTATTCAAGCCACTGCAAGGAAATCCGGCCTCCTTTCAAGTTAGGGCTTCTCGCTGTATATTCCCCTTGAGGCAGCAAACTCGGGGTCCCTCCCACATACCTATTGCTGAGAGAAGCCTCCTCCTGAGGTGCTTCTGGGAAGTTGGCATACGTCTTGAGCCTAAGCCAGGGAATCAGCTCGCATCTCGAGACGATTTGGGGTAGACGGAGCATTCCTCGAGTTGCTGTGCTGAAGTTGGTGTTCCTCTAGACTTGGGACAGTGTTCTCGGGGCATCTGTGGAGTTGCCTGAAGGAAGTCGAGCCACCGGTCGTGTTGAATGGGGAACGGGGAATGGCTCTGGAGTCAATGCAGGGGAATCGGGCCTCATCTCGAGTTGATTTGGGGCACATGGAGCTGCTTTGCGTTGCTGGGGTGACCTCAGGGTCCGTCTAGACTGGTGACAGTGTTCTTGGGGACTGTCTCGAGATCCATTAAGCAAGTCGAAGCTCCTGACTTGTTTGAATGGGGTCACGGAATAGCTCTGCATGCACTGCAGGGGAATGGGGCCTCATCTCGCCTCTAGGGGGAAGTCTCATGGTTTTTCTCGAGTTGCGGCGGGGACCTGGGGTATGTTCTCGACTTACGGCGGGGATGGCCCTTCAAAACACGAGTTTCTTCAGTGACGTCAGGACTCCTGTCTAGTAACGAGGGACACCTCAGGAATCTCTTCGAGGCTTGGCAGGGCCAAAGGGACGCTTCTCGAGGTGAGGCAGGGCACCCAAGGACCCTTTCCAGTAGCCACAGGGATTTTGGGATTCCTATCAGTATTCAAGAGGAGTCAGGCATCGTCACCTTTTGAAGCAATGAACTCCGCGTGCCTCTCGAGGTGTCAGCGGGATGTGAGGCATTCCGTCAAAATGAGGCAGGGACCTAGGGCTTTCTCTAAGGTCTCCACAGGGGATTCAGACATCCCTTCATGTTGTGAGATGAAAGACGAGCCTGTATTCAAGCCACTGCAAGGAAATCCGGCCTCCTTTCAAGTTAGGGCTTCTCGCTGTATATTCCCCTTGAGGCAGCAAACTCGGGGTCCCTCCCACATACCTATTGCTGAAAGAAGCCTCCTCCTGAGGTGCTTCTGGGAAGTTGGCATACGTCTTGAGCCTAAGCCAGGGAATCAGCTCGCATCTCGAGACTATTTGGGGTAGACGGAGCATTCCTCGAGTTGCTGTGCTGAAGTTGGTGTTCCTCTAGACTTGGGACAGTGTTCTCGGGGCATCTCTGGAGTTGCCTGAAGGAAGTCGAGCCACCGGTCGTGTTGAATGGGGAACGGGGAATGGCTCTGGAGTCAATGCAGGGGAATCGGGCCTCATCTCGAGTTGATTTGGGGCACATGGAGCTGCTTTGCGTTGCTGGGGTGACCTCAGGGTCCGTCTAGACTGGTGACAGTGTTCTTGGGGACTGTCTCGAGATCCATTAAGCAAGTCGAAGCTCCTGACTTGTTTGAATGGGGTCACGGAATAGCTCTGCATGCACTGCAGGGGAATGGGGCCTCATCTCGCCTCTAGGGGGAAGTCTCATGGTTTTTCTCGAGTTGCGGCGGTGACCTGGGGTATGTTCTCGACTTACGGCGGGGATGGCCCTTCAAAACACCAGTTTCTTCAGTGACGTCAGGACTCCTGTCTAGTAACGAGGGACACCTCAGGAATCTCTTCGAGGCTTGGCAGGGCCAAAGGGACGCTTCTCGAGGTGAGGCAGGGCACCCAAGGACCCTTTCCAGTAGCCACAGGGATTTTGGGATTCCTATCAGTATTCAAGAGGAGTCAGGCATCGTCACCTTTTGAAGCAATGAACTCCGCGTGCCTCTCGAGCTGTCAGCGGGATGTGAGGCATTCCGTCAAAATGAGGCAGGGACCTAGGGCTTTCTCTAAGGTCTCCACAGGGGATTCAGACATCCCTTCATGTTGTGAGATGAAAGACGAGCCTGTATTCAAGCCACTGCAAGGAAATCCGGCCTCCTTTCAAGTTAGGGCTTCTCGCTGTATATTCCCCTTGAGGCAGCAAACTCGGGGTCCCTCCCACATACCTATTGCTGAGAGAAGCCTCCTCCTGAGGTGCTTCTGGGAAGTTGGCATACGTCTTGAGCCTAAGCCAGGGAATCAGCTCGCATCTCGAGACGATTTGGGGTACACGGAGCATTCCTCGAGTTGCTGTGCTGAAGTTGGTGTTCCTCTAGACTTGGGACAGTGTTCTCGGGGCATCTCTGGAGTTGCCTGAAGGAAGTCGAGCCACCGTTCGTGTTGAATGGGGAACGGGGAATGGCTCTGGAGTCAATGCAGGGGAATCGGGCCTCATCTCGAGTTGATTTGGGGCACATGGAGCTGCTTTGCGTTGCTGGGGTGACCTCAGGTTCCGTCTAGACTGGTGACAGTGTTCTTGGGGACTGTCTCGAGATACATTAAGCAAGTCGAAGCTCCTGACTTGTTTGAATGGGATCACGGAATAGCTCTGCATGCACTGCAGGGGAATGGAGCCTCATCTCGCCTCTAGGGGGAAGTCTCATGGTTTTTCTCGAGTTGCGGCGGGGACCTGGGGTATGTTCTCGACTTACGGCGGGGATGGCCCTTCAAAACAGGAGTTTCTTCAGTGACGTCAGGACTCCTGTCTAGTAACGAGGGACACCTCAGGAATCTCTTCGAGGCTTGGCAGGGCCAAAGGGACGCTTCTCGAGGTGAGGCAGGGCACCCAAGGACCCTTTCCAGTAGCCACAGGGATTTTGGGATTCCTATCAGTATTCAAGAGGAGTCAGGCATCGTCACCTTTTGAAGCAATGAACTCCGCGTGCCTCTCGAGGTGTCAGCGGGATGTGAGGCATTCCGTCAAAATGAGGCAGGGACCTAGGGCTTTCTCTAAGGTCTCCACAGGGGATTCAGACATCCCTTCATGTTGTGAGATGAAAGACGAGCCTGTATTCAAGCCACTGCAAGGAAATCCGGCCTCCTTTCAAGTTAGGGCTTCTCGCTGTATATTCCCCTTGAGGCAGCAAACTCGGGGTCCCTCCCACATACCTATTGCTGAGAGAAGCCTCCTCCTGAGGTGCTTCTGGGAAGTTGGCATACGTCTTGAGCCTAAGCCAGGGAATCAGCTCTCATCTCGAGACGATTTGGGGTACACGGAGCATTCCTCGAGTTGCTGTGCTGAAGTTGGTGTTCCTCTAGACTTGGGACAGTGTTCTCGGGGCATCTCTGGAGTTGCCTGAAGGAAGTCGAGCCACCGGTCGTGTTGAATGGGGAACGGGGAATGGCTCTGGAGTCAATGCAGGGGAATCGGGCCTCATCTCGAGTTGATTTGGGGCACATGGAGCTGCTTTGCGTTGCTGGGGTGACCTCAGGGTCCGTCTAGACTGGTGACAGTGTTCTTGGGGACTGTCTCGAGATCCATTAAGCAAGTCGAAGCTCCTGACTTGTTTGAATGGGGTAACGGAATAGCTCTGCATGCACTGCAGGGGAATGGGGCCTCATCTCGCCTCTAGGGGGAAGTCTCATGGTTTTTCTCGAGTTGCGGCGGGGACCTGGGGTATGTTCTCGACTTACGGCGGGGATGGCCCTTCAAAACACGAGTTTCTTCAGTGACGTCAGGACTCCTGTCTAGTAACGAGGGACACCTCAGGAATCTCTTCGAGGCTTGGCAGGGCCAAAGGGACGCTTCTCGAGGTGAGGCAGGGCACCCAAGGACCCTTTCCAGTAGCCACAGGGATTTTGGGATTCCTATCAGTATTCAAGAGGAGTCAGGCATCGTCACCTTTTGAAGCAATGAACTCCGCGTGCCTCTCGAGGTGTCAGCGGGATGTGAGGCATTCCGTCAAAATGAGGCAGGGACCTAGGGCTTTCTCTAAGGTCTCCACAGGGGATTCAGACATCCCTTCATGTTGTGAGATGAAAGACGAGCCTGTATTCAAGCCACTGCAAGGAAATCCGGCCTCCTTTCAAGTTAGGGCTTCTCGCTGTATATTCCCCTTGAGGCAGCAAACTCGGGGTCCCTCCCACATACCTATTGCTGAGAGAAGCCTCCTCCTGAGGTGCTTCTGGGAAGTTGGCATACGTCTTGAGCCTAAGCCAGGGAATCAGCTCGCATCTCGAGACGATTTGGGGTACACGGACCATTCCTCGAGTTGCTGTGCTGAAGTTGGTGTTCCTCTAGACTTGGGACAGTGTTCTCGGGGCATCTCTGGAGTTGCCTGAAGGAAGTCGAGCCACCGGTCGTGTTGAATGGGGAACGGGGAATGGCTCTGGAGTCAATGCAGGGGAATCGGGCCTCATCTCGAGTTGATTTGGGGCACATGGAGCTGCTTTGCGTTGCTGGGGTGACCTCAGGGTCCGTCTAGACTGGTGACAGTGTTCTTGGGGACTGTCTCGAGATCCATTAAGCAAGTCGAAGCTCCTGACTTGTTTGAATGGGGTCACGGAATAGCTCTGCATGCACTGCAGGGGAATGGGGCCTCATCTCGCCTCTAGGGGGAAGTCTCATGGTTTTTCTCGAGTTGCGGCGGGGACCTGGGGTATGTTCTCGACTTACGGCGGGGATGGCCCTTCAAAACACGAGTTTCTTCAGTGACGTCAGGACTCCTGTCTAGTAACGAGGGACACCTCAGGAATCTCTTCGAGGCTTGGCAGGGCCAAAGGGACGCTTCTCGAGGTGAGGCAGGGCACCCAAGGACCCTTTCCAGTAGCCACAGGGATTTTGGGATTCCTATCAGTATTCAAGAGGAGTCAGGCATCGTCACCTTTTGAAGCAATGAACTCCGCGTGCCTCTCGAGGTGTCAGCGGGATGTGAGGCATTCCGTCAAAATGAGGCAGGGACCTAGGTCTTTCTCTAAGGTCTCCACAGGGGATTCAGACATCCCTTCATGTTGTGAGATGAAAGACGAGCCTGTATTCAAGCCACTGCAAGGAAATCCGGCCTCCTTTCAAGTTAGGGCTTCTCGCTGTATATTCCCCTTGAGGCAGCAAACTCGGGGTCCCTCCCACATACCTATTGCTGAGAGAAGCCTCCTCCTGAGGTGCTTCTGGGAAGTTGGCATACGTCTTGAGCCTAAGCCAGGGAATCAGCTCGCATCTCGAGACGATTTGGGGTACACGGAGCATTCCTCGAGTTGCTGTGCTGAAGTTGGTGTTCCTCTAGACTTGGGACAGTGTTCTCGGGGCATCTCTGGAGTTGCCTGAAGGAAGTCGAGCCACCGGTCGTGTTGAATGGGGAACGGGGAATGGCTCTGGAGTCAATGCAGGGGAATCGGGCCTCATCTCGAGTTGATTTGGGGCACATGGAGCTGCTTTGCGTTGCTGGGGTGACCTCAGGGTCCGTCTAGACTGGTGACAGTGTTCTTGGGGACTGTCTCGAGATCCATTAAGCAAGTCGAAGCTCCTGACTTGTTTGAATGGGGTCACGGAATAGCTCTGCATGCACTGCAGGGGAATGGGGCCTCATCTCGCCTCTAGGGGGAAGTCTCATGGTTTTTCTCGAGTTGCGGCGGGGACCTGGGGTATGTTCTCGACTTACGGCGGGGATGGCCCTTCAAAACACGAGTTTCTTCAGTGACGTCAGGACTCCTGTCTAGTAACGAGGGACACCTCAGGAATCTCTTCGAGGCTTGGCAGGGCCAAAGGGACGCTTCTCGAGGTGAGGCAGGGCACCCAAGGACCCTTTCCAGTAGCCACAGGGATTTTGGGATTCCTATCAGTATTCAAGAGGAGTCAGGCCTCGTCACCTTTTGAGGCAATGAACTCTGCGTGCCTCTCGAGGTGTCAGCGGGATGTCAGGCATTCCGTCAAAATGAGGCAGGGACCTAGGGCTTTCTCTAAGGTCTCCACAGGGGATTCAGACATCCCTTCATGTTGTGAGATGAAAGACGAGCCTGTATTCAAGCCACTGCAAGGAAATCCGGCCTCCTTTCAAGTTAGGGCTTCTCGCTGTATATTCCCCATGAGGCAGCAAACTCGGGGTCCCTCCCACATACCTATTGCTGAGAGAAGCCTCCTCCTGAGGTGCTTCTGGGAAGTTGGCATACGTCTTGAGCCTAAGCCAGGGAATCAGCTCGCATCTCGAGACGATTTGGGGTACACGGAGCATTACTCGAGTTGCTGTGCTGAAGTTGGTGTTCCTCTAGACTTGGGACAGTGTTCTCGGGGCATCTCTGGAGTTGCCTGAAGGAAGTCGAGCCACCGGTCGTGTTGAATGGGGAACGGGGAATGGCTCTGGAGTCAATGCAGGGGAATCGGGCCTCATCTCGAGTTGATTTGGGGCACATGGAGCTGCTTTGCGTTGCTGGGGTGACCTCAGGGTCCGTCTAGACTGGTGACAGTGTTCTTGGGGACTATCTCGAGATCCATTAAGCAAGTCGAAGCTCCTGACTTGTTTGAATGGGGTCACGGAATAGCTCTGCATGCACTGCAGGGGAATGGGGCCTCATCTCGCCTCTAGGGGGAAGTCTCATGGTTTTTCTCGAGTTGCGGCGGGGACCTGGGGTATGTTCTCGACTTACGGCGGGGATGGCCCTTCAAAACACGAGTTTCTTCAGTGACGTCAGGACTCCTGTCTAGTAACGAGGGACACCTCAGGAATCTCTTCGAGGCTTGGCAGGGCCAAAGGGACGCTTCTCGAGGTGAGGCAGGGCACCCAAGGACCCTTTCCAGTAGCCACAGGGATTTTGGGATTCCTATCAGTATTCAAGAGGAGTCAGGCATCGTCACCTTTTGAAGCAATGAACTCCGCGTGCCTCTCGAGGTGTCAGCGGGATGTGAGGCATTCCGTCAAAATGAGGCAGGGACCTAGGGCTTTCTCTAAGGTCTCCACAGGGGATTCAGACATCCCTTCATGTTGTGAGATGAAAGACGAGCCTGTATTCAAGCCACTGCAAGGAAATCCGGCCTCCTTTCAAGTTAGGGCTTCTCGCTGTATATTCCCCTTGAGGCAGCAAACTCGGGGTCCCTCCCACATAACTATTGCTGAGAGAAGCCCCCTCCTGAGGTGCTTCTGGGAAGTTGGCATACGTCTTGAGCCTAAGCCAGGGAATCAGCTCGCATCTCGAGACGATTTGGGGTACACGGAGCATTCCTCGAGGTGCTGTGCTGAAGTTGGTGTTCCTCTAGACTTGGGACAGTGTTCTCGGGGCATCTCTGGAGTTGCCTGAAGGAAGTCGAGCCACCGGTCGTGTTGAATGGGGAACGGGGAATGGCTCTGGAGTCAATGCAGGGGAATCGGGCCTCATCTCGAGTTGATTTGGGGCACATGGAGCTGCTTTGCGTTGCTGGGGTGACCTCAGGGTCCGTCTAGACTGGTGACAGTGTTCTTGGGGACTGTCTCGAGATCCATTAAGCAAGTCGAAGCTCCTGACTTGTTTGAATGGGATCACGGAATAGCTCTGCATGCACTGCAGGGGAATGGGGCCTCATCTCGCCTCTAGGGGGAAGTCTCATGGTTTTTCTCGAGTTGCGGCGGGGACCTGGGGTATGTTCTCGCCTTACGGCGGGGATGGCCCTTCAAAACACGAGTTTCTTCAGTGACGTCAGGACTCCTGTCTAGTAACGAGGGACACCTCAGGAATCTCTTCGAGGCTTGGCAGGGCCAAAGGGACGCTTCTCGAGGTGAGGCAGGGCACCCAAGGACCCTTTCCAGTAGCCACAGGGATTTTGGGATTCCTATCAGTATTCAAGAGGAGTCAGGCATCGTCACCTTTTGAAGCAATGAACTCCGCGTGCCTCTCGAGGTGTCAGCGGGATGTGAGGCATTCCGTCAAAATGAGGCAGGGACCTAGGGCTTTCTCTAAGGTCTCCACAGGGGATTCAGACATCCCTTCATGTTGTGAGATGAAAGACGAGCCTGTATTCAAGCCACTGCAAGGAAATCCGGCCTCCTTTCAAGTTAGGGCTTCTCGCTGTATATTCCCCTTGAGGCAGCAAACTCGGGGTCCCTCCCACATACCTATTGCTGAGAGAAGCCTCCTCCTGAGGTGCTTTGGGAAGTTGGCATACGTCTTGAGCCTAAGCCAGGGAATCAGCTCGCATCTCGAGACGATTTGGGGTACACGGAGCATTCCTCGAGTTGCTGTGCTGAAGTTGGTGTTCCTCTAGACTTGGGACAGTGTTCTCGGGGCATCTCTGGAGTTGCCTGAAGGAAGTCGAGCCACCGGTCGTGTTGAATGGGGAACGGGGAATGGCTCTGGAGTCAATGCAGGGGAATCGGGCCTCATCTCGAGTTGATTTGGGGCACATGGAGCTGCTTTGCGTTGCTGGGGTGACCTCAGGGTCCGTCTAGACTGGTGACAGTGTTCTTGGGGACTGTCTCGAGATCCATTAAGCAAGTCGAAGCTCCTGACTTGTTTGAATGGGATCACGGAATAGCTCTGCATGCACTGCAGGGGAATGGGGCCTCATCTCGCCTCTAGGGGGAAGTCTCATGGTTTTTCTCGAGTTGCGGCGGGGACCTGGGGTATGTTCTCGACTTACGGCGGGGATGGCCCTTCAAAACACGAGTTTCTTCAGTGACGTCAGGACTCCTGTCTAGTAACGAGGGACACCTCAGGAATCTCTTCGAGGCTTGGCAGGGCCAAAGGGACGCTTCTCGAGGTGAGGCAGGGCACCCAAGGACCCTTTCCAGTAGCCACAGGGATTTTGGGATTCCTATCAGTATTCAAGAGGAGTCAGGCATCGTCACCTTTTGAAGCAATGAACTCCGCGTGCCTCTCGAGGTGTCAGCGGGATGTGAGGCATTCCGTCAAAATGAGGCAGGGACCTAGGGCTTTCTCTAAGGTCTCCACAGGGGATTCAGACATCCCTTCATGTTGTGAGATGAAAGACGAGCCTGTATTCAAGCCACTGCAAGGAAATCCGGCCTCCTTTCAAGTTAGGGCTTCTCGCTGTATATTCCCCTTGAGGCAGCAAACTCGGGGTCCCTCCCACATACCTATTGCTGAGAGAAGCCTCCTCCTGAGGTGCTTCTGGGAAGTTGGCATACGTCTTGAGCCTAAGCCAGGGAATCAGCTCGCATCTCGAGACTATTTGGGGTAGACGGAGCATTCCTCGAGTTGCTGTGCTGAAGTTGGTGTTCCTCTAGACTTGGGACAGTGTTCTCGGGGCATCTCTGGAGTTGCCTGAAGGAAGTCGAGCCACCGGTCGTGTTGAATGGGGAACGGGGAATGGCTCTGGAGTCAATGCAGGGGAATCGGGCCTCATCTCGAGTTGATTTGGGGCACATGGAGCTGCTTTGCGTTGCTGGGGTGACCTCAGGGTCCGTCTAGACTGGTGACAGTGTTCTTGGGGACTGTCTCGAGATCCATTAAGCAAGTCGAAGCTCCTGACTTGTTTGAATGGGGTCACGGAATAGCTCTGCATGCACTGCAGGGGAATGGGGCCTCATCTCGCCTCTAGGGGGAAGTCTCATGGTTTTTCTCGAGTTGCGGCGGGGACCTGGGGTATGTTCTCGACTTACGGCGGGGATGGCCCTTCAAAACACGAGTTTCTTCAGTGACGTCAGGACTCCTGTCTAGTAACGAGGGACACCTCAGGAATCTCTTCGAGGCTTGGCAGGGCCAAAGGGACGCTTCTCGAGGTGAGGCAGGGCACCCAAGGACCCTTTCCAGTAGCCACAGGGATTTTGGGATTCCTATCAGTATTCAAGAGGAGTCAGGCATCGTCACCTTTTGAAGCAATGAACTCCGCGTGCCTCTCGAGGTGTCAGCGGGATGTGAGGCATTCCGTCAAAATGAGGCAGGGACCTAGGGCTTTCTCTAAGGTCTCCACAGGGGATTCAGACATCCCTTCATGTTGTGAGATGAAAGACGAGCCTGTATTCAAGCCACTGCAAGGAAATCCGGCCTCCTTTCAAGTTAGGGCTTCTCGCTGTATATTCCCCTTGAGGCAGCAAACTCGGGGTCCCTCCCACATAACTATTGCTGAGAGAAGCCCCCTCCTGAGGTGCTTCTGGGAAGTTGGCATACGTCTTGAGCCTAAGCCAGGGAATCAGCTCGCATCTCGAGACGATTTGGGGTACACGGAGCATTCCTCGAGGTGCTGTGCTGAAGTTGGTGTTCCTCTAGACTTGGGACAGTGTTCTCGGGGCATCTCTGGAGTTGCCTGAAGGAAGTCGAGCCACCGGTCGTGTTGAATGGGGAACGGGGAATGGCTCTGGAGTCAATGCAGGGGAATCGGGCCTCATCTCGAGTTGATTTGGGGCACATGGAGCTGCTTTGCGTTGCTGGGGTGACCTCAGGGTCCGTCTAGACTGGTGACAGTGTTCTTGGGGACTGTCTCGAGATCCATTAAGCAAGTCGAAGCTCCTGACTTGTTTGAATGGGATCACGGAATAGCTCTGCATGCACTGCAGGGGAATGGGGCCTCATCTCGCCTCTAGGGGGAAGTCTCATGGTTTTTCTCGAGTTGCGGCGGGGACCTGGGGTATGTTCTCGACTTACGGCGGGGATGGCCCTTCAAAACACGAGTTTCTTCAGTGACGTCAGGACTCCTGTCTAGTAACGAGGGACACCTCAGGAATCTCTTCGAGGCTTGGCAGGGCCAAAGGGACGCTTCTCGAGGTGAGGCAGGGCACCCAAGGACCCTTTCCAGTAGCCACAGGGATTTTGGGATTCCTATCAGTATTCAAGAGGAGTCAGGCATCGTCACCTTTTGAAGCAATGAACTCCGCGTGCCTCTCGAGGTGTCAGCGGGATGTGAGGCATTCCGTCAAAATGAGGCAGGGACCTAGGGCTTTCTCTAAGGTCTCCACAGGGGATTCAGACATCCCTTCATGTTGTGAGATGAAAGACGAGCCTGTATTCAAGCCACTGCAAGGAAATCCGGCCTCCTTTCAAGTTAGGGCTTCTCGCTGTATATTCCCCTTGAGGCAGCAAACTCGGGGTCCCTCCCACATACCTATTGCTGAGAGAAGCCTCCTCCTGAGGTGCTTCTGGGAAGTTGGCATACGTCTTGAGCCTAAGCCAGGGAATCAGCTCGCATCTCGAGACGACTTGGGGTACACGGAGCATTCCTCGAGTTGCTGTGCTGAAGTTGGTGTTCCTCTAGACTTGGGACAGTGTTCTCGGGGCATCTCTGGAGTTGCCTGAAGGAAGTCGAGCCACCGGTCGTGTTGAATGGGGAACGGGGAATGGCTCTGGAGTCAATGCAGCGGAATCGGGCCTCATCTCGAGTTGATTTGGGGCACATGGAGCTGCTTTGCGTTGCTGGGGTGACCTCAGGGTCCGTCTAGACTGGTGACAGTGTTCTTGGGGACTGTCTCGAGATCCATTAAGCAAGTCGAAGCTCCTGACTTGTTTGAATGGGATCACGGAATAGCTCTGCATGCACTGCAGGGGAATGGGGCCTCATCTCGCCTCTAGGGGGAAGTCTCATGGTTTTTCTCGAGTTGCGGCGGGGACCTGGGGTATGTTCTCGACTTACGGCGGGGATGGCCCTTCAAAACACGAGTTTCTTCAGTGACGTCAGGACTCCTGTCTAGTAACGAGGGACACCTCAGGAATCTCTTCGAGGCTTGGCAGGGCCAAAGGGACGCTTCTCGAGGTGAGGCAGGGCACCCAAGGACCCTTTCCAGTAGCCACAGGGATTTTGGGATTCCTATCAGTATTCAAGAGGAGTCAGGCATCGTCACCTTTTGAAGCAATGAACTCCGCGTGCCTCTCGAGGTGTCAGCGGGATGTGAGGCATTCCGTCAAAATGAGGCAGGGACCTAGGGCTTTCTCTAAGGTCTCCACAGGGGATTCAGACATCCCTTCATGTTGTGAGATGAAAGACGAGCCTGTATTCAAGCCACTGCAAGGAAATCCGGCCTCCTTTCAAGTTAGGGCTTCTCGCTGTATATTCCCCTTGAGGCAGCAAACTCGGGGTCCCTCCCACATACCTATTGCTGAGAGAAGCCTCCTCCTGAGGTGCTTCTGGGAAGTTGGCATACGTCTTGAGCCTAAGCCAGGGAATCAGCTCGCATCTCGAGACGATTTGGGGTACACGGAGCATTCCTCGAGTTGCTGTGCTGAAGTTGGTGTTCCTCTAGACTTGGGACAGTGTTCTCGGGGCATCTCTGGAGTTGCCTGAAGGAAGTCGAGCCACCGGTCGTGTTGAATGGGGAACGGGGAATGGCTCTGGAGTCAATGCAGGGGAATCGGGCCTCATCTCGAGTTGATTTGGGGCACATGGAGCTGCTTTGCGTTGCTGGGGTGACCTCAGGGTCCGTCTAGACTGGTGACAGTGTTCTTGGGGACTGTCTCGAGATCCATTAAGCAAGTCGAAGCTCCTGACTTGTTTGAATGGGGTCACGGAATAGCTCTGCATGCACTGCAGGGGAATGGGGCCTCATCTCGCCTCTAGGGGGAAGTCTCATGGTTTTTCTCGAGTTGCGGCGGGGACCTGGGGTATGTTCTCGACTTACGGCGGGGATGGCCCTTCAAAACACGAGTTTCTTCAGTGACGTCAGGACTCCTGTCTAGTAACGAGGGACACCTCAGGAATCTCTTCGAGGCTTGGCAGGGCCAAAGGGACGCTTCTCGAGGTGAGGCAGGGCACCCAAGGACCCTTTCCAGTAGCCACAGGGATTTTGGGATTCCTATCAGTATTCAAGAGGAGTCAGGCATCGTCACCTTTTGAAGCAATGAACTCCGCGTGCCTCTCGAGGTGTCAGCGGGATGTGAGGCATTCCGTCAAAATGAGGCAGGGACCTAGGGCTTTCTCTAAGGTCTCCACAGGGGATTCAGACATCCCTTCATGTTGTGAGATGAAAGACGAGCCTGTATTCAAGCCACTGCAAGGAAATCCGGCCTCCTTTCAAGTTAGGGCTTCTCGCTGTATATTCCCCTTGAGGCAGCAAACTCGGGGTCCCTCCCACATACCTATTGCTGAGAGAAGCCTCCTCCTGAGGTGCTTCTGGGAAGTTGGCATACGTCTTGAGCCTAAGCCAGGGAATCAGCTCGCATCTCGAGACTATTTGGGGTAGACGGAGCATTCCTCGAGTTGCTGTGCTGAAGTTGGTGTTCCTCTAGACTTGGGACAGTGTTCTCGGGGCATCTCTGGAGTTGCCTGAAGGAAGTCGAGCCACCGGTCGTGTTGAATGGGGAACGGGGAATGGCTCTGGAGTCAATGCAGGGGAATCGGGCCTCATCTCGAGTTGATTTGGGGCACATGGAGCTGCTTTGCGTTGCTGGGGTGACCTCAGGGTCCGTCTAGACTGGTGACAGTGTTCTTGGGGACTGTCTCGAGATCCATTAAGCAAGTCGAAGCTCCTGACTTGTTTGAATGGGGTCACGGAATAGCTCTGCATGCACTGCAGGGGAATGGGGCCTCATCTCGCCTCTAGGGGGAAGTCTCATGGTTTTTCTCGAGTTGCGGCGGGGACCTGGGGTATGTTCTCGACTTACGGCGGGGATGGCCCTTCAAAACACGAGTTTCTTCAGTGACGTCAGGACTCCTGTCTAGTAACGAGGGACACCTCAGGAATCTCTTCGAGGCTTGGCAGGGCCAAAGGGACGCTTCTCGAGGTGAGGCAGGGCACCCAAGGACCCTTTCCAGTAGCCACAGGGATTTTGGGATTCCTATCAGTATTCAAGAGGAGTCAGGCATCGTCACCTTTTGAAGCAATGAACTCCGCGTGCCTCTCGAGGTGTCAGCGGGATGTGAGGCATTCCGTCAAAATGAGGCAGGGACCTAGGGCTTTCTCTAAGGTCTCCACAGGGGATTCAGACATCCCTTCATGTTGTGAGATGAAAGACGAGCCTGTATTCAAGCCACTGCAAGGAAATCCGGCCTCCTTTCAAGTTAGGGCTTCTCGCTGTATATTCCCCTTGAGGCAGCAAACTCGGGGTCCCTCCCACATACCTATTGCTGAGAGAAGCCTCCTCCTGAGGTGCTTCTGGGAAGTTGGCATACGTCTTGAGCCTAAGCCAGGGAATCAGCTCGCATCTCGAGACTATTTGGGGTAGACGGAGCATTCCTCGAGTTGCTGTGCTGAAGTTGGTGTTCCTCTAGACTTGGGACAGTGTTCTCGGGGCATCTCTGGAGTTGCCTGAAGGAAGTCGAGCCACCGGTCGTGTTGAATGGGGAACGGGGAATGGCTCTGGAGTCAATGCAGGGGAATCGGGCCTCATCTCGAGTTGATTTGGGGCACATGGAGCTGCTTTGCGTTGCTGGGGTGACCTCAGGGTCCGTCTAGACTGGTGACAGTGTTCTTGGGGACTGTCTCGAGATCCATTAAGCAAGTCGAAGCTCCTGACTTGTTTGAATGGGGTCACGGAATAGCTCTGCATGCACTGCAGGGGAATGGGGCCTCATCTCGCCTCTAGGGGGAAGTCTCATGGTTTTTCTCGAGTTGCGGCGGGGACCTGGGGTATGTTCTCGACTTACGGCGGGGATGGCCCTTCAAAACACGAGTTTCTTCAGTGACGTCAGGACTCCTGTCTAGTAACGAGGGACACCTCAGGAATCTCTTCGAGGCTTGGCAGGGCCAAAGGGACGCTTCTCGAGGTGAGGCAGGGCACCCAAGGACCCTTTCCAGTAGCCACAGGGATTTTGGGATTCCTATCAGTATTCAAGAGGAGTCAGGCATCGTCACCTTTTGAAGCAATGAACTCCGCGTGCCTCTCGAGGTGTCAGCGGGATGTGAGGCATTCCGTCAAAATGAGGCAGGGACCTAGGGCTTTCTCTAAGGTCTCCACAGGGGATTCAGACATCCCTTCATGTTGTGAGATGAAAGACGAGCCTGTATTCAAGCCACTGCAAGGAAATCCGGCCTCCTTTCAAGTTAGGGCTTCTCGCTGTATATTCCCCTTGAGGCAGCAAACTCGGGGTCCCTCCCACATACCTATTGCTGAGAGAAGCCTCCTCCTGAGGTGCTTCTGGGAAGTTGGCATACGTCTTGAGCCTAAGCCAGGGAATCAGCTCTCATCTCGAGACGATTTGGGGTACACGGAGCATTCCTCGAGTTGCTGTGCTGAAGTTGGTGTTCCTCTAGACTTGGGACAGTGTTCTCGGGGCATCTCTGGAGTTGCCTGAAGGAAGTCGAGCCACCGGTCGTGTTGAATGGGGAACGGGGAATGGCTCTGGAGTCAATGCAGGGGAATCGGGCCTCATCTCGAGTTGATTTGGGGCACATGGAGCTGCTTTGCGTTGCTGGGGTGACCTCAGGGTCCGTCTAGACTGGTGACAGTGTTCTTGGGGACTGTCTCGAGATCCATTAAGCAAGTCGAAGCTCCTGACTTGTTTGAATGGGATCACGGAATAGCTCTGCATGCACTGCAGGGGAATGGAGCCTCATCTCGCCTCTAGGGGGAAGTCTCATGGTTTTTCTCGAGTTGCGGCGGGGACCTGGGGTATGTTCTCGACTTACGGCGGGGATGGCCCTTCAAAACAGGAGTTTCTTCAGTGACGTCAGGACTCCTGTCTAGTAACGAGGGACACCTCAGGAATCTCTTCGAGGCTTGGCAGGGCCAAAGGGACGCTTCTCGAGGTGAGGCAGGGCACCCAAGGACCCTTTCCAGTAGCCACAGGGATTTTGGGATTCCTATCAGTATTCAAGAGGAGTCAGGCATCGTCACCTTTTGAAGCAATGAACTCCGCGTGCCTCTCGAGGTGTCAGCGGGATGTGAGGCATTCCGTCAAAATGAGGCAGGGACCTAGGGCTTTCTCTAAGGTCTCCACAGGGGATTCAGACATCCCTTCATGTTGTGAGATGAAAGACGAGCCTGTATTCAAGCCACTGCAAGGAAATCCGGCCTCCTTTCAAGTTAGGGCTTCTCGCTGTATATTCCCCTTGAGGCAGCAAACTCGGGGTCCCTCCCACATACCTATTGCTGAGAGAAGCCTCCTCCTGAGGTGCTTCTGGGAAGTTGGCATACGTCTTGAGCCTAAGCCAGGGAATCAGCTCTCATCTCGAGACGATTTGGGGTACACGGAGCATTCCTCGAGTTGCTGTGCTGAAGTTGGTGTTCCTCTAGACTTGGGACAGTGTTCTCAGGGCATCTCTGGAGTTGCCTGAAGGAAGTCGAGCCACCGGTCGTGTTGAATGGGGAACGGGGAATGGCTCTGGAGTCAATGCAGGGGAATCGGGCCTCATCTCGAGTTGATTTGGGGCACATGGAGCTGCTTTGCGTTGCTGGGGTGACCTCAGGGTCCGTCTAGACTGGTGACAGTGTTCTTGGGGACTGTCTCGAGATCCATTAAGCAAGTCGAAGCTCCTGACTTGTTTGAATGGGATCACGGAATAGCTCTGCATGCACTGCAGGGGAATGGGGCCTCATCTCGCCTCTAGGGGGTAGTCTCATGGTTTTTCTTGAGTTGCGGCGGGGACCTGGGGTATGTTCTCGACTTACGGCGGGGATGGCCCTTCAAAACACAAGTTTCTTCAGTGACGTCAGGACTCCTGTCTAATAACGAGGGACAACTCAGGAATCTCTTCGAGGCTTGGCAGGGCCAAAGGGACGCTTCTCGAGGTGAGGCAGGGCACCCAAGGACCCTTTCCAGTAGCCACAGGGATTTTGGGATTCCTATCAGTATTCAAGAGGAGTCAGGCATCGTCACCTTTTGAAGCAATGAACTCCGCGTGACTCTCGAGGTGTCAGCGGGATGTGAGGCATTCCGTCAAAATGAGGCAGGGACCTAGGGCTTTCTCTAAGGTCTCCACAGGGGATTCAGACATCCCTTCAAGTTGTGAGATGAAAGACGAGCCTGTATTCAAGCCACTGCAAGGAAATCCGGCCTCCTTTCAAGTTAGGGCTTCTCGCTGTATATTCCCCTTGAGGCAGCAAACTCGGGGTCCCTCCCACATACCTATTGCTGAGAGAAGCCTCCTCCTGAGGTGCTTCTGGGAAGTTGGCATACGTCTTGAGCCTAAGCCAGGGAATCAGCTCGCATCTCGAGACGATTTGGGGTACACGGAGCATTCCTCGAGTTGCTGTGCTGAAGTTGGTGTTCCTCTAGACTTGGGACAGTGTTCTCGGGGCATCTCTGGAGTTGCCTGAAGGAAGTCGAGCCACCGGTCGTGTTGAATGGGGAACGGGGAATGGCTCTGGAGTCAATGCAGGGGAATCGGGCCTCATCTCGAGTTGATTTGGGGCACATGGAGCTGCTTTGCGTTGCTGGGGTGACCTCAGGGTCCGTCTAGACTGGTGACAGTGTTCTTGGGGACTGTCTCGAGATCCATTAAGCAAGTCGAAGCTCCTGACTTGTTTGAATGGGATCACGGAATAGCTCTGCATGCACTGCAGGGGAATGGGGCCTCATCTCGCCTCTAGGGGGAAGTCTCATGGTTTTTCTCGAGTTGCGGCGGGGACCTGGGGTATGTTCTCGACTTACGGCGGGGATGGCCCTTCAAAACACGAGTTTCTTCAGTGACGTCAGGACTCCTGTCTAGTAACGAGGGACACCTCAGGAATCTCTTCGAGGCTTGGCAGGGCCAAAGGGACGCTTCTCGAGGTGAGGCAGGGCACCCAAGGACCCTTTCCAGTAGCCACAGGGATTTTGGGATTCCTATCAGTATTCAAGAGGAGTCAGGCATCGTCACCTTTTGAAGGAATGAACTCCGCGTGCCTCTCGAGGTGTCAGCGGGATGTGAGGCATTCCGTCAAAATGAGGCAGGGACCTAGGGCTTTCTCTAAGGTCTCCACAGGGGATTCAGACATCCCTTCATGTTGTGAGATGAAAGACGAGCCTGTATTCAAGCCACTGCAAGGAAATCCGGCCTCCTTTCAAGTTAGGGCTTCTCGCTGTATATTCCCCTTGAGGCAGCAAACTCGGGGTCCCTCCCACATACCTATTGCTGAGAGAAGCCTCCTCCTGAGGTGCTTCTGGGAAGTTGGCATACGTCTTGAGCCTAAGCCAGGGAATCAGCTCGCATCTCGAGACGATTTGGGGTACACGGAGCATTCCTCGAGTTGCTGTGCTGAAGTTGGTGTTCCTCTAGACTTGGGACAGTGTTCTCGGGGCAGCTCTGGAGTTGCCTGAAGGAAGTCGAGCCACCGGTCGTGTTGAATGGGGAACGGGGAATGGCTCTGGAGTCAATGCAGGGGAATCGGGCCTCATCTCGAGTTGATTTGGGGCACATGGAGCTGCTTTGCGTTGCTGGGGTGACCTCAGGGTCCGTCTAGACTGGTGACAGTGTTCTTGGGGACTGTCTCGAGATCCATTAAGCAAGTCGAAGCTCCTGACTTGTTTGAATGGGATCACGGAATAGCTCTGCATGCACTGCAGGGGAATGGGGCCTCATCTCGCCTCTAGGGGGAAGTCTCATGGTTTTTCTCGAGTTGCGGCGGGGACCTGGGGTATGTTCTCGACTTACGGCGGGGATGGCCCTTCAAAACACGAGTTTCTTCAGTGACGTCAGGACTCCTGTCTAGTAACGAGGGACACCTCAGGAATCTCTTTGAGGCTTGGCAGGGCCAAAGGGACGCTTCTCGAGGTGAGGCAGGGCACCCAAGGACCCTTTCCAGTAGCCACAGGGATTTTGGGATTCCTATCAGTATTCAAGAGGAGTCAGGCATCGTCACCTTTTGAAGCAATGAACTCCGCGTGCCTCTCGAGGTGTCAGCGGGATGTGAGGCATTCCGTCAAAATGAGGCAGGGACCTAGGGCTTTCTCTAAGGTCTCCACAGGGGATTCAGACATCCCTTCATGTTGTGAGATGAAAGACGAGCCTGTATTCAAGCCACTGCAAGGAAATCCGGCCTCCTTTCAAGTTAGGGCTTCTCGCTGTATATTCCCCTTGAGGCAGCAAACTCGGGGTCCCTCCCACATACCTATTGCTGAGAGAAGCCTCCTCCTGAGGTGCTTCTGGGAAGTTGGCATACGTCTTGAGCCTAAGCCAGGGAATCAGCTCGCATCTCGAGACGATTTGGGGTACACGGAGCATTCCTCGAGTTGCTGTGCTGAAGTTGGTGTTCCTCTAGACTTGGGACAGTGTTCTCGGGGCATCTCTGGAGTTGCCTGAAGGAAGTCGAGCCACCGGTCGTGTTGAATGGGGAACGGGGAATGGCTCTGGAGTCAATGCAGGGGAATCGGGCCTCATCTCGAGTTGATTTGGGGCACATGGAGCTGCTTTGCGTTGCTGGGGTGACCTCAGGGTCCGTCTAGACTGGTGACAGTGTTCTTGGGGACTGTCTCGAGATCCATTAAGCAAGTCGAAGCTCCTGACTTGTTTGAATGGGATCACGGAATAGCTCTGCATGCACTGCAGGGGAATGGGGCCTCATCTCGCCTCTAGGGGGAAGTCTCATGGTTTTTCTCGAGTTGCGGCGGGGACCTGGGGTATGTTCTCGACTTACGGCGGGGATGGCCCTTCAAAACACGAGTTTCTTCAGTGACGTCAGGACTCCTGTCTAGTAACGAGGGACACCTCAGGAATCTCTTCGAGGCTTGGCAGGGCCAAAGGGACGCTTCTCGAGGTGAGGCAGGGCACCCAAGGACCCTTTCCAGTAGCCACAGGGATTTTGGGATTCCTATCAGTATTCAAGAGGAGTCAGGCATCGTCACCTTTTGAAGCAATGAACTCCGCGTGCCTCTCGAGGTGTCAGCGGGATGTGAGGCATTCCGTCAAAATGAGGCAGGGACCTAGGTCTTTCTCTAAGGTCTCCACAGGGGATTCAGACATCCCTTCATGTTGTGAGATGAAAGACGAGCCTGTATTCAAGCCACTGCAAGGAAATCCGGCCTCCTTTCAAGTTAGGGCTTCTCGCTGTATATTCCCCTTGAGGCAGCAAACTCGGGGTCCCTCCCACATACCTATTGCTGAGAGAAGCCTCCTCCTGAGGTGCTTCTGGGAAGTTGGCATACGTCTTGAGCCTAAGCCAGGGAATCAGCTCGCATCTCGAGACGATTTGGGGTACACGGACCATTCCTCGAGTTGCTGTGCTGAAGTTGGTGTTCCTCTAGACTTGGGACAGTGTTCTCGGGGCATCTCTGGAGTTGCCTGAAGGAAGTCGAGCCACCGGTCGTGTTGAATGGGGAACGGGGAATGGCTCTGGAGTCAATGCAGGGGAATCGGGCCTCATCTCGAGTTGATTTGGGGCACATGGAGCTGCTTTGCGTTGCTGGGGTGACCTCAGGGTCCGTCTAGACTGGTGACAGTGTTCTTGGGGACTGTCTCGAGATCCATTAAGCAAGTCGAAGCTCCTGACTTGTTTGAATGGGGTCACGGAATAGCTCTGCATGCACTGCAGGGGAATGGGGCCTCATCTCGCCTCTAGGGGGAAGTCTCATGGTTTTTCTCGAGTTGCGGCGGGGACCTGGGGTATGTTCTCGACTTATGGCGGGGATGGCCCTTCAAAACACGAGTTTCTTCAGTGACGTCAGGACTCCTGTCTAGTAACGAGGGACACCTCAGGAATCTCTTCGAGGCTTGGCAGGGCCAAAGGGACGCTTCTCGAGGTGAGGCAGGGCACCCAAGGACCCTTTCCAGTAGCCACAGGGATTTTGGGATTCCTATCAGTATTCAAGAGGAGTCAGGCATCGTCACCTTTTGAAGCAATGAACTCCGCGTGCCTCTCGAGGTGTCAGCGGGATGTGAGGCATTCCGTCAAAATGAGGCAGGGACCTAGGGCTTTCTCTAAGGTCTCCACAGGGGATTCAGACATCCCTTCATGTTGTGAGATGAAAGACGAGCCTGTATTCAAGCCACTGCAAGGAAATCCGGCCTCCTTTCAAGTTAGGGCTTCTCGCTGTATATTCCCCTTGAGGCAGCAAACTCGGGGTCCCTCCCACATACCTATTGCTGAGAGAAGCCTCCTCCTGAGGTGCTTCTGGGAAGTTGGCATACGTCTTGAGCCTAAGCCAGGGAATCAGCTCGCATCTCGAGACGATTTGGGGTACACGGAGCATTCCTCGAGTTGCTGTGCTGAAGTTGGTGTTCCTCTAGACTTGGGAGAGTGTTCTCGGGGCATCTCTGGAGTTGCCTGAAGGAAGTCGAGCCACCGGTCGTGTTGAATGGGGAACGGGGAATGGCTCTGGAGTCAATGCAGGGGAATCGGGCCTCATCTCGAGTTGATTTGGGGCACATGGAGCTGCTTTGCGTTGCTGGGGTGACCTCAGGGTCCGTCTAGACTGGTGACAGTGTTCTTGGGGACTGTCTCGAGATCCATTAAGCAAGTCGAAGCTCCTGACTTGTTTGAATGGGGTCACGGAATAGCTCTGCATGCACTGCAGGGGAATGGGGCCTCATCTCGCCTCTAGGGGGAAGTCTCATGGTTTTTCTCGAGTTGCGGCGGGGACCTGGGGTATGTTCTCGACTTACGGCGGGGATGGCCCTTCAAAACACGAGTTTCTTCAGTGACGTCAGGACTCCTGTCTAGTAACGAGGGACACCTCAGGAATCTCTTCGAGGCTTGGCAGGGCCAAAGGGACGCTTCTCGAGGTGAGGCAGGGCACCCAAGGACCCTTTCCAGTAGCCACAGGGATTTTGGGATTCCTATCAGTATTCAAGAGGAGTCAGGCATCGTCACCTTTTGAAGCAATGAACTCCGCGTGCCTCTCGAGGTGTCAGCGGGATGTGAGGCATTCCGTCAAAATGAGGCAGGGACCTAGGGCTTTCTCTAAGGTCTCCACAGGGGATTCAGACATCCCTTCATGTTGTGAGATGAAAGACGAGCCTGTATTCAAGCCACTGCAAGGAAATCCGGCCTCCTTTCAAGTTAGGGCTTCTCGCTGTATATTCCCCTTGAGGCAGCAAACTCGGGGTCCCTCCCACATACCTATTGCTGAGAGAAGCCTCCTCCTGAGGTGCTTCTGGGAAGTTGGCATACGTCTTGAGCCTAAGCCAGGGAATCAGCTCGCATCTCGAGACGATTTGGGGTACACGGAGCATTCCTCGAGTTGCTGTGCTGAAGTTGGTGTTCCTCTAGACTTGGGACAGTGTTCTCGGGGCATCTCTGGAGTTGCCTGAAGGAAGTCGAGCCACCGGTCGTGTTGAATGGGGAACGGGGAATGGCTCTGGAGTCAATGCAGGGGAATCGGGCCTCATCTCGAGTTGATTTGGGGCACATGGAGCTGCTTTGCATTGCTGGGGTGACCTCAGGGTCCGTCTAGACTGGTGACAGTGTTCTTGGGGACTGTCTCGAGATCCATTAAGCAAGTCGAAGCTCCTGACTTGTTTGAATGGGGTCACGGAATAGCTCTGCATGCACTGCAGGGGAATGGGGCCTCATCTCGCCTCTAGGGGGAAGTCTCATGGTTTTTCTCGAGTTGCGGCGGGGACCTGGGGTATGTTCTCGACTTACGGCGGGGATGGCCCTTCAAAACACGAGTTTCTTCAGTGACGTCAGGACTCCTGTCTAGTAACGAGGGACACCTCAGGAATCTCTTCGAGGCTTGGCAGGGCCAAAGGGACGCTTCTCGAGGTGAGGCAGGGCACCCAAGGACCCTATCCAGTAGCCACAGGGATTTTGGGATTCCTATCAGTATTCAAGAGGAGTCAGGCATCTTCACCTTTTGAAGCAATGAACTCCGCGTGCCTCTCGAGGTGTCAGCGGGATGTGAGGCATTCCGTCAAAATGAGGCAGGGACCTAGGGCTTTCTCTAAGGTCTCCACAGGGGATTCAGACATCCCTTCATGTTGTGAGATGAAAGACGAGCCTGTATTCAAGCCACTGCAAGGAAATCCGGCCTCCTTTCAAGTTAGGGCTTCTCGCTGTATATTCCCCTTGAGGCAGCAAACTCGGGGTCCCTCCCACATACCTATTGCTGAGAGAAGCCCCCTCCTGAGGTGCTTCTGGGAAGTTGGCATACGTCTTGAGCCTAAGCCAGGGAATCAGCTCGCATCTCGAGACGATTTGGGGTACACGGAGCATTCCTCGAGTTGCTGTGCTGAAGTTGGTGTTCCTCTAGACTTGGGACAGTGTTCTCGGGGCATCTCTGGAGTTGCCTGAAGGAAGTCGAGCCACCGGTCGTGTTGAATGGGGAACGGGGAATGGCTCTGGAGTCAATGCAGGGGAATCGGGCCTCATCTCGAGTTGATTTGGGGCACATGGAGCTGCTTTGCGTTGCTGGGGTGACCTCAGGGTCCGTCTAGACTGGTGACAGTGTTCTTGGGGACTGTCTCGAGATCCATTAAGCAAGTCGAAGCTCCTGACTTGTTTGAATGGGATCATGGAATAGCTCTGCATGCACTGCAGGGGAATGGAGCCTCATCTCGCCTCTAGGGGGAAGTCTCATGGTTTTTCTCGAGTTGCGGCGGGGACCTGGGGTATGTTCTCGACTTACGGCGGGGATGGCCCTTCAAAACACGAGTTTCTTCAGTGACGTCAGGACTCCTGTCTAGTAACGAGGGACACCTCAGGAAACTCTTCGAGGCTTGGCAGGGCCAAAGGGACGCTTCTCGAGGTGAGGCAGGGCACCCAAGGACCCTTTCCAGTAGCCACAGGCATTTTGGGATTCCTATCAGTATTCAAGAGGAGTCAGGCATCGTCACCTTTTGAAGCAATGAACTTCGCGTGCCTCTCGAGGTGTCAGCGGGATGTGAGGCATTCCGTCAAAATGAGGCAGGGACCTAGGGCTTTCTCTAAGGTCTCCACAGGGGATTCAGACATCCCTTCAAGTTGTGAGATGAAAGACGAGCCTGTATTCAAGCCACTGCAAGGAAATCCGGCCTCCTTTCAAGTTAGGGCTTCTCGCTGTATATTCCCCTTGAGGCAGCAAACTCGGGGTCCCTCCCACATACCTATTGCTGAGAGAAGCCCCCTCCTGAGGTGCTTCTGGGAAGTTGGCATACGTCTTGAGCCTAAGCCAGGGAATCAGCTCGCATCTCGAGACGATTTGGGGTACACGGAGCATTCCTCGAGTTGCTGTGCTGAAGTTGGTGTTCCTCTAGACTTGGGACAGTGTTCTCGGGGCATCTCTGGAGTTGCCTGAAGGAAGTCGAGCCACCGGTCGTGTTGAATGGGGAACGGGGAATGGCTCTGGAGTCAATGCAGGGGAATCGGGCCTCATCTCGAGTTGATTTGGGGCACATGGAGCTGCTTTGCGTTGCTGGGGTGACCTCAGGGTCCGTCTAGACTGGTGACAGTGTTCTTGGGGACTGTCTCGAGATCCATTAAGCAAGTCGAAGCTCCTGACTTGTTTGAATGGGATCACGGAATAGCTCTGCATGCACTGCAGGGGAATGGAGCCTCATCTCGCCTCTAGGGAGAAGTCTCATGGTTTTTCTCGAGTTGCGGCGGGGACCTGGGGTATGTTCTCGACTTACGGTGGGGATGGCCCTTCAAAACACGAGTTTCTTCAGTGACGTCAGGACTCCTGTCTAGTAACGAGGGACACCTCAGGAAACTCTTCGAGGCTTGGCAGGGCCAAAGGGACGCTTCTCGAGGTGAGGCAGGGCACCCAAGGACCCTTTCCAGTAGCCACAGGGATTTTGGGATTCCTATCAGTATTCAAGAGGAGTCAGGCATCGTCACCTTTTGAAGCAATGAACTCCGCGTGCCTCTCGAGGTGTCAGCGGGATGTGAGGCATTCCGTCAAAATGAGGCAGGGACCTAGGGCTTTCTCTAAGGTCTCCACAGGGGATTCAGACATCCCTTCATGTTGTGAGATGAAAGACGAGCCTGTATTCAAGCCACTGCAAGGAAATCCGGCCTCGTTTCAAGTTAGGGCTTCTCGCTGTATATTCCCCTTGAGGCAGCAAACTCGGGGTCCCTCCCACATACCTATTGCTGAGAGAAGCCTCCTCCTGAGGTGCTTCTGGGAAGTTGGCATACGTCTTGAGCCTAAGCCAGGGAATCAGCTCGCATCTCGAGACGACTTGGGGTACACGGAGCATTCCTCGAGTTGCTGTGCTGAAGTTGGTGTTCCTCTAGACTTGGGACAGTGTTCTCGGGGCATCTCTGGAGTTGCCTGAAGGAAGTCGAGCCACCGGTCGTGTTGAATGGGGAACGGGGAATGGCTCTGGAGTCAATGCAGGGGAATCGGGCCTCATCTCGAGTTGATTTGGGGCACATGGAGCTGCTTTGCGTTGCTGGGGTGACCTCAGGGTCCGTCTAGACTGGTGACAGTGTTCTTGGGGACTGTCTCGAGATCCATTAAGCAAGTCGAAGCTCCTGACTTGTTTGAATGGGGTCACGGAATAGCTCTGCATGCACTGCAGGGGAATGGGGCCTCATCTCGCCTCTAGGGGGAAGTCTCATGGTTTTTCTCGAGTTGCGGCGGGGACCTGGGGTATGTTCTCGACTTACGGCGGGGATGGCCCTTCAAAACACGAGTTTCTTCAGTGACGTCAGGACTCCTGTCTAGTAACGAGGGACACCTCAGGAATCTCTTCGAGGCTTGGCAGGGCCAAAGGGACGCTTCTCGAGGTGAGGCAGGGCACCCAAGGACCCTTTCCAGTAGCCACAGGGATTTTGGGATTCCTATCAGTATTCAAGAGGAGTCAGGCATCGTCACCTTTTGAAGCAATGAACTCCGCGTGCCTCTCGAGGTGTCAGCGGGATGTGAGGCATTCCGTCAAAATGAGGCAGGGACCTAGGGCTTTCTCTAAGGTCTCCACAGGGGATTCAGACATCCCTTCATGTTGTGAGATGAAAGACGAGCCTGTATTCAAGCCACTGCAAGGAAATCCGGCCTCCTTTCAAGTTAGGGCTTCTCGCTGTATATTCCCCTTGAGGCAGCAAACTCGGGGTCCCTCCCACATACCTATTGCTGAGAGAAGCCTCCTCCTGAGGTGCTTCTGGGAAGTTGGCATACGTCTTGAGCCTAAGCCAGGGAATCAGCTCGCATCTCGAGACGATTTGGGGTACACGGAGCATTCCTCGAGTTGCTGTGCTGAAGTTGGTGTTCCTCTAGACTTGGGACAGTGTTCTCGGGGCATCTCTGGAGTTGCCTGAAGGAAGTCGAGCCACCGGTCGTGTTGAATGGGGAACGGGGAATGGCTCTGGAGTCAATGCAGGGGAATCGGGCCTCATCTCGAGTTGATTTGGGGCACATGGAGCTGCTTTGCGTTGCTGGGGTGACCTCAGGGTCCGTCTAGACTGGTGACAGTGTTCTTGGGGACTGTCTCGAGATCCATTAAGCAAGTCGAAGCTCCTGACTTGTTTGAATGGGATCACGGAATAGCTCTGCATGCACTGCAGGGGAATGGGGCCTCATCTCGCCTCTAGGGGGAAGTCTCATGGTTTTTCTCGAGTTGCGGCGGGGACCTGGGGTATGTTCTCGACTTACGGCGGGGATGGCCCTTCAAAACACGAGTTTCTTCAGTGACGTCAGGACTCCTGTCTAGTAACGAGGGACACCTCAGGAATCTCTTCGAGGCTTGGCAGGGCCAAAGGGACGCTTCTCGAGGTGAGGCAGGGCACCCAAGGACCCTTTCCAGTAGCCACAGGGATTTTGGGATTCCTATCAGTATTCAAGAGGAGTCAGGCATCGTCACCTTTTGAAGCAATGAACTCCGCGTGCCTCTCGAGGTGTCAGCGGGATGTGAGGCATTCCGTCAAAATGAGGCAGGGACCTAGGGCTTTCTCTAAGGTCTCCACAGGGGATTCAGACATCCCTTCATGTTGTGAGATGAAAGACGAGCCTGTATTCAAGCCACTGCAAGGAAATCCGGCCTCCTTTCAAGTTAGGGCTTCTCGCTGTATATTCCCCTTGAGGCAGCAAACTCGGGGTCCCTCCCACATACCTATTGCTGAGAGAAGCCTCCTCCTGAGGTGCTTCTGGGAAGTTGGCATACGTCTTGAGCCTAAGCCAGGGAATCAGCTCGCATCTCGAGACGATTTGGGGTACACGGAGCATTCCTCGAGTTGCTGTGCTGAAGTTGGTGTTCCTCTAGACTTGGGACAGTGTTCTCGGGGCATCTCTGGAGTTGCCTGAAGGAAGTCGAGCCACCGGTCGTGTTGAATGGGGAACGGGGAATGGCTCTGGAGTCAATGCAGGGGAATCGGGCCTCATCTCGAGTTGATTTGGGGCACATGGAGCTGCTTTGCGTTGCTGGGGTGACCTCAGGGTCCGTCTAGACTGGTGACAGTGTTCTTGGGGACTGTCTCGAGATCCATTAAGCAAGTCGAAGCTCCTGACTTGTTTGAATGGGGTCACGGAATAGCTCTGCATGCACTGCAGGGGAATGGGGCCTCATCTCGCCTCTAGGGGGAAGTCTCATGGTTTTTCTCGAGTTGCGGCGGGGACCTGGGGTATGTTCTCGACTTACGGCGGGGATGGCCCTTCAAAACACGAGTTTCTTCAGTGACGTCAGGACTCCTGTCTAGTAACGAGGGACACCTCAGGAATCTCTTCGAGGCTTGGCAGGGCCAAAGGGACGCTTCTCGAGGTGAGGCAGGGCACCCAAGGACCCTTTCCAGTAGCCACAGGGATTTTGGGATTCCTATCAGTATTCAAGAGGAGTCAGGCATCGTCACCTTTTGAAGCAATGAACTCCGCGTGCCTCTCGAGGTGTCAGCGGGATGTGAGGCATTCCGTCAAAATGAGGCAGGGACCTAGGGCTTTCTCTAAGGTCTCCACAGGGGATTCAGACATCCCTTCATGTTGTGAGATGAAAGACGAGCCTGTATTCAAGCCACTGCAAGGAAATCCGGCCTCCTTTCAAGTTAGGGCTTCTCGCTGTATATTCCCCTTGAGGCAGCAAACTCGGGGTCCCTCCCACATACCTATTGCTGAGAGAAGCCTCCTCCTGAGGTGCTTCTGGGAAGTTGGCATACGTCTTGAGCCTAAGCCAGGGAATCAGCTCGCATCTCGAGACGATTTGGGGTACACGGAGCATTCCTCGAGTTGCTGTGCTGAAGTTGGTGTTCCTCTAGACTTGGGACAGTGTTCTCGGGGCATCTCTGGAGTTGCCTGAAGGAAGTCGAGCCACCGGTCGTGTTGAATGGGGAACGGGGAATGGCTCTGGAGTCAATGCAGGGGAATCGGGCCTCATCTCGAGTTGATTTGGGGCACATGGAGCTGCTTTGCGTTGCTGGGGTGACCTCAGGGTCCGTCTAGACTGGTGACAGTGTTCTTGGGGACTGTCTCGAGATCCATTAAGCAAGTCGAAGCTCCTGACTTGTTTGAATGGGATCACGGAATAGCTCTGCATGCACTGCAGGGGAATGGGGCCTCATCTCGCCTCTAGGGGGAAGTCTCATGGTTTTTCTCGAGTTGCGGCGGGGACCTGGGGTATGTTCTCGACTTACGGCGGGGATGGCCCTTCAAAACACAAGTTTCTTCAGTGACGTCAGGACTCCTGTCTAATAACGAGGGACACCTCAGGAATCTCTTCGAGGCTTGGCAGGGCCAAAGGGACGCTTCTCGAGGTGAGGCAGGGCACCCAAGGACCCTTTCCAGTAGCCACAGGGATTTTGGGATTCCTATCAGTATTCAAGAGTAGTCAGGCATCGTCACCTTTTGAAGCAATGAACTCCGCGTGCCTCTCGAGGTGTCAGCGGGATGTGAGGCATTCCGTCAAAATGAGGCAGGGACCTAGGGCTTTCTCTAAGGTCTCCACAGGGGATTCAGACATCCCTTCATGTTGTGAGATGAAAGACGAGCCTGTATTCAAGCCACTGCAAGGAAATCCGGCCTCCTTTCAAGTTAGGGCTTCTCGCTGTATATTCCCCTTGAGGCAGCAAACTCGGGGTCCCTCCCACATACCTATTGCTGAGAGAAGCCTCCTCCTGAGGTGCTTCTGGGAAGTTGGCATACGTCTTGAGCCTAAGCCAGGGAATCAGCTCGCATCTCGAGACGATTTGGGGTACACGGAGCATTCCTCGAGTTGCTGTGCTGAAGTTGGTGTTCCTCTAGACTTGGGACAGTGTTCTCGGGGCATCTCTGGAGTTGCCTGAAGGAAGTCGAGCCACCGGTCGTGTTGAATGGGGAACGGGGAATGGCTCTGGAGTCAATGCAGGGGAATCGGGCCTCATCTCGAGTTGATTTGGGGCACATGGAGCTGCTTTGCGTTGCTGGGGTGACCTCAGGGTCCGTCTAGACTGGTGACAGTGTTCTTGGGGACTGTCTCGAGATCCATTAAGCAAGTCGAAGCTCCTGACTTGTTTGAATGGGATCACGGAATAGCTCTGCATGCACTGCAGGGGAATGGGGCCTCATCTCGCCTCTAGGGGGAAGTCTCATGGTTTTTCTCGAGTTGCGGCGGGGACCTGGGGTATGTTCTCGACTTACGGCGGGGATGGCCCTTCAAAACACGAGTTTCTTCAGTGACGTCAGGACTCCTGTCTAGTAACGAGGGACACCTCAGGAATCTCTTCGAGGCTTGGCAGGGCCAAAGGGACGCTTCTCGAGGTGAGGCAGGGCACCCAAGGACCCTTTCCAGTAGCCACAGGGATTTTGGGATTCCTATCAGTATTCAAGAGGAGTCAGGCATCGTCACCTTTTGAAGCAATGAACTCCGCGTGCCTCTCGAGGTGTCAGCGGGATGTGAGGCATTCCGTCAAAATGAGGCAGGGACCTAGGGCTTTCTCTAAGGTCTCCACAGGGGATTCAGACATCCCTTCATGTTGTGAGATGAAAGACGAGCCTGTATTCAAGCCACTGCAAGGAAATCCGGCCTCGTTTCAAGTTAGGGCTTCTCGCTGTATATTCCCCTTGAGGCAGCAAACTCGGGGTCCCTCCCACATACCTATTGCTGAGAGAAGCCTCCTCCTGAGGTGCTTCTGGGAAGTTGGCATACGTCTTGAGCCTAAGCCAGGGAATCAGCTCGCATCTCGAGACGACTTGGGGTACACGGAGCATTCCTCGAGTTGCTGTGCTGAAGTTGGTGTTCCTCTAGACTTGGGACAGTGTTCTCGGGGCATCTCTGGAGTTGCCTGAAGGAAGTCGAGCCACCGGTCGTGTTGAATGGGGAACGGGGAATGGCTCTGGAGTCAATGCAGGGGAATCGGGCCTCATCTCGAGTTGATTTGGGGCACATGGAGCTGCTTTGCGTTGCTGGGGTGACCTCAGGGTCCGTCTAGACTGGTGACAGTGTTCTTGGGGACTGTCTCGAGATCCATTAAGCAAGTCGAAGCTCCTGACTTGTTTGAATGGGGTCACGGAATAGCTCTGCATGCACTGCAGGGGAATGGGGCCTCATCTCGCCTCTAGGGGGAAGTCTCATGGTTTTTCTCGAGTTGCGGCGGGGACCTGGGGTATGTTCTCGACTTACGGCGGGGATGGCCCTTCAAAACACGAGTTTCTTCAGTGACGTCAGGACTCCTGTCTAGTAACGAGGGACACCTCAGGAATCTCTTCGAGGCTTGGCAGGGCCAAAGGGACGCTTCTCGAGGTGAGGCAGGGCACCCAAGGACCCTTTCCAGTAGCCACAGGGATTTTGGGATTCCTATCAGTATTCAAGAGGAGTCAGGCATCGTCACCTTTTGAAGCAATGAACTCCGCGTGCCTCTCGAGGTGTCAGCGGGATGTGAGGCATTCCGTCAAAATGAGGCAGGGACCTAGGGCTTTCTCTAAGGTCTCCACAGGGGATTCAGACATCCCTTCATGTTGTGAGATGAAAGACGAGCCTGTATTCAAGCCACTGCAAGGAAATCCGGCCTCCTTTCAAGTTAGGGCTTCTCGCTGTATATTCCCCTTGAGGCAGCAAACTCGGGGTCCCTCCCACATACCTATTGCTGAGAGAAGCCTCCTCCTGAGGTGCTTCTGGGAAGTTGGCATACGTCTTGAGCCTAAGCCAGGGAATCAGCTCGCATCTCGAGACGATTTGGGGTACACGGAGCATTCCTCGAGTTGCTGTGCTGAAGTTGGTGTTCCTCTAGACTTGGGACAGTGTTCTCGGGGCATCTCTGGAGTTGCCTGAAGGAAGTCGAGCCACCGGTCGTGTTGAATGGGGAACGGGGAATGGCTCTGGAGTCAATGCAGGGGAATCGGGCCTCATCTCGAGTTGATTTGGGGCACATGGAGCTGCTTTGCGTTGCTGGGGTGACCTCAGGGTCCGTCTAGACTGGTGACAGTGTTCTGGGGGACTGTCTCGAGATCCATTAAGCAAGTCGAAGCTCCTGACTTGTTTGAATGGGATCACGGAATAGCTCTGCATGCACTGCAGGGGAATGGGGCCTCATCTCGCCTCTAGGGGGAAGTCTCATGGTTTTTCTCGAGTTGCGGCGGGGACCTGGGGTATGTTCTCGACTTACGGCGGGGATGGCCCTTCAAAACACGAGTTTCTTCAGTGACGTCAGGACTCCTGTCTAGTAACGAGGGACACCTCAGGAATCTCTTCGAGGCTTGGCAGGGCCAAAGGGACGCTTCTCGAGGTGAGGCAGGGCACCCAAGGACCCTTTCCAGTAGCCACAGGGATTTTGGGATTCCTATCAGTATTCAAGAGGAGTCAGGCATCGTCACCTTTTGAAGCAATGAACTCCGCGTGCCTCTCGAGGTGTCAGCGGGATGTGAGGCATTCCGTCAAAATGAGGCAGGGACCTAGGGCTTTCTCTAAGGTCTCCACAGGGGATTCAGACATCCCTTCATGTTGTGAGATGAAAGACGAGCCTGTATTCAAGCCACTGCAAGGAAATCCGGCCTCCTTTCAAGTTAGGGCTTCTCGCTGTATATTCCCCTTGAGGCAGCAAACTCGGGGTCCCTCCCACATACCTATTGCTGAGAGAAGCCTCCTCCTGAGGTGCTTCTGGGAAGTTGGCATACGTCTTGAGCCTAAGCCAGGGAATCAGCTCGCATCTCGAGACGATTTGGGGTACACGGAGCATTCCTCGAGTTGCTGTGCTGAAGTTGGTGTTCCTCTAGACTTGGGACAGTGTTCTCGGGGCATCTCTGGAGTTGCCTGAAGGAAGTCGAGCCACCGGTCGTGTTGAATGGGGAACGGGGAATGGCTCTGGAGTCAATGCAGGGGAATCGGGCCTCATCTCGAGTTGATTTGGGGCACATGGAGCTGCTTTGCGTTGCTGGGGTGACCTCAGGGTCCGTCTAGACTGGTGACAGTGTTCTTGGGGACTGTCTCGAGATCCATTAAGCAAGTCGAAGCTCCTGACTTGTTTGAATGGGGTCACGGAATAGCTCTGCATGCACTGCAGGGGAATGGGGCCTCATCTCGCCTCTAGGGGGAAGTCTCATGGTTTTTCTCGAGTTGCGGCGGGGACCTGGGGTATGTTCTCGACTTACGGCGGGGATGGCCCTTCAAAACACGAGTTTCTTCAGTGACGTCAGGACTCCTGTCTAGTAACGAGGGACACCTCAGGAATCTCTTCGAGGCTTGGCAGGGCCAAAGGGACGCTTCTCGAGGTGAGGCAGGGCACCCAAGGACCCTTTCCAGTAGCCACAGGGATTTTGGGATTCCTATCAGTATTCAAGAGGAGTCAGGCATCGTCACCTTTTGAAGCAATGAACTCCGCGTGCCTCTCGAGGTGTCAGCGGGATGTGAGGCATTCCGTCAAAATGAGGCAGGGACCTAGGGCTTTCTCTAAGGTCTCCACAGGGGATTCAGACATCCCTTCATGTTGTGAGATGAAAGACGAGCCTGTATTCAAGCCACTGCAAGGAAATCCGGCCTCCTTTCAAGTTAGGGCTTCTCGCTGTATATTCCCCTTGAGGCAGCAAACTCGGGGTCCCTCCCACATACCTATTGCTGAGAGAAGCCTCCTCCTGAGGTGCTTCTGGGAAGTTGGCATACGTCTTGAGCCTAAGCCAGGGAATCAGCTCGCATCTCGAGACGATTTGGGGTACACGGAGCATTCCTCGAGTTGCTGTGCTGAAGTTGGTGTTCCTCTAGACTTGGGACAGTGTTCTCGGGGCATCTCTGGAGTTGCCTGAAGGAAGTCGAGCCACCGGTCGTGTTGAATGGGGAACGGGGAATGGCTCTGGAGTCAATGCAGGGGAATCGGGCCTCATCTCGAGTTGATTGGGGGCACATGGAGCTGCTTTGCGTTGCTGGGGTGACCTCAGGGTCCGTCTAGACTGGTGACAGTGTTCTTGGGGACTGTCTCGAGATCCATTAAGCAAGTCGAAGCTCCTGACTTGTTTGAATGGGATCACGGAATAGCTCTGCATGCACTGCAGGGGAATGGGGCCTCATCTCGCCTCTAGGGGGAAGTCTCATGGTTTTTCTCGAGTTGCGGCGGGGACCTGGGGTATGTTCTCGACTTACGGCGGGGATGGCCCTTCAAAACACAAGTTTCTTCAGTGACGTCAGGACTCCTGTCTAATAACGAGGGACACCTCAGGAATCTCTTCGAGGCTTGGCAGGGCCAAAGGGACGCTTCTCGAGGTGAGGCAGGGCACCCAAGGACCCTTTCCAGTAGCCACAGGGATTTTGGGATTCCTATCAGTATTCAAGAGTAGTCAGGCATCGTCACCTTTTGAAGCAATGAACTCCGCGTGCCTCTCGAGGTGTCAGCGGGATGTGAGGCATTCCGTCAAAATGAGGCAGGGACCTAGGGCTTTCTCTAAGGTCTCCACAGGGGATTCAGACATCCCTTCATGTTGTGAGATGAAAGACGAGCCTGTATTCAAGCCACTGCAAGGAAATCCGGCCTCCTTTCAAGTTAGGGCTTCTCGCTGTATATTCCCCTTGAGGCAGCAAACTCGGGGTCCCTCCCACATACCTATTGCTGAGAGAAGCCTCCTCCTGAGGTGCTTCTGGGAAGTTGGCATACGTCTTGAGCCTAAGCCAGGGAATCAGCTCGCATCTCGAGACGATTTGGGGTACACGGAGCATTCCTCGAGTTGCTGTGCTGAAGTTGGTGTTCCTCTAGACTTGGGACAGTGTTCTCGGGGCATCTCTGGAGTTGCCTGAAGGAAGTCGAGCCACCGGTCGTGTTGAATGGGGAACGGGGAATGGCTCTGGAGTCAATGCAGGGGAATCGGGCCTCATCTCGAGTTGATTTGGGGCACATGGAGCTGCTTTGCGTTGCTGGGGTGACCTCAGGGTCCGTCTAGACTGGTGACAGTGTTCTTGGGGACTGTCTCGAGATCCATTAAGCAAGTCGAAGCTCCTGACTTGTTTGAATGGGATCACGGAATAGCTCTGCATGCACTGCAGGGGAATGGGGCCTCATCTCGCCTCTAGGGGGAAGTCTCATGGTTTTTCTCGAGTTGCGGCGGGGACCTGGGGTATGTTCTCGACTTACGGCGGGGATGGCCCTTCAAAACACGAGTTTCTTCAGTGACGTCAGGACTCCTGTCTAGTAACGAGGGACACCTCAGGAATCTCTTCGAGGCTTGGCAGGGCCAAAGGGACGCTTCTCGAGGTGAGGCAGGGCACCCAAGGACCCTTTCCAGTAGCCACAGGGATTTTGGGATTCCTATCAGTATTCAAGAGGAGTCAGGCATCGTCACCTTTTGAAGCAATGAACTCCGCGTGCCTCTCGAGGTGTCAGCGGGATGTGAGGCATTCCGTCAAAATGAGGCAGGGACCTAGGGCTTTCTCTAAGGTCTCCACAGGGGATTCAGACATCCCTTCATGTTGTGAGATGAAAGACGAGCCTGTATTCAAGCCACTGCAAGGAAATCCGGCCTCCTTTCAAGTTAGGGCTTCTCGCTGTATATTCCCCTTGAGGCAGCAAACTCGGGGTCCCTCCCACATACCTATTGCTGAGAGAAGCCTCCTCCTGAGGTGCTTCTGGGAAGTTGGCATACGTCTTGAGCCTAAGCCAGGGAATCAGCTCGCATCTCGAGACGATTTGGGGTACACGGAGCATTCCTCGAGTTGCTGTGCTGAAGTTGGTGTTCCTCTAGACTTGGGACAGTGTTCTCGGGGCATCTCTGGAGTTGCCTGAAGGAAGTCGAGCCACCGGTCGTGTTGAATGGGGAACGGGGAATGGCTCTGGAGTCAATGCAGGGGAATCGGGCCTCATCTCGAGTTGATTTGGGGCACATGGAGCTGCTTTGCGTTGCTGGGGTGACCTCAGGGTCCGTCTAGACTGGTGACAGTGTTCTTGGGGACTGTCTCGAGATCCATTAAGCAAGTCGAAGCTCCTGACTTGTTTGAATGGGATCACGGAATAGCTCTGCATGCACTGCAGGGGAATGGGGCCTCATCTCGCCTCTAGGGGGAAGTCTCATGGTTTTTCTCGAGTTGCGGCGGGGACCTGGGGTATGTTCTCGACTTACGGCGGGGATGGCCCTTCAAAACACGAGTTTCTTCAGTGACGTCAGGACTCCTGTCTAGTAACGAGGGACACCTCAGGAATCTCTTCGAGGCTTGGCAGGGCCAAAGGGACGCTTCTCGAGGTGAGGCAGGGCACCCAAGGACCCTTTCCAGTAGCCACAGGGATTTTGGGATTCCTATCAGTATTCAAGAGGAGTCAGGCATCGTCACCTTTTGAAGCAATGAACTCCGCGTGCCTCTCGAGGTGTCAGCGGGATGTGAGGCATTCCGTCAAAATGAGGCAGGGACCTAGGGCTTTCTCTAAGGTCTCCACAGGGGATTCAGACATCCCTTCATGTTGTGAGATGAAAGACGAGCCTGTATTCAAGCCACTGCAAGGAAATCCGGCCTCCTTTCAAGTTAGGGCTTCTCGCTGTATATTCCCCTTGAGGCAGCAAACTCGGGGTCCCTCCCACATACCTATTGCTGAGAGAAGCCTCCTCCTGAGGTGCTTCTGGGAAGTTGGCATACGTCTTGAGCCTAAGCCAGGGAATCAGCTCGCATCTCGAGACGATTTGGGGTACATGGAGCATTCCTCGAGTTGCTGTGCTGAAGTTGGTGTTCCTCTAGACTTGGGACAGTGTTCTCGGGGCATCTCTGGAGTTGCCTGAAGGAAGTCGAGCCACCGGTCGTGTTGAATGGGGAACGGGGAATGGCTCTGGAGTCAATGCAGGGGAATCGGGCCTCATCTCGAGTTGATTTGGGGCACATGGAGCTGCTTTGCGTTGCTGGGGTGACCTCAGGGTCCGTCTAGACTGGTGACAGTGTTCTTGGGGACTGTCTCGAGATCCATTAAGCAAGTCGAAGCTCCTGACTTGTTTGAATGGGATCACGGAATAGCTCTGCATGCACTGCAGGGGAATGGGGCCTCATCTCGCCTCTAGGGGGAAGTCTCATGGTTTTTCTCGAGTTGCGGCGGGGACCTGGGGTATGTTCTCGACTTACGGCGGGGATGGCCCTTCAAAACACGAGTTTCTTCAGTGACGTCAGGACTCCTGTCTAGTAACGAGGGACACCTCAGGAATCTCTTCGAGGCTTGGCAGGGCCAAAGGGACGCTTCTCGAGGTGAGGCAGGGCACCCAAGGACCCTTTCCAGTAGCCACAGGGATTTTGGGATTCCTATCAGTATTCAAGAGGAGTCAGGCATCGTCACCTTTTGAAGCAATGAACTCCGCGTGCCTCTCGAGGTGTCAGCGGGATGTGAGGCATTCCGTCAAAATGAGGTAGGGACCTAGGGCTTTCTCTAAGGTCTCCACAGGGGATTCAGACATCCCTTCATGTTGTGAGATGAAAGACGAGCCTGTATTCAAGCCACTGCAAGGAAATCCGGCCTCCTTTCAAGTTAGGGCTTCTCGCTGTATATTCCCCTTGAGGCAGCAAACTCGGGGTCCCTCCCACATACCTATTGCTGAGAGAAGCCTCCTCCTGAGGTGCTTCTGGGAAGTTGGCATACGTCTTGAGCCTAAGCCAGGGAATCAGCTCGCATCTCGAGACGATTTGGGGTACATGGAGCATTCCTCGAGTTGCTGTGCTGAAGTTGGTGTTCCTCTAGACTTGGGACAGTGTTCTCGGGGCATCTCTGGAGTTGCCTGAAGGAAGTCGAGCCACCGGTCGTGTTGAATGGGGAACGGGGAATGGCTCTGGAGTCAATGCAGGGGAATCGGGCCTCATCTCGAGTTGATTTGGGGCACATGGAGCTGCTTTGCGTTGCTGGGGTGACCTCAGGGTCCGTCTAGACTGGTGACAGTGTTCTTGGGGACTGTCTCGAGATCCATTAAGCAAGTCGAAGCTCCTGACTTGTTTGAATGGGATCACGGAATAGCTCTGCATGCACTGCAGGGGAATGGGGCCTCATCTCGCCTCTAGGGGGAAGTCTCATGGTTTTTCTCGAGTTGCGGCGGGGACCTGGGGTATGTTCTCGACTTACGGCGGGGATGGCCCTTCAAAACACGAGTTTCTTCAGTGACGTCAGGACTCCTGTCTAGTAACGAGGGACACCTCAGGAATCTCTTCGAGGCTTGGCAGGGCCAAAGGGACGCTTCTCGAGGTGAGGCAGGGCACCCAAGGACCCTTTCCAGTAGCCACAGGGATTTTGGGATTCCTATCAGTATTCAAGAGGAGTCAGGCATCGTCACCTTTTGAAGCAATGAACTCCGCGTGCCTCTCGAGGTGTCAGCGGGATGTGAGGCATTCCGTCAAAATGAGGCAGGGACCTAGGGCTTTCTCTAAGGTCTCCACAGGGGATTCAGACATCCCTTCATGTTGTGAGATGAAAGACGAGCCTGTATTCAAGCCACTGCAAGGAAATCCGGCCTCCTTTCAAGTTAGGGCTTCTCGCTGTATATTCCCCTTGAGGCAGCAAACTCGGGGTCCCTCCCACATACCTATTGCTGAGAGAAGCCTCCTCCTGAGGTGCTTCTGGGAAGTTGGCATACGTCTTGAGCCTAAGCCAGGGAATCAGCTCGCATCTCGAGACGATTTGGGGTACACGGAGCATTCCTCGAGTTGCTGTGCTGAAGTTGGTGTTCCTCTAGACTTGGGAGAGTGTTCTCGGGGCATCTCTGGAGTTGCCTGAAGGAAGTCGAGCCACCGGTCGTGTTGAATGGGGAACGGGGAATGGCTCTGGAGTCAATGCAGGGGAATCGGGCCTCATCTCGAGTTGATTTGGGGCACATGGAGCTGCTTTGCGTTGCTGGGGTGACCTCAGGGTCCGTCTAGACTGGTGACAGTGTTCTTGGGGACTGTCTCGAGATCCATTAAGCAAGTCGAAGCTCCTGACTTGTTTGAATGGGGTCACGGAATAGCTCTGCATGCACTGCAGGGGAATGGGGCCTCATCTCGCCTCTAGGGGGAAGTCTCATGGTTTTTCTCGAGTTGCGGCGGGGACCTGGGGTATGTTCTCGACTTACGGCGGGGATGGCCCTTCAAAACACGAGTTTCTTCAGTGACGTCAGGACTCCTGTCTAGTAACGAGGGACACCTCAGGAATCTCTTCGAGGCTTGGCAGGGCCAAAGGGACGCTTCTCGAGGTGAGGCAGGGCACCCAAGGACCCTTTCCAGTAGCCACAGGGATTTTGGGATTCCTATCAGTATTCAAGAGGAGTCAGGCATCGTCACCTTTTGAAGCAATGAACTCCGCGTGACTCTCGAGGTGTCAGCGGGATGTGAGGCATTCCGTCAAAATGAGGCAGGGACCTAGGGCTTTCTCTAAGGTCTCCACAGGGGATTCAGACATCCCTTCATGTTGTGAGATGAAAGACGAGCCTGTATTCAAGCCACTGCAAGGAAATCCGGCCTCCTTTCAAGTTAGGGCTTCTCGCTGTATATTCCCCTTGAGGCAGCAAACTCGGGGTCCCTCCCACATACCTATTGCTGAGAGAAGCCTCCTCCTGAGGTGCTTCTGGGAAGTTGGCATACGTCTTGAGCCTAAGCCAGGGAATCAGCTCGCATCTCGAGACGATTTGGGGTACACGGAGCATTCCTCGAGTTGCTGTGCTGAAGTTGGTGTTCCTCTAGACTTGGGACAGTGTTCTCGGGGCATCTCTGGAGTTGCCTGAAGGAAGTCGAGCCACCGGTCGTGTTGAATGGGGAACGGGGAATGGCTCTGGAGTCAATGCAGGGGAATCGGGCCTCATCTCGAGTTGATTTGGGGCACATGGAGCTGCTTTGCGTTGCTGGGGTGACCTCAGGGTCCGTCTAGACTGGTGACAGTGTTCTTGGGGACTGTCTCGAGATCCATTAAGCAAGTCGAAGCTCCTGACTTGTTTGAATGGGATCACGGAATAGCTCTGCATGCACTGCAGGGGAATGGGGCCTCATCTCGCCTCTAGGGGGAAGTCTCATGGTTTTTCTCGAGTTGCGGCGGGGACCTGGGGTATGTTCTCGACTTACGGCGGGGATGGCCCTTCAAAACACGAGTTTCTTCAGTGACGTCAGGACTCCTGTCTAGTAACGAGGGACACCTCAGGAATCTCTTCGAGGCTTGGCAGGGCCAAAGGGACGCTTCTCGAGGTGAGGCAGGGCACCCAAGGACCCTTTCCAGTAGCCACAGGGATTTTGGGATTCCTATCAGTATTCAAGAGGAGTCGGGCATCGTCACCTTTTGAAGCAATGAACTCCGCGTGCCTCTCGAGGTGTCAGCGGGATGTGAGGCATTCCGTCAAAATGAGGCAGGGACCTAGGGCTTTCTCTAAGGTCTCCACAGGGGATTCAGACATCCCTTCATGTTGTGAGATGAAAGACGAGCCTGTATTCAAGCCACTGCAAGGAAATCCGGCCTCCTTTCAAGTTAGGGCTTCTCGCTGTATATTCCCCTTGAGGCAGCAAACTCGGGGTCCCTCCCACATACCTATTGCTGAGAGAAGCCTCCTCCTGAGGTGCTTCTGGGAAGTTGGCATACGTCTTGAGCCTAAGCCAGGGAATCAGCTCGCATCTCGAGACGATTTGGGGTACACGGAGCATTCCTCGA